AGAGATATTTTAGGAAGACCATGTAGAGATTTGTGTTGGGCACATAACTGTTATACTTACCTCGAAGTGCATTATGAAAACAAAGTTCGTTCATTCGTAATTTTTGTTTCTTGTCCTCTGGGGCCTACCCCTCTGGTAGACAAGGTATAGGATTGCATACTAGTAATTTTTCTACGAAATTGGGCCAGAACAGTGCCGAACTGCAGCCAACATCATCCTAGAACAGAATTCTGACTCGAAGTATTCACAGTGTGCTACACCCTAGTGCATAAGTATAGTGAATATAGACAGTGTAGCCTGTGGCTATTTTGATTTATTTGAAGTGTCAGTAGCTTCATCACAACATTGTCAGTATGATTTTCGGAGCTGCTGTTCTTTAAGGTGAAGCTGGACAGCGGTGTGCGGGTGGTGCGTGGGCGGTGCGTGTCGGAGTTTGGATCGTGGATCGTGGGCGCGGCGAAATCCTACGGCCCACTCAACGCATAGGCCCGGCAACTTCCTCAACGTCGGCCTTGCTCTCTGTCTTTTTCTGTCTCTTTCTTTTTCGCTCCTCCTTATCCTGTCATGGTTGGGACGAGGCGGAAAAGCAAGGCTGCCGCTGCCGCCGCCGTCGCGCTGCCTTCTGACGACCACGACGGTGCATCCACAACGCACACCGACGACTCACACCACGCATTCAATGTGTCCATCCCCATCGACGTCGACATTGACGCGCTCTCAAATATAATCCCAGACGTCTCCTTCTCCTCGCCTACACCTGAAACGATAGTCTCAGTCTATAGGATCCTTCTCGGTCAATTTGCAGACGCTGACATCACGCGACGCGAGCTCGAGGAGGCGCGCGCTGAGGTCGAGCGCAAGGATGTCGAGCTCGACCAAGCTATCCAGGACAGGGATGGTCAGACGAAGGATTTGGAAGGCTCCCTCGAAGAGGCACATGGGCAGCTCGAACAGGTCAAGAAGGAACGCGACCAACTTGGTGCGCATATATCCTGTTCTTTTTAGTCATCTCTGTGGCTCACTTTTCATGTCTATAGCGACCTCCAAGAATGAACTGCAGACGCAGCTTTCGATGCTTACTAACTCGCAGTCGTCCTCATCTGTCGAGCTCGACCAGTATCGCCACCGGGTCGAGGATGCCGAACGGGAAAAGCGAGACATGATCAGTGTTGTCAGCAGGCTCAAGGAAGACGCGTCGCAACGAGATGGTAAGCAACTGATATCCCGTTCTCTAACACAGCTCACACAGCGAACAGAGGAAATTCAAACTCTTCGCTTAAATCTCAAACAGGCTCGTCAGGAGTACCAGGGCCTAGAGACGCAAGTAAGAGAGCTGCGCTCGACGGAGACCTCCACCAAGGTGCGTAATAATATCACCCAGTATGACATCACGACATTTACCTAGCCCACACAGTTCAAACTCGACACGACCACCCAGCAGCTCCAGCTCGCTCAGAAAGAAGCCGAACGCGCCTCCCAAGAGCTCACCGCCAAGACCGAAGACTATGCCCAATACCGCCGCACCAAGCACTCGGAGCTTGCCCAGCTGCAAGCGTCCATGGACGCGCTCACGCAGACGCACGCATCGCTCGAGAGCTCCTTCAAAGCGCTCCAGTCCTCGCACAGTGCGCAGTCGCACCAGCTCTCACAGGCCCTCGCGACCGTGCAGGACCTCAAGAGCCAGATCGCCGAGCAAGAAGCCGCGTTCGCGAGCGAGGTGTCTGGGCTGCGCCGGCTCGTGGGCATCATGGAGGAGCGCGAGAAGACGGCGAAGGGGATTGTCGAGTCGATCGAGCAGGAGTGGGCACGTGTGGGCGACCGCGCGGAGAAGCGCGAGGCGGCACTCAGGGCGGAGACGGAGCGGGAGCGCAAGGCGCGCGGGGACGCGGAGAAGAGGGCGGACCAGCTCGAGGCGGTTTTGGAGCGCATTAATCGAGGGGACTTGCCGCTTCCTGGTGTCAATGGAGGCGCACCTGGGACACCTGGGACGCCCGGCACGCCTGTGAGGAACGTGGACCCGATGGCGGACGGCATGTATGGGCTCAGCCCGACGGTCGCGATGGTCAGCAAGGCGCAGCGGGGTGGGAAGACGTTCACGGAGGTGTATGCCGACTATGTCCGTTTGCAGGAGGAGTTCGCGAAGAAGTCGGCCGAGTACGACCACATGGACCGGACATTGTCTGCTGTACTCGCCCAGATCGAGGAGCGGGTGAGTTGCATGGATATTCATGTCTCATCTCGAGATTGACGCGCTGACAACGATACAATTCCAATAGGCCCCTATCCTGTCTCAGCAGCGCGATGAATACGAGCGCCTCCAGTCCGAAGCCGCGCAGCTCGCTTCACAGCTCTCGAGCGCGTTGTCCGAGCGCGACGCGAACGCCTCCGCGCTGACGGAAGCCTCGCAGAAGCTCAAGAAAAGCGCGGACGAGAACAAGCTGCTCACCGACAACCTCAACGATCTCGGCCGCCAAGTCCAAGCGCTCCTCAAAGAGCTCGGCCGGCGCTCGGATTCGTCCATCCCCGACTCGGACGAGGAGCTCGAGTCCCTCGACCTCCCCGCGCCGCAGCTGGAAAACGACATCGACGCGGTGATCACGAACAACCTCGTCTTGTTTAGGTCGATACCGGAGCTGCAGGAGCAGAACCGGAAGCTGCTGAAGGTCGTGCGGGAGATGGGCGCGAAGATGGAGGCGGAGGAGAGGGAGTACAGGGACCAGCTTGATCAGGAGCAGAGCGAGGCGGTGCGCGAGGCGCATGAGGCGATGCGGGAGCTCGCTGAGCAGCTGGAGAGGCAGAAGAGGAGTGCGGAGGTGACGATTCAGGCATACATGAAGGAGCGGGACGCGCTGAAGAGCATGCTTGCGCGCGAGGGTCGTGGCAGCGGTGTAAGTGTGGGTGCGGGCGTGGGCGCCGCAGGTGTGGGAGACGTGGTGATGGGCAACGGGCACGGGTACGGAGGCGGGGCAAACGGCAATGGCATCGGGGATGCGTCGGTGGAGCTGGAGGAGGTGCAGGCGCAGTTCGAGTCGTACAAGACCGAGATGGGCATCGATGCGGGCCGGCTCCGGGAGGAGCTTACCGCGGCGCAGCGCGAGGTCGGCGGGCTCAACGCGAGCCTCGCCAAGGCCAACGCGAAGATTGAATACCTCACTGGTGAGCATCTCATCTCCTTTCCTTCCGCCTCGCCCATCGTTTTATCAATCGCACCGTTGCGTATATGCGGATACTGACGTTTGGAATGGAAAATTCTGCGTAGATCGCCAGCGGATGTGCCAGGAGCAGCTCTCTCTACAGAGCCGCGACCTCGACAACCTGCAGAAACGGAACCAGCAGCTGTACGACCAGTACACGCGCATGGACGTTGAGTGCCACCGCGCATCGGACGAGCTCGTCACCGCCAACAGCCGCGTCGAGCAGCTGCGCAATGAGAACGCGAACTTGCGCGCCGAGAAGCGCATCTGGGAGGTGAGACCGTTATATGATATGGGTATTGGCATGCGATTTCTAAAATATAAATCGGTTGGCAGGGCGTCCAATCGCGTCTGGAGGAGGAGAACAAGAGTCTCGCGGTGGAGCGCTCGAGGCTGTCGGACCTCATCTCGAACGTGCAGAAGATGCACAACGACCTCGAGCGTTCGAACGAGAACGACCGGCGGAGACTCGAGGGCCAGGTGCAGCTTCTTGAGAGCCAGGCGTGAGTTTTGCAATTTCCTGACAAAAAAGGAGGTTTTGCTAATGCGGGTGGATTCCTCGTAGTCAGGACCTGAAGACGCAGCTCAGCCAGGAGCGCGACGCGGTCCGACATGTGACGCTGCAGAAGGATGTGGAGTGCAAGGATCTGCAGGGTAGGCTCGACAAGACGGTGCGCACTCACCCATTTTATATTCCTCACCCCCTTCCGCAAACGAGGCTCATGAGACATGTTTGTTCTAGAACGAGCTGCTCTCCGGGACGCGCGCGACGCTCGCCGGTGTGGAGTCGACGAAGAGCCATTTGCAGGAGCGTGTCGATTTCCTCACGCGCCAGCTACAGGGCAACGAGGAGAAGCTCGCGGTCTACGAGCGCAGGGGTGGCAGCGGTAGCAACGGGAACGGGGATGCGGCTGCGCGGGCGATGGACGAGGATTTGCCGCGAGAGCAACAGCTTGAGCAGGAAGTTGCTGAGCTACGGTGGGTGCCATTTGCTAGATTTGTTATCGTTAACCCGTTGCTGACCTTGACCGATCTTTGGTACAGCTCTGCTCTCAAGGTTGCCGAGGTCGACTTGGCTTCTGCGCGCAGCCATATGCAGCAGTTCCAGGAGATTAGCCAGGCGAACGAGGCTGCTCTGTCTGCGCTCAACACCACTCACGATCAGTACAAGGCCGAGACTGAAGCGAGACTTGTCAAAAACGAGGTCCGTATACACCCCACAAACAAGTTAGGTTTGAGGAAGCAACTGACCCCACTTGAATAGGCCGAGTACAAGGCTCTACAAGAGAAGCTGCGCGAGGCCGAAGAGGAGCTCAAGCGCACCAACGCCAAGTACGCGGAGTTACAGAACGCGTTCGAGACGGAGCGCGCCACCTGGGCGAACGACAAGAAGACGCTCGAGGAGACGATCGTGGATATCAGCTCGCAGGAGAAGAACTCGGAGAGCGATCGCGCACTGAAAGAAAACGATTTCCGGCAGCTCGAGCAGCGCGCCGTTGTGCGTTTTTATTTTCATAATTATTCACGCCGAGTTACTTATGTGTTTCGATAGGCCGCAGAGGAGCGCTACTCTCGCGAGGTTGTCACCCACGCCGAGTCTATCAAGGTTATCGACGGTCTTAAGCAGCAGTTATCAGCAGCCCAAATGACAGCACGGGACAGCTCGCTGTCTGCTGCTAACGCTCAAGCGAAGCTCGAGTCGGCCGATGGCAGCTGGAAGCAGCAGAAGGAGGCGTTGGACAAGGAGATCTCGGACCTGAACGCACGCTGCAAGGATCTCGCCGCACAGAACACGCTTCTCCACCAACATCTCGAATCCGTCAGCTCGCAGGCTGCACGCATCCGCCAGGCCGCAGACTCAACCACCGCCGAAGGCCAGTCAGCTGATGATGCATCGGGCGACGTCGACACCAAAGTATCCGAGCTCCGTTCCGTCGTCGCATACCTGCGCAAGGAGAAGGAGATTGTCGATCTACAGCTCGAGCTCAGCCGGCAGGAGAACCTCCGGCTCAAGAACCAGATCGAGCACCTCAGTCTGTCGCTGTCTGAGACGCGCACGACGCTCGCCGAGGAGCGGCAGAAGGCACTCGAGGCGGCGACGTCGGACTCGCAGCACGCGGAGCTCATCGAGCGCATCAACCAGCTCAACATCCTGCGCGAGAGCAACGCGACGCTGCGCGCGGACTGCGAGAACTACGCGAAGCGATCGAGGGAGCTGGACGCGAAGGTGAAGGAGCTGTCGGCACAGCTGGACCCTGTCAAGGAGGAGGCGCGGTCTGCGAAGGCCGAGCTGGGCGCACGCGCTGGGCAGATTTCGAGGCTTGAGGAGGAAAACAGAAGGTGGCAGGAGAGGAATCAGCAGCTGCTGAGCAAGTACGACCGCATCGACCCTGCCGACATGCAATCCCTCAAGGACGAGATCCAGGCGCTGCAGACCCAAAAGGCGGAGTTCGACAGCCTCACAGCGGCCAAGGACTCACAGATTGCGGACCTGAGTGCCAAGGTAGTTGTGGCACAGGGCGAGGCGACCAAGCACATGGAGAACATGAAACGCAACACCGGCATCATGAAGCGGCGACTTGACGGCTTCAACGCCGACAAGAAACAACTGGAAACCACTGTTGAGGATCTCAAGAAGCAGATTGAGACGCTCACCGCGGAGAAGTCAGCCGTCAACGCTGCGGAGAATTCTTCTGTGGAGGCGACGAACGCGCTGAATCAGCAGCTGGAGACGCTGAAGCAGGAGAAGCAGACGCTGGAGAAGACGTTGGCGGAGGAGCGTGAACGGTATGCTGCCGCTGCAGCAACACAGCAGCCACCGCAGGATTCGACAGAGCAGACTGTGCTCATTGTAAGTCTACTTGCACTTTTTTTTTCTTTGTTGAAATCTAATCTCATGTTCGCTCTTCAGGATTCATTGCGCCAGGAACGCGACCAGCTTCTGTCAGAGAAGGAGTCGTGGAAACAAGGTGTTGCTCCTGTTGCTGAGACAAACGGAACCTCGGAGGATCTCGTCAAGGCACGGGATGAGGCCCTTGCTCAGGCCAAAGTCAGTGTTTTAATTGGTTTTCTCGGATACATGATGCTGAGAAATTTACCAGAAAGCATCCGAAGACGCACAGAAGGCCCAGGAAGAGGTTAGGAACATTCGCAACTCCAACGTAAGTTTCGCTTTCGGTATCATTCCCAATTATTGTAGCTAAAAGATGGCTGCAGGAAAAATTCCAAATGCGTATACAAGACATGCAAAAAGCTCGGGAGCGCACTGCTTCTGAACAGGCCAACGCCGTCACTGCGGCCGTGGAGAAGGTCCGAAATGAGCTTGCGAGTTCAAGTGCTCCTAGCGATGACGAGACGGCCAAAAAGCATGCGGCGGAGCTAGAGGCTCTCCGTGTGCAACTCGTTGCTCAGCACGAAGCAAAACTCAAAGAAGCTGTCGACGCCGCCGTCGCCGTTGCCAAAGCAGGAGCCCCTCCCACGGATGCCTCTTCGCAGGAGGCCATTGACGCAGCCGTCAACGCTCGTATGGAAGAAGTCACTGCCAAGCATAATGAAGAGATCACCGCTGCAGTTGATCGTGGCCGCATGGAACAGGCTGCAAAGAGCAAGATCAAGGATGCCCAACTCGTGCGCTCCCAGACCAAGCTCAAGGAACTCGAGGCGCAGATCGCAGGATGGCGAGAGGCCGGGCTGGTTCCCGAAGCACCCGCTTCAGCCGTTCCGGCAGGTAAAGCGGGTCCTTCAGGCACGGCTGCGAAACCCGCTGGTACGGCTGCTGCTCAGAGCGGCCAAGCAACCAGGCTCGCGGCTCCTATCCCGGCCAAGCCAGTAACAGCACAAGGGGGCGTGACGGCTCCTACGGCCTCGTCGGCCGCCAGAGCCACTGGCGGCGGCGTACCGCTAGGCACAGCCGGTGCTGCAGCGAGGGGTCGTGGCATAGCTCGCGGCGCTGGACGTGGTACTGCCGGCCGCGGACTCTCAATCAGAGGTGCAGCACCTGGCAGGGGTGGGGCACCCGCAGCAGCAGCAGGGACGACGTCCGCTGCTGGAGGGGCAGCAGCTGCACCGACGGAGGGCGTATCCATCATGGGTGCTGCCAACAAGCGTGGGCGGGAAGATGATAACACCGAGGACTCACTCGCAAAACGTCTCCGTCCCGAAGGAGCTGCAACGGCTGCCGGTGCCGGTGCTGGGAGCAACAAACCGCCTGTGACGCTTCGTCGGCCTCCGCCAGCATCATAACCGTTGACAATGTTCGTTCGCGCTGCGTGTGGATAGTTTTACAGTACTTAGCACCTCCCTGTTAGATTTTCTTGCTTACAATTTTATGTATTCTTAGCTTAGCTTACAACATATCCTCGTTATTGCATCTTGCCCAACATTGCACAGTACGTACTGCATTTTTACACATCTTCAGATTTTTTTGTTGCCACCAAGTCTTTCGTATGGACAGAAATTGAGACTATCTAGCGCGGTTGTACCGACGTTATTTTACCGTAAGCTAAGCAGATCCGAGTCTTTTCACGCGTTCTGATTGCGAGATATTGAGAGTAGGCGAAAGAAAAATCATTGCACCGCAGAATTTTAAAGCCTGAGTTATAAAGTACGCCGGAGATGGCGCCGGCGGCCCAGGAACGCGGCATACAGACCAAAAGGAACGTGAGAAGAATCAAACCCCAGAGTGCTTTTACTTTATCTACGCAAAGTACGTTTTACACTTGTTTTACACAACGTCAAAAGAACGCAGCGATACCATATGTAAACTCGCTGCACAAAGGATATTAGCGAACTACCATGGACTCTATGTGTTATGCTGCACAACACCCAGCACAGCAAGACGAGGAATCTCACTATAACCACTATCACAAACAGGCTAAACGGAGCATGATTGGTCCCATGCCTTTGGAGGCTTTCTTCATGGATAGGGACTTGTGCCCCCTTCCTTCGGAAAAGCCCCTCTCTGATAACATGCGGAAGAGGTTCAAGGATGCCGTTGAGGGCATAAATGAGACAACGACTGTGGAAGACATTGGCCGCATTCTTGTAAGTGTATCACACACATCAATTAATGGATACATGTTTTAAGCAAAGGGCTGGAGTCTGCTGCATTGAACAATGCGGAATGTTGGAAAGATTTCACATTCGCCGACACCCATGATCCTGCGTACGAGGAGAACTATGGTGCTTGCGAGCCAAATATCTGTGCCTTTTCGAGAGAAACGCTGGGTAAAACGAAACAGATTCCCCCGCCCACGGACTCCTCAGCCAAACTCGCCGACAAAGACGGGAAATTGACGGGAAAGGCGATGTTTCAGACGGCAGACTTCGTCTTTAACATCAAAACAGGACTTGACCCTTTCCGCGATCCTGAGGCAGGCGATGATCTGTCGAAATTTGATCTTTTTAGAAAATCCAAAGCCGAGAATGACAAAAGGCAAGCCATACAATGTGTTGGACAACTCGTTCAATATTCTGCTCAACTCCTTGCCCAGCAACACCGCACATCCTGCTTTATCATCTTGGTGTGTGGCCGCAGAGCTCGTTTCATCCGGTGGGATCGCGCTGGAGCCATGGTAACTCGCGCTTTCAACTACACAAAGTCGGATTATCTCCTTGAATTCCTATGGCGCTACGACCAAGCCAGTGACACCGACCGCGGAGTCGACACATCTCATCATCAAGTCACGTCAGAAGAGGAACAAGCCTTCAAATGCGCTATTGAGAAGCACATTGAGTTACAGTTCTTCGACACCCCCGCCGAGACAACTGACCGGGTACTGTTCTCAACGCATCTTGAAGAGCACTATGAGCCAGGAAACGTCACGAAAATGGATGTTTTTGATGAACTTTCCAAATCGACGAAGCAATATCTCGTCTCCAAACCCTTTGTATCGCCTGAAAACGCAACAGGCCGGTGTACGCGCGGCTACTGGGCCGTGGAGGTAAACGATCCTGATCTTAAAGTAGTCTTTATCAAAGACACTTGGCAAATATGTGAGAAGGGCGAGCGAAGGGAGGACGCCGTTTACAGGTCTTTGAATGGGAACAACGTAGCTAATGTGCCTACATTGTGCGCTCACGGTGATGTTAGGCATAGAAATGGTTCTCAAAGATGTAGGTGCTGTTCCGTTTGGCTGTGATCTTCATCGTTGACTCAGTCATCCTTGCAGACCAACGCACTGTAACTCAAAATTACTTGGATGAACCATGGGTTGCCAGGGGCAAGAAAAATATCGCAATTGCAGTTCATATGCACTATCGGCTTGTTCTTAAGGAGGCTGGTGTTTCCCTGGACTACCTCAAGAACTCGTCTGAATTGGTTCATGCTGGTCGCGATGTGCTGATTGGTAAGTGCGACAGACGAAAGGCCCAGACTTCAACCAGCTGATCGTGCTACAAGCTATCCGGGATGCCTTCGAGATCCATCTACTTCATCGGGACGTCAGTTTTGCCAATGTCGTGCTTTTCCGCGAAAAGAAGGGAGACCGCCGCCTGGGGCTGTTAACGGACTGGGACTTCTCTTGCACCACCAACGAGAACGGCGTTGCGAGCGATGCGCACAGAACTGTAAGCTCCGGTTTTATTTTGTCAAGCTCATCGTCGTTCAACGTCACGTCATTACACTAGGGGACTTTCCCCTTCATGTCTCTCAATGTTATAAGCTGCTCCCCAGGGTTTCGCCATACTGTGCAAGATGACATGGAGTCTTTGGCCTATGTTCTCCTGTTTTGTTCCATGACTCTCCTTGAACACGCAGAATATCCGCAATTTATGGGGTTGGTAGTCGGGCTGTTCTTCCCAGCGCCGAGCGACCCCGACGAAGACCATACCGGTATGCCGACCTTGAAGAGCGACTGGATCTTCGACCCACGTCCTACGTTTCGGACGCTTTACATGCTTGGATTCGACAAGGGAACGCGGGAGTTGTTCGAGAACATTTTCTTCAACCTATCCCGATGTCAATTTGTGAAGTGTGCTCAAAACCTCGCTACTATGACTAGGCCACGGACATCGAAGTCAGAAACACCGTACCTAGCCGATGATCTCAAGCCGCAGTTGGAGGTAGTCGGGTGGACACCCGAGAGTTTTCTCCATCTACTAGACGACATCATAAAAGAAGACTCGTTGACAAATGCCAGCACGAAGAAGTGGCGAGACATGCTGGCTCAACACCGCAGATTTGTGCTGCTCCCGTTGTCGGTGCCTTCTTCACATTCTACTGCTGCACGCAAACGAGATAGGGAAGACACCCCAGACTCCACTGCTAAAGGCGACTCGTTTGGTCAAGGACCGTTAGGAGACCAGGCCGCTAGCAAGAGAGCTAGAAAAGATGAAGACTCCGAAGTTCAAACTGGTTGATGAGCTCTGGTGCATGTCGTCTCGGAAGCATGAATGGAACCTCTCATGATGTCGGGGATTAGTGATGGTGGTAACCAGTACTTGGATGGGAATTGCATCCATCCGATTGACTTCGTATATTATTAATACTAGTATTGCTGTAATGCTTCGAATGAAAGACTGTCAGTGATGACCCCACCGGAACCGTTGTTAGAAGAGCATCATTGTAGCCATATACAACCGTGTACTTAAACATTCTTGTAACTGCATTGTCCCCCAAACGCCGTTTACACAGCAGACCCCCAAAGGGCAAAGAAAAGCTTGATGCACAGTGAAGACACCGCGCACACTCTTATGACACCGTTTTCCTCGCTTGCTCTATATCGTTCTTACCAAATCCAACACGCTTCAACAATACAACGATGACATCAAACGACCAATAGACAAACTTCATGAATTAATAACGCTGATCAACCTGGTTGTGCATACTCGAGTGAATGAGAACGGCATAAAGAATAACTAGCAGATCAACTACTGACGTTACGGATTTCGTGGTAGGGAGAATACGGTAGACAACTTTAACCCCGAATCAATCAAGGGGAAAGCCTAATAAACTTGAAGGGGTGGCATGAAAACGGTACGTAATCAATGCAACAATAGGCGTTACTGTAATGCGTTAAGTGGGTCGTGCGGTGAAGTAAAAGGCGTGGGTGGAGGTGGAGATGAGGACGAGAGGAAGTAAGTAAGAATCGAGTAAAAAGTCATGATACTAGAGCGTGATGACGAACTTGTTACGATAGAGGGCGGCGGATAGCGGTAGATAAAAGCGGAAAGGGCGGGGAGGGGCGAGGGGAGGCGAGGTGAGGTGACGATATGCGAGTGGAGGACTAAGCGAAAGTAGTATCGACAGCGAGGAGGCAAAACAAGCGAGAATGAGATAGCATGTACAGGATGGATGCGGATGGGTAATGTTATGGACTGCGGAAAATATGCAAGCGAATAAACAATGTTTTGAATTGGGTTGCGGGTGATCGAAATTCAAATGGATTTTTGAACCGATGGCGGATTTGAGTTTGTAGGGTTGAAGTAGGAGTTGAAGCCAAAGTCGAAGTCCAAGAGAATGAAGTTTGACCTGCGAAAGCGAAACCAAAGAGAAAGTGTCCACAAATAGAGATCAAACAACAAGCGTGCGAGACGTCCTCCGGCCAGATACAGTCTTGCTCGGCACAATCGCCCTGATCGCGCGCATGAGAGACGCCGGATTCTTGTTCTCGCCCTTGTGCGACGCCGAAGGCATAGCAGCCGGCGCCGTGAACGCGCACGTAATGAGCCCAAAGTCGTCCGACGACGTCGAGTGCACGTTCCAGCAGTCCTCGTTCGATACCGGCGGAGGCATATTGTTCCGGCGTGAAGTGCTAAAGACCCTTGTTGTAGACTGGTACAGCGAAGTCCGTTTCCCGACACCGTTCAAGGAGCCCTTCGGTGCGGCAGGCCGCATGTTCTCGGACTGGTAGCCCTTGCCGACGCGCTTGACACCGGTGGCGGCCATAAGGAAGCGGTCGTAAACGCCTTCAATCTTGCGCTTCTCCGGCGTTGACATTGGCGGTACGGCAGACATCGGTCTGGCGGGATACGGCTCAACAAGGCATGGCGATGTATTGAGATCGTCTGCGAACTGCACGGAGCGTCTGCGCTTGATGGAATTCGTAAAGTTGCTCAGGCTGACGCCGTCAGCTTTCTTCGCGGACGGGGGACTCGCGAAGAACATCTTGGGGTCAATGATGGCGGACAGTCGAGGGGATGGTGCCAACGTCATGGAGGGCTCTGCCAAAAAAAAAAAAAGGTAAAAACTGTGCATCAGCTATGTGCAATCGGGGTGATGAAGCCAAGAACACAAACCTGACGAGAGCTCCCGCTCAAGCGAGGCCACCGGCCGAATATGCCTAAGCAGGTTCCCCTGCGACATCGACTTCTCCGGCCTCTTGCTCGGCGTCCTTTCCACAGCCACGCCCGAGTCTGGAGTTTCGTCCAGCGCCTTCACGGCATTAAGCGGCGACCCGATCGTGTTCCGCCGTCTCCGTTGAGGCGTGCACGCCAACACGTTGATGACTGGCGAGCCCGTCACGGGACGCTGGGACACAGATAATGGTACAATCTGCTGCGACGTTTCGGTGTCGTTCGTGACATAGGCGGAGAACGTCGTGTTCGCGCTCATATCGACGCCGGCACGTGCACGCGTATCTGTGGGCGGCGACACAGGCTCGGGGCTTCCTGGCTCCATCGGCGCAAAGATCTGGTTCGCAGCGAGGATCTTCCTGGGTACGCGACTACCGGAGCGCTCGGTGCCATTCGCTTGCGACGAAGAGCGGGAGGGCAGCTTGAGGGGCAGGGGTGTCGGGGGTGTGATAGCGTTCGCGGCGAAGCCTTGCTGCGTCTCTCGGACGACCCCTAATTGAAACGCGGTGAGCATGACAAACTTGAGCATTAGAGGTTGAGACTCACTCTGGACATCGCGTATCCAGATAGTCATCCGGTCCATATCAGCGTCCTCCTCAGCCACTCGCGACGTCTCACCGTCACGGTGAACTTCCTCCCAGCTAAGCCAACCTTCGTCGTCCGAAGGCACAGGCTCATCAGCCAGAGCATTGGGTGATGACCGCTGCGACGACGCAGGACGGCCGCCGAACGCGCTAAACTGAGACGACTTGTACAGCCGCTTGCCTTTATCTATCCCGACCCATAAGCACATCCCATCCAAACCAAGAGAAAATCAATAGAAGAGTAAGAACGCACCAAAGGACGCCTTGAAACTTTGCTTCAGCCCCGTAAAGCTCGTCTCCAACGGGCTCGTAGGCTGACTCCTCGACGGTCCAGGAAAAACTGGCTCTTCGTCACAAATACTCGCGCGCCGACGCGAATCGGGATACACGCTATGCGGCCTCGACAGCTTCGGCAACACCGACTGCCTCGCCTGCGCCGTGCTCAGTTCTTGAACGGCAACCATAGAGCAATCGTTGAATGCCTCGTCGAAGAGCTCCATGGCTTCGGGAGTTGCAAACGTAATAGGCGCCCTATGACGGCAGCGCGCAGGCGACGACGGATCAACCACGAATCTTGCAGTATGCTCGAGATCCGTATCCTCGTCCTGGTCGTGGTCGAGGTCAGAATCGCGATCATCATCCTCGTCACTACGATCGCCTTGCATAGCTTGTTCACCAGCATCGACATCACTACCGCAGTGCGTGCCCGTGTCCGTGCAGCTCGTCGCGTCGCTCTCCCCAAGCATCTCCCTCATCCGCTCGCGCTCACGCTCCCAATCCAGCATGCGATCGCGCACGCTCTCCTTTCCGCGGCGCGGGTTGCCAGTGGCAAACGAGTGCTCGACAACCATCGAGTCCGGCTCCCTCTCCCTCTCCGCCTTCTCTTTTTCCATCTCCTGCGCAGCAACAACAACACCAGCCGGTGCCTCGTCCTCCTCGCTCCGCCGGGGCTTCCTGGTCTCTTTAGCCTTGGGCGAGACAGGCGCAGGCATCGTAAGCTCATTCACATCCTTGTTGGCAGTGAGCGGCCGTTTGACCTCCTTGCCCTTGGCGCCCGCCTTCGCGCGAGCGCCGGTGTGTGCGGCCAAGTCGACATTGTGCGCAAAGCTCGTCAGATCCGTGAGCACGCTCCCGCGTTTGCGCCTTGGCTTGTCTTTGGTGACAATGGCGGGGGTGGGGGTGCCTTTCTTGCGGCCTCCCGTCGTTGGCGCGGGGTCTTTGGCAATGCGGAACGCGTTGTCCTTCTTGCCACCGGAAGACAGAGCGTTTTCATTCTTAACTGGGGTGTTTTCGTCGCGCTTGAATTGGCGAGAAGGTTGTCGAGGGCCGAGGGGGCGTCGTGTTGGAGAAGCCATCGTTGGTGAAGCAAGTGGATGGGGTTTCTTCGGCAACGCGGAGGTCATAATGGGTGAAGGCTTGGCTGGAGTCGCGCCCGTGTGCACCTTGACGCGAGAATTGGCGGCCTGCATCTTGGGCTGAGAGGCAGAGCGAGAGTGTCCATGGGTGGCAGCGGACGCGATGCGCGTAGCTGTGATAGTGACCTTCGAGTTTTCCTTGTCCGCCTTCTTTGGCTGCTTCGTGTGCTTGGAAATCGCGGTCTTGGAAATAGGAGGCGTCGCATCACGTGTCCGCGTTTGCGACCGCGTCCACGGCAAAGAAATGTCCAAAATACGCGATACAGAGGCATCGTTGCGGACATCTCGGTTGGTAGCAGAAGGTGGTATGGCGACTCGCTTGTTTGGTACAGCAAGACTGACGGCTTTCCCTGAAAACGCATTAGCCTTCAACGTGGAACACCTATAATGATACTCACTGTGCCCGAGACCTGTCGGCTTCGCCACAAAGGTTGGTTCGCTCCAATACACATCTCTCGTTGCCTGCTCCGTATTACAGCGCAAGTCGGCGTTCGGCATAATCATGCGCCTCAGCAGCTTCTCTACAGACTTCGAAAACGACCACGTTCCCACCCATTCGCCGCGCATCTACGCCACGAGGCAGCAATTAGCGCGCGGCTCCGTACGGAATGAAACGGGCAAGGACAATTACCGTTCTTTCCCAGTACTTCTCGAGGTCCTCCTGCGTCTCAAGCGACTCGCCCTCTGCGAGCTCGAACGGCGTCCGGCCGACGAGGATCTCGAAAAAGGTGACACCGAGGGACCAGACGTCCGACTTGCGGGTGTCGTGAGCTATGCCCCGAGCCCGCTCGGGAGACAGATACTGGTGTCGTATTGTCAGTTGCCACGTAATAACTTATATAAGGCAAAAGCGCACCTCTGGAGTACCATATGTGAGATTGCTCTGGAAAGGATTGAGCTTGTTGCGTTGCGTTTTCTCTGCGAAGCCGAAGTCGACGAGAACTGGGACTCCTTCGGGAGATAAGAGAATGTTGGCAGGTCTTGGCAGGTATTAGCACATCTGAAGAAACAGGAAAAGAGGGACGCTTTTACTTGATATCGTTATGAACGACGCCTCGAACATGCAGAAAGTGAATGCCAGAGAGAAGCGATCGGAACCAATTCTTGGCTTTTGGTTCAGGCACTTCCACAGGCACGAGTCGGGGGAGGTATGGCCTAACCTGACTGTAAGGACACGTCCACAAGCGTCAGAATGGTAGGCTTACATGGTGATCATTGCCCGAAGGGGCGTCATAATGAACGAGTGAAACGGGACGATGGACGGATGTGGGTCATCCTTGAATGCGCTCACAATCTTCATCTCCCGCCATCTGTGAGGGCGGAGGGTTCAATAAAAAATGCCAGTGCGACTAGGTGGGACGCGCTTACAGAGACCTGAGCCGAGCAGCGTTTTCGGGTGTCTGGTCGCGGATAACAAGCTTGACCGCGACTGGCATGCCGACCGCCTGGTGGTGGGCATGTCTTGGATGTGCAAGCCAGACGCTGCCCCAGTTGCCGAAGCCTATCTGCGGAAAGGTGTCGGCGCCACGGTCTAACTATGTTTGGGGATGTAGATGTACCTCTTGAATAAACTGGAGGTAGTGAGCCACGCGGTCATCCGTGACGCGGTGGACATCGGGATGCTCGATATTCATGTCCATTGTGAGACGTTGCATAGTGAGACCTTGACGTGAGGTTGCGGAGTCTTGAAGTGTGTCTTGGGTCGGAAGGTGTTCCGAGTCTTGAAGTATAATATACACAAGCCAAGGAAACAAAGGAAGGAGGGGGGAAGGGGGGAAAGAGAAAAAGGGAGAATAAAGAGATGTCAGAGACGCCAAAGACGACGACTCCAGCGGGGAAGAACAAGTCCGAGTCGTTCTCCCGGTTAATGCAGATATCACACTCGAACACGGCTCAAACACCCACAAACAGCGCGTCTAGTGTGGCAAAGACGCGCTCCGAAAACGTGACATTCAATTCCTCCCACACAAACGCCTCATTGCACGCCCATTGCTTCCGAGCTCAAAATTAAAACAGACGTCACAGCCTCACGGGGATAGCCACAATAAGCACCGCCTCGTCAGCAGGAACACGCAGAAAAAAAGACAAAAAATACAGCCCACCGCGAGGGTCGAACTCGCAGCCTTCAGATCTCTAGTCTTAAAAGTCTGACGCTCTGGCCGATTGAGCTAGGCGGGCCTTTTATTCATGGCTCGAGAGGGCGCATATGAGGTAAGTGCCCAAAACACCCACGATCTCTGTCGAGACCCCTGTCAACTTCCAAGCCGCTCTCCCGGCCCCGCGTTCCATTTTGGGGCCCACAAGCATAAACTTATGCGCATTGTCCCTCTCCTCTTCACCTGCAATCCATCTGCATCACATCCTCTCTTTCGAGAATAAGCCCGTAAGCTGTTTATTCTTAGCGGTTCTCTAGTACCTCTAGGCTCCCATACAACGCTCTTTGGAAAACGTTGCTGGATACCCTCCCGGGGTCTTTCAGTACTTTGACGCTCTAGCTTGCTAAGATCACCGGGACTGGCCACCCTTCTCGTACAGCAGCCACGGTCTGCCTGTACCACCCCCCACACACGTGGACCCACACGCTCTTTCCCCCCGCATTCCATGGCTGCTCCTAGTGCTGGTGCCATTTCGCGAGACCACTCACCCACACGCAGACTTGTCCCAAGTCACCCCAGTCGCATAAACGCGATCGCCTTCTTTCCGGAGAGCGAACGCCTGGCGAGCGCCAGTCAGGACGGGGATATCTGCATATGGAACGTCACAACTGGGGAGGTCCTTGGTGGATCATCGGGAGCAGAGTCCGAGTCTAGCATGGGACAGCTGAACACGATTGCAATAGCCCCTGACGGTCAACGCGTCGCAGCAGGAGGGGAGGGCAAGGTGGTGTACATTCTCGATGCCATCTCCGGGAAGAACCACTGCTCGCCATGCACTGGGCATACGGGCAGCATAACGTGTGTCGCGTTCTCCCCTGACGGCTCTCGTCTCTTGAGTGGTTCTGCGGACGAGTCTCTGCGCCTCTGGGACCCCATCAGTGGGAGGTCTATGTCGAGCCGAGGGCTTTGGTTTACACAAAACGGCGAGATAACATCCATTGCCTACTCTCCTGATAGCAAGCGCATTGCAAGCGCTTCCTCCACCGGATCTCTAATTATCTTGGACAGTCGAACGGGCGAACGTATATCAGAGCTGGTCGACTCTCAGGCTCAATATTCACCCATTTACTCCTTGGCTTTTTCAGCAGAAAACGTCCTTGCCTCAGCGCGGGACCACAGCATTATCCTGTGGCAGGACGGTCTGAGATATATTAACGGGCCTCTCGACGGCCACACAGGCAGCGTACGTTCGATCGCATTCTCCACTGACGGCCACCACCTCGTCTCTGGGTCCGACGACTGCACACTGCGCATATGGGACGTCGCCACGAAGAAAGAAGTCGTCGCTCCGCCTCTTCACGCCCACGGCCGCACGACGCACGACGCCAGCCCCGTCTCGAGCGTCGCGATCGCGCCGGATGGCAGCTATATTGCCAGCGCTTCCTCACATGACGGTGACAATGCTGTGTGTTTGTGGGCGCTCGTGAGTATCCTCGCTTCGCTTCGAGTCCTCGACCACGCCTCGTCCCTGGTCGGGACCTTATTGTGCGATTTGAAAAAAATTGAAGTGACAACGTGTGCAGCCTTCGATCGTCGGCGCCGGCGCCGGTGACAGCGCCAGCAACTCCGCTCAGGCTGGACAACAAAAGAAAAAACCTGCTGTGGCTCGGCTGTCGAGTCTTTCGTTTGGCGACGTGCCACAAGTAGACGACGATCCAGTTTGCCAGGTACGGCTGCTTCCTCCTTTGCTGCAGTCCTCCACCTCTTCCGGCTAACCTCGCGCTTGACACAGGACGCCCACGTCGAGTCACCTATGAGCGAAACGCACCAGGCAAGTTCGGGATCTAGCTCGGACACAGCGCAAGAAGAACCGCGTCAAAGTATGCTCATGAAAGTGTTCGGTCGTGGCAAGCAGTCGGACAAGTCCAAGGGCAAGCAGCCAGAACGACCCAAGTCTCCCGAAGACTCTCTAGTAAATCCCCTTCCTCGTTTTACTGCAGATTTTTTCTAACGTTGATTAAGCCCGTAAACATGGTTGGCGGCCGACGCCGCGGTGGCCTGGTGCCCGTCAATGCGCCGCTGCGACGGTTTACGAACCCGGAAGTCGAGGATGCGGACTTGAGCGACGATGTTTCGTCTGGCATTGAATCGTCGGAACCAAGCGAGCATGGATTTGTGGAGACTGTGTGCTGGTGTTTATGCTTCAGTGCGAAAAAGCGGCCTGCTCGGTAACCCTTTAATCGAGTCGATCATAGTACTTGAAGATTTTGCAATTCCCCTTATAAAGTGGCCTCTTAGAGGCCACCTACTTTTTTGTTGTCGGAGTTTTGGAGCAAGTATCCTGTACACGATCCTGTACCTAGCTTTAAAATTGTTCACCTGGCTGGGACGTCAAGCGTATGCCTCGACTATTGTAGCAGTTGTGACCATGAGCATAATTGACGCTACAGTCACTAGTCGCCCCCACACGTAGCAGCCAACCTGGTAGACTTCGGACCGGGAGTCGAAAATTCGAACTTCGAGTGGTCTCACATCACGTGTTTCACCGCCTGAATCGGATGTTTCGTTCGTGGGCTAATCCGACGACGACCTCCGCTTGCTGACGAAGTCGCACAGTACTGGGCTCGGCCCTGATTGTTCTGCGCTCTTTCATAACTAACTTACGGAGCATCTTCTCTACCCTTCCTCTGTTTATATTTTTTTTCTGGCTGCTGCTCTCCTCGACTTGACCTGACTTTATGTCGGACATCGTTGTGGTGTCCCGGGAGGAAGCCGGGAGCCAGTCGCACTCTCGCATCAATGCGACGAGGTCCCAGCTCATGGTTCTCGAGGAGGCGTTCCCCGAGCGCCCTGAAATTTCGGCCCCTGGCAAGGTGTTCACAAACCAGAACTATTTTCCGTCGGACGAGAGGCTCGAGGAGCTCGCAAAGGAGACCGGACTGTGAGTTTTTCTTCTTTCCTTCCATTCTTACTTCGAACTTGCGATTTTTAATTTCTGGCTTTTACCACGTGCTGACTTTTTTGTTGTTTCTTCTTCTTTCGCTCATTTTGAATCGACAATTCGACAATAAGGTCGACGTCTTGGATCGCACGATGGATCCAGCGTCTGCGGTGTAAACGGAAACGTAATCAAGAAGAGGAAGACAGGAAGGCCAGAGGACAAAATGGGTCTGCCTCGGTCACATCTGAGCCGCCTCGGAAACGCAGACGGAGGAAAACACAATTAATGGACGGGTCCCTCGAAACTACACCACACAGCATCAGCGCCAGGGAGCATAATCCACGAGTCGTGTCCGTCAAGGAGGAGTCGCCCCAGCCGTGTCCACTCGCGCCGCTGCCGCAACCGTCGCCGGCGCCGCCCTCCTCGGCCGCGAGGTATGCGCCTTTGCTGAGCAAAACCGCGACACTTTTTATACCGCATTCTGCACCACTTCGCGAAGACTTCGTGCCCCGCCTGCGGCCTGCCGTCTGGCCATCTTTCGACGACTCCGACGACCCCGACGTCTCGCCCCCTGGATCTCCTATCACTCGCACTTCTGCCACGCGCAACAAGAACACCACTACCGATTCCTCAGCTTCGCCTTCAAAACTTGCATCTCCTTCCCGCAGCACATCCCATCAGAACGGCAGCACTGGCCCCAGCACCAGCCTCAACAACGCTTCTTCTTCGACCCCAAATCCGCCTTTAGCATCCCCAGCCCGTAATGACCGTTCGTCTGCCGCATCTCCTGCCCCGTCTTCCACATCCACATATGTTACGTTTTCGAACAGATTCCATGGCCACAAGTTCAACACCCAGATAAACTCTCCAAGTTCTCCCGCCCCCGCTGCCCTCGGCGCTCCTGCCTCGTCCGCTCGCCCCCGCAGCCGCACGGACCCGCCCCATCCCCACTCGCCGTACACGCCCCTGTCCAACTCCAACACGCCCCCGCTCAGCTCGCTCGCGCCCACATCGCCGCCACCGCCACCGCCTCCCGCGACCGCGACCGTGGCTAGCCCCGGAAGCGGTACTGGTGCCGGCGAGGACACCGCCGGCTCCGTATGCCCGATGGCGAATCTGCCGCAGCATGATTTGTCGCGCAACTGCTCATTATGTGCCAGGCACGGTCGACACCACCGTCCTGGTCACATATTTGCGGGAGGAAAAGGCAAGGGCAGGCGCAGCCGCGCGAGCTCTTCTGTCTCGTACACCAACAGGAGTCCCCCAGCCGACGCGTCTGCGTCTCCATCTGCATCTGCATCCCGGGTGTCGTCAACGACCCCCAAGATCACTTTTTCGCGGCCCGCAGGTCTCCCCGCTGCTGCTGCTGCTGCTGATCGATCCGAGCAACACCCACAGCAGCAGCCAGACTCACGCGCAGCCTCCACGTCCGCCCCGTCTCCTGTGCCCCGGACCGTGCCTGGGCCTGAGCTGTTCAAGCCCAATGGAAACAGCAGCTCGGGCGCGCCCGTGTCCGGGGCCGGGCCGTCGCCGCTCAAGCCTCGCCGTGTCATTCTCAAGATGCCGGCCGTCGACAGTGCGAGCGTACCCCCTGCGCGTCCCCATTCACATTCACATCCTCATTCTCCGCCACGTTCGTATTCCGGGCGTCACAGCGATGCTTCGCCTGAGCATCATCACCGAGGCGGGCGGAGGAAGCGGCATTCGCAGGAGCATGTTCATCACCACCACCACCACCATCAACATCATCATAATGGGGCTGCTGCGGTGCCGCCGTCGCCTCCGCCACAGCTACCGCCACCGCCGAGACGGAGTCTGAAGAAGCTTCTAAATCCTTAGCATTGCCTTCTTCCATTCGTTTACCGTTTTTTCTTCTTTGTTTATTTTGACACCGCGCACCACACAGAGTGAATTGTGTTGCGCAGCTGTCGGTTTTGGTTCAGGCAGAGCGAAACTTTTGGCGCGACCGTTTTTTCTTGGACCGTTAGGGTCGCCTAGAGCAGTACTTTGCAGTTTAGAGAGGGCCTGTGTCGTCTCAACTTGGCCTCTTTCGGGCCATCTATGGTATTGGGTGTGCATGCAGCAGACTAGTTGTTGGAAGGAGGGCTAGAGACACGCGAGGGCCTACTAGGGCGTATGTTGACTGGTTCATGCAATGGTCCCAGTGCTCAGACCTGGACAGATGGATGGACGAGGATATACATCATACACACACATGCGAGGATATTTCATGGTGAGGTTATGGGCTACGTAATATTCCATGGTAGTGCTAGATGGGTGCGTTTGAGTAACACGGGGCTGGACAAACATGAGCGGTGGTAGCGAGAAATACCAAACCCCAGTAAAATGAACTGGACTGTCGAATGACGTGGTTTGTGGATCACGGGCGCAAGAGAAGTCGTCGGAGATCCGAAGGTGCGGCTCAATAGCTTGTTTGTATCTTTAGTTTAGTATTCGCAAGGTTTCCAGTAAGACTCGTCATGGCTTCGGCGGACATGCAGAAAAATACGAGTACGCGTCTTCTCGGGACGAACAGGAGGGCAGTCAGCTGGCCTGGTAGTTTGCAGGCCGGTGCCGGGTGGTTGACGTGCAATCACTGGGGAACGTCGTAAACGTGCGCGTATGGAAGGCGACACACCGAAGTTTCCCACGATTCCTTCCGTTGGTTTTTTTAAAGCTCTTGCTACTGACCGCCAAACGTCTACCTTCGCCTCCCCAGTTCAACTCTCCCTTATCCACTTCTCCCCTCCAAAAATGTCCCTTCCCCAGCCTGTTCCCCCCTCCTGGAAGGTTTGTCAATGTCCTGCTATTATATCTCAGACATTCCATTGAATTATTTCTGTTATTCTTCTAGGACCTCGGCAAGTCCTCCAACGACCTGTTGGGCAAGGACTACTACTTCCAGACCACCTCCCTCGAGGTCAAGACCAAGACCCCCTCGCACGTCACCTTCAAGGCCGCCGGTCTCCAGGACAACAAGTCCGGCGCCGTCAACGCCGATCTCGAGGCCAAGTACGCCGACTTTAAGAACGGCCTCGTCTTCACCCAGGGCTGGACCACCGCCAACGTGCTCAAGACCCAGCTCGAGCTCGATAACTACCTCGCCAAGGGCCTCAAGCTCGACGTCAACACCTCCCTCAACCCCGAGAAGGGCAACAAGGGCGCTCTCCTTAACTTCATCTACAAGCAGTCGGGCGTCCACACCCGTGGTGCCCTCGATGTCTTCAGGGTACGTCACTTCGCTTCCGCGTTTCTTGCACCTGTTCGTGTTCGCTGAACGTAACACTGACAACTCACATGCACAGGGCCCGACCTTCACCGCCGACACCGTCTTCGGCCGCGATGGCTTCCTCTTCGGTGCCGAGGCCGCATACAACGTGACCGAGGGCCGCGTCTCGCGCTACGCGACCGCCATCGGCTACAACGCCCCCGAATACGCCGTCACCGTGCACGCCCTCAACAACCTCAAGACCTTCTCCGCCAGCTACTACCACCGCGTCAGCCCTGACGTCGAGGCCGGCGCCAAGGCCGTCTACGACACCAAGGCTACCACCCCCGGTGTCGCCCTCGAGGTCGGTGCCAAGGCGTGCGTATTGATTTTCTCTTTCCTTATGAGATTTGTGCTGACGAACAATTTAGCTACCTCGACTCTGCCGCCTTTATCAAGGCCAAGATCAACAACTCTGGTGTCCTTGCTCTCGGTTACACTCAGGCTCTCCGCCCCGGTGTCAAGGCCTCCTTCGGTATTGCTCTCGACACCCAGCGATTGAACGAGATCGCCCCCTCAGGCCCAACCCACAAGGTATGCTCCTTTCTTCCCATGCCTGTCCAACTTCAGCTGATTACTGTGGCAGGTTGGCGCTCACGTCGTCTTCGAGTCTTAAGTTTCGGGATAGAGCCACCTTATGTTCTAGATAATGTCGCAAATAATGATGTTCTTGACATTCCTATTATCTTCATGCGGACATGACGTCACGTCTCGCGACCCTGTTCCTGGAAAATGAACAACCCTCGGCACGTAGCGTGGCAGGTTGGCTCATAACGCGAGAAGAGGACAAAAATTTCAACGTATTTCATACAAATGGGTCTACATTCTTCTGATTTAAGAGGTGTGCTTCAGATGAGTCCACGGATAAGGTCGTAAGAGACAGGAAGACGCGGAGAGGAGATATCATCAAGCGAGACAAGACTCGATACGTGAAGATACGGGACAACGGGAACAATGGTGAAGCGTAAGATAATGGGATCGCACAAGATCGCGTTCCATCAGCGTTTACCGGCCACGGGTGATCCTCTCGAGGACTATACGGCGGTGGTCAGCGATGCTTTGATGTAACTCGGCTGGACTCACCAGCTTCCTCGGCCACTTCGTCAAAGGCAGTCGCCTGGATCTCGATCTGGATGCCGTCAAGGGCTCGGCGGAGAGCGTCCTTGGAGGAGGCGTACACCATCTTCTCCTTGATCTTGGCGTCATCGGGGGACCTGGACGAGAGGAGGCGCGTGTGTGAGTTCCGCGATCAGGACAAGCGAAGCGAGGGCATAGGGAGCAACCGAAAGCAGCAGATCGCACGAAGAGAAACAAAACGCCAAAAAAAAGACGCATCACAGTATAAACCACGCACCAGGAGTAAAAGACAAGCTTGTTCCTCTGGCCCTCGCCCTGGTCGTACTGGAAGTCGAACACGGCCCAGCGGCAGTGCGTCTCGGGCAGGGCCTTGACGAAGCTGTCGTAGTCCTGGCCGGTCTCGGCGGTCTGCGCGACGACGATCTCCGTCAGCTTGTCGTTGAGGGAGAAGAGCACGTATTTGAGCGGGCTCTGGCCCGACTTCTTCGCGGACGTCGGGTTCTTGAGCGCCTGGTAGGTCGACAGACACGCGGGGTCGACGGAAACACCGGAAGCCTGCGTGTTTTCGCCATCGTCAGTGTCGGCACGGTTGGGTTGATGTAGAGCCTAGTGGAGTGAGTGGATAGATGCGCACCATGGGTGAATGTGGATTGGGTGGAAGGGGAGGGTACTAGTATGAAGGCGCTGGAGAGACCTGACCTGCCTTTGTGCAATCACGATCTACGAGATAATGACAGCGGGGCCACGGCATTTGCCAGCTCCGACCCAAATCTGATTGTCTTCCTTCCTCCACTTGCCCGCTGCCCCATGCCCGTGCCGCAGTCGCAGTTCTCCGTCTCTCCGCAGGCCGAAGCACACTTGGCTAGTTTCTCTCGTCACACGACAAGCGCATGCATCGTTTCTATATTTTCTCCACATGCTAATTATCCCATTAAAATCTACGTACAAATCACTCAAACACCTTATCTAGCCACTGCTCGTAGTCGTACTGCGGCTCCCCGACCTCGTTCGTGCTCGTCGGCATTGCCTCCCGCAGGTACTCGATCGCGCTCGCAGGCAGATGCGCCAGCCGCAGGTCCAGCTCCGTTACATATGGCTGCGCGTGCGTGGTCAGCTCTGCGCGGCCATGCGCATGTACCAACTAATGGCTACGCACCTTGTCTGCCGCTATACCACGGAACGCCTCGCGCAGCTGTTCTGCTGATGTTTGATCTTCGGTAATGTCCACCTATAGAGAACTCAGTACAATAACAAGGGCGTAAGGAAGCTTGCGCACCAGAAGGTTAATAAAAGCCTCGAAAGTAATCGCGCCGTAGTCCTGAACCAGCTGGTCATAAATGTAATTCATATCTTCATCCTGGACAAGCAATCAATAACAGGCCTTCAAGAAAATCAAGTACGCGAGCGCTCACCGAGTACACGAGTCCCAAACTTGCAAGCGCAGAAGTCATTTGCGACAAATTAAGGACGTTGACCTCATCCTTGTCAAAGTAGCGGAATGCGCTCTCAAACTGCTCAAGCTGCGCTGGTGTGAGGTTCGACATGTTCCTGGAGACAATCTACAAATAAAACGGGTCGACGACGAGCCCTTCACAAGGTGAAAAAACGCGACCACGCCACACCTGGTTGTCGATGAACTTGATCTTCTTCGCGATGCCCTGAGTGACAAGCCCGAGCTCATACTCCAGATCGTCAGCAGTGAATATGGTATAATCGTTCTCATCCACGTTTGCGGCATCGCATTGCCGCTGAACATCTACCACATGCTCGAGAGCTGCTGAGAGCGCGGGAAGACGAGTCTGTATCTTCTGTATTTGCTGTTGCTGCAGCTGTCAAGTTGGGCAAAAAGTTTCAATACCTATATTTACAGAAGTCGTCAGATTGTTTACCTCCAGAGGACCCTCTACTCCTGCCAGCTCGATAGATATAGTTTGCAATCGCTGATAGAAATCATTTGCGACGTCTGCAAATTCCTTTCGAAGAGACTCCTTGATTCTGCCTTCGTGTCAGTAGAGGGCCTTCAGGAAACACTGTAGGCTTACTGCCGAATCTGGGCATTGATAGCTCGTGACCGAGTAGCTTCAGATTTCAAAAGGACATTCCATGCATCGTCAAGATCCTGTAGTGGTGATCAGACTATGCTTCTCTCATGTCCATAGAAGCGCTTACAGCGAGACCAAGCCCTTGTGGTGGTATATACTCCCGGAGTCCATATGTCCGCAACTTCGTCTGGATATTGCCAAAAAGGGTTGATATGTCTTGCCGCTCTGCGACCCATCGACGTTTCGTTGTTTGTTTGTAGGCGGTGAATAATGAGGATTGTTCTTTTGCGTCGACATAAGTCCCTTTGAACTTGCTGGCTCCCCACTGTTCTTGCACTTCCGTGATAGCCAGAAGGAACTGCCCAAAGTATCAGTATGTTGGACGTCCCGAGTTTTCTATAAAAGGCCAACCTCTCGAGCTCTTCGCTCATAATCATTCCTGCTCGCCCAAACAGATTGCATCAACTCTGCAAACTTCTCCACTCGCCTTGCCACTGTTTCAGCTTGGTCTAAGAAAGGTCCGGTATCAGAGAGAAGTATGTTCATGCCGGTGAATACGATCACTTGCCCATCGTAGAGAATGCATGAAAGTAACAAGCAATGTAAGTCATCACACTGCGCTCATCGGGTTTCGCAGAGTCACAAAGATCTTCGACTTCCAGCAATTGCTAGTGGGGTAGAGGTTCTAGCATTCATCAAATATATAATAACCATAGGACTAACGGGGATGTTCAGGTGTTCAGCGGCAACCTGGAACGCTAGCCGTGTATTACCGTAGCGGTCCGACTAGACATTGGTCAGTCAAAATACGTGAGGTACCTGAGAATGCCGTACTTCACCTTGTCCAGCTTGTCGTAATCCAATAAATCCGGGCGATGTCGGTGAATCAAAGCACAGCTGGTTGTAATTTAGTGGGCTTGTCCAACACATCTTGTGGCTGGATACGCACAGAGCAAGCCCATCAGACCAGCTTAACGAGAAATCTTCGACATCGACTTCCTTGTATGGCTCGGTCTTCCGCTGACACCAGAGAAGCAACCCTTCTTTCGCGGAAAGACCCTCTTCGCTAGGCCGATTTGAGTGGTATGCGCACAATATTAAATGTGAGGACATACTTGATATCCGCAATGGTGAAGCGCAAAACCAATGTCCAAATCATTCCAAGAATAAGTTTCAGATTGCCATCTATGATGTCTACACGCAAGTCAGACAAGCAAGCAGATGTCCGTGTTCAGGATTATGCGCACCTTCCGGACCGATATTCGTAAGCTTGACACCTCTCTGTCTGATGAACTCGAGCGCCGTGTTCACGTTCTCCGCCTTCTGTATACGCATCCTCGGCACCTTGTTGTACCGACCCAGCGAGGTGTCTCCTACAAGCAACACGATACGATGTGCGTCAGCATGATTGTTTCGCGCCGATGATGAGCGCATTGACCCATGATTTCCTACCGGAGACGTACGGATGAGTTTCAGAGCATAGAGACGCGCCAATCGGAGCGTACCATGAGCTGGATCAGCCGGACGCCGTCAGAGAGATCCTTAACGAGGTTGGACATGGGAGGATAGCCGGCTGCCTCCAGCTTGGTGTTGAGCCTGTATGCGTAAAGTCAGCAAGTGCTCTGAGCAGAACAACACACCAAGTGCCGTACCATTTGCAGAACGTCCTTTCTTGAGTTGAGTCCATTTGTGGGACTTTGGGTTGATGGAAGCGGGGACAGCGTCTAGGGAAAGATGGAAATAGGCGATATTATATTGTCTCGTAGCAGCCTTCCTCTGCCTAACAGAACCAAAGGGGATCGACCGGGTGATGCTGTACAGGAGTGAATTGGGCTTGGACAGAAAGTCAGCTAATGCGAATGTAGTGCTAGCGGAAGGGACTCGGATGGTAAGCCCAATCAAGAAACGCGCTATGTAAGACCAACTATGTAAGAAACTAAAACGCGCCTGGTAAATAAAGTCCGTCCACGCGCGTCTCACCTGCTTGATCCCGATCCACCAACCCTTTCCCTTCCCTCTCCTTCGCATTCGTATTCAAAAAGGCTTTTAGCGAGCGATGACCACCGAATTTGAACACGTCTACCATGGGCTGTCCTCAGAAGTTGGCAGTGCGTAGCTTCGCCCACTTTAACTTCACTACAGTGGCTTAACGTGTTGGCCCAAAGAATTCCGTATAGCTGCCAGTGGAATGGCCTGGAAAGGGGAGGAAAACGAGCAGGTTCACGCTATTCCGTCAGGGGACATCAAATGGGCCCAGTGGTACCGCGTTGCCCGCAACTTCCAGCTTCGAATCGGCCTCAAGGATCGTTCGAGGGAGGTGTTCGATGGATTCGTGCGAGAAGTTAGTTAACATTCAGCTTGCGTCACCTATGCATGTTCTAACCTGGGAGCTCTGTAGGATCACGACAAAATGGCTGGTCTCCTCAAGCAGCACTTTGGCGTAACTCTGGAAGTCAAGGACGTGACGTTCAAGGGCTGGAACTGGGGTGTAACAGATATCCAGGGTATGTTCCGAGTTCAGCCAGCACAGGAAGGCATCGACTTAGACCCCGTTCAAAACCAATAGGCCAGGACCTCGCATTCCTCGTTTCAAACAAAACATCCTTCGAGCTACCCCTAGGCCAGGTAGCCAACTCGAACATCGCCGGCCGCACCGAGGTCTCGCTCGAGTTCACTTCCTCGTCCAACCACGGCAAAAAGTCGCGTAACGCACCAGACGAGATGGTCGAAATCCGGTTCCACGTGCCTGGGACGTCGACGCGAGTCAAGGGCTCCGACGCGGGGTCGGATGTGGAAGAAGAAGAGGAAGAAGAGGAAATGAGCGCGGCTCAGGTATTCCACGAGGCCATCAAGGAGAAGGCAGACATCGGCCAGGTCATGGGCGACTTGGTGCTGAGCTTCGACGATGTCCTGATCCTTACTCCACGAGGTCGGTATGACCTCGACATGTTCCTTGATTTCCTGCGGCTCCGTGGTAAGACGTACGACTACAAGATCTCGTACTCGAGCATAGCGCGTCTGTTTTTGCTTCCCAAGGACGACCTGCATGTTTTATTCATTGTGAGCCCAGGATGACTCTCTTTTCCTGTGACATCTTTAACTCGTGATTCGCAGCTCGGCCTCGCGAACCCCATCCGGCAAGGCCAGACGAGATATTCATATCTCGTCATGCAGTTTGCAAGAGAGGAGGAGACGACGGCTGAACTGAATATGGCCGAGTAAGTCTGAATGACTGTTTCCGGTGCTACGTATTCACTTTTGAAAAGGGAGGACATCGAGAAGTATGACCGACTCAAGAAACACTACGAAGACCCTACATTCGAGGTCGTTTCTGGCGTCTTCCGCGCCCTGTCACAAAAGAAGATCATAGGCTCGGGCAGCTTCCAAAGGTTAGCCATCTTTTCTCTAAAATCATTTGTGAAGTCACCTTACCTGAATTTGACAGCCGAGCCGGTCTCCCAGGCATCAAAGCGAACCTCAAAGCCGTTCAGGGCGACCTCTTCATGCTCGAGAAATACATCTTCTTCGTCTCGAAGCAGCCCACGCTCATCGAGCTCGCCGACGTGCACCAGTGCGTCTTCTCCCGCGTCGGCGCGAGCATGGGCGCGACCGCCGCGCGCACGTTCGACCTCAAGATCGTCACCAAGTCCGGCCCCGAGTACACGTTCACGTCGATCAACAAGGAGGAGCACGAGCCGACCGAGGGGTACCTCAAGGACAAGAAGATCAAGATCAAGAACGAGATGGTGCCCGACGTGGACATGATGCTCGCGGCCGGCGGCGTGGACTCGGATGATGACGAGATGCAGAGCGTGGCGAGCTCCGGAGACGAGCGGCCGAAGCCCAGGCTGGGGGCGGAGGACGAGGACAGCGAGGAAGGTTAGCCATCCCTTTGCTAAAAAAAAAAAACTTTGGGAGCAAGAGTCTTATGTTCTTTGTGCCATGCTTTAGACGAGGACTTCCAAGCCTCCTCCACAGACGAAGGCTCGCCCTCTGACACCGAGTCGGACTCGGACGGCGGTGGAGGCGAGACAGCCTCGGACGCGAGCGGCGACCGCGAGCTCGCCTCCGCCGCCAAGAAGGGCAAGAAGAAGGTCGTCAAGAAGAAGAAGGCGGGTGAGGACGGCGAAGCCAGTGGGAGCAGCAAACCCAAGAAGGCGAAGGCCAAGTCCAAGGACAAGACCGGCAGCGACGCCGAGGACAACGACGCCATGGACGTGGACGAGGAGCCCAAGGCGAAGCCCAAGCCAAAGCCTAAGCCAAAAACCAAGACGCGCGAAGACGAGGATGGGCCGGCTAAGAAGAAACTCAAGAAGGCGGAGGACTGAGGTGTAGTTACCGAGTATCTTCGGTTCCCTTGATATTATATATCCATTGTAAATTGTTAGACATCTTGCCTCTCGATCGCAGCTCTCGTCATCTCACTATGCTATCCGCGACTGAAATTTATGGCTCTTTTTATTGTATAATCCTAGGTAGTATGCTGTGAGTAATGAACGGAAAAGAATGTGGGTGCACCGCGTGGCCGTAGGAATGTGTGCGTCTATCTATGTAAAGTCTAATCATACAGCTGGAGATACATCGACATGATGGATAACAGATGAACAAGGAAGAGAAATGAGACAGAGAAAGCAAGATTAAACAATTAAAAGGTGTATAAATACTCCACAAGGGAGGAGCCACGGTTGCACAATATAAAATGCGCACCGGGATGAATGGAGAGGTTGAGGTAATCCCTTTGATTATTCCGATCACCGTTTTGCCAGCAGAGAACCCGGCTCAAACGCGACGGCCGTAGGAGTAGCCGATGAGAAAGGAGCAGACACTTTGACGAGGGGTTGGGCGGGTCGCGTGGCGGAGGACTTGGTCCGCGAGCGAGTCAAGGGGAGAGATGATGATGGTGGGACGGGCGGAGGGGCGGACAGGGTATGTGCCGTCTTGGCGAAGAGGATGTTCCTCTCCTGGTATAGAACGTACGACTGCAGCAAGCAATCAGTAAATCTAGGCACAAAGAAAAACGGAGAGGAGCCGGTGACGCACTCTAGCCACTAATATGGCCTCCATCCACTTTTCTCCGTCCTTTTGATTACAAGAAAATACATGCAGATAGTCCGATGCGTCCTCAAATAGTGTGAGATTATCCGTTGATTTGATGGCGAATACAAATGGTTTGGGCGACTTGTGTCGGCGGGTAACGTAGTAGGCGTCGAAGTTTGAAAGAGAGCAGAGGAACACCTCGTCTTTGCCCTAGAATTAAGATATTAGCAAATGTTATTCGTCACATTCAATATGGGCACGTACGGTGTCGCGCTTGGAGAGCCACAGGCTGTGCTCCCTAAGCTCAAGCCAGCGTTTGGACCATTTGCCCTTCTTACTCTCCCATTCGACCCAACCACGGTATTTGGGAGAGGATGTTGGTATATTCTGTTGTGATATTAGTACCTGGAATCGATTAAGTGACTGGAGAGAACTACTGACAGCTGAGCTTAGGGCAGCTGCCATATAAGATGGTTTAAGCATGAAAGCGTTGACCATCTTATCCTTATTCCATGCAGAGGTGACGTCGGACAACAGCTCATAGCTGCGTATCGGTCGCTCTGCGTAACAATATCAGCACATTAGCGAATCTGACCTACACTCACAACCACTCACCCATGCCAAAGTCCTGAGCCATCTCCCACAACATCCAACCAATCGCCGCTTTCTCAAGACCGCCCTGCTTGTTCACCATAGCAATCACATCTCCAGCAGTCGAATCCTGCGCGACCTCCACCATATTGAACCGCTGCAAATCGCCAATGAACACACGCTGCTGGGACGTGATCGACCGCGGCACGGCTTGTTGCGCGATTGCAGGCGGCAGAGGCGGCAACGGCGGTCGCGCAACCGGCTCCAACGTCTCCCTGTCCCTCTCAGCCGACACCCGCGCAGACGCAGCTCGCCGCAGCTCTTCGCTCGCCCGCGAAGCCCCAGCTCCGTGCGCGAACCGGTGCCCGCCAGCCAATGGCGGCGGCGGGGCTATTGGAGCTGCGTAATCGGCCGTTGTTGCGCTTGCGACCCTCTCGGGGCGGTGGAACGAGCGCATCGAGCGCAGTGACCGCTCCCCGGAGGTGGCCGTCTCGGTTGAGCGGCGGCTGAGGATAGATTCCATGTTCGGGCTCCGGGACCGGACATCAAGCGGCTTCGTCGTCTTGAACACGTCCTTTTCAAGAGAGCTGCTGTTGTTGCTCTGGGACGCCTGGACCTGGAGCAGCTTCCTGGCGAGATCAGCGGGGACGACGCCATCGGGAAGCTGGGGTGTGGGTGGTTGCGAACGCGTAGGCTCCCGTCTCAACGACCTTGAAGTCGCTGCTAACGAGTGGGAACGTTGGCGGCCATGGGGTTGAGTAGGTAGTGGCGGGATGGCGGAGTTGGCCCCACGGCCAGGGGCTTCGGCCGCTTGACGGCCTCTGGACGCCGCACGGTCAAGACGCCGCTGCTGGCGCTCATCACGGACCTGCTTGCGTATCGACTTCTGAGCAGTCAGCGCGCCAGGTATTTGCCGGGCGAGGGGGACCTCATCCTCATCAGAATCTTTAGCAGGCGCCGGATGTTGATTTGATTGAAGCCGTGATGAGACCAGCATGGCGGTCGAGTTACCATCAGCCGTGTAATACTCCGTGCCGTTGTCGCCTTCGTCAGCAGATGAGGAGCTGGACGAGGAAGTGGACGCCGACCGTCGTGGGGGGCGTGGGGACGGTGCGTCCGCGTTTGGCCGGCTTGAATGCCGCGCTGGGTATGAACGGCCGCCATGTGAGACATTCGTCCGTCGGGTATCTCCACCATTGAGTCGCTCATGTCCGCGTTGCTCGCGGTGCTCGCCGCCCTGCTGCGCCAAAGATGGCCGTCTCTCCCCTAAATCCCCTCTGCCCTCCTGCCCCGCGCGCACCGCTCCGCGTTCAGCATCTAGAGCCCGGGCCTGCGTAGGACCAGCGTGGGAACTGTGAGGCACGACACTAGACTGCGCTGCATTGTTGTCGTCCCTTGATACATGGTCTGGTGAATGGACTGCGCGATATGGTGCCTTCCCCGCATGCATCGCCTTTGGGGAGCGGATGCCCCTGGGGACAGGTTGAGCGTCTGGGTCCGAGGGGTCGTCATCGTTGAAATTCTGGGTGTAGTAGTCAAAATCGGAGTGGTAGTCGAGATCATCGCGGGCGTCGTCGGCGGGGTAGTGGGTGTGCGGGGCGTTGCCATGCATGTCGACGTTGAAGTTTTCGAACAAGCTTGGATGTGCGCTGCCGTTAACGGGCATGTTGTTTTGATCAGACCACGTGGTGGAGGATATAGATGGGGAGCGTGAGAGCGCGGTTGAGGAGGGCTCGGAGGCAATAGTGCTCGTCTGGCTCAGTGAAGGCAGCGAGTCGACGTCCGTGTCCTCTGATTCCGCCGAAAGCGAGCGGCTCATGCACGTTCCTGTGGCGTCTCGAGGGAGCGGATGAGTGTCCGAAATATCTTCCGTAACAACCACCTCCGAGGTTTGTGGCGATTCCACCACGGTTTCTCCGGGTTCCGCGGTGGGAGGCTCGGACGCGTCAGTTGCCTGCTGCTCTTGTGACACCGACATAGGGAGGCTTGGTAATGGAGGTGATGGCTGTTGCAAAACGTGTTGGGGAAAATTCGAATTTGACGGGGTTGTGCTCCGCGACTGTGTCAGGTTATGCAGGTCGTTCTCGTCCAGATTCCACGGTTCGTGGGGTAAGCGCGCTCCAGGTCGGCCCGCGCGAATCTAGGAACAAAACGTGGATCAGCCAGATCAAGGTCAAGCGATACTTCCGGCCGCACTACCTTGCGAGGCGCAGCAACGTTCATTTGCGCCAGAGTGGACAGAGAAGGGAGGGATGGGCGAGGTGTAAAGGCAGGCTTCTCTCTTGCAGGGCGGACATGGCCATAAGACTTTGGCCGCTTCGGAGGAGGTGCATAGTGAACAATCAGGGCGGCCTCGGGGAGGTAAGATGTCGGGCTGCTGACGAATGTTGGTGTACCGGAGAACACGTCAGATACTTCGGGAACGGAGGTGCTTATAAAGGAGGAGGAAGAGGAAGAAGAGAGGTTGGCGAAAGGATCATCGTCCAGCAGAGAAGACTCTTCTGCTGGGACTGGGATATCCGTCAACTTTGGGTTCTCGAAGTAGTCGGATCCATAGACCAAATTGTTGCTTGATACGGACCGCTTTATCCGAGGTGCTTTGAGGTGCGGGGGAGAAGAGCTAGGAGAAGTATTGAAGGAAGACTTTGTTAAGAGAGCTTGAAGAGACGGACGCGTCTTCAGACTACGAGTTGGAGACTTGAGCGCGTCTGATTGTTTGACGGTAATTGAGGGATCGTCCGGAAAGGAAAGTGTGGGGTTATGACCCTCCATGATTGGCAGCAACAAAAACAAAAGAAAGGAGTGAAGTTCCAGCGCAATGAAGAGCTGGAAGAGAGCGAAAAAGAAGAGGGAGGAAAGGTATGAAAAGGCGGGAATGCGGGGGCTGGGCAGATTAATGCAGTGTAAAAAGGTTAAAAGTGACTATAAGTAATTTGAAAGCGATTGATAAAGCTAAAGGATGCGATGGTAACGAGCTTGGCACGTGGACTGGGAAGTCAACTCCCTCGCTGATCGCGCCGCGGCCCAGTGGCAAAATCGTCATCTCAACACTCAACCGAACCCCCGACCAGCCTGGACCGCACAAAAACTTAAAACCCAGTCATGTTTTCGACATCCATCAGCTTTCCCCATCACTCGACAATACTCCTTAATGAACTATGACGCTGGCTAGCGGTCACCCATGACCAGAGCAAACTTCGTGTGTTTACTCTGAGACCAAACGCGACTGGATGCACGTTGTGCGGCACGGCAACGACAGAATGACAACTCTGACCGTTAATATGTATCCTCGTGGGATTACTATGTATGTGTAACCACGTCCAGCTTGCTTCACAGGTGCAGATTGGTTCAACCAATTGGCGCATGTAAAAAAATCTGAATCAGCAAGAACGTTGTCCAATGGCGGCTCGGAAATCTGCGATAGAATGGAACTCGCTGAGTGATACCTTGCCATCCCATGCGGCAACGAGCTCGGGCAGCTAGCGTTCAGTATACAAAGACGGTTACTACGTAATAACCACTGCAGGTCGAGTTTTGTCCAAACGGACATTCAAACCGCTTTGCTCCTCCGAAAATTTCTACGGAAGTTCTAAGTGCATATGACGTAGGTGGCCTGGGCATTTTGCATCCGGGTGATCTTCAGGCTCGAGGTCTCTGTCTGTGCGCCAGATGTGGGTCGTTCAAATATTGAGTTGGCGCCTGTTGGCGCCGAGAGCTGCCGAGAGCTGGAGGTTGCTTCTGAGTCCGACTCCACAAAGTGATCGATCCGAGAAGCCGACTCTAGGGCCTCGTGCGCAACTTATACCTTACCTTTGATTTTCTCTTCCACGCTCGGCGACGGCCCAGCACAATCCGCCTTCATATCCCAAACAGGTCAAGTCTGGTCAGACGCTGAGTGCATAGGACGGCTGCACGACTACAGTAGTACTTCCTTGTTCCCTGTTGGGTCCTTGTCCGCTTACGAAGGTAGACTGCCAAGCAGTGCTTCATTAGCGCCAGCCTATCAACACGTTCTTGTAACGTTGCGATCACCGCGCTGGCATAGACGGACATGCCTCGAGAACTGCCCGGTCTCTGGTGGGACGAGCAGCGGAATCGGTATTTCCCTCTCTCCGCCAAGCCCGCCTTGGTCTCGTCTGCCAGTGCTGCAAACACCCAAACACCCGGAATAGCCGCTGTTGCTGGCTCGGCAGCAACACCCAGGCATACGACCAATCGCATTGACCTGAGCAGGCGCGACAGACGGCTGCGAGCGGACAGCAGCTTCTGGGGTATCGAGTCGCTGAAACGTGCCCGCGATGCGTCGCAACGCGAGAGGATCAGACGGTGAGTGCCTGTTATCTCGTGATCTTTGTGTCAGATAAACGCCCGTTGGGTTGATAGCGCTGACATATCTAACATTTTGGGTACGTCAATGCATATGTCGCGATTATGATGCCGCCAGCCAGATTCAGGCCTCTCAAATCTGCCAAACATCGCGTGTCACGCGGACAGTGCTCCCGCTCCCCGACAATGTTCCATTGGCGTCTTTCGAGGTAGGCAGTGACAGAGCATTCGCGGCTGCGGTATCATTGACGGAACTTAATATTTCATCATAGACGACCAAGCGAGGTAGTAGAACATGGAGCTTTGCTGGAGACAGCCTCGGTTGGTTCTACTCCAGCAACGCGTCGGACGAAGATGATGTGTCAACCGCGTTCTCGAACGACTGGAAAGCCGAGTTCAATCTGATGTCTGAGGTAATGTTCCACATTAGATCACCTCAATATTAGAGAACATCAGCGCTAATGTCCGGACGTCCATAAGGTCTCGTCAATATGCACAGATCAAGACCTTTGCATGTGGGTTTGTTGCGCCAACACATTTGCATGCACATGCTCCGATAAGTACTTACACGAGCGGGCGGTAGAGCTACGGCATTCGGGCGCGAGTCAAAGATCTTGCTTTTTCCTCTTCGCGAGACATTTGTCGGGTGGGTGGTATGGCTGATCTTCGTGAAAATAATCCTGAGAACACGTACTTTTTGTAGCATCACCGTCCTGAAAATCAGCGCTAGGTATGTTCATGACATCCGCGCATCCAGCCTTCGGGGCGAAAACCTAGTCTTAGGTCTGCCCTTTATCTCGTGTAAGGGCGACTACACTGTCCTAAGCCAAGAGTACCAAACACAGGTGCCAGCGGCCAAGCTCTTCTCGTTAGCAATGTTGGCACGAGCCACACCTACACAAGTCTGCAAACCGGCAGCGACGTCTTCTCGTTGCTCCAGGATGAGGTTAGTATTCGCAGATTGTTCATCGACAAGCTCCCCGCATTTACGCGCTAGTACAGAACGTGGTATACACCGGCGCTCGGAACGGCAACATCCTGAGGTTCGACACGCGCATCGAGGGCTCCAAGCCGGACGACCTGTTCCGCAAGACCGGCCGTCACGGAGGCTTGACGTCGATCACGAGCCTCAACCGCGTTCGCGAGTGGCAGCTGCTCGTCGGCCAAATCGACGGAAGGGTGAGTGGCGCGCAGTATACACTACCCCTCCGTCGACGAGAGCTCACCGCCGTGTTTTCTCATTTTCAAGCTGGGGACGTTCGACTTGCGGTTCGTGCGATCCAACCACCCACTACTGACATACACGGGAAACGTGAATTCATATGCCATCACCGCTGTACGTGACACTCCATGTCCGTGTCATCCAGACTCACCGTGTTCTTCTCAATGCAGCCAGTTACCGTAGACCCACACGAAGATTTCCTGTTCGCAGCTGGACAGGACCGGCGCGTGCGCATATGGTCCGTCTCGACGGGCGGAAAGCCGCTCAACGACGGCATGCCTCCGTCGATGGACTCTCTGCGCCTGTTCCAGAGGGTGTACAGACATCCTATATGTGCGTTGAAAGCCGTGGCAGGCGACGGCGGCACCGGGACGTCATTGTATGTCGCCTCGGGGAGCGATCTCTGTGAGTATAACCTGGGGGAGTGTGTAGGACCTCGCGTATTTTAGGAAACACTGTATCATATCATCTGCTATGTTCATGGGGAGTCCCTCTGGCTGGACTTGCAATAAGATCGAATGTTCGAACTTGAAAGTAGAAAAAGAATGGCCTGCGCCCCTATTTGTCACAGCACGTGGCGCCGGCAGCTCTACACTCACTCGCCACCCAAGCTATCCCCAAACTTCCTCCACCATGTCCTCTCCCTCAGACAACATTGACACTACGTCCTCCTCGTCTGGCGAGATTCCCGCGCCCTCTCGTCGCCCCATCTTCAAGACAGAAACGACGGGCAACTACTGGTCGGACGTCTGGGAAGCCTTCAAGGTGCGTTTGAGCCATTAATGAGCACGGCCCCCCCGGCGGCCCACGGTCCGCACGCATGTGAGCAGCTCACAGACGTCTGAAGCTGTAGAGGCTGTCGCCGCGGGACGACTTTGAGCGCATCGGGGAGATTCCGTGTATGCGCACGAGCTTGCTGAACGGAATCGCGAGCGGGGCGGGGATCGGGGTCATCCGTGGGCTTAGCGCAGGTGTGTGTGTCTTCTCTGTCTCTGCTGGTCTCAGACCTCTTCGGTTTTCCGCGGAAAATGGTGGCTGAATGCTAAATGCGGCATTGGTAAAGGTGCCTTCGTCGCGTCCAACTGGGCGGTCGGCACGTTTATGGTGGTCGCTATTGGCTCATGGTGCGTTGCTGTCGTGTTTGTATGGTGTATTTATGTAGCAAAGCTCAAAGAAACTGTGTATAGGTCGGTGTGCCAGAACAATATTGTGGAAGAGCGACGTCAGTTCCAGCGCGTCGTGGAGGAGATGCCGAAGCGCTACGCCAAACAGGACACCAACGCAAATGCCGACTCTGGCAATAACACCCCCTCGCCCTCTGCGTAGAGCACATGGAATATGCCTGCTACGGCACAACTTCCAGTATGCGCCGCTATCCACGCCTACATTCAAACGTATAGTACATGATTCATGGTATTGGATTCTCAGATGCAGATGCGAAGGGTTATACACTAGATGGTTGATGTGTTCGATGGAGGGAGGCCCGAGTGGTGGGCCACCTAATAATACTTCCACACAGCCGCGTCGTAGTTCTCTACCAGGTCGGCATGGTCCTGTAAAAACCGTCGTTAATTGATACATTCCTACTCAGACTGATAAGCATCGAGAAGGGACTGGGCACCTTGTACCTCCGCTGCCACTGCGTGAACCCTCCCCGGAGGATGTACACTTCGGCTGGGCTTACCCCATCGGCCGCATTCCGGATGTTCTCGTAGTCCTGTTCGATGGGATTTCTTCAGTCAATACGAATGCCGATGTGACGTCACCACCAGCCAGATGTATGGCCGCTCACCCGAGCAGCCTTTGGTCCCCTGCAGAACGGCATCGACGTCAGATGATGAATTGGGAGATATCGACACGCAAAACCAAGCTAGACCGCAGCCGCGATAAAGCGCCGTGCCTGTGCTCACCTCGCCTGGCTCAGCGCGCAGTGGAATATCACGAGCGGCACGTCCTTTGTCTTGCTCACGAGGCCCTGCACGTTCTGCTCGAACTTCTCCGACGGGAGGTGGAACGAGCCCTTGATGTTGCCGCCCCTGTAGTCGGCGTCGCGCACATCGACGATCAGGTAGTCTGGTCGTCGGATTAATGTCCAGCGTAATGTCCACCGCGATGGATGCCGAGTGTACGAGGAGCCGGGCAGAGGGCGGACAAGATGGCAGGGAATGTCACGCAGAGATGTGGGGGCGACGGAATGGACAGAACATAGTCAAGTTAGCGATGTTGTTCAACAGCCGAGAGAGCATATGAGTTGCCTTTGCTAGGGACCTTGTCGCTCCGGATGATCTCTACGAGTTCCTGCATCGCACATCACAGTGGAAAGAGTGCAAGCGGGTGAACATCTCTGAGCAGGCTCTGAACAGGCATCTGTGAGCGTACCTCGCCAGTGACGTATTGCACCATCTTGGGTGTGCTGGTGTGAATATGGCGCTCGAAGATGAAAGTAAATGGTAGCCGGGATGTTTGTCGAGCGGTTAGGGCTCGGGGAAGCGGAACACGCATGGATTGAACGATCGAACAGCTTCCGAAAGACGTCAGTTTGAACATCCGTTGCCGGCAATCGAGTCTCATATTCTCGACACACTCAGCGAAGATGCGGTCGTGGCCCTACTAAAGGTTACTGGGAACCAGGAGCTGATATGTACCGAACTCTTACATCAAACCTCGGTCAGAAAGTCCGTCAGTACTTGACTCGTCGTAGAGCGGAGCCGACTCTGAAACCCCTTCGCATTGTAGGACCGAAGCTGTGAACGAGGCTGGGCTATACGTGGGAAGGTCCGCCAGGAGACTATAAAGCCTGACATGCGTGACTCTAAAGTGCAGCCCTTTCGCCTGGCACCAGCGCAAGCTCAACCGTACGCCTAAGTCCGAGTTTCCCTCTTATTGGACGTTCTATGAGTGCTAACGAGAACTCATCACCAGAATCAATCTGAATCTGTGCCATGGCTCCCACAACGTCGCGAATGTCCAGTGCGTCCATCGCCTTCCTCCCTGACGATTTACTCTACGAAACATTTCTCCAGTGCGCTGGTGCCTGTCTCCAGCCGCACATAGGTCCGGATGTATGGCCGTTCAATCGCGCCGTCGAATCCTTCACACCTTTTTGGCGCATCAACGACCACCTCTGCAGCCGTTACACCTCTCCCGGCCGGCCCAAATGCTGGGACTGGACCGCGACGCGACTGATGCTAGTCTGCAAGCGCTGGTCCGCTCTCATCCTCGACAGACGTGTTCTCTGGAGTCGTCCGCTGTTCCTTGAGGAGAGATCGGCTCAATGGACGCTATCTCGCTCGGGCAACGTACCACTCATTGTCCGACACGCGCTGTTGGGGCTTGCCGACAACTCTTGGTTCCTCAACTTCATGGGTCAAGAGCGGGGATTCTCGCGCTGCCGCGAAGTCGTTATCGATGTCGACCGTCGTATTGGCGGTGCGTACGATGACTTCCTGTGGCTTGCACAAGGTTGGCCTTCCGCTGCACCACTGCTCGAGGTGTTAGCGCTGGGCATACCTTCCGGGCGCCCTCGAAGGCCCAACCCTCTCTCGACAGCGTTTCTGCAGTCGGCAACGCGCCTGAGAACGCTGGCGCTGGTGAATTTTCCGCTCGAAAGCTGGAGCTCTGTCCACCTGAAAAACTTGACGACTTTCATCTTCCGCTCAGAGGGCCGCTTCGAGTACACCACCGTTCGAGATATTATACGTTTTCTAAGAAATACACCACAACTTCAAACACTTGTGCTTGGTGCCCCTAAGAGCCACTTCATCGAGGAACTTACACCCGTGCCTTGTATACGTCCCGTCGTGGCCCTGAACTGTCTGTCGAGGTTATCTCTATCTGGACCTCGGATGCATGCGCTCGATTTGTTCCAACACATTTCTCTCCCTCCGAATGTAGTCCTGGAACTGCGTATGTATCGCTGTCACCCCACTGATAACGTGCTCTATCACCTCGAAGAGGCGATCCAGGAACGCTATCACGCAGCGCCGCTCCCGCTGGACCCTCAGACAGACTTAGGTGATGCAGATCACCGCGGCTCTCTCCCGACCTTTGACCGCGTTTCCGTTCACTTCTATCGCAACGTGGAGGTCACCATCACAGGCTTCACCGCAGCCGCCGACGGCACACTGCACCCCGCGATCTCAATCGTACTCGGCGTCGAAGGGGTTCAACGTCCAGCCTCCCTCGTCGCGCAGGTCCTCCGGGTCCTCCGGTCCGGCTCTGCGGCGTCATTCGCGCTCTCGTCGTCCCGTCGCGAGGACTTTGACGACGCGGTGTTCGCGGATGAGGCGCTGTGGCACGGGCTCTGGCGCGCGCTCCCCGCGCTGAAGATTCTCGAGATCGTCAACCCGGAGACGAGCCTCGAGCCGTTCATGCGCTCGCTCATGCCGCCGCTGCCGCCGTCGCTCAGGGCGGGTGCCTTGGAGGAGGAGGAGGGCTGCCCGCTGCCCGCGCTGGAGGAGCTGCATGTATGCGACAGCTACTCTGAAGCTTCTGCGGTGTTACCCGGGTTCGCGTGTTTGCGGCAAGCTTTAAAGGCACGAGCGGAGAGCGGGCGGCGTCTACGGCTGCTGGAGCTGAGAAATTGGACGGCTCAGGTGATATGGAGTGTGGAAGAGATGAGGTCAGAGCGGACGGTTGATGAGGTTGTTTTTAATGGGTTCTTCGTACGGGGATAAGGGTGAGTCCCATCTGGGTTGGGCCTGGTTGTTGTTGAAGTAAAGGGTACGTTGGAAGGAACGATGGCGGGTTGGCGGGGCACAAGGTGAACAAAAGCTGATGAAGCGGCGGGCAGGAAGCGAAGTGGAGAGGGTGGGTTGGCGCGCCGCTCGCAGCAAGCTGGGGGATAGTGCAGGTGGTCGGGCGATAAGCTGAGTCTAATTCGCATCTTTCGAACAACGAAAAGGCAATCCATTCACTGATGCGTTGAGACCAGGCCTCCATCACTGACACACCAGATACAGTATAAGTAGAGTAAGTATGGCCGTCCATACTTGTCTTCCAGACATCACAAGGGTGTACCGATATCGCGCTATATCCAGTCCAGGGTGATGAGGTTTCGATGGCTAGCCATGCAAAAGAGACATTCTCAACGCCACTAGTATTCTTTTGTGACTACTGTCGACCGAAGAACGATGCATACATGCGGCCTTTTTACAAGGACATTAACATGCTATTGCCTGATTAAATACATGGTCTATCGGTCCATAAAACCCAGAGGGACGAGAGGAAAATGGGACAGGAAGAAACAGATACCCGGCAACGCTACGCCTGGACCTGAGTTCGAGGTTGAGTCTGAGGTAGCACGTCCGCTTTCTCTAGTGAGGGCGGTGGCGATACGGCAGTCTCGTACAGAATCTGCCCAAGTACCGCCACGTCAGAGCGCCGGATGACCCACGAGACAGGTAGGGCTTGCGCTTTCATGATGTCCAGAATGGCAGGGTTGAGCCAGGCAAGCTGCACTTGAGGGTCAAGATATAGAGGACTCGGCGACGAAGGCGAGAGCGACGCGGAATATTTATTTGGAGATGTTTTGGGTAGGAAGAACTGTGAGAAGTCGGGGTATCTGTCGTGGAGCGGATTTCGAGAGTAGGACCATCGGTTGATGTTGATGCTGGATTCGGCATTGGGCCAAGGACTGGGATAGGGGTCACCGAAGAGGCTCAGGGCGCAGTCATCCGAGATATGCAGAGGGTCGTGGCTGTCTTTGTTGTCGGAAGGGTGGGCCTGCGACGAGAACTGGCAGAGGTCAAACGAGGAGCTGATGATGGGGCTTGGAGTACAAAATGCCGGTGGCGGATTGGGAAGCGTTGCCCTACTTCTATCCATCGCGGCGGGCCGTGGGGCTGACTTTGTTGAGGAAGGTCTGATCGCAGGTGAAGTCGAGAATTGGCGAGGTGGTACGCGCGGGCTCTGAGCTGGGGACCTTGAGACACCCTGCCTATTCCACCACTTCTTGATCCATTCCTGGGTCCTGTATGCGCGCAGTCTCAGCATCCACAAGCAGGAGTGAGACGAGTACGTACAGCCCTGTTTCTGCGGCCAGCTGAGCCCTCTTTTCTTCTGTGATCTGGCTCTTGTCGTGAGCATGACGGAGGATGTCGAGCTGCCAGGGCTGGGCGACAGGGGCTCTCTTCCTCTTTGCCATGTGGAGAGTTGGGTTGAGAGGGAGACTCGTCTCGGCTATTTAGACTTTCCGTTCCCCGACCAGGTGTGGGAACCGCGTCCCTGGTGTGTTTCTAAATCCCAGGAACAGTCTCCCAATTTTACGGCAATGCGCAGTTTCTAACAATAGTCTTTAGTTCATTATATGTAATTTCATCGTCGCCCTCACGTTCCTTCTCCTTCCCCTCCTTCACTATGGACGACGACAACGAACACACCCCTCTCCGCTCCACCACCCACTCCCCGACGTCCCCTTCGTCCGACGAGTACTCCGAGTCAGACCTCCCGCACAGGTCCGAGTCCTCGCCGCACCTCGTCCTTCTTCCCCAGTCCGAGGATTCGCTATTTGACATCCCCGAAGACGAGGACACGGACGAGGAGGAAACATCGGAACAGAGCAACCTCGCGACACCTCCTTTATCTCCCTCCACCGTCCTCCTCTACCTCTTCTCTCCTTACCTACGTCTCGGCGCGTTCTCCATCTTATCCGGGTACACACCCATTCAGTTCGGTGTCCCTGCTCTGGTTGTAAGCGCTGCGTTATCTATCTTCTGCCGGCAGATATGGTTCCTCCAATCCCGCTACCTCCGACGTTCCACCACCAAGGACATCCTCCTCGACGCATTCGCCAAGGGCAGGCGAAAGCGGAAACTTCGGAAAGGTCTCGCCTCCCTCGTTTCAGCCCTGACTTGGGTCCTCAGAGTCCTCATGGCTGCCATGTACCTCCGCGGTTCGTATGCTGTCCCCAGAGCGTTGGAGCCGCCCAGCTGAATGTTGAATGTGTCGCAGAATCTACCAGTGCTTTGTTAGTGTGCTTCCCTAGCGGGACCCCTGCGGCTCTTGTATCCATCTGCCTGGCGCTCGTCGCTATTTGTTTTTCCTTGACCACATCCATCTCTTCCAAATCTATCATACTCGTCACATATCTCTCTGCGGCCTCCTTTCTAGGCTGGTTGGTATCGGCCGCCTTGGCATATGCGCGCAACAATCTCACCCCTGGAGGGTGGTCGCAGCAGGGCATTTTATGGAACGGCATTAGTGAGTCTCGTTCTGATGGAAAGTGTTCAAGTTTTAACCTTGATCCTGCCAGCGAGTACAATGTTCGCGTTCACGACGGCGTCCACGGTACCTCTCTCCTCTTGCCTCAAGAGTGGCCGTCAGGCGTCCTATGGACCCAAACCCGACAAGGCCCGCTCGCGCTCGTTCGTGCTCCTGAGCGTGCTGTCCGCGTCTCTCGCTGCGTGCCTCGTCATGCCTCTGGTGATCTTCGCTGCGCGCCCTAAACTCTCCGTACGCCCGGTATATATGCCAGCTTGCCAGGCTAGCGGTGCTGACTGCTTACAGGAGGAAGTCTTTGATGGAACGTCCGTCAAATGGATGGCGATTCTAAAGGCAGCGACGCTGGTGCTCGCGCTGCCGTCCATCGTGCTCAATGCGCCCGCCGTTCATATGCCCGGTCGCATGTATCCGCCGCTGCGTTTGCCCTTAAGCAGACTGGCAACCTGTCTTGCGGTCGTGGCAGTCGCCCTAGTGCGCGGCGGCGTAGCCTCCACCCTCAACGATATCATGTTATTCTTAGCCCTCGCAGGCACCTATTTCCTCCCGGGTGAGTGCGCGCGCCTCTTCTTCGGAGTTGAAGTCCATTTCTGACAGAGTGATCCTTCTGTTGTACGTTCCACGGTTCTGCGTCTCTGTTCTCTTCTCCCGCCGGATCCGCGCTCTCGGGTCATCCTCCCCCTTGGCTTCTGGCTTCTCCTCCTCTGCTTGCCTGACTATTGGCATCCGCAGCCCTGACACACATCACGACCCACTACATCCGCCGGCCGCTGAGCATCGTCGTGCCCACAGCCCCAGGCCGACAACAGCCCGGGTCACCGTACATGCAACCTGGGTCGGCCCCCGGCGGCTCCGGCTCGCCATCATCATCGTCGCCATCATCGCCGCCGGCGCTACGGGGGCGCGACCCGCACATGCGCGCGCCCTCGCACGACGTCCTCCTCCAGCGCAAGGAGAAGCTGCTCCAGCGGCGGCGGCTCGGCAAGCGGCTGTTCTGGGACTTTGGCGTGTGGGTCGTGCTGCTGCCCGTGTGCGGCGGCGGGCTCGTCTGGACGGTGGGGAGGATCGCGGGTCGGTTCTGAGCGTGGCAAAACGCAAACGTAAATGCAGATGCAAAGGCATTGCGAAAGAAGAAAAAAGTGTAATTTTACGTCTTGGTGCTGGTATCGGACGGCGGCCTTCGTTCGTGACATCGTTAGGTGCCGCGGCAAGTGGCTGATGGACTATGGACGCTGAACTGAACTGGGCTGCTGCTTATTACTCAATAGTAAATAGAGTTACCGGTACATACTGATCCTCACTCGAAGTTGCGATTGTACTCTATATGCGCGGAGCTGGTTCCGGTTCTTACTTCGAATCGTGTTACAATGTATCCCCGTGTGCACTGGATCCTCCGTGCTGGCCGTGGCCATGGTAGTGGATCGTGGTATCTACTTATAAGCTTAGTGTTATACAAATTTATCCTGGTACAGCCGTATGTGTCTTGGTTCCAGACCTGTGCAGGGCATCTCGGAGAAGAAGATTACAGAAACGAAACAACAGCAAGAAAAGTCCTGCCCGATAGCGATAGCGAGAATGATCCTTCCGGCCAATGAAGTGAAGAAGCCGACGGACAGATAGATAGCGTTAAATCAGTGTAGTAGGTGGAAAAGCGGGTGTGGCGTTCGGCGCATGTAGGGGAAATGGAGCAAGTGTTTTTAGACGTCGTCAACGCCGGCGGGGACCTTGTCCCTCGCGGCGGGGCATGCGTGCAAGTGTTGTTGCCGTGCTGCGTGGTCTCTGTACAGATTTCCGTTCCGCCGTCAGCTCCCAGAATCCCAAGAACCAAATATATGAAGCGAAGAAAACACGCACGGAGTATTGACCACGCTCTCCGACCCCGTGAAGATCAGCAAATCATATACAAATCCGCCCGTGAGGCAGCCACAGATGGGCGCGATGACGGGGCACCAGAGCCAGTACTGGTTCCGGAACGTGAACACGCCCTTGCCGTAGCCGACCATGGCGGTCATGATGCGCGGGCCGAGGTCGCGCGCGGGGTTGATTGCGTAGCCGGTGTTGATGCCGAGCGCGAGACCGACGCCGAGGATGAGGATGAAGAGCGAGATGGGCGCGGTACCCGACGGCGGCGGGCCGTTCTTTTTGTCGCTGAAGGAGAGGATGCACATCATCATGATGGCGGAGGTCATGAACTGCGGGCCCGCGTCAGCACAATGTTCTGTGTTTTATCTCGCCCGAAGACGGATGAGGCATCCGACGTGACTTACTTCGGAGAAGAAGGCACCGACGTTGGTCATGTAGTCTGCGGCGTAGGTGCAGAACAATGAGCCGGTCTTGCTGACTGTCCGAATATTCGTCCCGCCCTCGTACGCGCTGATCGCCTCGTAGTAGTTTGCATAAATTATACCGGCGCCGCACAGCGCGCCCATGAGCTGGGCGAAACAGTAGTACGGTACCTTCCTCCACGGGAATCCGCGGAGCGTCGCCAACGTGATCGTGACCTGATTGTCGGTGATAATTGAAAATAAGGCACCAATGGGGGCGGGGTAAAGATGAGCAAGGCGGGGTCAGTCAGGGTTACGGGGTAGCAGTAAATATACGCGGAAGGACTTACCGCAGGGTTAATGTGCCCTCCCGAGATGCCGCCCGCAACCCAGACACCCATTGCGACACCTGCAGAATCTTGTTAGCGGAAGAGAGGCGCAAACATCTGGACACTCGACGAACCGACTGCCCAGCCAATGTTGATGGAGAGGTACTCCTAGACGCGGACCGTCAGCACTGCTTTGCGCGGGCATGCAAAGCATCACACGTACTCCCTTAGGCGTAGACGAGACATTGGTGCTCGCGGAGAGCACAACTTGGCAGACGCCTCCAACACCAAAGACAATGAGCATCATAGTCCCGAAGAACTCGGCGGCTGGCTCGCGAAGAAAGGCCCTGCGGCAATGTGAGATCAGCTGAGTGACACGACCATACTACATACCTGACCCGAGACCAGCGGTTGGGATAGCGTGTACAGTGGTCGCAGTCCTTGAACTCGACGTGTTCGGTGCCGGCAGCGACACGGTGCTTAGTGCGGCCGCTCGAGCGCGAATCCATACTCGCACTCTCTCTGTGCTCTATCGTCGGTCTCTCGCCCTTCTCTGACATACCTGCCTGCTACTGTAGAGCACTGAGTAATCGGGGAAAGAATGAAGGAGAAGCACTTGCGGAGGTGGGGCGCATCCCCGGCTGGCTATGTATATGAACCCAGAATGATTCAATGGACCCACCCGGGAAGGGTATACGCGAACCGGTGACGGCTTTCAAGTTTGGAAGGAGAACGGATAATAGGCAGCGGGGGAGGTGGCTCATAGGCGGCAGGAGGAGCCCAGAGAGAGCCATGGCCACATGATAGGCAAACACATGCGCTGCGTCGCTCGGCTGGGCGATGCGTCCGCTCAACGCGCGGTGCCATGCATCTTCATATCATCCTTGGATCCTTGACCACAAAAGCGGGAATGCTTCGCGCCGGGTTGATCCATGCAAGATCCCATGCATGGGTGGGGTGCATAACCGTTTGAGACCGCGGCCAAAGATGGAAGCGCCACAGAGCCAAGGGCGTCATGACACTGTCAATGTCATAGACTGTCAGTCATGTCGGGAGGTGACGCTTGCTGTCATCAAAATGTCGCGCCAGTGCATGGAAACATAATGATCGCTGAGCCTCCGGTGATCACTCGTCTGAGCCCTTCTGCGCGCCTTTGCTGCGGGGAGTCGCTATGGGATGCATCAGCTGTGAAGACCGTGGCTATCGCCAGCACTAGGATGGAGTAAACGCTAGTAAGCTTGGCCTCAAAATGATGGCATCATCCTGCCTACGCACGATTAGCAATCCTAGCGCATTCCCCGGCCACTCGCGAAAACAAAGAGCCGAGCCCAAAGCCAGCAACGGTCGCGCGTGACCTCAGACGTTCTAGAAACGATGGATTGCGTATGTTTTTCCGCTCATATGACGAGTGATGCCCGCGTTATCTGGAGAAGCTGGCGATGGTTCAGGCCGTTCAGGGTCAGAAGTTCGGAACCAAGGGCCGAATTAATGGGTGGGTCAAAAGTTGGCGTCTAAAATGAACGCCACGCTGCGGGAGTGTTGATCGATCTGCGTTCCTTAACAAGCTGGGACAAATAGACCCCTATATTAGTGGCTGCAAATTTAGCGGAAGTATTCGGTTTGGCATTTATGGTAGTAGTTGCCAGCAAGAGCTATCACAACTGGCAAGTAATTGAAAGTAGAGACACTGTGTTCATGGTTTACTAGGGCATTGGGATGGTCAGCTTGATTCTATGGATGGCCGGCGGAAATGCAAAGATAGTACAGCGGTTTGAAATTTTATCGAGATCAGCGCTAAAAATGTCATCGGCTAAGCTTATTTGCGAGAAGGACAAAACAAGGACAAACCAATATTAGTGTTTGCCTGTCCTGTCAAGTTGTGCCTGTCCCTTTCAGGTGGCGGATGTTTGTGGAAATGTGGAGAATTTGGAAATTGGCGATCGCCGGAGAGCCACTAAGAGGACTGGTAATTTTCTGCTATCAGCCAGCCAGGCCCGCCACTTCTATCTGCTGGAGTTTGTACGCTCTTTCTAATAGAATACTACAGATGGAGGAACCTTTCAGATGGCCAACTAAATTCATTCATCATCATCAGCAAAGGACGGGCGCCGCCAACCTTTCCGACCTGTCCAATTTGTGGATGAACGCCGACCAGTTTTCTGATGTTCAATATTGAGTCAGGGACACAAATATCTTCAGAAGCATCGCCCGATACCCCTTTTCGAGCCCGAATGACTGAGTTGTCTGCTTCGCAAAGGAAGGATCCGTGACCTACCGGGCCTCTGGCGGGCCTTTGCCTGGCGCCTCCGCCAAACTCAGCGCTGGCCAGGATCTTCGAAAGAGCTTGAAAATTGATGCTTGCTGCTAAAAATAAATTTAAAAAAGATGTGATGCAGTCTTCATAAGCCGTGAATATTATCTGATTCTGAGTATTCGATCAGAGTCATGAGATAAAACAGAAGGATATCGATGGGAGCGGACATGAGCAAGAGACTCCATGTCATCTTCATTAGTGTGGCCCCGTGGCGAAAATGATCGTCGTAGCGTGTAACATTGAGAGAGAAAATAAGCTGAAGTTCCCCGAAGCAATGAACAATGGTCAACAGTGCTCAACGTAAAGTAAAGTTCACAGGCCTGGATACACCAAGTACTTCAAGTACGACCCACTTGACGCATTACAGTAACACCTATTTTTTTGCATTGACCACGCACCGTTGTCATTCCCTTCAAATTTATTAGGCGTTACCCTTGATTGATTCGATGTGGGGTCAAAATTGTTTATCGTATTCTCCCTCAGGCTACACGAAATCCGTGACGTCAGCAGTTGTTCTGCTACTTATTCCTTATGCCGTTCTCGTTTACTCGAGTATGCACAACCAAGTTCATCGAAGCATAATCAATTATCAACGTTCATTGGTCATTTGATGTCATCGTTGCATCGTCTGAGCATGTTTCAATTTATGAGGATGTAGTTGTGCAAGCAAGGTACTATAACTACCGGTGTCGCCTGAGTTTTTGCGATGTCTTCAATGCTCGCCGAGCTTTTCTTTGTAGATGGTGTTGTATGCCGGAGCACAATACAGGTACTGACAGATATGGTTGAAGCAATACGTGATTCAGAGTGTAGCTACGATGATCCACTGTCGAGCTATCCCCAACATTCTTTCGATAGAGGCATCACAGCCTCGAAGGTTCAGCTCTTGATCACTTGTCGGGTATGATTCCATGTTTGGATTTGCTCAAGCCGTTAACCTGCGCTACTAGGCGCAAACAGGCCATGAAGGCCACACATGCTTGATGTCGATGCATGCCCAAGGGTACAGTGACTGGCAAAAAGGGGGTATTGTCCAAATTGAGTAATCGCATTCCCACTTTTGGACGTATGATCATGTTGAACGGACAATAAATGCGTGGGCACATGAACAGGTCGATAGAATATTGATAGGGAAAAGCGCGCAAGCGAGTCGTTGGCTCCAATACTCACTTGATGCATGTCAAGAACCTGGAGATTTGAGTGGGATGTTGTACGTACAAACTCTCAATGCATATCTCTCGAATAACGAGCATCAATTAATCAGCCACTCCCGAGTCCAATGCCATCGTCTCCTCAGTTTTGGGCTTCTTGCGAGCGGCCCGACCTTCTTCCAGGGGTCCCTCGCCCAATAACTCGCCTTCAGGAGCGGGATCGGAGGCTTCTTCCCTTCCCCGTTTGTTGGAGGTCTTGGGTTGTGAGGAGGATGCGGCCACGAGAACCCACGCAAATCTGCGCTGCTGGGCTAGCATGTCTCCCCATTTTTTGGTGCTGACACTCGTAAGGGCCTCCTCCTTCTCAATGGTGCGGTTTAATATGCCAAGAAAAGTCCCGAGTGTCCAACTGTCTCTCAATAACGACCCGGGATGATCAGTAGCTGAGCGCGATCGTTGTCTCGTTCCTTGTTCCGATCCTTCTGCGAGCCTCTTCAAGATCTCGCAGATGCTTCTGTGTAGAGATATTTCACGGAAGGTGCTGTTAAGCATACCCTTCAACCCTTCATCAAATCCAAAAGCGTGGATCATCTGAAGTCTAGTATCTCCAACTCCGATCCAGGTGGCCTTCAAGCCCTCCATGCCACTTTCGGTTTGATCAGGGTTGCGAAACTCTGAGAAGAACAGTCCGACTACCACGTCCATAAATCTTGGATGTTCGGCGTGGTCAAGGAGAATTGTGGAACAAAACAAGAGAACATAGGCCAAAGACTCCATGTCATCTTGCACAGTATGGCGAAACCCTGGGGAGCAGCTTATAACATCGAGAGACATGAAGGGGAAAGTCCCCTAATGTAATGACGTGACGTTGAACGACGATGAGCTTGACAAAATAAAAGCGGAGCTTACAGTTCTGTGCGTATCGCTCGCAACGCCGTTCTCGTTGGTGGTGCAAGAGAAGTCCCAGTCCGTTAACAGCCCCAGGCGGCGGTCTCCCTTCTTTTCGCGGAAAAGCACGACATTGGCAAAACTGACGTCCCGATGAAGTAGATGGATCTCGAAGGCATCCCGGATAGCTTGTAGCACGATCAGCTGGTTGAACTTGAAGTCTCGGCCTTTCGTCTGTCCCACTTACCGATCAGCACATCGCGACCAGCATGAACCAATTCAGACGAGTTCTTGAGGTGGTTCAGGGAAATACCAGCCTCCTTAAGAACAAGCCGATAGTGCACATGAACTCCAATTGCGATATTTCTCTTGCCCCTGGCAACCCATGGTTCATCTAAATAATTTTGAGTTATAGTGCGTTGGTCTGCAAGGATGGCTGAGTCAACAACGAAGATCACAGCCAAACGGAAGAGCACCTACATTTTTGAGAACCATTTCTATGCCTAACATCACCGTGAGTGCACAATGTAGGCACATTAGCTACGTTGTTCCCATTCAAAGCCCTGTAAACGGCGTCCTCCCTTCGCTCGCCCTTCTCACATATTTGCCAAGTGTCTTTGATAAAGACTACTTTAAGATCAGGATCGTTTGCCTCCACGGCCCAGTAGCCGCGCGTACACCGGCCTGTTGCGTTTTCAGGCGATACAAAGGGTTTGGAGACGAGATATTGCTTCGTCGATTTGGATAGTTCATCAAAAACATCCATCTTCGTGACGTTTCCTAGCTCATAGTGCTCTTTGAGATGCGTTGAGAACAGTGCCCGATCAGTTGTCTCGGCGGGGGTGTCGAAGAATTGTAACTCAATGTGCTTCTCAATAGCGCATTTGAAGGCTTGCTCCTCTTCTGACGTGACGTGACCATGAGATGTATCGACTCCGCGGTCAATTTCACTGGCTTGGTCATATCGCCATAGAAATTCAAGGAGATAATCCGACTTCGTGTAGTTGAAAGCGCGAGTCACCATGGCTCCAGCGCGATCCCACCGGATGAAACGAGCTCTCAGGCCGCACAGCAAGATGATAAAGCAGGATGTACGGTGCTGCTGGGCAAGGAGTCGAGCAGAATATTGAACGAGTTGACCAACACATTGTATGGCTTGCCTTTTGTCATTCTCAGCTTTGAATTTTCTAAAAAGATCAAATTTCGACAGATCATCGCCTGCCTCAGGATCGCGGAAAGGGTCAAGTCCTGTTTTGATGTTGAAGACGAGATCTGCCGTCTGAAACATTGTTTCTCCTGTCAAATTTCCGTCTTTGTCGACGAGTTTGGCTGAGGAGTCCGTAGGCGGGGGAATCTGTTTTATTTTACCTAGCATTTCTTTCGAAAAGGCACAGATATTTGGCTCGCAAGCACCATAGTTCTCCTCGTATGCAGGATCACGGGTGTCGACGAATGTAAAATCTTTGCAACATTCCGCATTGTTCAATGCAGCAGACTCCAGCCCTTTGCCTAAACATGTATCCATTAATTGATGTGTGTGATACACTTACAAGAATGCGGCCAATGTCTTCCACAGTCGCTGTCTCATTTATGCCCTCAACGGCATTCTTGAACCTCTTCCGCATGTTATCAGAGAGTGGCTTTTCCAAAGAAGGGGGGCACAAACTCCCATCTACGAAGAAAGTCTCCAAAGGCATGGGGCCAATCATGCTTCTTTTGGCTTGTTTATGAAGGTGGTCATAGCGAGCCTGAGATTCCTCGTCTGGCTGCTCTGGTTGTGAAGAAGTATCATCCAAAGAGTCCATGTGGTAGCTCGAACTTCGCGTGGTTCGTGAACAAGTGATGCAAAGCAGTAACACTAATTAGGGGCTTCCCTTTTCTCACGTTCCATAGGGTTTTGTTTTTATTATGAGCAGTGTTTCGTTTCAAAGCCGTCCCCTTCGGTCTGACTGTTACTGAAGGGCGATCTGAACCTAAGTGCTACATGGTAGTTACGTCGCACTGGTGATGTATGACAGCCGAACGAGCCAGATGGACAGGAGATATGTGCGCGATGCGCAACGACGTCCACCGGTCATAAGAGCTTCATGATCATTCTTCCGAGAGTTGCAAGGTGCCAACGTGAGCTGACAGACACAAGGCCTATCTGCATTGACACCTATTGATGGATATGAGCCAACAGCACACATCTCGGTGACAAATTCCCCGAGCTGGGGTATGGGATGAAGGGTAACTGCTCTTTTCTTTGAAAATCATTTCGATAAGAGAATACTACGTTCTAGAGGGCATATGCCTCTCAACAGTAGAATTTAGATCACGAGGCAACATCGACAACAGCTGCGAGGAACAAGAATAGTTAATGCCCAAAATCTTGCGATATGAAAATAGAGCACCATACCTGTCTAGCCTTTTCCTCTCCCCCAACTTCCCACCCACTCACTGCAACGCGAACAAAGCACCTGGTCGAGAGACGTGTGCAGAGCTCCCCGATACCGTACTTCTCTCCAGTGTATTTCCTCCAGCGCATCATGTTTCCAGTGAGCTTGATCGACCGCAAGAGAAGACGTTGTCGTGCCCCAATAGCGTCTGGGTCGAACACAGGGCGATTGAGTGCAACGTACGGGCCGGCCAGGGATTCCGCATCAGTAACGGCTTGCTCAAACACACTGACGACAGATTTGAGTAGTGCCTAAAGAGATGAAAAGACGCGTAAGGACTATCTTCGCAAACAGCTTTACCCTTAAACACAAACCAGGTACTTGTAATGGTCACTCCCGATGGAAGCCTCAATCTGCTCTGTCAGATCGACAACCTTGCGAACGGCGGCATTGGAGTAAGGATCAAATGCTCCCCCTTCAATCAACTTGCAAAGTCTCGGTGTAACGGCCGTTGAAATCATGGCGGACACGAGGTCGCCCTCTGGAGCACCCTCGCCCTCGTTCGAGTCTTGTGAGAACTCGTGCAGAGCAGAATACCACCCGAAGTCATCGAGACTCTGGCTTTCCTACGCAATCCGTGAAATGGGGTTAGATATAGAGTCGTGTGGAATATCCAAACTCGGCGTACCTCAAGAGGGTCCCATCCGAGCATCTCGAGCCTCACCCAGAACTCCCAGGCACTGACCAGACCAAGGCCACCCCAAGCGCCCGTGTAGCTGTCACCATACAGGCCTCTCCATTCACCGAACCACTTGGCCAAGCCCTTCCTAGGGTCCTTGAAGTCGGACGCCCGGACGTCCGACAGGATGCTCTTGGCGTCGTTCGAGATACGCTGCATCGCAGACCGATAATCGAGAGCATCAGATGGAGGCAAGGAGTCGTCTGTAGAATACCCTTCTTCGTCTGCGTCGATGCCCTGAGATTTCGTGGCTTTGCGAGCCGAACGGCGGTTTACTCGAGCTGTACGCCTTTCGCGCCTCAATGCTGCAGGGTTGGCTTGTGGTTTGATGCGACCTAGTTCGTCCAGCTCTTCGCTATCGGTGGCCTGTGTTGTGGGCAGCGAACCGAAGACCAAAGAAAGATCGTCTTCATCATCTGCCTTTCTCCGTTGAGAAACCATGCCGAATCTTTCTTTCAGCACGGCGACATGCTCATCCTCCAAACTCTCGACTTTAGGATACTGCCGAGTTTAGCATGCACCGTTAGCAAGCAAGAAGACGAAGCAACATATGTACATACTTTATCGTCGAGGAAGGCAGCCACATTCTCTATCCACTCCCGGAATGCGACAAACCAGCTTCTTTTAGCTTCAGCGGATTCTACTAACTTCCTGAGCTCGCTCTCGCGGGTATCAAGTTGATCTCGTTCTTCGACAAGCGTGTTCATCGAAGTCGTATTTGTAACATGCGAGGTCGTGAGTGCCGCCAGAGACTGCGCCAATCGATCGATAGCTGGCCCAAGGCTCGGAAGGTTGGTTGAAGGTGGGACTGAGTATGGTATTAGTGATGATCAATTGAAGACATTGAAGACAAAAAGTGGCTTACTTGGGGCAGCTCTGTACACCTGCTTCGTCGGACCAGAGTCTTCAGCAGCATGCTGACCTGTGCGGCGTAACTGGGCCTGCTCCCATTCAGCAGTTTCTTCGTCTTCTTCTTCGCTACATAATCAAGTGTCAGTTTTGAAGATTCACAGGCGCAAATACACGTACGCGTCAACTATCATCTCATTAATTTCATCTCGTCGTTTGGAGGCTTCGGCTTTTCGACTCTTTTTCCCCAACGCGATCCGTTCCTGTGCCGAGGTATACTCCGCGTACTCTGAAAAAGGGCGTGAGATGAACAACGGCGGCAAACTCACGAAAGGGCTGCTCTCACCATCATCGCCTTCCCCAAGCTCATCCTCCTCACGAACCAAGCGGCTCTCTGGATGAGGGCCTGACGCGAGATCATCCCTGCGGGTAACTGATAAAGAAATGAAATCTTCCTCTTGCGTCACGGCCGATTTTCTTAACCTTTCCCTTCGTTGTTTGGCAACATTGATCGATGACTCCGAAGGTATGACTGTAGATTCATCTAAAGAACGTTAGCATGAAATGAAATTAGTCAACCATATCAGATAAACACTCACCAAGCAAAGAGACCGGCGCATCTTCCGGTGGATTCTCGACGATATTCATAGATATATCTGTGTCATTGGAGTCGACAGGGGGAGGTCGATTACTTTGTGTGCTGGCTTTGAGTTCAGCCAAGTAGGTGGCGTCATATACAGGACCGTTTGAACGCGAAGTGATAGTGGCCTGGTCCAAGCTCATCGGGAGCGCGTTTCTGTACCCACTTAGCAATAGTGGGAAGGGGCCAATAGTGCACACTTACGACGCATTCTTGCCAAGGGTGAGCTTCTGACCAAGGCTGGACTTTTTTACCTGGAAAACCTCCTTATCCTCCCCCTACACCTCCGCCATACATCAGCGTCAGCCCATAAACGCAATGAACACGCGAACCTCATTGTCACCACCAAAGCTAAGCTTGGCCTTTGGCTTCGCCCGTTTGGTCTTGTTCCTGAGCTTCGAGGCGAGCGTAATCGGCGAGTCTTCCGCTTCGTTGAGGGAAGCATTGGCAGCTGCGGCGGCATCTGGCGACTTTTCCCTTGTGCGCTGTCCAGGGCGCGCCTTGCTGCGCTTGAATACCACTGGTGAGTCTCCGTCCGCCATGGCCGAGAGGAGAGAAGGGTGTGACGTGACGCGTGACAAACGCGGTGTCCTCTGCGCGCGTCGCGTATTTTCCCACGGTAGCAACTTGTCATTTCCTGTCATGGCCCCTGCTCCGCGTCCCCGACCACGACCACGCCAGAAGGCGGCTGCAGTGCCTTCATCGTCCCAGGCGTCGGCAAAATCTCCCACATCATCCCAAGCTGAATCGTCATCACCTTCGGGACCCTCGAAGGCCGTCATCAGCATTGAAGATGAAGACGACATGTTTCTGCGAAACAGGGGGAGGACTGCCCAACAGTGGCAGAAGCTGAGGGAGCTCACCAATAGTATGTTCACTCGCTTGCCTCTTTTAACATACTCTGACATGAAGATGAATAGAACCGACCCCTGTTCACAAATCCGATTCCGACGAAGATGACTCCGACGACTCTTTACACAAACCGCGGCGTAAGAAACCCCAGCCAAAACGCAATGACGGTCCGCGCTGGCAACCCTCAGAAGTGGCAAAGATGTGTGTAAATTCTACATACCCTCCTCATAGTCACTAGCGAAGGGCCCGATAGACTTCGCTGGCTATATGCGGTTGTAGCCAACCGATGTCTCTTCTAACACGATAAATCCCTCTAGTCTTTCCTCGGATGACGGCTCCGACAGTGACATTATGATCATGGATACACCCAAGCCCAAGACGGATATTGCACCTAAGAAACGCAAGCGGAGCAGAAGCAGATCCCTCACCCCTCCGCCAGAACTTCCTGTGCATCGTCTCATGAACGCCCGGAACGTGGTTCGGTAAGCGCTCACATACATATATACATAGAAATTTTGTCTTACGCTCTTCCAGTCAAGCCTTGCAAGCCGGAGGCCGGGCGCCTTCCCCAACGTTCGTCGGCGATGACTCTACGGACACAATCGTACTCGACCCCGAATTGCTCAAGATCGCCGAAGAGGTTAAGAAGCGCACAGGCCCCTCGACATTGATAAACCAGAATCGTGGGCCGGAAGATGTTATTATGAGGGTGAAGTGGCAGCCACACCCATTGGACGAGGCAGCTAGATCTGAGACATGGGCGTACAAAATGAAACGGGTAAGCTGCAACGCGATCCATGTATCACCGACCCAGAGGCTAACTTTGACCCCTCGTAGCAATCCAACTTCATAGAGCTCTTTGACGAAGTAGCGGATGCAGCGACGGTCCTTGTAGATCGCCTTTTCATTACTTATGAGGGCAAGAGGATCTACTCCTCCGCAACCCCGCATAACCTCAAGGTATGGGCTGAGGGAGAACTCGGTAAGCAGTACTTATAATACAATCATTCAACGTTGTACTAATACCTGTATAGAGGCTTGCGAGCAAGCAACCTATGAGTACCTCCGGACGCATCGGCACCAGCCCACGCCGCCTACCCGACAGCCCGAAGCCGCGGCGCGCTCTCCTTCAGCAGCACCTCTCGAGTCTGACGCGGAATCCGATGCTGGCTCTCAGACTGACGACAAATTCAGACTCATCCTTCGGTCGAGTGCCACCAAGGACATTACCCTGACGGTGCGACCCACCACCACCTGTGGTGCTATCGTGAAAGCATTCCTCAAGAAGGCCGGTCTGTCCGACAGATCTGTACCGAGTTCAGCCAAGGGCCCGAAAAAGAAGACGGCTAGTGTCCCTCACCTCGTTATCGATGGTGACAAAATGCTGCCAGACACGGCCATTGGGGATGCTGATCTCGAGGACGGAGACCAGGTTGAGGTTGTTGGCTTGTGACGAGTTTTTCCTTCCACTTACTGGGTACATGGAATACTTTATTATACATATAATGGACGCAGATGACAGGCATGCTCTTTCTTTTTCTGTACCTGGGACCGTGTAAATGTATGTTTCTTACTCGACTACTCTACCCCCACCTCTATTGGATCTGTTTTCCTGAAACAATGTTGCGGTGCTGCGCAAGGGACCGACTGTGCGTATGATAAACATAAACATATTATTGATTAACTTCTAAGACCATACAACAGGAAGAAGAAACTATCAGTCTAAAATCATCGCCAGCCCTCATTCGCGTTTTTGACCAGGATTCTTGCATTGTTTACGAACGCTCGGATCAGTTCGTCGAATGCATTCCGCTCATTCTCGGGCACGCTGGGGTCACCACGTTTCATTGCTGCTGACATTAGGAATACTGGCCGCGCAAACTCGACCTCCAGTTCGTGCAAGACTTCCTGCTGCAGTGCGCGCGCATGTTTAGCTTTTCTTTCATAACTTTTACCAAAATTGGTGTGAGGCTCACCTGGCCTTGTGACGACGACGAAGTAACTTGCGTCAAGTCGATATTGAACTCCTCATGCGAATAACATATTCTGTCCTTCCGCCGAGCATACGAAGGGCTCCCTATCGGATGCGATACTGCAAAGAAAGAGCACAGCCGCCCGTGAGCCTCTCCTTCTGCAAAGCTGCATTGCGACTGCCGCGACTGAACGTACCTGGCACCTCGAGGTTGACAGACACGCGCCAGTCGGCGGCGCGCTTTGGGCTGTAGATGTTGAGGTCGCCGAGGCGCATCTTGCGCATGCACTCGATCACCGTGCCCGACTTCTCGTCGCGCGTTACGCGCGTCTTCTCCTTGGCCGCACCCGCGCCCGTGTCGGGGGAATAGAAGGAGTCGACGAGCTTGACGTGTTTGTACTCGAGCGGCGAGGCGGGGTGCGAGGGCTGCGACGAGATACGCATGAGCTCGTTGAGGAGGCCGTTGAAGTGTTTGTGCTGCATCTGTGGATAAAACGCAACATTATGGCATGGGTGAATAGACGAGGAGAGCGAAAGAGGAAGAGTGCTTACTGCTGACATGTTAGACTCGAAGCGGAGGTCGATCTCGTTCGGCGTCAGGACTGCATGAGAAGTGCTCAGCACGAACAGACAGCTTGAGGGCCGACTAATAATGGTATCACTCACTGGTCTCGACAAGCAGCGGCAGACTAAGTCTCTGCCCTGACGTCTTGTCCCTCATTACGCCAATCTTGGCCTCCACCTCGATCTTCGCGTCTGGACCCATGTTCGGCCGCGTCATGATCATATGGTGCACAAAGTCCGCGATTTCGCATATGAACTCGTCGATTGGCTCGACGCCGAGGATGGAGAGCGACAGCGGCGGCATGCTGCCACCAGTAGCGCTCGACATGTTGTTCTTCAAGTTGGTGTGGTGAGCGCCAATCTGGGCGCGGTCCTGTTGGTGGTCGGAGCCATTTCTGTGGTCTGGCGCCGGTGAGCTGGACTCGCGACGAGCACGCTTCCGCGGCGGTGTCACTTCGCGGATGTCGTCGTCTTCTTCTTCTTCGTCTTCTTCAGAATTCGTCACATATGGATTACCATTACTTGGCTTCATCGTGGGGTTGTGGAGGGTTGTGGTGATCGCAAGAGGAGGTCCGACGCCAGCATCAAACGTGAACACCGCTATAACTTATAGGACTGAATGGGTTGATATTAATAAGACTCCGAGCCTCGACTCTTGGTCTCGACGCCCGCTATAAAACTTGCGATGCCTCGCCTTGACAGTTCTTCTCATGTAAAAATACAACACTACGAATGTTACACCTATCGTAGTACATACTACTCAGTCTGTGGGGCAGATGTATGATGTTCCTGGAAACACGCTGCATACTGCACCAGCTAACAAAGCTCTAGATTCTATGTTGACATGCCTACTGATGTCAGTGAATCAATGACCGTGGTCCAGGGCAGAGGAGATCAGGGACGGGAAGAACATTCCAACGAGGAGTAATATTGTCCGAGTCGTTTTGTTCATCTCGTCGGGGGGAGAAGGGGCGTGTCCAGAGACTGACGTCAGCATGGTAGACACGTATAGGAAAGTTCCGCCCTGAGCGGAAGGGTAAGGACACTGTCATTGTCTGTATGCCAGGAACTTACACTGAATAAAAGAGGCGAGCCTACGGACACCGTGCCGCCTGGGGGAGCAAGGAACGAATAGAAAGTGTAGGAAAGGATGGCCCCCAAGGGCGTCGCGGCGCTGAAAAATGCCAAGTGTCGTTTGCACTCGGATATGGGCATGGACGAGGCAAGCAGAGTACTAGTGAGAGCCAAGGCAGTCGGAGCTGGATGAAGGGTCAGAGGCATGAGCAAACGCCGACCTACTGCGGGGCTAGATTCAGGAGAGCATTACCTTTATGTACTATGATGGCGAGGAAGACAACAAGAGAAAGCTGAAGCGAATTGGGATCCAAAGCAGTCACACCGAGCGCATATCCGTCCATAAGACTATGTATCAGCAGCCCTAGAGATAGCGGGTTTGTGCTTGGTATATATGAAGCACCTTGAGAGTCGCTTCGTCTGTGAGTCGACTGTCCGGCGCGAGCAGGACCTTCCTCTAGCTCCAGCTCGTCGATATTGGGGTCGCCATCCTGGTCCGCCGAGAAGACAGCTCCATGGTGGGTGTCGTGAGACGAGAAATGCTGTTCCACAAGGAACATTAGAGAGAACCCAAGTAAAATAAAGAGCGCGATTTTAAACGTGGGTATCTCGATAGTAGGAGCACCTTCGTGAGACACGGTCGATATTGAGTGTTCTATGCCTCTGGCGTGGTTGGCAGATGACATTCGGAACCGGAACGAGAAAGGTTCTAAGGACCTACTCTGGTATGACCACACCGATTGCGGCGCCAACAAGCAAGCCAGATCCGAGTGTTGACATCTGTGCAAGATGCGTCTCTGAAAGGTAGTAGCGTCACTGTTGAATAATGTCTTTGGTTTTTAACGTGTAGTTACTCACTTGATAGAGAGACTGAAAGTGGAAGCAGCCCCACGCCGAACGCCGCGGCTCCCATGACGCCTGCCATGGCTAAGAGGCTGATGAAGGCTGACATTGATATCTTGCAGGGTGAAATACGGTTAATGATGATGCCTTCACGTACGAGGTGAAAGGAAAGGGAGTTCGGAGGTAATTCGAACATGCCCACTGCGGCGGTACCCTTTGGGAATCGTAACAAGTCAAAACATAATAGTCATCTCGACTCGTCAAGTTGCTTAGATCCCTACACCCGCATCAAACGAGCACAAATATCATCGTACAGGTACATGCAAGGACCATATCTAACACAGAAGTAGCGAATTGCCTCCAAAAAGTGTCATGATCAAGCGACAGCAACCATCGGTGCGCCAGGCGCTAGCCCAGGCGACTCCGACTGCAAACGCTCTCGCTCAGCAAGCCTCTTTTTCTCATCCTCCATCATCTTCTGCTGAATCCGTACTCTCTCCGGCACAACTTGGCGCCGTTCGGTCTGGATCTTGAAGTCGAGCCTGTCGACGCCCAATGCTTTCAGCGTCTTCTTCTCTACTAAGCTAAAATCGTCCGGATTCTCGCGGTTAAAGTTGAACGGCTCCTTGAGCGCCACGGGCGGGTTCGTGATCACGCGCGGAATGCGCAAGTGGTTCTTCGATGCTGAGTGCAGCATCAGCGGGTGCAGGAGGACGACGTCGCCGATTTCGCCGGTGACCTCGACGAACTTGTTGCACCGCTTGATCTCCTGCAGGTGCGACCAGAAATGCGGGTCGTCCTCGTGTTTCTCGGCTGTCGATGTTGTCGGGACGAAACACATCTTCCTTGGGTACACGCCTTCTGGGTGCTCGTTAAGGTACTTGGCGATGATGTCGATACCGTCGGGGGCGATGTAGGTTCCGCCACCTCGAGGCTTGATGTCCGTGAAGAGGGGAATGACGAGCAGACCCTGCTCTGGCGAATCAAGGAAATGTACCTGGCGATAACAAACCGTCACAATTTGTTCTCGGGTTTATGGAAGATAGTGATCTTACGAAGAAGTCACCGTCAACATGCCAATTGTCAAGGTCCTTTGGATGGCGAGAGACCGCCTGCTTCTCAAGCTCGTCTGAGCCTAGGTTCACGATGAACGAGTCGCCCCACCAGCCACTATTGGTCGAAATCCTCTCTTCTCCGCCAAGGAGGTCAAGCATAGCACCCCAGGCCTATCAACCATCTCGCGTTCAGCAAGTTCTCTTGAAAACAGGCATCACGTCCATCCCCTCACCTTAGGGGCGAACGTCGAGACAGCCTCACGATTATGGTGAGGCATGTTGATACGTTCCCTGTCTGTAGGCCATGTCGACTTGTCGTTCGGGTCGCAGCCCAGGCGCGTCCACAGGTCCTTGGAGAAATCGGCCGATTTCTCCCTCGAAAAAGCTTGCTTTATGACGACGAATCCATTTTCCATGAAGAAGTCGACCTGTTCAGCTACGCAAATGCTGTTCAGGGACGTCTGCGCGAACTGGCTAAAGAATACATACGCGTCAGATGCTCGTATTGCTTGACCATGGTGGCTCTTCTCTGGTGTAGAACGGTGCAAAAGCTTCGAGGGGATTTGGATTTCGACCGTCTTACTCTCGTTATTATGGGTTCGTATGTCCTTCCGCGGAGGAACGTCGGTCGTGACTCGTCAGATGGACTTCGGTCCGAGTAGACCCAGTGAAAACTGTGCACAAAGGCCGGGGTCCGGTCTCAGACACTACTGCTATTCACGCACAGGCTAAAATGAAGACGCAGATTTCTGGAAATGCGTGGTGAGCGGGGAACTGATGCGGTTCTGCGGGCATCCGTCAAGGCTCTGGAGAAGGGAACACGAGATCGTGCGGGGAACATAACATTGGACAGTGAAATCTGTTTCAAGGAGCATGACGAGATGTCCGAAGGTACTTTGGGTCGCATGATGTCCACGAGGCTTTATCAAATACTGGGGCCACCTACTCTTGTGCCTTTTTTCAGCGGCTGATATGCTCAATAATAGCTCTCGGACTTGCCACTCCGACTTACGACCTGGATCAAGTGACACAGCTGTGGCTGATACTGGATTTAATGACTTATGAAGCGGTCTGAGCAGAGGGAAGCCAAAAAAGTTGGTGCCAAAGTTTGAAAGGAGTTCATAGTACTCACATTTATTTCGTTGACACCTATTGCCGAAGTCTCTGCATTGTTAATTCCGGACAGATCAAGGGAGGTGGTGTATGCCAGTGATTTCAACGAAGTATGGTGGTATTTGCGCGAAGACTCATCAGAAGCTATTGTTCCGTTTGGCAACTCATACATATGCACACGTACTTGCTACACTGACATCCGGAAAATAGACACACTCCAGATAAATATACATGAAGCAGCTCAAGATACCAGCACAGGCGCAGGCGTGATAGCCATCCCGCTGTCCGCCTTCCTTGCCGCGAGCTCAGCCAGCCTCTTCTCCTCTTCCACCTTCATCTTATCCTTCTCCACACGCCTCTTCGGCGTAATCCGCTTGCGCTCCGTCGTAATCCTGTAATCCAGTCTGTCTACACCAAGCGCCTTGAGCGTCTTCAGCTCGACCAGACTGAAGTCGTCTGGATTCTCGCGGTTGAAGTTGAACGGCTCTCTGAGCGATACAGGCGGGTTCGTAATAATCCGTGGGATACGCAGGTGGTTCTTGCTCGCCGAGTGCAGCATGAGCGGGTGCATCAGGATAACGTCGCCGACCTCGCCGGTGACCTCGACGAACTTGGAGCACTTCTTGACCTCCTGCAGGTGCGAGTAATACCCCGGGTCGTCCTTCGGGTCCGTGTACTGCGACGTGGACGGCGTGAAGGACATTCCTGTGGGAAGGACGCCCTCCGGGTGCGCGGCGAGGTAGTTAGCAACAAGGTCGATCCCTTCGGGCGCGATGAAGGTTCCGCCGCCGCGCGGCTTGATTTCAGAGAAGACGGGGATGACCAGCATGGCTTGTTCCGGAGAGTCGAGGTAATGGACCTGGAGAGAGCTATCAATAGCGGGCATAGCGTATAGTGAGAGCGGGGCCTACGAAGAAGTCGCCGTCAACGTGCCAGTTGTCGAGGTCATGCGGGTCGAGCGACTTCTCCTGCTTGGCGAGCGCTTCCGTGCCCAAGTTGACGATGAAGGAGTCGCCCCATGCGCCACTGGGCTGGTCGATGCGTTCCTCCCCGCCTAAGAGCACCTTCATAATTTCCCAAACCTACTCAAATCTATGAGCAAGTAAACAATTTCGAATGTGTTGATATTGACCTTGGGCGCGAAAGTCGCGATGTCCTCGCGTTTGTGCCAAGGCATGTGGATCCGCTCTCGGTCCCAGGTATCCTTGTTAGTGGGATCGAGGCCGAGCCGCACCCAGATTGTCTCGGTCCATTCAGCTGCCTTCTCCTTCGTGAAGCCTTGCTTGATGACTACAAAGCCATTCTCCATGAAATTGTTCACCTGTTCAGCTGCGCACGTCCGTGAGCTTTCCGTTAGTCCAGGGAGCACGCCCTGCAGCACATACGTGAGAGGTGCTGGTACGTCCTATCAGTCATGTCTGCAGTAGATGAAGGCTCAAAGAGTGAGGGAGACGAGACGGCTATTCGGGCGCATATAAGCACCATGACGCGGGGCTACCCCGGACTTCGAAGGTGTCAGCTGGACACCGGCTCTCAGCCCGAGCAAGCCATTGTTCCAGAGCGCCACTCCCCCCGAACCAGGAACGGAGGTGGCTCACAGGCTAAGTATACCTTTGTTGAGCGTCACGGTGGGGCACAGGACCTCCTCGTTGCACGGTGCGGGAATGAGATAGCGGGAGAATTCTGGCGGGTGGACGTACCGTTCGAGCACTTGACGGCATCGTCAGATTTACTGTGCTCTCACGCGCACCCAACAAGGTGGAGCTTCAGGATGGAATGAGTATTGCGGGCGCAAAAGGTACAAATGCTAGAGCTATGAAAGCTTCAGAGACGTTCCCGCCCGTGGTAAGCATCTCGGGCAGTGTTCGGAGGTCAAGTCACGCACTGTGTACAAGGGAATGAAATGGTCGATGAAAAAAGACTGACATCTCCTTGAGCGCGATTAACTAAGACTCTTGATATGCGCTTCTTGGAACGGATCGCCGAACTCTGGTGAATGGGTGCGAAGTTGAGCATCATCTCGAGACAGCAACAGGCAACGCGAAAGAGGCAGAGCACCCACCCTTCTTCAGCTGCTCAGCCAGACCGGTGTCAACCAGCTCTTCCTTGTCCTTGCGCATGCCATGCCCCTCCTTGAAGCGAGATGCGGGCCCCCCTGAACGTCACGGTCCGTCAAGGCTGCCCCAAGAATACTGTACATAGTGATGATTACGCACCCATCGCATCTTCCCGTCGCCTACTCTTAGGATCTCTGCGAGGGGCGCCGCCGTCGTGCAGGCGACGCTTCGATGACGATGGGCCGGCAGGACCGCCGCTCATCATCTGAACCGGCTGGGAAGAGAGTTGGAAATCATCGGGCGGGGGTGAGCCAGACGAGTTCGAGTCCGTAGAGGTGGGTGATCCGGGGTCTGGCGAGTTCATATCTGAATGTCGATCGTACAATGTATTTTGACGTGAGTGAGCCTGATAGTAAGCAGGAGAACGGATTAGGATGTGCAGACACGCGTCCGTCCGCGGCAGACTTTGAAACGCGGCTTCACAACGAAGGTGACGCGTAGGAACGACTATCTTCCGTAAACTATAAAGTTCTGCCTACGGGAGACTAGGTGACGCGCCGTACCGGCCCCAATCATTGGCATGGAACTCGCGTCTATCACTACCACTCTTCCTTCATAACCTCCTTATAACTTCCCCTGCCAGCTCTGGGCTGACATTATGGCCGCAGCTTCGAAGGCCGGGCGCTCTCTGCGCATCATTGCGCTACCTTTGACTCGTCCAAAAGCACCACTCAAAACCTCCGCTAATGCTAAAGCCGCGCTCGATGCCAACCGGATGCTTGTGTACTACCACTTCAATATCGTCTCTTCTGCCTCGGATAGCCGGCAAACGTCAAAGATATCTCAGTATGTCAACAAAGCGACGACAAAGGTGGCTGCTATCTGGGCCGACTTCGGGAAAGCGCCAGAGGACAACTGGAAGGTGCGTACGCCGAGTTATCCATAGACATGGGTCTCATTTGTTAGATTTTTGTATGAATTCATAGTTCAAATTGTATAAGTACGGGGAGCGTTTAAGTGATCGGATTGACTTCGAGGAGCTCGCATTGAAGGGTGTTGACCCTTCCCTTGGCCCTTCCCTTGCCCACCCCGATGTCGGGGGCAAGGAAGCAGAGAAAATAGAAAATGATTCGCCCTCGCCCGAGAGTTTGGTGAGCCTGTAAAGCTTTGATGTCTTGTTCAAAACTCATAACTTCTCAGATTTCTATCATATATCCACCGTCGACGTTTAGGTCCCTCGGTGCAGGCAGTTCCTCAAATACACATCCCGTTCTTGAACATCTTCGAGACCTTCTAGCGACGCGAGAGCCCCGGCATCGCAAAGGCTTTTGGACCTGGACAATAATAGCTCCTTTCACTGCTCCATTTGCTATCATTCGTAAGCGCACTTTACTCTGCGAGTGCATGGTCAGACTTAGACTCAACTCATTCTTAGCTGTCATTCCCAACTTGCCCTTTTTCTTCTGTGCCTGGCGTGCATGGTCACATTACAGAGGTAAAGATTCAAAGCAATGAGATGCACTAGGCTCCGACTCACCATGCTGAATTTGGCTCACAGCATATCGGTCTTCTCAATACCTGAAACTTCTGCTTGAACACGGCATGATAGTCCCGCAAGAAAGCGCTGAATTAGACGAGATCTATGCTACTACCGCCCCCTCCCCAGAATCAACGCATGATACCAAGGCCTCCAGTGAGGAGGAGCCGCTGCTGTCAAAGGCGGCACCACCTCAGATTTTGCTCGATCGGAAGGCCATACCACGGATAGTCGAGCTATTTGGACTTCCAGAGTCTTCTTCTACGGAGATGTACCGTGCGGCGGAGCAGGTACGCCTGCGTCTAGAACCACCATCACAATAGAATATAGATCATACGACGGAAGCTTAGATGTAAAGGCGAAAGTTGATGCTAAGCGCTCACTGCTCGTAAGCAGACATTCTAGCTGAAGAAAATGGCCTACGTAGTACTACTTACTAATGTAAACCCCACTTGCAAACATACTCTACATTGCTCTCGTCAATAGGCGCCAAATGCGACGTCGCGCTATCACATGTCACTGTCGCGCGCAGGGTCTCGCACTTGGCGGAAGCAATATTATTAAGCAATTGGAAAGTTGCTGAATGATATCACAGGAGCTTATAAGGTAGAGCTCAGGCCAGGCAGATGTCTGCGCGCCCTGCTGCATTCTACCACAATGACCTCTGTTATTGGGCTCTTCAAGCGTATCTATACGGTAAGCACTTATATCGTCACCTCTGATCCAACGCCCTTTGTGAAACGTGAACGACCTTAATGTTAATCCTGATCTCAGCTCGCGAACCCGCCGAAGGCCGATGTCAGTGCCGAGGCCGGATCACCTATCAAGTTTGGTATTCTGGGCGCCGCCAACATCGCGCCGCCGGCACTCACCAACCCAGCAATAAGCCATCCCGAAGTCGAGATCTACGCCGTCGCCGCCAGAGACGAGAAGAAGGCGCAGCAGTTTGCGAAGAAACATGGTATCGCCAAGTTCTATGGTGGCAAGGACGGATATCAGAGTGCGTGTTTCTCGTTGCCTGCGCTCTTTGTCCACAGGGGCTCATGTTCGCGCTGACCAGAGCTCCTGGACGATCCCGAGGTTGAGGTCGTTTACAATCCCGTAAGTTCATATTAAGTTTGTCTCTGGACGCACGCTGACTGATAGCCTAGCTTCCTAATGGCCTGCACTACGAGTGGACCATGAAAGCTCTCGCCGCTGGCAAGCATGTGCTACTTGAGAAGCCCAGCTGCGACACTGCTGAGGAGACTCGGCGCGTCTTTGAGTTTGCTGAGAAGAAAGGTCTCGTCGTTCTCGAGGCGTTCCATTTCAGGTGAGTGTTCAGTTAGAAAGCTGCTATTCATTGACAGATGAGTAATATTGCCCCTCGCAGGTTCCACCCTGCTATCCAGCGCGTCAAGCAGATTATTGACAGCGGTGAAATTGGCACTGTCAAAGAAACATATGCTTCTCTCGTTATGCCCGGCGGGGTCATCAAGGATGACGACATTAGATTTCAGTATGACTTGGGTGGAGGATCTCTGATGGACATGGGATGTAAGTGCTCTCCCTACACCATCAAAGTGTGAAATTCGGTATAATATGACCGCTACACTCAGGCTACACGCTCATGTGCACGCGCTACCTCCTGGGCACGAACCCATCCGCCGTCGTTAGCGCCACTGCAAAGCGCTTCTCCGGCGACAACCGCGTCGACGTCGGCACCACCGCTGAGCTCACCTTCCCCGCACCCGCGGGCTCCGACTCGTCCGAGCCCATCAAGTCCAAGATCCACTGCGACTTCAAGGACCCAAAGTACTTCGGCATCATCCCGCGCGTGCCCGATATCAGCGTGCGCGTCACGGGCACCGAGGGCTCCGTCGAATTGTATAACTTCGTGATGCCGACGCTTTACCACCACCTCACTGTGCGTCCCACCGGTAAGGGCAAAAAGACAAGGACGGAGAAGGTGTACAAGTTCGCGGACGGGACGCGGTGCGAGGAGTGGTGGTCGACGTACCGGTTGCAACTGGAGGCGCTCGTGCACAGGCTTAGGGGCAGGACGCCCCAGACCTGGGTGGAACCCCAAGACTCGATTGACAACATACTTTGGATAGAGAAGGTCTACGAGGCGGTATGTGCACCATCCATTCCTCCCTGGTCAGAGTCGCTACTGACCCATTGGAATCCAGACTGGTCTTGGGTCGCGCCCTCCGTCTTCGTTCGTACTTCCGGAGTCAGCTTAATCGTCTGGGTAGCGAGCCCATGGAGCATTCTCTGTTGGGACACCATGATTCATTTCTAAGTTTAGCTATCGTATCCTGAACATTTTTCATTTGTTGTAAAGGCTATCAGTAGCATTGTACCAGCAGAAATTCGGACCTTTTCAAAGCTCGCGAACAAGGGTTTTCGCCTTCATATGCGGGTTGTATGCAAGCAATTTACGACCTTGCTTACACTTCAAGTTAACGTGCCGCAACATTATTCCTCTTTCACGAACGATACGCCCACGATGTTCACCCCCAGGCAAATCCATGGACCAGCTCGTCCTAATCAAATCCATAAACACCCTGTTAAATCTCTACCCCGAATGCCCAAGAGTCCGAGGGTGACGTTCGGTAGGGTTAAGTTGGCTATTCTCCGTAGCACAATGGGCCACGTAATCCACTGCGGGGCTTGTGGGCACCTCGTTCATTATGTCCTAGTGGGTTGCCGGCAAGCCTCGATTTCATGTGGGTTGGAGGCTTTTCCCCCAAGCTGAATCACGAGCAGAGAGCGCTATCATAGACGATAGATACACTTGAATTGTCGTCGGCCCCTGCCGGTTTGCTTCTTTCTCGTTCACTAGATCCTCAGCTTCTTGGGATTAGGCATCGTTGACACCTCTGAGCCATCATTAATTCATTGCCCAGCCTCACTCCTGTCGTCCGTCAGTCCACTCTTTGGAAAATTGGACTGTACGGGTTGTACGAAGTCGTGGATAAGTTGCTTCCGAAACTCTAAGAGTTCTGTTCGCCACTTGTCGGTCTTGAGATCCACGAAGAAATTTGGGTTCCCTAAGAGATCACCAAAAACTTGCGCCATTTTCTCTATTGTCCACTCAGAACCCTTAACCTCATCAGAAGACGTTGCATGAGAGTGGGTTTCCTGCCAGAGATAGTGACGATGTAGACCCTTAAAGACTGCCTTGAGTAGTCGCTCTACTCCCTCCTCAAAATGATATGCCTGGATGTTCTTCACAGCAAATTTGTGGTTGGTGATCCAGTACTTCTTTGTCAAACCTCGCTTCCTTAACAAGACCGTATCGTTCACCTCATCGAAGAAGTCCGCGACATCGCATCCTAAGTCCTCCACATCTGCGTGTGGGAGGAGGGTCAGGCAGCAGTAAAAGAGAACATAAAGTAGGGACTGTATGTCATCCTGAAGAGTGTGACGGAAATCAGACGAGCCTCGAGCCGCCTCCGCAGAGAGGTAGGGCCATGTTCCCTAGGCAATGGAGCCGAGTGTAAGTGGAGTACTTGATGCAAGCGATATATTACAACTTACAGCCACTGATGTATCATTCGCAACACCCTGGTCATCCGTGGTGCTACACGCATCCCAATCGGCCAAAAGTCCATACCTGCGCTCCCCTGTAGTTTTACGAAATAAAAGAATATTGGATGAGCTAATGTCCCTGTGAAGTAGTCGAGAATCACGAGCGCATCGAAGAGCTAACGAGCAATGCGTTATCAAATGAAGTCGACAGACCATTTCTTTGAAATTTACCAGTGATCACGTCATGAGCGGCAATGAACAATTCACGGGAGTCCTTGAAGTCATTCAGCGTGACAGCGGCTTGCTCCAAAACGAGGCGATAGTGCATGTAGGCCTTGACTCTAACTTTCCTGCCGGCCCTAACGGACCAACTGGCCCTTGCGTAAATCTGGGTCACAGTCTTCTGATCTAAGTTTAATGGTGAAACCTCATTATTTCTGATGTCTTGAGGGATTAAGCTACACTTACATCCCATGTTGATGTCATCGAAGGTGTCCCCAAGACGGGGAAAGGCATATGACGAAGCACTTTGCCTGACATCTCCGTGACCACACATGGTCGGCACGTTTTGCGCGCAACTTGCATTCAGAATCTCGTAGGTTGAGCCCTCCTTTGGTGCGCCATCTTCATCATCCCGCCATGTATCTTTGAGAAAGACAATCTGCCAGCTGTCTTTGTTTGCGTTGGCGGCCCAATAACCTCGTGTAGATTTGTCTGTCGCGCTTTCAGGGAGGCAGATGGGCTTGGAGACTAGATAGTGCTGGATGATCTTACTCCTTTCGTCGTAGACGGCTAGATTCGTAACATTTCCGGGCTCGTAGTGCTTTGCGACGTGATCGTTCAAGTTTTCCTGCTCTTCTGGCATGATTGAACCGTTAAAAATTTGAATCCTCACATGGTCTTCAATAGCTTTCAGAAATGCTGCTTCTTCTTTTTGCGAAGCAGCGGTATGGGAGATGTCAATACCGCGATCCATAGCGCTTGCGTGTTTATAGCGCCAGAGGAATTCAAGGAGATAAAGTGTTGCCCGATAGTCGAATGCACGAGTCACAACAGCCCCAGCACGATCCCACCGAATGATCCTAGCCCGCGTCTCGCATATGAAGACTATGAAACATGATGTGCGGTGCTGTTCTATGAGGATCTGGGTAGAAAGTTGTGAGATGCGCCCAATGCACTCCATGGATTGTAAGGGGATTTGATCATCACATGTTCGAAAAAGGTGACATTGTGAGGTATCCACTTCCGGGTTGGGATCATTGAAGGGGTCAGGTCCTTGGTGGATTACAAAAGCAATATGTACGTGTCGAACGTTTATACCATCCTGGATAGACCCTCCTGGTGCTGGAGTAGCTGTAGCATTGTCAAGGACATGCGTCTAATATCTCCTGAAGTTGGACGTACTTGTACCTTGCTCACCAACGTTGGTTGGTGTACTTGATGAAATGAAGAGTTCGTAACAACTGGATTCTTGCAAGGCTGTGGACTGAAACGTTCATGTCAGTCAAGGGGCACGTTGTACTTCACGAGACGTACTTACTAGGAGGTCTAAACAGCCTTCTGAGGACCTGCCAGCGTAGTCACTTTCCAAAGGTCTATTATTAAACGTCTCCTTCATAGTCTCTGTTAGCGGCTCTCCAGCCTGGGGAGGACACAGAGCAGGATCACTAAAGAATTCCGCGAGAGGCATGAATCCGACCATATTTTGTTGAGCTAGATGAAAATGCTGGAAAATCATCCGCTGGCTCAGGTTCTCGTAACCATCCTCTGAATACTCTGAAGGAGACCGTGAACGAGAAGCAGTACTATGGAACGTATCATAGGCCAGTGGTTCTTGCATAATTCTGCTCGGAGACAACAGTGAAAGGCAAGTGAAGGGCGTGTAAAGGGGCTTCGACTAGCAGTGAAGGTTTATGAGGGTAGCGGATCCGGGTTACGAAGCGAATGAAAAAACGAAGCGCCTGCAGAGTTCCGAGGTTGTTTCCTGTGTCGCGTGTTTACATCAAGTCGATGCGGCCAAGTTCAGCTCACTCCGAGTCGAGCGCGTTCCGGAGGTACAGTATTAGGCAGATAGGGAGCAGTAGTACTGTACCTATACGACCGTAGGTTCGTCACGCCTCACACTTGACCCATAAAATGAACTTATCTCGAGAAATTTACAGCTTGGCCAATACAAACGTCACGTGACTTCCCACGCCAAGGGAATCCCGGGAGGGGAACCCGGGTGGCGCGGAGGGAGGCAGCGGGGCAGGGTGGTCGGAGGGACTCCGGGAGGGCGGGAGGCGCATCTCGCGCGCGTCGGGACACGTCTTGGGCCAGCGAGGTACTGTGTAAGTGCCGAGGCTGCCGTTGTAAATGCCAAGTCGCCAAGGGTTCAAATAAGCAGTCGTAAAGTGCTCTTTTGGCGGGGGATAAGTGCATCAGTAACTTATCGTCGAGAAATTTACACTTGGCGCTGTAAAAGCGAGCCTCGGGGTGTACAAGCGAGGCTCGAAAAGGTAAGAAGGTCTGCTAATTTTTTTTTTCGAGCGCTGCGCGCGCCTTGTCCAAAAGGAGCTCGGTTAACGAGCGGCGGCGACGCGCACACCAAGCGCGCGCGTCACAAACCTTCGTGCACTCAGCTGCGCACTTCATGCACTGAAGCTGTTCTATAATACAGATGGCTAGTTGTATATAGAGTAAAATAAACTGATTTGAAGACCATACACGCGGAGGGGACATACTCGCGGGAGCAGCTATTGACACGACGGACTTCAAGAATTCTCCACCTTCGAACTATATTCGGCCGGGTTCCTCGGGAAATGCCGAGGAGAGAATCCTTTTACAACATTTACGCTCGGCTCTGTAAATTTCTCGAGATAATACTACTTAAGACCTGGTTCGTCACCCATCACACAAGACAATGAACCTCACTGCGTGACGAAAAATACTAAGACTCTTATATTCTGATGTAGTAAAGCCGTTCGCTGCAGCGAGTGTTTTCTGCATCCCTTGCGCTGCGAGTTTAATATTTCCGAGACCCTTACCACGAGCATAGTTGACCGGAGATGGGATGTCGAGCTTCAGCGAGTCAGTCATACCCAAGCCACACCGGTGGCGAAGGTTTGAGGCACCTGTGCACAGGCCCAATGGACGAGGAATTAAAAGGTGGTCCGCGTTGCCTTCTTCTCCTTCCAATAAAACATCCTCTTCGCCCCCGTTTTCTTTGGCAGTGATGTTTTGATGATGTTACCGACCTGGGACCCTGGTTCAAAGTCACGCGTTCGCTGGATGTTTGAACTTTGGTCTCGTTGGAACTTATTTTGATTCCATGTCGCGCAAAAATCCCTTGAACGTATGGTTGTGTAGGTACAGTACACCATACAGAGGGGCTATCAGGTTCGGGAATCGGAACACGCCTACAATTCAGGCAAAAGATTGCGAAAGGGGGCTTGAAGAAACCCACAACTTCCAAGTCCTTAGTTTCCCACTGGCTAGCTAGTCAACTACCGAGGCTCCCTAGTAGATACTATTCCAGCGTAGGTTCATTTTCTCAGACAAGACAACGTCATTAGCAGAGTGCTTAAGCTGGAGAGATTAATCCGGATATACCGTACCTCAACTTCTTGCGTTCGGGTAACGTTGGCATCTCCAGGCTGTCACAGCTGCTGCCACATTCATCTATGTCCAAGTCGTCCATCAGGGATCGCTTCTTTGACAGGTTGGATTGTAAAAGATCGTGTGCAGCGTAGACAAGTTTCTCCCGATACTTTTGGAGCCCCGAAAGCCATTTATCGGTTTTCAAATCCACGAATGAAGTTGGATTCCCTAAAATGTCATCGAAGACTTGCGCCAATTTCTTTATTGCCCAGTCAAAGTCTGATGCCTCATAGGGAAGTGTCAAATAGGACCTAGGTTCCTGGAAGTAGAGGTCGTATAGGACTTTGAAGAATGCCTTGAGGAATCGTTCTACCCCTTCCTCAAAGTGATATGACTCAATGCTTGTTTCTGCGAAGTGAAAGTCATGGATCCAGCTTTTCTTGGTCAAACCTCGCCTCCGTAAGAGGACTCCACTGTTTATCTCATCAAAGAAGTCGGCCACTTCCAGTCCTAGGTTATTTACATCTGCATGTGGAAGGAGGGTCATGCAACAGTACAACAGAACATAAAGTAGGGACTGGGTGTCGTCCTGGAGAGTATGACGGAAACCAGGCAAGCCCCGAGCAGCCTTTACGGAGAGAAAAGGCCAAGTCCCCTGGGTAGTGGAGCTCACCGTCAGTAACTAATGTAAATCACTAGTGAAACTTACTGTTGAAGATGTATCATTCGCAAGCCCACAATCATTGGTAGTGCTAGACACATCCCAGTTGGCCAAGAGTCCATATCTGCGCTCCCCTCTGGCTTTGCGGAAGAGGAGAATGTTGATCGGGCTGATATCCCTGTGAAGTAACTGGATGTCACGAGCGCTTCGAAGAGCTAACGGGCAATGCATGATGAAAACTCCGACACGTCAAGTATTTAGGCATACCATCAATCACGTCACGAACTGCAGTAAACAATTCCCGGGAGTCCTTGAAGTCATTCAACGTCACTGCGGCTTGCTCCAAAACGAGGCGATAATGCGTGTAGGCCTTGAGCATGACTTTTCTGCCTGCCCTAGCAGACCAGTCGGCCGTCACGTAATTCTGGGTTACAGTCTTCTGGCCTGAAACTGGGCTAATATTAGTCAGTCTGATGTCTTAAAAAATAAAGCCATATTCACATAACGCATTGGCGTTATCAAAGGTGTCTCCAAGGCACGGGAATGTATCTGCAGAGTCTCTTTGCCTGACGTTTCCGTGGCCACACACGGTCGGCACATTTTGCGCGCAATTTGCGGTCAAAAGCTCATATCTTGTGCCTTCTTTGACTGCGCCATCTTCGTCGTCCCGCCATGTATCTTTGAGGAAGGTAATCTCCCAACCGTCGCCATTCAAGTTTGACTTGGCGGCCCAATAACCTCGTGTGGACATGCCTATTGCGTATTCAGGCAGGCTGGTAGGCTTGGAGACCAGATAGTGTTGAATAATTTTGCTCCTCTCGTCGCACACGGCCAGCTTTGTGACGTTGCCGGGCTCGTAATGCTCTGTGACATATTCTCTGAAGCTCCCCTGTTCCTCCGGCGTGATTAAGCCGTCGAAGATTTGAACCCTCAAATGGTTCTCAACAGCTTCCTTGAACGCCGCTTCTTCTCCTTGTGTAGCGGTGGTATGGGAAGTGTCGACGCCGCGATCCATAGCATTCGCGTGTTTGTAGCGCCAGAGGAATTCAAAGAGATGAGGTGTCGCCTTATAATCGAACGCGCGAGTGACGACAGCCCCAGCACGATCCCATCGAATGATCCTAGCCCATCTCTGGCGTATCATAACGATGAAGCATGACGTGCGGTGCTGTTCTGCAAGGATATGGGCGGAAAGTTGCGAGATGCGCCCGACGCACTCCATCAATTGTAAGGGAACTTGACCACCAGACGTTCGAAAAAGATGACATTGCGAGGCATCCACTCCGAGGTTGGGATCATTAAAGGGGTCAGGTCCATCTTCAACCAAAAAAGCGAGCTGCGTATGCCGAAATTTTACACTGTCATGGTTCGACATTCCCCGTTCTAAAGCACTGTACCATTATTGGGGGCACGCGCCGATATCGCCAGAAGACAAACTTACAAGTGTCTTTCTCACCGGGGTTCAATGGTCTTCTTGCTACAGTGATAAAGTCGCGCAGCTCAGATTCGTCCAAGGCAGTGGGCTGGGTCAATGCTAAGTGTCGGCGCACGTCTGGACCTTCGGCGAGCTCACTAGTAGGAATCCAGGGTCACCTTCCGAAGACCCTCCTTCAAACATCTCCTTCATGGTCTCTGGTAGTGGCTCTTCGGACTGAGGAGGGCACAGAAAGGGGTCACTGAAGAAGTCCGTCAAAGGTATGCATCCCAGCATATTTCCTTGAGCTCGATGGAAATGTCGCATTAGTGAATGCTGGCGTAGAGTTTCGGGATATGCATCCGCCTCACGTTCTTGACGCGAGCGTTGCTCAATTGTAACACCATAGGACGCGTCGTTCGGCAGTAGTCCCTGCATGTTGCTGTTTCAAGTGAGGGTTAATATGCTTGAGAGGGGCGTCAAGTTCGTCAGAGCAGCGCGTAGCTATATGTTGGATATCGTAGATATTAAAAGCGAGAAGCAAGCGTCTCTAGGATCCCAAGCTTTCGATTTGATTGTTGTGTGTTTGAAGCTGACGGTCGAGTTCAAGCGCGTCGCGGAGGCAGTACTGCTTTAAAGCGCTGTGGGGTAGTGAGCCGGTGGCGGTGCCGTCGCGTTCAGGTCCGTATATCGCTGGTTGCCTGAGGAGATGGGGCGAGCGCTGTTTGGTAACTCGAAGTACTCAACGTACTCAACGACAGGAACTCTCTAACGGATATTGTTCCAACGTAGGTGACATTCCCTCAGACAAAACGGCGTCACTAGTAAAGTACTAAATTTGAGAAGATTAATCCGGATATGTTGACATATACATTTAAAATGAGAGCGCGACTAACATCGCGCCGCTCGTGGGGGGTATGTGATTAACGAAGTCCGCTGGTATAAAGTCCACTGCCGCGACCCATCACAAGAAACCTAGTAAGGAGCAAGAGTCTAACATTGCCCCAGGAAGCTGTTCTTCGGAATCGGCTGGCCAAAGTCGTCTTTCCATGTCGTCAGGTTTGGGTTGTTGTATGCCTCTGAGTATCTATTCCGCGCACGGGCGCGATATGGTCAGCAACCCATGGAAAAGAGATAAGAACGGCGAAGAGGAACATACTGATTGATATACGCCGCAGTCGGGTACTCCTTTGGGTCGCATCCAACGTTGATCGCGTCCTTGGGTTGATACACGCGTACCCAGTCGATCCGCATTTTTGTCGGGAACTTGAGATGCGCGGTGTCGAGAGGGACGAACTGATTCGAGAGGGCAACGTTGGCGATAATGTACTATATATGACCAAATATTCAGTAATTGGACGAGGTGTTAAGGATCATAGGGCAAGATGGTGCTTACCAGGGGCTCGCCTGTGATCGGCCTGTCGTTGACCTCGACAGTGGGATCGGCGGCCATACCATCTGCGTAAAACGTCCATGCGAGCTTGTTATTCGCGACCCAGCTGATGTACTGCTCAATGTTAGTCTGATGACACTCTGTCCAGTGCTGGAGCATGCATACCCCGCTTTGGTTCTGGTATCCTGCGGCGCACTCGTCAGTGCTTCGGTAACACAAGAAAGACAGAACTACTGACCTGGTTTGTACTCAAACCCGTGGGTAGCAAAACATCCGGTATTCTGGTCGAAGCAATCCGGATCTACGTGGCAAACGTCTTAAATGCGGTCCACTGAGGGAGCATACTTCAGTGGTCATACCGGCTTTAGTGACAGCGGACGTCGCTTGCTGGTAAACCCCTCCGGCATATGAGTTCAACTGCGTGAGGTCAGGATCACCAAACTCATAATTGTTGTGCGTGTTGAAGGTATAGCCATGGTTAAATGGCTGGATTTAACGTCGTGTCAGCAGGGGCAACGTAATAAATTAGATAGTATTGAAGGAGTCAGAACTTACCGCCCATTGTGCCGATTGCGACAAACCAGCCGAATTCGGCCCGCCGCTGACCTGAAAGTGGAGAAAAAAAATGAAGGTTACGCTACGCACCCACCCAGATCATATACATACCTGAGCCTCAAAGATATCAATCTCTGGCGCGGACCTCCCTACAAATGACCCATCGCTGTGCATTGGGCCCGGGTGGCTCTCTCCTGGGCAAGTGCAGCGGGACAGCCGTTGGCCAGGAAGAAACGACAACGAGCCGCCGTTGTATTTGTCTCCGCCCGTCAATGCAGCTTTTGGCCCGCCATTGTGCGTCTGGTTGGCCACGGTGCCAACGTCGCAAGAGTCATAGACGTAAGGCCACTGTATACAGTAGTTCGCTCAGTAGTTGTGGGCGGGAGCAGGGGAAGAAGAGAGAAAGGGACTTGCCATGCCGTCAAGGGTTGCGCCGTATCCAACGCGTCCTACGACTTTAAGAGCACTAATTAGTAAAGAGGCAGAAGCGCCTTACCTAGGTTGCCCATCGTCCACACAGCGGGCCACATACCTTCAAAAATGAGTAAATGACTGTATTGGTGATAGGACGAAGAGATACTAACCACTGACAGTGCTCGACCCCGGCAAAGTGACTGACGCCAGGATAAGCCCGCCCGTAAAGCAGAACTTGTTCCAAGTTGATACTGAACCACTCAGATAGTTAAGGTTGTTGATATTCTGCTTTGATACCGTAATCTCCATGGCGCCATTCTTAGTCGTGACCGCCTGTGGAGAGTACCACTCAAGATCATTTGTCTATGCGTGTCAAGAGACCACACCATCAGTATGCTAGTAACTCAGACCATTCGAAGGGGAATAATCCTCACCGACCAAGCATGCAAGTCAACCGCCTCCCAGTACGGATCATCGCCTGGCCAAAACGTCCGCCCATCCTGCTCGAATTCGTCGCTGAAGACGAGCTGCCACTCGTCCCCACTCGCATACGACTTGAATGTGTGCGCAGACGATGGCGTGTCCGGGTCAATCAAACCAAAGCCGCCGGCCATTGTTGGGATCTAACCGCAAATGATTGTTCTGGTTCAGTGCACGGATATACACCTTTGATATGACGATACTTACCTGCCCACTCGCGTTGACTCCACCCAGATTAAAGCCACCATTGTTCGACTGTGCGTGCTTCGTGAAGTATAGAGCGAGGGGATAGCCAGCGCTGTATCGTGAAAGTTGGCGTTATGGTAACACAGCGATCAGCAAGAGCATATAACACAGAAATTGCGGAACACTAATGACGTACAAAAGGCCCATAAGTAACGCTGCAAGAAGGAAGAGGCACCCCAAGTTGCTAATGCCTCTCGCGGTAAAGATGGGACCTCCACTGTCTGTGGTACGGTCTCTCTTCGGGTCGGGATTGTGCAGATAGTCATCCGGCTCTGGGTCGCCGGGGCGTGCATTTAGTCCCCATAATGCCGGATCAGCGTTGAGCGAGAACTTGCGGCGTCAAATCGATCGTGGGGCCGCATCGCGGTGCATCGCAGAGTAACGCGAGTATAAGCACATGAACGCACTGAACAAGTGAGCATACTACATACCTTGTCGGATACCGTGCCTTTGAACGCGCCTCGGTCCGCTGCCGCGCGGTAATCCTGCGAGGCTAGAGAGAACTGAGAGTTGCGTGTCCCGGGTGCGGACCAGCCAGAGCTGCGCAGGCGAGTCTGGTCAGTGTAGTCTGACTGGCGAAGGAGGTTGGTGCTGGATGCAGATGGAACCGCGTCAAACGGGGAAGGGAGCTGGCCCTCCGGGTCTGATGCCATGATCAAACAAGGGATCAGGCAAAGGTAGATAGACCAACTAAAAGGGAAAGAGAGAGAAAAGACGAGGGAAGGGAAGGAGAGGGAAACGACTTGCGATATGGAAAACGCGAGAGTAACGGCAAGAGTGAAAGAAGTGATGGAGAAAGGGAGGGCGGCAAAGTACTGGTAGGGCTTGGCGGCGGCATATGCGGCAAAACGGCTCAGAGAAAGGTGAAGGCGTTCAGCCCTGTCACTAAGCCGTAACGATGAGGTCCTCCAGGGTCCCTCCGCGCGTAAAGGTTTTTGACGTCATTTTGCGCGACATATATATGGCATTTCGCCTTGCGTATAAGCTGCAAATCGATAAACGCGGCCCGGTACTGGCTGCTGCACTTTGGGAGGAACATACATACTATCGTCACCCCCTAGTCCGGTGTTTTCATGTACAGCATATCCTCGTGGCTTGAGCCAACGGAACGGGTACGCCAAGACGGCAATGTGTTGCCGCACTGTAGCCGCCCGTGGAGTGAACGCATTGTTATTGAATCCGAAAGCGGAAGCTGCATAAACGGGGCTAAAGGGCCCGATTTTGTTATCGCAAATCGGAATCCGAACGGCTTTGCTCTCACGGTCACAGCAAACAAACGAGCCCGTTGCTGCACTCATCGTTCGACAGCACGCGATTCCATAACATGTTCATGACATATTCTCGTTTGCGATACACCGTGGTCGACATGTCCTGGTGATTTCAATCGACGTCGCCCGTACGCATCGTGCACGAGCACATCGACGCCTGTTTTCCAAAGCAACCCGTGCGATTGCGCACAAGATTCTCATGATCTACCGTGCATGTGTGCGGTTGCGCAGACGATCGAGGAGCACACCTCGAATGTTCATACGATATCCAAGTGTAGGGCAGATAGGAATAGCCAACTAACCTCAGCCATCATTTTAGATCTACACCATGGCCCTGGTCCCTGGGGCCCAACTCTTCCCTTCTGCTTCCCCCTCAAGCTGCCGATTCGAACAAGCGCGCCCTAGCAGAGACATCATCTATCCTTCGAGAGCAACGGTACCTTGACTGGGGCTGCTGAGGCATAAACAGGGATCGACAAAGAAGATTCCGAAGGGCGCTCAACCAGTTACTATTCGCCGGGCTCGATGGAAATGATATCATCTGTACCAGCCTCAAAGCAGCAAAAGGAGTCTCCGTTTTTCGCGATTGGGCAGTCCAAAACAACATATGATCGACTCTAGACATATGGGATAGTCTGAACACGCAAAGGACTACGATGCTTACGCAGGTCAGGCTCGGCCCAACCCCTGTCTTAACCTCTTACTAGACGCAGACTGGGACAGATTAGACGCGGGGCGAGATTGAACTGAACCCGCGCCCAATCTGTCCCGTTCTGCGTCTGAAACAACATATCGCTGTGTCACGATCCAAACTGGCTGACGGCGGCGCTCTCTGAAGACCGAACCTGGTGCGGTGCTGGTCAGAGACCTCATGAGGCAACAGCAGACATATAAAAGCTCACCATGGATGCCACAAGTTCTTCAGTATTCATCGCTACTACCTTGCCTACATCGCTCTTAACGCACTCAAACTATCCAACCACTCTCATCTCGATGTCTACTCCCAACCAAGACGTTCATCACGATCCCGCCCAGGCCCTGTCTTCCTTCTTTGCGGAGATTTTGGGCCTTCGGGCTGGTGTCAAGAACATGAAGCTCGACGTCCAGAACGATGTCGACGACTTTCGCAGCAGGCTCGACTGGGGCCTTGAGCGCTTCTGTGCTCAGGAAGGCCATATCGAGGTCCTGACGACTCGCCTCTCCGAACAGGCGGCCATCCAAGAAGCCATGGAGTGTCAGCTTGCGATGCTCGTCGGCAGTGTTGACGACCACCGGCGCAGCGATCGTGCTTTCACCAAAGCTCTCGAGGTGTTCATGACCAAGGAGTTCCGCCGCGTCAGCAAGCTCGAAGAGGGACGGAAGGCATTCTCCGACAAGGTCACTCTCATCCAGGATCAGATCGACACACTTGGCCGCACGACTGGCGCCAAGCAGGATGCGATCTTGGCTTTGCTCTCGCGTCTGCGTCCCAACGAACTGAATGCCGAGGTGGCTAACTCCGTCACTATCCATGCGAAGGCTGCACACAGCGCGTTCTCCAGGCAGCTTTCCTCTGTCCGACGCGAGCTCACCAATGTCAAGACCGAGGTGGGCAACGCGGCTCCTGTTCCCAAGGCCGACGGCACTGCTTTAGGCCCACTCGACGAGACCGCCGCTGAATGCCGAGCGCGCATTCTAGCTAACGTTCAGAAGCGTATCGAAATTAAGATAGCGGCTGGTAAGTCGACCTGATCATCTTCGATTGTATTCGTGCCCTCTAACCCCCGCTGCTCAGGCCATAACGCTCCTTCCAATCTGAGGGGCATATCGGACTTTGTCAACGGCTTCAATGGCTGTCCTGAGCCTTCCGCATTGGCGACGTTCCAGACTGGTTCCAACGCTGGCACCTCGGCCTCTGTTCCCGCTTCTTTGTCTTCCACCTCGGCCCCTGCTCCTGTTGCTGTTGCATCGTTGCCTGCACCTGTTGCAACTGCCCCGTCCCCTGTCGCTGTTGCTCCCAAATCCTCGTCTGGTTCCTCGCGCTCTACGGCCCCCACCTCGGTTGTCTCTATCTCGGCTCCATCGTCTTCGTGTGTGTACGTTGCACCTCTCCCGGCTCCATCGTCTTCGCCTCTGCCCGTGGTGTCTGCCCCGGATGCACAATTGTCGCCTAAGGCCGCTGCGTCTGTCCCAGCTGCACCATCATCGCACAAGATCTCTGCATCTGTCCGCTTTGCGCCGTTCTCGCCTCGTGTGACTAGCACTCCCCGCTCTACATCTGGTTCATCTCTTCTTCGGCGCGCTACTGCTATTGTGCCTCCACCGTCGTTGATCGCGCCTGTCATAGCTCCTGCGGCTGACAGTTCTGTTCCCGCCCTCAAGAAGAGCCCCCTGCGCGTTATACCCACTAACGACGAAGAGCCTCTCGAGTATCTTGACTATTCCCTGATCAAGGATGCGACTATGGGCACCTACCGATCTATCCCGAGTCCCGCTGTCGCCATTTCTCAGGACGACGTATTTGTCGTTAAGCCTGTACCCAGACCTGTTGGCAGTTGGCTCACATGTGAGGAACGCAAACAGAAGCTTGAAGCTCTGTTCAGAGGAGAAAAGGTCGAGAAAAAATCCGAGGCCATCATTGGTGTGTACAGCTTTCGTTTTGCGTTGATTAGCTACTCATTGCCATCTGAGTAGGTTCTTTGGTCGCAAAGAAGGGAGAAGCAAAGCAGCTTCCCGCTCCTGCACCTGTTACTCCTACGCCCGAGGATATCTCTTCTGACGACGCTGCTGATATCGACGTTCCTCCCACGCCCACGCCCGTGCGTGGCCCACGAGTGCCACTTACCCGCGCTTCTGCCAAGGCGGGCTCTGCATGTGGATCTGGTCTGATCAAGCGCGATACAAAGATGGAGAACCCTTCTAGCAAGCTTCGGCAATCGTTTGTCCCGACCTCAACGTTAGTCTCGTCCAAGACTTCGTTCAAGCCTCTCAAGCCGTTGGTTCTCCCCCGTCCCGCTTCCTCTGGCATACCTGTCCCGCCTCGAGTTGCAGCTCTTCGCAAGTCGTCGGCTCCGAAGGTTACTACGAAGCCTGGCGTCCCTTGCGCCCCATCCTCCAGTTCTGCCAGCTCAAGCTCTAGATCATCCGGTACGTTCTCGCGCTCTTCTTCCTCGAGTGCCGCCACCTCTGCGACCTCTTCCGGTATACCCTACTCCGCTACATCCCGGACCAAGACGAGCTCAAAATTGCCGTCCGTCACCACGCTCGTGACGCGGCCTAAGTCCATCCCCAGCAGGACGGGTACGTTTCACTAAAAACCTCGCATATACGAAAATTTACTCACACGTTGGTCATTTTAGCTTCGCGCCCTCGCCTGCCATAGTATCGTTTCGTACTGTTTGACTTGACTCCAGTGGCTTAGCCATCTGGGGAGCAGTCATCCTGCAGACGATGCGAGTTCCTTCAGCTTTTCAAGTTTCCTTCAAGGCCTCAAGACTATCCTGATTCTCTCGCAACTCTACTGACTGGATGCACTCGCTCCCCCGGCTCTTACTTTTTGGTCAAAAATCCTCCTATCGCTCCTCTGCCTTTCGAACGGCTCCCCTGGGACAAACATCTGCATCGGCCTTGCTCAGCACTTTGGGACCAGCTTCCCCTTGCTGTCGCAGTTGCGGCCATCCGGACACCGCACAAAGGTACATACTCTGCACCCCTTTTACTGCGAGCTTACGAGGTTGCTTACCACTTCGTACGTCCACAACAGGTTTTTGAACGACTCGGACTACCCGCTGCGGCTTGGATGATTTCCTTCATCCAGACCAATGGCGTTGACCGACCTTCTACACCACCTTCGAGTGCACGACCTGTCCGGTCCACTTCGCGCGTCCACAACAGGTTTTTGAACGACTCGGGCTATCGTCCTGCGGTTTGGATAAATCACTCTGTCCAGACCAACGGCGTTGACCGACCTTCCACAACACCTTTGCACGACCCGTTCGGCCCACTTCGCGCGTCCACAACAGGCTTTTGAATGACTCGGTTTACCGTCCTGCGGTTTGGATGATTTACTTTATCCAGACCAACGGCGTCGACCGACCTTCTACAACGCCTTTGCACGACCCGTTCGGCCCACTTCACTCGTCCACGACACGCTCATGAGCAGAATGATTGTCCCTTGTTTGGATACATTGATCCAAATCAGCGGCGTACGACCGGCCTGCTATGACGCCTCCTGCACGACTCACTCGCCACCCTCGCAAATTCTTCCCAAGAGAACTGACTCTCGATGGGTCGGAGGAAATTGAAGACGAACTTTTGACCAAATAACAAGGAATCGGACTATACGGAACTTTAGTGTGTCTTAATAATTCTATACTAACCTCGGCTACCGACTCGATCCTGTAACTGCGCATTCTGTTTATAATAGTTAATACAAGTATATATATAATATGCTTGCACATTTAAACTTCGTCTGAGATTTTCGCTTTGATAGAGCTAGCGCTTTCCCGGAATCACCAGCTTATACCTAAAGATTCTACCTATTATTCCATCTTCAAACTTACTACTCGAGTACACCGCGAGTACTTCAAGTCGCTGCAAGCCATATATAGGGCAAATTTCAAAGAAAAAGGAAATCAGGGGCGATTTTCCCGCCCTGCATTGATTGCCAAGGTTCTCGCTGCTCCTGTCTTTCGATTCGCGATAACCGGTATCAAACATACGTATGGGTCGTAGCGCGAAACTCCATAAACGCGTCGTAAGCCTCAGCTACCCATACTACTACAATCTTGATTTGACACACAACGTTTCTCCAGAAAAAGCCTTCCGCAGAGTCTGCCTCTGCTCCATCGAGCAAGCACGCCGCCTATACATCAGAGCACAAGAAAGTGTCCACCCCTGCTGCTGATGCCACCGCCGCATCGCAAGCAGCCAAGAAGCGCGCGAGCCTGAAGGAACGCGCTAAACCCAAAGTTGGCCAGGGCAAGCCGGAGGGGCACATCTTGAGCGGGGCAGACTATGTCACGCTGCTCACGGGCGGTCGTAAGAAGGTGGCCGAGGAGGCGATGAAGCTACCCAGGGACTCGTAGCTTTGTGGAGGATCCGCTGCGCCCTACGTGCGGTGAGACCCAGATACGACGTTGAGGAAGGTGAGCTATCTCGATTTTGACTTGTTTTCTTTGATTAGTATCAGCTGGCAGGCATCTCGGTTAGCCATCGTCACTTGTCGGGCGAGTTCCCTGTCAGGGCGATATTCGTCATGGGTAGGAGACGGTCTGTTACTCTTGGTTTGTACGGCAAGAGGTCGAAGTCACTCGCCGTGCTTCTGCAAGATGTCCTTTCCTGCTCCCAGCGCCGAATTCGTAAGATATCCACGATGACTAGATGCCTTCTTCTGAAGCGGTGGAGCTGCCCTCGAAAGACTTCAAAACTCTTCAAAATTAATATTCAGTCGCTTTTTGCAGTTGAGTTAAACTTGTTACAAGGAATGACGGTGTAATACATGCTGAATACAAAACAACACTCGAAGGATGGTATCGTACAGAGGACAAGCCACTTGGATGTAATTTAAATCGCTAAGTAATCTCAACAGAGACCCGGTAATCAATGGAACTCTGATCGCTGAGTTCTGGGGAAACGGTCGTAAACGTGACATGAGTGGTATCCTTGGACCATGCTACGCCTGATGCCACCCTGAAGATGATGAGCTGAGGCGCCAATACCTGATGCGATTTCACCAGAGTTAACTCGTTAATCTAATTCGTTTATCACACTTACGCAGAAATTAGGCCATACCGCTGCGATAGCAACCTCTGCGGGGCTCGACTTGATCAACGTGACCATGTAGGCAATGTTCACAATCGTGAAGGGCAAAAATGACTCTACGATGATTGCGACCGTGCTCGTGTACGGCTTCAATGTCTCCGTCGGCAGCACATGCTTGAGCCGTCGGTAGACGCGTATGAGACGGAAGGAAATCATCACGGTGATGAAGATGTTGAATACGACTGTCAATGCGATCCATATGATTCCGTATTGAACCGCCAGGCCTTTGAAAATGTTGCTTCCCGGCAGTGCGCCTTCGAGCATCATCATGATAGACATGGCTGAGACGACGTTCATCGCCCATCCTTCTACCGAAGAAATGTCGACTCACCTACGGCTGCGAAGTACAGAACGAGCAGCGCTAACACTGCGGATATACTATCGTTCCATATCAAATAGCACCTGTAAAGCTGGAATCCATAAAAGTCGTCAGCATCGATCGCCTGAGAGTCACCAACTCTGCAGTTATTACCATAAGGGCGTTGCTCATAGCATCCAACGAGATAACAGCGACAGTTCCCAGCGTGTTGTACCAGGCAGTCGCGTGTGCCTTGAGGTAACCTTGCACTCCTCCAGGATAATCTCGGTTTTCAATCCAAGCGAGTTGACCGGCAAGTTGGTCGGTGGCCACAACGAGTGTCAGGAAGAGCAGCAGAAGCGCTCCATAAATATGATAGAAAGTCTTGGGGTGTGTCTTGCGAGTACGGACGCTCAGACGATGGTAAGTCTGAAGATACAACATTACATTCATGCCTTCGCAAGGAAAAAGGTCAGAAAAGAAAGTCGCGTGGATGTATACATAAGATGGGGCTTTCAAGCAGACTCACCATAGATGACAGAGCTAACGGCGTTCCCGACGTACAGGGAGCGCTCGTTGGCGAGCTGCTCGCTCATCGTTTTGCTGGCCTCTGCGGCGGGAAGCGAAGGGCGGGGGTGGAACGCTTCCCGACAGCTGTCGATGGTATATGCCAGGTCAACGAAAGCCACCGCCAGTCAAAGTAGGTCAAAGTTCCAAAACCGCCAAGTATTTTCTCATGGCGAAAGCTCTCGACCGGGCCGCGATGAATGATGTCTCATGTCAAACGGCCCCTCCCCTCCTGAGCTCCAGGAACCTGGGAATCGGTGCCGTGTTCAAATTTAAGACGAGCGCTGATAAGGTCCTTTAGAGGGAACGGGGAGGAAGGCACCGGAGCGAACATCGTGGAAGATGTGCACGGTAGCCTATCACCTCGCCTTTAGACGAAACACCGAAGTTTGACCCTCTTCCATGCGATCGAGGAGACTCGCCGGAATGGTGGGCCAGCACACGGAGAGATTTTGTGGGGTTTAGTTTGATCGGAGGATATCAATCCTGTCCAAATGCGTTGTGCAAGTTTGGTGCAAGTCATTCTGAACAAACCTTGAATCAATGGCGTTGCGTAAAGCCAGAAATTGTGGCAAACGCCAGCTCCGAGGATCCAAATCAGCATCAAGGGGAGCTGAACTCAGGCTCACGGTGTAAGATTCTGGAAGAAAGTATTCTTAGATGCGAGACTATGGTCTCCATCTTGAGATGACGAGGAACATTGAGAACAAAGCAAAGCCCGAGTGGAGCAGCGTGAGGATGCATATGTCGTGCTGATAGAGTGTTGATATGATCAAATGGAGAGTACTTTCCCCATAATGTGATCCGCGTATCCGAGTTCCGGACCGCCTTGACTTTGGACTCCTGGAGTCTTGGTCGACCACAACCACCATGTTCCGCTCAGTGCGCATCTCCAATGCAGCTCGTCGCAGCCTTTCCAGATGCACTTACTCGACCGCAGCGACGCCCATGTTCCCCGAAAAGACCCAAGGGGTTCTGCCGACGTCACGGTCGCCCGTCATACCCAAGTTGCACTTCTTCAACTCCGTCACGGGCGAGGCTGGTCAAATACCCACCTATCGCGTCTTGGATGGCGCTGGTAAGCCACTTGAAGGTACTGATGTGCCAGAGGTCTGTGCCGACGCGTGGGATACCGTGTTCAAAGCGCTGACGGTTCCTCTAGATTGACGAAGCGCTCGCCCACAAACTGTGCGTTTGACAATGCACTTTTGCCGCCTCGGAACTAACGCTAGAACTTTGTCCAGATACAAGAACATGGCTCAGCTACCAGTCATTGACAACATCATGTACAACGTACAACGGCAGGGCAAGATCTCCTTCTACGTAAGTCACGGCTTTGATCCGAAGAACAGGTCAACTCATCGTTCATGCCCTGTAGATGACTGCAGTACGCTGGTCCAAGGCATGGCATCAGTGGTTCTCGCTAATTATTTGCATAGTACGGTGAGGAGGCAACAATCATAGGTTCTGCTGCTGCTCTGGAGGGAGATGACGAGTAAGCCCCTGAATGCAATGCCGACATGGATATATGCTAACGACATCACTAGAGTTCTCGGTACATACCACATTAGCACCCAGATGACTATGACTGACCTAATTATGTCTAGGGCAATATCGTGAAATGGGGGTCTTGCTCTGGCGAGGCTTTGGCATGAATGAGGTCATGAACCAATGCTTTGGCAATGAGCTAGACAAGTCGGGCAAAGGCCGCCAGATGCCCATGGTAACAATGAAGATCAAACCAAATATCGAATGGATATCTAACAAGACTTCTTACACAGCACTTCGGCTCACCAGAACATCACTTCCATACCATCTCCTCTCCACTCGCAACCCAGATCCCGCAAGCCGCTGGGGTCGGCTTCGCGCTCAAGCGCGACCCCAACCGCCGAGGCAAGAACGTCTCCATGGTCTACTTTGGAGAGGGAGCCGCGTCCGAGGGCGACTTCCACGCCGGGATGATGCTCGCGTCGACGATCCCGACGCCGACGATCTTCCTCGCGCGTAACAACGGTTTTGCGATCTCGACGCCCGCGTCGGAGCAGTACTACGGCGACGGCATCGCCGCTCGTGGCCCTGGTTACGGTGTGGACACGATCCGCGTGGACGGGAACGACATTTTGGCAGTGTACAGCGCTGTCAAGGAGGCACGGAGAAGATGTTTGGAGAGTGGGCGCGCTGTGCTCGTTGAGGCAATGACATACCGGTTTGTCCGCCAAACAAGTTTGCTATATGCTAAACCGACCGTGACACGTACTGTAGCATTGGCCACCACTCTACCTCAGACGACTCCTTTGCTTACCGTGGACGTCAGGAAGTTGAGGATTGGAAGAAAATCGACAATCCCATCACGCGCTTCCGTCTTTATATGGAGTCAAAGGGCTGGTGGTCGGCCGAGAAAGAGGAGGAGCTCAAGGCAAGCATCAAGAAGGAGGTCATGCAGCAGTTCAAGAAGGCCGAGAGCCTGAAGCGCCATGAGCTGGGCGAGCTCTTCACGGACGTCTACGCGGGTGAGCAGCCATGGAACCTGGTAAGCTTTAGATTGCTGCCATTGTACGTTTTCGATTCATCCTAACCTCTGGTTTGCAGCTAGAGCAGAGAGAGGAACTCGCAGCCTTGATCAAAAAGTACGGCGAGAAGTGGGAACCATGGCGCCACGAGTTAGCGAACTTTAAGGACAAGGGCTGGAAGCTTTCCGCCACTTCATCATTGCCATGAACATTGTAACATACATTATTGTCATGATCTCGAAGCTATAGAAAGCGGGGATATATGACAGGTAATATTGTAGTTAAATTGAGCCTGTGCGGTGATGTACGATACATGATCAACTGGGACAAGTAGGATAATGGAATTAACATGAGGCATAGGCATAAAGCACGGCATGATAAGTTAAACCGCATATGCTAAGTTACCTGCCCTGCCACTATGTATATGATTAGCGATAGTCGTCCAAAGTTCCTTGGCCACGCTCCGGGTCGGGCATGCGGTGCACCCGGACGGTGTTCCCAATAACGATGTTATTCATGTCTTGCGGTGTGATCAAGATGTATTGTTTCTTGTCCGACGCATTCGCTGTATCAATCTGGAAGGTTTCATCAGCAGCTGAAAGTCAGGACAGGAAAAGAAGTTTGCCCACCATCATGCGCATGCTCGAACGGCGATTGACGGCATCCATGAAGACGTCGAACTCATCTGGCCGCGGAAGTCAGTGTAATTCTAGAGGGGGTAACGCCAGCACTTACCTAGACATCTGAGAGGACACCCAATGGAATCCCACAGAGAAAGGAGTAAACAAATAGTAGAGAACGACTTTTCTCCACCACTGAGGGACCGTGGATCTTTGTCCGCGTTGCCTTGCGTGGCAGCTTGCTCATCCGTTTGAACCTGCACAGTATAACGTTTTAGATCTGCTGGGGATGTATAGTGCAATTGGGCATAATGACCTTCAGCTGAAGGGTTTCCTTCTGATGGTCGAACAAGACCTTGCCATAGTAGCCACGGTTCGAAAGGTGGTACTGGAATACAAGCTTGCACCGCAGAGCGATGTGCCGTCGGAACTCCTGCCACTTGGCCAAGCGTGAGCTGAGCGAGTTCTTAAGGGCCCTGTTGAGAAGGTCGAGGCTTTCCAGATCGGCTCGCGCATTTTCGAGATCAGTCTTCGCCTTGTTGACCTCGATGGTCATTTCCTCGACGCTGGCACCTTGTCTGCAGACGTTTGATGTGAGTTTGTGTGCTAATGAACTCTTTTAATGAGCTCACCTCTTCTCCCTCTCCTTCAGCGCCGCCTGGACGGAGTCAAGGTTTCTTTGGATCTCGTCCACCTTGCGAGGACTGGGTACTCGGTCGCAATACGTCGTAGCTTGTTTGGTCCAATCCTGTGAAGATAGACTATAAACTTTCGGGACACAACTTCGAGCATATCTTCGTCCGGTAACGTACCTCATACTCCTCCTGAAGTTTAGCAGCCTCTTTGTCCGCAGCCTCAACCTTTCGCTGTTCTTCGTCTCGTTTTTGCTCATAATGGTTCTTCCTGTTTTCAGCCTTGAGACGCTCTGCAACAGCTTGCTCCGCTTTTTTCTGCGCAATAGCTCAGAATCTCAAGCAACGCCAATGAGAGAAAATAAACATACGACAATGGCCTCCCGTCGGCCATAGAAATCGGTCTGACGACTTTTCAAGGCATTCATCTGAAGAAGTAAATCCTTCTGCTTGTCGTCGATAACCTGCTTATGCTCAATCAAGGTCCTGAACTGCTCGTAGATCGATGCTTTCTCCGCCTCGGCTTCCTGTGAAATAGCTCGGAACAAATCCTTACGATATATAAGGGGAGGACGTACGTCAACAGCCTGTTGGTAACCAGATATGCCCGCAGGCATTTCTTCGTTAGCTTCGGCTTGTAGAGTGTCGCGTTTATTCTCAAGGTCCCTCAGTCTTTCGCGAGTAACTTGTTCTTGACGCTGATGAAAACTTGTTAGGATCGAATCCTTTGTTGCGGGCTAGATATGAAGGACGTACTTTGAAGTTTTGAGCATCGTTATTCATATTGGCCCACTCCTGCCTGAGTTGACGAATTTCTGCATCCATTTCTTTAACTTGAACCTCGTGTTGCTGCATTTCTTCCTCATAGCGTCTATTGTGCACACTTTAGCCAAATTCTAAATTGCAAATCCAGGGGTAAACACCAACCTGACACTTGAAGCAACGTTGGTGTCGTTCAGTAGCATGTTCCTGCGATCTTGGGGTCCAGGCAGGTTGAATGGACTCGATGAACCACCTCCGTCACTGTGTTCAATCAAGGGAAGTTTAAACCTTTGCGTACCCTAGGGGCATAGAAACACGCACGAGTATCTCTGAACACGAATGCCATTCATTGTCCAGCCCGATCCTCCCCTGAGATTGATAAGGATATTGTCACAGTCTTTGCGGGTTGGCGCCAAAACTACCCGCTCTATGCCAGCAGAGTTAACGATGAGACGAAGTACCCATGGGTCCGATATCTAAAAGGACTGTAAGATATATTTCAACCACCTTATGTCAGCCTGAGCTCACATCAAGAACACGAAGAGCTGTCAAAACACCTTCCGGCGGTTCACCACTGCTGAAGTCGAAGAGATCGCGACCGGAGACGATGACAGAGTTATTACTGCACACGGTAATTAGTACAAGAGCTGCACTTATTGCTTTATGAACGTACTTGTGGAATTCTCTGAGGATACGTTTGAGGACGGGCTCGTCCCTGGCATCCGTACAGGCAAAGGAAGTGAGCACGTTGGCGAGCTGAGACCGCAGGACGCGCCCATAATTCTGGTCCTTCAGGCGTACGAACGTCCCCAAAGGCCCTATAGGGGTCTCACCATGCCATCTCGTTTGCTTGATACGCCTGAGGACCTCCTCGATGTTGCTTCCGTATGCTGCATAGCTGTTTTTCTCTTGCTCTCGGCAGTGTTGGATACCCTGTTGACATCCGACAATCTGCTGCCTTTCATTGCTCCTCTTCGCCTCCAGCGCCTTTCCGCGATCAGTGGTTTCCATCATCGCGCGTTCTTTCTCCATCTTCTGATGTACGATGGACTTATACTCATAGTCAGCGTTCTGGACAGCTTCCTTGGCCTCGGCGAGGCGCCTCTGAATCTCTTCGCGGCGTGCCTGGGTGTGAACTTCCATTTTGCGAGTCTCCTCTGCGATGCGTCGTTGGAAGTCCTCAATGGTAAGTTTGAGCGCACCCAAGCTGTCGTTCATGCGCTTCTCGTCGTCCTGTTACCCTATTTAGTGCCAATAATAACGCGAGGCTGACACAAAGAGTTACCTTGTAGTTGCTGAGTTGGTTCTTATTTCCACGCATTTCATTCTTGATGTTGTCAACCTGCGCTTGTATATGATCGATGTCGCCAAGATCAGAATGTTCGGTATCGTGCTGGGCAACTGCATCGGACGCGGCTTTGAATTGTTCCTACGAATGATGAGACGACCTTCCCGTCTACAGAGAGATCAAGAGGAACTCACCTCTGCTGCGGCAATTTCTTCCTGGATCTTAGGGAGTCTTCGTCTCATCTTAGCCACTTCTTCAAATTTCCTCGTCATGTCCTGTCGGTGGTTAGATGACTAAGGTTGGCTGCAAGATAGTTCTTTGAGACAAACATCTTCTTTGGTGGCCACATGCGCCCAAGCGAGCTCTTTCTTCAACTCGTCGACCTTATCTCGCTGTTTGCGGGCTTTAGTAGCCTCCTCGTATCGTGCCGAGGCTTCTCTGTAAGCGGCTTTGAGATCCGGGATCGCCTGCTTCTTGACTTGAAGGACCTTTTTAGTCTGGTTAATGTTGTCCAGGCAGGTATCGTACTCTTCATGCAGCTGACTAAGCTGAGTGCCTCGAAGGAAGAACTTGAAAGACAGTTAGTTTTTGCGCACGGAAATCGACTTGAGATTTACCTTGTATTTATCAGAAGGGTGAGAGGCGCTCAAGAATTGGCTACGATCGTGTTAGTACGCGGTCTCTTTCGGGTGTATAAGTGTAAAGCGCGTACCGAGCGGAATCTGTTTAACAGGTCGGCGTTATACAATGGCAAGATAATTGATTAAGGCTTACCTTGCGTGAGGACGTTCAGTGGGTTATCCACTTGTATGTTCATGTGGTCACAGATGGCTGACAATTCCTCCTTCTTAGTTGAGATAGTCCTACCATCCTTGCTCTTGATCTTCCATGATGATCCACCATCCTTAGTGAATCGCCGAGTGATAACGATACTTTTCCCGTACTCTTGGGGCTTGTATGCCTCTTCACCTTGATTCTTGATGATGATACTGACTTCGGCGGCACTGTGTATACGGTTAGTCCGAGTTACGGCGCAGTATAGGAGGATCTGAACATACTCCTGTCCCTCTCGAATAAACGATTTAAGACCGTTACCACGACCAGTTGATATTGCTTTGCCACCCAGAGCGATGGTAAGTGCGGAGAGCACAGCGCTCTTGCCACCTGAAGTTTTACATGAATATATGACTTCAGTGACCGACCAAGGTTTAACCTACTTCCGTTATGACCTGAGATTGATCATCAGCACTTCGTCAGGGGCGAAGCAAGTGTTGGCACTCACCGATAATGAAGTTTACCTGAGGCCCAAAAGAGAATGTAAGGCGTCGGTGGCACATGAACTGGTGCATCTCGACAGACTCTATGATGCCGTGTTCGGCGACACCCTAACGTCCTGGTTCAGAAGACACTTTGTCACTTAGGGACTTAGCACTTACGCCTAGTACATTACGGCGAGCCTTGAGCTGCGCGCGAATGCGCTCGCCATGATCCTCCTCAAACCTCCGTTCATCCTCCTCTTCAACGACAGCATCACCGCTGTCTTCTTCTTCTTCTTCTTCATCGTTGTCGCCTCGGCGTGCTTTCTTGTGTTTAGTCTTGCCATTCACAACCGGTTTTCGGTCGACTTGTTGTGTGCCCACCTGCACACCATCTTCACTGTCTTCGGTCTTCGCACGCTTCGAGACCTGGGACAGCTCAGCCTGTTCGTCATCGCTTTCCGCAGCGACTTTGCGTTTGGCCATTAGTTGCACGTCGTGACGGAGACTCGGTTAGGAGAAGGCGCGTAAGGACGCGTAGGACGCGAGGGACGCGCTTACCTACAAATAGGAGTAAACAAGTGACAACTCAGGGACGTTGCCATTTTCGCATCCAGACAATATTGTGTTCCGGTGCTGGCTAGCGCTGGCTGACGACACAGCACCGAGGCTTACGGCGCCGACCTCCGTCATAGCACTATGGGCGAACCAATGCTGAGCGCTCAATAATAAAGAGTAGAAAATGGACAAGAGCATGAGATATGTCTCAGATATTGTACTCATGCTTTGTGAAGTGGGAAGAATAGAAGGCTAAAAATGTAACCAAGGATTGTTAGCCGAGTCGTGAACAAATTGGTGGTAACCAAGTCTGGCACCTCGTCTTGTTTCTCTCCAGTCACCTCCTTCTTCATCCACCTTTCCCCTCCTTGGGCCATCCAGCGCTCATCCCATAGCCGTCTCAGCACTTTCGAGACATCCATTCTCTTGTCACTTCCACTCCTTCGTCTAAGCGTTGCCGTCGTTGCAAATACCCCATTGTATGCCCTCTTAACGGCCCAACTGGATTCACTTTCATCGCTCCCCAAGCTCGAAATTCGCATCCTGCTCCAGACGACACCGACTCCCGTCCTCTAAGACTACTCTCTCTGCGTCCACAATACCACTTCTCTGATCTATTACCGGATTACTACCCTCAACATGTACGTGATTCTCTCTTTTGCTGTATCACCTCGACGACCTACTCTAACGTCGTCATACAGGTACGACCACAATGACGACGAGCTGAAGCGTCAGTCTGGCTTTGGCGCTGTTGGTCTGGGTTTCATGAACGGCGACTTGTCCGACGACGAAGAAGACGACCATAAGCCCACTCCTGCTCAAGGCAACAAGCACGCAGTGCTCATCGCTGCTACTCAACACCAGCCGCAGGTTCCGGCTCGCATACCCCTTGCCGCTCCCAGACCCGGATACCCCGCTCCTGTATCTGCCATTGACCTTCCCAGGTCACCTTCCGCCAACCAGCAGATGTCAGAAGTTCCTCTTCATCTCCGCAACCCCCCAGGTGATCTCAACGCTCCTCGCGTTCCTCCTCCCGCCTATAACGGTCAAAACGCGCACGCCGTTCCCAATGCTCCTCACCCTCTTCAACCCCCAATGACCCCCATCACACCCATCTTCGCCCGGCCCTCCGCTTCTCCCGCTCCCAGGGATGTGAAATTTTCCGGAGATGCCATCATGCGTGGCAACTCCGAGGACGCCCTCCTTCCACGGAGAGGTGACAAGGGCGACGACTTTTGGCGTAGATTCAGTGTCATCGCGAAGGAAGATACTAAGCAGCCTAGGTAAGATGTCCCGTCATAGCTCATAGACGCGATTTAACTTTTCTTTTCCAGCTCTTGGCTCAGCAAGACCCAGAGCGGCACAAACCGTTTGTCTCGCTGGGTGTGGGTTATCGGCATGGTCTTACTCATCGTGAGTTTCTCCTTTGCTTTTCAATGTATATGCGTGCTAAAGCGTGAAACCCAGATCGTCGCGTTCTCGATCGGTCTCTGGTGGTATATCTCACACAAGAGCACATCGACGACCGCTCCCAAGGCTATTGGAGGCAACGAGGGTGATGGTGGTGCTGGCGAAGCGAGCTCTCTTCCCCCTGGTGCTTCTTCTACGCCCCATGTGACGCCGACGAACACCGTCAAGGACAGACGTGCCCTCCCTACCCCCACTGGCGACATCCTCAATCTCATGAACCTTGGAAACTTGGAGGATAGTCTCACTGCCAATGGATCGCAGGGCCATAGCAAGCTGAGAAAGAAACACTATGCGCGAAACCGCTACCATGGCTTGTACTAGCGTGCTAGTCCGTTCTTGTCGCTTGCTCACGAAACTCCACAACACCTATGCTATATGCCTTGGGTTGGTTTGGGCAGTGGATACTGTACAGGTCATACTTTAGAGCCTACTTCTGCTTCTCGATGCATACGTTCTTGGGATTGGTGTCCGCTGACATTAATGGATCCGCTTCCCGTCCTCTCTTTTAATCGTCACGAAATTGTATATTTATCCGTACATATTCACCGGCATTTCCACTTTGTCACTTGTTTCTGTCGCTGGCCCCATGAGCCTGCGTGCATTGTGTACCAGCCCATTGGAATACAATGCCCTTCATTTGTCCTGGATTTTACATATATTACATTGCGATGTTAATTCTCAGCCTCGTCAAACGCAGCTCCAGGCCTGCGGTAAGTACATGTGCATTGTCCTGATCGATCTGCGACGGTATCACCTAGAAGCTGGTAAGTAGTGTAAATATACCATAAAATTATTGTGAACAAAGTAAGGTAATCCCATACAGCAAGACAAAGAAATAAAACGAGTGCAACCAGAGAGCAAAGGTCCAAAGGGTTGAAGGAAACTATCCCCGTAGCCGGGCAGCAGCAGTCTGCCGTGGCTTTGGTTTCGTGGGTTGCATGGCATCCCTCGGCTTCTCCGGGCCAACGTCCTGCTCGACGATGTTGACCTCATCGTCCGATGAGTCCACGCTATCGCCTGTCTGTCCAGTCCCCTCCCGGCTCCTCTTCTCTTCTTCTTTTTTTGCTCGCTCAACTTTCCAATCATCAGAGAGGGCCATGATGCGAGCAGCCAGATTTGACCGGAGTGCATTGATGGCTGGTTCGTCCCATACAGACTTTCGCTCACTTGACAGCAACTTCCTCGTGGTCTGCGTAGTATATATTATGGAGAGTGAGGCGCGCTAGACTAGCACGGACGCACCAGCATAATTCGATTGAATCGCTCGGGATCCTTCATCAGAGTTTGCACAAAATGTAGAAGATAAATGCCGCAGTCGCAGAAGTTTGGCTGGATGGGGACCTACAGCAAGGTTGGACAAGATCACAAACTAATCTACATTAAGTGGGCCTACCTGTGCATTCTTCGAAATCGGTTCTCGAATGATCTCAACTTGTTTCTTATCCTTGGCCTCCATTTCAAGGTAGAATTTGAGCACCTTAGCAGCTTGGGGATGCCTTGTACCCAACGAATCCAAGATGAAGATCCGAGTTCTGTGTAAGGTACTCATCAACGTGAGGTGGTCTGTGCGATCATTCACTGAACTTACTGTGGCTGCTCGGTAGGAGGGGTAACAGCGAGCATGGCATCCACTTCTTTCTCCTGGCGCTGATTATCTTCTAGATCATCCTCGGAGACGTTCAAAGGAGTTTCCTCCTTCGCTTTGCCCTTATTTGCCGGGCCGGACGCGTAGAAGCTCGTATTTGGCACAGTGTCGCTGCGTGGCATCCCTAGCTCGAGAACGGGGCTATCTTCTCTGGGTTGAGATATAGGGGATCGTGATTGCGATAGCTTCGGGGGCTGTGGCTTGTTAGGAAGCTCTTCGTCATCGACGTCCATGATCTCTGGGGAAGAGGAAGGATACACCAAACTCATCAGTGAGGTAGGCGTATTTGGTCGCTCAAGCGGCGTGGTTGATTCGGAGATCTGAGCATCCATAGAAGTCGATGGGTGGGGTTCATCCACGACCAAGTTGTTATTCATTTCAACGTCCTCAGGATTTGGTGTTGATCCACATGTAGCTTGAGTAGACTCCTCGTTCGATAAACGCAACGGCGAGGCTTGGCGAGAGGGTGAAATTGATTCTGCCATGTCTGTATCCTCCACTCGAGATGATGGTAGACGTTCTGGTAAATCTGTACTTTGAGCTGACTCGGTTTCCATGCGCGGTAGTGACGATATGCGACTTCCTGCATTGGTTTCCTCTGTCGGTATTTCCTGGGGAGTTTCTGCTTCTTCGTTTGCATCGGCAGTTTCTTCCTCCTGCAGGCGCCTTTTCTTTCCCCTCGTGGAGACGGAAGAAACAACAGGAGGTTTCGGCAAAGGCGGCCGTAGTACATGTTCCGGTTCGAATATGACCGCTAGATACCAATGCAAACTAGAGTGAGGTTACTCGGATATATGCACGGCCCAGACCCGGTGAACTTACTTCTCATTAATCGGCACAATAACATATTTCTTCGAGAAGAGATCAAACTTTGCCGTCCATTTCCTCACACTCTGATATCCTTCAGTAGAGTCCTTCCGGTTGTGCAGCTTCTTGTAAAAAAAGGAGCTGAAAATGTGAATGTCATCCGCCAAGGCCTTGTTCTTCTCGCGTAGTTCCGACAACCAAAGTCTGTGAAGAAGCACGGGGTCACCTTCAAGCCCTAATCGCAGCACAAAATACGCACTTCAGTCCAAACTCTATCAAAGTGTCGTTGAGGAACTCGCTAGGGCCCAGTCGAGCCAAGTCCGATTTCATGATATTTAGCGCACCAGTGCCCGATGGAGGATACATGAGTATGCTTGCGCGATTTATGAGTACCGGTCTAATAGTTATTCAAAGACACCTACAGTTCATCTGGTTCGGCCTTGGGTGATGATTTCCTGCTTTGAATAGTAGCTTGGCGAGAAGAGCGGCGAGCAGGCTCTCTAAGAAACATTTTTGCATCCAGCTAAATCAACATGACTTCGGCTAACTCATTTCTATTCCTGAGAACTCACGAAGGGCTGGGTTGTCGAGACTGCTCCTTCTTTGAACGTGTTCCGTAAGTAAGGATACGGGCTGGGTGATCCTGAGATGAAAAGCTTGAATTCCTTGATTCTTCAAGCCCTCTCATGTCAGCAGCTGCACAAGCAGTTTGCCATACTTTCCTCGCGTTTTCAGGGCTGACTATGGTGAGTAAGAGGCTCCGTCAGATGGATGAGGACTTACTCAACAGTTTTGCCTTTCAGTATTTTCTCGAGAAAGGTTACGAGCTTTTGATACTCAGTCATAACAAAAAAACGCCCAAGGATAAAAGTCAGTTTGCCATCCTCTCCTCCGGAACCTAGGTAGCGATAAGCCTAATGCTAGGGCTGATAGTAACATCGTAACTAGTACCTGGTTGAAAGTGTTTAGATGAACTTGTTGGCCGCCAACGACGCCTTTTCGCTGTCTGAAACTGGAGCAATACAAAGTCATGAACTTTAAGATTGTCGCTGTTCGTAACCTACAAGAATCATTTCAGGACTGGCTGATAAATGTGAATTTTGGGAATCAACTCACAATAAAGTAATGAAAATCCTGGTCCATCTGAAAAGGAACCTCTTCATCGGGACTACACTTGACTGATAATGTCCTTGATTCTTCAGACCACGTGAATGAAAGCTCTGCAAAGTCAACTTTACGATGATGGATCTTTGTGCCAAAGGACAAGTATTCTAAAGGGAAGTCGACAGGGCTTTCGTAACGGTCCTGGTTTTCCAGGAAGTTAGAGGATGTCGAAAGCCGATCATTGGGTCGGATCTCGACGACAGGCTGCGCCGTGTTGAGCAACAATTCGGTTGCATATAGGCTGAAGTTCACCTTAACATCGGTTCGCTCCTCTCTCTTCTTCATCCCGTTTAAGATAGGCTGTCGCGGACCGCTGCTACTCGTCATTGCTAAGAAATCTACGTTACGCGGCTGCTTCGGCTGCGTCGGGTTCAAGTCGAACACCTTGACCAAACGATCGGTGTTGCCCGACTGTATGCCCCCGATAGGTGTCCGGGCGTTGGATGGGTAGTTCGAACCAGAGTCATATAGGCTGCCAGTTGATTGTATGGATTCAATGTCATCACTATCATAAGCCTGATCTGCTTTGTCTTTCCCCTTCTTTTGAGACTGTGACTCAGGTCGGGCAGGGGAGCTTAGCGGTTTAGGGCGGACGGGGGTTCGAGGAATTAAAGATAGAGGATCTGGCGACGAGCTTTTGGTTTCCCTGACTGGCTCCCAGGTATCTTCGTCGTCGTCCGAGGGGATTTCTATGATGGAGCTGTTTCCTTGAGCAGTCTCATGAACTTCGGAGTCGGACAGTTGCTCAGTGGTAGACGTATCAATAGTGTGACGAGTGCGCTCTGGAAGGGATAGACGATTAGACCGAGAAGCGTGACGGGATTCCGTGTTAGAGCTGTTATTTAGCTTGGGTCTCTTGAACTGCCCGCCGGCACGGTGAGAAGAAGCGAGACTAGGCGGCCGCAACACTTCGTGAAACTGGATTAATGTTTGGGGGTTTGTGCGAGATACCCTTGTGCGAGGTCGTGGCTTCTTGTCCAAATTATTGAAGTCAGCTCCCGACCAGGGGTTCTGAGTTGCAGCGCGAACGACGTTGTTCTAAGATATTGCTTAATGTAGTTTCAGTTTTCAGAAAGTCAGAGTAAGTATACCTCTGGAATGGCAATCGGTGTTGGTCGCTCTCGCTTCCATGGGCCTCTATTTCCGATATGAGTCTCGGCCTTGACGATGATACAACCAATGCTTACTGAGTAGACGAGGAAGTCGAGCTCAAACTTGTGGAGGCAAAACCAGATGAAGCGTGAAGTGACTCGAGTTCCCGCCTATCCGCTCTCCCTGCCATAGGTTGAGTGAATGGTTTAATGGATGGTGGATTGAGGGGTAAATGGAGGCATGCAATCCGTATGGAAGTGAACAGCTCCAAAGCGTGAAGCTGTCGCGCCTGTCGACTTGCCCGATTGCGCGTGACGCGCCCGGAATCCGGAGGCAATTCACTGGCGAGCCTGAGCTCATTGAGGCGGCACTCATGCAGATCGAATTATGTACAGTAGTACTACTGACACACCTGCAGGCTTATGAAGTATATAGGTGGAGGTGTATGTATGAGAGATGCGGTATCGAGATTGATTAATGGTATGGATACGCATATAAGTGCTAAGCAAGTGAAGCATGGACCTCAATTTGAAACTTAAAACTGTGTCCCTCGGCCTCAGCATCGAACCCTCGTTGTAGAGTTTAAGAAGGGGCGTTCAACGCCGCGATAAACTTCCCCAAATTCGAACCAGGAAACATAAACTCTTGCCTAAACCCCGCCCGTCCCTATAAAACGGTAGAGATCGGCGACGAGATAGAGGCTTCCAGCGACAACCGTGAGGTGCTGTTCGCCAGATAGGGCATCTTCAGGCGTACACCATTCTAAAGCTTCAAGTAAGTGGTTTTCGCTTGGGATGGCATCATCGTCAGCGGTCCAAGTTTTGGCAGACGGCATGACAGTATTGACGGCGTCGTGTATCCGTGAAGGTGCGACTGACTTGACCCACGGCATATCGTCGGGAGGCGTGAATCGTAATGCTGCAACTTTTACCGAGACACCAGTTTGCATAGGTGCTCGGGGAGGAAACAAAGGCCGAATGGTTTGAAGTGGTGTTTTGGGAGGTGAGTCGGATAGCGCAATGATAAACGATATATGGATTGTCGGCAATGCCGAGGAGGCTTGGGATAAGGAGAGGACTTCCGATATGTATGCGGCCAGCGTCTCTGACGAGGATGGATTATGTGCCCCGTCCGCAAGGACGATTATTTGGGCATTTGAGGGAAGAGTCATCCGGTGGAAGGAGAGGCGACCCGGCCATACTGCTGTGCGGAGCCCTTGACGAATAGCTTGTTCACTAATTTTGCTCTGGAAATCCAATGGCAAACTTAACGCTATCAATTCAGAAACTATCGTCAATGAGAGCCCAAGGTTATCAAATTGATGCTCCCCATGAAGAGGAAGAAGCGATTTGATCTCGCCTAGGAGAGGGATTGTGACGGTGAAGGGCTGTGATGGAGGTGGAACGAAGTGCCCTGATGACAAGGAAACTGAATGTTCCACCCCATCGAGGGAAACGTCCCAAGCACGTTTCGCTGCCTTCTTCGCAGTTGTGAAGCGAGCACCGGCCACTTCGGCCACTTCTCGCACAACGGCCTCCACCTCGGCGTGCTTTTGTACACCCATGACGAAAGGCTTTCCTCGTCTTGCGATGCCAGCCTTCTCTCTGGCGATCTTGTCCACCGTGTCTCCCAAGAACGCTTGATGATCAAGATCCACGGACGCGAGCGCAGAAACCAAAACGCAGTCATCGTGAATGACGTTGGTCGCATCTAAGCGACCGCCCATGCCAACTTCGAGGACCACGACATCGACTTTCTTGTGCTCGAAGAGCCAGAGTGCGGTCAAAGTCAACAGCTCGAAACGGGTGGCAGCTGTATTATGTTCATGATCGGCGCCTTCCACGATTCGCCTCGCATTTTTGTACGACTCAACATCAACGGGTGTGTCGTCGATTGTGATGCAATCGTGAATAGAAACTAGATGAGGGCTATTGAACCGACCAATGCTGAAACCTGAAGAGCGCAAGACAGAAGAAAGCAAGCAAGAGACGCTGCCTTTCCCATTGGTCCCTGCAATGTGGCAAGTGGGCCGAGTGTAAGTTGGTAATTGCGACGCGAGACGGCGGATCCGGTCAAGGCTTAGGTCAATGGACATGTTTGAAACGCGGAACTGCGAACTTTGCGTCCTTACATAAAAGTTCACGCTCATATATAAGTACCTCAATGTAAAAAAAATCCTATCAAGATGCATAACCGGTTATAGTAAACAGCAACTGGCCATTACCAACTACCGAGTACAAGACTCGAATGTTTTGTTCACTCATTGACCACTCGGCACGTAGCACAACGTAAATTAATCCTTCCCTGGGTACGCGTGGGCCCAAGGATTCACATAGCACAGTTCATGGGATATAAAGAGCAAGTAAGTACATACGGGGTGTCCATCGTAGCCTTTTCCGTGCCCAGTAATGGCGGTAACAATTTCAACGTCCGAATCCGTGAGACAAGGCAAACTAAGTGCAGATAGAGTATGCAAGAAAAGGGATAGGTAATGTCCTGGAGCTATTGTGCCCTTGATCTTAACAGCCATCGTACTTGCTGTTACGAGGGAAGGTATACCCGGCTTGAGCCCAGGTGGTGAGGTTGGGGTTAGTAAAAGCATTCATATGGCTTTGCGAAGAAACGTTAGCTATCCAATGCGAAAGATTAGCAGATAAAACCCACTTGTTAATATAGTCCGCAGTCGGATAATTGGGCGGGTCGCAAGTGAGCCCGTTCTTTACACCTTGGCGCTGATATACGCGTACGTAATCAATGTACATGGCACTCGGGAATTTCATGTGCTGGAAATCTTGTTCCTGGAAACTCGCTTTGGAGCGAATGAGTAACGGGGCAAAGACAACTGAGTGCTCCACTTACGCGACAAACCAAGATTCATGACGATGGACTACAGAAATAACCAGTCAAGCATATTGCTCAGATAGGGCGTGGGCACTTACAACAGGTTCTTCAGGGATTATACGGCTTGATATCTGAGAAGTGGAGTCGCCCGCAAGGGAAGCAGCCGTGATTGACCATGCAGGTTGGCCCATGGCGTACCAGGTAATTTGTCCAGAGGAACGATCGTTGGGGTCAGACCACCACTCGAAACCATAGGTGGCAAAACCCGTGCCACTGTACGCACTACTACTGATGTATGACAGAGCAGAAAGGGCTTGCTGGTATATACTACCCGTGTAGGAGTTGAACTGGGTTTCAAGTCCGGTTGTTGCGCCTATAAGGTTCGTGGCAGGTGTTGTGTTGGTGAAAACGTATTCATAGTTGTAAGGTGCAACCTGGAAACTCTGCGAGACCTGGCCCTTGAAGATAGAAACGTCGACCTGAGTCTCAAAAATATCAATCTCGGGCACTCCACGACCAACCCCAACGTTGGGACCTGGATGGTCACCCCCGGGGCAGGTGCAAGCTGATACACGTTGACCAGGCTGGAAGCTCAGCGGGTCTCCACTAGGACTACCGGTGGCATCCGCGGTAGGATTGCCACTTTTATCCGTCTGGTTTGGGAATGTTCCCAAGTCGCAAGCAGCGTAACTATATGGCCAGGTTCCTGCACGTATCGATCAGTTGAGAATCACAGCATGCATGTTCACTGTATGCCTACCCTCCGTTGTCGCACCATAACCAGCGCGGCCCTACAAACGAGTTAAGTCACATCTCTTTCTTTGCCCGCGATATACGTACCAAGTTACCGAGGGTCCAAATGGCTGTTAGTGGTGTTCAGGGTCAGCTCAGTCGGGATATGGAGAGGTAGTAATCTTACCTGGCCAGAAACCAGGACCCTGAGGGGTCCCGGGCATGCTGACGTTCACCTCGATGTATCCCGTGGTGAAACAAAGTTTGTTCCACGATTGAAGCATGCCTAACTGCGTTTGAGCAAAAAGGCGTAGCAAAGCGTTGAGGACTAACCACTCATGAAATTCAGATTGTTTATAGGTTGCTCGGTAACGGTAAGCACGAGGTTGCCATCCTTAGTGGTAACTGACTAGATGTCGAATTAAAGGGGAACATAGAGCAAGGTAAGAACACTACATACCTGAGGGGAGTACCACTCGAGATCACCCGTAGGCCTTGATAGAATATAGGTTAATCATATATATGACGTGTCCCAGGGAAGATTACCAGTAATGCAAGTCGACAGCTTCCCAGAACGGATCGTCACCTGGCCAGAAAGTGCGCCCGTCTTTATTGAACTCGTCGCTGAATACCAGTTCGTACTCATATCCATCATGGCCCTTGCGATACATCACGCTGCTGGGCGTAGAAGTGTCGATGAGGCCTGGCATACCGGGAAGCTGAGGAACCTGACCCGAGCCATTGATGCCTCCTAAGTTATAACCCGTGCTCGCGGCCTCGTGAGTGGTGTAGTAGTGAATGATAGGGTACCCGGCGAATAGAGTGATGAGGCCGACGACGAGTATAAAGAGAGCGCCTGCGTTCAGCCACCCGCGGGCGGAGAAAAGAGTGAATGACCTATCAAGGGCCGCATCTTGTCTGGGGTCGGGATTATGGAGTGCGTCATCGAGATCGGGATCCTTTGTGTCCCACAGATAAGCGGGTATGGTAGAAGAGTTTCCTACTGGTCCAGCTGGCTTTTCGCCAGTGTATGAGGAGACCTCGGAGGGCGCAGCACTGAAGCGAGAACCGGGCTGCTCCCGCAAGGTTGAGGGGTTATACTTGTGCAAGGATGAGTGACTGTCCGATATATTGATACAAGCGAGCTCACTGAATACGGTCCATACGCTCCTCCAATCTGACCACTAGCTACCCCCTGCGCTATCGCACCTCTCCCGGGAGGCATCTGGACTTGACTGCTGACGGACGAGGACATCGCTGGCGGTCTGGCGGGGTTGTAAGAGCCCTGGACGCCGGTAGATTGGGGACTCTGGGGTACGGCGTAATAATCCTGGCTATTGCCTGACGGTAATGGGCGACGCTGGGCCATATCTGCTGAGAGCGGGGAGGAGAGTCAGCTGGGGAAAACGACGCCCGGTCTGAGACTAAACGTAGGGGCACCGGCGTGGGTGTTCGCTCCTCAGTGTGGCAAGTCGCTCACTTTCTCTCACGCTTATGCCGGGTGGCCTTCGAGCACCGCATCGAGCAATCGAGGCTGCGAGGTCACCTCTACTCACCCGCCCACCGGAACTTCGTGAAGAATCCCATGAAATCACAACCTAAACCACCGTTGACGATAATCCCCGGTTGCGTCTGAAGCATCATCACAGAAGTGTATTACAGGAGTCAGAAATAAGTAATTATGAATATATGTTCAAGTAATCAAGAGCAGAAGCGGTTTCCCAAGCGGCTACATGTTCATCCTACACACTGTGCCACCACCCGTGTTACCATCGAATGTGAAAAAGTTGGCTATCGGTGCTTCACGGGCGGCTAAAGCCTTCAAGATATCTTGCGCCAGCATACCACCAACAACAGCACAGACAGGAGAAAATTCATGGGCAGCGGTAGTAGACATCGTCCTATATTTTGCGCAAGTCAGTGAAGTGAACGCTGGCACAAAGTCGACACGAACTGAATGAGTTCTTTAGGCATAGAGCTGAGAACCAGCTTGTTGACCTCGGATGCCGTGAGTACCTGGTTAGCAATAGCCTCAAGTTCCGGGGTTGCATCGATATCATCGGGCAGGCTTCCGGAGTGTTGCTCCTGGTATTCCCATATTGCTAACGGAAGCCGTGTGAGGTTTGCTTCGGTAAAATCATGTAGATTTGCTCACCTAAAATTGTATGAATTAACGAAGGATTCAGTTCTTTCGTCTGGCGCTTGGTAAGACCTGACCACCGGTGTCGCAGGGCAAGGTGCAACGGCGGATAGAGGGCGGAAGTTTTCACATTTTTGGGGCCATCTTTTTGTGAAGTTCGATCGCTGAAGCCAAACCCAGGTATCCGAATTAGTCATAATCGCGATAGTGTTTTGACCAACTGAAAACTCACGGTGTAATGTAATCATGTTTTAACAGATCGCAGAAGATGTAGCCTAATAGACCAAACGTTCCGCCAGCATAGAAGGGCTTTCCAAAGCGTCGACATGTCTCATTAATTTGGCACTAGCGAGGTAATAACTTAGTACAAGCTAGAGGATATCGGCGTTGGCACATACCAGTCCTTTCCGGTCCCAGTCGGTGACACAGACCAGGTCTACGTCTTGCACAATCTCATCTAGTTTCTCTGCATCCAATAAGGAGATTTGTGGCGACGAAACGACCGTTACTAGCGGGTTCAGGTTCTCTATCCTGGCTTTGGCAGCTTCAACTCTCTAGATTTTACATTTAGTTTAGGCTATCCTTAGAGCAGCAGATCCAAACACCATACGTTACCTTCTTGCCTACGTCCTCATCCCTATAGAAGAAACCTGCCGCAAGGTCTTCCTCGCTTACATCATCTTCGTCCACTATAATGAGCTTGCCAATGCCTGCTAGCACGATGTTCTTGATTGCCTCGGTAGCCGTTCCCCTCAGGCGCACAACAAGTATTGTCGCATTCCGCATCCTAGAGTAAATCGATGAGAACAGACGGCCATAAACGTGGAACTCATGTTTAAGCGCCACTTTGTATGATAAATGACATCCCACCTTTGTTGTGCCTCAAGGCCCCATAATCGTATCTGACGGTCGTAGACCGCAGCTTCATCTGACCAGGATGCGGTGAAGCATGAGTCGAGGCCTAAATGCATGCAAACCCGACTTGCCTTCCGTGATTTGCACCGGGTTGACCTTGCTCCCTCCTTCGTAGTTTGTAGCAGCCATGCGTGACGACAGTCAGATTTTGCTTAACGTGAAGCAGCTGACCTTAGGGACGCGTTCGTAGATGTCTTGTGTCCGACGGGCTCAGCTCCGGACCACGAAAGTAAGTTGAAAGTAAGCGGGATGAGTGACAAGGGGAGTTTTTGACGCGCTCTGACGTCGCGCGTTCCAAGCCTCCGAGTCTGACGTGCGACACGAAGCACGTGCCGCTGAGGAAGTGAGCCGGCTCAGATCGGTCAGATCGTTTGATCTCAACTGGGTCACCGGATTTGAATCCCACAAACTCTATAACAAACCGGAATATACAGCTCCAGTTATCACCGCCTGAGACAATGAAGGGTCTACGCCCAGCATGCTCAAGCGACGCCACCCTGCACCATTGTGAGAGTGAGTTTCAGAGACCGTGCGCGTGGCCCGAAGTCTTGTGGCAAACTTTGGAGAAAGTCGATCGCAGGTGTACATTATGGCCGAAAACAATACACGTGGATTGAGAACCTCGAGGCTAAATGCTACATGAGTACAAACTGGGGATAAATAAAACTAACAGAAAATGTACAGTAATTTGAAAACAGCGCAGGCGTTCACACCTATGTCTCCAGCCTTCAGCCCCAGCTCGAAGAGAAACGAAGAAAGAAAATGACCAGAGAAGACTTTTTCCAAAACTACAAAATCAATGGGCGAGCCCTTTACTCTCAGACCATTGCCATACCATCACCGCTAGACTGCCCGTCCCTGTCGTCGTCTAGTCTGTGATTGAGCGGTCAGTCTCCCATGCTCACGGCCTGTAAGATCGGCTTCACTCACAGGTAATTTCTTTCGATTTCGGATAGAATAGAAAGGAAGTCCCCTGTAGCTTCATAAGATACGCTTGGCAAACCTGGTGGGAACGAGAACGCACATAGGAAAGCGTGGGCCCGGGCCGCTGATGCAGGGGCCGTTTCTGCCTTGCGCACCGCATCCAACAGTGTGGAAGCGACGAAACGCACTTTGTGTACCTGTGGATATAATGCGAAATCAGAACGCGCAGCCTTGTTACGAGGGTATGACCTACCAGCGACGGCCCATTGGTGGCAATCGACTGGATTGGGATACTGCAAGACTATTCAGAGGCAGCTTTTGCGACGGTCGGAGCGAGCCATTACCTGTGTAAAATATTGAGGAGGTCACTTGCGACGGCCTCACGGTCCTCAGCGACCTTCTGTTCATCGATGGTGCCTTGCAGTGCAAGGATCAGCTCATCTCGATACTGCTCTATGACAAAGCGGACAAGTTGCTATAAAAAATCCATGAGCACTTGAGACACAGCGACTGATGGAAGTATCTTACCTGGGTCACGTAGAGGTTGGATTGCATAACTAGGAAAGGGTTAAGCGCATTTGCACGCGAAGCCTTGGGGTTGTCGAAGAAGTCCTTGACCTCAGCGAACGTCGCTTGGCGGAAGCCGGCTCCGCCATAGTCCGAGGGTAGATCTTGAGCGCTCGATTGCTTCAGCCGAAGGGGCTCCGGGGTAGCCATCAAGGCACCAAGGATGCGTTGGTGTAAAGCTTCCACTTCCTCCAACCGGGCAGTGGCAAATTGGCCTTGAGGCGGCGAGCGCTTGTCTACCCTGATGCGCACGAGGATTTCACCGAGCAGCGCAAAGATCCTTGAGATATAGTTCAGTCCAGACACGAGTGCGGTCTTGCCATGTGGTTGGGGTAAGTAGGCGCTAGATGTGATACTGAAGATAGACAGGGTTGCCGGGTTAAACCTGGCTAATCTTCGGTCAACAGCACGGAGAACTCACTATTCATCGTCGAGTTCCTTAGGAAAATGTACCGTGCAGTCTTCGTCTCGGAGACATATTGGGCGACCCAGCAAGATCGACATCGATTTATCCGCTATTGATTTAAGATGTCAGCCCGAATGTCGCACGTAGTAGCGGCATTTTGGCAGCGGTAGAAACAATGAATCGATGACGTACCACCGAAAAGCAGCCAGAAAGTCCTCCTCCGTACTTCACATTCGATTGGGTCAAGCCCTTCGTAAGAGGCCTCCTCATGCATCCGTAAAGTCACTGCAATGTGAGCGGCCTCTCCAAAGGCAGCGTGCTGGGTAGCATCATGACCCTCGCAGAAATGGTATATGCAGTCGCTTCGGGATTTGAGGGGACGGCGACAACAGCTGATAATGGCAACCACTCACAAGTATCGCACCACAACGTGCATAGACGTGGGAGGATCGTATGAGGCAATTGTGATATGCCGGCTAGCCTCGTAGCACGTCTGTGCCAGCTTGCGAACAACGGACCGCTCCATGGGCAGGTAGGACCGCGGGACCTGCACTAATGTTGATGCGACAGTGGACATGACGAGTGCGAAAAACAAAGGGTCCCGCTCTTCGCGACGAGAGTGCAGGTCAGCCATAAAGGATGGCTTGTGGATGCAAGGTGTTAGGGGATATACGAAGTCAAAGAAAAGAGCAATGATCAAAGAAACGGTATCGCGTGGGGCAATATCTTCCAAACGATGCGGGCGATGGTAGTATGAAAGCGGGGGAATAGCCGTCGGTGGAAGTATGGGCAATGGCTGGTGGTGCTTGTACGACCAGTTGTAGGCAGAAAATGAACCATATGGCTCAGGCGAGAAGTTCTGCGGGGAGCTCTCTTCTGTCTTCTGGTTAAAGCTGGCAGTTGTACTGTTGGAGTCACGCGACCCAGGGTATGAAGGCAGCTGGTTGACAGGGGAATAGTGTGGGTGGTATGAATCGGCTGCAATTGGGTAACGGGAAGGCGTGATGACTGGTTGGGACCCGCCAGGAGTCAACGAGGGCTCCAGGAATGTTGGCGTCTGGGACTGGATGGACGGTGATACACTTGTTAACGGCGGACTAGTGAGCTTGCGTTGACTAAGTCCCGGCGATGGGACCTCCGTCGAGGGAGTGGTATCAGGCTTCTCCTGGTGTGAGACGACAGCTGCAGCTGCGGCCTCTTGGAGGCGACGCAGATAGCTTAGTAGTAAGTCAGTTACGAGATCATGACGTTGTATGGAGTTCGGAGAAAGAACACACAGGTTCGGAGGGCCACGTTTCTTCGGTTGGTAGTCATATGTGCATGGTATACCAAGGGCGATGCAATGCTTGCAAGACTGCTTCTGGTCTTCCGGGTTTTCGCGGGCACAGCGCACTTTGCGGGCTCTGCATGCATCGCAACCTAGGGACGTTGATTAAATGATCTGCTACCTATGATGCAATTACGGAAACGACGAACTCTGAGATTGACGCCTGCGAAGATCAACGAAGAGAAGTTAGCATCGATCTCGGCACGGAACGAGACGGAAAATGACATGGCGAACGTAAGCGGTGGACCGAGAATTAATGAAGGAAACGCGGCAATGCGTCAGGGAGAAGGGGCTCGCAGGGTAACGGAATGGAGGGAGGAGATGAAGATGTGCGGGGAAACGTCGGACCACGGAGGACGTACTTTCTCTTGACCTTGCTGTTTTCGGCGGACGAATCTTGGAGATTGGCGTCGTCGGAGAGAGGCGAGCCAGATTTAGACTCCTTTTTCGGGCGTGCGGCAGGCATTTGGGAGCGGGGGACGAGGGGAAAATGGGAGAGTTGTCTAGAGTGCAGAGGCTATTTGCACCTGGCGGGCCTGAAATTATGAGGGATGCGCTCAGTAAACAGTGGATTATTGGGCGGCTCTTTGTCTTATTTACGCTCGGCCGCTATGTAGTTTGAGCTTCGCAATGAATGTGGTCGTTGGATTGGGTTGCCCCAAATCCCGACACGGCCAGGTGCCAGGTGGCACGCGTGGCTTCCCCAGCTCACTTGGCTCTGCCCATCACGGGTCCCAGGGTGCTTGATGAGGAGTCCAGCTCGGTCAAACCGCGGCTTTACCCCTGCTCAATTGATTCCTCCAGCCTTAGCAACCGGTTTAGCGGGTCAGCCCGGTGCGAAACTTATCATGAGCTCGCTGCGAAAAATGACATGTCGTCTCTTTTCCCACGCTTTCGCACACTCTATCATCTTGTCTTGATTTTGCCCACGATATTTTGCATACATCTGCGGCCACATCTCAGCAGTACTGGTGTCAGTCCGCATCTGAATCTTCGTCTGAGCCTTGAGGCCGATCGAACTGATAGACCTCTTTCGCGTTGGGATCTTCGGCATGTCGCGTGCACGTGGTGGGTAGGGATTATTGTATCATTACTACAGTAGCGTATTTATCTATGATGACTCGACAACTTCTCTAACTACGTGGTCCCTGTCGCATCCGCGCAAGCATCATCTCGACACGAGATCTCGATATACGCTCCGCTTCGCAGTGACGGCGTAGCACGCGAGCGATCGACGTTCGTAGCAAAACGTGCTTCCTGTCATCCCACTCGACCTTCTCCCGCATCACTGCCTCCCAGAATTTGAAAGCCATCTCTGGATCATCAGCCTGCAACGCAGCATCTGCGCAGTGCTTCCCAACGCTCGGCGGCACACCATGCTTGGTGCGGTCCAATGTCGATATGATATCCCAAGCGCGCCGTATGTTTGGTTTGGAGCTCGCTGAGCCATCCTTCGACTGCATGGAGGCATGTATTAGGGACGTCACCGTCTTGGATGAGAGTTCTTGACTCTGCTCGCGCATCTGCGATAGAAGGGCGTGGGCCAACTGCGTGTCATCATGGATGAGGGCATGATGAAGAATCGTGCCATAAGTGACCGCATCAGGGTACATACCCCGCTTCAGCATCTCTTCAACGACTTGAGCTGCGTCCCGGGGAGAGTGTTGAGCCATCGCAGATAAGCCGACGTTGATATCAACCTGGTCCGGTATTTCCTTGCGTGCGAGCAACATCTTGAATGCCGCAAGGCCCTCTTTGATACGGCCAACTAGGATGCATGCCCGAGCGATCGACGTGAGGTTAAAATGTTCAGCATCCTGCAGAGGTCTGTGGCATTCTTCAAATTCATCCAACACGCGCGACAGGAAGCGTGAATAGTCCTCCGCTTTACCCTCTTCCTCCTCCTTGCTTTGAGCCGCGTCATCTTGTTCACCTTGACCAAAGTAGCCTGCTTTCGACTTGGCACGCGAGACAAGAGCTTGAAACAGGCTAACCATCCGAAGCATAGTTCTGCCGTTTCCAGTGACGAGCTGACGGTCATTCCCCGTGGCGTAGCGCTCCCAAAGAGCTCGTGCCTGCGAAGCCAAACCACGTACGGCTGCGCAGCTTATGAAGATGGCGCGATCGGGAGGCGGGATGGGTTCCCCGTCGTCGAGTACCTGTTTTGCAAGTTGTCGAGCCAAATGGGTGTTCTGCGAACTGACTGCTAGGTACCTCATCAACCAGGTGAGGGCGCGACCGGAAGGAGGAGGGTAAGCGACGCAATCTAGAACATCTGGATCCTGTGTGTGCCTGTACATACGCTCGGCAGCCGTGTGGCTATCCTGTTCATAAGCACGGTTGTAGAAGAGTCGAAGTAGTCCGCGGGGTATCGTCCATGTGATGTCACGTACGTCCAGTAAGACGAGCAAGTCGACGCAAAGATCCAAAAGGGGGGACGAGTTTGCATTCAATGCGGAGTAAAGGGTCTCGCAACAGAGTTGCAATGCAGCCGGGGATGGACTGGGAGGTGCTATTGCAAGCTCGCGAGCCAGTAGAATCGCATGAGAATGCCACCCCCAATGAGCAGCAGCCTTGCAAAGAGCGGAGCGAAGGATGAAATCGAAGTCACGGGTGGATGCCTGGTCGTTCATGTACTGAACGGCTTCCGGGGGGATAAAGCGTGACTTGATGAGAGCCTTGAAGAGCTCCAGCGCGTTTGAATTCCGCTCCAAAGACATTAATTTATCTACAAGTTTGAAAGCTAAAAGGGAGGGGGTTGAAGGCTCGCACGGCGCAGAGTGTATGTTACTGGGAACAATCATAGTCTCAATGGCATCCGTTATGAGAGGGAGGAGTGTTTCCAGTGCAACATCGTCTGCAGCATCCAAGAACGTGCAGTCTAGTAAATATTGGAGAGCAAGAGACTGAGACGTTGCGGATGACGTGATGGATGGGACCGTATCGCGGATTGCCTCGAGCAAATCGTCAATATGGGAGAAAGGAGCTTCCTCGACCCGTCGCATGCACGCCAGCATCATGAACAAGGTGTCAATGCTAGCGGGTGTGTTGGTTGCCCATACCTCGACGATATCCTTCGCAATGAGCTCCATGGTCTGCAGCTGTCCGAGTTCTGCAGCGGTCTCGTACAAGTATACGAGCGCCGAACCCGGCACTTTCGTGACAAGAGACCGGTCCTTGCACCGTAAGGACAAGAACATGGCGAGAGGGTCGTCTGTCCTGACTTCCGCCTGTCGAGAAGTCGACGCGCCGCCTGCAGACGAAAGTTGGGTAGCTTCCTTGAGTTTTTGGGCGAGAAGCTGGCGTGTTCGGTCGAATTGAACGTGACTTGACGATGGTATCTCTCCGGCGCGTGAGCTTGAATGTAACACTGCGGAAGAGTTAATTGCAGCATAATGCGCGAGACGAGGTCGGCGAGAGGGAAGTTGGGAGGCACGTAGTGCATGTGTAAATGACGAAACGCGAGTTATATCGTGTCCTTGAGGCAGTAGTCGACGGCAAACAGACATAAGTTAGCTGATTAATTGACATCAGTAACCCTCAGTTTCGTGATAGACTGCACTTCTTACCTCATGCCGCATGAAACCTCACTCTGCAGAGTAGTCGGTATGCTTTGCGTGAACGCGACGGGAACGCGCAACAGTCTGCAACGGAAGCAACTGAAAATTGAGAAGGTCGGCGGCGCGGGGCACGTAAATAAGCACAAACACGCAATACAGTCTATAATGTGATCCTCTCTAACACTAGCTAATGCACTGAGTGGCTCCCTTCGCGTCTTTCTAGACGTTTACCTGTAGCAGAGTCGCATTAGCTACGAGGTTTGCAAGGATTGAATCAGCTTTGCATAACTGTGTCACGAGCGCTTCCGCGACGAAGTCTACCCCGACGAAAGGACCTCGTGATAATCTCCAGCAGAAAACCGGCATTTGCGAGCACATTCGATCCCCGACAGCTATGCTTCCGTACCTTTCTCATGTCCAGCTCTCAAGATCTCATGTTCAACCCGTTACACCGTTTCCCTCCAATTCTTGCGGCCCGCTCTTTACTCTCGGACTGTCAATCTCAGTCTTTGATTGTACTAGACCGCAGACACCTTCTCAGGCTATCGGGAAAGTTTGTGCTGACCGCGAGGACAGAGGCAGCTCTTTTCAGGACCTGCCAGCTGGCAAGGGAGCCAACATCCCCTCTGGTCAAGGATGTTACGTTGGCACGCGCCCATGTCCAGAACATTCCCGTTGACGTCGTCCATGGCCGCCTTTCTTGCGGGCGCGATTACCCGAGGGATGTTCTCGCCTGTTCTCGCTTTCGCGGTTGAATACCCCATGATCTCTCGACGGTGTCTAAACACAATCTCGACAAGGCTTTGCCCAATAGTCTCGACAGCTCGCATCGTGTCGCGAGACTGTTGCTAGGTGATTGACCGATGGTGTCGATTTTGCTACACGACCAATTGTCTGCGCAGCTCTAGACGAAGCGCTCCAGCGATCGTCGTTTGAGATTGACCAGGATTGACCCAGGGCTGTCACTTTTCGCTTGCAAGCGAGTCAAACTAGGTCAAACCTTGCTTGCTATAAGGGAAGGTCGCGTCCATCGTATGGTCCCGGAACTTCCTTCGCTGCCTTCGCTGCCGCGGCGGCTTTCATCAAAAGCCAGGAACGTCTCATCATACGGGACCGCACCAGCTGACCTCCTCGCCAAGGACTCAGAAGGTTATTGAAACCTAATACCTTCGGAAATCGCCCCCCACAAGCCCCCACGGAGCTACTTAGGTGCAAGTACAAGACGTCCTTGGAACGGATAATCGCCGGCTCGACTCTGGATGCTTTGCGGATGATTCGACCTCGCTGTGTGTCAGTTCTGAAACAGTTACTGGAGACACTTTCTGTCATTGACATGCGGAGTTTCCCTGCCTCACGTTTATCTGCTTTTCTTGACAGTTTGTTGACTATGAAATGTGGTTGTCGAGGTGATGACAAACCGAGCGTAAGGGAATGCTTGGAGTCTGGACTATGTAGCTGGAGGACCGGCTCAGCCGTAACATCCTCCCATATGGGTGCATATGCCTCCTGCAGGCTGCTACTAGAGCGATGAACTGTCATTGACCATCGCAACTGTGTTATCGTCCCAGATCCTGTATCCTCCCAAGCGATTGATGTTACATCCTTCATGGACTCGCTTTTGCGTCGCTTGATTCATCGCTATGCCTGACGACGCTACATTCAAAATGAACTCGATGAGATGCGGACGTAAACAAGGAAGCTGCATGGAGCTGGAGGAAGAATAATTAGCCTTGGTACTCGGTGACTGTGTACATCTGATACCGCCGGGGACTACGCCCTAACCAACTCGATCCGAGACCATCGATGCAATCCAACTAAATGATGAATTGCGCGCATCGAGTCGTTGGTAGCAAAAAAACCGTAGTCTCCTTTTTGCAGCCGTTTTACACGTGTCGCTGCGCTCTTTTGACGCTGTGTAAAACCCCAAACCGTTCTACTTGGCTTTCTCATGCGGCCGGCGAGACATCCAGTCATGCGTTGCCGCTTTTCCGATTAGTGGAAGGCGGCCAGCGTTTTACTACCTAGTGCTCGCCCTCGTCGCCGGTTACTACTAGATAGGCTAACGCAAAGCACTGTGCACGCATTAATTCTCGCTAGAAATCGAGGATGAGCCTGATTTGCCAGTGAAAGCGAGCTGCTATATTATAAGATTTATCTTACTCTTAATGTGGCATATTAATGGCAAGCTGCCAGCTAACGTTGGTTCTCGATACTCAAAACTTGATGCTAGTCGGGCCTGAGGTCGATCCAGGGTCGATCGTTAGCTCACTTGCGCGCCAACTCTGTTTTTAAAGGAAATCGTTCTCCGCATCCTAAGATATGACACGATGATTATCAGTAATTTTAGTTGGATCTTCTTTGAGCGCCTGCACTGGCTAATTTTTCGTTCCACTGAGACGCTGAGTCCTTGACGGTCAAACTCTGGGCAAACTGCGTCACAACTACGACAACTACGATCCCGAGTTTCTCGGAGAGGAATACACGTGGGCAAGAAAGATGGGCGCTTTCGCGATCGGGCAAGGCCAGACGCGCGCGGCGGTATTCTGTTGGCCAGTAGGAGTGTTGACCATTCCAGTACTTGTCGACTCGCCATGGGTGCAGGACAGTCATCAACTTCGCAACAAAGCCCATCGCATGCTCTGCATGTTCTCCGTGTAACCGCTCACTCCCCAGCTTCTCGGACGAACATCGAGCCTTTCTTTGACTTCATTGTTGGATTCAGCGAAGGCGACTCATTGCCCGACCATACGGAGCTGGATGCGTCTGAGCTGGAGAAGATTGTAGAGGAACATGAAGAACGGACGATTACCTTGCTCGTGTGGAGTAGTAAGACGAAGATCACTCGAGGTAGGTCCGCGCAGCTCGAGCCTTCACTTCTGGATTCACGACATGCCACGTTATTCACAGAGGTCCCTATAACACCTTCTCGAACATGGTCGGTGGGTAGGCAGCAGTCGGGCGCTGAGCCTACATCAAAGCCATCTCTTCTTGGATTGAGTATGCGAATGTGCGAGTACGAGAGTGCGACTGACAACGTTTGGCACGTCATGGAGGTCCTCGAGGGAAGCCCGGCAGAAAGCGCTGGTCTTGTGCCGTACGGAGACTGGATCATAGGCTGGTCCGGAGATGTCTTAAAAGGCGAAAACGACTTCTATGACGTCGTAGAAGCTGTAAGTTCAAGCCACGTTAACTTGGAATTATTGATGCGATAGTTTCCCTTTAGCATGTAGACAAACCGCTGCGAGTCTTTGTATACTCGTATGACTTTGAGTATGTTGTTTGTTTCTTCAAATGGATGCTTGCTAATTTTCTTAAACATCGTCAGCAACTTGCGGGAAGTGGTCCTGATGCCTAATCGACATTGGGGAGGAGAAGGGTTGCTGGGCTGTGTATTTGGGTGAGCACGGCAAAGTTTTGTTCACAAAGACCTACTAAAGGTTTATCAAGGTATGGTCTACTACATCGTATACCGGACCAGCCCTCGAGAAGAAACTCGCAGCACCAACCTGCTAGCGCTCGAGGAAGCTATGAAAGCGGACGCGAGTTCTTTGTTCCCGCAGACGTCTCTCAGGGCTCAGTGCACAACGGCACAGCGCACGCATCACATCATGATACAGACTCCACTTCTTTTGCCTCTCCAGTCCCTCACAGACTGTCAGGACCGAGCAGTCTGGGCACCGGCTCCCAGCCAGGGACTCCACGCCAGTCAGGATCCACGCTTACCCCCGGACGGGCTTACAGCCCCTCACTTGGCACCCTGAATGGTGAAGCGTCGCCCAAACCCTGATGTGTCCTCCTTCTCTAAAATCATGCTTATGACATTATAAGGTTTCCCCTCCCACTCGCTTACGCCTAGACTGAACTCTTCTTTTACCCGCATGTCATCGTACACCAATGGCCATATCCATAACCATGAGGATGAAGAGGATAGTGATGGTGTTTCGGACCTATCTGGGTCTGATGGCTCAGACCTTGAGAGCTTAACAAGCGTCGAGTAGCCAACGACCGAGCGCCTAACGATCTAAAGGGTTTATTTTGGAGCATTACGACAATTGACAACATTCGGGTACTAACTCCGCACAAAGATACCATGATACCACAAGACTCCAACTATTCATGCAAGGCATTTACTTCGTAATTAGGGATTATAGTACAAACGGGAGCCCAAAGAAACAAACTGGTATCAACGCTTCTTCACAAGTATTACAAGCCTTAAGCCACCAACGCCTATGCCTCTGCCTCATCAACGTCACCAGATGTATTGGACCGAGGATTGAACTCCAGATGTTGCGCGATCAGAGGCCATACTGCGAAAAGAATGTCAGGCAATTGAAGTAAGAGATCGCCAGGATCTACTTACCCTCCTCGAAACCTGGATGACGACCAACACGAATTTGCTGCCAAACATTGCGCATGCCATCCGAGGACCGTATATCTCCCCACCGCTCCAGGAAAAAGCTGACCTGCACTTTCCGGATTTCCCCAAAGGCGGCAGAGAATGGGGAGAACACCTCATAGGGGATATTATCCACCGTGAGCGCCTTTTGGATATGCTGTGACAACGTGAGTCCAGAACATACGTGCGGGTATTCAGACACGTCAGCAAAGCGTACCTGATATGCCCGCTCTTTAAGCTCCAAAAGATCCAGTTCTATGATGGTCATTAGCAAGGTCTTGGCGTCCGACGTCAAAACATACTGTCAGCCAGCCTGTACACCGCCTTAGCAGAGCAAGGTGCCGGTCGATGGGGATGTGCTTGGTGCCATCTTTGAATCCAGTCTTTGCGCGTTCTTGGCATAGCAACAAACGAGTCAACCTGCGAGGACTTGTGGCCCTCGGCAAGCGTTGGCTGACCATCGGAAGGGTTCTGTGATGCCAGCATGAATGGGGCATTCCTTTTGCTGGGCGTCGAGATAAAGGATGAGCTCAATGGAGCAAAGACGATGACATCCGTATACAGCTGGATGAGCTAGTATGAGCATAAACATCTCGGCCACTGCACATCGTGAGCTTACATAGTATAATACAGCTTTGTAGGTGCTATACGCGAAGTCGTTGATGACAACACGCATCTTCTTTGGTCCAGATAACGAGTTTTGCTCGCCAAAGCGAACGAAACCTGCGCCAGTTTCTGGCCTGCTCACCGAGACGATGGAGTCTCCAAGGTGATCAATTGGTCCTTCCATGGCAGAACCCATGTGTGAACGCTCCTCTACCAACCGCATTGAAGCCGCTTCAGCTTCAGACGGCACATCAAGATTTTGTGTGAGTTCGCTTCCACGACCAGTCGAGGGCGCGTCGTAATAATGATCGTCGTCGTCGTCATTGTCGTCTTCGTGATCAGAGTCGTCAAAGTGGCGGATAGTGTAGGTCTCGTCTGAGCTTCCGTCATCATTATCGGACTGCTCCAGTATGGGAAGGTTATCGGTAGATGCCTCAGCAAAGCCGGAGCTGAACACTACGCCAGGCACTTAGTTGTAGCATTGCGATAAAGCGAAGCTTCACTTACTGGCATGAAAGTATTCTGCTCTCTGCAAGATCTTCTTATTGGCATAAATTCGGCGCGGCGGTTTGCCCCTTCGAGGCAAGACAAACTCAACATCAGAATACAAAGGATCATCCAGGAGTGCGCCGACACGCTCCAGGAAGTCCTTGGGAACTAACTGAGCTGGGACAGAAGGGGGTTGGATAGGCAATTGAGGAGACGACGTGATGGTGCATATAATGAGGAAGGCATCTTGGTCTTTGACTGTTGTAGAATGATAATACACATGATCCCGTCTTGCGAATTGGGCCCTGTCAAAGGACATGAATACCACTTTAGGGGGGACTTCGGCTGACGCACCACCCCCAATTCGCTGTCTGAAGGGATTTAATCAACTAGATCAAGTAAAGGCAGATATTGTGTCTACCTTGGATGAGAATGAATGGTTATGCGCCTCCTTGATGTTGAAAAGCTGCGTCTTCCCCAGACTGAAGCATACCGCTGTGTTGGCCCGGGAACAGACAGGACAGAAGCAACAACATACCTGCGAAGCTCGAAGTTGAACTTGTACGTGCCTTCTCGGACCCACCTTTTAGGCCCGTCAAGCCAATGAGACCTCTAAGCACGCAGAATAGGCTCACTTTCCATCTACTGCACTTTCCTTCTCTTCGGCGGTAGGCTAATAATATGTCATGGTTACCACGAAGACAAGCAAGCACATTTCTGGGACGAGATCTCACCTCACACGACAAGTACAGGCTGACAAAATTTCCTCCTTCAGTTCCCGAGTTAGCATAGAAGAGGATCTTGCAAAGAAGATGTGTTTTATGAGGATAAGGAGTAGCATGCATGTCCATGGCACGCACCTGCCAACGGCCGCCGCCAAAACGAACAGACTTGTTGACTTTCGATTTACATTCGCCTTTGCTATAAACCGGATTCAAATCCTGGGCTTCGCAGGGCCGTGAAGAACCTACCTGGATTCGAAGAGGTTCTTCAGGCCGCGCAGCACCCACTCAAACGTGATGGTGGTGCTCTCCAATGAATCCATTTTGGTTGCATCAGACATTTAGGTGATGATCCCGACGTAGAAGGCTTTCGCAAAAGTTGAAGCAACGATCCTGGTGTGTTCAGCAAGCAGATATCAATGCCTGGCGTGCAGTAAATGGATCGCCGCAGTCGTCAAGGGAGAGCTAGTAGCACGTCTCGCGCCTTTCTTTCTGAGATCGCGATGGCTGGTACAATCGAGAACTTGTCTACCTAATGCCGTGCCAATGGCAGAATTGGGCAAGATACAACAGAAGATGGATACAGGTGGTGAGCTGTTGGTCCTTGTCTTGTATGGCCCGGATTCCAGAGCTTCCAGGACTACGAAGCAACTACGAAGGATTACAAGGAGCTACAAGCGTCAAATGCGACACGGGGTAATGCCTACATTGTGACACACGTGTTTCCAGCACAGCTGCAGACTTGTAAACGGGCGTGCCCACCCCCTGACGGTCGATTGCCTTTTTTGGCTGCAACACCTGTGACAGCTATCTTGTCGTCATTTAGATTGCAGATTATTCGGTGATGAGCAGGTTTGCGGTCACAATTTATGTCTAGGAATATTCTTCAAGTATGATTCTAAGATTTGTTGCGATGGATTGTCAGAAATGACTGTGTAGCGTTCTCTATCTCTATCTGAAGCGTCTTCCTCTGCCAAAAGAACCAAAACCTCTCTGTTCTTATTGAAGGTTAACTACGGACCTTTGAGCTTTGAGTTTTTTTCTGTGGTATGTGTGACATGATGAGAATAAACTGTTGCGATGGATTTTTCATAGGTGGTTTGGATCCTGCGTTGTCCATAATCGTTGGTCTACAGAGGCTCAAACATTGGTTACAGATGTGCTCGCCCAAAAAGGCAACTAGCAGTCAGGGGGCGTAACGCCCGCTTCGCGGGCATTGCCCACCCCCATATATTGAAGCTACGTCCAGGCGTGGCTGTGTTACCCCATGACCTATCCTCGACGCTGGTCCGTCTCTTGATCACGCTGTGATAGTGCCATTAGGTACAGAATGCCAGCGTATTGCACTCAGCGTCATCCTTTCCAATCATTCAACTCTCCTAACTTCCTCTCGTCTCTCGATTATCAGCCTTGAACGCAACAGATACACAGCTCTCCTTGCTTCCGGGTCTGTTTCGACTTCATGTAGTGCCATCAGATCGAAACCGCCACCCTCTCTCGAAAGCGGTACTCAGCCAAACGGAGCTGGGCTTTTTCACTTCGAATTGCTTCGAAAAGGCACGATCATACGTCTGCACGTCAGCGGATGTATGCTTTGAAGGATGCACATGCCCGTCATTGTTTTAGCCTTGGTCGACTTTCGTCTCGTTCTACTGTACTCTTGCTGGCTGCCCCATTAGGACTTCGAATGGTTGTTCTAGGAGATCTTAAAAATCTCGCTGGCAGAAGCGCCAGCAGAGCCTCGACTTTGTCCTCTCGTTCCCCTTCAATCTCGTCTCAACTGCGGCAGCATAGTCGTTTGATACTTCACTACCGGCGGCAACTCAGCCTCGAAATCAACGATGATACACTTCAAGAAGCTCCTTGCACTCGCCTCGCTCATTCCGGCAGCCCTATGCCAGGGCCCGACGGTCAACATCGGATATGCGACCTACCAGGGCTCAACTGACGCCAACGGCGTTAGCGCTTTCCTCGGCATGCGATATGCCGCCGCACCGACTGGTTTGTGTCCTCGCATTGCTAACCGGCTTGCTCATACCCGCTCCTAATCCTCGAAATTCTTACGACACTCAATAGGCAGCCTCCGTTTCGCAGCCCCTCAGGTGCCTGCGAACGTTTCGGGTGTGCAGCAGGCGACGGCTCTCCCTGCCCAGTGTCAGCAGGCGCAGACGGGTACAGGTGCTGTTAGTCTCTGGCCGTACACTGGTGGTACCTCGAACGGGCCGGAGGCAAAGTATATGTTCAAACAGAAGCGAGATGTCGCTACAGACGAGGATTGTCTCTTCCTCAAGTTAGTTATCAAATAATTAGGCCTTAATGTTGCAATCATCCTGATCTATATGATGCTATATATTTCAGCGTTTACACCCCTGCCGACCTCACCAACGATGCGAACGCAGGATTGCCCGTCATTGTCTGGATCCACGGTGGAGGGTACGTATTGCCGCGTTGTTGTCCGAACCCTCTTCTAAGGAGTCTCCTTTTCCAGATACATCAGTGGTGCCTCGTCACAGTTCAATGGAGTGGACCTTGTCCTAGACGCGGACAAGGGTGTCGTCGTTGTCACCATCCAGTACCGTCTCGGCATCTTTGGCTTCTTGGCTGGAAACGAGGTCATCCAAGGCGGCGGTGCCCTCAACGCTGGTTTGCGTAAGTATTTGCTCTTTGGCGATGGGGAAGTGTGAAGGCTGACGCAGTCTTGCGGGCTTGCAGTTGACCAAACGCTCGCTCTTGAGTGGGTACAGAGCTACGTGAGATGATCTTGCTGTGGGGGACTCTATGGGACATGCGTACTGACGAGGTCGCAGGTCAGCCAGTTCGGCGGTGACCCGACCAAGGTCACTATCTGGGGCGAGTCTGCAGGTGCATACAACCTTATCGTGACGGGAACAGCCTCTTGACTAATGTTACATAGGTGCCGGCTCCGTTCTGCAGCACATCGTCGCTAACGGCGGTAACACCCAACCACCTCTGTTCCACCAAGCGATCACGAGCTCAACCTTCCTGCCGTCCCAGTATGCATACAACGACACCATACCTGAGGTGCGCACTTCTCTTCACTCTTCTTATTGTGAACAAGATACTGAAAACGGTTTGAAGGCCATCTACAGCTATTTCGTTCAAAACGCGAACTGCGGCTCCGACACCAATTCCTTCCAGTGTTTGCAAAACGCGGACGTTGGCACCATCGCCAGCGTGAACCAGCAAATTAACCTCAACGGATTCTTCGGCTCGTTCACGACTGTGCCTGTTATTGACGGTAGCATGATCATCGAACGCCCAACTCAGACTCTGGCAAGGGGAAGCGTGAATGGGGTATGTCCTGTTTGATTTCTTCATGTAAGGATAGTTTTGAGCAAGTTGTTGACACAATTGTATATCGGCAGGATTCCCTTCTTTCCATCACTAACGCCCACGAAGGTTATGTGTTCGTTAATGCCCAGGAGACGTACACAACCGAGCAGTACCTCCAGAACCTATTCCCCAAGATCTCGTCTGATGGCATCAACCAAGTTACCACCGCATACAACGGCTACCAGCAGCTACCTGCTGGTGGTGGAGCGGTCCCCGACAATGTCAACACGGCCATTGGAATCATGGGCGAATGTGCGTCTCTAGCTTGCATCTTGTAACGTTGTTCAAGGCTAAGATTGCCACAGCGATTTTCTACTGCCCGACGTACTATCTCCTCCAAGCCTTTCAGTCGGCGAACAAGAACGCGTGGAAGGGCCTCTTCGCTCCTCCCCCCGCGTTCCACGCGATGGACATTGGGTACTACTTCGGCTCGTGAGTGTCCTTGCTCCACCGCTTCTCAACGTCTGCTTATGCGATCGACAATAGGCAAGGTCAGGTGTTCACTAACTGGAACTTCGTCGCTTCGTTCTCGAAGTCTTTCTCCTCGTTCGTGATCTCCTCGGACCCAAACCAGCACGTCGATGCCGACGACGTGACGCCCCAGTGGAACACGTGGGCGACCGGGAACGCCGAGATGCTGTTTAACGTCACGGACGCCGGTGACGCGGCGCTCGGCGCGTTCACGTCGGATGCGGGAATGGTATCGCGCTGCGGGTGAGTTTTTCTGCGTTTGTGGACGTATTAAGGCTTGGTGAGCTAATGAACTTTCATGATGCAGTGTCTGGAACAAGCTGGGTCAGCTCACGGGTCAGTAAGCCAAGCTCTGAGCTTCGCCTTGGTCTTGGGCAGCGGTTAGACGCCAACTGTGATGCCTCTCCGGGGACGTCCTGCGTTGAAGAGACTCAATGGGAGCTTAGCTTAATTTTTCTGGGTAGTAAATTATATATTTGTTGTTTCTGCTGGTTTCCAAGGTTATTATTTGTAATGCTGCATGCATGTAATCTTAAATCATTGACTAGTGGCACCTACTTTTGAGTAAGCCAACTTGAATTTCATAGTTTCGGAGCCCTGAGCGCCTTCTGATTTATGAAGGCGAGAGGCTCAACATCTCGGGCACTATGTGCCACGGTCTCAAATACAGACGGAGGTGTGATGGTGTACGATCATCGGACTGGTTGCTTTCACGCCACTTCACCAACTGTCCGCGTCGATGATGAGATGGCCAAACAGTTCTATGCTTACGACACTTCCACAGGGGAGAGCGTGGTCGTTATATATGTTTATATCACGTATCCGTTGATCTATACACATTTTACGAGCAATAGCACTTCATCCTAACATCTTTCTGAAATCATCCTGGCCTTTCTCACCTTGAGCCACAGAGGACTGATTGGAGATCGCTGACACAGTGCTTTTGGTGCCGGGCCGGGCAACGACACCAGGAATCCTCGCGCGTCCCAACCCGGCTCTCGGGCGCGACGCAGCAGATCGAGGCACAAAGAGGCCTCCACCGCCAGCGGGAGCGGCCGTACGTGTAGACGAGCTTGGGCCGCCTCCCGCTCCGGGCTTGCCTTCTTCGGTAAGATCTAAAGCATTGCCGTTAAAGACAATCTGCCCGGTTCGTAGAATGAGTTTGCCGGCTTCCTGCACAGCTCAATCAGCAACAGATCAATCTCTCGGAGGTTGATTCTCACAGCTTGACTCTCTAATTCGGCCACTGCTTCGTGACGATCCTCGAACACTTCCACGCGCTTGATAACACAATACTTCTCCAGCGCCTGCTGCAGAAGACCTTCTTGTGCTCCTGCTGGAAGGTTTCGTATCCGAACAGACCGTTGCTGAAGTTCAGCTTGGCGCCCAAGACCGGTGTCCTTGCTGTCCCTACGAACACAATGAGGTTAACGAAGAGCTTATACTTCAGATACGAGGAAATCACATACTGATAGCGAGGTTTCACTCTACTATCCGCCAGAGTTACAGCTATACGCCGAGACCTCAGCTCATAGTTGTTTGCTGAAAGGGCAGCTTGGGCGCTGGTCTGAAGATGTCCATTGGGTTTGCAAAAGGCAAGGTGAATAAGAGACAATCACAAACCTCGCTCTCAAACTCAACAAAAGCAAACCCCTTCGATTGACCGTTCTTGTCCGTGACCAATCTCACGTCGTTGACCGTACCATACTGCAGAGCATTTAGAATTCAAGAAGTTTGCGCCCAAAATTAAGCTTACGGTTTTAAAGACCCCCTTAAGGTCTTCTTTCGTCGTATATTTGCTGAGACCAGCAACGTACACCTCCTTTTCGTTCGCATCTGCATCGGTACGCTCCTTCTTCCGTTCTGGGTTGGAAATGAGGACACTGAGCTTCCGGGACGGTTCAACTTCAAAGTTGTGCAAAACAAGCGCGTTTTCCGCAGCAGCCTGTCAAAGCGTTAAATTCGGGCATCGCGTGATCGAATGTTATCCAACATACAGGAGCGGTGTATTGCACGTAACAGAAACGCCTTGTTGATTTATACTTCTTGCTTGGCCACCGAACATCAAAGATCGTGCCGTACTGCAGGCAAAACGCCATTAAGCATCTGATTTCGTTCATGGGACATTGACTGACTTGGCCAAACATCTCTCTGATGCGTGCATCATCATAAGACTCGGGGAAGTTCGTCACATAGAGTGTAGACCGCCAGGCGAGATGCACTGCTATCTCCTCACCGCGGATGCGTTTCTTGTCTTTGGTCAATGCCGCAGGGACGCTATCCTGATGCATCATCTGAGTTGCAACATACAAAACGGGCGACGCTCACTTACTCGGGTTCCAAATTCGACAGTGGCTACTAATGCTTGAGGTAGTTCTGTGATCTTGATCCCACGGATTTCGCCACACTAGAGTTCTCCCTTTAGTCAACGCCGAGCTGGTTCAGGGGAGAAACGCGCATCTTTGAACAGTGCATTAAGGTCACTTTCGTCGGTCCCTAAAGGGAGACTTGATATGAAGACTGCGCAGTTCTCTCGATCCCTGCGATGAACTTGTTGAGGCATTTGGGCTAACGGTTGTCACCAGATTACTTACCTTTTGAGAGGCGCTGGTTTAGCCTCTGCTCATACGTTAGACATAACCATTTTCATCAAATTCAGATAGCATCACCCACCAACGCGAGCCTTCTTACTGGATTCTCCAACGGGTTGTTCTGATGCATCTTCTACCTTCCTCTTTGTGCCACTATTGGTGGATGCGGCTACGACGGGCTCCTCTACCTGCGCCGGAGTATCAACGTCCATCGCCTGCTCAGCTTCTGGCCGTGCAGCCGGATACCGCGCTGCATACTGAGCGGCTGCTTGCTCGGCTTCCTATGCATCTCAGTCAATGGAGCAAGGCATGACGTGGATAGAGGATGACTGACCTTCGCTCGCCTAGCATTCACAATTGTACGTGCTTTATCCACCCGTTCGATCGCGTTCTCAATCTCATCCAACGATCCGAAACTGTGTTCGAATGAAAGCCAGGCCTCCCAGATGACCTCAGGCCAGTCGATGTTCTTGGTGCTGACATCCTGGAAGGCGGAGCGCACAACGTCGTGCCGGTCGTATTTTCTACAGTGCATGGGTGAGCCGTACTGTCCCACAAGTAGCAGCTCTTACTCACATGAGAATATCAGTGTAAGTGGTCCACGCGAGGTAACTGGACTTGTAATGTTTGGCAGTGGCTTGCCATAGCGCGATAGCGTTGTCAGGCAGTTCCAGGGAGATGAACTGTAATAAAATCGGATTGTAAGTAGCCATTTGAACGACATCATAGGGACATACAAGGTGAGATAAGAACTTTTCCAATCGGAAGAGCGGGTCCCCTTCAGGTGTCGCTATGTAAAATTTAAATGCGGTTAGCATGGGTAAGGGAACCAACATTGAAAATGTATACCTTTGCGCACCAAGGCAATCCCGTCCTCAACCACCTTGAGCAGACTGTCCCCATCTTGTGATTTATTAGCCGCAGGTTGTGGTACCATATATTATGGTGTTTGCAACGTACCACTCTTTTGAGCCTCCAATTGGCGTTTTTCGAAGCCAGCTCGGGAAAGGACTAAGGGTATGATCTGCGCGGGGTCCTTGCTAAAAAGACCAGTGGCGAAAGCACGGTCATAAGCATCTGCACCTCGAGTTAGAGTCAAAAAGGAGAATATCCAAAGAGTAACCAACCCGTAACTTTCTCTACCTCCTCAATCTCTTCATCTTGATCGAGTTTGCGTTCCTATTTACGACTAAGTTGACAAAGATGAGCTGCTCAGAAAAGTCATACCAGAAAGCGGATGTAACGAGCCCAAACTTCGCCTGAGCCGGGAACGCTGCGTATTGCACGACGTAAAACCTGCATTTCCTCGACCTCATCGAAGGCACTAGTCCGCTGATGTACATCAAACAGGCACATGAGTTGATACCTCTTATGAGGGCGAAAAAAGCACTATGCACCATGTAATCAGCATACCCATTCCATAATGCGCGAAGAGCTTCCTCTGTCTCCATTTTTGATGAGCTACTTTGAGTGACTTCACTCAATGACATGTGCCTCTTAGCTAGTTCAGCTAGTGCACGCTCGTAAACACCTTTAGCTACAAAAGGGTCGGGGACCTTCGCTCGTCGCTCGTAAGTGACGTAGGACAGGTACGCAGGCAAAGGATCGGCGGAGAGCTACAATGATGAGATTAACAAGGTCTCAACTCAGCAGCTTGTACTCGCACCGACGCTGTCTCATACCGGTCACGGCGCTCATAAGCCTTCACGGCTTTGGCGCGAAGTTGAGAGGCTGCAACCATAAAAGATTCATAGGCTTCTGGAACTTGGTACGTTGTGGTGAACGAGGAATACGCAGAATAGGTGTCTTCGTGCTCTAGTCCATGTCCATCAGATACAGAACGTCACAAGAAATGAGGGCATTCAGCTTACTTGCATGAGGTTGTTGGAGACGTGCCAGGAAGAGAGAGTCAAGAAGCATGACGGCGGCGTCTCTACACGTTGTGTCATTACCAAATGAACATGCTGATAGAATGGACCTCACCTTTCATCTGGAGGGGTCGCCTCTAACATCTCTAGCTCCCAGTCTTTCAACTTGTCCCAAAGAACGTAGCTCTGACAACATATTGAATGTCTCCCTCGTTATTTGCAGGAGGGTGGCACACACCTTAGACAAATGACCTAGTCCCTTTGCAACGACTACATTCAGGTTTGCGCGTGTCCATTCTATCGAACAGAGTTCGCCCAACTCCGCCGGCTTCTGCTCGATAGCTCCAAAGTGCGCAAAGCGATCAAGAATAAACTCGACATGCTTTTGCAGAATGGATATCGCTGTATTTGCCATTCACCGATAGATTAGGGACGAACAGCATATATGACCATTATGACGTACACAGAAAGTCATTCTCTGCTTGCTCGTACAGAGCCAACATCTCCATCACTCCTGACGGAGTATCCAGGTCAATTTGCCCTGCCTTCTCGTCGAGAATGTAAATCCATATGTGTTCCCCGACGGCCAAGCTGTTTGCAGCCATCTCGTGGGCCGATAGAACCTGCGCTTCCATCTCAGGCAGCGAGCGAGCAATACGAATGTGCTGAGCGTGGAGAGAGACATCGTATGGAGTCGCAGAAAGATCGTTCAGGGTGTTCGCCAATGTATCGAGCAGCGCTGCCTCGTCCATCGTAACACGAATACGTCGCTACTGTATGCGTGCGGTCCCCGGTGGGTAGGTGGTTTGGGCCAGACGCGTCGCGACCTTAGAGCACGCGACTCTCGGACATTCCCGTGCACTCAACTTAGCACAGATGCCAACGGCCCTTTGTATCTTCTTGCTGCGACATTGCTCGCCATACTTTCTGCAGGGCTGTGAAGTTATCCAGAAAAAGTGCTATGACATGCACAAACTGATGAGGTCAGATACTTGCTTATTTTAATTTTATTCTCCCCATCCAACATGATTGACCTTTCACTTCTCACGCGGTTCCCACGGAAGATCTACTATGAGTCTCGAGTCTCCACGCCCCGTCTTTATCATCAGGTCTTTCCACGATGACGCGGACGCCGGACGCTTCAATCAGCACAGAGTTCCTGGGTTCCTCATGTTACCCTGGTTTCATCCCTTGATCTGAAGTGATGAAACCTTACGAGCATGGCTGTAGACGGGTGAGCTTGAGGCCATCAAGTCCCAGCTCCACCGCGATACAGAGAACAAACAAACTTAAGATACTCGAGACTATCTTTGAACTACTATCAAGCCTGTTCTCCGTTCAGCCAGGCAATCAACTGATGACATCCTGACTGCTCAATGGGCATGCGTCGCAGAATAAGTAGCAGGTCTTTCGGACCAGCAGCAACAACATCGCCGCTTGGCACCGGCGACCATTAAAAACCAAAGGAGGAACAGCAAGACCAGAGTGGAACGTCAGCTTCCATCCCCCAGCGTGCTTTCCCCTATGATGGCGCCGACACTATCATTCTCCGAGCTCAAAAGTGAGTCTCATGCTCTTTCAACCACTTTCCAAGCTGATGTCGCTGCACCAGTCGCAGGGCTTATTTTATCATTGTTCTCAATTCTCACAGCCTTGCTCAGGCTCATCTATCGTCATTACCTGAGGAAGCTCTGGATGGATGACGCCGCAGTAGCTATAGCTATGGGGTTTCAATTGCTTCAGACTATCTTCACTCAGGTCCGATATAACCCAGGTAGTTGATCCGCACTCTCTTCCAATACATTTACTTAAATCATCACAGGCAGTTATCATCGAGAGACGCTGGTGGCAGCGTACTACATGTATGTCGCGGACTTCCTTGAGTCAGATAATGGTTTACAACGAATCTCAGCGCAGCAATCGCGTTCTTGGGAGTTGTCTGGTGAGTTTCAGACTGTCAATCCATCATCCTACTAGAGCTGACGTGAATGAACATAGGTTATCACGAATATCCATTCTATGGACGGTGATGCGGCTAGCCGCTCGCAAGAATACCCGCAGATTTCTTCTAGTCTGCATAGTGATGTACGCTGCGGCAATGTCAATCCTCATTGCACAAGAAGTCTGGGTATGTGAGCAGTACTCGAGTTGGAAGTCGGAGGCCTTGCCTCAATGTGATCTCGGGAAACGCGTCGGAATAGCGCAGATAGTCAGTGAGTTGACGAGAAATCATATCCATTTGCTTCGAGACTTGATGTTGAGAAAAACGGCTAGCCGATGTTATTGCGGATCTCACTCTTATCGTCGCGCCTATTCGCCTTGTCTACAAGGTACGGCTGTCCAGGACAGAAAAAATCCGTGTGCTCGCAATTTTCTGTTCCTCCGCCGCGACGACAATAGTTAGTACTGTGCATGCCTACTATCTCACTACTGTCGGCGGCGCCGATGAGATTCTAGCTGGCATAGTCGAGGTAAGCCCATAATTTGCGACTGTTCGTCCTCGTTATAGCTTATGATGATTCTTCAGATGTCTGTCAGCCTTATAGTTGCCAACCTCAGCGTCATCATTGCCTTCCTATGTCGGATCGGCCAAGACAGCAGCAACGAACCTGTGGACAGATCCGAGACTAGCCAAATCGTCACGTTTGGCGCGGTGCCATCCCGGAGGAGAATCGATATCTTACCTGTGCATGTGGACGTACACATGGAGACTTTTAGCGAAGTCCCAACAAAGCCAGGTTACGATGTTCGACATACTGGCGGGGACGATGACGTGGAATCCGTGCGGAACCGTTCACAACAAGATTGTAAATAAATCGCTCGTGAGCTTGCACCACACTGATGATGGTTCAGCCAAAGCAACATGCTCAACTACTGAATACCCCTCATAATCAACGTGAAATCGGTGCTGTTATAACGTTGTTGTATTCGAGTGTACGATCCTTACCGCAGGAGTGATGATGTTGTATCGATATTTTGCAGTAACGCTTCAGCAAGAGGACTAACGTTCAACGTTCACATATGAGCGCCATAGGATCATTGAAATCAAAGGACTTATTCAAGCAAGCAGATCAGGACGTAACTGGACAAAAGCTGACGTTATTTCGGTAAAATACAAGCAAATTAGAATTATATGGTATATATGTATAGTTATCCTATGTTTGGCGTGAGGGTATTCCAACTGTAGGTAAGTGCTGCAGCGATCAATAACTAAGAAAACTTCAGAGCTCCAAAAGAACTGTGTCCGCGCATCAATGCTTCAAACCCGTGCGAATAAGTAGTGAGTATATGCAGGGAAGATGTTCCTGTCCGTGAATATCAAAGTCCGTGACGAACAGCGAACCTGTCGCTAGCGCATGGTCAATGGATTGCAGATGCCGTATGAGAGAGAACTAAGAAAGACACGCTCGCTCTCAAGCAAATACTCTACTGAGCACGGGCGCTTGTTCGCACTCGTCACCCTCGAGCCACCCTATGATACGATTCGGCGAGCTGGGACGAAGAACCTCAGACCCGAACGGCGACGAAGCCCTTGGCGTCCCACTTCCGAACGGAGAACCCGGGCAAGAACGCACTCTCCACCTGGCATCCCATCCCGGACACTTCGACACGCCTGACTCCGGGCAAACCGCGAACAAGGTCTCCCACCTCCTTTCGCGAGAACCACCGCCCTTCGATCCGGAGATAGCGTAAGGCTGTCGGGGCGAGTAGAGCCAGGGTGCGATGGAACGCCGTCAAGGCGGGGGTTGCTGAGACCTGTCGCAGGTTCCTCGGACGGCGCGTCGGTGGTGTGAAGACCTCAGATGGTTTTGCATCAACGAGGGAGATATAGCGTATGTTTGGGAGGACAAGTCGCCCCAGAAGTGTCGAAATCTCGCTTGGTACGTCCGCGTTGGACGAGTGCAACTTGATGCTGAGGCTTTCTAACCTAAGCATCACGACGACCCCTCCTCCATTATCCAACACCTGACTGTGCCGGGGAACGTAGGTGGCATCGCCGATCCTGCTGACTCTTCTGTGGGCGGAAGGTGGAGGGAAGGATATGCACAGCGAGCGCAGAGAGTCGCACACGCTGAGAACACCGAGAACCTCCCGTACCCCGCTCATGCCAACGGCCGAGTCACCAAATGGTCGCACGGCCCAATCAAGGCACAAGAGGTTGTGAAACAATCCTGGAAGCGGGGCGAACCGGATCCCGTCAAGTAGAAGAAATCGAAGGGACGGTAGCGAACCGCCGAAAGGCGTAAACTCCTTCGGATCGTCGTTCGTTGGGTGGCTCAGGACCAGCGACTCGAGAACGGGCGCTGTTGTCAGCTCGCCAGAGTGTTTCGACTGATAATCCGAGAAGGGAGGGCAGAACGACGACATAACCGCGTTCCACATGTACGGCGCCCACCGCTCGATGTGCACCTCCATGCGCTTGACCCGTGCAATGTGGGGCACAAGCCGGTGGGAAACTAGAGCCGCCTGGGATGGGTGCGTCGCAGCTACACGCACCTGCAGCATGCAGGGGAAAGCACGGATCGTCCAATCTTCTATAGACGGACATGCAGGGAGGTAAAGGGTTCGCCAGAGGAGTGGTGCACATATGGCTAACCGGCGCCAGGGCGAGGAGACGTGAGTGATGGTGAGGAGGGTGAGGGGATCCTGATCAGAAGCGAGGTGAAAGACGTAGAGAAGTAGTTCCCGTGGGATGGCATGGATGGGGTGACGAAGGCGTTTGGGTGCGAGGTGCGATGTTTGGCGCCTTGGTATGGGACGAGCATTGAGCATTGGAGACGGCATCGGCGGTCTGATCTCCATGTAGTGGGAGGAGTTGGTGGAAATGTCTAGCGGCGGAGCTATTATCGACAAATTTGAACTTGCTTTGGCATGATTTCCTGTGATCTTGGACTTTATCGCAGTCGTGAAAGAGCGGGTGAGGGTGAGTTCCCGACGTGTGGTCCGTTTGAGAGTGCCAGGCATGTCGAACCCCGTATTCGACTCGCACTAGCAGCAACAATAGTAGTCAGTCTATTGGCAGAGAAGGTGAGTGGCAAATTCGTCGCGGCGTCGGATCGATCTCTGAGCTGGTGGTCATGGCTTCTTATGGGGAGGGAAAGGCGGACAGGGGCTGGCGCCGACAATAAAGGGCGTCGTAGTACCGGTACCGAATGAACGAACAAAGGGAAAATAATAGCACTGCTGCCAACTGCTGTACCCTCCATTCTTTACGTTCTGGCAGTAGAGATAGATCCGAGGCAGCCATTTGCTCACTTCTGTAGGGCTTTGAATGCCACCATCGCGATTGCTGGTGTAAATAGGACAACCTAGACGCTGTCAGGGAGGCAGAGAAGGGTTAGATGAGAGGAACCAGGCCGCATTCTGGTCAACAGGCGTTTGAGCGGTGACATGGAGCTGCTCACGAGGGCGCCCGATATGGGAGTCTCTGGTCACTGCTTTCAGTTTTTTCTCCGTGTTTGGTGCTCGCCGACCAGACCGCAACTTGTCGCAAGCCACCTGGTCCTCGACTTACCTATCGCGTCTAGCTTCTTCCTCCCAAGTAGCCTTACGCCTTCCCTATGCATGCAAGCTACTACGCGCTGACTCGAGCCTTAAGGGGTTCTGGATGTCGTCATACTCCTTGCAGCGTGTCGATCGTCTCAAAGAACGCTTCTTGGATCAACATGTGTACAAGATTCACTCAACATTACGGATTGATACATCGTGGGTTCTCTGCGTGGCTGGCGTAGCAGCACAGCAGGTGTACAATGATTACAGCTCCTACAACCGAACAATGTCCCTAATGCATTACAGCATATCCATGGTTGGACACCCGTTGTCAAGGTCCGAACGCGGCTGAAGACGAGAGTCAGACTCTTGGCAATGATGTTGATATGCTTCTACTCACAGTCCGGGAATTTGGTATCTTCCGAGTTGTGCTGAATGGGGTCCTCCTGAGTGTCTCCTAGCTTGACTGGATGCTCTGCGTATGTTTCCATTGCTATCTCAATTTGTATAGGGCCTGTCATTGTTTGTGAAGAGTCTTGGCCACGTCTTGTTCTTCTACCAGTCCGGATGTGCACAGGCTCTGAGCCGTTGTCGGCGCTACTTTCCCAGCCTGCGTGGTAGACAAAAGCCATGATGACGCTTAGGTTTGCGACAATCAAGCTGACGGACATCTACGAAGAACTTGTTTGAATGTCTAATCAGGCCTCTTTGCAAGGAAGCTCACCTCGATAATACCAACCAATATGTCATCTATCCCGTGAGGTCGTATCAAGTAATATGCATGGCAGATACTGACGGCCGTGGTTGCTGCCGACGCAGAAAATACGGTCATCACACGAATTTTCTGTGCCTTCGAGAGCTTGACGTGGTATATCAAACGAAATGGGGCGGCAATGAGGATAGCATCCGAGAGGACATCACCTAGCAGCTTGTCAACTCTGTCATCGCGCTTTGGACAAAAAGGACTTCCAGCTCACAGATTATCTGTGCTGTGGCGACGTCTAAACCCAGGGGACACTGCGGTGGCATGAGCCCCTTCCATGTCGAAGATTTTTCCTCGCACGTCCAGACCTCTTGCGCCATCAAGATAATGCAGACGACGACATACACAGCCACGACGCCGGTGAGGACTCTTCGAGTATTGCGGTGAATGCTGAGGCGTACGACAATGAGCAAGATTGATATTCGCGATGCCCTGTGTGCACTCTTACGTTAGCGGACAGGGCAACACAATCGTCTGTTATGCTACAGAATCTTACCAGACAACTGCAAGGCACGCCAGTGCCCCTCTGTTTCATGAACCAGTCAGTCAATAACTTCAGGTTGTGGTCGGCGTCTTACATACATATAATAGCCTGCAATGAGAACACCTTCGCTATACTTCTCTGTTGTCATCATCAATGAATGACCACCCGGTGATCAAGCTACGTACGGGGATCATATCGAATTTGAGTGAAGATGAGCTGAAGTAGTTGGACCGTTGCTGCGAACGCCACCGGTACATCGTCCCACCACATTCGTTTCAGGTAACATCGGTAACCCAACCTCCAGACGGCAACAAGGACAGATAGGATCGAAAGAACCAGGCCCGATACTAGAGTGAATTGGAACACTGAGTACGAGGCACTATAATATTTATGCTGAACTAAGGACTAACCTTTCACCTGTTCCTCGGTGACGCCCGCCATGGCAAGGGGAATAGCGATGGTTCCGGCGGGGCGAAAGGGCGGACTGTAGTTTATATCATCGGCCTTCGTGGCACCTCGCACTCAACGGGGCACTGCAAGGGAACTTGATGGAGTTTTGCACCGACCATCAAACCCTTTCGAAGCAAAACCAAAAACAGAGAGCTTGATCCTGTGCTGAGGGTCGGCGCCCCATGCAATCCGGAAGCTTATGTCTCGGTCGAGCTTGGTAATCCTGCGACAGGTAAGTTCTAGGTCACATTGATGATGTACACTGAGAATCCTCTAGCTGCAGATCAAAATCTCACTCCAATCATGACAGTGGATAAGGATTATAAAAAAACAAAGGGCTCAATTACAGTTCAGACTTGTCCATACCAAGCAAGCCAAACCTCTTCCATCTCACGCACAAAAGAAACCGCGTGCCGCACGGCACGAATCGCATTCGTCGGCAATGAACGGTGTTCTCACAGCAGAAACTAAGAAAAGGTTGCCCAATGACATTGAGCACCACACGCTGAGCGAGACTGAGGCAGCGACTCACTCAAACGTCTCCGCGTTCTTTATCGCCCTGACCGCTGCTAGATGTCTGGTCTCCTCGAACGCTCCTCGATTTGCCGGCAAACTCCGAGTGCGTCTCCGTACACACGTCCACGCGAATATGATCGGTCATCGAGATACTATCTTGCTCGGTCCTGTTGAGAATTTCCGAGCTGAATACAATGGTCGTGAAGTTGGGTTTCTCGGTGTGGTCTTCGGCGATGCGGCAGCAAAAGGCGATGATAACATTAAGATTTGCGACAATGAGACTAATGGACATCTGAAACGATCGATCAATGGCGTGGCGCGCGTCCGAGCTCCCCGGGCTGTGCTGACCTCGAGAATCCCGGCCAAGATGTCGATCCGACCCTCCCTATGTATCAGATAGTAGACGTGCCAGACGCTGACCGCGGTAGTCGCAGCGGAGGCACAGAACACCGTTGTGATTCTGATCCTCTGCGCTTTTGAGAGACGAGCGCCATAGATCAAGCGAAGTGGCGCAATAATAAGGAGCGCGTCGGAGAAAAAGTTGGCTTCAGGAGCGTAAATGTTGGATCTACGACTTCAGCGGGGCGTACTCACCGATGATCTGTGCGATCGCTACTTGTAGCCCAAGAGAGCACTGTGGCGGACTATCCAGGTGCTTCCATTCAGGAGATCCCTCGCACGTCCATATTTCTTGAGCCATGAGGACGATGCAGGCGACAGCGAACATGGCCAAGCATGCGAGGAACCAGCGCCTCGTCCTCGGATAGATAGTCAGACATATAATGGTGGTAAGTATGGATATCCGAGAGGCCCTAGGTGACCCAAAGGGATTCAGGTAAGGATTAGACTCGCGATACCAAGGGACCGAGTGAAGGGAAGCACCAGACGACAATCAGGCAAGCAAGTGCTGCTCTATAAGATTAGTGCAGTCAGCACCGTCCCACTGCTGGTAGATGATCGACCAACATGTAGTACCCGGCCACGAGAACTTCGCTACTGAACTTCTGTGGATTGTAGCGAATTTGGGTGAACGTCATTTGGAGGATCTGGAAGGTCGTCGCGACAGCCACAGCGGCATCATCGAGCCACAGACGATGCAGGCGGTGGCGATATGCAAGCCGAAATAAAGCAGCAAGCACTGAGAGCAACGACAGAGCCATCCCCGCCACTAGGCGATGTGAGTCCGTGTCCTTGGGGCGTCACGCGAGTCAGTAATGGAAAACTCACCTTGTACTTGCAGGTCAGTGACTCCTGCCATGCTGCAGGCCCCGAGGTAGCAGTTGTCACGACATACACAGAGAGAGGGGGTATGCGAACGGCAAAATGCAGATTATATTGCAAGGCTGAAAAAGACCATAGGAGCCTGAGCGTCGACAGGGTTGAGGATGTGAAATTGAGACAAGAGCAGCCCAAGTCTGAATAATATTGACCCCTCGGGCACTCGGAGAGGAATGTGTCATGTTTCATTACGCGCAGAACGAACAGGAACCAGGTCACGGAGCCTGGAATGGCTGAAACTGGTGACAAGGAGGGTCACTGGTCCCTTCTTGTCACTGTTTTCGAGAACAGGTAGATCGGAGGGCCCGAAAGCCATACTGTACCATTGTCACTGGCACCAAGACTTTGGTACATTATTGTTGTGGAAGGTTGTCAACATGTCAGCTTTGGATAGATCTTCAAGCCAATCTTAAGGGCAACATTCCTATGGACCCTTGCGACGATGCGAAAATCGGAAGGTCAGTGGATCTGCTTAAGATAACTCGAGTCTCACCCCTCGTTGATCATGGGTGTAGCTTTGAGGTCACAGGAGATCGCGGCCTGATGATGTGCCAGGCCTCAGGCTCTATCTTAGCAATCGAGAGTTGCATAGTGTTTTATAGTGTTGCAGAGGACCGGAGTGACTCCGGAGCGGAAAGGTCGAGGACTCGCCTGCACTCGCCTGTCGATGAAATCTCAGTCCGACACATTACATAACGACATCTGCCATTGTGTTTGACACGAGTGTTTGACACGATCAATCTAGGCATCATTTAAGGATCGACGTTCATTAACGTGCCTGGCTCGGCAAGCCATCCAGCAAATGGTGAGATGCGCTGATGGTGTTGAAAGTGAGGCTGCGTGGGCAAGTTCATGACAGCAGTTAGCGCCAGTTCACCGAATTGGCCGAGACGCTGCGCCGCACCCTAACCCAATCCCACACCATGACCATGACCTCATCGGTCGCATCGGCCACTCCATCCACATACGACTGTATCGTCATCGGCGGGGGTCATGCTGGCTGCTCCGCTGCCCTCGCAGCGGCGGAGGCTGGTTGCACGCGGGTCCTCATCGTCGAGAAGGCCCCTGAAGAGTGGACAGGTGGAAACGGTTATTTCACCGCGGGTGCCTTCCGGTCTGCCCACGGAGGCCTAGAGGACCTGCTGCCCGTAGTCCGTAATGTTACCCCTGAGCAGGTGGGCAATATCGATCTGGATCCGTACCCAGTGGACCAATTTGAGGCCGATATCATGCGCCTTGCGGAGGGCAAGTCAAATAAAGACCTCGTACACGCCGTAGTACAGGGCTCTCGAGGCGCGATCCAATGGCTGGCAAGTAAAGTAGAAGTGCCGTTCATCCTATCATTTCATAGGCAGGCATATGAAATAGATGGAAGACAGAAGTTTTGGGGAGGACTGGCGCTCGCGGTTGATGAAGGGGGGAAAGGCCTTATCAATGCAGACCTCCGTGCACTGAAGAAAGCCGGGATAGACCTCTGGTATAATTGCCCCGCCATCCGTTTAGTCGGGAACAACCAAGAAATTGAAGGAGTAGTAGTACGGAAAGACGGGGCAGAGACAGTGTTACTAGCATCGGGCATCGTGCTGGCCGCAGGAGGATACGAGTCAAGCTCAGCTAAGAGAGCAGAGTATATGGGGGAGCAGTGGGAATTTGCAAGGGTATGTAACACCCACTTCACCGCTCACCCATGCCTTACATCACCTAGGTTCGGGGGACTCCGTATAATGAAGGGGATGGGATCGAGATGGCTCGTCTAGTTGGCGCAAGACTCACCGGAGATTTTGGTGGATGTCACAGCACGTGCTGGGACGCGAACGCACCCGCTGACAGAGGTGACCGGATTCTTAGTAACCAATTCACAAAGTCAGGATACCCACTCGGCGTCATGATCAATGTGCAAGGCGAAAGGTTTGTTGACGAAGGCGAAGACTTTAGGAACTACACCTATGCAAAGTTTGGTCGCAAGATCTTGGAGCAACCAGGAGGAGTCGTGTTCCAAGTCTGGGGAGTAGATGCGACAGCGTTATTGAGGGATGCAGAGTATGGCGACGGCATCGTCCAAAAGATTACAGCCAACAGTCTTGAAGACTTAGCAGAGGAGTTGACCAGGATAGGGCTCAAGGAAAAAACACGGTTCTTGAGCACTTTAGAAGGTTACAATCAGGCGGTACGACGGTTCCGGACGAAGAACCCGGATGTCCGCTTCGACCCCGCGATAAAAGATGGGCTGTCAACGCTTTGCGATTCCTCGGCGGCAGCACGTCAATGTCCCAAATCTAACTGGGCTTTACCGATTGACAAAGGTCCTTTCCTGGCGGTGAAGGTTGCATGCGGGATCACCTTCACGTTTGGTGGCTTGGCCATAGACCCTCAAACGGCAGGGGTCATCTCGGAGTCAGGGAACGTGATCCCTGGTTTGTTCTGTACGGGAGAAATGGTTGGAGACCTGTACCATAACAACTATCCTGGAGGAAGTGGTTTGACTGCCGGCACGGTGTTTGGCAGACTGGCAGGGGCTGAACTTGCCAAGAGGGTGGCCGCCAAGGTTACTCCTTGACGATTATGGTTAGAAATAGCGTGGTAAATGGTATACATCATGTGCAGAGATATCACAACACTACTTGTATGCGGAAATATGAATTCTACTCACATAGTATGACGCAAGTTCGATAGTGGAAGGATGGATCCGGAGTGGTCATTACCATTCGCTGAATCTGAAGTCAACAACCTCACAAGCATTCGGAATCAGGGTCGCGACCTGTCGCGACTGTTAGACTGGTTCGGTTACTGCGGCCGGTGAAAGTGAGCTCATCGTCTCTCATTCCAGCGCGCCAAGTTCCTGGCCTCTTTATACATCTTGATCCCTACTCCACATCCCGTTGCATATCTCTTTCTTCCTCCTTGCGGGGCACCTTCACCGACTTCTCAAGACTAGACCACTAGCAACTCGCGTCCTCGACGGTTAGTTCTGCTTTCATACAGCGACTAACAATCCGGTCGTATTCGTGACACGCCACCACCTCCAAGCGAAGCGCGTGCTATGGCTTTCGCTAACGTTGTGGACGCCGTCGTCAAGTCTCAGCACGAAGCAGCAAAGAATGAGCATGCAACAGATGGGCCAAGTCATCCAAGTAACACGGAACACCATGATGGTGGCGATGGCGGCGTAGGCCATGGCAGCAATACCGAAGCCAATCGCTATGCTAAGCCTGATGGTCCTCACAGAGGTACCAATGGGCACGTTCCAAACTCCAGAACTCCAGACGGCAGCCCGCCCCTTCGTGTTTCCCTTCCAGACACTCCTTCAGCACGCACTGGCCCTCCTCGCTCCTTCTCTTACAATTTCTCTTTCCCTAACACCCCCAGTAGTCCTTACAACGTCAGATCATCTAGCAAGCCAGTTGAAGAGGACGACATTCCGGAAGATGCAAATGACAATATTCCTGAGCCAAAGGGATTCCCTTTCAGACTTCACTCTCCTCACGCTTCGTTCCGTGGGGCATTCGAAGCGCCGCCTACGCCAAGCGAGAAGCATTCCATGGATAAGAAGGGCAAATGTCGCGAGAGCAGGTCCTATATCGACGAGTTCAAGAACTTCTCCTCGCGCTTCGTTCACGACTCCCCTGCCGAGGAGCGCGACGATCCCATGCAGGAGGAAAATCAACATCAGGAAAAGGAGAAGAAGGAGTCGAAACTGAGGCACCACACCACGGAATCCGAGAAGAAGAACAGCGTGCAAAACGGAAGCGCTCATTCGGCTTTACAGCGTTCTCAATCGCATCCTTCGCCTCGAAGTGGACTGAAGAGGAGTCCTGGTTCCGCCAGGTGGGGTCGCCTCCGTTCCTTGCTTCCGGCAGTCATTCGGCAAACCGGCTCTCATGGTGGACAGACACATTCTGCCGTTACAAATCATGAGGTCAACATCACCGACGAACTCATTAGTGGCGGTTTGTCTATGTTGATGATGAAGCTTTGGTTTGAGCGTGACGAAAAAGGTCACCGTCGTATCCCCATTCTTTTCCACCGTTTGCGTATACGCATCAGCGATAGTTTGCATGCTCTCCATGGTCACAAAGCTGTCTTCAGAATAGAGTGTGAATACGCTAACGGAGCCGCTCGCTGGGTCGTTTATCGACAACTCCGCGACTTTGTTTCCCTACACACTCATTACACTATTTCCAACGCGGTCAACAACAGCGAAGACGTTCTTCCTAAATTTCCCCGTACAAGTAAGTTGTCCCCTATGATACGAGTGAAGAGGTGTCTGACAATGTACAGGTATACCCTATTTCAAGTTTCTTAAGAGAGAAGGTGAAGGGCAGATTCGACATGCAGACTTTGCTCGACTCCAGCGCGAAGCCCTTGAGGACTATCTAATCAAACTCATTCGTGCTGTGGTAGGTGGCCCTAAATTCCTATGTATAGTCCACACATCGTTAATTTTATGGACAGATGTTTCACCCTTCATCGAACCGCCTGGCTGGTTTCCTTGAGATTAGTGCACTATTTATCTCTCAAGCTCAATCAGGCGGTACGCAGTACAAGGCTGGCTACCTTCGCATTGAATCTTCAGGCCCTGGCGCTAGCCTCGGACGCAAGGCAGTAAAGTGGAGGGAAAGGAAAGAAGCCAGGTGGTGTGCAGTTCGCGAGAGCTACTTGGTCATCTTGGAGCAGCCCGGAGAGGTGTGTTAGTGTCTCTTGCTGCCTGGACCCTTGACTAATCTGATCCCACAAGCTTTCTGTCTGGGACGTTTTCTTGCTGGACTCGGATTTCAAAATCATACGTCCGACGCGTTATTATCGCAAGGGTCTCCACATGTTGAAGCCGGATCTGGATGAAGGAGAATATCCCGCCCAGCACGGAGTCCAGGAGGGCCACTTTGATCCCAGCAGAGAGGTTGACTGCCTGGGTGCCATCGAGTCCTTCAAACTTCGCCTGTCCAGAGTGTTCAGCCATCGTGATCGTCCGGCCGCGAGTGTGGGACCAGGGCACTCGACTCATTCCGAGGGGCAGCGTCCACACCAGAGGTCGGGATCGGTTTCGTCTGGAAGTTCGGCATCAAGCATAGCGTCCAGGCAACCGACTCCATTGTTGGACCCGTCGACCAACCCACACCCTTTTGCTGGTGACGGCCACGAGCATAGAGAAGCGGATGAACACGAACAGGCTAAAGGCAAGAAGAGGAGCAAGAGCGATGTATCCAAGCATACCTTCTATGTCGAGAACTCACAGATGCGGCTGAAACTGTTTGCGAGGAACGAGGTACGTGCCTTCATACTTACAACAGAGATGAGCTGAGAGCCTATAGCGCCAAATGCTGCAATGGATCACTGCTCTCGAGAAAGTTGCTGCCACGTCACATTATACCGGAAACAATCGCTTTGATAGTTTTGCTCCTATACGGCTGAACGTTGCTGCTCAGTGGCTGGTTGATGGTGTAAGTTGAACAGCAGGTAATACCGTCTCGCTCTGACATAGTCCCATAGCGTGATTATATGTGGAACCTTTCTCGTGCGATTCTTCTTGCTCGTGAAAGCATCTACATTCACGATTGGTGGCTCTCGCCGGGTAGGTCAAGGTTGTTAACTTTGGAACCCAGTAGGGTTGATGATTTGCAGAGCTTCAGATGCGTCGTCCCGATAAGGACAAGTATCGCCTTGATCACTTGCTTGAACGCAAAGCAAAAGAAGGCGTCAAAATTCATATTATCCTTTAGTATGTCATGCCCTATGGCAAATTTAGTCGGCGCTGACCCCTCCAAAGCAAGGAAGTATCAAGTAGGACCACACCAACAGACAGCAAGTAAGTCATCGTTTGAGCTCTATGCCCCTCGGGTTCTCATGCAGTCTGTAGCTACACGAAGCAACGGCTCACCGCTTTGCATCCCAACATCATGGTTCAGCGCTCGCCATCGCACTTCCAAACCGGTACATTCTACTGGGCGCATGTCTGTTCCCCATCTTATCATGTGTTGGGAAGGATATCTGACTGCCACCTTAGCACGAGAAGCTCTGCGTCATTGACCAAACCATTGCCTTCATGGGTGGCATTGATCTTTGTTTCGGAAGGTGACACAATCTTACCATCAGGCGTTAACTCCAGAGGCTAAAAATACGGATAGATGGGATACCCCTCAACACGTCATCTTGGACGATGCAGACATGACACCACAGAAGACTGAGATCTGGCCTGGTAAATACCTTCTTCCACTGCTATGTTTGTGCTGGACTCAGCAAAACCTCAGGAAAGGACTACAGCAACGCCCGTATCTGCGACTTTCATACCCTCGACAAGCCCTTTGAAGACATGTATGACCGCACGAAAGTGCCAAGAATGCCATGGTGCGTGTTTAATCACTTGGATTAGTTTTAAAAAAATACTAATAGGAGATGCCTAGGCACGACGTCGGCCTACAAATCGTTGGACAGCCGGCTCGCGATCTTGCCCGTCACTTCGTGGAGAGGTGGAACTACCTCTTGAGAATCAAGGTATTCCCTAGCTTATGGTCACAGTTGCTCTAGATCGTGCTCATGTAGCAACATCAGAACCACACCAAAGCCATGCCCTTCCTTATCCCTCCCCCGGAATTCCGCTCCGGAGAGCTCAGTCAACTGGGCCTGACGGGCACATGCGAGATGCAAATTTGCAGATCTGCTGGTCCTTGGTCTCTGGGCACGAAGAGTCGCATTGAACATTCTATACAAAATGCGTACTTGAAAGGTATACATTTTATCTGCTTGACCTTGATCCCGCTAACACTTTGACTTAGCCATTGAGATGTCCGACCACTTCGTCTACATCGAGAACCAGTTCTTCATCACTTCGTATGCCCTTGTCATCAGTGATCCGATCTTGTGCTGATGTTTGACTCAGGACTGTTGTCAATGACGTTCCCATCCTCAACGCGATCGGCGACGCTCTTGTCGAGCGCATCATCCGGGCAAACCGGGAGGGTACTAACTGGAAATGCTGCATTGTCATCCCGCTCTTCCCTGGCTTTCCTTATCCTGTTGACCACAACGATGCTAGTGCGGTAAGATAACTTCATTGCTGACCATTCGCACACCCTAAACGGCACAACAGGTTCGGATCATCCTCGAGTGTCAAAACCGGACAATCTGTCGTGGACCGAACTCGATATATGCACGCCTGCGAAAGGAGGGGATTGATGTACGTATGCTGCATGCATGCTGCAAATATTCCTTATTCATCATGACTTAGCCGGAGGATTATATTTCTGTTTTCTCCCTCCGAAACTGGGCAAAGATGAGGAACGACGTCCTCACCACCGAGATCGTAAGGAACAAACACTCATAACTTCGGGTCTATATGAACCTCTTACAGGTCTACATTCATGGCAAAGTCTGCATCGTTGATGACAGGCTAGCAATCATTGGAAGTGCAAATATCAACGAACGCTCGCAACGCGGAGACAGAGATTCTGAGCTCGCAGCGATCATCCGTGATACTGATATGATTGATGGGTATGTGTCATCGTGAATGATCGTCAATGATACTAAGGCATGCTTGGACTAGGACGATGGACGGCAAACCCTATAAAGTTGGCAGATTTTCGCATACCCTGCGTGTTCGCCTCATGCGCGAGCATATTGGTGTCGACGTCGACAATATATCAGAGGATGACCATTTCGCCAGACGCGAACAGAAGGCCGAGTACGAGCAAGAGGAATGGGACCCCGAGGATGAGCAAGAGCACGGTCAGCAACATGAAGTCACCCAGGCGAAACACGAGACTAGATTGCACAACTTAACGGATGCAGCAAAGGAAGGCATCTCACAAAGTCAGTACAAAAAACTCGCTATATCATCCTGTTGCTCACGTAGCTCTTAGCTGCCCATGCAGCTGGTGACGGTATCGCCCTTCGCACGGCGCACGCGCTGCGTAAACCTGTACAGAATGTCGAGCTCCACCAGCCTAACCAGGGAAACCAGGATGCATCCATGCAGGAAGAGCGCATGACGTTCTCCCGGGACGGGAAGAAGAAACCAGGCTTCGCCAGCGCTATGGTGCCAACGCTCGAAGAAAAACTCATCACCGAGCGTCTCCCCCCTGCGGAGTCCGCCGAAAGTCCGCCCCTTCAAGATAAGTTGGATCAGCAGAAAGCCTCTGGTAATCAGGACCAAGGGCCACCGGAGATGCATACCACCAACGGACAGGCATACGGTGCCCCGGCGGGAGCGTCGAAGAGTATTGAGACAGATGAGGAGCCACCGCATTCCATCTCAGGTATAAACGATGCAGACGAGCAGGAGAAAGCTGCGCCTATGGCCAGGTCATTGTTGAGGAAACATCTAAAGGGTAATCTCGGAAGCAAGACTTGGGCACTGCCGACTGCAGCACCGAATGTAGATCCCAACGGCTTCGCCGATCCCGTGAGCGACAAATTCTGGAAGAATGTCTGGGTGGCTTGCGCTGTCCACAACGTGAGCAGCGCCGGCTTTACGTTTCCGCTTATTGCTAAACAATTTCTAGACCGAGATTTACCGCAAAGTCTTCCACTCAATTCCAGATGACCTTGTTACGACGTGGAAACAATACAAGGAGTTTGTCATGCACCATGAGCGCTTCAGCAAACCGGTTAGTCCACCGACCTTCGATGGCTTCATCTCTGATACCGTTCTTTACAGGCAAAAGATAGTTCAAGCCCTGACCCGGTTGCTCGCGTGCCTTCCGAAACTGCTTTCGAAGATGGTCCATATCAGAAGGGAGGCATTGCCGATAAAGCCGATGGATCTGCACCAGATGATGAGAAGCACACGACGGAAAAGGACAGCTCAGAGAAGGATAACTCTGAGGAGAATAGCGACAAGTCGGAGCCGAACGAGAAGGACAACAAGGACAACAAGTCTCGCAAACCTGGAAAGAATAACGGTGTGGAGCCTTTCACCAAGGAGGAGCGCGACGAGATGGAGGCTCTCTTGAACGACATCAAGGGGCATCTCGGTAAGCACATGTTTCACATGACCTGTCTTCTTGTTCATTGTTCGCCAGTGATTTATCCGACTCGCTTCTTGGAGGGCGAGGATATTGCCGAAAATTTCCTCTTCACGTCCGATAGGTATGGTATATCATAGTCGTGTGCAATCGTTCGTGCTCACCACTGTCTCCGCAGGATGCTACCTATGCCAATCTATGACTAAATGGTCAACGCTCAGCGCTCAGTCTTCGCAGCGCGTGTTGCACATCCCCTTCAGAACATCGCGGACTTCAAGGACTGACTTATCCTGCACGAATGTAATATTATTCTGTACTTAAACCGTTATCATCCCTCTTTAATACCTTCATTGTATCGAGTATCGTTGGCATATTGGATCGGATTTTATCTTGCGTTACTCTACGATATCGAATATTATCTTGTCTAGAGTTTTTTTTTGGTGTCAGGATTGACTTGAATGATTGAGCGAAGATATCACGGACCTGCAACGAACTGAGCCGTCCATGCTTGATAAGACCTGTGGGCCTCGTGTGGTCGGTACTTTTCGAGAGCTTCCTCGTTCTCAAAGACCATGATTACTCCTTAGAGTACCTTGATGTTACTAATGAAGCATTGAAAATACGATATGCTTTACCGTCGTCGAACCCTTGAGCCATGGGGTTGGGCAGCGTCGTTCCCTTCTTCAAGTCGGATATATCCGAGATGAGGTCCTTAAGTTCAAACAAACGCTTCCTCACGGCTTCTTTATCAGACTCAGAGGTGCCCTCTTTGTACTTGAGTAACACTGGCGTGATTGAGGTTACACTCGTTTGACACTGATGGCCCATTGCAATGCTCACCTATGTGATGGATGGGCATGGTGGTAGTGGGAATGCAAGTCTCAATATGCGTCAGAACGAAAGCTGGCTTCGGCTGTACCTTCGCTGTTTAATGCAGCTTACATGGGCATACACTGTCCCGTGCAGGGTCCCATGGGTCACGGGTACGATGAGGTATTTCCGGGAGTTCTGGTAGATGGAGCCCACGAGACGGAGAAGGGCAGCCGGACTCCGTGCCTTTAGTTCAAAAGTCAATAAGCGAACATTGGGCAGGATCCCATGCACCTCCTCAGATCAACGATGGCGAAGTGAACACTTTGCGCCAGCTATGTACAGCGATATGCTCATAATGCTTACACTCGACTCCTTTAAATTACTATGCATTGCGTGGGCATTTGTGCACTGTTAGGTCGTTGAATCGCAGGTGCAGGTAGACATTGTTTCCACCAAGTCGTTTATGCACTATAAGCGTATGCATTAGACCGTTTGAGCTTTACAGATTTCGGAATTTTTCTAGAAATCCTATTGGTGGATTCGCTGTGGAGCCCGCCAAAAGTTACAGGAAACTCGTTGCTGCTCAAACGGTCTATTATGAGAACGTCGACTGTAGCAGGTTACGCTGCCGTTGACTGTTGGGAAGATCAACACCTGGATGCGATCCAGGTTGGCTATGGTCCTGAGCTGACAGTGGCAGCCCTGCGGGTGCTGTCAGAGGAGAAATTTAGTATAGGCCCCAAAAAGATGAATACATTGGTTAGATCGAGGATTGAAGTTGGCGATATCGTGACAAATGACATGCCCCTTCTTCGATCCAGTACAGGATCGGAGTTTGAACTCCGACATTGGAAGCCAGCGCGCGTCGGATCCTGAAAATAATGAGAAAGAAGGCAAGACACGCCCTGAGTAAGCACCAACCTTTCACCGTCGCCGTCACTGTCGACGATGAGCGCGCCCTACGTTCCTCCCCCTCCAGGCATGCCGCCCCCGCCACCCGGGATGCAGCCACCCCCGGGCATGGGGGAAGCGTCAAGCTCGCGCATTCGTCCAGAAGTACTTGCGCAGAAGTCGCAAAAGTGGGTGCAAATGCAGAAGAAGCGCTATGGCGAGAAGAGAAAAGGTGGATATGTGGATATGGGCAAACAGGTGAGTTGTACTGATCCACACTCTTGACGCGGTGGCTCATAGTTACTATAGGACCTCCCCCCCGAACACGTCCGTAAAATCATAAAGGACCATGGAGACATGAGTAACCGAAAATTCCGCAACGACAAGCGCGTCCACCTTGGTGCGCTCAAGTACGTACCACACGCCGTTATGAAGCTCCTCGAGAACATTCCCTACCCGTGGGAGCAAGTACGCGAGGTTCCTGTCCTGTACCACATCACGGGCGCTATCACGTTCGTCAACGAAATTCCTCGTGTCATTGAACCCGTATATCATGCGCAGTGGAGTACAATGTGGTTAGCCATGCGGAGAGAAAAGCGAGATCGTCGCCATTTCAAGCGTATGCGCTTCCCTCCCTTCGACGATGAGGAGCCGCCGTTGGACTACGGTGACAACGTTTTGGACGTTGAACCCCTTGAGCCTATCTCACTAGATTTGGATACGGAGGAGGACGAGGCCATCATTAATTGGTTCTACGATGCTAAGCCCTTGATCGACACACCCTCTGTTAACGGCCCATCGTACAAGTACTGGTCCCTTACTCTCCCTGTGATGGCCAACCTTTACCGTTTGGGGCGCACCCTCCTCTCAGATAGATCAGACGACAACTCCAGCTATCTCTTCGACAAGAAGTCGTTTTTCTCAGCCAAGGCACTGAACATGGCTATCCCCGGAGGCCCCAAGTTTGAGCCTCTGTATCGTGACATGGATACTTTCGACGAGGACTGGAATGAGTTCAATGACATCAACAAGGTCATCATCCGTCAACAGATCCGGACGGAGTACAAGGTCGCCTTCCCCCACCTCTACAACTCTCTTCCGCGCTCCGTTCATATTTCCCCTTACCACACCCCGAAGAACGTTTACATTCGTACCGACGATCCAAATCTCCCCGCCTTCTACTTTGACCCCCTCATCAACCCCATTTCTCTTCGTGGTGCCACTGCAAAGAACTTGCCCCTTATTTCGCATGAGGATGCGATTTTCGGGCCAAATGGTGCAGATGACAATGAATTCGAGCTTTCTGAAGAAGTACAGCCATTCCTCGATGACAAGCCTTTGGAGAACGATCTGACGGCTGATGGTATCGCCCTTTGGTGGGCCCCCGAACCGTACAACCGTCGATCTGGTCGCATGAGACGCGCACAGGACATTCCGTTGGTCAAGAACTGGTACCTTGAGCACTGCCCGCCTGGGCAGCCCGTCAAGGTCCGGGTGTCGTACCAGAAGCTCCTCAAGTGTTTCGTCTTGAACGAGTTGAAGACCCGTCCTGACAAGGCCATGACGAAGAAGAACCTGTTCCGACAGCTGAAGGCTACGAAGTTTTTCCAGACGACGAAACTGGACTGGGTTGAGGCTGGCTTGCAAGTTTGCCGCCAAGGTTACAACATGCTGAATTTGCTGATCCACCGCAAGGTATGCGATAACGGCCACGCTTCTTGTACATCTCATTAATATTGGCTTTTAGAACCTGAACTACCTGCACTTGGACTACAATATGAATTTGAAGCCCGTCAAGACCCTCACCACGAAAGAGCGCAAGAAGTCCCGCTTCGGAAATGCTTTCCATTTGTGCCGTGAGATCCTGCGGTTGACGAAGCTTGTTGTCGATGCACACGTTCAGTTCAGACTTGGGAATGTGGACGCGTTCCAGCTTGCCGATGCTTTGCAGTATATCTTCGCGCATATCGGTGCTCTCACGGGCATGTACCGTTACAAGTACAAGGTCAGTAGTCAGTGTTTACCTCTACTTCCATGCTAATAGGTCGGTTATCTAGCTCATGCGTCAAGTCAGGATGACCAAGGACCTCAAACACCTCATTTACTACCGGTTTAACACAGGGCCGGTTGGCAAGGGCCCTGGTTGTGGTTTCTGGGCTCCAGGTTGGAGAGTGTGGCTGTTTTTCATGAGGGGCATTGTCCCTCTTCTAGAGAGATGGTGAGTACTTTTCCAGTATTCTCCTAGCCATGATCTCATGTCACTACATAGGCTCGGGAACTTGTTGGCTCGTCAATTCGAAGGTCGTAATAGCAAGGGTGTCGCCAAGACGGTGACGAAGCAGCGTGTCGAATCACACTATGACCTCGAGCTGCGCGCTGCAGTCATGCATGATATCCTTGACATGATGCCGGAGTCGATTAAACAGAACAAGGCTAAGACAATCCTGCAGCACTTGTCTGAGGCATGGCGATGCTGGAAGGCCAATATTCCTTGGAAGGTACCTGGCATGCCAACTGCCATTGAGAACATCATCTTGAGGTACATCAAGAGCAAGGCTGACTGGTGGTGCTCGTAAGTTCTCAACTCTGCGGTTCACTCTAGTGTTGACTTCCGTCAGTGTTGCCCATTACAACCGTGAGCGTATCCGTCGTGGTGCCACAGTTGACAAGGCTGTCGTCAAGAAGAATCTTGGCCGTCTCACCCGGTTGTACTTGAAAGCTGAGCAAGAACGTCAACATGGTTATCTTAAGGATGGTCCGTACATCAGTGCCGAGGAGGCTGTAGCAGTCTACACGGCGACCGTCCACTGGCTTGAGAGCCGTAAATTTGCTCCCATTCCTTTCCCGTACGTTTATCCCACTGTTTTGATTGCCTCGCTGTAGCTAAATGATTTCGTAGTCCTTTGTCGTACAAGCATGACACGAAATTGCTTGTTCTGGCACTGGAGAAGCTGAAGGAGGCTTACTCAGTGAAAGGTATCTTCCAATATATTTAACCATTGATGGAGCAACCCTAATATCTTTTCAGGTCGTCTCAACCAATCACAGCGTGAGGAGTTGGCTTTGATTGAACAAGCCTACGATAATCCACATGAATGTACGTTCCCCACCGCTTAGCGTTTGTCGCAGAGTTTTCACCTGCATTACAGGTTTGTCGCGAATCAAGCGTTTGCTGCTCACCCAGCGTGCCTTCAAAGAGGCTGGCATTGAGTTCTTTGACACCTACGACAAGCTCATTCCTTGCTACGATATTGAGCCTGTTGAGAAGATCACTGACGCGGTAAGTGAACCATCTAGTCATTACTCTGAGGATGTTTTCTTATTGATTGTTACAGTATCTGGACCAATTCTTGTTCTTTGAGGCGGACAAACGTGGGCTTTTCCCTGCATGGATTAAGCCAGCTGTAAGACTGCTTTTACCTTCACTTTTTCATTTATACTTATAATTCGTCAGGATACCGAGCCTCCTCCCCTTCTTGTCTACAAGTGGTGCCAAGGCATCAACAACTTAACGGACATCTGGGAGACCAGCGAGGGGGAGTGCAACGTCATGATGGAGACAGTGTTCTCTAAAGTCTACGAGAAGATAGATCTCACGCTCCTCAATCGTCTCTTGCGGTTAATTCTCGACCACAATTTAGCTGATTATATCACTGCTAAGAACAACACTGGTATGTGGAAGCGGCCCTTTGGTTTATGCTTAGCTAACTGGATCTGTGAATAGTCTTGACGTACAAAGATATGGCACACACGAACGCGTTTGGTTTAATTCGAGGCTTGCAGTTCTCGGCCTTCGTCTTCCAATACTATGGCCTCGTCCTTGATCTTCTTGTTCTTGGTCTCAAACGAGCTAGTGAAATGGCCGGCCCACCTCAGTCTCCTAACAACTTCTTGCAGTACCGGGACTCGGCGACTGAAACCCGCCATCCTATTCGCCTGTACTCGCGCTACGTCGACAGGTTGCATATCCTGTTCCGCTTCTCTGCCGACGAGGCGAGAGACCTCATCCAACGGTACCTCAGCGCAAATCCTGATCCGACAAACAACAATGTCATTGGGTACAACAACAAACGCTGCTGGCCACGAGATTGCAGAATGCGTCTTATCAAGCACGATGTCAATTTGGGACGTGCAGTGTTCTGGAATGTCAAGCAGAGCTTACCAAGGTCACTTACCACGATCGAGTGGGAAGACACTTTCGTGAGCGTCTACTCCAAAGAGAACCCTCAGCTCCTCTTCTCGATGTGCGGTTTCGAGATTCGAATCTTGCCGAAGATCCGCACTATGGGTGGAGAGCAATTCTCGTTGAAGGATGCTGTTTGGAACTTGACGAACGAACAAACGAAGGAGCGGACCGCTCAGGCGTTCCTTCGTGTCTCCGATGAAGGCAAGTGCAAATTACTTCGCCGTTGACATTTCCCTTTGTTCTTACCAAGACTATCTTATAGGCGTGCAGCAGTTCAACAATCGTATCCGTCAAGTCTTGATGAGTTCTGGGTCCACCACGTTCTCTAAGATCGTGAATAAGTGGAACACCGCCCTCATTGGCTTGATGACTTACTACCGTGAAGCCGTCATCCACACGAACGAGTTGCTTGACTCCCTCGTCAAGGCTGAGAACAAGATCCAGACTCGTGTCAAAATCGGTCTCAACTCCAAGATGCCGTCTCGTTTCCCTCCAGTCGTGTTCTACACTCCGAAGGAACTGGGTGGTCTCGGCATGCTGTCCATGGGCCACGTTCTCATTCCTCAGAGTGACCTCCGTTGGTCGAAACAGACAGATGTTGGAGTCACTCACTTCCGAGCAGGTATGTCTCATGAGGAGGACCAGCTCATTCCCAACCTGTACCGCTACCTGCAGCCTTGGGAGGCGGAGTTCATGGACTCTGCACGTGTATGGTCCGAGTACTCCATGAAGCGTAAGGAGGCTAACGCACAAAACCGGCGTTTGACGCTGGAGGATCTCGAAGACAGCTGGGATCGCGGCATTCCTCGTATCAACACGCTCTTCCAGAAGGATAGGCATACATTGGCTTACGACCGTGGCTGGCGTGTCCGCACCGACTGGAAGCAGTACCAGTTGTTGAAACACAACCCATTCTGGTGGACTTCTCAACGGCACGACGGAAAGTTGTGGCAGCTGAACAACTACCGTGTCGATGTCATCGCAGCACTTGGTGGTGTTGAAGGCATTCTCGAGCACACTCTCTTCAAGGGTACATACTTCCCCACTTGGGAGGGTCTGTTCTGGGAGAAAGCATCTGGCTTCGAAGAGTCTATGCGGTATAAGAAGCTGACGAATGCCCAACGTTCCGGTTTGAACCAGATTCCCAACCGTCGCTTCACGCTCTGGTGGAGTCCTACGATCAATCGTGCCAATGTCTACGTTGGTTTCCAAGTCCAGCTTGATTTGACCGGTATCTTCATGCATGGCAAAATCCCGACCTTGAAGATCAGTTTGATCCAAATATTCCGTGCTCACTTGTGGCAGAAGATACACGAAAGTGTTGTCATGGACTTGTGTCAAGTCTTCGATCAGGAGCTGGAACCACTTCAGATTGAGACGGTACAGAAGGAGACGATTCACCCTCGAAAGAGTTACAAGATGAATTCTTCCTGTGCGGATATCCTTCTTTTCTCTGCTTACAAGTGGAACATCTCTCGCCCGTCCCTTGTCACCGACGTAAGTGTTAAACACCTCAATATAGGGATATTATAAATAACAGGCCATATAGAACAAGGATGTGCTTGACGGCACGACAAGCAACAAGTACTGGATTGACGTTCAGCTCCGCTGGGGTGACTTCGACTCTCACGACATTGAGCGTTACACCAGGGCCAAGTTCTTGGACTATGTGAGTTCCTGCACGCAAGACTCATCTGCTAGCTTACTGACGGAATTGTGAATAGGTGTCGGACTCTATGAGTATATACCCTTCACCAACTGGTGTCATGATTGGCATGGACTTGGCTTACAACCTTTGGTCTGCCTACGGCAACTGGTTCCCTGGCATGAAGCCCTTGATTCAACAGGCGATGTCTAAGGTTGTGAAGGCCAACCCAGCTTGCCACGTTTTACGCGAGCGTATTCGCAAGGGTCTCCAGCTCTACTCATCCGAACCGACGGAGCCATACCTGAACAGTCAGAACTACTCGGAGCTCTTCTCTAACCAGATCATATGTAGGTCTCCGAGTTTAGTCCTGGATTTAGCTTACAACTCTTTTCAGGGTTCGTCGATGACACGAACGTCTACCGTGTTACCATCCACAAGACGTTTGAAGGTAATTTGACCACCAAGCCTATCAGTAAGTTCTTCACCTCCCCCTTTGTGACTTCGACATTGACCCTTGGTATAGATGGCGCTATTTTCATCTTCAACCCTCGCTCGGGTCAACTTTTCCTGAAGATCATTCACACTAGTGTCTGGGCCGGCCAAAAGCGTCTCGGGCAGCTGGCGAAGTGGAAGACGGCTGAAGAGGTTGCCGCCCTGGTTCGGTCTCTGCCCGTTGAAGAACAGCCGAAGCAAGTTATCGTGACGCGCAAGGGAATGCTTGGTGCGTTTGCTCGCTGACTCTACTCCGCTATCGGCCGCTTATTTTGCCTACCAGACCCTCTCGAGGTCCATTTACTTGACTTCCCTAACATCGTCATCAAGGGAAGTGAGCTCCAGCTGCCATTCCAGGCTTGCATGAAGATGGAGAAGTTTGGTGATCTCATCTTGGTAATGATCTTCATTCCTCTTCATGCTCACCTTGACTTATATGGCCTCCACAGCGTGCGACGCAACCCCAGATGGTGCTATTCAGCTTGTACGGTACGTGACTTTCATTTTCACTTAGTCATTGATGCTTATCGGCGGTTTCGCAGACGACTGGCTCAAGTCCATCTCGAGTTATACTGCATTCTCTCGTCTTATTCTGTTGCTCCGTGGTCTGCACGTCAACAATGAGAAGGCCAAGATCATCCTGCATCCTGACAAGTCGACAATCACGGAGCCTCATTTCGTCTGGCCTACTCTCAGCGACGATGAGTGGATCAAGGTTGAGGTTGCTATGAAGGACCTTATCTTAGCCGTAAGTTCACTAAGCGTGGAGTTTAGTTCCATCTAATGGTGTCACATCTTTTTAGGACTTCGGCAAGCGAAACAGCGTCAACATTGCCTCGCTAACAGCGAGTGAAATTCGTGACATCATCCTCGGTCAGGAGATCGCAGCGCCTTCCGTACAGCGCCAACAGATGGCTGAGTTAGAGAAGAGCACCGAGGCTCAAAGCCAGGTTACCGCAGTTCAGACGTAAGTCCCCATTAATTTCATATGACAATATCTTTACACCGGTTTACAGTCAAACCACCAACGTGCACGGAGACACCATCCAGACCGTTACGAGTGCGTTCCAGCGTTCAGACCGTATTTGATATCTTACTAACGTTTCATGCAGCTACGAACTATGAGCAGCAAGTGTTCAGCAGCAAGTCAGATTGGCGCGTTCGGGCCATTTCGGCGAGCAATCTCCCTCTGCGTCTGCAACACATCTACGTTTCGAATGATGATGTCAAGGACGATGCGGCGTCCTATACCTATGTTCTTCCCAAGAACATCCTTCGCGCCTTTGTCACTGCTGCTGATCTTCGTACACAAGTTGCGGCGTTCTTGTACGGTGTGTCTCCTCCAGACAACAAGCAAGTCAAGGAAATCAAGGCTGTCGCATGGGCTCCTCAGCGTGGAAGCAACAATAGCGTTGAGCTGCCAGCTCAGCTGCCCCGTGATGACATCCTCCTGAAGGATCTTGAGCCCCTTGGATGGATCAAGACCCAAGCCCTGGAGCTCTCGCACCTGTCGCCGACAGATGTAACGACTCAGGCGAAGTTGATGGCAGACCACCCAGAATGGGGCTCGTCTTCAATCTGTATCACGGCTTCGTTCACTCCAGGTTCCGTGTCGATGTCCGCGCACTCGTTGACAGTTCCCGGTTTCGAATGGGGTAGGAAGAACGTGGACAACTCTTCCAACCCACCGGTAAGCTTATTTGATATCAAGTCATGGTCCTTGACTAATAGTTTTCTCCAGGGCTTCAACCCCAACATGTCAGAGCGGGTGCAGCTGTTGCTCTCTGACCGTATCTTGGGCATGACGCTGGTACCAGAAGGCAAAGTCTGGAATTACGGCATCGGGCTCACTCAAATGTGGTCTTCCAACCTGGCTTATTCCATGACGCTGGATACGCCTATTCTTTTCTGGGCCGAAGAACACCGGCCAGCTGCTTTCCTTTCATTTGCCAGCATGGAGCAGGGTGACGATAGTGCCGATGTTGAAAATAGCTTTGCATAATGTAGTCTCACGCATCTTTTATGTTTGTTCGCACTGTACTGTAGTTTGCACGATATTATTCACAAATCCATGATGGTTATAATACAATTGAAAGCTAGCGATAGTGTCGAAAGCAAAAGCAAGGGGGCACAACAAGAGATGCAACAATGACAACAACTAGATTAGACGGAGACAAATCCCAGAGAGACAACGGATCCACCCTTGGATAAGCCGGTAAGCTTGCTCTCCCCACCTACATCCGAGGCATCGACTGGCGCCGGCTGGCCCTTGTCGGCAGGCTTCTCTATTACGGATATCTGCCTGGATCCTCGGCGGGGTGGAGGAGACAACGAGGTGATTTCTGGCGAACTCGAGAGGCGTTCGGGGAGGAGGGAGGGCCTATTTGGACTTCGTGGCGGTACAGCAGGCGGGGGCGTGGCCGAGGGTATAGTAGGCGTGAGCATTTGCAGGAAGTTGGGATCGTTCTGCATGTTCGTGATGCGTTCCCCAATCGACGGGCTCGGCGACTGGGGTTCGGGGTCGTAAGGTCCAGGCGTGGGCGGTACAGACGTTGGTGGCGGGGGCGTTGGCGTTGGCGCCTTCGTGAACGATTTCGTCGTGGGGCTCGCGGGGCTGGCATTGGCGGGTTCTGGAGGCAGCGTATGGGAAGGGGGCGAAGCAGGGGCGCTAAGGTTGCGCAGGCGCTGCTTGATGGATATGCTGCGTGTGGACGATGCGGATGCAGAGCCAGAGCCCACTGAGGAAGGGCGGCCGCCGTTATCGTTGCTCGATGAGGCTATGAAGGACGGAACGGCGCCCTCAGGTACTGGAGAGGCGGGTATCGAATACAGGGGGTGGTGCGGGGTACTAGAGTCTCGGCGGTCATGCGCGTATGGCAGCTGATCTTGCTCGTCCGGGCGCGGGGGTAACGAGGAGTCCGGCGGGGGTTTGGGTGCCGAGAGAGAGAGCCGTAGAGCACGCTGGGCCACTGTGGAACGCAGGCTCTTGTGCGGAGGAGGGTGCTCGGTAGGGGAGGCAGGGGACGACACTTCGCCATTTTGCATTGGTGCCGGGGGCGGCGCAAAGTTCGGAGCGGGCCGTGGGGGAGGCATCGAGCGGCGTTTCGTGGATCCGGGGGGAGATATGGGAGATCGAGAATTAGACGTGCTCGCAGTCTCTCCGCTCTGTGCAGAAGACGCGGACGCTCGCTTCCAGAAATTAGGTGACAAAGCCATAGTAAGCTGGGGGCCGGGCGAAGTATTGGGGCTTGATTCATCGCTGGCGGGTATGGAGCTAGACCTGCTGTGTGGCCCCGCTGGTGGCGGAGGTACAGGACCGCTCGGAGGAGTCAGACGCTTGGGAAGCGTGCTGCTTTGTCTTGACCAACGTCTTGATTTAGAGTTCCCGTCGCTTTCGCCTGTACCAGAGGTAGATATGGACTGTATTGAGGAAGACCGCTCCCGATAGTTGGTGACGGTAAGATGCGAGCCAGCCCGGGGGCTGTCCACAGACAACAGCGACTGGACGCCAAAGCTGCCCGCAACACTTTGGTTACCGTTACTTTGCGAGTATAAAGGAGATAGTGACTGCGGTGCGTCGGAAGCAGAAGGGGGGAAGAATTTCTTCCTTGGAGGGGGTTGGAGGGAAACCGATCCAGCGGGGAGTGAACTGACTTCAGTATGATGTTCTGGCTCAACCGGAGACGGACTGAACTCCGTGTTAGAAACAATCTTCAGGTCGGAGAGAACCGTGGGCCTCGACGCCTCTGAGAAATCTCTGAAGTGTGAAGGGCCTGGACCAGGAAAGGTGCCCGGTCGTGTAGGAGACATGGAGGCATCACCGACAGTGTTGGGACGAAGCATCGAGAGCAGGTTGTTGCCTACACTTGTGAATGAGTCCTCCGCCGACCCATGAGCTGTATCGATCGACGTCGTGCGTACTGACGACGCACGCGAACGAGGCCGACCATGGGAGAACATGCCCTTCAGCACGGAGACACCGCTACCCTTTGACGCCAAAGACAGTGTTCGAGATGAGTGTGATGAGGATGGGGCGTGGCCAACCGCAGGAAAATTCATGGGTTTGTCTGGAGTTTGCGACCTTGTCGCATCAGACTCAACGGACTGTCGCTTGTTTGTAGGAGAGACCATCCCTTGGAGGTGCATGGAGAGCATAACGTCCATGTCTCCTTTGGGTCCGCTGCCTCCGGCGGCATGGTTATGTGCAAGCCCTGCTCGGATGGTTCTATCGTATATAACGTCAACATACCGCCACAGGTGGATGGGGAACAGAGAGAGTTACCTCTGAGCAAGGACGGCTCCCTTGATTGAGGTAATCCACTTCTGGGCCTCCGTGGCATCCTTGATCTGCACGAACCACATTGTCCTCCCGTTCTCTTCCAAGTTGATCTCCTTCTTCACCGAACCGGACTCAACACCACCAATCTTGACAACATTTCCGCGTCCCCCGACGTCCTCTTCTGAAATATATATTACACTGTCGTCATTGATAGCTAACCGCTCTAGTTCCTTTTCGTCGGGCGACGAGGACTTGAATAAATGAAGATACGAGATGCCTGATCCCGTATTTCGCGATGAGGGCGAGGGCGTTGAGAATATCATATGGCGTGTCTTCCATTGTTTCGCGAGCGCAAAGCTGAGTAGAGAAGAAGGTGGGTAGAACTTTGGCAAAGTCAAGCGAAGTTGAATGTTGCCCTCTAGAGCAGACACCGTGCTAGGGAAAGCTGGCACAGGAGCGACCGTAGCCGCAGAGGCAGCTCCCAGCTGCGTGAGAGACCCGGGATATGGATGAGTCATCGACGTGGGTCTGTGGCCGTTGCTCGAGAAACCAGAGCTGTGCGTTGGTTCGGTGGGGGTGATTGGGTCGCCATTGACAGAATGTGGTAACATGGGCAGGCCTTCGTGGTTGTTCATCTCACTCTCGTCGTCGCTGAAGCTGTCCTTCGGTGGCGAGTCGTGTAGAAGTTCGGGTCCGAGACCAAGAGATTGTGCGGCTGCGTCTCGTAAGCGTTCCCTCTCAAGTTCTTCGTCCCGACGGAGAGCACTGATCTCTATGACATCCGGGAGAACCTGGGGTGGAGCGGGTCGCGGGACAGGCGACTGGTTATGCTGCTTCTTGCCGAACTTGGCGGTAAAAGCGTCAGCAGCAACGAAAAGGCTGTTCCGAACTTTCCTAGGGTGATGGGGGAGGCTGTCACGGTTGGAATCCCGTGTGGTGAAGGAAGAGGGAGGGTTGTAGCGTTTGGACACAAGCGTGTCGGCATCTGTTTTTGCATACAAGGTGTCATTGGCATGAGCTTGAGAAAGGAGCGGATTTAAGGACGCCCCGGTTGACAAGGTGTTTGTTTCTACCTCGAGGAGGCGAACTTCGGACGGGAAAGGCAAGATGAACAAATGATGCATATATGCTTACTTACCGTAAGCGAATGACTCGTCTGCATGGTGGATTGCAGGCTCCTTGCCCTTTGTGCGCTTGGCCGGACTAGCTGGTACGGAGGACCTGCGAGCCCTGTCTGAGAGCCATGAATCGCGTGTCTTGGCGTGGCCGTCGGGTACAGTGTCTGTGGGATGTACGGACAAGGCGGAATAACGGTAGGGATGAAAGGCTGCAGGGAAAGACTCTGGGTTGGTCGGCATCGTCTGGGTCTGGCTGACGCTATGCAGCTCCGCGGGCTGGACGAGAAGGGGGCATATAAGAATGAGAATTCGTTACAAAGGAGTATACACTTGTATCATCACAAAGGCGGTGGCTGGCAGCGCCTGCCCATGGCCACGGCCGAGGGGCCAGGAATAGGGATGCAGACGCTGCATACATGCACACCCACGCGGAAACAGGAAACAGGAAACAGGAAAAGATGGCCAACCTTGAAGCTGTTCCTCTGCCCAACATCTGATACCGTCTCCTCCATCTAACATCAACCTTTAACGATGGAAACGGCTCAACTTGCCCTAGAATATAACCGGACTGAACAATATGCGCACAAACAAGGAAGGAAATGCAAGGCAGGGGTTGCAACGTTGATGGGGTATTCAAGGCAGCAGCTACACGCTCCTAACACGACCTGTCTGTCATATAATGCGCGCCTGTACCGCGACGATCGGGGTTATGTTTATGTCGCTCCTCGCCATCCCCAAATGTCATTCTAGCCGAGCAAGCTGCTTGTCTCACAATTTTCTCGCGCTTGTCAACCCCACACACCAGCACCGATGCCGACTCCGCCACGTTCTCGCACCGGAGACCTCGCGGTGTGGTGGGAAGCGAAAGAGACGATAATGGACCTCATCATGATCCCCCATCATCATGTACTATACCTGCACACCCTCAGGAGCTTCAAACCTTCCAACAGAAATAACAGCAATAATCCAAAGCGACTAAGTGCTGTACAAGTATGTACATCCATCCATGTCGTCGTAATAGTCGCCCTCTGCTCCCTCCTCGCTTCACCAATGCACAAACTCACAAAATGAGACAATGTGCATCGAAATATTGATACCGGGTCTCCGACCTTCACAAATAATACCAATCCTGGGTCCAGCAACCTCGTGTACCAAGATAAGCTGCATATCACGAAAACAGCTCCGAGTTCACCGCCCGGTCCCTTCCGTTTCATGCCCGCCCATATCACGATCACACACCTGTGTGGTTCCAAAAGGCCCTCAAATCAGCTTCTTCTTCCCCAAATCGCATGCACCGTCTGATATAAGTTAAAGCAATGACTGACCACGGGGTAAGCTAGTTCGCCGCCGCCGCCGGCCGCATAAAAAGGCAGGATGGGAGGGGTATATCATAGCCGCCAAGAGTAACTTATGCTGACATACGCATGAGCTGCTTCATGCGGTCCATATAAGCCGTATGCGAACCTGGCCCGCCCATGGGCGACGGTGCGCCGCCGCGGGGCGGCTTCCGGCTCGCGAGCATGCTCGACGAGGGCCGTACAGGCTCGGGGTGGCGCATCTCCGGAACAGTCGGGCTCGTCCCGTCGTGCACATCCTCGCCCAACAGCCGGCGGAGCATGAGGTTCTCCTTGACCAGCCGCGCGAGCTCGCACTCCCGCTCGAGCGCGTGGTCATCCATGATGTCGACTTCGTGCATTTCGCTATCGTCGTCATCGTTGTCTAATGCTGTCAATGCCACCAGTGGCGAGTCTTCTTCTGTTTGTGGGATCGGTGATGCGCCTTCGCCGTTGAGTTCACGCATGAGGAGGCGCAGCGTCTGTGATATCCGCGCAATGCCGGCAGATTGCTGTGAGGTGATCCCCAGATCTCGCTTGCCGTTCTCCGACTCGCGTTCTAGTAGTTTGAGCTCGTATTCCTTGATCAGCGCAAGTTCTCGTTCTTGTACATCCCGCTAGTTGAAGAGTATCAGCAAGGAGAACAAGGATGAAACGTTTGAGCATACAGCGTGGGTGCGAAACGCGCTCATTACGTTCTCGAGGGTTTGTTCGTACTCCTTTATTAAGGACAATAGTTGCTTGTTGTCGTGTAGCAGACTCATATTCTCCGATGTCAAAGCCGCATTCATGTGCTCCAGTTCCGACTCATACTCCTCTACACGCGCGTTTAAGATCACGTTCACCCGGGAAGCCAGGGACGACGCGTACCTTTTGGTTTATCAAGGTTGAATCTGCGCAAGAACGTCAGCAATACCATACGAGCTTCGAGCCAGAGAGACGCACCTTCTGAGGACAAACCCCGTTTGCGAGTGAACAGCTTGCGCCTACAGAAACCACTCAGCACAAGTTAGCAGCTTCCACCTGACCTCTGCGCGTACCTTGACATTATCGGCAACATTGTGTAGTGAGATAGAAAGTGCCCTATTCTGATTCAGAGATTCGGACAGTTCTTGTATAATGCCCAAGAGACGAAGGAGGTCCTGGTCCGTGTCACGGTTGACATCGAGCATAGTCATGTCGCTCTGTGAAGAGGGTCGGCTTTTGCCGACGTGACTTGGCTTCCTGCCCATATTGGCGCCAGCCTGAACGCCAGGTGGTGTACCGCCTGCGCTGCCATGGGCAGACGGCAGAAACATCATGGACGTCGTTCTCGGGATGCTCATCCTGCCGACGCGCACCTACCTGTCCTGCGATCGACTTGGGAGACTCTTGGTACTTTGCAAAGAAAATGCGCGAGCTCCGGATGACATATTATCCTGGTAGGCCCCTTTGACGTAAAAATGCAGAAAACTTTAGTTTTATTCAGCCGCATTGCAAAAAGCGCGTCCATCTAGACCACACCGTTGGCCGGACCGTGCGGAACTGGGAGTACTTGGTTTGCTGTTGCGGCAATAATCCTGCAACGATCCCACTTCGGTTCCTGGCGCTGATCCCGACACCTGTCCATAATGCTCCTTGTATCCGGGCCATCAAGAACGTTTCACACCTGTGCTGCGTCTTTCAGAGCTACGTCTGCCCCTGACCGTGACGTTATGGACTGTTCTTGTTTCTCGGAACACTGAAAACTCTCTAGGCTAAGCAGCTGCTCAGCGCTCAGCACTCCTCCAACGCCACTCAAGCAATGGCTCCTTGTACCTTGAACGGACGCGTGGCCTCTGGACAATGAGGGCGATGACTTAAGTCGTCGAACCCACACCTTTTCCGACATGATCAACTATTTTGACTTGCCCATCTATGTGATGGATCTCGGAACCTGCTGACCCGTGATAAATACGCCCGATGCGCCCCTGAATGCAGGTATGGTATAAAATTGCGTGCAAAGGTGACAGCAATGCCAGATGTTTCTGCCAACCGACCTCAGCCGTGAGTGACTTGCTTCATGGACTCTGCTGAACTGGTCGAGGAAAGGTCGCTGTACGTGGGCAACGCCCTTAGCTGTATCCTATATGGTGCGCGCACTTTATATGTTGTTGATTGTGACTTGCCCTTTGTAGCTAACAACCATCATACTATGGTTCACAGGATTTAATCTGCACGCGTACTTCGCGACCGTACTCGCTCTAAAGAACTCAAAAAGCCGAAGTGTCCCACGAATATTCTACAATGTCTTTGGTGGGATCATGCTGCTTTTCGTGACTTGCGCCCTCGTTACCAGTGAACTGCGTGGTCAGTTTGCATGGATCGACCAGCGAGGACAGTCCGGCGGGCCGGAAGCGTATCTGCAGCAGAATGTCACCGAGTGGTATGTTACAATTAGCTCGGTCGCAACTCTGCTAGCAGATGCGATGAGCAATGGACTAATGGTACGCTTCATTCTATTCATCCCAGCCTCTCTTCGAAGGGGATGGCGTGGTTGATGGTGTACTATTTACATGGCTGACGCTTCGCGGGACTGCAGATGTATCGGTGTTATTTGATCTGGGGGCATAGTCTCCGGGCTGTCGTTCTCCCCTTTGCTCTTTTTGTGCCTGCCGTTGGTAAGGACCGGATTATCTTTCCTTCCGCACTTCCCACTTACCCTCAGTGCGGCTCCTCCCAGCCATTTCCATCGTGATGACGACGACGAGCGCTATGCCAGGGGCTTCCGAGTACACTGGCATGCCACTCAAATACGACATCATCTGGATGGCGCTCACTACCGCTTTCAATGTCGTGACGACTGGGACCATTTGTTTCAGGATATTCCAGAGCTACCGCCAGCTCCGGCGCATGTTCCCAACACAGCAGCACGAAGCCGCGTTTCATCCGTACACTAAGTCGATAACAATCATCGTTGAGTCGTCGCTGCTGTTCACGGTGGTCACCGTCGTGTATCTAGTCGTCCAGTGTATCGACAGCCCGGTTGATATAGCTATCGGGGCTGTATGGACCAACTTCTGCGTACGTACCGCGATTGTGCAACCATCATCAACCTATGCGTCGCGTTGATGCTGACCCCGATTATGTTTGGTGTTATCATCAGGTTTTGGCGCCTCAGCTCATCATTTTACGCATCGCCTCCGGTTCGGCGTGGACGGATCCCACGACGAAGGAGAACTTATCGAAGCTGACCACGGCTATTTCTTTAGACTTGGAGCAGTCTGGCGCGTCGCATTACCCTTAGCATGTGTGTAATATTATTGTATCATCTCAATAGAGTGTAGCTTATCTCTCGAACCTCGGATTCAAAAGAGTACACGATGGCGAATATCAGGTCACTCTTGGTAAGCTGACAGGTATTGACAGCGGGGCCCTCAATCGGCGTCAGTTCGGCGCGCTACAGTGTCAAGTGAGCTCCAATCGCGAAAAAGTGCACATAAACGTCGATAATCCCCTTCGCCGAGCGATGTTCCTGTGATGATTTACTACGGCTATCACGAATTTCGGAAGAACCTAGCCCAATTGTTCATACATCAACGCTCAACATTAATTCGTATTTCCCTTCCTTCCTTGCACAAGACCCGCATGCCTCCCTGCCCTCAACCTGCGGTCGTATTGTTCGTGCTCAATGACCTCGCCGGTTAACTTCGGGATCGAGAGGTCTTTGTATATAGGAAACACACTTAGCTCAGGTCTCTACGGTCGGTCCTCTTCCTTTTGACCTCGCACTTCCCATGTTTAATTGAATATTGACGCTCCAGTCCTGGCTGCTTGCGTGTACGGTCAAATTCTGTCAAGGCTTCGCTCCACAAGATGCGCTCGCAGAACGAAACTGTTCTATTCCGTCTATTGCACCTGCCTCATGTTTTGCTTGACCGTCGGGACCGTTGACGCGTTGTACACCGCAGAAAAGGCATGGATTGAAGATAGGAACAATCCCGGCGGGCCGTTGGCATCTCTCATGGAGAGCCAATCTAACTGGCTTCACACCTTTTCTTCTGTCTGCATCATCCTCGCAGACGCGCTGAACAACGGACTCATGGTGCGTCGTGATCCAATATGTTGAGACGATTTACTTTGCTTACTCATATTTTTGCCATTAGGTTCAACGCTGCTACCTCGTCTGGAGCTATAGCATTTGGATTGTCTCGATTCCATTCCTCATCGCTCTGACTTCCTTTGGTGCGTGTATATACTTCTGCTTCTCTCCCCGCGATGTAGACTAAATGTGAGCAACAGTCATGTCCCTTCTAATGACTGTTCAGAGTGCTTCGCCTGACACCACCATTTACAAGGGGGCCGCGCTGCGCGACGGCGTCGTCTGGATCGCGCTCACGACGGTCTTCAATGTTCTGATTACTGGTGCCATTTGTCTCCGCCTGATCTTGACGTGCCGCCAATATCGCGACATTCTGCCGGCAGAGTCGATCAAGACGTACACCAGCGTGATGTCTGTGATGGTGGAGTCCTCCCTCCCGTTCAGCGCTGTCAGTCTGGTCTACATCGGCTTGCTTGTGGCGAACAGTCCTGTCGAAGGAACTTTCAGTGGCATATGGGCCAACGCCTGTGTGAGTCTTTCTCCTCTAGTATTCCGTAACTAGGACACTTTCTCGACAGTTGAAGCATGTGAAATGTCGACCGAAACTGATGGTGCTTTGTCCAGGTCCTGTCTCCTATGCTGATTATTCTGAAAATATGCAAAGGCAGCGCGTGGTCGCGCAGTGCTATGTCAAATGTGACACTGACGACGATGATACCAGGAGGACTCACCACTCCCGGCCACACCTTAATGACATGTCAAGAGCAGGAATTGAACTTGGAGGATATGCGGACGCTGCATAGTCAGGTGTAAGCTAGATTTATCAGTTTGTTCTATGGTTGTACGAACGTTGTGTATTATATTGACCTTGGTCACTAAAGCTCCTGCCCAGCAAGCGAAGGGTTTTCAGTGCTAAGAGTGGATAGTTCCCCCCTTTCTTGGCTTCGTTATTTTCAATCGTCACCAAGGCTTAACCTTGCTGATCGGGGGATTGTTTCTCCATAGTGCAGGACATGCATTCAGCGTAAATGGCGAGATACGATCGATATTACAGCCTAATGGAGCACCCCAGATCAATCGATCACCACAGCATCACCACGACCCGAATCACCTCAACCACGATGACCAAGGACGCAACCCAGCAAGATATCGTCCGCAGAGGTTACGACGAACTCTCCGAACTCTACAGAGGGGATGAGGCCACACCAGATGTCCGACGACGCTATGATCATTTGCTTGGCCGACTGTTTATCCTACTACCTGACGTTCAAAATCTAAGCTTCCTCGATCTGGGATGCGGATGCGGAATCCCTGTTTGCCAGGACCTCGTCGAGAAAGGGCATAATGTTACCGGTGTCGACATTAGCGGAAAGCAAGTTGAACGAGCACAATCCATCGTCAGTGATCCAAGAGCTTCATTCCACCAAGCAGACATCTGCGACCTCGCCAATGCCTCTGAGTCATCGAGCTCCAGAGCATCGTCAGCTCTAGAGTGGATACCGTCTGACGGTGCATACCACGGGATCATCTCACTCTGGACGTTCATTCACTTACCCATCGACGAGCAGCCGAAAGCTCTTCGCGCCGTACGAAGGTGGTTGCGCGATGATGGGGTGGCTCTCCTAGTGGTTGGGAAGGAAGAGCTTCCTTTCGCAGAGAAGGCTGGTTGGCTTGATGCGCCTGAGCACGTCAAAATGCGCTGGTCACATCCACACATTGACAAGTTCCGCGAGTGGGTAGGAGAGGCTGGGCTCACTATCGAGAGCGAGACGTTCATACCGGACTCGTACGCTGCACCAAAAGACGGTACTCAGGAGAAGCAGAGTGGTCATCAAATGCTTCTGCTGAAGAAGGGGAGCAACTCTCGTTAGGCGTGTCATGTCTTCGCTGTCCAGTCTTCCCTGCAAAGTGCTTATCTGCTCCAGTTCCCGTCCACCCGTTCAGCATGAGCAGCAAAACGCTATCTTTTGCGGTATGTGGTATGAGCATAAGGTATCCAGACCACAACCTATTTGCTCAGCAACTCGTCCAGCAACTTCCTACCGCCGTCCTCCCAATCATCCCAGCACACTGCCCAACGCATCGTATCCCTTCCCATCCTCGAGTCGCCCTCCCTCGCCCTCTTCCCTATTTTCTTGAAACCTGGTTTCGGCGTTGGTATCACCCATGCCCACTTTCCAATGCCCTCAAACTTGAACCCCATTTTCTTCGCGAGCCCATTGGACGCAGCGTTTTCTGGCCCCGCCTGCCATGCGATGCGCCGCAGCTCCAGCCCTCCCTCCGTAGGGTCGTCTGACACCGACGACCGCTCCAGCCCCCAGCGCAAGATGGCACCAACCTCGTGAGAGCTGACGTGCGTCCGCCTGAACTGCGGGAGCACGATCACGGGCCCGATCTCGGACGTCAGATTGTGCGGATCCGTGTACGCGAGCCCGATAGCGCCTGCCAGTGCGCCGCCGGGGACGCCAAGATCTTTATCCTGCTCAACGAGCTCGGGGCGGAGCCCGCTCGTGTCGAACACGGCAAAGAGGATGTTGCCCTCGTCACGGCGCATGATTTTCTCGACGAAGAAGAGCCAGTCGTGCAGCGTCTCGAGGTTGAGAGGCATGTACTTGAAGAAGTCAGCGTGGCCCTCGACGCGTGACATGAACCGTGCAGCATGTTTGCGAGGCACGAACGGGACAAGCTTGACCTTGCCGGTCGAGAGCACGTCCGGGACTGGGACCACGAAGTTGAGGTCATATGGTGATGGACCGTATAGCTCCTTTTCGGGTATGGTGTCTGAGGGAGGCCTGTATGCGTTGATGTAGCTCATTCTTTCTCGCTTGGCTTCTTGGTTGTTGGGTGTGCTATGGTAGTGTTCAAGTGGGACGGACGTCAGGAAGGACACGCACGGATGGATTCCCCCAAATATATCAGAATGATTGAGCGAGCTGATCTGATTAGATCGGAAAATACGCATGGCTCATGTAATGTACGTGTCGTAACGCCGAGCAGGAGTGTGGCTTGAAGCAAGCGTTCATGTTGAGCACAAATGCGTCAAGTTCGGATGCAAGGGCCTAGTATACACATGGAATGAAAATAGAACGAAAGCACCTTGTAACTTGAATGAAAATGGATCTGTCGTGCTAGAGGCGCGGCCAACTACTAGAGGAGTAACCTGATCGGCCCGTTGGACGTCTTGACCTCCACTCCACCTCGTCGTCTGACATCATAATCATCGACCGTTTCGCGTTGCCAGAAGACGGAACCACGGGCGGACCCTTTTTCTTTCCGTACGTCTTGAAATATTCTCTTTCTGCCTTTGCCAATTGGATCCGCCAAATTCAACATCTCCAAATCAGTTTGCCCAAAGCGCGATGTTTCAGCCTGGAACGAGCCTTCAAACTCGGGGTGCATGGCGATGGTTGCCCGAGAATTGGACGTCCGCGCTATCGTCTGCAGCTTGGCTCCTGTTGGTGAGGACTTGAAGCTGAGTTTGAGAGGCGAATTGCTGGTGATCGTCCGAACGTCAAACGTCCCGCCAGCACCTGGGCCATTGTCGGAGGCAGCTAATGATACGGCACAGTTGATGGGGCTGCAAATTCCCGTCAGCTATACTCGATGATCGCTACATAATAGCGATTTACCTGTTGCTTGTCTCGATGTCAAGAATGGTTGGTTCAGACCCTTGATTCAGGAGGTCAACAACAGCGGTGATAGGTCCATTTGCAGAGCGAAGTTTAAGGGAATTCGAGGCGCCAAAAACTCCATTGATTGACGCATTGGAAGTCTGCATGTAGCCCTCATCAACATAGATGGACTAACCGGAGTTTTAGTTGACGCCTTTGAACGCATCACAGCCAGATACGTACCTCGACGGTAATTGGAGCGTAAGCTGTTTTGAGGGACATGTGGCGGAAGGCTGCGAATTCAGCGAGGTCGCCGAATGTGTGCACGTAGAGAGGCATGTCTGTCTCAAATCTTTTCACCTGCAACACATCGTTATCCTTGCTCGTTGGAAGGATGACCTTCACATGGAATTGCAACATGTTGTGTTTGTCCTGCTGACTGGGCCACCATTTCGGCGTCTGATCAACGGTCGACGATCATCAGAACACTGAATTAGCGTTTAGTTTGGGATACTAACCAGGATGCCGATGCCACGCTCATTTTGCGCCCTCTCTAGATGGCAGACAGTCGCATGATCAAGCGCGAACTGGGTGTAGTACCCGACGGTCACGATCACCTCCGCTGAGCTGCCTGGTTTGTCTGAGTTCACAACTTGAACGGTTCCCGCTTGCTGTGAACCCCGACTGAAGAGGTACAGTGCCTCGGCATCTTCGACAGGAAGACAGAACGCCGTCCGAGCATGGCTTGGGAACTGATCTCTGCGACTGGGCTCATAGGGCACCCAGTCCTCTCCAGTGACGCACTCGTGGACAACACCGTCTGAGGGCGCGGGCTTGGCCGCCGGCACATCGTGCTCACAGTGAGGGTGCTAGAAGAATAGAAGTCAGCACGGGGTTGAGCACGGTAGACTAGACTTCATGAGTACGAGGCATACCTTTGACGAGCCCGCTCCTTGTGCAGGAACGACGGTTCCGGGCGCGTGGTTGGCGGAACTGACGAGCAGCCAGGAATCTACGACAGCACCGGCAACCACCTGCACCCACTTGGCGACTTTGTTTTTCTTCCGTGGCCGGACATCTGAGCGCCCGTGTGCGAGCTGAGGGAGCTCACTAGAGGAAAAAGAGGAGGAACTGGTGTTGAGATATTGTTTCTCCATGGGCGCGCGCCCGTGAACACTGGTGTGATTGGGAATACCTAGATCATACCATGGTTGAATTATGTATCTCTGCTCAAGGGTCGTGGCCTCGGCAACGTAATTGTTGACAAGCCGGACAAACTAGGTGATATCAGGTCTTGGGCCCTGCCTGGCCTGTGTGGGGTAAGGATAACTCGGGGACATCGGAAGCAAATCCAATCGCGACAAGATTACGTGCTTTTTGAGGCTCCTCGGTTGCGCAATCAAATTAAGCTTTTATTCCTCTTTACCTTTATTAGTCTCGTTATTCAGTCCCTTCCGTTTCTTTCGCAGTCTTTTGCAGAAATCTGCTCCTCGTGACGGAACCTGCCGGAGACTGTCTCGTATGGACACACCACTAAGCGACCACCGGCAGGCAATATGAGGACTAGGCGTGTACAGAGAAGTTTTGTACCACGCATCGTTGGGGTTCAAAGGAAATATATCCACGGACAGGGAAAGAATCGAAAGCACACGAGATTGCGTGACTGGTAAATTCATAGTACAGAAGCCTACAGGAAATGTTTAATCGGAGTATCAGATAATCAGGGTAACGGGCTTGTTCGAAGAGCTAAGCTTGACGCTTCCCTTGTCAGCCTTGTCGCTGTTGTCTTCGTCATCCCAGAAAATGACGCCTTCAATGGCGTTGCGCCTAAAGGTGCCCTGCGCGAGGCTCTCATCAATCACTCTTGACCTTCCGTTGCCGGAAGGATCTTCTACTTCTGTCCTGACGAGCTCTGCACGGGCGTTTGAAGTGTCCGCATGGTACTTGCCCTCGAATGCGGAATGTAAGGTGACAGACGCAGGTCCATTGGACGTACGGGCCTTGACATCGAGACTAGAGTCAACCGGGGACGAGTGGAAGTTGAGATTAAGGTCGTGGTTGGATGTATGCGCATCAACATCGAACGATCCGCCAGTACCCAGCTCATCGTCAGATCTCGCAAGGTTTAATTCGCCATGAATAGGTCTACCTCAAGTCAGAGATTGTTGGGCAAGACAGCATGCGCATTTTAACTTACCCATTGCTCGTCCTTGCCTGGAACTCCGTGATGAAATCATCGTCGTCATTGATGAGGTTGGCTTGAACACGAATCGCAGCATTCGAGGTGTGCAAGACCAATTTCCTACGGGCGTAGAAGGTTCCGTCGATCGGCCCGTTAGACGATCTAAAGGACGCTTGATTAGCCTTGACCGACTATCAAGACTCTATCAGCGATGGACATGCACAGAAAGTAGCCGTATATTACCTTCACATCAATGCCCGAGTTGGAGGTCCTGAGGGAGAGTTCGTCGAACGCAGTGGAGTTGCCGAGATCCTCAATGGTGAGCGCGTAGTTGGACATATGCGTCTCGAATTTCTTGACGTCACCCACGGGGAGTACGACCGTTACGTCGAATCTCACTGATTCGTGCGGGTGGTGGAACCAGCCGTCAGGAGTCTTAGAAAGTCGATTATTTGAGAGCCGAATGGTATGACTACCGCGCAAACTCACCATTATACCAAGTCCACGTTCACCCTTCGTCCGCTCCAAGTAACAGACACTCGAGTTGTCAAGAAGGCTGTCGTCGCGGTATGAGGCCTGAACGGTGACCTCTGCATAATCCACGAAGCTATCTGAGGGGATGACCTTGACCCAACCGTACTGCTTGGAGCCGCGACTGAAGACGTAGAGGGCCTCAGCGTCGGCCACGGGGATCTGGAACGTGTAGTGGGCGTTGCGGGGAGAAGTAGGCCAGCGCTCGTCGTGCTCCCAAGCGCTCGCAGCAGTAAGACAGTTGTGCACTTCGCCGTCGGAAGGCCGGGGACGAGCAGCTTCATGTCCGTGGAACAACTTTTGATAGATCAGGTCAGCCCGTGAAGCCGGAATGCGGGGACCGACTAAAACTTACCCCACCGTGGAAAGAGTGTACCCCGAAGATAAGGTGGTAGGTACCAACGCAGAGCAGGTACACAACAAACGCTACACCCAGGGCCTTGCAGAATCTAGCTTTGGCCGAGCGCCTCGGGGGCTGGGCGTAGGGAACAATTCCTGCTGGGAAGACCCACGCTGGTCGACCTGGGACATCAGTGTAGGGCACTTGGCTAGGCTGAGACTCGAGAGCGTCAGCGTCAGGTTGCTTTGGGACCTTCTGATAGTCGGGGGGAGGTGATAAATCGATAGCCATGGAGGAGAACAGTTGAGGGGCAAAGACCGCAGGCACCGTCTTCTTGAATGGCGAGAAACCCACTTACTGCGGTCCTGTCACTATTAAGCATAAGCTGTTGACATCATCATAGAGGAACATGTGGTCATGGTTTTTGCACTGCGGCGTAGCGCGCAGTAGTCTCCCCTAGGCAGACCCTATATCAGAAGACAGTCGTTCTTGATATTAGGAGCGCGCAGCACAGCGAGTGAATCAGCACCTTACCGCGGCCCTGGTAATACGGAAGATGCCGCAGCCTTGCCACATCTTCCAACTTTCAACTTCGCCGAATCCACCACTCTTCGTTTAAGTTCGGATCTCTAAGCTATGTTTTACATGTAAAAGTGCCATCGAAGGTCAGCATTTAGAACGGTACACCAGAGTGAGTACACTGCAGGACCTCCATCCACACTGGAGCAATGCCTTCTTCCTCCACTCCAATCTGCATCCCATTGTCCCTCAAGACATAGTATTCCCGGGCCGGAGTAACAACTATTGCTACGGCAGGATGTAGCATGGACCCGTTGTTCAGGTCCAAATGCACGCTCTCAACATGATGTTGTCTGAAAGAAGCAGCGTCCCGCGTCAACACTGTAGTTCTGTCTCAGGCGCACGATGCATCACTGCGGACTACGTACATGGGCAGATATAGGTTGACCTGCTGATGCTTTCTAGTTTGGTCAAGGTCAGAGGCAGAGAATCCGGCAAAGTCTTGCGCCATTCGACTAGCAGGCATCCATTGGCCGCTGAAACTACCGCCGATACCAGAACGGCGTCAGGTGAGATCATCGAGAAGGTTGCATTTCACAGAACCTGTTTGCAACGACGCTTGCCGTGATATATCGCTCCGCAATTCGGCGTCTCGGAAAGCCTTGATCGACTTCTCCTTGTAATCTTTTTATCCAAATCTTGCTTATTCCTCGGTCGTATTCCTCGCGATTTGCCCAGGAGAGCCGATCCAAGAGCCGAGGTGTGGCCTGGCGCGCATCCCCAACGAGATAGCCCGCCCAGTCAGCTCGAATGCAGTTGATAATGTCGGAAAGCGAGCTAGAGCACTTGGAGGGAAGACAACAGACTACCTCACAAGTATCCCCCAACACAAGAAATCGCTCTTCACAGTCATCAGACTTGTCAGTTCTGACCGTGATAAGCCATACTTCGTCACCAGGCATGGGCACGGCGCCAACCACAGTAGAGTGAGTCCAAGACAAAGGCACCGCACCGTCGCCTACAGAAAGAGCAAACCACAGTCTGGTGACGAGAAACCTGAGAATTCGGGATGATGATCAAGAATAAAACACTCGAGGGCACGAGAGCAAACCTGACAGCGATAGTAGCCTGCCTGTCGTCGTCAGGACTCGTCCAAAGTCGCGGGGAAATCACCGAAGCAGTCTGGAAAACCCTTCCGAGGAACGAGTCCCAATACGCTCGTTGCCTGTCGCCTACTTCGTGTACGCGGTGGGTCAAGTAAGGCCATAGATTAGTCGTTTGGAGAGAATGCAGGCTAGTGACTCCGTCCAGACGTTTTCCAGAGAAGCGATTCTTGAGTATATGCGCGGCGGAGAGGTACACTGAATCAAGAGGTTGAGACGGTGGCGTCAAAACGTTCACAGTCCGACACACCTGCGTAACGCAACGTTCGTGATACACAAGCAAGCATTCTTCTATCTTCGCAATCTAGCGCGCTCAGGATAACAGCCCACCTTCCGACCTTCTTCCTCTCGGAAGCTCTGGGAGGTAAGGTAATCATACGTAGTTTCTCGGCGGGTGCGCTCTTCAGGAAGTCCAGACTGAGACCAGAGTTTGCAGACACTGCGATACTAGATGAACTGTTGCAAAACGTCGATAGCCTATCAGCCTTCTGAATTTCAGCATGGGATACTCGAACGATAAGAGGCTTGAACCGTTTGCTGCTCGAGCTCGATACAGGAAGGGAAGTCTCTATAGCCCGACGCTTAGGCGTATGATTGAGCTTCGGCTTTGGGATTATTGGTGGAGTGAGAAGGTCGTTCTTCCTCTTCTGACTTGTACGCAGGGGCGGGAGATCAGTAGACTTCTGCTTCTCTGTCCTTGATACGGAAGTATCCACGGGCGTTGGTTCCGTCGGGTTCGGACTCGGGAGGACACGCTGGGGGGCCTCAACTTGTTCTGTAGCATTGGACAACGCCACATCGTCGCTGGTGCCCAAACATATTCGAGGCGGTTGAGGCGTCGGGATATTGGTAACAAATTTTTGGGTTTCGGTTTGTTGCATAGACTTCACATTATCAGGGCCTTTGAGGATCTCCGAGTCAACGAGCTTTTGCAGCAATGCAGCTTTTCCGAGTTTAGAGTAGCCAGTAATCCGTCGATCCTTACAGAGAGCTTTCAGTTGGGCGACCTTCATCTTGGCTAAGTCTTCCATAGCCACATGAGCGGGAGAAGACATAATAGAAGTAAGAAACCCAGGCAAGAATTTGTAGCGTAGTGCCAGTGGTAGCTTGGTAGCTTGGTGTGATGGTGATTGACTGTCGCTAAGAAGTCTACCGCTATTTTACAGGGGTTTCGCCCAAAATGCGTGTCGAATTTCACAAAGTTTTGCCATACAAAGGACGTCAAAAGCAAAAAGTATCATCTTGCAGCCCTTCAAGTTGAAATGCCCACAGTAAGGAGTACAGCTTTGCTTATCCACGAATGACCACGTAACCGGTGTTTCTATGCGGTGGCCGAACTATAAACCGCAGCCTCAACGAACATGAACAACTCGGGGTAACGTGCAGCGCTCAATGGTTGTGCTTTACACTTCCTGCTACGAGGTCGGGTCACTCTCCGAGGTTGTGAGTTAGCATTAAGCGGGTGTCTAGTTTTCATCACGGAGAGACCTGTGACACAAGAAGCAGTGAGCAGTCGAGGATTCGAAGTGATGGTTGTGTTAGTTTCGTTGAGGGATAATGCACCAGCAGAATGCCGCTGCGAATCGCTTGTTGTAGTGTCGACAGTCCCTCCTTGTAAATTAGACTGAGTGCTCAGCAGAGGTGGATACTCGCGTATGACCCGACGTGGTCCAGGCGTTCCGTACAAATCCTCCATGTCGTCTGTTTGAGCATCCACCATATCGACGTCTTCGTTATGGACCTGACTCGATGACGTAGCAGGAGGGATAGATTCGATAAGGGCAGATATGTCCTCCATGAGGTTGCCATTCGTCCTGGAAGAGCTAACGTTGTAAGCAACGGCCAACCCCTGTGATTCATAAAGGAGTGCCTACGGTAGGGTTGGACCTGGAGCTGTTTCCTCAGCTTGCATTAAAGGTTCGATTCGAGTCGAGGGTGGGTCGAAAATCCTGTTTGGCCCATCCTCGTCTATTGCAATAGACATATTCTCAGCAACACTTTGGGCCACATCTCGACCCTGATCTGTGCCATGCGCCGTGGAGGAACTTTTGACTCTCCAAGAGCTTTCTTGCTGTATGACAATCAGCTTCTCTGAGGGCGTAGCTGCTGCAGCATGGTCTGAAGAGGTTGTCCTCTCCTTCGGCTTGACTGACGAAGAAACAACTTGCACATCATCAGAGTCGGAGTCAAGAATAATGGTCTCGCGAGTAGATTTTGGCTGAACAAGGTGAGTGAGCATGCTACACCACATGTAATGTCATTGAAAGACATGCCTGAACCAGAGGCTTAATCCGCTTCTGGGCGACGCTGCTTTTAGCGGGGGACTCGACAAGATTGATGGCGATTGCAGCGGGACTTGGTGCTACCTCTTGCTTCGACCTTGCCTTCTTACATCGCTTTGTATTACACTTCCAAGACCCCAAACCATTGGTAGCATCCTTTGACGCTTGGGTAGCTTTGATGCGCGTCACAAGTTCATTGTCCTCTACTGGTGGAACATGACACACTAACGATTATGAGAGGTTAGAGGCACCTGTTCATTGGCTCGAAACTAAGACTGGCACTAACCATGATGCCACGAGCGTTTGCACTCTGCACATGTTAACAGAAAGGCTTGGGGGTTGTTATGGGAAAGAGAACAACGTTCGCACTTTGGCGGCATTGACGTATACGGGGCGCGTGAGTGAAACGCGTATTGGATAGGGGCCACGGGCCACATCGGCTCACAGAAACTGAAAGAGGCTCTCTATGGGACCATGTTACGAAACTAACCTGTGCTATTATCACTCGAGCACCAGCACAAGGCTCGTATATGTACGGTCATATCCTAGGTCATATAGCACTGCCAAACCCACCGCCCTTGCTGGCAGACAACTCCGCTCCAAGCTTGTATCCTAACACCTGGATAGCCGCGTCAACAAATCCGGGAACATCAATAGATCAGGCATATTATGCTCACCTTATCCCAATCCAGCTTCTGCCGTGTCATTGGAAGAGCTCTTCGCAGTCCCTTGAACGTCTTCTCGCCCATCTCCTGGTATGCGTCATTCAACGAGACCTGATATTTGCCTTCTTCGGACTCGATTTGTGCAAGAATCTTCGAGGCAGTTTGTTGTGGTGATGACGTGACAGCCGTCTGCGGAAGTGTCAAGAAGAGTTTATGGGAGGTGGTCAATTGAACCTGGAAAGGGCATTTTAGAGAGTATGGGGGCAAAGTATCGATTCACCAACATTTCCTTGCTCGTAATAATGCACATGAACAAGGATGAACCCTTCGACCTTGTTCTCGTTGAAGTTCACCACATACTGCGATCTCCACCGGCCAGACCTACAGAGCCTATTGAGGAATATCTGAAGGACAGTTATGCAGATCACGCACCAGTAATTGTTTGGATTGTACTTGTTCGCGACAACCTGGATAGTAAACCGGTTTTCCCCAGCATGAGAGAAAACGGCAGCGACGCCATCGTGGTAGTGAGCGCTCAGGTACAATTGTGTGGCCTTCTCCAATGCTTCCCTATTGGCGCGTTCACAGTCATCTGAGGGTTAGACGTTGATGGTGGACTAACCGCAGAGGCTCAGACTCCTCATCAGATTCAGTGGGTTGTGGGTCCGTGGCTTCCTGCCGCAAGGCCGATGTCAATGAGAAAAGGCAGTGACTTGGTGGAGACGTTATCGCACCAAGCTCAGATGATCAAACCGGAATGATGTCTTAGACCTTGGATCCAAGTATCGTTCCTCCCCTTCCTCTTCACTGGAAATCCTGGCGATCTCGCTCACGATTGTCTGAAGCAAAACTCGTCAACCGCTGCATGATTGAACGTCCTGGTACATCTTACCTGATGCTCTACTCCTGGGACATCCACCGTCGTGAATTGCGTGAGGTTATACTCCCGAAGAGCTGGCAAGACACCGTCTTGCAGGGAATCGTCGTCTGATATGACGGCTCTGACATCTATTAGATATGGCAGCAACGTCAGCGAGACAGGTGGTTGACTCGAGGGGGGCGAGGACCATTAAGCACGTCGTTGATCTCGCCTGGGGGAGCTTGCAACAAGAAGCTGGAGGCCGCTTGTATGCGTTCAGCCGGGTCCATCGCAGAAGATCACGGCTCGGAGGAGAGGGGCGAACGGAAGATTAGGCTCAGAGTAGAGCACAGGAAGGCAGAGACACGCGATAAGCAGGCGAGGGGGTGTAAGGGAGACAGTGCTTGGCGGGGAAGTGACAAGCTTAAGTGTTCCGGATGGTTGGACGCGTGGTGTACGATCTCATTGCCCCTATATTATTCACAAGACTTCTGCAATACAGGCCTCAATCACATAAGGTCAGGAATATCCAGGAAATGCATTTGATGTAATCTACAACAGTAGAAAGATGCTAGTGAAGATGCAAGATAATACATAAAAGAGGCCTAAGTCATCCGCAGTATAGAACCCAACAATCTAACAGGTTTATTTACAGCTTCGACTTGAACTGATCCTCCGTGACACCGGCACCCATAGCCGCAGTCGAGGACACACCACCAGTCACGGTCTTGAGGAGGTTGTCGGCGTAGTCGGCGCCGCTCCACTTCTGGTGAGTGAGAACATCGCAACCAATCTCGCGCTCCTTGCTCTGAACGATCTCAACGTAAGCCTTCATGCCCTCCTTCGCGTAGTTCCTAGCGAACAAGTCGCTGATGTATGCATTCGAGTGGAGACCACCGAGCTAGAGATGGGATGTCAGCATCCGTGTATGTAAGTAATTGACCGACACAACTTACAGTGATGAATTGCCAAACAAAGCCGAGCTTGCCGAGCTCCCAGACGAAGCCCTTCATGTCGTTACCCGTCAATCCAGCAGCCTCCCAGTTGAACGACGGGCTAAGGTTGTATGCCAGCCAGTGTCCGGGCCGCTCAGCGTGCACACCATGGGCAAACTCCTGGGCCTGCGATAGAATGGGTTTCTTGGTCTCCATCCAGAGCGCGTCGGCGTAGGGCGCGTACTCGATCGAGCGGCGGATGGCACACTGAGTGCCGCCCTGGTAACGGTAGAACCCCTCGCGAGTACGAGGAACGTCCCAGTTCCAGTAGGGAATGCTCTTGAGACCGAACTCCTTCTGGGCAATCTCGACAGCGGCGGGGTACGAGGAGCGAATTACCCGTGAGACGAACCGGTCGACAGTAGCTTTGTTGGAACCCTGGGCACTCAATGCACGTGCGAGGGTGGTGGAGAACAGCTCAAGGTTGGCGGAGGCAGTCCAGGCGTCCTCGACAGCCTGGAGCTCGTCGCCAGACTTGCCAGCGTTTTCGGCATCGGTCATGGCGCCGACAAGGGAGGGGAGGGAAGCATTCGTGGCTCCAAGGATGAAGGGGTGGTCACGTTCGTCGATGTTAGTGGTGATGAGGGTGGCGGCTTCCGAGTCCGTACGGGAGATGATGAGGTTCTCGACGCCCATGATGTCGAATTGAAGGCGAATGGCAATCAGACGGTTGATTTGCTCGGAGATGGGAACAAGCACTTTGCCAGCCATGTGGCCACACTTCTTGGTGCCGGGAGCCTGGTCCTCGACGTGAATACCAGCAGCACCCTTCTCGACGAACATTTTTGCAAGTTTCATGATGGCAGTGATGCCTCCGTGACCGGTGTCAGCGTCAGCAACGAGCGGGCGGAGGTAGTCGATATAGGGGGTGGAAGCAAGCTCAGCCTCCGACAGGTTAGAGCGGGCCTCGCGCTGCTTGCGGTCGTGGAAGAGCTGCGCCATGAAAAGATGCTCAACCTTGTTGGGGACGGTGTTCGAGGGGTAGTCTGCCAATAGTTCAAATTGGCTATCTCATCTCATTGCATCATGTTTCGCAAGAAACGTACCAGCAAGATCCGGGCCCGGTTCATTGGTGCTAGAGGCCGTGCTAGAGGACTGCCAACCAGAGACATAGACGGTCTCGAGATATTTGGCCATCTGAGTGACCTGAACGGGGTCCAAACTACATTCACCATGGATCAGTACCAACAATAGCCAAGGACGAGTAGAAGCACTAACGCGCCGTAAGTGTGGGAGGGCGTGCCATTCTTGGCGTGTTCGCTGAGGAGCTTGAAGAGTTTCTTGCCCTGGATGTCTGAAGGGTACTTGATAGGGATGGTACCTCTCTTCGAGACAACCTGAGCAGCGGTGTAGGAGCGCTTGGTGCGTGCAAAGCGCGGGTTCTGGGATAGACGCGCGTGGTGAGTTCATGTCGGAGCTAAAGACAGGGGCTTGGATTACCTTGAACCACTGCTCAACTTCGGCCACCTCAGCCTGGAAAGCAGCGCGCTCGCGGGTAGACATGATGAGGGAGGTGTGGAGGGAGAAAGGTAGAAACGGGATTGAAGGAATGAATTCGAGGACAAGATGGTTTTGAGGGTCGTTTCAGAGCTCCTTAGGCCGACTTGGGCCTACAGCCGCATGTGATTTATTGAATGACATCTGTTTTGCGGAGGTGGTCATAGTGCCTTTTACTCCGCATTGGGTGTTACGGAAGGCCTGTCTCCTCCGAATTGGAGTCTGGGCACGCCAGGTATACTGCCGTACTAGTCTCAAGATCTCCCGTACTGCCGTGTCGGCTCTTGGTTTTTGACGGCGTCGGGCCTCGTTGCGATACGCAGTGTGCCGAGGCGGGTCAAATGAGCGTGATTACGCTCTAACCCCCTCCGAGATCCATTATGACCGCTTGTCTACTGTATGGAATGTACAAATTGTTCCGTATACGCATGATCGTGTGATGACCTCGAACAGGTCGGCGATACACGGACTTTGCCAACGACCTGCTCATGCAGTATCCTGTGTGGCCCCGAGGTCGACCACGCTCACCGGCGGTCGCCGTCGTATACCAAGCCTGCCAGGCCATAACGGACAACGAAGGCGAGAACGCTACCTGCGACCTGAAGTAGCGTATTAGGCAGTGAAGGCCACGATATCTTCGTGAGATCTCACCTGTGTACACATCAACACCTGCACTAGTCTCTTTTCGTGCAAGGGACCCAGGTTCACGAGGAAGAAATTCAGTATAGTCAAATTAGTGCACTCGTGAATGACTCCAGTCGTTGAGTTTATCGTGAGCTCCGTGAGACGGAGTACAGATAAGATACGTAAGACGAGGGTCGTCAATCGTGACGGAGGTCTGAGGAACATCGTCTTCGAAGGATAAAGTTTATTGGTGTCCGCGTCGAATCTAAAGATATGATCTCATCAAGTAAATCTTCCTAGTCAAAGATAGCCTGTATACGAACCGTGGTACGCGATGCCTCGGATTCGGAACGAGACCAAACAACTGAGGGCATGATAGAACGAAGTTGAAAATCTGAGGAAGGAAGAAAAGCAGGAGGGTCTTGGAGAAGTGGGCCTGTATCCCGACGACCGAAAAGGCCATCCCGGCTACATAACAGAAAGTGTCGCCCGGGAAAGCACGCGCTGGGTACCTGGACGTATTTGGTCAGCAGGAATGACTGTCAAGCTCTTGACGGCTCTTGACGTCAAAAAAGATGACCTCACCAGTTATGGTACATGAAGCCTAGACAAACACCGACGAGAGGGAGCATGAAATATAGGCTGAAGACGTGCCGGGACACTAATTCCTGACTTCCGTACGCCATCCCGGCATGCCATTCTCCCCCGATATCAACCTCGGCTTTATTGCCCAACAGGTGAAGAGGTATCCGGAAGTCCACGGGCCACGGAAGGTAGAGCAAGTCATTTATGATCACAGAAATGGCTATGATCAGAGCTTGGCTGACTTCCGAGCCATTGATCCCGGCTAGGATATTGATGCTGTTCGTGGTAAAGGTAGAAAGGAGAGACATGTATAGATAGTATAATGGCCCTAAAGACAAAGAAGCGATGAGAAGTATACCAAAGGCTACGCATGTGGTCACATACCCAAGTTGAGGAGAACACCAAAGAGACCACGGAGAGGTAAGGGAACGACTACGTGAGTGTTGCCACTTTCGGCAAAATATACCATTAGAAGAGGTATAGATGCAATGAGGGGAATCGGGAGTTTGTGTCGCCAACGAATATCAAAGACATCATCCAAGAATCCTAGCATGGTGGCCATCATAAGAGATAACAACGACGACAAGTAAACTGCTAGCTGCAAGCTGTTAGTTCTTGGTAAAGAGTTTGTATGTTAGAGTTTGCTCACTTGATGATGCAACGGCTCTGAGCCCCTAGAACTGTCCCCATTGGCTTCTGCATGTGATAGACTTGCAACAGTCCTGGCAAATGGGAAAGGGATAAAGATGATGAGGAGAATAATGTAGATGGACGCGCAAACCAGCCCTTGGGACTCTGGACTGTGATAACGTTTAGCCATAAATCGCACGCACATGGTCGGTTCAGGGACATACATTGGGTCAGAGTAGGTCTTGAGAAGGTCTCTTCCTTTCAAGTTTGCCTTGATAAAGGTCGGACCGAGAGCAGGTATCATGTAGAGCGCAGCCAAAAACGCATATATGGACAGCCCGACTGACGTGTAGAGTCCGGGAAGGGGTGGGACTGGGTCCAGTAGAGGTCTCAAGACAAACCATCCCGCTACTGGAACGAGCGACACAAGCAAGACCGTCGGTAGCGGCCTTGGAGTTAAGGCCGAATGCATGTTCGCGCCTTCAAGGTCGTTGTGATGATGAAAGTGCTTGAGAAAAGCTAAGCACTGGGTTGCCTCCCCAGACCTCCTGAAGGTCGGAAGCTAGAGACGTGTACCCGGCGCGTCGGCCCACGTGGCATGGCTAACTTTCCCTGCACCATATCAGCCAACGGCTCTCAGGGCCCCTCAGCATCGACTATCGCGTCCACATCGAGCAATGAAACAGAGGGACGATGGCTATTGAACTCGGAACAATGTCATGTCAAGGTCTCTGAAGGCAAAGGACGCGGTGTATATGGTGAATCGCGGTTTGTGACTTCACATCAGCGTTTTACTGAAACGCCCTTCAGCATCTCATCGCATAGCACCTCGGACGGTGATCGAAGCCAGCCCTGTGTTGTTGTTTTCCAAGGACGAGTATGACGCACATGGCAAACATACACTTCTTGATCACTACACTTTCAACTCGAAAGACGGTCGTATGGCTCTCGCTTTGGGACTCGGTACACACACCCCACTCCACAACGGATGGCTTGCTGATCCACCGAATCAGGATCCTTGTTCAATCATTCAGACCGACCAAATGTGTCTTATGAAGTAGATTCATCACATGAGACCATACGGTATATCGCATCCAGAAGTATTGAACCTGACGAAGAGCTGTGCATATTCTACGGCCACAAGCTTTGGTTCGATCCAGTTGGCTGCTCAGACAAAGGGGATGGGCCCATTGCAGAGGTCGACCAGGATGCATGGGGTGGTCTCACTAATATCGCAGCTGATGATAGAGACAATGCACTACCGGACGCTGAAGATCCTCAGGAACATGTGCAGGAGGATGACCTGCCCTTCACCAGAACAAGACTGTCCCTTGAGGTCGAGGAGGAAGACATGGAGTCCATCCAAACCAGTAAGTACCCATGTGGATGCACGCGTTCATTAAATAACCACCCCTCCAGTGCAAGCCTGGGTGGTCGACATTCCTCATACAAAAGATATCGCCACCATGCTCAAGTGAGTACACCGATTGTTACCCACCCCTCTCAGCCCACTTTCTTTTCCTAGATGGCTTAAACAATCCGACCTTGATTCTCCCGATCTCGCACATCTTAAACGGATACGGCGACAGGAGGAGTTGACTTCCCTTCTTCTCGGCACCTGGGAAGAACCACCAGCCCTTCCGGAGACGCTGGAGTTGCCCCCTCCATACCAGCTACCAGTGCCGTGTAACCAGGCGCTCACACAGAATTCCCTGCAATTGAAGAACACCCTCTGGCCCACGGTGTACGCACCGCGACGGAAATGGGAGTTTGAACCCTGGTCTCGTGGCAAGGTGCGCTGGGCATACAATGCCGTGCGGCAACTCGTCAGCGAGGCGCGGGCAGCAAAACACAATGGAGAGGTTAGTGCCATTAGGTGAATTCGGGTATGATCACTGATACGGGCTTGTAGCTCCCGATAGCAGTCTCTGTTCCGCCACCTTACGAAGAAGCCGACACATTCTCCGAGACCTTCTTTGCTCACGACATAAGGGCGTCTACGAACCACCCACTACGGCACGCAGTATTGAACTGTGTCCGCAAAGTTGCCGACTTCCGAGCATCACAGAATACTGGATCATCTACGACTCACCCTATAGATCAGGACGAAGGCTCAGCGGACGGCACTCGTAACGGCATGAACTATCTTCTCACCGGCCTCACGTTATTTGCTACGCACGAGCCATGCATTATGTGCAGCATGGCGCTCCTCCACTCCCGAGTGAAGGAAGTCATCTATCTCTTCCCAATGCCTAAAACCGGTGGATGCGGGAGTGTCGCGTGCCTTCCTGCGCTCAAACCTGTCAACCATCGTTTCGCGATCTCGCAATGGAAACTAAAAGATACCTTCGGCGACATCGCGATAGACCTCAACGAAGACGCGTAACCGCCACTCTGATATAATGCGATTGTAACCATAAGCTCTGAATTGCATCCACGATTAAACATTCATAATGTTATCCGAACTAGCTAAAACCTATCAGTCTCTTATTATCATCATAACAGTAATTTTGTCCTTGCCCAGGTCCTTTCCCCTGGGTCACAAAGCCTCATCTCACAGGCGGCCGACCTCGCGTGGCTGCCCCGCTGGAGGCTCCCACATCTTGTCCTTGACAAGTTCCAGCAGTTCCGCATCAGGCAGAGTGCGGAGGTATCCATTTATGTCGAGCCCCTGCGTGGCAAACAATGCGTTAGCTCCGCTCAAACACCTTGAACGACGTTCAAAAGGCCCTTCAGGCGAGAGAGGTCGGTTCCCCCCTTCTCGCTATCCCCAATTACCTCACTTAGCGTCCCAGAAGCCCCGCACTCTACCTCCGCGCCGACGCGCACAGCACAAGAACCGCAGATGACTTGAACAGCTCACCTCTTTCTGTGCCTGCCTGATTACCGCAGTGGCAACGGTTGCACTGATATCCCGAATGCGCTCGATGCGAGGGTAGACGAGGCCCGCGGCGCTTTCCTCGGGGGTCAGAGAGCCTGCGAGTGCCATCGCCGCTGTCTCGACCATCGCGTCCGACACGTGCGCGGTGCGCGACAGGATCGAGCCGAGTCCGATACCTGGGAACACGTACATGTTGTTGCCCTGCCCTGCCTCACGATCACCTATGGGCTTGTAGGGGCTGCCGGACGCAAATATGGCGCGCCCTTCTGACCTAAAAGAGTTTCAGCTAAGCCACTTCACAGCGGGGCATGGAACGTAAACGCACCAGTAGTGGGCATCGACGAAATCTATCTCGCTCAGACTAACAGGGTTTGAGAGAGGGAAGATGATTGGCCGCTCGTTCAACGCGGACATGGCCTTCACGACTTCTTCCGTGAACGCATTCTGTAGGATAGCGCAAAGGTTCCAGCTGAAGCACACGCCAAAAGAGATTGGTGCATACCCTTTGTGTGCTCAACCCAAGGAGCGCAGTAGGCTGGACGTGGTTGATGATATCCACAAGGTTCGTCAGCGGAGGTCCCTGATAGTCAGTTCTAGCGAAGACTAAAGTCTTTGTGAGCCAAGTTCAGCCAATCGAGAGTCTGGCCAACGCACACTTCTTGTGCTCTTGCAACCCCTTGCGGTCCGCAGTGATTAGGCCCTTTGAGTCTACAGTCTACTCTTGAAGTCAGTCTTTGGAGCAACCGTGAGATGGAACGATACGAACGTAGATGCGTCGACGAGCCTCTTCCGGGCTCAGGCCAGCAGATGTGAAGAACGCCGTCAGCTGCTTCGCGACACCGATACCCGCCGACCCTGCGCCGAAGAACAGGATCTTGTGCTCCGACAGAGGCTTCTTCGACGCTTCCGACGCAAGCCTGGCGGCGTTCGTGAAACCACCGAGGATGACCGCGCCCGTTCCTTGGATCTGCACAAAGCTCAAATTCAATGGGGGCAGACTCGTAATGGAATGGGCATCTCACATCGTCGTTGAAGACACGGTATTTCTGACGGTAACGGTCCAGGTACCGGAACGCGTTGTCGGTGGAGAAGTCCTCGAACTGGACGAGCAGCTGCGGGAACACCTCGGTCATGGCATCCATGAACTCGTCCATGAACCCATCCATCTACCGCGTCTCTCGTCAACGGCACAGCTCCGATCCAGCAGACGACAGGGGCCGTCGAGATACGAGAAACGCACCTCGTCCGGGCCGGGCCGAGTCCGGCGCACGCCGATGTAGAGCGGATCGTCCAGGTACCGCTGGGTGTTGGTCCCGAGATCAAGACAAATTGGCACCTAAGCAGTGGACACGCGAGCAACGTCAATCAAGGCCCGGCTTCGTCTCGGAGGCAGAAGCAGTGAACGCGGAATAAAAGACGTACGGTGGATGAGGGCTTGATGCCCGCGGCGGCGATGTACAGGTCTCTGCGGAGGCGCGTTTTGCGTCAGCATCTACGCTCGTAGTTGGCAGCACGGCGGTGCAAGGCGGGATACCCACAGTTTTCCGAGGCTGATCGGGAGGCCGTTGGCTCCGAGGTCGCCCAGGCCAAGGATTCGAGAACCTGGTTCATGACAGTATACACGCGTCAGCAACCACACTCGTGCCGGGAGGAAGGCTGCTCACCGTCGGTGACGACCGCGATGCGTCCGTCATGGAGGTTCGGCCAGGATCTCAGCACTTCACGGATGCGACCACGGTCCTCGATCGAAATGTAGAGCCCCTCCGGACGGCGCCAGATGTGCGAATAGTTCACGCACGCCTCGCCGACCTGTACATCCCTCTGGTCAGACTGCCCGCATGTACATTGGATCCTGCTCAGCACTTACAGTGGGCGTGTAGAGGATGGGGACCATTTCCTGTACATATGAGCACGCGTATTCGGAACCCGGTCCGAAGCGAGAGGATCGGCTAGGTAACGGAAGAAAAACGTAGCGCACCTGCATGTTTTCGAGGAGCATGTCGTAGAAGAGGTTCGCGTCTCTGCCTTTGAGACCGTTGAGGTAAATGTACTTCTCGAGCGCGATGTCCTTGGACCGGAACTGGACGAGACAGCGTGCCCTGTGGTCGGTGTTGGCGATCCTGGCTGGGTATGCGTGGGCGGACATGGTGTGGAATGCGGAGGCTGATCCTGTTGTTGTTGGGTGTAGACGACGCTGCTGGACCATTTTATAAGATGCTCGAGAGGGAATCACGGGGGAAGAGGAGAGGGTACGACGAGAGAGGCTAAGAGCGCGAGCAGCCTGTTTTGAAAGGGGCATTATCATGTGCACAAGAGCACAGGATGCGGAGACGGAAGGGGGAGGAGGAGGGGTGAGAGACTGGAGTCAAAGGATCTTAGCCTTTGCAGTATGATTCTTGGCTTTTAGTGCCCTACGGATCCCTTACAGTCTGGGATGACTCGAATAAGGTCTCACTGGGGTTGGGGCGAAAATTATATGGTCTGACATTCATGTCGTAAGTGTCAAAGCTTTTATGAAGTCAGTCAGGGGCCGACACCTCCCGAGAGCCTCCCAGCCTCTCGTATTTCGTGTGTTCGTGCAGCTTTCTTGGACATGTGTGCACTGGTATAGGCCGCCGCCCTCTCACCATGAGACTCGGTGACCAGACAGCACGGGAGGCTTGTAAGCACCAAGCGCCGAAATGGAACATACATTCTAGCACGCAAGCCATAAATGGAAGCGGACTTCCGTACTCAGTCGCCGGAACGTTTGGGGACGGAAGTATCATAGGGAAGATGTGAATATTCAACAAGATTAGTGCTAGGGTGCCAGGGACCAACTACAAATTCGCGTGCCGGCGTCAGCAATTTCTAAGTTTGCGCATGCATGATGCAGTGTATTGTTGAGAGTGTGGGTAGGAGCTAAAGCATATTAGCAACAAGCACATGTTTGAGCAACAAAGCAACGAGCTTACTTTTTCCAAAAGTCTGGGACGGAACACCGTGTCCCCAATAGACTTCTCGCCCCGCCAGACCCCAGACCGAGTAGACGGAGAACCCCAGTGGTCTACCAGAAGTCGCGCCTCTTCTTCCTGATCTCCCGCTGCACGCTCTTACGGTCGCCCCAGGTCGCACGCTCCTGCTCGTGCTCGCGCTCCACCTCCTTCCGCTTCTCGCGTCGCTGCTTCTTCGGCAGGGCAGCGACCTTGCTCACGAGGTAGGGCTTGCACCCGAACAGCGCCGCTAGCTTGTTGCACGACCACTTCTCTGGGTCCTCGGCGCGGAGCTCGCGGATACGCTGAATGGCCTCGTCCGAGAGGCGCTCGGGCGCAGGCGCGTATGCGGATGGGCGGAGGAGCGGCGGGACGGCTGCGTTGCTGTCTGCCGATGCAGGGCGGAGGAGAGGGGAGGCGGGTGCGAGGGTGGTGGAGAAAGGTGTGGGTGCGCTGGGTGGTGGTCGGTGCACGAACGTGAGGTTGTCTTCGAGGGCGGTGACTTCGGCGCTGGAAGCACTGAGCGGGTCGGGTACGCGAGACTGGGGCTTTCCAGGAATACGCGTCACGTAGCCGCGCACGGCGCGCAATGGGAAGGACGTCCGTGGCTTGAGCATAGTTTCGACGTCTGCGCAATGCGAATGACAGTCGCGGTTCTGGCACAGGCAAATTGGCATGAGCGCTAAATTAGTTTAGGAAGTCCATTCCCACGCTTTCCGCTCAAGCAAGTGCTTTGACTCTTCCTAGTTGCATCACAAGGCCCTCTATGCAAGAGCAGCGTCATTCACTCTATTCATTGCTTCACAGACAACTCTTCTAAAGGACTTCTTATAACTTCATTTGACCTGATCTTTCAGCACCGGGACAGTCCTCAATGTACCGCTCCAGGCTTGCCCATTCATTTGTCGCAGCACTGTGATATCTGAAACTCTTGGTGCTGGCCTTTGTCTTTCTGCGTGATTCTTCTGGGCTTTGGCTACCGGCCGGCTTTTCCAGTACCGACATGATTATGTTTGTTGACTTCGCTCACATACGAGGAAACAAGACGATTATGCAGTAATTGCATACTGTTCATGCTGGTAATACATGCTAAAACGCGAGCCGCTGCAAATTCTCAGTCCATCATCACGCCGGAACGGCCAACCCTGCCTTCACGCCCTCGCGCGCGTCCATACGGTCGAACCATTTCTACGGCACACATCATCAACCTCATCACTCTTTTGCACGACCTGTGTCGACTCACCTTGAAGTTGGGAAACTCGTCAATAGACTCAATCCCGGCAAACGAGTAGCTCTTGGTCCTGCGCCAGCATCAGAATGGTATTTCGCGACAATTTAAAACGATCAACTACTGACCAGGGGAAGACGTTGAAATCGGCGATGGTGCACTGGCCACGCCCAGGGCCGGCGAGGTAATCGCGGCCTTCGAGACGAATGTCCATCACCTTGTACAGACGTTTCGTCTCGTCAATGTAGCCTGGGCTGGTGCATCAACAACATGAGGCTTTCCGAGAGAAATAGCGGACATACGCTTCTTGGCGTAAGGAATATCCTCAGGTGCGAAGCGGTTGAAGTGATTAGCTAAGGACATCGTCAGCGATTCCGCCACGAAGCATCGACCAAGGACTGCCGACACGCACCCTGCCCTTGCATAGGCCCAACACCCCCGTGCGCGAAGAACATCCATTGCAGCATCTCGCTCCAATCGTTCGGCTGCGTCGCGGCGTCGAACACGAATTTCTTCTCGGTATCGTAGTGCTGCGCGAGGTAGAGGAGAATCGCGGCGGTCTCGAACACAGGGAAGTCGCCCCGCGCGCGGTCGACGAGGACGGGGATGCGCCCATTCGGGTTCAGCTTGATGAACCAGGGCTCCTTCTGGGTGTTCTTGCTGATGTCAATTTTCTGCACGCTGGTAGAGTGTCAGGGACAATATGAGGTGCGGGCAATGCGGGATGAGTGTAGGGAGATAGGGGCACGCACTCGTAGGCGACCTTGTCGCCGTAGATGGCTTTGAGTTCTTCAAGGTATACGGAGACCTTCTTCCCGTTGGGAGTAGGGGCGGTGTAGAGCAGCAATGGCTTGGAAGACATGTTTGTTGATAAGTTTCTGGTCGCAGTAGAAGATGGGAGTGTACGAGAGAGAGAGGCAAGGCGGAAGAGAGCAGATGACATCTTCTATAGTGTCAGACAGTAGGCTTTTCTAGGAAAGAAATGACGTCTGTGCGTATGTGAGCCTAAGTCGCCTGACTATCTCTAGTATGTGCGTCCTCGGTCTTCGGGTAAATTGCAGGCGTGGAAGTTGTGATGATTAGCAATGTGCGTGACCTTCTAGACAAGACAGCGTCTGACAAACAATGGTAGAGAACGTTTGGAAAAGAGCAACACGCGGAGAACATCGTCGGCTGCAAGTTTGATTGAAGTGATACCTGGGGACCTGACAAAGCTGATTGACAGCCTGAGCCGAAGTCGCTGAGTAACGTTCCGTCCAATTTGCCCGACATCGCGGCCTTCATCGTGGGTTCACCGCGACTTGGCGATTGACCTGTTCTTCTCCGGTCATACCGCAACGGTGTTGCATGGGTGTCTTAGAAATATCTGAAGGAAGGCGTACAACGTTTTTGGATCAAACGGCGAGCTGCACGATCGACCAAGAGAAATATGTTTGTCATCTGATCACCAATGTCCCATATTTTTACACCGACTGCGACATGTGTCCTGACGTCGGCCATGGCAGAGTAAACTGACATATTCCGACGACAGCTAAAACAATACCAAAACATGATGGATACACACAAAGGTTGTTGGTCACCACTTTGGTTTCCGCTTCGCGTTCTTGTTGTGCAGCGTATTCCTCCCCCTCGCGCCCCTGACAGTCTGTAGCTCCTGGAACTTCTTCTTGGCGTAGTGCTTCGACTCCGCATCGTCCAGGAGCTCGTCCACGAACGTCCGTTTGCGCTGGGCTCTGGCGAGGTTGTCCGCGCTCGCGCCGCCGAAAGGCGAGTCTGTCGGCATAATTGTTCCGATCTGCAAAGCGGTTCGTAGGATGAGCGATTTAAGGAAAGCGTGCAAGCGATTCAAGCGTGTTTGCGTACAGCAAAGTGTTTTGGGAGCCCTTTGATGCCCTTGCCTTCTCCCTCGTCGCGCCTGTAGAATCGCTTCGGGTCGAGTTGGTTACGCAGACGGAGAGCTTCGACTTCGCGGTAAAGACGGGGGAGGTCGGCCTCTGCTGGTGCGGGCAGGTCGAACCAGCCTGCGCCAGCTGTCTTGTTTTTGAGCTATATCCAGGTGAACATCATTTCGCTTTGTTAAATGGTAGAATTGGAGGATACATACAGCTTTACGCTCCTTTTTCGTCAACTTTTGGTCCGGCACGGCTGGTGGAGGTGCGGGCTGGCTGACCGAGGCCGTAGCGGCGGTCACTCGTTCGACATCGGGGTCACGAACTTCCCTCGGAGGTTCATGGCGCTTCTCGCCAAATTTGAAGTAGGATGGTGGGAGGGCACCTGGATCTAGTGGTGGTAATGGTCTGCTGGGGATCAGACCAATAACCTTGACGAAGCAGGAGGACAGGCTTACGGCTCTTCATCTGTTCCATCCAGCTTGATGACCTCTTCCTCCACTTGTTCTATCAATGTTTGTGACTTCCGCGTTTCAGCGGCCTCCCGTGCAGTTTGACGTGCTTTATTCAGGAGAGACTCTAGGTATTCTGGTGTAATTTCCTCGTCCGAGTCTGAATCCGAGTCTGAGTCGCTGTCTGTTGATACAGAAGACACCGACGAGACCTCCGAGTCAGAGTCTGCTACTTCTTCATGTTCGATGATCTCCTTCTGCTTCCCCTTGTCGAGTGTTGAGAGCGAGGCCATGGACGCCTGACCGAAGAGAAATCTTGAGGGTCGCTGAGCTCGAAGTTGCCGATCGCACATGCCGTATCGAGCACCCGCGCTTCCTGACAAGCGCGACCAATTTCTTCCTCCGAAGCAAACACCATGCAGACCGCGTCGCGTGCCCTCCGTGCCTCTGCAGGCCGCACACGCTCTGGCTTTGGCGCTGCTGCAACCCAGTTGCGCGCCAACCACACTCAACCTCAGCCCCAGGCACACACCGGAACCGCGGACGCCTCACCACGCACAACCTCCTTCGGATTCAGGACCGTTCCGGAAGACAGCAAGGAGAGCCTCGTCAAGAACGTCTTTGACTCTGTAGCATCCAACTACGACCTCATGAATGATGCGACGTCTATGGGCGTGCATCGTATCTGGAAGGACACGTTCGTGGGTGACCTGCGTCCGGGACGCCGCGGACCCATGCGTTGCATCGACGTAGCGGGTGGAACAGGGGATATCGCGCTGCGCATTCTTGACCACGCAAGGGAGGAATACGCGGACAGGGAGACTTCGGTTGAGGTGGTGGATATCAATGCGCAGATGCTTAAAGAGGGATTCAAGAGGTTTAAGAAGACGATGTACCACAACAGTAAGCTTTGACGTTGCCTCAGCATAGATTATTGCTAAACGGCATAACAGCTCCGCAGGTATCGTTCCATGAGGCTAATGCCCAGAGCCTGCCAAAGGAGAAGTTCCTCGATAATACTTATGACCTTTATACCATTGCCTTTGGTATTCGGAACTGCACGTCAATCCCTGATGTTCTGAAGGAAGCACACCGTGTCCTCAAGCCGGGTGCTACGTTTGCTTGCCTTGAGTTTAGCAAGGTCAACAACCCTTTGCTGGCTGCGTAAGTTACCCCTGTACCAACCTCACAGCTGTGCTGAAAACTGTCTACAGAGCTTATGACCAGTACTCGTTCTCTGTCATCCCCCTGCTTGGTACCATTCTCGCTGGAGACAGAGATTCGTACCAGTACCTAATAGAGTCAATACGAAAGTTCCCCAGTCAGCCAACCTTTGCGCAGATGATACGCGACGCCGGGTTTTCCACTGGCGCTGACGAGGATGGCGGGGCTTGGACCGACCTCTGGGGCGGCATTGCTAGCATACATACAGGAGTCAAGGTCTAATGTGTCTATAGTAGAGAACGTTAACACCATAGAACTAATAATGAAACTGACATGACGCGTCGCGTACTCGCATAATGACCTCGTGCCAAATAGCGCCTTCCATTCGCGGCAGGAGCTCTTGTGTGGCTGAGCACGCGCGCCTCTTTGTGCTCCTGCGAGACAGGCCACTCCCCTTCTCCACACGACCACCTCCTTCCCCCCTTCCTCTACACCGATGGCGTCTCCAGCGGGAAACAGTGCTCACCCCATGCCACCGGCAACGGCGGACCTCACCACTACCTGGGCCTTCCTCGAGGAGGGTGTCGACCACATCATGACCAAGCTACAGACAGGCGTTTCGTATTCAAAGTACATGAGTCTCTACACCGTCGCATACAACTACTGCACGTCCTCGCGCATGCACGGCACCACCGATGCAGGCAGTGGCGCTAGCAATCGCAGTAAGTCAATGGCGCTCGCCTCCTTGCCCGTTGATAAGGAACATCACGTCTCACCACCCGCCCCTCTGCGCGATCATCTAGCCGGCGCGAATCTGATGGGCTCGGATTTGTATAATAATCTCATTCGGTATTTTATCACCCACTTGAAGCTACTCAAGGATGTAAGTTATGCTCCTCTAACAGATAGTCTCTTGTCGCGCTGATCGCGTTGTATAGCAATCCGACTCCCTTCAAGATGAGGCGCTCCTTCGGTACTACGCAGCCGAGTGGGACCGCTACACCACCGGCGCAAACTACATCAACCGTCTTTTCACGTATCTCAACCGCCACTGGGTCAAGCGGGAACGAGACGAGGGGCGGAAGGGTGTCTACCCTGTGTACACGGTACGTGCACTCGCCGCATTGCATACATTGCCTCGTGTCTACCGCTGACTCACGCTGACTCCGTTATCCGATCCCGACTCAAAATGTTCTTTGCAAACTGGGAATCTCGTCGAAAATCAATCACAATAGCTCGCACTCGTGCAATGGAAATCTAATTTTTTCTTGCACGTGCAGAGCAAACACCAGAAGCTGGCCGGCGCGATCCTGCGATTGATTGAACACCAGCGAAATGGCGACACAATCGATCAGGGTCTCGTGAAGAAGGTCGTTGACTCGTTTGTTTCGCTCGGTCTCGATGAAACGGACATCAACAAGGCGTCTCTCGATGTGTACAAGGAGCACTTCGAGACGCCGTTCCTCGAGACGACCGAGAAGTACTACAAGCAGGAGTCCGAATCGTTCCTGGCTGAGAACAGCGTGTCCGACTATCTCAAGAAGGCTGAGGAGCGCCTGCGGGAGGAGGAGGACCGCGTCGAGCGGTACCTGAACACGGAGACGCGCAAGATGCTCGTCTCCAAGTGCGAGCATGTCCTCATTCGCGAGCACTCGGAGCTCATGTGGGAGAGCTTCCAGAGCCTGCTCGACTACGACAAGGACGAGGATCTGCAGCGCATGTACGCACTCCTCTCCCGCATTCCCGAGGGCCTTGACCCGCTCCGCAAGCGCTTCGAGGAGCACGTCAAGAAGGCGGGTCTCGCTGCTGTCTCGAAGCTTGTTGGTCAGGGCGCGGAGGGCGCGGACTCGCTCGAGCCGAAGGCGTATGTCGATGCTTTGTTAGAGGTGCACCGCAAGAACTCGGAGACGGTCAACCGGAGCTTCAGGGGCGAGGCCGGCTTCGTCGCTAGTCTTGACAAGGCGTGCAGAGAGTTTGTCAACCGCAACGCTGCCACTGGCACATCGTCGACGAAGTCGCCCGAGCTGCTTGCTAAGCACGCGGACATGCTTCTGCGGAAAAACAACAAGATGGCCGAAGATGAGGACTTGGAGGGTGCTTTGAACCGTGTGGTACGTGCAGCCTGTGTCAAAACAGCAAGAATATGCTCACATCCTCGTTGTAGATGGTGCTCTTCAAGTACATCGAGGATAAGGATGTCTTCCAAACATTCTACACCACGAAATTGTCTAAGCGTCTCATCCACGGTGTCTCTGCTTCGGACGAGGCCGAGTCAAGCATGATCTCGAAGCTCAAGGAGGCTTGCGGTTTCGAGTACACGAACAAGCTTGCACGCATGTTCACTGGTTCGTATACAACCTTGTTTCCACCATGAGCGCATATAACTGAATCGCCATTCAGACATGACGCTGAGCAAAGACTTGACTGACCAGTTCCGCGACCGGATGCAACAGAATCACGATGACATGGACATTAACTTCAGCATCATGGTCCTCGGCACCAACTTTTGGCCACTGAACGCCCCTACGCATGGTTTCACGATTCCTCAGGAGATTGCCCCGACGTACGATCGCTTCTCCAAGTACTACCAGACGAAGCATTCAGGGCGGAAGCTCACGTGGTTGTGGAACTACTCGAAGAACGAGCTGCACACGAACTACCTGAACCAGAAATACATCCTCATGACGAGCAGCTACCAGATGGCGGTCCTCCTGCAGTACAACCGACACGACACGCTCTCGCTCGATGAGCTTATCACTGCCACCGCCATCAGCAAGGAGATTCTGCTACAGGTGCTGACGCTCCTCACGAAGGCGAAGGTGCTGGTCAGCGAGGAGGCGGATCAGTATGATCTGAACCCGGGTACGTTTCTCGTTGGAGTCTGTTGGAGTCGCAGGCTGATGGAACGGCGCGTAGGCTTCAGGTCGAAGAAGATCCGCGTCAACCTCAACCAGCCCATCAAAGCTGAGGTCAAGGCGGAGTCAACCGAGGTGATGAAAGCCGTCGACGAGGATCGCAAGTATGTCATCCAGGCCAGGATCGTCCGGTGAGTAGACCTTGCCTTATGCGCTGCATGCCATACCGTCGCCCGGGCAGGAACTGAATGCCCTGATGGCTTGGTGGCCTGGGTTTGTCATGTGCTGACGTGCCTATAAAGCATCATGAAGGCGCGCAAGACGATGAAGAACCAGCCCCTGATCCAGGAGGTCATCTCCCAGATCTCGCATATCTTTGCGCCCAAGATCCCCGATATCAAGAAGGTGAGGATATGGCACTCCCTTTGTCTCTCCCCTGTGTTTCGAGCCATCTGTTCCATTTGATTCTGCACGTTCTGTGGCACCTCCACAATTAAACGACGCCAGTCTCGCGCGGAGGGCTGCTTCGGAGAGACGCCCGGTTTATTCTTGGGGGCGGGTCTTTCCCTCTCGTCTCTGAACGGGTATTGCGCCATGTCTTTTCTTGCGCGTTCCATCAGATAATCTTTGGACTCTCCATTGGAGTGTTGATCTTGGTGTTTGCGTTGCATTCCTTCGAAACCATATACTGACGACCACCCTCTTTTCCCCTCCTTTGCGGCTGCGACAGGCCATCGATACGCTCTTGGAGAAAGAGTACATTGAGCGTGTGGACGGCACACGCGACACGTTCGCCTACGTTGCCTAAACGACTCCGTCCGTCTGGCTACCTCCAAAATGGCCTACGGGTGGTCTCTTGACTGCCATGCTTGAAGACGGCAAGAGGGAGTCATGAGCGAATCACGATCAATACGAGATGGTTGATGTATGCGGCGCGATACTCAGTACTGTAGATATTATTCGCTTGCGATGTAGCATAATAACAGCTTTTCTTTTTATAACTACGCTTTTTTGATTTCTTGATCAAGATGTGAGACCAAAGGCTACGGTATGTATGTTTGGCTTCTGGACATGTGCTGTATCATGCATCATCATGGGGACATCCTGTGTCTTGTAATCAACACTGTTGCTTACCTGTGGACCTGGTGGCTGACCTGATCGCAGCAGTGATAAGCAAGAATAGACTTTTGTATGGACGGTGTGAGATAAAACACTTTTTTCGCATTGGCGGAGATCCTGAAAGACCATCTTGTGGAGGTGGCATGATGCACGCGTCCCAGTTTTGCCCGGCGTTTTGATGGTTTGCCGGTGCTGGCCGGCCCGGGGGTGCGAGTCGAAGGAGTGAATCTCACTGACTGTCAGTGAGAGTTCAAACGTTCAGGGGTGCTGCGTCGGTGCTCCCGTGAACGTTTGCGCAACCAATGATGGCGGTGGTTGATTAACAAATTCAAAGTCTAATGCTAATGGTCTGACTTGGGAATCACGCTCAGATGGGGGGAAGCCGCCGATTGCGCTTCTAGTCGATTCTCGACTACTTTTATACTAAACAGAATTATATACATTTCTAGGAGACTTCTCCTTAATGAATAATAGGGTTTCCGCAGTATAGGGCTTGGTTTGCCATCGAAGCTCCGGCAGGAGCCTCTATTTATTCTCGGAGCTTACGCGCAGTCACTACTGCAGGATCTCAAATCCAATACTCCCCCTCAAACCTAGCCCGTGCCTTACTCGGTTTCGCAAACACAAGTATTCCTGGCTGGCAATCTCGGTTTGAGCTTTTCCATGGCAACTATTGCCTTATCTTTTATTACTTCACGCTTTTTCGCGTTTATTCTCTGGTTATCTTCGCACTTTGTATAGCTAACTTAATAGCACAATTTAACACATTGTTATTCAGTATTTTCAGAACATTTAATGTATATTTCTGCGTGTGTTGACTTAGCAATGGCCAGTTGCTTTTCTAGTCTTCACTTTCGCGCTTTTACATGTTTTTATTATCGTTTTTCGTTTTAGGATCCGCTATGTGATAACATAGATATACATTTACTTCGAAGGGTTTCTTTATAAGCGGTGAGCGCTTGTTTTAATATTGTATGACTTCAGGTTTTGACTTGTATAAGTGTATAGTTTTTTATCTGATTAGGTCACGCGAGTGCGTCGTTGAAAACCTAGTTTATATTGTCTCGTAGATGTTTGTAGAAGTTAAAGTCTGGTTTGAAGTATGATTTATCGAGTTTAACTGTTCAAACTGATATTTATTTCGTTTTTTGATATTCTATACCGCCAAGTTTGGCGCTGTTCTGGGTCTCGTTTTATTTATGCGTCTGGTTGTTTTACTTATGCCGGTTTTACTTATGCCGGTTTTGGCGCGGAATCTACCGCTGACTCCCCCTCGCGCCGAACATCCGGCTTGGGGAATCTTATTATTGAATATCTATGATCTTTCTGTATACATATATATCCGATGGTTTTACATGTTGGTTTTTACTTCTGCCTCACTGCTTAAAGCAGGTCTTGTTTTCTCTAAGTCACGGAGCAACCCACTCAAGGGTTATCTTATGGATATGTTTTCAATATCGGTATTGGTCTTTGACTCTTTCGAGTACGTTAAGTTTTGTCGGAGTTTAAACTCCAATGCCTTTTTCGGCGTTCACTTGCAATTTGGTTTCGTCTCACTGGCCACTGGCTGGGCTCTGAGATATAGTATGTATGTCGGAACTACTTATTCATCAATATCAGACCTCTTTTGATTGTTTATCATGTCCAAAAATGTCGCCTCTGAGATCGGAATTATCTCTGAGTTTCAATTATTGCCGCATTTAGCAGGCTTTTGTTATCCAAGTCTCAATCGGTGCCATTTCTGCAAGGTCCTCATAGTGTTATTCGTCTCAATCTTCAGGTTTATTTATCTGATTCTGAAGTCTTTTATTACTGTTTATGGCTATCAAGTCTCGCCTGTGAAGGCGGAGCAATGTCTGAGTTTAAACAAGTGCCACTTTCGGCATTTAGTCTGATTATCATTGTTATTTTTTGTTTTATTTCTAGGCATGGCCTCCGGCCCATTGCCTTCTTCTGTTAATATTCGGTTGGGGTTTATGTTATACTTCTTAGGTAATATCTTTGTCCGCTTTCGAAGCGTCGTAGTTTTTGTCTGGGTTTGGTTGTACGTGTCTGAGTTTCTATAGTTGCCATTTTCGGCACTCGTATTCGGTCTCAGTTTCAATTATTGCTTATTTCCGCACATATATTAGTCTTGCTCCCCCTCGCAGCGAATACAGCTCGGAGGGTCGGACTTATGACATATTTTCTGTTATACTATATAGTATTTTTATGTTGTTTAAGTGCTTATGTGATTTACTTGGTGGTTATTTTTCTTTTTCGTAAGCAGATCACTTTCTCGTTCTCGGAGATTGGTATACACTGGGTTTATTTATATTCCTTTCTTTCTTTGACTGAGTCGCGCGGCGCGTCGGCAAGTTTTCTGTATTTATGAAGCAAAGCTTATGTTATAGTTTAGACGTCTGCTGAGGTTTTCGGCCTTGTACAGATTCTGTCTCGATCTCACTCAGCCTGCTGGGCATTTTATATGTTTTATTCGCAAATATTATTACATCATCAACCCATCCGGCCATATTCTGGACCGTCGCAGGGGATGTTTGAATATAAGTGCGTGAGCCTGGCTTTCGCCATTCTCGTATGGAGTGTCTGAGTCCAAATGTGGATGCACGTGATATGCCGCTGGTGCCGTTTTCGGGCAGGGCGCGTACACGGTGCGGGGATGTGTGGCAAGCGAGGAGAGAGCAAATCGATGAAGGGCAGATATATGCGAGCTTGAGCGCGGAGCTCATAACCACTTGGGAATCACGCTCAGATGGGGGGAAGCCGCCGATTGCGCTTCTAGTCGATTCTCGACTACTTTTATACTAAACAGAATTATATACATTTCTAGGAGACTTCTCCTTAATGAATAATAGGGTTTCCGCAGTATAGGGCTTGGTTTGCCATCGAAGCTCCGGCAGGAGCCTCTATTTATTCTCGGAGCTTACGCGCAGTCACTACTGCAGGATCTCAAATCCAATAGTCTGGAGAGAGGTGTGGGTATCTGCATGGTTGGCACATCGTCCTCGGTGAATGGCTCGAGATGCTGTGGGAGCTCGTGAGATGGCGTGCTAACTGCGTACGCGTGAGGTTTAAAGACGCTCGAAGGTGGTCGACGCGACGTAGCGAATGACGACAATATTTGCAGGATAAGCCGCCGTATAAACGCAGCTGGGCAGACTTGCGCTAGTCCTTTTTCGATGAGCGATAGAAGCAGGACACGGCAGAAAGTCGGGCCCTGTCACTGGGCTATCGTGGGCTTACACTGTGTGGCGCTAGATGCTAGTCTATGGTTGGGCTTCGACGCGTGGGTACGCACATGTAGACACATGTACTTACTACGTGCGCATCTGAGTGCTCAGATGAAGGATGTAGGCGATCAGCGGGCTAGCTCATCGTTAGCGAACAGTTGTGTTCCCAAGCTCAAGCTTACTGGGTATCAGGTGGGGGTGGTAGGTCTACAGGTTGCAGGGACCAATTTGCATCGCAGCAGTCATACATACAGCCGTGGTGACGAAATATAAGAACCTCACAGTTCTTCCTCCGTGAGACCCTCTATGACCTGCCCAAGTGGGGATCGTCGCCAAGCAACGAGCGCATTGCAACGGCGCGCTGCACACTCGGGAATTACTCGGACCAGCGCACTCAACTGACCCGACCCACGCTCTCCGTCTATCGCGACGATGAGATGAGGTTGAAGCCAGAGATAGGGGTATTAGGAAGCCACTTGACGATCGACGACGTGAGAAACGCGGGTGCAGTTGGGGACATTAATGCGCTTGTCGAAATTCGGCTGCTCGTCCGCGGACTCTGATCTCGTTCGAATCCTCTCTGCCAGTGCGAGTCGGACGGTCACTCGGTGTGGCTCGGTGGAACGCTCACACAACCTCTGGGCTCTGGACGGCGATCTGTGCAAGTGACTCCGGGGCGAGTACGTTTGTGCGGCAGGGACAGTCGGGCAACTCAGCATCCAAAGAAGGTGTGTGTTTGGGCGTGTGTTGGGTTGAACGTGAGGAGAGCAGTGGCAGTGGGAACGCTGGGAAGAACGGCCGAGGAGGTGAGCACGGCTGTTCCACTAGGTTATTCACGCTTTCTCAGAGGCTTGTACCAAAGACCACAGATCAATAACGAACACAAAACCCGCTGCGGACGACGCGACTCGTCGCCATTCCAAGCGCATACAACCACTCGTATCATAAACACGCCACCATGAGCGCCGAGGCGCCGCCACCAGCCCCAGCACCGACAGCATCTGCATCTGCGCCGACCCCACCCCCAGGGCTGCGCGACGCCCTGCTCGATGCGCTCAAAGACCTCCCGGGCAGGCGCACGCTCCACCTGCACGTCCTCGTCTCTGCGCCGAAGCGGAACGCGTCCCTCTTCCCGTTCGTGCACCCGCGCCCGCGCGTGTATGCGCAGGAGATCCTCGTGCTGCTCTCGGAGCACTCGGAGGGCTCGACGGAGAAGGAGGCGGACGACAAGCCAGACGCACAGCCGACTCAACCTGAACCTGGCGCTTCTCAAACTCAGACTGAGACGCACGCACACGCCCCCGACACGCCCTCGCACCCACCACGCAACCTCGTGAGCGCGATCTCCGCAACACTTTTCCACCTCCCGCACACGTCCTCGGCGCTGCTCTACGTGTCCAAAGTCGACTCGACGGGGCACGGCGACGTGCGGCCCGCGCCGACGCGCGCGCTCGTGTGCGCGTTCCTCGCGTTCTACGCGTCCCCACGCACGCGCCCCGCGCCTGTCGCCGGCACGCGGCGGCTGTGGGTACATGTGTTTGCGCGCGCGCAGGGGCAGTATTTGTTTCCGAATTCGGCGGAGTGGACGGGGAAGAGGGTGAGGGATGGGACGGGGCTTTGTAAGTGGTGGAGGGGCGTGTGTGGGGAGGTTGCGAAGGGGGTGAGGGGAGAGGGTGCGGGTGGTGAGGAGAAAGGGAAGTCGGTGAGGTTGTGGTATCTTCTGCCGGGGATGACGGACGTCGAGGCGGCGCATTCGCTCGGTGTGGTTGGGGAGGCGAACGATCCTGATCCTGTTCAGTGGGTGTACGGGAACCCGTACGGAGAGACGGAGCTCGCGTACCCATGCTCGGTGTCCCATGCGTCAGTGGCGGGTGTGACTGCGACAGCAACTACAGAAGATACAGACGCCTCTGGGTCCTCCTCGGGACCCGCAAAGTGGCCGCACCTGGGCTACCTCATTCCGTCTTTTGACGACGACCCCAAGTCGCGCTTCCTCGATGAGCTCGCGTACACGACTGACGCAGACGGCGTGCGCTCGCCCGAGCGCAAGCGGCCGCGCCTTGCGAGCGATCTTGTGCCCATTGATCCGCCAGAGGGGAGCCACAAGCCGACGTCTAAGCGGGGCGGCAAGCCCGTTTCGAAGCGGCAGGACGGCGGCGCGGAGAAGGAGAAGGAGAAGGACGACAAGGAGCGCGGGCTCGGCGAGTTGGGGCGCGTCTCGCTCGCGGAGTTCTGGGAGCGGATGGCGTTCCGGCAGGAGTGCATCTCGGGCACGGTCACTGGTTTCTTCGTTATGCTTGTCGATGCGCCGCCGCTACCGCACGCTCAAACACAAGGGCAGGAGGCAGACCCGGCGGCTGCGAACCCCGGGGAGGTGTCCGCGCAACTGGCAAAGCGGGTGCTAGCGAGTCTGACGAGCGCGCACGAGTTTTCGAGCCCTGCGAGGGGCGCGCGGAGTACGCGGATATTGGAGGCTTCGATACGCGGGTTGTGCGAGGGGCTTTCGAGCGCGTCTGGGCATGCTAATGGCAAGGTGGATGCTGGCATGACAGGCGGCGAGGAGGTTCAGTCGGCGGCGGCGGAGGACCCAAAGACGCCACCGCGACGAGTTAGGGAGCTAGATGTTGCGGCAGAGAACGCGTCTCCGGGCGGGCTGGTGGCGGAACCGGTGACGTCGCTCGAGACGTATTATAGGTATATTTACGGGGAGCGGCGGGTAGAGAATGCGCCTCTTGGAACTGGCAAGGGCGGAGGAGCCGGCGGGCAGCAGGAGGTGAGGGTGCTTTCTGTGAGACGAAAGAAGAAGAAGGCTAGTTAGATGGCGGATCATTGTATGAGTATCGGCGAGGCTTGGGCAGATACAGTGTACTTGCAATGGGAGGATAGGGGCGTGTATGTGCAAATGGGGGGCTCAAGATGATGCCGCGGATGAAATTGAGGAATGGGAAATTCAAACGCTGAAAGTAGAGATGGTAGCTCAGATCTGGAGATCGGGTTGGTGGAGATGGTGGGGTGGTGTGTTGATTGGATGTGGATATGGCGATAATGAAAGGGTGGCATGATTGGTTGTGGGAGAGGGGTGTGTGGTTGCCAGAGTTGTTGCGAGGGGGTTGCGAGGGATATCTTGGCGACGGACACGCGGACACCTGGTGTGTCTCGGGATAGGGATGATACGGTGGTTGGGGGTAGTCGTGATTGGGGACGGATATCGAGTATTGGTTGATGTCATGAGAGTATAATGATAGTGTATGGGAATGTATTGAATGCTAGTTCTGATGGAGGTCAGTTGCCAACACTCGACCTTCCTCGGCTCCGTCCCCGGCCTCTTGCTGCCAAGCGAACCATCCCACCCTCTGAGAGATATCTATTATCAACCTGTCCTTCTCTTTTTCTGCCGCCACCACCACCAGCCTAGTGTCACTAATACTAGTCCTAGTCAAATGTCCGTTCCACAGAGCCTGCCCAGCTTTGCACAGGCATTCTCCACCCGCTCCCTCGGCCCAATCGACTCCAACAACGCCCTGCCCCCCATACAACAACCCGCAGACGCCCGTTCCCGCTCTCCCTCGCGCATGAACAACCACTCCAGATCCCCCATGAACAACCCCGGCCCGCCCTCCCACCTCCACGCTCGCACCCATTCCTCCCACGCACACCTCGCAGTCCCCTCCCCCTCCTCCAGTCGTCCACATTCCATCTCCCGTCCCGCCAGCCAGGAGAAGCGGCCCCGTGAGGAAGAGGATGACGATGGCCCCAGGTTCGTTTCTCTTTTCTGCCATCTCGTTTCGCTACTCATGTCCATATCTCTCCCTCTTCACTTTTCAACACAATGTTTGCTACACATGCCATTTGCCACCCACGTCATAGATCAATACGGGTAAAACAGGAGGACAACTCAGACGACGACAACGACGACGACTCGCCCCGCTCCCGTCCTCTCCCTCTTCCCCATGGTGGTCGCGGCAGCCAGCCCGGTGCCTCGCAACCCTCTCCAAAACGACGACGCGTTACCGTCAGTGGTTCATCCCCCTTCGCCCCCTTCCCCGCCACCAATACATCCGGCCCGGCCCTACCCCCACCCCCTGCGTTGCCATCCCACCACCAGCAGGCGGCAACACACACCACTACCCACGCACAGGCCGCTCAACACGCACACCATGCCTCGCAACAGCATATCCAGCATTCCCACCATCTCCACCCGCTTTCCTATGCGTCGGATAAGGGCCCCCTGTCCCCTGCCACCCACGCCTTTGCGAAGCAGGCCCTGCCCAGCATATCACATAGGCGAGGTAGCATCGATACGCTCGTGAATCCTCCCGACGAACGAGATAGCGAACGCGAAAGAGATAGAGATAGAGATAACAGGGATCGCGAACGCGAACGCGAAACAGACCGCATGCGCCCCAGCCCTCAGAACCACCCCATCCGGCGTGTACCGACACTCAACACCGCGAGCACCAGCAGCATCGGCGGACGCCCTCCGAGTCCTCTGCCGCCCCACATGATCGTCCCCTCCCAGCAGTCCCTGGTCGACAGCAGCAACAGCAGCCCGCACGCGCACCACGCGCATCATCCGCACCATGCCGCTCAGCACCCGCCATCTACGACCGCGTCTGGATCAGGGCCCGGCTCCGGCTCCGGATCGGCGCCTGGTAGCGCAGGCACGGGTGCGCAGTCGCCCTTGGCGATGACGCCCGCGTCGACGTCCTTTGCGAAACGCCGTGCGGCGCAGGGCGGGCGGAAAAGAAAGCCTGCCGATATCCTGATTTCACCACGCGATGCGGAGCCCGGGCTTGCACCCTCGATTCAAAGTGCGCCACCTATCCCTGCGCTGCTTGCCGATGGCGGGCGCGGAGGCGGGAGGGGGCACATGGGCATGGGCATGGGTATGGGCTTTGGCGGTATGGGGTCCGTGGCGCTGCCCAGGTTGCCGCCTGCGTTGGCGAATGCGCATTCGGGCCAGGGAAAGCGGATCGCGGGCGCTGTGCCGCCGACGCCGACGCGGTTCACACTCGCGAGGGGTCCTGGTCCTGGGCCCGGGACGGCGGGCGCGACACATTCAACTGCGGGGCCGAGCACGTCCCATACAAAAAACAACGAAGCTCACGGTGCCACCGCCCCCGCCACCTCCAAAGACGGCAACGGCGGCGCACCCGTAGTCGTGGCGCCCCCGCGTTCCCCGCCGACAGCGAGCGTGCCGATCTCGCGCGTGCCGCCTACACCGAGCGCGTTCCAGGTCGCGCACAATCTGTCCAACTCGGCGCTGCATCCGCCGCTGACCGCGCACGTGTCGACGTTCCCCGCGGGCGTGCACCAGCGGCTTGGTGTGCCGAGCCTTGCGACGATGCGGAGCCCGCTGCCGGGTTTCGGTGGTCGCGGTGCTGCTGGGCAGGTGCAGGGACGCGGGCATGAAAGGGCGCAGACGCAAGGCGGAGTACAGGGTGGAGTGCAAGGGGCGGCACAGAGTAAGGCGGCGTTCCTTGCGCCGTTCGAGGCGGTGTATGATGTGCTTGTGGAGGCGAGGCAGCTGAGGCATGCGATTGAGCAAACACCGCGCGGTGCTCAGAGCGGTGGTGGTGTCAGCGACGAAGTGCTCGAGAGGCGGATCGCGGAGGCGGTGGAGAGGCGGCTTGCGGGTGTGCGAGGCGAGGTTGGTGGGTTGCGGAGAAAGGTGGAGGAGCTCGAGGAGGCGCTGTGGCGGTCGAGGACGGCGCCGGGGACTGGGGAGGCTGCGAACGGACTTGGGTATGGGCAGGGGCATGGCTTTGGGCATGTGAGGACACAGTCGAGCTCGCTCTCGAATCTCGCGGCTGTTGCTGCTTCCGCGGGTGCTTCGCAGGTTCAGGCTCAGGCGCCGAATCAACATCAAGTGCAGAATCAGGCGCCAAATCCGGCACATAATCAAGTGCAAGCGCAGTCGTCGGTGTCACCGCAGATCCGGCTGTCGCCCTCGTCCTCGTCAAGCCCGCGCAAGGACGCAGCGAGCGCGTCGCCGAGCATGCAGACTGTTGCTCTGCGAGGCGGACGCGTGGCGTCGCCTGGAAGGGGTGGTGCGCCCGTTGCTGCTGCGCCGTCAGCACTTCCGAAGCGGAATACCGATCCTGTGCCTGCGACGACGTCGTCATCTTCCTCGTCTTCGCCGGCTCCACAGGCTGTGACGCAGCCAGCTGCGGAGGGGCCAGCGAATGTGAAGAGCGCAGACGCGTCCCCGAGGCCGCAGAGGATGTATTATCCCGCGTCGAGACCTGAGCGCGAGGAAGCGTCGGATAAGGAGAAGGAGCGGGAAAGGGAGGGGAGGAGTGGGGCTGGCGTAGGGAGGGACGGGGGTGATATGGAGGTGGACCGGGATGGTGAGCGGCGATGAAGGAGGAGTCAAAAATGAAGAAGAAGAAGAAGAAGAAGAAGAGCATGCAATGTTGGTTTTTTGCGGACGGACAGATGATGATGAATGTTTGATTTTTGCATTGTGCGCTCATGGACGTTTTGGCTGGTTGCTCTTGCTTTTATCATGTTTTTCCTTTTTCCCCTCAGTTCTCAGCGATCGCGCTATCCCTCGGTTTCGCCCTCGTCCAGTTTCGATTGCTGTTTGCTGTTGCCGTTGCCGTTCGAGGCGCTCGTCGGCCAGCACGCACGCACGCACGCACAGATCCTTGCCAGCATCGCCTACTGAATTGCATCTGCCTCACCTCAAGTCATCTTTTTTCAATGCCATATATGTTTTCTCTTCTTGCTTTGTTTCCTCCCTGTCTTTCTTTTGCTTAACGCGCTTCGTATCTCAAACTTCAATGCCTCGATCGGACCGCCTGCACACGTGTATGTACCACCCACAGTATCACTGCAAATTCTGACTCTGAGCTCCTTCAAGTTGTTGCTAGTAAGTAGCACTTTTGATGTCTCCCTCGTTTCCATCGACGTCGTTTCGCTAGTCCTCATTTCCCATTCCATATTTCCCTTTCCATTCTGCGGTAGACGGGCGATACCTTGACAAACACCCTCAATACCCCCCACTCAGTACTTAGTATCAGTACTTGCTGCGTCGAATATACCAACTCCAAATACTCCAATTTTCAAACGTTCAAGCCAAGCTTAAGTGGGAGAAGATAGCCAGAGGTCGCTAGATAGGGGCTTTAACCCGTGTTTACGTAATGCTGTGTTAAAAGTGATTTTGAAGGGCGGAGATCTCGGGTATAAGCCAGCACCTGCCTAGCCTTGTAAGTTAACTCATATTGCCTGGTGCAAATCACTACGGGCTTAGACGAGATCAAGAGTCGTACAGCGCCATGCCTAGAAGACCGTCCAAGGGACACAAGAAGAAGGCGAACGGGCCGCGCCCGGTTGACCGTAAGGCGGGGACGATCAGGAAGTGGAATACGGCGGACGATGTTGAGTTGGATGAGGAGGACCAGTGTGCGTTATCATTTTGTTTTCGTTTTTTCTTCTTTCTCGTTTGCTTGTTGTTCTAATCTTGTTTTGCCTGGGCTCTGACGGGATGCTGTGTAGTTCATGCGTCGAGAGATCGGATCCTGCTCGAGGGCGAGGAGCAAGTAGACGACGATGATGCCGAGGAGGAGGTGTTTGCGCTCAAGGGCATGGACGAGGACGATGAAGATGATGAGGACGGGGACATAGGTATGGACGTGGACGGGCTGTCGGAGGACGAGGAGGATGTGCCCGCCAAGTCCAAGTCCAAGTCCAAGGCTTCGAAAGCCGACAAGAAAGCCAAGAAGGGGAAGAAGGCCAAGGGCAAAAAAGGCGAGGACGAGGAAGACGATGAGGACGGAGAGGAGGAAGAGAGCTGGGGGCGGAACAAGGGCGCGTACTACGTCTCCAACGCCGCGGAGGTCGACTCGGAGGACGAGGAGGCGAACGAGCTTGAGGAGCAGGAGGCACGGCGGCTCCAGGCACGTACGCGGGACGCTATGGACGCGGACGACTTTGGGCTCGCGGACGGGGCGGAGGAGGATGGGGATGGGGATGCTGCCGAGGAGGATCTGTGCGTTCACTTTCCACACTGTGTGCTGTCCCCCACCGCGTGCTCATTTGGTTCCGGTGTGTTCGTAGGGATGATACTGCCGTACCTGCGGCCCCTGCACCGCTGCCTACGGACAAGCATGCGTTGTTGAGTCATCTTGCAAGGACGAACCCGGAAGCGCTGGCTCTCGTTCGCGACTGGGACGATACAGCGCGTGCCTTATGGACGACGAAGGCCAAGGTGGAAGCGTAAGTTACTCTATATTGGCCATTATGCTTCTGGCTAAAAGCTAATGTCATGCTAGGTTGGACAAGGACTCTGAGGAGGGAATCGAGTCTGGCCTTCTACACATGTACTATCGTAAGTCTTGTCTATATCTTGTCATGGTCACATCTAAGTCTCCCGCCAACCCGCAGAGGCACTCCTGACATATACCACGACCCTCGCATTCTATATCCACCTCCGCTCCTCGCCCAAGTACGCCGCCCGCCCCGAGCTGCTCTCGCGGCATCCCATCATGGGCCGCCTCCTGTCGCTCAAGCAAGCTATCCTCTCGCTCGAGAACATCGGAGTGGGTCAAGACCCAGCGGAAGACGACGACAGGTCAGACCTTGATGATGATGAATCACTGGACCTCGACGACCCAGAGGACATACACGAGCTGTACGAGGCCGGCCGTCGGCAGGGGCTCGATGACGAGGAGCTTTACGAGCTGCTCAAGGACGCCAGTGCTTTGCCAACCAAGGCGCAGAAAAAATCCAACAAGATCAAATCGATGCTGCCAGGCTCCGGCTCCGGCTCCGGCTCCGGCTCCGATTCAGACGAGGACATGGGAATGGACGCGCCGCCTCCTCCCAAAAAGAAGCGCAAGACGTCTGAAAAAGCGCTCGTCTTCGATCTCGTCGAGCCCACGCTTACTCTCTCCAAAAAATCAAAGTCAAAATCAAAAGCCGCGAACGGCGGCGTCGACGCTGTCGACACAGTCGCAGACGCGTTCGGCGAGGCGACCTTCCTTCAGGACGCGGACGCGCGCGACAAGCAGGCGCGCAAAAAGTCGCTCCGGTTCCATGTCTCGCGCATCGAAGGCGCGAGTACGCGCCGGCAGAACGCGCGCGCAGGCGCCGTCGGCGGAGACGACGATCTGCCGTACCGCGAGCGCCGCAAGGAGCGCGAGGCGAGGGAGGCCAAGGCGCTCGAGAAGAGCAAGGGCTTGCTCGGCCAGGGCGGGGACGATCTGGATGACGTTGATCCTGAGATTGCGGAGGCTGGGCGGAACGACAACGGCACCACCAATGGCAAGGGTAAGCGCAAAGGTAAAAGCGCGGAGGATGGCAGTGGCAGTGAGGACGAGCAGGGTGCCGATGGGTACTACGAGCTTGTGAAGAAGCGCTCGTCCGAGAAGAAGGCGGCGAAGAAAGACGCGTACGAAGCTGTGCTGGCTGCCACTCGGTATGTTAACGCTCTGCTTTATTTCACTTCACAGTTGCTGACAACTCCCTTCTAGTGCCGGTCTAGAGGTACAAGACGATGCAGACGGACCTCGCGGTATCACCCGCGCGATCATGAAGAACAAGGGGCTCACGCCTCGGAGGAGCAAATCCGTACGCAACCCACGTGTCAAGAAACGGCAGAAGTTCGAGCAGGCCAAGAAGCGCGTCTCGTCCCAGCGCGCAGTGTACAAGGGCGGCATCGGCGACGCAAACAACTACCAGGGCGAAAAGTCAGGCATATCCAAGGTCGTCAAAAGTGTCAAACTCGATTGAAACCATCTTCTTCGTGGTTCACACTCGCCGCACTCTACCCACATCATTCCAGCACTCATGTGCGGTTTTATCTACAGAGGTTATACATACATATGGCAACCTATAATTTCTGAAGACTGCAGTTGTCAATGCAGCCTTGTGGGATTGGAGACTTCCTACGCAATGCGCGATATACACTGTCCGATACGAGCCACAAGCTATAAGTAATACCGGGTTAAAGTGGCTTTTACAAAGAAAATAACAAACCAAACATAACGTCCTCTTGCGATAACAAACATAACGATGAACCATAAACAGTTACAATAAGGAAGCAGGAGCCATGGTCGAGAGGAAAATAGATGAGAGCAGCACAAGAAATAATCAGCAGGAGGGGGATGAAGAATCGACAATTCGTCGAGCCACTAAAAGTCAATGTACTGGAGGGAACGGGATCAGACTCGCGGCACAACAGCAAATCCATGCCCAACCGGCGACTATCTGCTTACATCCTGCAATGAGCCGTTGGGGCTATGTCGCATTGCCGCCTGATCGACGTTCATGTCGTCGGTACCGGCGCCGCCAGCGGGAACGCGGAGCGCGCGTACGGCGCTCGCCATCTCGGCAAACTCGGGACCGTGCACGGACGTGTGCTCGTACGTCTTGCGTATCTCCTGCGCGTACTCGAGGGCTTCCTCGTATGCGTAGGAATATTGCTCCAGCGCGTCGATGCAGGCGCTGACTTCGGGGCGGGCGCTCTTGGCGAGGAGCTGGCCAGCCTGGATGATGCTGACGTGCATGACGGCAGGGTCAAGTTTCTAAATTTAAGAAAGTTCGTTAAGGACGGTCAGACGGTGAGATCGGCATGCTACGTACTAAGTAGCCATTCTGGGTCAATACACCAGCCTTGTAGCGTACATTAGACATACGAACAAACAGACGAAAGATTGAGCACGACATACCAGACCTGCAATACGGAGCGCGGCGTCCAAACCCTCACTGTAGAGTTTCCGCTTCTTCGTCTCAATCTGGTTCATTTCACTTGGCGAAAGTGAATTGTCCCTGTCTCGTATCCCAACCTCGTCAACTGCAAAGAACAGTCCGGTCCACATCACGTGGTACTGAGCGTCACTGGCGCCTGTCGATGACATTCGTAAGTTATAGTGAGTCAAGACAGTAAAAAGCCATGGATATGGTTGATGTTAGGAAAGGTAAACTTACAAGCAGAAACAGCCGTGACAAAGTCCCATCTCGACTCTTGTTGTTGTGGGACACCGACTTTTCGGAGGTGACGCTTGCGCCATTCGTCCAGGTCATCCATTGTTCTGATCAAGTCTTCAAGAGGCAAACCCTCCTCCGTCGAAGGGCGGCATAGTAGGCGAGCTATGCGACGTGAAATCCGCGCAAGGTCATGGGCAGCACGGTAATAACCCTGTCAGATGTTTCAGTAAGCCTTCTAAACTGTGATGAATGTTCATGCGCACTCACCAAAAACTACACAAGGCACAAGAGCAAAAATCCGAGGATGTCAGTATCGTCGTATGGACTCAAAAAGAAGCCGTGAGATTACCTCAAGTTGTTCTCGTGGTGACGGAGCACCATCATCGGGAGAATTTGGGTCGGCGGTGTAGAAGTCGATGTCATAGTCGTCTTCGTCACTAATTCGTCCGCATATTAAGTAACAAGAGGGGATTTCCCGAGGCTCGGAAGCACGTACAGAATTGGTTTTCGACGGTAGTAGAAGGCCGAGAACGCGTCACATAAACAGGCCATCCACCATGCGAAGATCATCGTCCCACGGGCTTCAGGGTCTTGAATAGTGGCCATCACGGACTTGTGATTAATCTAAGCAGCACGCGAGTTAAACTAGCGTCTTTTGTTCTTGTCGAATAAAGCAAGAACGAACCTGGAGTCCTAATAAATTTCGTATGCCGCTAGTGAGCCAGAAACCATGGAAACCTGTCAAGAGTCAGCGAAGACGGACAGAACGTGACGAAACTATGAATACCGACCAGGTTCTTTATCAGGTTTTTCTAGAAAATGATTGTATCAGCTGACGCCACACATACAAAACCATGACGCTCACGGCATTGGAGAGGCTCGATGAGGAGCGAAATGACGACGTGGTCGTTGTGGGGAATCCGATGAACTTTGAGTGCCTCGGCAAGTTCACGAACACGGTCGAGGAGCGCCTTGGCTATTCGGCTTTGCCCGCCGTTGCGACTTCGATCGGCAACAAGCAGAGGGTGCTCCGAAAACTTGGCACCCCAAGCCAACACAGTAGCTACCAACGCTGGATGGAGAGGATCTGTGCGGAAAGGTACGAACGACTTGGACACGAGGTTCAGCCGATTTCGAAATTGCAGCGGGTTGAGCAGCGGTATGCGAGTGTGAACGATCTGGAAGTAGACTTCCACTAAGTCGAGCGCGAACCTGACACCGATCGCGGGAGTGAAAGCACACGATTAGCACCAAAACGCAAATGAAGACATCGATAAGGGAAATGAAAAGAAGGCTGTAGATGTACTTAGCACCAGTTAGGAAGGAGAGTATACGGTTCGACGCACATGTGAGGCTATTCCATCTCTTACATAATGATTTGCTTCAAGTAAATGAAAGATCCACTTACTCTGCTCTGAACGTCTCATCATCGAGTTTGGGGGCCTCATCGCCCCAATCGGCATAGAGGGCCGGTCTTGACTTGACAGCGCTGTATATATTACCAGGCTCACTGATGAGGCGTGTAAGGACCAGTCAAAGTTTGATGAAACAACCGACCTTGGTGAATCTGGCGGGGAAAACAGGTACACAAGTAGCTGCGCTGATGTCGTATTCATCGAGACACCGGGTATGGCACCCGGGCGAAGATTTCCCCATGAGAAGTTGAAGCTGGCTTTGGCATATGGTGGACTGCCGTTATCCACGGGTGACGAGCTGGAAGAACATTAATGAATCAGACTTTCATTTGCGGAAGATACCGAGTTATGAACGGACTGAGACGAGACGGAGGACAAGGACGGGCTAAGTGACAAAGTGAAATCAGCTCATTGCACTCGAAATAGGAGGTGCAGAGGTACCGCCGGTACGAGCGGCGAAGAACGCTCGCAGGTAGCTAGGTACTTACCTAGCGGTTACGGACAAATTCCTGGGTCGTCTTGCGGCGGTAGCCCGCTTCTTTTCGCTAGTAGCCTGCTGCACGTAATGGCTAGAAGCGGATGGATGAGTCTAACATGTTACACATCAACTGGAGATGCTCGCTTACGTGCAGGGATAATTCTTGGACAGACAGTGCTGATGACGCTGTCAGAACCTGGTAGTGACATCAGAGGTGACAGCAGCTTACCTGACACTAAGGAGATAGGAAGCAAGAGTTGGGTGTAATTCACATCAAGAAGTATCGAGCGCTCAAGGCAAGGCTGCCTACCTTGTCCTGGCCTGCAATTCTATTGCATTTCACTTTGCGCGAACTGGACAAGAAATATTGGAAGATGCGTCAGAGGCTAAGTAGTACATTAGACGCACCGACATGCATCACAAGCGGTGTTTTGTTTCCGTGGAGGAGGGAGAGTCTTTGCGAGCTCATGGATCTGGTTCTGTACCGACTGCGTCGGGAGGACGAGATCTGTGCGGGTGTGAGATGGGTTGTTGCGTGGAGGGTTGCGTGAGATGAGATATGGACCTGGCTGTGAGGAAAATGAATGCCCCGCGTCATGGCGTATTCCGTTCCCGTTGTGCATAGCTTTGTTGAATGAAGGATGGTATTAAGATGGATGAGCAGGGAGGAGGGAAGGAGACGGCGTCGGTCGAGCGCATCTCATGTTACCTGTTTCTACTTATAATAAATAGCGTCTATCTATCAATTGCACTTTACCACATCCCCCTTCATCTCAATTGCGCCACCACAAATACAAACAACGCGCCCCGGCTCCGAAAGTCACACCCCTGCCCGCAATTTTACCTTGTGGTCCTCCACTCCCAGTCACACAAACTCATCCACAGTCATGGTCAAGGTCGAAATCGTCGAGGAGCGCGACAGCCAGGCTGGCTCTCCCTACTCCTCTGCCGCCCCTTCCCGCACCAACTCCTCAGAGTCCCTTTCCTCCGTTGCCTCAGACCTCTCAGCGGACGAGACCTTGTATGACCGCCTAACTGCGCTCGTGGACATTGTACCCCCCACCACTCGCCAGAAAATCTCAAACAAATTCTCCTCGGCAGCCTCCTTCTTTAAGAAGAGCGGCAAGCTCATGGGCAACGTCGTCTGGGTCGTCACCACCTCCACCCTCCTCGTCGGCCTTCCCTTGGCCCTCATTCTCGAGGACGAGGCTAAAATTGTCGCCCAGGAGCAGGAGATGCTCGCCCAGCAACAGGGTGCACAGCAGGTTCGTACTTAGTTTATCCTTCCCTCCGTTGCTTCTCGACGATGATCCGGCTGTTGCTCACTGCTACTGTCTCCCTTCCGCTGGGTGTCTAGATGCTCGCCCCAAGTTCCCAGCCGGGCCAGTCCCAACAGAAGGGAATTGTGCCGCCCGGCTTCTAAGAACACGCACCGCATCTTTGACGCCACATTCACGTCACTCTGCTGCTACGCCGGTTATCCGGCCACACGCACAAGTCAGCGTTATTACACTCGTATCCGTTATGCTCTGCCTATACACACATATGGACTGCAAAAAACCCTCTCGCGCTCCGCAGCATCTCCGCAATTTCAGACGTTATAGACAGCTCCTTATATTTACTCACGAATCGTATTTCGCGTCTTATCGTGCACATGCATGCTAGTATAATAATACACACAACACCTCACTCAGCATTTTTGCCAATCCTCCCGCCTTCGGATCGCCCATGTGCTGAATGTGAGCGCCACTACTCGACAGTCATGCCCGGACATGAATGGAAGACGCCCACATTGAATTGCGGGATGAGCTACTTGACAACGAGGTTACATTAACTTTGTACTAAGTCGATGTAGAACAAGAAAAGAGCTCTAGGTAATGAATGTGGCGCCCGGCAAAAGAGTTCTTTCTGATGTAACCTTTTTTGCCTTGTCTAGTTGTGGTGGCGGGAAAGCATCGTAGCTAAACACGTCAACTCTCGTCCCGACTAGGCCGCAGTTGCTCGACCATCGGGGAACACCACCGGGCGAGTGAAGTTGTCCCTATTCATACACGTTTGATAAGTAACGACTTGTCAAGGCGACTATGTCATAGGATTACTCACGCAGAGCGATGTCTTCTCAGATAGGTGATTGCGTGTTGCTCGATCGCATCAGGCGCCACGCCGAAGGCGTCCCAATCTCCGGCCACCTCGCTGTCAGAGATATATCTCCGCTCAACTTCGTCGGGAGAAAGCGCAGGCCACCACACGTTCTGCGCCGCCTTGGCGAGGGCCATGGCGACGGGTTTGGGCAACGTGGGGGTGCCCGAAGGCGGGTTGTAGGTAACGGACGAGACAAGATCGAGGAGGTACTCGTAGGTCATGGTCCGAGGGCCCGGAAGAGAATAGGTACCGGGCATTGATGGCGTTCCCATGAGATTGGCGAGCGCCTGAGCGACGTCCATAACCTACAGCGCGGAGCCACAAGTCCATTCAGGAAAAAGGTACAGATGAGAAAAATCTCCGGGACTTTACATGAACGGGACGAATCTTGGTTTCGCCGTGGTTAAGCTTCCACCAAATAGGCCAGTCTGCAACGCGGGACATTTAGTACTCCTGGACATCGTGTAGGCGAGATAGGTCTAAACGCACTGGACATATTATTGAAGAACTTATCTTCGTGACCGTACATAGCCGCGGGCCGGATGATCGTGGCATTAGGGAAAGCTGCTTTCACGCGCTCTTCACCCTCGGCTTTCGAACGGTAGAATGCCGACTTGGAAGACGATGAAGCGTTGAGGTGCGAAACATGCACGAGGCGTTGGACGCCAACTTCAGCGGCAATCTTGGCTATTCTCTCCGCACCCTTGACATGAACGTCATCGTATTTGAAGTTCCTACAGGCGGCCGGTTGATGAATTCATAACGCTCAAGAAAATAAGGAAATCCAGAACGTACTTGGTCTCGTAATCCCGACCAACGAGGTTGTAGACAATATCCGAATGCCTCAGACACTCAGCAATTTGATCATCGTTCCGAAGGTCCCATTCCTGCAATACAACAAGACCAAAAGGTCAACCAGCTAATCTCCACTTAGACTCCAACGACGGGAAACGGGGTACCTACCATCGAGACGATCTGGCCGAGGTCTCCCATGGGCTTGAGATGCCTCTTGGTATCTTCCTCACGGTAAGGTACTACAACCTGGGTTCCCTGCCGCGCTATATGCCCGCAAAAGTCAGCATTCAGTGAGCAACCGCGTGCAGTACAAAAGTCCAATTGTATATGCAACAAACCACATACCAAGCTTGGAAATCATATATCTGGCCAGAAAGCCGGTAGACCCAAAGACGGTGACGACATGGCCAGAGACAGCACTGTAACCTGGTGTGCCCTGCGAGACGATGGGTTTGCGGTCGGGGAGGGTGACAAGGTCGTGCAGAGCGCGCTAGAAACGTGGTAGAAGTCTGAGCAAGGTTCCAGACCAGGATCTCGAGTGTGGCAGCATACCTTGCGCTGGTTAACGACGGCGCGCTGCGCGGCCAACACACGCGACGACGCGAGCATGATACGGGATGGGGAGTGGTGGTAGGTGTTGTTGGCTGCAGCGACAAGCAAGGAAGCGGAATTATGTCCGGAAAGTTCCGGCTAATGCCAACTGTATCGCTGCCGAACTCGCATCTTGCAAAAAGCCCCTCTCTCAACCTTCCGCACGTTCTTCTTCATCGCAGGTAGTTGATCTTATTTGCTGCCCGACATGGTTCAGGGAAAGACAAAGGGCTTGCAGACTAAGACTGCGTCCTCGAGACAAACCAAGAAAGCAGCTGAGACGAAGAAAGGCAAGCGCTACATCCCACCCAAGAAGGCCGCCCTGGTCAAGCAGGCCACGATGCGCCAGGTATGCCCCACACCGATGCTCGCAATCGTCCTGCTTCTCACCCAGGAACTCGTAGTCTTTGACTGCTAAAATCAGCAAGTCCATTGAGCAGCAGATGGTCTCTGCCGCATCGCCGGGAAAACTTACAATTATGAAGGGCGCATCGGATGCATCGTAAGTTCGCTGCCTCTTACATGCATCAGGTCTAAATTTGACTTCTCGCGTTGTCAGCCAAAGCTCTAAAGCTGGATCTTCGGGTAAAAAATCAGGAAAATAGGCGACTTAATGCCTGTATTTCGAACATCAGGCCCAGGACCCGTGTCGTCTGACGGACTGGCCCATTTCTCCCTGTACAATGGGTGGACTACCTTCGACAAGTTGGTCGATCATCATCGCTGAGATGAACTACGTAGCTTCATGCTACTCAACCGCTTGGGTAGTTCTCCGGCTTCGCGACAACCACCCTTTACCCAACCAAGAAATTTGTACAAGCCGGCAAGGTGTGATTTATGTACGTGCACGTATGAGTGGAGTATGGATTATGTTCTCGTAGCGGCCAAAAAATGCAAAGGATGTGCAGATACCGTGGATATGAGTGAGATAAGCATGCGGGTGAGAGTGTCTGTATTGTGGGACGTGACATCAATGCAAACGGACGATAAAACCTCTGGGGAACGTGAAAGCATGTGAAAGACGGATGATGCGGGCAGGTACCAATTCGTAAGAGATAGTCGTGACAGCACAAGCTAGTGGAATCGAGGGGGTGCATGCAATGCACGAGAGTAAATGTTCGAGTCCGCCAAACACGTATCATACAAAGCAGAACTTGGATGCAGAGTGAAGATATATGACGAAACTATGGGTGTGTGGCAAGTGTCCTAAAAAGACGTTCAATGTTTTTCGAGGTTCTCAGGTCTGAATGCGCCGAGAGCTTGGAAGATGGTATGCTTGATCCTCAAGAGCGCATCGTGATCCTCCCGGGATATGATGTCTGGGTGGCGGTTGATGTAGTGCATGGTCTTCGTGAGAGCGTCATCAACCTCCTCGAGTGGTGGCTCCTCGTCGCCATGTGTTAGCTTAGGAAGAGCGCACGGTTCACCATAAGCAATGCCAGGCGAATCAGAGGTGTCGAACGATGAATGGAGGGCGACGGGGACTACAAGTTTTCCCTCGTTGTGATGAGACGAGAGGCTGGAATCAGCGACGTTGGTTTCTATACCTGAGCTGAGAGTATGTTGATGTCCCTGAAGCACATCGACGTCGTGTTCATAGTATGCGTGCGAAACTGTCCCTTGAGGCATGGAAGAATGCACGGATGACACGGAGCTGTCGACCTCGGCACGAGAAACATCAGATTGTCGCCAAGTCTGTGGAAGAGTCATAGAAAGTTCGCTGTTGCCATTGTTAGCATGTAAGCTGCCGCCATCGTGGAGAGACGCGGTCGAATCCATGTCGTCGTCGTCAGCGCCATCAACCATAGTAGATGATCCATTGGAGTTGGCATATCCGGCTCGCGACTCGAAGGCCGGGTTCAGCGGAGAAAGGACAGTAACCCTCTTGGGGTCTTGACCTGCCCATACACCCTTTTTGATATTGTGTCGATGCTTGAAGTTCTCGACCCACCCAGAGCTAGCTTTGAAACGCTCCTCTGGTATCTGGAGGTTCTGCGCGATCTCCTTCGCTTTATTACGTATAGACGCGTCGGTCAACAGGGTACGCTGCTTAGACATTTGCTGAAGCCAGGTGACGAGCTCGCCCTCGACTTCGGGAAATTTCGAAGGCCTGTGCAATGACAAAGTGGGTCGACTGAGTACAGCATGGTATGCTGAGAAATAGGGGCTTCACCTTTGCTTTGATGCGCGCATGTCCTCGGAGTCGGGTAGATTCATCCACTTAGCCTTCTGCTTGAGGATCTTGCTAATCGTGCTGCGTTCAACCCCATAATGTGCCGCTATATCTTCCTGTCTGGCGTTTGGATTATCTCTGTGATAAATGCAAATGTTCTTGCGGTCGACGTTGTACAGTCGCTGCTTGCGTGGCTTGGCAGTGGAACGAGGAGCAACGAGCCCACCAGGGGTCGTTGGTAAAGGATATGCAGTATATGTATGCGAATTATGTGCCGACCCAGAGGATGAAATCGAGGTCAATGCCGACACGGTAGAGGACGGCGAGGTCGAACGTGGATTAGTTGAATTAGAATTAGAACGTGAATGCGAGGGGTAGTAACCCAGAGGAGAGTTTGAAGTCATGTTAAACGTGGCCATGTATTGAGGCGAGGGAAGCGAGGGCTGCGATGTACCGGACACCATGTTTTGATGGACAGGCTCGCCACCAGCATGGCTCGGCGTCTGAGGACGAGACAATATCTTCAAGGCGGAAGGGTAATAGAGGGGCTAGCGCTTCGCGTGAGAGGGTTTTCGAAATCGTTACACGGCACACTTACATCATCGCCGTTTGTCGTGTGCTGATCGCTGTGTAGATTCCTCTGCATTCCATTGAGCGCTGACCTAGCGCGCGTGTTCATGCGGCGGGGCACGGCTCTGGCTGGACCTATGCTGCCTGGAATCTGCTGCGAGAGCATCATAGTGTTCTCATTGGATGGGCCGGTTGGGGAATGAGGGAAACTGGCGTGATGCGCGTGCTGTTGCGGTGTATAAGAGGTAGAACCTGGAGGCGAGTTGTAAGCCCGATCTAAGGCGTGGCCCGGGACTGAGTAGGCGGGCGACAAGGGCCCCGAGGAGGATACACTTCGCAGGCTGGTCTGCGACCAAGGACTAGATGAAGACAACAGGTGTGATTGTCAGTGGTGAACTACGGGTGAAGCGCACATGCTCGGCTTCAGACGCGTACATGGATCCCTGCACATCAGCGTAATGTTCAGTATGTTCCATTAAGACGTTGCTACCATCTGGGGTGGTGACCGAGTACAAGGAGGAGGGGAAGGTTGTGGCTAAAGAGAGCCAAGGAGCTTATATAGGACGGGCACAGAATTTGTAGCCAGAAACTGGCATCGAAGCGAAGCAAGGTTACCTCTGTACTATTACGCCCTTGAAGCGCCCGCCTCTTTACTTCCCTTTTCCTTTCCGGGACCCGGCTGCCCTTGTCTTCCTCGTCCCCCTTCGTGGCTCTCCGAGCTCATGTCGTACAAATGACGCTCTACCCATTGTCGCTATCCTGTCGAGTGTCTTGTTTTCCTCGGCGGACTCGTCGCAACGGCGTTGTAAATCGGTACACTCGCTCGCAATTGGCACAGCACCGACTCGGCGATCCACTTCTGATCTCATTGGCTCGTTGAAACATTCTCCTGAATATAATATACCGTTTACGAAACTGACAGCGTTTTATTATAATTTGATAGCCTGCCAACCCACATGTTTGCGGCTCCTAAAACATTGGTTCCTCAACTCAAATGAAGCGACTATCCAAGATGTAGTAACTCACGGGCATCGGCTCCCTCTATTGTTTGATCTCCGACGACCTCACCGCGCCGTACCGTCTATCTATCAACTCGATCTTCTGGAAGAGAGAACATGATGCTAATAATATGACTGTATCACTGCATCATCGTTCTCTCTGACATCTTGGGGAGCGAGCTGACTTCACCCAAGCCTACTCCTGACTAGTCTCTGCAGCGCAACATGTCGTGCTTCGACTCTGACCGAGCCAAGCTTACGGTCACCACCTGGTGCCTCGGAAATAATCTCCACTTGAGGGTCCATAGTTGATGCTAGGCTTGTCTATCGATGGAGCCACAGGCAACGTGTCTGATGGAACATGCGCAGTCGGTTCCTCTCAGCCGCTGTTGTATACTATTAGCACAGCTACCAACTTACCTCTCCTGACAATCTTACCCAGTTTATAGTGCCTCGGAACCCCTTTATTGCAAGACTACTATCGATCCTGAGCTGTTGTAGGTTCCGCTCACTCGGCATTGGCGGTGCCTACTCGACGGCGTAGAGATAAAACGTTTGACGACCGTCATGGGCTGTCTGGATGTCTTCCGCTTATGGACACGGAACTTGCTGGTCAGATGGTACCAACAGGGTCTAGCCTGGGATTTTTCCTACTTCCATATCGTCAGACAACGATCGCCGGAGTATATGCCTCTCCGATCTTGATGAATCCGTGTTTGCTGCGAGTACCCCCAGTGCTCATGCATCCAATAGCGTGTCAAGCCACAATGGCACTACTTATTAGGAAGCATAAAAGGCTTCCCGCCTTATTGGAGTTCCGGAATTCACGAACCTACCACTTCTGGGTCGTCGAAGATCCTGCTAAACCGACGCCATGGCTCACTACGTTGTTCCTTTGCCTCGTTCGTTAGGTCTATCTTAACTTTCCAACATGCTGAATTATCTTCCTCCCGCTATTCTCACCTTATTCTCACCGAGATGAATAGTTGATCGTGGATCGCCTGAAAATGGAGGGTCGGAGCCAGCGCTGACGGACGCTGTCCATTCGTCCTGAGTGACCCAACAAAGAAATATCTCAAGGGCACCCTGAACTACCACAAACCCTAGTCTTCTAGTCTGCTTCTCGCTTGTGACCACTTTCTCTTTCGTAATCGAACCTATATGCGATGACTCATGACAGAGGTCAGGTGTTGAATGGATGAGCGACAGTGCGGAACCTTCAAGTTGCTCTTCTTATCAGAGTTTGACTTTTGTACATGCCATGCAACTGTACTGCAGCATTGGCAGAGAAGGGGATGGCGAAGTCTACTTACGCCCGCTGACTACCCTTATCGTGCTGCTGGACCTGATTTTTTTCGGAGGGGTTACCACCCGGCGACGCCGCCGTCACGGCGTGGCTTGAGCTGCCTGACCGTCAACACGTTGCAACCACGTGAAGTGTAAGCGTCCAAACCACACTGCCCCTGTTAAAAATGACTGTAAAATGTTCGGGTCTTGCTCAGCATATTTATCCGCGATACCCGCTCCTTAAAGATAGTAGCAAGGTCATAAACCTTGTGTAAATTGAACTCCATCGACCTTCTTCAAAGTTCATTCTAAGTCGATTTCCTTTTTAGGGAGCATTACGTAATCGAATCTACCTTCGCGGACGTTGAACTGAGGTTGGACTTCGAGTCACTTTCCCACTCGTTTTACGGACCGCGACGCGGGCTTGCTCGGACTGCTGCTTGTAAATATGAACCAGGGAATGTCACTAAATCGACGCTTAGCAGTCACTAAACGCTCTCTCGATGTAACCAATGAGCGTTTGAGCACTAAGCGCCCATTACAGCACAAAGTGCAAGGCGGTCCCGTGCGTCAAAGTCACGCGTCTGACTCACCAACGACAAAGATCCGGAACAGACCAGAACAGACCTCGGTGCTTTCGGGTTGACTCGGAGGAGCAGGTTAGATAAAAGTGCTATGTTTCATCTCCTGACATTACTCCACACACCTCACTTAACTCTTCCCAATCGCAAATCGACTACCACAATGTCCCTGCTCGCTGTTTCCAGCGCTAGGACGCTAACGCGCGCAATCCCCAGCATTATCGTGCGTAGCACAACCCCATGCATAATTAGCCCCTGTCAAGCACCCTTCCGGCACCTGCTTCATACTGGAGCTGCACAAAACAATTCGCTCAAGAGGAAGCAGGCCAACGAAGGCGCAGCGCAGGGGGTAGAAGGCATTCATCGCCGTAAGTACTTTCTTCCACATCTACGTAGTCACGCGCTAACAACAAGTAGACGATGGTCCCGCAACCAAGGCGTTAACAAACGCAGACGCGGTCAGCACCGTGCCTTCGACAACGATCCAAGGTGACTGGGTGCTTTTCCACCCGGTCTATACGCCTGAGGAGATGAAGGCGGTCGATGTGCGTTCGCCTCGCATTTCATTTGTGTACCTCCTGCTTATCTAGTAATACCCATGGTGTAGGTTCTTCACCGTGATGCAAAGACGCTCTCGGATAAATTTGCCTCCAGTTTGGTTCGGCTTGCACGGTGAGCACGGTCTCGTACGGCGATCTTGAGACAGCTCGGATTAACGTGTGGATATCACTCAGATGGGGCTTTGACTTCGTCTCGGGATACAAACATAAACCTATCCCACCTAATCACGACATGTCCCTTGAGGAACTTCAAAAGGGCGGATACGTGCTCACAGAACGCGCATGGCTCAGTGTTCGTCACCCCAATACCACATGAAAACCAAAGTGTTGTAACCTGATGACGCATTTAGCGAATCCTATTCTTAGAATCAATCGCAGGCGTGCCAGGAATGGTGGCAGCGATGCTTCGTCACCTTGGTAGCCTGCGGCTGATGGTGAGCGGCACTGGGTCTCTGACAAACGCGTTTGCTTACGCGCATGGCAGAGGAGAGACTCAGGATGGATTCACACGCTACTCGAAGAGGCCGAGAACGAGAGAATGCATCTGATGTATGTTGATCTCCCAACCGTGACATTTAGAGAAATGTTAATGTTTGGCAGGACATTCATGACGCTGAAGCAACCATCGTTATTCTTCCGAGCACTAGTGCTTGGTGCACAAGGCGTCTTCTTCAACGTCTTTTGTGAGTCATTGATGCATTCGCGTCATCGATTAACCTCGATTCATCATGTTTGAATTCCAGTCCTTTCCTACATGATCTCACCGCGCATTTGCCATCGCTTCGTTGGCTATCTCGAGGAGGAAGCCGTTGTGACCTAGTACGCGCTGAAGTTACATGCGATATATCGCTACTCACTTCCATCAAGCACTAGATGCATAGAGGAGATAGAGGCAGGAAGGCTGCCAGCATGGTCGAACATGCCGGCTCCCGAGATTGCCAAGGACTACTGGCGCTTGCACCCAGAAGCTAACCTATTGGACGTAATATACGCGGTTAGATCCGATGAATCAACACATCGATTCGTCAACCATAGCCTCGCCAACCTTGACGCCCCAACCGACGTGAACCCATTTGCCTTCCGTGAGCCAGACATGCATGTGAAGGGCAAAAAGTTAGGGTGAGCTTTCCCTTGCTACTACTCGTTTTCCGCCGGCTGATCTATCTCGCAGATTCGAACGTTCTGAAGCAGAAAAATACGTTCAAGAATCTCGTGAACTCTTAGAACGCGGTAGACGCCAGTGATTTCCTCGAACTTTCTCTAGATATTTGCTAGATCTTTATGTTTATCTATACGTACCTATGGTCTAGTGCTTAGAACTTGTACATGTCGGCACTTTGAATGCCTTAATCCCCACTCCGCTGTAGTATAGTCCCGACGTCATAGATCTGGACAATGAATAAAGTCAGGACAACAAGACTTTTAGTTCCGTCGGACTCAGTACATTACTATAATTGTATGCTCATGGATCTTCGTTGATCGAGGAAATATTACAGTATTGGCCGGGACCAATCACGCCATAGAGAGAAGGGAACCACAGACTGGGGTTAGGGGTTGTTGTGACCTAATGACATCTCGCGGATCGGTTCCAGGGGACAGTCGAATGCGCCCCTCTTCGACAGGCGGGACTGAGTTCCCTGAGCCTCCTCCTGAGCCCCCAAGGCCTTCTTCACCTTTACACCCCCATTTCACTCATCTTTATTCACATCAAACCAGATGTCTGCATCGCAGGCGAGCGTAACACCACCTCCGGTAGCGCACTCGCCGCCAGGACAGCCCACTTCAACCTATGACCACCACACCCATAAACGCTTTTTTCTCGGACCTATGCCAGAGAAGGTGGTTGAAGAGGCCAGTAGGAGGACGCACTCCGTCAACGACAAGACCTCTGGCTGGTTCTCAAGACGACACGCTATGCAACCTTCAGTCGTGCCTAGTGACGACTCCAGTACTTCAAGCCTGAGTAGGATCATCGAACATCATGCACTTCATTTCTTCCTCAGGATGGGTGGCAAATTTGACGACTGGGAGGAAGCTACGCGTCAAGGCATGCGAGATGACATGCTCGAGCGGTGGCAGAGGAGTGAATGGGGTGGCGGGCTGAAAAGACGTACAGTTGGCAGCACTGCTACCACGCAGTGGGTGGGCGGTTCATTTGAAGTGGGCGATGTCCTGGGAGTAAACATACTAGAAGATCCGCCTGCAGGCCCATCATTGGCAGACCCACCTCGGAGCTCATCTTCGACCAGAGACACGCATGCCGTCTCCCTCGTGCCTTCTACCGTTGGGGAAAGCTCTTTTGTCACTGCGAACTCTTCTCTTTCAAGCATTGAAGGACACCCAGCCACTAATGGAGATGCTCTGCAGCCTGTGAACTCTAACACAGAGACGTCAGAAACGCGCGGCTTTATGAATGCCTCGCCCTCTCCTAACTTAACTGGCGCAAGCTACCACGCCGCATCCACGGAAGCACTCATTGTTCCTGAGATGTCTTTGAATCGCAACAAATCTGTTGCTGAGACTTATCGACGTCCAATACTCGGAGCTCGCGCTTCTGATGCTCGTAGCGACGGCATCCTCGTTCGGAATATATCGCGTTTCGAAGGATCCAAGGAGCGCAAGAACGTTCATTATGTCGATGAACCGCCAACACCTCAGCTTCAGCTTACCTCAGAGGAGCCGGCAGCACCCAGTGAAGTGTTGAATAGGTCCGGAGATGAAGTGAACGAAACGAGTGCGGGAGCGACCGCTGAGGTGGACACCCCTCCTTTAAATCGAGAGGGTATCGTTTATCGAGGTAAGCCAACATTTTCCACCAATTTATATCTAGTATCTAAGCTTTGATAAGATCGTATGCTCGTTAGAGTAAGCTACACGAAGTCAGAGAATCTCTCACGGACGTTCAATGAACACGAGAATCGAGTGACCAGTCACTTACGTTATGAAGACTGGGCAGAGTTTCTCGTGGTATGGAGGAAGGACAGAATAGAACTATACGAGGATTACGTGAGTCTTCCAGATTCTGAGTCTGGCGGCAGTGATATTAAGTAACATACACGTCGTCAGAGCATGCCGGGGAAGGAATGGGTCACTGGTCACAAACACTTGGCGTTTGTTATCCCTTTGAGATCTCGACGGACCCAAGTGTCCCTTTACTCGTTCACGGATCTTTCATTTTGCATTCTTTGTCCTCCAACACCAGTCCACAATGGCGAGACCAAAGCTCGACAAATCTTTCATCTGGCGAAGGTCGGGACAAACGTCTTTATATTCAAGACCAAAAGCCGGACAAGGGCGGTGGACTGGGTATGGCACCTCTGGTGCGTACATGTTGTCTTTTCTAATTTAAAGAAGTTGACATGCAGTACACAGGCAGAAGTTCGGTGGTGAAATCCCAACTTCTCTCGAGATACGATGTCCGAATATCGACAGCCGAATAAAACTGGCTGTCCCCGTGGGCGACACGACGGACCTCGATAAGGCTTTCGCTATGTTCAGCAAGTCGAATATCATCAACCTCGTCCGAAACTCCCTTAAAGAAGTTTCGGGTTCCGCTGTAATGAGCGATTGGGAAGCAATTATATCTCAGAAAGACGCGGTGGGAAAATCAATAGAGCTGGCATGGCGCTCGGAGGCGAAACTCGATTGGATATGGTGGGACAAGGATGTGGATGGCAATTCGAGAGACTGGGCAATGCTCTGCGGGATGGCCTTAAAACAGGTACGTCTGATTTACACTGAGCATGCTTTAGTTAGCAGTCGTCGACTCTGACTGCAGGCAGGCAAACCTGCTCAGCTGGAACTTCGTCTACAAGAGCATTTTCCGTCGACCCTTCACCTTTCAAATGGTGTTAAGATGCAAGAACCGCCCGGACTCGAGGGCTATCTTAACCGGATTAAACCTCGCACGCAAGTCAAGCAGGAGGTCTACGTGTCGACCCATGATGGAAATCTGTTCTTCCTCGCGCCAGGTTCTGCAGGCCCACCAACGCCACCAAATGTTCACCTCTCTAGCGGCGTGCTGCCTCCAGCGGATGACATTGTGCACTCTCTACGGAATGAAGAATCCCATCGAGAATCAAAGCAGGTTCAGACCGCTTATGGGGTCATAGACCTGCGGCACATCCTACTCGTTCGCAGAGCGACAGATCCGACACCCCATATTCAAGTTGATGTAACCCAGCTCACGCAGGAGGCAGCGGATTACAACATGCATCCGGAATTCTCTCTGTTTGACCCGGATGGTAGCGACAATGAGGATGAGGGTGGTGAAGCAGGACTAAGCAATGCCACTAACAAGCCGGGGCTACGACTCAAGCGATCTTTCGAGATCATCATGGAAAGCGGAACCATCGTTCGATTTGAGGTGACTCTCACACATTGCATGTAGTGCTAAGCTGACTCTTCCAGGCCTATTCCTGTAACGTATGTCTCGAGTGGCTAATGCGGCTCAGGTCGCTTGTGCTTTACTGGAAGCAACGGCATCGCATCGATGCACACGACGAGATGGAGGTGGCTTACTCGGCCAGCCGCCAGCTGCGATTGACACCGCGCGTAACCAAGTGCCACCAGCAACACGGCTCAGATCATGCTCCTGAGCCGCTCACCGACCCCGAAGCACCTATGCCCGCGCTTAGCTCGCTATATCACTGGTGTGTTCTGCTGGGATGCAGACCAATCATAAAGAGCGGGAGAGCCTTTGTGCGGAAGGGCCTCCGTGGACAATACAAGTACGTCAAACTCCTGATTGAGCTCTTATACGTATCTCAATGGAAACGATGGCTCAGGCTCGTCCAACTCTTCCTCGTCGCTGGTCATCTGATACAATACCACGTCAGCCCCCGCAGTCCTCTACATCACCGTCGCTCGAAGGAAATAAGCCTATTGGATGCCTACGTCTGCTCGGGTTATCTTGCAGCATTGACTCTCCGGCGGGAAGAGTTCAGACCTGATAACACTGCCATAGCTAGGCATTACAATGACGGACTGGAGACCGAAGATCCAGAAGAAGACACGCTCTTCATTATATGGTACCGCAAGAATAAATCCCCACCCTCATCCGCAATGGGTCAAACGAACACCTCGAATATACCCTCTCTGTCGGCGAAGAATCACATCGCTGTTTTCCGAACCCGAAGTAAGATAGAGCGCGACACCTGGTGCTGGGCGCTTAACCACGAGCTTGATAAAATGGCCAGGGACAATGTAGACCGAGAGCGCCTGTTGAGGGGCATGGGCAAGCTGAAGGAGAGCTGAGACAAGATACCCAACACATTTACCAGCTGCATCTTTCTACTTCTATTATCGTTATAAGTTTCTCATTCATCTTAGGATTATTCAATTAGGATTATTCGATCGCATTTGCAAGGTTTGTTGCATTTCACCGCATCTATACCCCTGCTTCGTACCCTACTACGAGACAAATTACCAGTGCATAATGTTTAATGGACAATGTACAAAGCCCCGAACTGAAGCAATACTGCACAGGGTGCGTGGGTTTAATTTAGATCCATGAAAAAGCGACGGAATTCGAAGTATCTGCTGATAACTCATTCAATAACCTCGGCATCACTGTCGTCTTGCTCTCTTTGGGCTCTCCGAGCTACCAATCTGACTTTCTTCTCCAGGTCCCTGTCGGGGTGCACGTCGTTCATCGAGATTTGTGCGTTGCACCCCGTTGCCGGGCAGGGTTTCGTAGCACGACCGAGGTATTCCCGTATAGCCACGGCGGAAAAGGAGTGATTACATACCCGGCTGAAGTAGCACGTCAGCATATAAGTAGGAAAAGAAGCTCATGTACATACGATGCCATGGGGTTTACCAGAAGAGTAAGACTGATTGGGCATTTATAATCTTGAGTGACACCACCAATCTCGAGGTCATCGTCGTCGTCGCTTTCATCGCCGTCCTCTAGAATAGCGACGTTGTTAAGTTCGAAATAGAACCGAGATAAAAAGGCAAACCCTTGGGGATGAAGGCGTTGATAGGAGGGATAGCCATGTCCGGGTTTTGGGTTTCCTGAGACAAATGAGACAAAGGGTACGAAAGGCATTGGGGATATCTACTCACGAACACGCCTTGCTTGAATTTAACATAATCATTCGACGAAGCATATTTCTGGCGTGAAGTTTTTGAGTTGAAATCCTCTATTCGCTGCTTTAGCCCATTGTCATAACGTTCCATAGCGTTATCCTAACATTCAACGTCAGCTTGCATCGCTAGTTCAACGCAACTGTTGCAAATACAATTGGCTCTTCCACGATTATTTTCTGATACATCTCTTTGAGAGTTTCTTCGTGAGACTTCATTTCATGATCGATGTTCAGCAAGTTCCGCATAATCTCGTCCACTTGCGTCAGAGACTCCATCAATGCATCAGGAATTAGATGTGCCACGAACAAGGTGTGGCGGTATGCTCACCTCCATCGCCTCGTCCCCTTCTAGCGTTTCAGCCATAGACATGGCAGTACCTTGAACGAGGCTGAAAGTGCCTGCATGGATATTCTTTCTGAGTGTCTCCCAGTCCTTGGCAATTCCGTCCAACTTTGCCGCATGACTTCGGTCAAGCGGCTGATCACGGAAGTTCTCAACGTCTATGCGCTCATCCTCATCTTCTTCGTCTTCTTCTATTGCTGGTTCGGGTGACGCTGAAGCCCGTCTGGCTTTGGACTTCTTCTCCTTCTTGGCACGCCTCCGGGGCTGACTGTCGCTATCCTCGTCCACATCGTCACGATGAGTCTGGGATGGGTCATGTTCTTCAATGACATCTGATGGTTCGCGTTTGGCTTTCCGGCGAGATGATCCAGCGGTCGGCATGGTTAAAATAGGGTGAGTGGGTTGTCTAATAGGTGTCAGACGCGTCGCGTTCTGTACGAATTTAGGGCAGGCGTCCTCGCGTTTAATACTTGCCGGCAACAGCCGGCCTCTGTTATTCTCCAGACAGTCAAAGTCCCAGCATCGGTGTGACCGAAAGCACGAGCAGACATGCTGCCAGCCCTCCGCAACTGGGCGCTTGCTGGGTCTCAGCTCTTGCGAACGCAGATACAGCCTCGCTCAACGCCCTCCACGCTCTCGCTTCTCTCATGTCGCTCTTTCTTCTCTTCACCAATAGTTTCCATGACGCTTAACCAGTCTATGCGGCGCAAACGCCCACAGAAAATCAAGGCGTCCAAGTCACCTCTGCTGGATGTCTGTCCTCAAAAGAAGGGTGTCTGCGCGCAGATTTTCATCGCCACGCCTAAGAAGCCAAACTCGGCCAAGCGGAAGGTCGCTCGAGTGAAGCTGACCAACGGCCAGACCGTCCAGGCATACATTCAGGGAGAGGGCCACAACCTTCAGGAACATAGTGTTGTTACCATCCGTGGTGGGCGCGCGCAGGATCTTCCCGGTGTCCGGTGCGTGCTTTTATTTTTCGGCCACTGAACTAGGACTTACTCTTGTGCAGTTATAAGGTTGTCCGTGGTTCTCTGGACTTCGGAGGAGTTGTGAACCGTATGTCGGCCAGAAGTAAATACGGAGGTCAGTACTTGTGTCGTACTTATCTCTGCTTCAGCTTTGAACTTGTGATGTCTTTCAGCCAAGAAACCAAAGAAGTAAACCCCTTCTTTTCCTCGGAAACTTGTCATTCTGCATTTGCCATCATTAGAATAGAACTCCTAGAACATACAAAACATAATGCTTCATGCAATATTCCTAATATCATGGTGCGCATTCGGGTGAACAAAAGAGTGAAGGCTTTGGAAAACAGAGCAGATTCTGTGTGCGTATGTATTTTAGCGCTTACTATCAGTCCCCAGGCTCGCGCGGGCCGAAAGCGGAAAGCACTTCTTTGGTCAAAAACCTTCGCTGCCAAGAGTTCAGTCCACCGTCGCGTTCATGGCCTCAATCCTCCGGTTAGCGCGCTCGCAAACCCTCCTGCGCCCCTTGCAGCGCGTCAGATGGAGCTCTAATGACGTCCCGCATCTCGACCCCTCGACTCTGATTAATGCGCCAGGTGCTGAGCAACCCAACCTTCAGCCATGGAACGGAGGTGCTCTCCGGCCACACCATAATGTCGAGGTCAGGTCAGACCACCCTTTGTACGCCTTCTTCAGGCAGAAGGAGAAAGACGGAGAACTACAGTACGAGACACTTGAACCTCGAGACGACAGAGGGAGAGATACAGGCGAGTAGCGCGCCGCTCATATATACTGTGCATGCTCATTTCGTCTATCTACAGGGCGCTCCTGGAAGGCAGCCGAGCTACGACGCAAGAGCTTCAAGGACCTCCACACTCTATGGTACGTTCTGCTACGCGAGCGTAATCTCCTGGCCACCCAGCGTGAAGAGGCTCGCCGCCTGGGTATCCAGAATGCGGGCTATTTGGCTGGTAATAAGAAGCTGCACCAGGTTCGTCCGTACAACTTTTGGTTAAGAGGGGTGGATTGCTGAATATGAATATAGTGCAGAAAATCTATGGCGCGGATAAAATACGTGCTCAACGAACGGAGACTACTTTATGAATCCCATATGAATGCCCTTGCCGAACAGCAGGCTGCCGAGACCAAGGAAAAGGAGGGCGAGACACCTCGCTTGACTCGCGCAGAGAGGATGAAGGCGCGAAGGGGATGATCGATTGCCGAACCCAAGGTATCGCATTACTCGTGGCTTCGTGCTCCTATTAGACTTCTATCTTCTCTACCGCTACACCACCTGTGTAATCATCTTTAATGCTTAGTTTCGTCGGATTGCGTCCAAGAACGAACACCAAGACGGGCGCTTCCCAGTATACTATGAGGAACCCCTGTACCGAGCAGTGTTCCATTCCAGCATGGTCTGAGAGACGTAACAGTCTTTGATAGAAGGGTGCTCGAGCATTTCTATTTGCCTCTTGCCTTTCCGTAAGAGATGCTCAATTGCAGCGACATCCCGGCTAGAGACGGAGTTGGCTTGTGTATGGAAGTTGTACGTCAAAAAGGCACGAAACTTTGGCTGGACAGCTTCGGGCTTCGTGCGAACTACGCGAAGGGCTCTACGAAGGGAAGTGAGTTTCCCGGTGTTGTAGCAGCAGGGCTTTTACAGCATACCGTCTGAAGAGAGCAAGCACGTCCTTCTGCAACCCTGATTTCTGGGACATGGCGGGATTGGAACGAAAGGGCTAACTTAGAAGCTTCGGCCGGTGCGGTCATAACGGAGATCATTTCCGGTTCCGCGCGGCCCGAGCTACTTCTTCCTTCGTGTCAAGCTATTTGCTTGGAAGTCGTCATTCATGATCTTTACTCGTCGCGTTCCTCAGCGCGTTGCAGCTGAGCTCTCCCGCAGTGTCGCTAGGCCATCTCGTCTCGCTTATTCCAGGAAGCGCACAGTCGCCACTGCCGCAAGCGGCTCGGCCAATCCGCGCCAGTACTGCGAGGAATACGTCCAAAAACATGACTATGAGGGTTACCTGACGTCAAAGTTCTACCCCAGACACCGTCAAAGTGGGTATTATGCCCTCAGGGCTTTCTATGTAGGTATTCCTTTAGAGACATGTTGGACGAAGCTGAAGCTTCCTCTGTGGCAGATTGAGCTTGCGTCTGTGCAGGAGTCAGTGTCCAATGCCGTGCTAGGCCAGATGAGGATGCAATTCTGGAGAGACGCTGTTAAGGATAGTGCGAATGTATGCGTCTTCTCTGCTCCAGCTTGCGAGTATAGCTCGAGCTCACACTGCTACAGGGTAAACCTCCTAGGCACCCAGTAGCTCTGGCTCTCCACGACAACATCACGTCACTGAAGTCGGCACCCTATCATCTCAAACGTATCATTGATGCCCGTGTTCGTCACTTTCTCTTCCCTCGCTTCGGCCCCTCTTTGACGTTCTCGCTAGGATAATGAGCTGCAGAATCCCACCCACTTGACCATGGATTCACTGACGTCGCACGCAGAATCCACAGCTTCGACCCTCCTTTACTTACTTCTTTCTCAATTTTCCTTAACATCCCATGACCTCTCACATGCCGCATCTCATGTCGGCATAGCTTCTAGCCTAGCCACTCTGCTACGCGCGCTACCCTTCCACATCTCCAAAGGTCAAATGGTTATTCCTGCCGAGATCACTGCGAAGCATGGTGTCAGCCAGGAAGAGGTGTTCAGGACGAGGAAATCTTCGCCTAAGCTAGAAGACGCGGTGTTCGAGTTTGCTACGATCGCGAACGACCACCTGCTTACTGCACGGGAGATGTTTAAGGAGACGGGTGGGAAGGTGCCAGCGGAAGCTATGCCGATATTCCTAACTGCGGTACGTGGCTTCCGTCCTATCACAATGTGTTACAAACGTAGTCGCCCCATAGGTACCCGCTGCGTCATATCTGAAACGGCTGGAGGTAGCCAACTTCGACGCGTTTCACCCTTCGCTGAAGGTACGAGACTGGAAGTTGCCGTGGCATGTCTGGAGGAGTTACTATAAACGGACATTCTGAATTCGACGTGAACCGCGACGCGATGATAACGTTATTCGCGAGTTGTCGTTATCTCGAGGTACACGCGCCCTTCTAGATCTTAGCATATTATCGCATACACCCAGCACAAGTACTCCTTAGATTGTCCTCTGCCGAAGCGCTATAGCATGCCTAATCCGAGGATCGCTCTTCATTGTCACTGGTACTTTTTTGAGGCCCGAGGAGTGGTATCCATTCCACCCCATTTGGAAGTCCGATATTAAGTTACCTCCAGCGTCCATCCCGTCCGGACAGCTGTTGCTACCTCACCACTACCTCCACAGACAGCTCGCCCACCCACACTACATTTGCATCCGCTTCCACAACACCAAAGCTTGCCAATAAGCCCAGTACCTCATCAAGGTCTTTGGCGATCCTCAACCCGCAGCTGGTGGCGTGGACAACTCCCGAGGTCATGGAACGCCTCTGCGGTGTGTTACAACATCCCCACAGCTGTTCACGATTTGCTCAAATACTACACAGATGAAGTCATACAGCTCATACTGTACGAACTCAACGACCCTACCCACCTTACTTTAGCCTCCAAGCGATTTCTCCATGTTTCCCGGGACCCTTATGTCCGCGCTCATTATTTCCTCACTCGATACGGGAAGATGCAAGCCATGTTCTGGGCTTTGGGGAGAGGGAGGCTCATGACAGACAAGGTCATTGATGTGCGTAATCGTCTTTGATATGTGGCCAGCCAGGTCTTCCAGTCATGAGGTGTGAACGGGCGCTTAAAGCATAACGGCCCTGTAGATCCTGATTACCAGCGGCGCTTGTTTCTCCCGGTATCTCGTGCAGGTCGCCATACACCACTACTTCCGGTCGGCACCACATTTTGTTAAGACTCAGTGGACACGCTCGATACCCCTGTCTGTCTTTACGCACTTCATCAAGGTCGCATCCGACATGTACGGCGAAATCCCGCTTGCCAAGGGAGATGACGACGGATCCGTGTTCACGGCATTTCTGAAGGAGAGCAGACTCCCTGCTGAATTAAAGAGTACGAAGTGGGAGGATATACGGGAAATCTTTAAGAAATTTAAGGTAGGTTCTTATGATTCTGTGTTATAGTGGCATCTTTGACACTTATATGCGCAGTTCATGCCGTTCTCTGCGAAAGTACGTTTTGGCTCCGCTGCGCAAAGTACGTTGGCTCACCGAATAACCGTAGGACCCTATTATGACCCAATTTCCTCTGGCGTTGGCTGTCGAGCCGCGTTTGCTCCCTTACGCACAATCCAATGGCTTTAGCATGGACACGAAGGTACGACACTAGGTTGCCTTGATGAGCATCCGGTCACTGAGGTTGGCACAGTACCGTGACTTCGTTTTTCGCAAGATGTTTGAGAAGCATACGCTTAGTGGCCAGGACCGCTCTGGGGAAATAGTTTCTAGTGTCAGGGAGCTGAAACGGCTTGATCCTAGGTGAGTATGTTGAAGAGCATCTTGGGGGCTACCGTTAAACACGTATTCAGGATGTTTATGACTCGTACTGTTGCCGCGGAGATATGCATGGAAGCCAAGTCCAATGAGTCTGCGTATAAAGCCCTGAAAGCCCTTAATTTGGCTGGAGAGCTTTTGTTTGAACTTGGGTACGTTTTGACTTCAATGTCGCGGGGCGCGTTCGTTCTAATTACCTTCAGAACATTGGTTGAGGACCTAATCAAGGTGAGCCTACTCAGCTTGCTAATTTCCCAGAAAAGGTTAATGAATGATGTACAGCTCTTTATGAACACGCGGTCAATTAGTTCTTCTCATACGATCCAGGTGCTTCGACAGCTTCATGAGGATTTTCCTAGTTCGGACCCCGCTGTACGGCTCGTGATGCTGTTGACAGTGTTTGTGTCCGACATCTATCACAATCACACACCTCCCGCAGAGCTGTACCGGAAAATAGAGACACTGGGCTTGGCACCATTAACGAAGAAAGACCTCTTCGATATCATGACAAGTCCATTTGTAGAACGAGTGGTACCCATTATCGATATAGCCAAAGATTACGTTGGGCTGTCATCGAAAGCAGTGAGGGAGCTCGTACAGCGAGTGACTTTTAGGTGTCTGGAAATTGGCTGTAAGGTCAGCCTAATATTTCTTCGTCTGGTTTTGGGGTCTCTTACATTTTTGATAGGGTAAGACGTTGAGAAAGCTAAGGGACTGGAATACGTCGCTATCAGATTCGGTCCTCAGTCAAGCCTTCCACCACTACTCCATAAATACACACGACCTACCTCCTCATGAAGACGAGAAAGCATGCATGCTATACGAGGTCAAATTATGTCGAGATTTCAGCGCTATCAGGGCGTCGTACGCCGATGAAGCAGCCGACACCCACGATGGCCAGGAATTGGACGGCTCTGACGAGGATGAGGTGGCCATGGAAATCGACCCCCAAGATGGTGTGTCAAATTTGCAGCAACCTGACGAAGTCTATGACCTGGCAAGATTATTCAGATTGCTATGCTGCAGCCAAACAGCTTACCATCTTTCAGGGTCCTATTGGTCAGGATACGCTGACCTACATGATTCGTCAAGATGAGATGGGACCATCACGGCATCGTCGCCGGTCGAGTTATAATTACACTGGCACCTACATCCCTGATGGCTCTGGTAAACTCCAATACCCTAGTGGTAAATCTCGACATATATTTGGGGTTCACCTTTGTTAACGCGGATTCCTAGACTATCTGCAAGTTGGAAAGTGGGTGAAGGAGACATTCTCGCCTCACAGTGCAATAGCAGCCACGTTCATGACTCATGCAAGCATCAATGGCAATGACCACGTGTGTCCTTATGTATTGCAGGCATAATATGGCTCAGACTAACGTGTTTCTAGCTTCTTCACATTTTCCTAGCATCACAAATTAGTGATTACGCCTCCCAACCATCGCATCTCCCCATCACTCTGAAACACTTCAAGCTACTCGCCCACCTCGGGAGAGCACCAGTATGTCTCTTCGCCTTCTGATATCTCTGCTCCCCTGATCCCTGAATCAGTCTTGGTCTCTATATCATGCGATTCAACTTGGAGCGGAGTTTTACTTCAGTGAAGAAGATTACCTTGGTAAAGAACCGGCTTTGATCACGAAGCGTTGGAAGGGCAAAGCACGCGCTGAGATTAAGAAAGAGTCGAGCCCTATTAGCCTTCCTTTGGACGCGAGTGGCTCAACTGGCCCTTCGAAAGCTTCGAGCTCATCACGACGGAAGAGGCCAAGGCGCTCCGCAGTGGAGGTCGCCAAATCATATGTGATTCCGGATTCAGACGACGAGGCCATAGCTCCAGAGCCGGACGATAGTGACGTTATCGCATTACGGAATAATCACGCCAAGAAGCGCAGGGTTGAGACGAACTTGCAACGTTGGATTAAGCATCTTGCTTTGTTACTCTCCGAGGAGCAGAGGAAGGTCTGCACGAAGTCTTCGCGAGCATCTTCTCGGTTGCTGACATTTTTGTCTGTTCGCAGTACAAGGAAAAGAGAAAGCGTTTGGAGAGGCAGGCGCCACCAGACGTCAAGGTTCGGGTCTCGAAGGTAAGCCATCTAAGCTAATTGTCGGAATTGATGTGCCTAACCCTTCCGTCCCTGTCAGAGCGATTTCTACAAATCTTTGACTGGACAGCTGCGGGACCTCAGAAAGATTGATCTGGAGAAACGTAGGCAGTTATACGGGCCCGACGTCGCTGCGGAGGTACTCGTAGACGAGAGTGACGATGATGAGTACCATGTTCGACCTTCGAAGCGAATGCGTGTTTAGGGTTTCACCTTGGGTCGTTTGGGCGTGGACACTGGCTAGACTATGATGGACTGTTTCACTTACTACTTACCACCTTTTCCACTAATTGCCGTTCCCTTACAATGTAGTATAGCCTCCACGCATATCACCTTGTATCCACCGTGATAAGAACCCTCGATGCAAACATCTAGACCATGCCCATACATGTGCACTCAAAAGATGAAACTAACTCAGGTCAAGTTGTCAGCAAGGGTTACCACATCGAATGCCACGTGGGAAGCCATTACCATTTTGGAACGTGTCGGGTACTCATGATGGCGCCGCGGCTACTGCGAGCAGGCGCAGGCCTCTGGTCTATGAGTCCTTGCCGAACACCTCCACACCGCAATCATGGAGGGCCTTTTCTTCAATGTAAGTCTTCCCGCACTCAAAGATCCCAAGTCGTTGTTTAACGCTTGAACTCTTAACTTAGGTTGATAACGGATTTCTGGAGGGCATCGTCCGAGGGTACAAGGCTGGCATCTTGACCCAGTCGCACTACAGCAGCCTGACACAATGCGAGACGCTCGAAGGTCAGCATTCCTTCCTTGTTTGAAGCAAGCGCGCTGACTTGTGTGGTCATTAGACTTCAAGACCCAGCTGTCTGCAACTGACTATGGTAACTTCCTCGCCAATGAGCCATCCCCCATCTCCACAACCACCATCGCCGACAAGGCTACCCAGATCCTCGTCGACCAGTTCAACTTCATCAGGAGCAACGCAGTTGAGCCCCTCAGCAAGTTCCTTGACTACATCACGTACGCGTTTCGCCCGTACTCCCTTACAGTGTAGTAACTGACAGGCCCTTCGTACCTTGCGCAGCTATGGCTACATGATCGACAATATCGTGCTCTTGATTACCGGCACGCTTCATGAACGAGACACTCACGAGCTTATGGAGAGATGTCATCCGCTGGGTGTCTTTGATACCATGCCTGCGTTATGTGTGGCCACGAATGTAGAGGAACTATACCACAGCGTGCTCGTTGAGACGCCTCTTGGTATGTCTACTTCGAGGCTCCGCTGTCTTGTACATTCTGATTACCTCTTTCAGCCCCTTACTTCCGTGATTGCCTTTCTGCCGCTGACCTTGATGACCTGAACATCGAGATTGTTCGAAACACTGTCTATAAGGCTTACCTGGAGGACTTCTACGACTACTGCGCCTCCCTCGGTGGCCCAACAGCGGACGTCATGCAGAGTACGCTCGCTTTCGAGGCGGACCGCCGCACGATCAACATCACGATCAACTCATTCGACACCGACCTTTCGAAGGAGCAGCGCGCCAAGCTCTTCCCCGCCATCGGCCGGCTGTTCCCCGACGGCAACAATCAGCTCGCCAAAGCAGACGAGATCGAGCAGGTGCGCGTTGCGTGCGAAAACGTGACCGAGTATCGCGCCTTCTTCGACACATCCATCTCTGCCCAGGGCAATGGCGGCGCCTCCAACGACTATGGTGGCGAGTCGGGCGTGGCGGCAATGCTCGAGGACCGGTTCTTCCGTCAGGAGGTGTACCTCAACAAATTGGCGTTCCTCCAGCAGTTCCAGCATGGCGTATTCTACAGCTATATGAAGCTCAAGGAGCAGGAGATCCGGAACCTGACGTGGATAGCAGAGTGCATTGCACAGGATGCCAGGGATAGGATTCAAGACTTTATTCCTATCTTTTAGCTAATTCGTACAGTTGTAGGCACGCTTTTTCACTATTGACATATCATGGAAACGAAATCATAGCAGATTTGAGTTGACACCGTCGAGATGCCCTCATCAACCTAGGCATAACCTGTCTTTCCTGGCACAATGCCGAAAGCGCCTCCCCCCTTCCCAAACATCTTGCGCAGATCTCCAACCAACTCAGTAGGCTTCTCGAACGCGGCGAAATGCCCTCCGCTTTCGTGCACGCCCTCGAAGACGACATTGTTCTGGCGACGTACCCAGCTAAAGAAGCTACCGTCAACCATAAGTCTGAGTTCATGTGTAAGAGACATACGATGGAGGAACTGGGACCAACTCCTTTGGGAAGTACGAGGTGCCCAATGGAATGGTGCGGACTCCTTTAGCGAACTCGGCAAACATCCCTGCCTTTCTCACTTCATAGTAAATGCGGATGGATGATGCAGGGCCACCTCGAGAGAAATAGTATATGGAGATCCAGGTTAGAACTGAAAGAGGCAGCCCCAGCATCAGCAATGTATTAAAGGCGCTCAGAATAGGCTACGAACCCTCATCGTCGGTCCAAGGGTAGTTATCGGTCCAGACGTGCAGTTTCTCGTAAATCCATGAGAGCAGACCGACAGGACTGTCCGCGAGCGAGTATCCAAGGGTTTGAGGGCATGTGCCCTGTTCGGCGGAGTAACCGGAGCCATTCTCGCGGAACCACTTGGCACGTTCAAGATTTGCTTTCTCCTGACTAGGACCAGACAGGTACATAGTCGTGATCAGTCCTAGGAAGGATAATGGGTTCCAGACGGGCGAAGGTGGTGAAGCGCTGTTGAGTAATGTTAGACCTTGGCTGTGCGTCCAGTGAGCCTGAAGAAACCCAGAAAACGAACATAGGGAAGTTAGTGTGCCAAGCCTTGGCGTGCTTGCCGCCGTAAATTTCGGCAATCTTGCGAGTGATCTACAAGCACTCAGGAATGAGATTTAGACTCGGAGCAACATTTGGGTGCAGGCTAACCAAGTAACCCCAGTCTCCGCCTTGAGCAACTGCGTAAACGGTCATTAGCATGTTCCGATTTGAGGCCATGAGAATTTACTGTACGAACCATATTCGTTGTATCCAAGGGAAAGCATTAACTTGTTCCCCAGCTAGTAAGATGTAAACTACATGTAAATACCATGCTTGTTGAGACTAAATGATGGCGAACCTCAGCATATTGAGGGCCATGGAATCCGGGCTTCAGGACAGGTTCAGAGAAACCATATCCAGGAAGACTAAAGGCGACAACGTGGAAACTGGGGTGCTCGGGTGAAGTCTCCGTCAAGAGGGGGAGAATCTTGCGGACTTCAATGAAGGAGCCAGGCCCTGAACAAGCACCAAAGATTTCATCAAACCGTCATCCCAATGCGTATCAAGAACAGAGCGAACTTACAGCCATGGACGAACAGCAGCGGGATGGCGTCCGGGCAGTCACTCTTCTTGTGCACATAGTGGATATTGAGCGACCCAAACCCGTCGATGGCTATGTCGCGCGTGAACTGGGGCAGCTCGGCGTTGAGCGCAGCCTCGTGCTTGCGCCAGTCGTACCCGTTCTTCCACTTCCCGACGAGACGTCGTATGTCGGATAGGGGCGCGCCGTAGTCCCAGCCAGCGCCCTCGACTTCATTAGGAAGGGTGGTGAGCTCGAGCTTGGCACGCAGCCGCGCGAGCTCTTCATCTGGAACGGAAATCGTAAAAGGTGTCTCAGCCATTGCGCTACTCTGTACTCGGGTCAGAGTTAGAAAGTGAAGAGGGAGGCGCGGGGTGAATCCATATATATGTGAGCGTGTCGCGAGCCGGCGCGCGCTTAGTCACTTCGATTGTCGTCATCACAGTAATTGTTTCCGCCTTGTGATGTGAATTCCGGCCCAACCATTCAAATTGAAACCGACCACAAGCCCTAATCAGCACTTCGAGTCATGGTGAGTCAGGTAGCTATGATTTGTTCTGGAAATATGAGCAATAATGTTCTATGCAAAAACTAGCACGTAAGGAGATAGAGTCGACTCGTATTCTCCAGGCAGCTGCGACATGCTTCTCATGGCTAGCTAGCACTGGCTGCGGCGAGCACAGAGGGCTTCGGGGCACTGCCGTCATACCCGATGTGTGATTCGGCGAGCATGGATATGTCATTCGCCGTCGATGGGTCAGCGTCTTGTTGATGTTTGTCCGCCGCCTTCTGTGCGCTCTCTCCGTTGATCTCGGGGATGTCCAGGTTCTTATTAGGCACCTGCTCATCTGCCGTACCATCGTCATCCGTAGTCTGTTCCAAGAGACTGGCATCGTGTTCAACGCCAGGCGCTTGGCCATTCGCCCTCGCCCTACGTTCGTCCATCCACGGGCCGGCACCGCTCGCATCACAGCCTTCCTTGCACTGACACGAGCCACCAAGAATCGCTGGGAGACTATCCGCGTCAATAAGCTCGAGGAGCCTATCCCTGTAGTCAACACCCAGGATGTCGATCTTCTCTTGTGTTTCCTTGGATAGCCAACGCTTGACAACATTCCAAATGAATGTAAACGATGACGGCGCATTGATAATAGCGAGTCGACCCATCCTGAAAAGAAGTATGAGTGACCATAGGAGAGCTGCCTCGGTCTTTCGCGTACGTTTCGGGAAAATAATCTTGAGATATCTGGAAAGAGCTTCTTGCGAGTGACTTCACTTGCCAAAATTGAGATAGACTATATAAAAAACACCATCAGACGTGAACCCTCGGAGAATTGGATAACATACGTAAATCCTTTGAGGTCTGTAATCACAAACGCAGTGCCAATGTGTCTGCCAGCAGCACGAGAAGAGGAAGGCAATATCTCTCGGGTCAGGTTATCCGCATTCACACATATGGCATCCCAATGCTTCTCCGGGGTGATATGTTTATAGAGTTCCGGAAGGTTGAGTTCACGAAATATTTGGACGCTCACTGGCCGTCCTTGCTATGATTTGCGGAATCAATGTCGACAACTCACTTTGTGACAGTTTATCACACCAACCTTGTCTGTCTGGTTTGGTGTAAGGCTCATGTCAAGTCACACACAATAAAAGACACACCTTATGGACGAACATGGCCCAATGTTTGAGAACTTCGCTTCGACCTGGGTACTTTAGGCCATAAGCCATAGTCAAAGGTAAAGTTGTGAACTGACACACGTCAAATGGATTAATCTCCTCGTGCAACTTGTCGATGCCTTTCCCGCCGACGGTCTTGCGCCAATGCTGACAGTTCTTGAGCATCAACTTGGACTGAGGTAAGTCAAACTTGCGTGCCCGAAGGAAACGCCTGAAAGCATGAATGCCTGAGCAAACCGGTATACTTGGCAGAAAAACAACGGTGCTTACAACAATGTTTCGTCATCAGTGCCAATCGAATCTCCCTCATGGATAATCTCCTCGCCAAACACTTCCTCTTTAAATTGAGCAAGCTTACGCTGGTGCTCCGCATCTAGTACAGACATGGTTATGAGGGCAGAAGAACGGTACTGAAAGCCTAGGACGCGGTGCGAATGGTGCAACCGAGGCTGATCAGAGAGGCTGGGTACGGGGTGATCTCAGCGTTGTGAATCGTGACCGTTCACAAGGATATCGGATAGCCTCGAGGGAAAATGAGCAAGTTCAGCGGGTGTAATTGCACATCGTCTCAGAGCGTGAGAGATGCTCGAGTGCCTTGGTATCGTTGGCAGGGATAAGTTAGAACGCAACAGCGAGTCGTCGAATTGGAGTAGCTGGTTCCGATGACGGAGGGCGCCAGATTCGTCGCTGTGCATCGCCACCAAATCATTGCTGACAAGTTTTACTATTTATGGTAAGCTGACAAGGTGGAGAACCGCATCAGTCGCCAAAGGACCGAGCAAGTTACTCTAGGTTACTCTCCGTCCAATCAGAGGGGAACACCAACGCACTTCCGTCTTCCACTCTCAATTCGAAGCTTGAGTGCACGCAATCTCTGATGTACTCAAAACGGAGAAGTAAAGACCTGCAGCCTATAAAATGGTAATCATGGCATTAGCAGTCGTATCGTCCAAAACAACGTCCCCACTCAGGTGTCTACTCAGTGACCAGCCCACTATTCCTTGCACTATTCTCAACTATGCTTCTCTCAGGCTTCCAGCTTTCTGAGATGTACAAATATATGGACGCTGTCGCAGTCGCGACCACAGTCTGGGTAACATACCGCACTATGGCCAGCGTACGCGAGTGCAAGGCTGTCGCCGAATCCCTGGCAGGCCCCGTGCGCCCCGAAACGATCCCAACTTCGTTCTGGGTCCGTCTTGCCGGTCCGATGCATGGGGTCGCATCCTTTGCTCCTGTCTTGACCTTCGTGCTGGCCATCACAATCAGTGAGTTTCAGCAGCCCAGCTGGATGCTCGAGGCAGGGCTGCCAGGAATTGTGGAGTCAGCGGAGCAGAGAACCCTCATCAGAGGTGGCGCATGTGCCGTATCGCTGCTGATCGAAATGTTCATTCGCCTGACGTTTGAGCATCTGGGATCGCAGTGGCACTCGCTCGGGGTGTGTGCCTCCGTCTCGTCGCCGTAAGTGCCCACGATGGACTAAAATTATTCATTTCAGCGCCGCAAGAATGCCAAAGTGGTGACTACCGGGCCATTTTCATTTGTCAGACACCCAGTCTATCTGTACGTGACAACGGCGATTTATCCTCATGACATGCTGATAAAGGGCGTACTCTAGTGCTGCATTGGCTCAGACCGTCATGTATTCGTCCATGTACTGGTCCTATGTTCCCTTGTAAGCGTTACCTTTCAATGTTCTCGCCTTCGCTATCAAAATGCCTATTGAGGTAGGCTTCAGCTTCAGCACGCAATTCTATCTTCTCCGGCTGATCCTGTTTTTAGGAGGATGTTATTCTCAAAGATACAGACACTGCGACGGCTTATCGAGAGTATAAGCGGAGGGTCCCTTACAGGCTCATACCCTACGTATGGTAAACTGAACTTTGCAATAAGCTAGCGTTAAACCTCAAACAAACTGACAAACTGTGCTAATCCCGCTAGCGCAAATATAACTGCGCCTTGGCCTCCTGAGCAAGCGTGATGAGCTCCGCACTGTCCTTGTTCACCAGCATACGCTCACCGCCGGCATCAGACCTTATCTTATCCATGACCATTTTGATTCCTCTCCCATTGAGCCCGGTCCACTCTTGGACTAAGCGTCCATTGAAATGCCCCTTCAGCCACTCTCGCTCATGCTTATCTCTGACCATCGCGTCCCACTCGCCCTTCTTTCCAAAATGTTCTAGCGCTTCCTTCTTCACCTCTTCGACGTCTTTTGAGCACCCTGGAGAGGTGGCATGGATGCGTGCCCAACTCAAGAATTCTCCGTACATTGTGCGCTCTTCGCCCAGTTTATGATTTCCGCTCGTGTCAAGCTTTGCGAAAGCGAAGAACCGTGATGTTACGGCGAAGCGAAAGATGGCCTCCTGGGTGGTGAAGCCTTTCTCCCAAGTGCTCAATGAGAGACCCATAAATTCGAATGCTTCTGACGCAGACGAGGTGAGAAGGGTAGGTGGGTTCGGGTGTGGACTTGTCATCTGGCAAGATTGGTTCATGAGCAACCTAATATTCAGATTGCCTTCTTATCTGAATCACGACTGACCTTCATCCCTTTCGTTCCAATAGAAAGGCCACAAGCCCTCGCTGTGGCTGTAATGATCATTCCGAGGTCGCCATACCCATGAATAAGTAGTATGTTCCGAAGCTCAAGCTCCGAAGCGCAAACATGAACGTCGACCTGGACGTATTTCTGCCCGTCCGATGACGCAAAGTTGCAGGACCTATGATGGTTCCTCTTGAGAGGGACAGCATAATTCGAGGTCCTATTTTCGGACATAGCCAACACATCCACAGCACCGAGTGCGCGTTTGATATCTTCATGATTACTGCCGTCGTCACTCGCGTTACGGGCGATCGGTCCGAGCACGAGGAAGTCTATGTCTCCGTAGTCAGCTTTGCTTGGCGGCTCCGCTGGTATCTCCACACGCTCGTACAAAGGTTTGAGTGCGGAGAGGTAGAAGTCCCTGAGCTCAAAGTAGAGCTCAGGGGGGAGACGAGGGAAAGAGCTCGACGTAAAGGCTGGGTTTTGGAGAAAAGCGCGACCACCCATGTGGAGAAATATGGTCTATCGGTGAACGTGAGCAGATCAGCTGGAAACGGGTTTTTAGCGCTAGCGCTCATTGTTAGCTTTCCCCTTTAAATGCCAGACATGCTGTACATGACGGAGTCATCTTGATTTATACTGACTCGCTATGGTCCTGCCAGTGATCATAGGTACCCTTACGCAAGCAATTTGATGAAGACGAAGTATCCTGAGAAGGTTTGGCTCAAATTCAAGTAGGGAGGATTAATGAGAGGTGTTCTGTCTTGCTTCAACGAAGACAAATTTTACGGCCTACGTAGCCAAACTAAGAAAGGACGTTGAAGCTATTGGCTGCTTGCAAGATGTAGCAGAGCACAGCATTACGTCAGCGTAGCACGCAGTGAACGGGATGAGTGTGCGGAACACATCGCCCTGTTTCGCCACTCGTACATCAACATCTCAACAACCATGTCCAAGTACGCACCGCATCATAAATCCAACAACAACCCTCGCGCCAACGCGTCCACAGTCTGCCAAAAATGTTTGGGTCGGGGTTTGTCCACGATACGCCACCTCTGAATACCGAGTTGAAGCTGACCTCTTCTATGACAATTTGTATGCGGCAGGCCATTTCATATACGAGTGCAAGTCGACGCGTCCGTACATCTCGCGGCCTTCTCGCACGGAGATCCTCGAGAATCCAAAGTCGCTGGCTAAACTGAAGGACGCAGGCAAGCCGTCCGTCGAAGTTCCGGAGGAATTCAAAAACAAGTTCGTCATTGCTCTCAGGACGAGTAGACTCATGCTCATTTGCGACATTTTCAGGAGCGGAACTGCGAATCGCATCCTCGAGGCGAAGGAGAAGGAGAGGCAGAGTGAGAAGTCGGAGGAAGCTGCTCGGAAGCCCAGTAAGAGACCTAGGAGGTCTATCTCTTCAATCCACCTCTTGAACCTACCTGACCTCATTGTACTTGTACAGGTCTTCACGGTCTTCTTCTGAGAGCGACTCGAGTTCTGGTTCTGATTCGGACTCGGATTCAGGCTCGTCCTCAGCCTCTGGTTCCTCTTCCGGGTCTTCGCGCTCAAGCGACAGGAAGCGGCGTGTACCGCACAGAAGGAGAAGCCCCTCTTCCGAAAGTGGCGACAGCCACGACAGTCGTGGATCCAAATGAACAGGTTATATTATCATTGCGCCACCGCCCTTTCCTTCTTCGAACATCATTATCATGTAAAATACGCTCCTTCACCCCACACACCAGTAGAAATTCGTACGAGCACTCAGAGCGTGACACATCAGGGTGCAATTCAGCAGGTGACGCCAGTAACTCTCGTGTTCATGAGGAGGGCTACGATGAGTCTATACAAGGTCGTTTAACTTTGATTTCGGGCTTAAAGTGAACTAGCACACACCCGTACAAACCCAACACTTCGGCGAAGATCAAGATGAGGACCATTGAGACGAACACCCGGTTCTCGTAGACGTATGCGCGAACGCACTGCATAGAGGAGTTAGTTCTGTAACTTTCCGTATAAGACTGCTGCATACCGCATCTCCAACAAGGCCAATAGCATATCCGGCAGCCAGGCCGGTGAGACCGCAAGAGAGGCCAGCACCTAGGTGAATAAAACCTGATGACAAGGGGTAGTCGTTTGGAGAGACTGCGTATATGCGTCAGTCACATGTGCTCGTGTATGATTCAAGGGAGACATACGGCCTCCTGCTATCAAGACTGAAACGACCAGGCCGTACACGGCAATGATACCAGACATGACGACAGGAACGAGCGACTAAACGTTCAATGCAAGTCGGCATTTGCGGTCGCTGCTGCGTGCTGCGAACGTACCTTCATGATCAGCTCTGGGCGGAAGCTGCCCAGGCCGGCAATGGCGATGCCGGACTTTGACGTTCCGAAAGCTGCACCGACAGCTGAAGGTACGTGGATTTAGGACGTGTAGGTTATTAGCCAACCGGTAGACTTACTGCTGAATATCATCTACGACGTGCAACGTTAGCTGGAACTTGAACCCGGAATTCATGAGGGAAACTCACTGCAGACGCTACACCGGCAAAGCCGAAGAAAGGAGCGAAAGGCGGGCACATCTCGGATGACATGTTGAGCGGATACAAGGAAAGAGCGTCAGAGGAATCGATGCTACTGTCGTCGTTGCGGTGAAGGTGCCAGACTGTCAGACGTTAGTCCCCTCACAGAGTCACACACGTGACGCCTGGGGCTTCTAGCGTTTGGCGCCGAACTTCAGTACTTCATTGCTTCAGTTGCAATACATAAGAGGTCTGTACCAAGTACTCGCGTGTGGTTCATCTCACTCCAGAAGAGCATACACACTCCTGAATGACAACTCATGAGCCACTCGAGACCACCAGATGAACACTTTTACTTGCTCCCTATTTCGTGTTCCAGTCCTCTCTTACTGTAAATCCAGGACTTGTAGGCTCAAGACTAGGCACCCAACTTTATGTCAAACAGCCCTGCACGTCTAGGCATGCAAAATGATGTTTAGTGCAACAGCAAATTATGAATGTGTATCTAAAATGTCTATGAGAAAGCGACTATTTCTTCTTGACCGCCTTTATTCGGATTTGCTCGTCCCCAATGAAGACACCCTAAGAAAAGAGTTTTATAAGTGATGCACAAAAAGTGATGTAGTAAGCGAAGATCACATACCTTTCCCTTGTAGGGTTCTGGAGGCCTGAGCTTGCGCACCTCGGCAGCAAACAGTCCAAGACGCTGTTTGTCATTGCAGCTAAGCACAATCTTTGTTGGCGAAGGCACCTCTGCCTTGATGTGGGCAGGTATCGGGACATAAATGACGTGACAGTGTCCGAGTTTCATGTTGAGTCGCTTCCCGCAGCCACCATCCACCGTACCTCTTGGGTCCTCCTCGAGTATCGCGCGGTAACCAACGCCGACGAGGTACAAGGGAACAGTGAAGCCCTCGGTCATACCAATGACCGCGTTGTTGATCAAAGTGCGCGTCGTCCCCCACATAGCGCGTTGTTTCTTAGTCTCTGCGTCCTCCACAGCGACATTGAGAAGGTTCGGCTGAGGGAAGGTAAGCCGTATGAAGGGATCGAGAGGGACGGAGGTAGTGCCGAGCGGACCCGTCACGGTAACGGCGGTGGATGTAGGAGTGAGGGTAACATTTTGAGGAACGTTGATGGGTGCCTTGCCAATGTGTGATATGTGCACGGAAACCCTGGGCGTCGAGCTGAAATGGCGGACAGCCTGCCGAAAGACTGGTCTGGGGAGCATACTTTGTCACCACAGCACTCCGAGTTGCTTGGCCGACAAAAGTGAAGGAGCGTGTAAAGTATCCGTACCCAGGGCTCGGTCTCTTTACTCCCGAGCGGACTTCGGCTAACTCGGTCCTTGCCTTATCTCCATGAAATGGATTCGGCCACCCACCTTACATATACATACCTGTTGTCGTCGCTCAAGCTCAAGCTCAAGTTCAGCTTACTTGACGTATGCCTCGACCCCACGCATCATGGACCCCTTGGCCGGCGCAAAATCTAGTACTACTCTGTGGTTCCTACTAACTCTCCGATACAATCCTCACTTTTGATCTATCTTGTCCTCGGTTATCCGGTCTAAAGTTGTGAGCTTTGGCGAGGTCCTATCCAGTACGCGCTAGCCCCGGTACAAAACAAAAGTTGGCGAGTCTACTTTATTCTCAATTGGTTTCCTGTCTCTTCTGGCTCAGGTCTCTCTTTGAGTTCCTTTCAATGTTCTACAGCACTTCAGTCTCGGTACCTGTCGGCTTCGACGCTCGTGCTCATGGATAAAGCTAAAGATAACGCTCAGGATGATTACCTATTCCGAGGTTGACAGTCACGATGACAATCAATCCACGAGGTTGGCTACTGACAACGCTCTGCTCAGGAGAGTTGGATATAGGAGCGAGATCATGTGAGAGTCTCCGTGAGTTGTCTATCTGACGCCCCAAGCTGCACACTAGGCAAACAACGCTGGCGCCATGTAACTTCTGGAGACAATCCTTCTCCCTGTCTGCCCTGACAGTATCCTGCAGTTCCACAACAGCTTACTAGTATCCGCTACTGTCCGGTACAGTCAGTTGAATGACATCGGTGTGCATCTCGCTGAAATCCTACGGACGGATATATGGCCTCGGTATAGCTATCATAACCTTCCATATCATGCATTGTTGTGTTAATGGCAGAGCTTACCTCGTCTGTCCCAGAACTAAAATTTCAACAGAACATCTGCCTGATACTGATAATGATGCAAAACCCCTCGCAATCAGCGCGGGGCCTTACTATTTCTTCGAAGAGAGACGCTCTGCCTTGGGCCCGCTGGATAACGGGGTGACTGAGTATTACTCCTCAAACCATCTTTTATGCTCAAGTTCCCAGCATAGACGACAAGGGTTACGAAGGTATCAAGAAGGAACCGACGCAGTGTATAACCTGAACTAGCTGGTACGAATTACCAGGTGCGATAGTGAGATGCGTTTCATATTTTCTATTCTCTTTTGAACTTGAAGACGTCGTAGAGTTTGCTGGTGGCTGATCAATAGACGATAAATCCTCCTCTCAGACGGTTTTGCTACCTAGGATGAACGTGAAGAACGCAAACTGGATAAAAGTGGGGGGCCGGACTCTTTAGACTCTACTTTTGTGAACTTTCTTTGGCTACTTGATCGTTTCTTGTCTTGTGACACTGACGTCCCCGGACCGCGCCGTCAATTCATCATCGGCGCGTTCTCGCCAACGCTTCTCGTGCATAGCAAAGGTTCTAATTTGCCTTCATCGCCAACGTCCAGCGTAAACATGCATCCGCTCCGTGCGTCACGGACATTGACGGAGTGAATTCTCCCCAGATATCGGCCTCCGTTCGCTGTTCTGACTGTGAAGGATATCTGCAACTGTCTGGGCCGCTCTCAGCACTGGGCATCAGCTTCAACGCTTGCGCTTGATAGCAATGCTAAATATACAACCTTGGCGTGGGCGTCGTCTGGCACGCGGTATCGCTGGGGCTGGGCGATAAGAGCGAGGAACTAAAGGGGGCACTCCGTGCTCTGAGGTCCTGCGAAGGTCATGCCCTTATCTTCTACAGTCAGTTGCCTATAAGTATTTCAACGGTCGTCATACGCTTCTTCAGCCCTGGTTTGCTCTCAGGGATCATTCATCGATACTTTCTCCTCAATTGGCATGGCCAAAACCAAGGATGACGCTCTTGTCACGTCCTCTGAAGTTGATAGTCAGGATGACCTGGATGTCAAGCGTTCGGCTGCTGATAACGCGCTCCTCAGAAAGTGGGATATAGGAGCGAATTTAGGCGAGAGTTTTCGGTGTGTTGTTTGTCTGAAAGCTTTACTTCTCTTGCAACTAACCAAACGCTACATCGCCCAGCTGCTAGAGACCGTGTCATTCTCCTTGGCTATTATGGCAGTATCTTGCGGTATCACCACAGGATATCAATATCCTTTGCTGTCTGGTAAGACCAACGACTCATGTCGGGTTATTGCTCTCAGTCAAAATTCCTAGGTGGCCATATGGCCATTATATGGGCCTGGTTCATAGCATCGTTCCCCGTCATGTGCATTCCTGCATCAATGGCAGAACTTGCCTCATCTATGCCGTACGTGTCCGAAATGGGCATATTTCATGGATTGGACGAAGACAAACCTCTCGCAGAACTAGCGCAGGCCTTTACTACTTCTCTGCTAAAATGGCCTCCGAAAATCGCTCTGCCCTGGCCAGTTGGATTACGGGGTGGTCAAACATCACCGGTCAGATCACTCTTGTCTGTTCCATCAACTACTCTAGGTAAGCTATATCTTATAGAATTATTACCGAGGTTCAATCTGACGCAGCGTCGAGTGCAATCATGATCACGTCGGCCATCTCAATGGCCACAGATGGGGCCGTAATTTTGACTCAGGCGGCCACGTTCGGAATCCTGATGGCCATTCACTTCACGCAGGGTATCATCTGCTCGGCTGGGACGCGTGTCCTCGCTAGAATGACTGTAGTTATCATGGTGATTATCTGTTAGTCTGCCGCCCGCATGGATGTTTGAGTGGACTGCTTACAACTCGGGCTGCACTCAGTGGGCACTACGTTCTCTGCCATCATCGCTCTGCTTGTGTGCGCAGGTGACAGGAGAGTATCCGCCAAAACGGCGTTCACCTCATTCGAAAACAACACTGGGTGGGGGAACAGTAAGAATTCATACTCGAAACGGTCATTCGTATCTCACCGCTCATAGATGGATGGGCCTTCATTCTGGCATTTACCTCACCGATGTGGTCCTTGACTGGTTGTACGTAGGCGTCTTGCATACTCATGCCTTGTGACTTCCATTGATCCGGTTCAACAGATGACTCCGCTGCTCACATCGCTGAAGAGACGGCAAACGCCGCGAGAGCTGCGCCGATAGCGATCCTTGTTGGCGTAGCGGCCACAGAGATACTTGGATGGTTATATTACATTGCAGCCTCTTTTGCGACGCAGTCAGTCACGGAAACCCTGCAGACTACTTTGCCTCTACCCATGGGCCAGGTCTTTTTAGATACTTTGGGTAAAACGGGATCTCTGGCGTTGTGGATACCCATTGCTGTGCTTCAGGTAAGCTCAAACGTTGTACACTCAGCTCGAAGGTAGCTGACAACTGGTATGTGTAGTACATGTGCGGATGCTCACAGGCTGTTGATGCTTCTCGAGTCGTGTTTGCTTTCTCCAGAGATAATGCATTGCCCGGCTCACGCTGGTGGAAACATATCAACCCTTATACCCTCACTCCAATCAACGCTGTCTGGTTTGTCATTCTTATGTCGGCCATCTGTGGAATTCTTTCGTTCTCTGCAGCAGCGTTCGATTCCCTCGCTTCGTAAGTGGATTTTTCACTCTGTCAATTGAGGTGCTTACGTGTGACAGTGCTTCGGTCATCGGTCTATATGTTTCCTACGTCACCCCCATATACTTTCGGATTACCTCTGGCGAGAAAAAGTTTAAACCCGGGCCGTTTAGCTTAGGGAGATGGTCAAGACTATCTGGAGCCATCTCCGTTTTGTGGACAGTATTCATGGTGATCATGTTGCTGTTCCCATATGCACGCCAAGTAGACGCCCAAACCATGAGTGAGTGAACGTGATTCACCTTCGCTGTCTCTTCTCACTCTCTTCGCGAAGATTACTCCGTGGTACTGGTAATGGCGGTTGCTTTGTTCGCTTCCCTATCCTGGATATTCTCCGCGCGGCATTGGTTTACCGGGCCCGTACCCAATATAGACAACAAAAAGTATGAGAATGAAAAAGAGGAGAGTACGTAGTATACAGTCTTGATTGTCAGATGTAATATGCAAACCACATGGTTACTTGTCTATGATAGCGACGCTCCGACGAGAGTGGGGGCGACGCACACGCCGTCCTTCGTACGTATACGGTGCACGCTTTTTGTCGCGGGGTTAACCCATGCCGCCTCTTTGGAGTCCAGAGTAATGAAGCCGGGCTGGATAGTCTCGAAGATCTTCTTCTTGGGGTTCATCTGGGACAATGGCGTGCCATCTATGTTTGAGTCAGCTTTTTATACTAATACAGAGATATGTCGACCTACTTTCATATTCTGGACCCTCGAAGTAGACCCGCTCGCCAGGTTTTGAGCCGGCGGGAGGCTGGATCAACTCAATGCCACCTTCCTTTCCTTCCTTTGCAGTAGCACATAGCACCATGGCAAAGCTCTTGACACCGCGCATGTTGGCAGGTTTAAGGTTGCACTGGATGTCACATACGTCAAAGAATCGGAGTTTCGTCGAGGAGGATCACGTACAACAGCAACAAGGTACTTATCCCGCATTTCCTCGATGGGTATGTAGTGCACCAGACCAGAGACCACAGTCCTTGGCTCATCCTCACCAACATCGATTTGCTATGCATGGTGCTTTAGCCCATGTGACAAAATCATGGTGCAATGAACGTACCTCAACGTACAAGCCATCCGCGTCTGGGTGTTTCTTGACTGCATAGTGTGTGTCAAAAAGAGGCACACTTTCTCAAACGGCTGACACTCACTATCAATGATGTGACCGACCCGAAGGTCGACCATAGATGGCACAGGCTCGCCAGCATCCTCTGCCGTTGCACTGCCCTTGCCACCAGCCTCACTTTTCTTCTTTCCGCCCTGTTCAGCAGGTGCGGCACCCTCCTTTTTCTTCTTCTCCTTTTTCTCTTTGGGAGCCTTGTCCTGAGTTGCCTCAGGGTTTCCCTCTACTTTTGCAGCAGGTGCAGTGGCCGCACTCTCCGCGCTGGCTGGCGCCTTCGGAGCTTTCTCCTTTTTCTTGGGAGGCTCGACCTTGCGCTCGATAGGCGGTGCGTTTTCAATTCCAAGGCTAACAACCGAGAAGGAGAGCTGGTCGGCCGCGGTGCGAACTTCCGGACGTGACTGGATATGGTCGAAGTAGCGGGTCAAAGAAGGAGTTGCGTGTATTTGCGCATGGTTTTGTTGAGACTATAATAGTATGATAAGGGAATCCACAGACATACGCATACAAGTTAGTGCTACGTACCACAAGAGGGTGAAGAGCGCCATAGAGGGCAACATCCGCGGCGGAGAAGTAATTGCTGACAGCATATGTGCGTTGGACGAGCAGAGCATCGAGGTCCTGTATCCATACGATTTTAGTTTCGTCGCCATATCTAGTTTTCCTGCAAACGAACAAATGACCTTGAGAGATTCTGCCTTGATCTCCCCCTGCGCGACCTTGTCTACCCAAGATGCAACTTCAACCTGATCTGCCCCAGTCGTCCCTGGCGAGGCAGCGGATTTGGTGATGAGATCCTTGACAGACGCGTGGAGTTTGGCGACGGACACGTCGAGGGACATGGTTCGTCGGAGATGGATGAGGAGTAAGTGCCGGTTCGACGCCCGGATCGATCGAGTCAAGATTCCGTGCATGCTAGATAAAATAAAAGCCACGTGATGGTGCTAAGTAGGTAACGAGCAACGCGTCGGGCCAGAGTCAGCCTCAAACGCGCGCTTTTCGACCCTGACATGGAGCAAGCAGAAACTAGTTGAGCAAAGATACTTCATAGAGATCAACACTACACGCCGCTACTTAATCGTATCTCCCTTTACCATCAACGGCGAAGTTGTTTGTCACCTTTCGAAGAAGAAAATCTCCATACTTCACTGGCGCGTACTCCTTTGTCTCTAATGATCTATTCTTCTCTATAATACGGAGGGCAGCAGGAAGAGGGGTGACATTTGCGGAGAAGTTGGGCTCGAAGAAAAACGGTATCCTGTCAGTTTAGTCAGCGTTGAAAACATATCTCACTCGGCAAATCTGCACGAACGAAACCCTAGAAGTACTCATCAGCATCTCTCCTCACAATACTGGCATGAAGACACTTACCGATAATTTGATCCACGGTGGACTACCCTGTGCAACGTACTCTTGTATAGTCCCTGAGTCCAGATCTCCCACACTGGCGCATTCAGCAACCTCGCACTTCGAAGTCTAGGTGGAGACAGGCTTACTCTCTCCAATGTTACACACAACACAGCCAGGAATAGGATCTGCGTCAATCCATACGCCATCCTCTGCCCCATTCTCTGTTGGCAATCCGTTTGTTTGGGACGGACGAGCCCCTGGCTGCTTCACGAATACTTGCAGTGCGGACTTCGTTGGATCGGCATAGAGAAAGCTAGCCGACTCTTCCTTCAGTTCCTTAACCTTGTATTGAAGATAGCTGCATATATGCTCACGTCAAACACCCATAATCCCTTTGCAGCACCGATCTTTAGTCGCTTGCTCAAACAGCGAACTTTGCTGGCTTACTTATGTGCACCACACGAAAAACCATCGTAGTCATTCGGCAGTGGAGGGTAACCTTATTCTTACTTAGCTTTTCGGTTCCGAGCAATACACACACCGGGGATGATCAGCTTACCAATGATCCTCATCACCCAGAACGAGTCGTCCACTTCATGCTTGAGCGCCTCCCATTCGTCCTTCGCCATTCCAAGGCCGATAGCCATCCTAGCCAGTACGTCTCGTAACCCTCTCGGTAGGCGGAAGACAGAAGGAAACGTACGCTTCCATGACAATCATGCCAAGATTCTTCATCTTTGCAACCCACGCGTCGTATTTCTCCTTAAACCCCGGCACATCGGGCCACTGGTTCTCTCCCCACAACGGCTTGCTTTTGTCAGGCAACTCCACTGGCTTGTAGAAGTCGATGCCTTCATGATTATCTGCCTTTCCACCAGTCACATTTTCCTGAAGCCTTTGATATCCTGTGTACAAGCATAGGTGTGTTAGGATATTAGGGTAAGAGCGACACGGATGACGAGGAAAGAATGACCGCGAGCGAAGTCCTGGTGTTTGATGGAGATCTTGTCCTTATCCTCCTGCGGCAGGGCGAAGAACTTGCGCGCGAGCTGAGTCAGATCCTCTGGCTCCGACTTATCGACGAACTTGGAGATGTCGAGGTAAAAGAAACCATACTTGAGACAGGCGGCGTGGAGAGCAGACGAAACGTCCTGGCGCGCCGACTCGTCCGCTGCAGGATCAAGATAGGGGCCAATGTCTATGATCGGGAGTCCGGCTGCCTCGCGGTTGGACATTGGGATTGTAGGCATTCAAGTAGTTATACAATGCTCAGGGCAAGGTTAAGGCGGGGTGGACACGATGTCAGTTTGGACTGAAGGTGCGTGAAGGTCTGTTCTTTGCCTAGTGCCAGGCGCACTCCGTTGTTTCGCCCACGAGATAAGATAAGGAAATAAGGACGTGTACAGTAATGCCAATTGAGTGATGCGTCGTGGTCTACAGTCAACAAAATATTCTAATAACACGACATCAAAAGTGAGTTATTACAGACTATGCATATGAACATTAGAGATGCGGGCATTTGCGAGCAGTGATTTCGGCTATCGGTATAGTCCGTTTTCAGGCCACTGCTGCGAGTATATCGTGCGTCCCGGGTTTTGCGGCACTCCTGCGAACCCACCACTCGAGTCCTGTATGAACCCGCTTGCAGGACCAGTGTACTGGCCTGCCCAGCCAGATCCGGGAGAGGCGTATTCTTGCGCTGGCATTGAATCGTGCGCATAGGGAGAACGCGAGTCTGTGTGCGCGCTCCTCCGTGGCGGCGTACTATGCCCATTCCATGACGCGCTAGGTAGACCATAAACACCATTGCCGTTGACTTCCTCGTAGACACTCCGTGTCTCCCGCGCGGATCTGCTCCTACTTGACCGCGATGAGACGCGCCCTTCAGGGTGTTCGTCTGTGCTCGAGTGTCGCCTGCTACCCTCTCGGTGTGAAGATTCGCGAGCTGTTGAACTCGAGTTGGCGGTCACGGACGGCTTTTCTTTCCCGTTGGCAAGAGCCTTCGCCTTTCCCTTAGCGATGGCCGCCTTGCCATTTGTTTGTGCCGAGCTTGAAGGTGGTACAATAGACGCGGACTGGAGTTGCTGTGAAAAAGCTGACATAGCTGGGATGCCATCTGCGTCTTCTCTTTCCTTCGCCTCTCGTAGCCGCAAGGCCTCTTCAAGCGAGATTGATTGCGGTATCGTATCTGAGAATAGAAATTAAGGACATACGAGCAAGGTAACTGTGAGGGCACCCTACCCTGAAGAAACATAAACTCTTGATATTGCTGCACCGACATGGCTGCAATAAATTGAGTCGAAATCACATACACGGATGGGGCATGTTAACATACCCATGTCAGCATAATGGACCATGTTCCGACGCTGTGACGACGCTTCGCGGTGACCTGCCTGAGCCATTCGCTTTATGAACTCCTCCTAGTAACAAGACGCTCGGGTCAGAGCTCGCGAGATGAATGTCTGTAGTAATCTTGCTCACCGTTGCCACGGATAGGACAAATGAAGCTTCCTTAGACATAGTCAGCGCACCTGTCACACCTGACCATGGCATAATGTAAGTGAAGTATTTGACGCGTGCCGCTGCAACATGTTTAAGCACACACCATCCGCCTGCAGTATATTTTCTAGCCGCGACACGGGGAGCGTGGTCGAGCCTGGTGCGCGCGAGTAGACCTTTTTGCCTGTCTTTTTTTGGCCGGGCTGCTCGGCCTGGGCGGTGTCCTCTTCCGCTTCCGTTGAATCCGAGTCCAGCTCATCCACCTCGGCTTCGTCCTCGAAGTCGGCAGGCAGGTCATGAAGGTTGGATTGGTCCGCCGTCTGGTCGACGTCCATGGCACTGTGGTGCACTGACGATGGAGGGACTGATGAGTTGTCCGAGTAGAAGGAAGCCATCACTGGCGGGAGAGGAGGATGGCTAGTGAGGGGGGAGGAGGCAGAGGAGAGGGGGTGCCAGGTGGATGGGGACTAGGGATGATCCTGGGTCGGGAAGGCGCTGGATGGAGGATGGGGAGGGTGCGGAGGGAACGCGACAGGAGGACACGGAAGAGGAAGTTCGGTATGAGAATTATTGGAGGGATCGTGCAAGGGACTACTACTAGCCACATCACCCGCAGGACGCGTCTACACTCCCTCCCCTACACCCGTCCGTTAATCCGCCTAATAGCATCCTGTGACGCGCCTTTCATTTGCACAAGAGCGGCAGAAAGCAATTGATGAGGGGTGTCGCAGACCGAAATGTACTGCATTATCTGGAGGCAGCAGGGTCGTCATGATTTGGTAAAGTACAGAAACGCGAGAGAGTGGAGAGTGCTAGTAATTGCTACATCTGATTATTGCCAAATATTAATGTAAAGTAAAGCTTATGCCTATCACATCCTTTCTGTCTTCCACGGCTTAGAACATCGGCTCAAAACATATAAGCCTAGTACCCAATTACTATATCCGCACATTTACTCGATCTTGATAGTAGTGTGTGCCTTGTCCTCCACCTTGGGGATAGTCAAAGTGAGGACGCCATGATCCAGTTTGGCCGACACCTTTGAGCTGTCGACCATCTGGGGCAACCACACAGTTCGAGAGAACGTGCTTGACGAGATGCTAGATGCGCGTTCAGAGGCGAGTTCGGTTGTTGACGGGTCTGACTTCTGAACAGCACCAGCGTTCACATCGGCTGAAGGCCCGGGAGCGCCTATGGGAGAACAATCAACTAACTAATAGATTGTACTGACAAACAGACCCTTACCTTCTAAGCTGGCAGAGCTATCGCTAGTATTGGTTTGGGAAATGTTGTCATTTCCGTTGGGATCGAAGTCTCCTCCACTCCTACGGCTGAAAACCTTGCCTTCGATTGTGACACTGCGACCGTCACCCCCTATCCTGACATTCAGATCCTCCTTCTTGACTCCGGGCAACTCGGCTTCAACGATGTAATTGCTGCCTTCTTCAGTAACGTCTAGCGCAGGGCGGGACGTCTGAAAAGATCCGATGAATGGGTCGTCGAAGAGGGAGTAGCGGTGTGAGTTGAGCGAAGCTGGTGCTCTGCCCAGCGGCTGCTCGAGCATCTGGAAGAAGGGCCGGAATTCGCGGAAGAGTTGCCGAGCGATAGACATGTTGGTAGTGGATCCTTTACCTGATGAAATCGCGAAGGGGACCATAGATCGCCATTTTATACACAGGCGTACTGTGGTCGAGAAAAATCCAGAAGACACGCGGCCATGTTCTAAGACTTGACGCAAGGGCGTAAGGGAGTAACCCCTGGCAGTTTCGTCATTTCGCCGGCAAGTTCCGGAGCCTTCCGTTCAGCTTCCAAAAATAACACATGCACACCCAACGTCCGCATCGCTGTAAGAGAGCATGGTCGTGGAATCAATGATCATACTACATCACTCTAATACAGTACATGGTAGCCAAGTGTCCGAAAGAGAAACAAGGAAGATGTATCTATATTCCAGGCCATTCTACAACCCACTGTGCTTGCACCGAGTGCTCTTGGTCGTCATCATCCTCAAACTTTAGCTTATACGTGGGTATATGTTTTGAAGAAGTCGCCTTTTGGAGCACAGTCAACGAAAAGAAACTTCACAAAATAACGCTCCTTACTCTTCCTCCAGGGACAAGGTCCTTTGGAGAGGCAATCACTTCAGCTCGGTAAAAGCAACTTGTATCTGGATACAAAGCCATGACCGTAGACCCCGCTGAAAATTCCGGATAGGCATTCAAATGTGCAGCGTTATTGGACTGCACGTTAGGATCAGGTAGGGGTATAATCGCGCGCAGTGTAGTGTTGTATCGTCTGAAAAGGGTGCGATCAGGATCAACTAACCCGATTGCAGTATTAGAGGCAGTATCTTACAATCCAGGTTGGCCGTCCTCCTGGGGTTCCACATCCTGTACCTCGTACCTGAGAGTACATAACCAGACATCAGAGCGCCAGAGAAATTACGACGAAGGCCCATATATTTCTTACCGATTTTTGTCTTGGTTTATACATTTTGTGATGACAGCAAGGATCCAGGTATTTTCGTCCCCATCAGTGTTCGTACCATCGGCCGTCTTCCCCGACGGCGGATGGAAGGCTACTTTCCGTCCTTCCTGCAAAGGAAGCTGTTTGGCTAGCGCCTCCCTTCGAGCTTTTGGCTCACGCGAGAAGGGTATGGCAGGAGTTGGCCCGACAGAGCCCCGTGTAGAATTTGAATGCAGTGATGCACGCCCATTTCCCGGTTGAGGCGTGCCTCCCCTAGCTGGTGGAGATGACGGCCGTGGTCTCTTGTTGCGTTTTTCTAGACAGTTCCTCTGAATCATGGTCCTTAAATTGAGAGAGTGAACCAACCTGGAAAGTCTTCCGAGGCTTTCCTCAGAGCAATGAGGACGCTTATTTGCTCGATGGCCTCCTTAATAATCCTGAGAAATATCAGTCAGAGTTCTACAGTACGCTAATAAACCTACTTTTCCTCTTTTTCACTGTTCTCTTTAATCTCTTTAAGGGCGGATGATAGGCGCTTATAGTTCGCTTTGGTTGACTCATACCCTTCTCCGGGCGAGGAGTCTTCAGGGGGCCACGACGTAAGCAGCTTATTAGCGCGAGCTATTGTCTCTAATGAAACGCTATTTGAAGCAGTATAAATATTTGAAAGAGAACTGAGCGAATTGGACGCCTGTGTCCAACACTGAACCTCTGCGGGATGACACTTTCAACGCGGGATCACTTCGCGAGGCACGTGGTTTACTTACCTTCGGATGACGCTGGTCGCACGGACCCCCGTCTTCGGTCCATATTACGGATAGAGAATGATAGAGTAAAGTAAGGTATGGGTACACTCTGACCGTTCTGCACCGACCAGGAGGCCAGGTCAGTAGTGGACGCGATGGTTATGGTCGAACTTGTGTAACTACTGGAACTTCCTTTTGCGGCGCTAAGTGGTCGCGGAATATTCGGAGCTTTTAGTGATGTAAGAGTCCTCGTTGTGATGCTTCTCAGGGACACGGGCCTCGTGCTCGGCGCTTAATTGGGACATACATCCTGACGTTTGCATTGCATCCAGTACACCACGACAACGACGCTGTGCATAAGTGGATCGCACAAATTACCGCAAGCATACTTCTACTGCCATTTTCTCATTGGCCACAAAAACGACAAATGAGCTCTACTTCGCGAGATCGCCAGGGTTTGCAAGTTTTCGGAGAGAAACATCATACACAACTATAACGCTTACCGTCAGTTTCATCTATAGACACACATACTTAATAGAGGAACATACCTTCTTCTATTTTTTGAGGTCATATTTCAAACTGTCGAATCTTCGGCGGAGTGTATCATTTTTCAGGTTAAGCTACGGGTCAGAGCAAGTGCAAGGTAATCGTTAGCCACTAGTCACTAGTGACCAGGTGGCGCTCACAGACTGACCATGGAGAACCCTGCGAACAGTTCTTTGACGAACAATGAGATCCTGATGGGCTCATCATAGTCGCCGAGAGTCACTGCATTAACAGCCAAGCGGGACTACCATTGCATATGCAGATCAGCCTCAACATATAGCGGGAGCTTAATTTTCTGCATACCAGTTCATTGACCATCGTGATGAGGCCCAGTAGGTAATCCTCCACTGGCAAAGAGAATCTGTCTTTCCACTCGCTTTTGACTACGCGACATGAGATTCTCTGGTGAGCTCATTTGCTGTAAGGAGCTATATGAGGGTACACACTACCGAGGATTTTGGCGACGTCATCGAGAGGTATCAGATTGCGAGTTGCCAAGTACTCGACGAGAGCGGCAGCATAAACTGCAGTCCGCAAAGAGTTGGTCCACATGTCTTTCCACCTCCAAAATTGATTGGGTGGAATGATGTCAGCCATAGCAGTGCTAGTCTCCTGACAACTGGACAACATAGGGCGGACCGAGTCAAGTATAGCAGGAACTACAGACAGCGGGCAGTCATGAAAAAATCTCCATTCTGATAAAGATGCGAACTAGATTTCGAGGGGGTTGAGTGGATCTTGCTGAGCGCGCCAACCATGTTTCGCGTTTTTTTGTCCAGTTCGGCCACTTGCTCCCTAATTTTCTGCAGAGTGCTTAGAGGTGGCAGTTTCTCGTGTCACTACGGCGGGAACGAACCTCCCTTATCTCAAGGTCCTGCTCCAGTAACTCGTTGAGGTGCTCGAGGTCTTGATGATCCATGACGTCCGAGACTCCGAGAGGGAAGAGATCAAGTCGGCGCGTGTTATGTAATCCCAATTATAGCCGACGCGCCTCTCGCGTTTGGCAGCGGATCGACAGTGACCTTTCATTACCTCCTCCTCCTCCTCGACTGCTCTCGTCGTGGGCGCGCAAACTACCGTGTCTCAGGCCCGAGTCTTTCCATCCTACGCCTTCCAAGTACTCCCCAGTCAACGGCTGTGGCTGTGAATACTTGGTATCCCTGGACCACTTACATGACTGCCCCTTCTACCGATGCCGCTCGCGTCAAATCTTTACTTGCTCACCTACGCGACACGCCAGTCAATACTGCGGATGGCTCCGATAATGTCCTAGTTCCCGTTTTTCGCTACCTAATGAAAGTTGATACCCACCCTGCCGACAATGTCCTTCACTGGTTCTGCAGTAAGGCAGATCCTCTCGTCGTGGAAGCCGCTACGTTCCTTCTCCGGCTGTTTGCATACGACAGCGCACAAGTCAATGAATGGAAAGCCAAGCTCAAGCTCTGCCTCGGAGGGTGCAGTGAATGTGTTCAAATGTTGAATGTTGTAAAGGTGTCTTCGAGAACCACGTGAGTGTTGAGTGTGTCCTACATCATGCCTTTTCGCCAGGTTCTAGTTCGACGTTTGTGCTAAACTGACGGCTTTGTCAGCTATTTCGGAGCATTTCAGCCAGATATACTGGATAAATTTTATCAAAGCTTCACCAATTGGGAAATCCTCATCGTCAAAGAAGCCCTTGGTGGCATAGGCGTCGTTCTTAATAACACGCAGCTGGATTCATATACTCTGAGCCGCATTCCCGGCCCTATCCTCTATCACACATTGTCTTCCTTGAAGTTTCTAGAAGATGCGTCCTTGTTATTTCTGGTACGCTCCTGCCCCAAAGTGCAGGGATGGAATACCGACGTGCCACCCGCTGGCTTACTTCCACTGATGATGGACGAATCTCCTGAGGTTAGGAATTGGTCCCGTGGTGCTGTCTCAAGTAAAGTCATCCCTACGAACCATTTCGTAGCTCCATACAAGGAGTCACTGGGGATCTCCCTGGCTGCTCTGGCTACCACCGCCAATGGAGGTTCTGTCGGCAACTTCGCCTATCCCTCGCTTGACAGCGGTAACTTTACTTCTTTCCCCTTCTCCAAGGACCCAGTCGAACTGTGGATGGGGTTCACGTTTATACTCCGGCTTATACCAAGCGACGTGTTAGCTCAGGATGAGCTTGGCCGACAATGTCGTCGTGTCGTGATTAGCCATGTGAACGATATCGGCCAACGTTGGTAAACTCAATTATTTGGTCAACTTTATCTCAGAGTGCACCCCTTTTACAGACTTCTCAGTTGTCCTTCGTTGCCTCCTTCTCCTGATGAAGCGCCTTCAGAATAAATTATGGAAAGGCGAAGCACCCGATTACGCTCAGGTTGTCTTCGACAGCATTAAAGACAATCAGTCTTTCTCCGAGCTGATCTCCAATGGAGCACATGAGGAAAAGCCATGGTTCCTCTCTTGGTTCGGAGATTATCTTGACAGCGTGCCGGACTCTGGAGTCTTCAGTAACATTTTATCGAAGATCGTAGATTTTCTCTGTGAAGAGCTCCAGCATGAACGGTTTCAGGAAGCACGCCCCGTGACGATGCTGGCTGCCTCCCGGGTGAGGAATTTAGTGAGGGGAGTACTCCGATTGCTCATGATTTGCTCAGGTTATATTGTTCATGCTCCGAAAACATCAAGACGAAGGCGATGCACGCAGAAGGACTGCTCTCTCCAGCGTTCTTGACATCCACGGGGAAAAACTTATCAATGTAGCGTTCAGACGCGAGTTCTCAGATTCAAAGTGGGGTTCCGCCCGAGCTAGCGCTCGCGAACTTGTCTCTGTGACTCTTGCTAGAGATGTTTGTGCGGTCAGCGACGCCATCGACATATCATGCAGGGTCCTTGCCGGGCGAGAAAGAGAGTTCTGTCTTTGCCAAATCCGTCGTCAAATGTGGAAAAGAGTATATGGAAGCCTTCAGAGCAACGACGCTGATGCACTAACAGCTGTCATCAAGATCATCGCCGAGAGTTCGCATCTTGACCATTTGACGAAGAACGCTTACAAGCCAGTCCTTTCAAAACCCAACATGGAAGCAGCAATTGAGTCTGTAAATGCTTCTTTGGCTGCTATGCGGGATGGGCTACTAGACGCCATCTCTCGGGTTTCCAACTACAGTAACCCGACCCAGCTCACTAGCGTCTTGGCTGATCATGACTTCACCAAGAATGTCATGGTGATCATGTTGTCTCCCATCGATGACCTTCAGGCTGCTGCCAAGACTCTCGTTGGCCAGGCTTATGATGTCGATGGACGTTTGGACTGCATACGTGCGCTCCTCAAGAACCAGCCGGATGGCGCTCTCGCGGGCATACACTCCTTTCTTGAAAAGTTTATCAGCTTCTCTCCCCTGGTGGCTGAGGCCTGCAGCCTGTCCAAATCACTCGTGCAGTGTTTTACCGACATCATTGAAGTCCTTTGCTCGTCCCCGGATGGTCTCCTACACGAACGATCATTTTTACAGCCACGTAACAAGCCCAGTCCGGGACTACAGTTACCGCAACTTTGGAACCTGATGACGAGGGCGATTACTGTCATTTTTCAGCGTATTCCTGTATGGGCAGGTTACTTCGAGGTGGAGGACATGACAGTCTGGTTGCGAGACGCTCTTATTTTCGGACGGGACTTGCTCGAGCAGCGCAGGGTCATCGAAGAAGCAGCGTTGTCTGTTAGCAATGAACCACCGCTTCCTAATGGCAAGCGACGGGCTCTGTCCCGACTTGGGAAGAAGATGATTGACGACTTGAAGCCTGTCCTCCCTGAGTTGGCGCGATGGCTTCGCCTTTCGGACCAGGAACTTTTGCATCAGGCATTTGCACTCATCCAGTCTCTCTTGGACGTCTTCCGTAAGACGGGAGTACCTCCTCCAGATACGGGTTTAGCCAAGCTCAACAAGCATATTGAAGACGCTCGCAAACCGCGCGACGGGCGTCCCAAGACCTGTCTCAATGCAGCGCAGTTGACCAAGCTCGAGAATGCTATCGCCTCATTCGATAGTGATGACGAGGTTGAGATTATTGAACGTCCTGCCGTCAAGACGAAGAAGACCGAAGAACCATCCATAAAAGCGAGTACGAAGCCGAATGGTACTCAGAACGTCGGGACGCTGCCCACCCGTTCAGATACCCTCAAGGATGTTGCCCATGGCAAAACAGGGATACCCGAGGTCCAAGTCAGAGTACCACCCAGAGGTCCCCCTGTGCCCGTGCGTCCGCCTAGACCACCATCTCCAGAGACGTCTAGCGACGAAAGCGAGACAGAGGCCGGAGGCCTGGCATCGCTTGGCAAGAAATTCCAGAAGTCGCCCAAGGTGGCTAAGCCTACTCACCGAAGACAAGTCAAGATGCTGGACGTCACTAATCAGGGACAAAGCGCCATGTTGGATCGTCTGAGCCGACGGGACGATGCTCGGAAAGCTGCACTCCGTATGAAGCCGGATATTTCTGGTCTTCACCGAGCTATTCTCGCGTGGGATTACGACCATGAAGGTCCTGAACCTCCTTACCAAGGGTCCAAACCCCATTTATTCCATGTCGGCGATAAGTTCATAGACCATCGTCAATATCTCAAAACATTTGAGCCTTTACTTTTGCTTGAAGCCTGGGCCCAGATTGTTCAGTCAAAGGAGGAGCGAGAAGAATCGTACGAATGCAAGATAACCTCACGGCATTTCATAGATGACTTTGTTGACATGGAGGCATCTATCTCAGAAATGGTTCAAAAGGATTGGCGGCTTACAGAAATGGACGTCATTCTCCTTCGGCATCCTAGCAACAAGAAGTGCATCCTCGCAAAAGCTGTATCATACAGACGTACCCATTTCGGCTCTCAAGTCACCCTTCGGTGTTACATTCCCAATGGCTCGAGCGATCCAGGTTTACAGATTCACTCCGTTTGGCAGCTAAGAAAAGTGTTCAGCTTGAGTACTCTGCACAGAGAATACGCAGCTCTCATGGCGCTTCCCTATTACGACCTTTTCTCAACTATCATGAACCCTGTTATCAAACCTATACCGAGGATGAACCAAGATGAAGTTAAACGAGCGATGAACACCTACAAGATCAACGAGCCCCAAGCCAAGGCAATATTGGGATCCTTGTCGGCGGATGGTTTCGCGCTGATCCAGGGGTAAGTGCTTCACTGTTACATAGTATTTCGAACCGTGCTTGATGCGAACTAGTCCGCCTGGAACAGGAAAGACATCGACAATTTGCGGTTTGGTTGAAGGGTTCATAGCCAAGCGACGTGGACCCGCCACTTCCATTCAAATCGGTCGCTCTTCGACTAACGCTGACAAGGCGCCTGTTCAAAAAGTGTTGATTTGTGCCCCAAGTAACGCCGCGATAGACGAAGTGGCAAACCGCTTAAAGGATGGTTTCCGTGGTCCGCAAGTTCGGAACACCTCCCTCAAAGTAGTCCGTATTGGTACGGAGAAGGCCATGGGTCTGAGTGTGAAGGACATTGCTCTCGACTACCTTGTCGACCAAAAGATCAATGACAGCCCCGGAACAAAGAACACGTCCAAGGAGTCTGGAAACGAGATCAACGTTCTTCGGGCTGAAATAGAGTCGGTCAAGAATGCAAAACAAGTGAAGGTGGAGGAGCTAGCAACCGTACACGACAATACTGCGCGGACAATGGCCTTGGAAGAAGAAATTAAGAAGCTGAATTCCCGCCGTTTGACGTTGACACAGCAAATTGACAGACTCAGGGATAAGCAGAAGTCGGACAGCCGGACGCTGGACGCTATCAGACGACGATTTAGGGCTGAAATTCTTCAAGAAGCCGATGTGATCTGCAGTACATTGTCTGGTGCGGGACATGAAACCATTGAACAGCTCGAGTTCGAGATGGTGATCATTGATGAGGCTGCTCAAGCTATCGAGCTAAGCTCCCTTATTCCCTTGAAATTCCCTTGTGCACGCTGCATTCTCGTAGGAGGCAAATGTCGATCCTTGTTTCGTCAATCTGTTAGCTGACATGTTTATCAGATCCTCAGCAGCTGCCTCCGACCGTCCTTTCTCAAGACGTAATGTGACTCTTGTATTCCTTGGGAACCTTGCCTTACTGAATCTGTGCAGGCGTGCAAATATCTATACAATCAATCACTATTTGTTAGGCTTCAGAAACATCGCCCAGATGCTGTTCACCTTTTGAGGTACGTTGCACTTTACTGCTTCAATCGAATGCAGACTGATAAGTACAAAGTATACAATATCGTATGCATCCTGATATCAGTCGATTACCGAGTCGGATTTTCTATCAAGGCCGTCTACAGGATGGACCTGGTATGGCGGAGAAAACACGACAAGTTTGGCACGACAACCCTTTACTTGGCACCTATCGCTTCTTCAACGTTTCCAAAGGCCAAGAAAGTGAGAGCAATGGACGGTCGCTGAAGAATGTCCTCGAATCACAAGTGGCCGTAGCATTGTTTTCCCGCCTTCGAACCGAGTATAAAGGCATCGACTTCGATTTCCGAGTGGGCGTGGTTTCCATGTACCGTGGCCAAGTCCTTGAACTACAGCGGGCATTTGAGCAACGTTTCGGAGCAGACATCAAGGGAAAGGTCCAATTCCATACCGTGGATGGCTTTCAAGGTCAAGAGAAGGATATCATTATCCTTTCTTGTGTCCGAGCTGGCCCTGGCTTGCAATCAGTGGGTTTCTTGTCAGGTCAGTTTCTATCATTTATACAAATCTGTCCTCTCTAAACGTTTTGTAAGATGTCCGTCGAATGAACGTGTCGATTACTCGTGCTAAATCATCCCTGTTTATCCTCGGGAACGCCGCAACCCTTGAGCGAAGCGATTCGAACTGGCGCCAGATCATTCAAGATGCACGGACGAGGAATGTTCTGACTGATGTACGCGATCATGCTAGGTTTATCTTGAAGCACAACTCAGCGCCTTTCCTACAGGTTGGCCCCTCTTACTTTACAACGCCAGGTGCTACGAAGCCATCTCAGCATCCTACTCCTAAGCCTGCCAAGCAGAAGGCTTCAGCGGAGAATAAGCCATCTGCGCCTCCACCACTACCTAATCTACTTACTCCCCAGCAGCTAGCGGGTTCTAGTGTCAGTACTCCTCTTGGACTGCAACCGGTCTCGGTGAACGCAAATGCATCTCCGATGGATGAGGACAAGCCGCCCTTGTCTAATCCTCCCATAGATGAATCGAAGAAACGCCCACGTCCAGATCTCTCCAATGATCCGCCTAATGAGGCGCCTAAGCCAAAGCCGCCCCCAGTGAAAAAGTTCAAGAAAGACAAAGGAAGCATCTTCATTCCTAAGAAAAAGGTAACCATCACCTCATTTCCTTCTCACTGCTCGCTGACGTAGCAGCAGCCACAAGGCGGTCCTTCCAAACCTTCATAATACGCCATATTGGACTTGGCACTTATCTCAACAGCCAGACATCTGCCCATGTTATCCTAGACCTCCTCATCTACACATTCTAGATACCAGTTTGAGTACTACAGTATGTATATGTATCAATCATTAACACCAATGTTATACTTTTAGACAACTTCCGCCTTCACAGGGGGTAATTCCCATCTTTCTGGCCCGAAGTGGGGAATGGACATCAAGATACCTTTGCTATTTTTTGCAGGTTTTGAGAATGTGCATAGAGATGGCTTGCCTAATGCAGACAACCACGCAACATTGACGACAGTGAGAGCTGTCGAAACAAATATCATTAAGTTGCTCTCAAAAAAGCGAAATATGCAACCCACTCTTTAACCACGGGCGAGATGTTCGAACGATGTCATGGAACACTACGTAGTCAGGCGGCGACCGATCCGCGAACAAGGAAGCAGGGTGGATGAAGACGTCCTCGTCAATTCCGAGTGCGCGGTATGGTATGCCCTTCGTCGTCGACGATTGGACTCCGGTCGCTGTTTCCTTCTTCACAAGGTCTTTTCGGATGGCAACTTGGTCGATGAATGCCGCGGCTATTAACTGACGGATGACTTTGAGCTAAGGTGACTGTCAGAGACATTTCGTTAGTTTTCAAACAAGACAAACTCCGAACCTGTTGGTCAGTCGGCGGTCGCAGATTAGCATTTAGCTTGGCGTCCGTGCCAGGGAAGTTGATCTGCACGATATTGGACAGCTGTGCACGTAGCTTGTGAATCTCTTCCATTGCCTGAAAATATCTGTTGGATTTAATTCACAATGAAGTCATCCGATCTTACCTTTGGACGGACGAAGTGCTCCTGGCAAAATCTGTGGCCCCCGCCAGCGTACTCGTACGCACCAACCACAGAAAGTATTCGGAAGATATCGCTCGTTGACTTGCCAAGAGACGCATGTACCTGCCCAAGTCATGGTTGAACGGATCCATGATCGGAGCAATTATGATACACACCTGCTGCGATTCAAAGAAAGCTCGCCGTCTGATTTTACGGGCTTCCTTTTCTCTAATTTTTGCCCTACGTATATGACCAAGACCGTCTTCATCATCCGAGTATTCACCATCCGAATCATGATTGACAGCATCTTCTGCAAGGAAGGGGTCACCAACGGAAAGTGCAGCCACGACTGATATCACATAAGGGAGGCATCCATGTTGCTGCCCGCTCACGAGCATTCTTGAGTAGCGCGGATGGAGAGGAAACAAAGCCATCGCCTTGCCCAACGGAGTAATGCTTCCGCCTACCGTGGACATGACGTGTCCTGATTTCCCTCCGGGAATGGCTGAGCTGCTGAACGCTCCAAGACGTGTTAGAACAGTCTCTGCTTTCTTGAGCAACTCCCGAGACGGCGGGGTGGGGAAAGGGAAGTTGGCAACGGCATCGATATTCATGCTTTTCATTTGCAATACGACTCCCTCTATCGGTGTCCGAAGAATCTCGGGCTGGGAAAAGGCGTCAAAGTAGTGTTCGAAGAGTGCGGACGAGTATAACCGGTAGCAGTGACCCGGGCCTGTTCTTCCTGCACGACCTGTTCTTTGAGCTGCCGAAGCCTTTGATATCCAGCCTACCTGGAAAGACTGGATACCGCTGGCGACATCATACTTGCGCTTTGGGTCGGTCAGAACGATATTCCGCAGTGTTGACAAATGGGCCAACCTCTTTTGCTCTGCCGCAGTCGATGACATATCTGATGTTTGGTATTGTGAGTGATGTCTCAGCAATGTTCGTAGACACAACCACTAAACGGTGACCCGCTGGTGGCGGCTTGAAGACCTGCATCTGCTTCTCGCTGGGAAGGAGCGAATACAACGGTACCACATGCATCGGAACTGCTGGAGAGGTCAGATATTGAGTTCAATAAAGGCATCACTCTTTCTCGCCTTCGCTTTCGTTCATGTCAATGATAATCTCATCATCTCCCATTTCTGAGTCAGAGCCACTGCCCCCTTCATCATCGTCCAGCTCAAAGTGGAGATCGGCCTCTTCCACCCCCAGGTTGACTTCCTCAGCCTCGACATCGACTAGTATCAAGCTATTAAGGGCAGCTCATGCCGTTATGACGCGAATCCTACCTTCCGTGGGATTGACTCCGCCTTCGACCTCCTGCATTTCTGGCACGGCGGGAGGCGGTGCTTGCCTCCTATTTTTTCTATCCTCGATGGCCCGTCTTCCGTACTTAGCCTCTAGTCGTTTGCAAACCCCATTGATCTCATTCTGGCCTGTGAGGAAGATGAGAATGCCTCCTGGCGGTAGCCGAGTATGGATCTTAGATGCTTTCTTGACCGCTTCCCCGACATAGTCACTGACGGTCCTGCGACTGAAGTGCGTGGTGACAGGGTGCTGACGAGCCGAAACATTTATCACTGGAGGAGGGGTAGCAAAAAGGGTAGTATTGTCGGCAAAATCGCTGACTCGTAAGGTAGCAGACATGATGATAAGGCGCAAAGGCTAGATCACGTCAACATGAGAAGGGTATTTGAGACTCCAATTGACTTACTTTTGCCTTTCCTTCCGTCCACATCCGTTCACGAAGTTTGATCACCCGACTGAGTACACCAATGAGGATGTCAGTGTTCATGCTGCGTTCATGTGCCTCGTCAATGATTATGACAGAGTATTTAGTAAGCAAGAAGTCGGTAGCGAGCTCCCGAAGCAGAACACCATCCGTCATAAACTTGATGGTCGTCGACGGAGACACAGTTGCGTCATAACGTATCTGATATGATACCTTCGATGAGGTCAGGGACAATTCGTGAGCGACACGGGATGCCATTGACATGGCTGCCACACGTCGCGGCTGTGTAATACCAATCATGCCAGGATTGTCTGCCAATCTTGAGCATGATTGGCAATTTAATTGACAGAAGCAGACTCACCGCCGTCCGGATCGCCAAAGCCAGCTTCGTACAAGAACTGAGGTAATTGTGTTGTTTTACCACTGCCAGTTTCACCACATATAACAACCACTGGGTTCAGGAGAACGGCTTCCATGATAGGCTGCTCCTCCGCTAGAATGGGAAGAAGCATACGGGCGTCTTCAACCTCAGAAGGTCGAGACACGGTTACAGCTTTCTTTTTTTTAACATTCTTAGATTCGGAAGGCTTTGACGAGTCTTGCAGATGAGCTGCAAAAGATGTTGACGCAAGTTTGAGGTCTTCGCCGAGTGGTCCTCGCATCTCGCCGTCATGAGACGTTTTCCGCCTCTTCCGTACAGGTATAGCCATGAGATCAGGCGCTAAGGATACCGCTTCGTCTGTCGAGGTTGGGGTATATCCCTTGGCCATGCTCAGCTGATTTGTTGCCCAATCCTTGAAGCTTTTGCGCTTTGATGGAGCGGGATGGGTTTCTTCTTCGGATTCGCTTGCCGATTCACTGTCGTTTTCGCTTTGTGCGGAAGGCGAGCCCTCGTCCCCGACTTCTCCGTCTTCTCCAGTTTCTTCAGAAGTACTGCTTGATGCTTGGGACTCGTGATCTGTGTCATTAGCAGAGTCGGAGCTGTCAAACGACGTATCCGAATCTTGGGCGGTCTGCGATGGTTGCTTTCGGCGTCCCCATGCACTCTGTATCGTTGAGAACACAATGAGAGACAAGGCCAGCGTCGTGACGCACCTTCACGCCCTTTGTTTTCTTAGGAACAATCTTGGGTGTAGCCACTGTTCCGTCCGCATTTCTTCTGAGTGCACTCCCAATTGCAGCAGAAGAAACCACCCTCGAGGTTGAAGGTCCCGTAGTTGCATCCACCACTACAACCTCACGCGTAAGTTCCTTGTCCTCGGCGTCCGAGATGCCCTCCATACTCTCGCCCTCGCTTTCTGACGACACCGCAGCATGATAGCTGAAGTCAGGCTGTCGTCTGCGCCTGTTTGTACGCCCATCGAGAGCTTTTCGGACCTCCCTGTCCTCTGCTTTGTCCAAACGAACTTGGTTGGTAGAGGCCTTTCCGGTACCAAGTGTGGACGAAGATTGTAGGTTCAGAGAGGAAGTTTGTTCTTGCGATTTCCTGCCCAACCAGTTGGAATGAACCGTGACAACGATCAAGATAAAACGCACGCGAGCTTCTCAATGATTTTGACGCGTTCCTCTTGTGCGAGTTTTTTGTCCTGTGTTTTGATGATGGTGAGGTCATAGTGTATCACAATCTAGCAGTTATTGCGTACTATGTATTTCTCTAGACGTTTGCGTTTCTTGACCGAGACCTTCGACTCGGACTGTGCAGCTAGCTGCGCTAGTTTATGACGTGTGCAAAGCGGGATTTATATACGCACCTCCTGTACAAGCTTTTCCTTTCGTTCTCGATCCTTTTGCTCTTGAGTTTTTGGGACATGCACAACGGCATTGGGATCAGAAGCTCCCGATGAGGACTGAACATCCACTACTTGTCCTTTGGGTTTGCGCTTTCCTTTCTTTCTTGATCCTGCAGTAGACTGGCGAGCTGCGTGGTTATAGCCTGGTTGGCGAACGAGCGGCATATCAGGAGTACTGGTCGACCAAGGAAATCTGTGTGATAGCTTTACGTTGCTTCATTTAGTTAAACGCCCCTATCTGTGGGCTACAGGATTTCGCAAGGTGTACGATACACGTCGATACTCAGCAAACAAGATCCCACCCAAATACCTCGGATGCCAATTTGAAGTTCAAATTTGTTCTGATTTTTTTTTGTAACATAACGTCGCCTGCATGAGTACAATAAAATTAAAGAAACTCAAGCGCGGACATCATTGTATTGAGAGCTACTGTAGGGATCAAGTACCTGAATCATTTACACAGCCACTACCGTTGACTTTCTCGTCTCGCGTATACTGGCGAGCGCCGCGACCCCTCCTTCTCACAAATATTCTCTTCCTCTGCTTCGGCGACAATGGCGGACTCGTCAAGTCGCGACCGGACGCCTAAACATAATCATTTAGCGCGTTCATTAATCACTCCTTCCGCGTCTCCTCCCGTCACTTCGCGAATGACAGACCGCGTTCCGCCCATAAAACGACCCCGACTCGCGGGTACTCCTTCCTCGACATCCTCTGCATCATCCACGCTTGTCGCGTCATCTTCAACCTCGACTGCTGTGGAGGACATCGACTCTGCGCGTCGTGCATCAACTCTCCGCGTCCTCAATGTATGGAACCAACTAGCGGAACGCTACAACAAACGTCTCGACGAAGACGACATTGTCGATCTGGTCTCCGGAACCATCATCAAAGATTGTGGTGTAATTAAGGGCGCCTCGAGGGACTACAATATAGGACGCTTCGCTCAAGCAGAGGTTGAGGAGAGCAACAGCGACAATGATGATGCTCAAACGGAAGCTGACGCTGAGCAGAGCCAGGATGGTGACACGGACGACGTCGATTCCCCTGGTCCATTTCGAGGTGCCGCCGCCACCGCCGGACTGTCTGATCAGCTCAAAGCGCGTTTCTTCCAGAAACTACCGCCACTATCTGCTACGACGGATGCAGATGACCTCAGCGAGTTCTTGGAGGCAGAGCGGTTGCGTCGAGAGCGCGAGGAACTAATTGGGGGCGAAGGGGAGATTGAGATGTCGTTGGAGGATATTGGTAACCTCCGCAAAGCTTTGGAGGATGCGCCACCTAGAAAGAAAGCCAAGGCGCATTCTGCAGCCAAGCAAGCCAAAGAGCAAACACCAGAGGACAAGGCTCAGGAGAATGCCGCTCACGTGAATAAACCCAAGGAATCTCCAAACTCGTCCAGAGACAACAGTGACGAGATGCTCCAAACCCATGCCATCCCCCGATCCGCACGAACACCTCCAAGCCGCATTCGTGCTCAAGACGACGAATCTGACGATGAACTCGGGATATGGGAGAATGACGAATTTAACGCGGTGTATAATGTTAACAAAGGAGGAGATACGAATGCTTCGGAGACGCAGAGAGATGTGATCGTATTGTCTGACTCTGACTCGGATCCTTCTCGGCCTTCAACTCCTCGACCTCCTTCAGAGAGGCTGTCGCCAATTCGATTCTCTCCCCTTCCTTCCCCACCACCAAGGGCGAAGTCGAAATCTGTGCCTAATACACCTAAAGGACCTCCGTTGCGGAAATCTAGTCGGGCAAAAAGCAAGACCCCTTTCCGGTCTCAACGTGCATCACGATCATTGTCGCCTCCGCCTGCCCCTCAAGCAGATCCCCATCAACGCGCATCTCACATTCAACTTCATACCCCTCCCCGCTCCTCCTCAGCAGCTACTGACAACACATTGGCACATGAAGAACTCTTGACCACCTTTAGCATCCCGTCTGCATCAACGTCGCGCAAAGCTCCTCCATCGCGACAGACTCCCGCATCTCCTGTCTCGAAGCCTACTTCCTCAGTTACCCCGTCGGCGCCTTGCCCAACTCCTGCGAAAGTACCGAAGAGCATCAAGAAAGCATCCGGGACCAAGGAACCCCCAGCGACGAAGGATGTTATCCCGAAGAAGATACCGAAGGGGAAGCTTGTACCTGAAGTTGTCATCTCTCACAAACCTCGGGGGAAATCGATGCCTCCACCACATGAAGAACTGGCTGATTATATAGTAGATGACCGAGACAGGATATCTGCTAAGGATAAAGGGAAGCAGAAGGCTCTCGACACGGCCAATCTTGTAACTCCCCAAAATGAGCAGCAGTCTACTCGCAACAAAGGGAAACAAAGGATAAAGGACACCGAGCGTTCCGTGTCGCCCGTGGTACTGCCCCCCAAATCTGCTCGCGGCAGTGGCAGCAGTAAGGGGAAGCAGAAGGCCGTAGACCCTGAAAATTCTGCAACACCCGAGCAGAGGGGTATTCGTGGCAAGAGAGCCACACCGGGTCCTTCTGATACCAACTCTCGAGTCAAAAAGCGCAAACGGATGGTTTCTAACGAATCATCTACGGGAGCTGAACGAGAAACCGACATTCCGCCCGCGAGCTCAGCGACGGATGATCTAGGTATGAGAGTTTTTTTGTTCATCTCAGAGTTTTTTTTGTTAACATTGGCGCAGATGATTATTCCTCGGGACCCAGATCTGCTTCTCGTTCACCATCTCGAGCACTTTTCCAGCAATTTCACCCCTATCCATTCTCAGACCCCACGAACCGCGCGACATCTCAACCCCCAATGCAAGGATACCCAGGATACCCAGTGCTACCACCCCCGCCACAATCAGGCCACTTTGATCCCATGCATGCACAGATGCTGCTCGCTTACACAATGTCATATATGATGTCCGCGAATATAGGACAACAACAGCCCCACAATGCACCTACTCCCTGGCCACCTTACACCCCCAATGGGACTACCTTTCCTTCGTCATCTGCCCTCGACTCGTCCGCCTCTGCAACACCTTACTACCATCCTATCCCTTACCCACCTTACCCTCCGCATCCTGTCATGCCTGGCCAAGCTACTGACCCGGTCTCCTTTTCTGACATGGACATTACTCCTCCGCGACGCCCCGCAATAGCTCGCGGAAGGAGCCAGTCTCGAGGACGTAGAGTTTCCTTCAAGCTGGATGACCGCAAGCGAGCACACATACTAGAGCTAGGCCATGTGTCTGATTCTGAAGACGAGGCTCTTCCACCAAGAGCTAAATCTCCCAAAACGCCAGCGAAACCCCCCTCTGGTAGAGAAAGAGAGAAGAGCATCGTAAGCGAAAGCGACGAAGAATTTGAGGAGATGGTACAAGGCCCTCCCCCCAAGGGCGACCGAGCTCAAACGCCAGGTCCATCTCTTGGTCGTGCTCGGTCGAGTAATCCGCCTTCCCCGCTCAGGAGGGGGCGAAGTACCACAGTTGCTCGGAAGGACCGATCTCTCCACAAGTAGGTTAATATATATATGTTGTCCGTGTTAGCATGTCAACGATGTCATCATCATGCATGTAAGCCTATTATGCAAACGAAGAACGCCATGTCGCCATGAGCTGTACGATGTTGAATAGGTTTTTGCATACTAATTGTTGCATATGCAATCGACACGACTAGACATAGTCGATCTTATCTTATCTAGCCGCACGGCAAGTGCTTTTTGAGCGGTCCGGGTGTGGCGGACTCCTCTTGCCCCTTTCCTTGATGTGAGTATGGCCTTCACTCCGAATCGTGCCCTCCTCAACCCCAAGTTTGAAGGTTACAAGCTATCACTCATAGTTCAGGAGGATGTTGTATCTCACACGCCTTTATCCTTCAAGCCAAACCAAACGACACCTTCAGGCTACGCACCGCTGTCTTTCCATGAAGTTGAGAGCAGGATTACCCATAATCACCTTGCAGCCGCACCTAGTGGCGGCCTCTGTCTGTATGTCGACGCGGAGTTCAAGGTGATACTTGTAAAAGTATCCGAGGCGAGTACATCTTCTGGCTAGTCTCCCACTCCTATCTCAATATCTGCAAAGTAGGACGGAAAACAGGCTTCGAGCAATGTCATCTATGAGCTCCCTCAGGTGCTCGAAACGCCATCCACCCGCACTCTGCATCCGGAGTACCCATCAGCTGCATTTGTAGATCACAAGCACGTCCTCGTCGCGGATGGCCGAGGCTCTCTTTTCAGCTTCGAGTTTCGGGAGAACAATCAGGCTTCATTGCTACACACATGGGAGCTCGTCGACAAATCGACGTCGCCTCCGATCCAATCCGTGCCTTTCCGGATTCACTCCGTCGGCCAAGCATCCGAAGGATCCGTCGTTGCGGTGCTTTCGTCTCGCTTTTACGGAGAAACCTCGTCGCTTCCATTGGATGGGGAGAAGTCGAGGAAGATTGTGCTCTTCGATGTTTGGGGTGCTCGCATAAACCTATCTGCTTCACCTGATGAAATGAGGATCGGGGAACTCGAAATCTCATGGCGACGGAGGGGCGAAAACGTTCCCATCTTCACAAAGTATCATCCCGCCTTGAAGAGCCACCTTCTGGTAGGAAGTTCGCCCTATCACGAAGTTGGAGCCCCTGCGGCACCGAGCTACGAGCCCTCTCCAGACGAACTCGCCCCGATCCCACGTGCCGGAGAAACACTTGATCAGGATGCCTCCCAGCTCTCGAGGCCTCCGCCTTATTCGTGGATGCAGACATCCGACGAGGTCACGGTCGCGTTTCCCCTCCCTTCTTCGACAGAAAAGTCCCAGATACGCGTTCTATTCACGTCGAAAGCCTTTTCACTGCACGTGCAGGGTATCTCGGCGTTTTCATCCGGTTCCGTGCCTATCCCGGTACCGCACTACTCGCAGCGCGCGCTGTGGGATGGTATCCAGCCATCCACGAGCTTCTGGACGTGGGACAAGGAGGGGGAACACGCATATGGGCTTCTCACGCTGCACTTGGACAAACAACACGAGGGTACGCGATGGACGCATGTGCTCGCGGGAGACCTATCTTCGGCCTCATCTAACGATGTCGAGGTCCCGGAGACACTTGACCCTTCCGAGTTGTACATGATTCGGGAGAACCTCGAAAAATACACAGCCGCGCTCCAATCCGGCGAGGACATGAGCGGGCTTGGGCTTGGGCGAGGTGCACCCTCTCTTGCCCAGGGAGAGATGGACGAAGAAGTTGATGTCTCCGTGGGCCAATTCTCGGTGCTCACTTGGGTGTCGGAAGACGGATCAACACCGTCATGGGCGTTGAAGTTGGACTCGTCGCTCACCCTCCTATCCACTGATCTCCCCGGACCCTTTCCGTTCACATCTTTCGTGATCAAGAACGGTTTAGATGGCACTGTGTTCACTCTCGATGATCCTGGAACAGATGGTGGTCCGCCCACTTGGATTCACACTTCTACTTTTTCCGCCCTCTCTTTTGTGCTTGCATCTAAACGCGACACCCGGTTTACGTACCATGTGGCAGGTAGTACAGTGCTTGCGTTTGAGAGCGGAGCCCGAGGTCTAGGCGCGAACGTCTACATATACCGAGGCGGAGACTCGAAGCAGAAGTGGGCAAAGCAAAGTATTGTTCAAGTCACGGATGGCTCTGGTGGGGCTTTGCTCGGTGTAGGCGCACTTCCAACGTCGTCTGGCTCACTCAACATCGTCTGTCTGTGCGAGGGGGAGATAGTAGTCATACATGAAGTCGTGTGAGTCACATGAGTACGAAAGACAGGTATGGACCACTATACTAGTACATGAGAGAGCCAGTAGGACAGTATATGATGTATGATACGGAAGTTCGAACCTGGGAATGTTATCAAACCGTGAAACTGCTACAAGGAAGGATGACGAAACAACAGAAAACCGATAGATTAAGGAAGCATGTTGGAGCCTGGGCAACTTGCGAGCCTGGAAAGAACGGGGGTAGCTAGGTTTATGAATGTATCACAGGAGGGTCCGATCCCATAAATTACTGCTTCAAAGGATCCTCGCTGGAATCGAGCAAGCCATCGGCCTTGACAGCGGGGCTGGGTTCATCCCCTACCGGTTGTGACTTGAGTTGCTCGACGGGGGCGACACTGCCGTTGACAGCTGTTTTCGGTGGAGGGGGCGCCTCCCCAGGGACACCGTTTATTGGTGCTGATTGCCCCGCGGACTGGTCCGGACTCTGGAAGGTGATTGACTCATCGTTGCCGTCATCATCAACCACCTCCATCCTGGCGCCGCCAAAGTCGAGGTGATCCCCATCTTCATCCATATTATCTTCCCGTATATCGTGCTCGAACGCTGCAAGCCTGTCCCGGAGATTCTGTGTGGGATCGTCTGATTGTCGCCCTATTCCAAAGGCCTCGCTCAAGAACGCCCGACTTGCAACACCCTCATCGTCAATTTCATCTCCGCTTTCGTCATCGTCGTCAGCATTGGCAAACATCAGCGGACCACCATCAGTGAAGATGCCTGCGCCGGGTTGGAAAGTGATGCCACCATTACCACCGAGGACTCGCGCAAACCCGGACAATGCACTTGCCCCTCCAAGGAATGATGAGCTGTTTGCCGGTTCTTCGCCCCGTTCCTTACGAAGCCGGTCACGTTCCTCCTGAGCTTCTCTCCGAGCCTTGAACGCCATGAGTCTGTTTTGCGAGTATATCTGAGGGAGGGTGTCGGGGGTATCCCAGCCATATTTTGACTCCACGCGGTCCTTGATCCATTTGTACCACTCCTCCTTGGTTTTCCCATTTAGAAGGGCGATGATGAGAACGGTCATATTGTCACATCCAATTCCAGCTCCAGAAGATGTGTCGGGAGCTAGACAGTGCTCGCACATCTCCTCGCCAATCTCCTGCAGTTCTTTGCCCTCAGAGACTCTGAGACGGATGAAGTCGACCACTTGCTGCGATGATAAACAGTCCCAGATACCTGCGAAGACTTTCGTACACTAACTAAGATATTGGCACGAATCACTCACCATCGCATGCTATTACCAAGAATTCGTCTTCGTCCGTTATTGCGTGCTCAGTGACATCAGGGTCGGCAGTGATCACTTGCTTTTGGGGAGTAAGGGCGTAATTCTTCTTGAACTCGAAATCTCCGAGTGCCCTGGAGAGGGCAAGATTGCCTATTCGAATGGTCAGCATCGAAAGCAAGGTTAGATCACGACGCCACAAACCATTGACGCGGCCATATTCGATGTAACCTCCAGCGCCAACAATACGGGCTCTCTCGGCTGGGTAAGGAAAAAGTGAATCGATGTTACAAGGAAAGCATGGCCATAATACATACTATCACTTGAGGGTTTGTGATCAAAGCTCAAGGGCTTGACCTCTCCCTTCACACTGATTACAGACCGCGAATCTCCCGCGTTGGCCTTGTACGGAGGTTTTATAGCGGGAAGTTATTCGGCAAGGGGATGACTCACCACAAATATTCTCTTATCAGTGGTAATGAGAGCAGCAACGGCGGTGCATCCGGATGGGTCACGGGTATGTGCCGGGTCTTCAAACAATACGGTTGGTAGAGTCATAATGGACAAGAAATTTTACATACCGGCGAGGAGGTCTTCATCAGTACCCAGGAATGCCTTCTTTAAGGCTTCGTCGTAACGCTTCTCGCGATAGGATTCCTCAGCCACCAATCGCTGGTGAACATTCTTGCCTGCGAACTTGGCCACGGTGCTGCCTAAAGATTCCTGAATACGTCGCGCTAACTGCTGGGGAAGGGATCGAACATACCACCGTGTCCATCGTACACAGCAAAGAACATGGAAGTCTGAGGCGCGTCCCCATCTAAGTTTAGGATGGTAGCATGTGCATCTTCCATGGCTGCATGGCGTGCGTTGTACAGAAAGGGCAAAGGGGACGCGATAACAGGTAAAGGTAGGGGTGGACGGGATCGCGAGTGAGCAAAAAATACGGCTAACAGCACTGATCACATACTTATTCTCCATCCCTGCATCTCAGAAACGGCGTAGACGACTCGATCGTTCTCCCCCGACTCCGAGATCTTGTCGGTGGCTAAAATTGTGGAGATAAGTCAAGACCGATTGGCCTCTGAGGTAGTGGCAGCTGCACGCAAAGCAACTAACATGGATTGGAGAGAGTTTGTCCCTGTGCATAAATAGGAACGGTCAGGGGGCGTACGATGCAAGGCGAGAGAGGGACGATGAAGAACTGACCATGACTCGCTGTTTGTGGGTGAGAACACGTAAGGGGCGGTCTAATCAGATAGACGACAAATGAAGAATTTTTGAGAAGCGTTGCCGACGTGAATGTACGATGTGGGGACGTAAGCGGTTGTCGAAGCGAGGCAGATGAAAAATCAGAGTCAACCTTGGGTGTGGTCGTATGCCAGCATCCGACGCAAGGGCAATGCTCTCTTTCTGCAGAGCCTGTTTTGGCTTATTTGCCTTTTCCTCTTACTGACAGCTGGTGGACATCGATCTTGCCTTCAAGCTGGTCTCAATAGTGGAGGTCTTCTTATCCTTGTTTGATGGCATGCCTCGGCCAAAACAACGTCATGGCTATAGCATCACCATCGATCCATCTAGCTTGCTGTTACTATTACCGATGCCTCAAGCTTTGAAACTTCACAAGTCTCCCAAGCTTGAAACTAAAGGCTCAATGACTTGTAACGTCGGCGTGTCTTCTCGTGGAGTATATTTCTGGACGAAATCTCGACCTTATCTCTGGAAATACACTTGACGCCGGCATTGTCCATACACTGTCGATGCGCCTTGTCACCTAGGACGGCCCGTATCACTACTTCAGTCACCATTAACCGCGATTTTCCTCTTGACTTGATCGCAGCACAATGGACTTGTGGCCTTCACTTTCAGCATGAAATGACTCATCCCAATACGACTATATGTAGGCATCGTCCACGGCAGGGTATAAAATCTAAGTCTCATCTCTCGGGGTCAAGTTGGGATACGTGCTACTAGTGTCAAGTATCGAAGTACCAGTATGATGCATCACTCAAAAACCTATGCGCGAGATCGCGCCTTTTTTGTTCTCGTACTGGCTTAACGGCGTGTCCTTCTTATGCTCCTCAGTCAACTGACGAATTCATATGGTCTCTGATATCATTGCTGCGTGTCACTAGTGTCACTTCGTTTTTTTCATCAGCTGACAGCTCGCGGAAATTAACTTCATCCACTTCACATATTGCGAGCTGAGCTGCGATAGACGGTGTTGGTGAAGCAGGGTGAACGTTGAACGTTGAACGTTGCCCAGTAAGGCATGTTTCTCGGAAGGAAGGTAGAAGTATAACACCGTCAGTATGGTAAAACGCTTTTCAGCCGCGCCCATCGAATGCGTACTCTTGTGACTCCAGTTGTGGCGCAGTCCACGGCAATTACGGAAGAAGCTTGTGGGGATAAGACTGCCAGCGATCCATGTTGCCAACTGTCAAGCTCTTATCGTAGATAAGCCCCAGTGAGAACCCCATCTACCCAGTACGGCCCACACATACTCCTATATATAGCAGCTGCGATCGATATATTGTAATCTATTTGCGTTGTACCTATGCGTGTGAATGTAATTAAGAATGGTGCTTCGATGCGCGTGAGACGGCGCGATGTCCGAAACGCGCCCACTTGTGCCTCGCCCCCGCAGGATCGCGCCCACAAAACCGTGCATATGCACGTCTATCGCTGCACGCGCTGCGCACGCACGCACGCATGCATTCACCGTCTCTGCTGTGCGCAGATACGATGTGTGTATGCGTGTGCACGTACAGCTAGTCCTTCTCCCGGCCGACATAGGAGACGTGTTGTCTCCATATTCTATCCTCCCGTACCGCCTACTCGCCATGGCTCCCGACCGATCTGACAAGGAAAGGGCCCCCAAAGACCACACCTGCCTCTGCTCAGCCCAATGTCACGGCCAGAGGACGCCTGTTACTCGAAGGACGTGGTACAGACACGTCGCGAACGCTCCACTGCACGAGAAAGCGGCCATACGTGCTGCTAATGCCAATCTATCTGGCTCGTTTATTCGGACAATACCACCTGCTACGAGGCCTTCCCGAGCCCCTCGCCAACGACGTGTATCTGTTGCTCTCGAAAGACGCGACGAGGTGCGCTTTCCAGATGATCATATTGCATATATCTAGCTAATGTCGATCTATATGTTCCAGGAAACTTCTCGTAATGAAACCCCTCCTCCAGAAGACTCTCAGACAGAAACACAACCCCTAGGCGACTCATCCAACACCTCTCCACAAACAGACGACCCACGGATCACCAATACCAATCCCCAGAACAGGCAGTCACCGACCATCGAAGAGTCCCAGAGGCTCCAGACGAGAACGACTCAGTCTCGAGTCTTGCCAGCCAGTCCCCTCGCCTCTCTAGACCTCCGCGCTCTCGCTAGACGGACACCGCTTGAGGAACTCCAGCGGGACATGTCGTTTGTGATCCGCATTCGCGACGCGACTCTCGACGACGGCATTGGTCTCAAAGGCGAAGCTCTAAGGCGCCTTCGTGATCCACCTCAAGAAATTCTAGAAGTCCCCGATAACCTCACTCTCCTTGGAATGCAGATGTACGACGCTATGGAGAAGTCCTCTGAGAAGACGTACAATCATGTACGTGCATCGATACACCACAACTTAGCTGGCGCCCAGATTCCATCACTCGACGACATCAAGAAACAGATCGCCAACATTACAGGCATTGAGGCCGTCGAGGATGACATGTGTGTCGATGGATGCGTCTGCTTTACAGGACCACTCGCAGGTCTCGACTCCTGCCCAGACTGCCGAAAGTTGCGCTGGGATGAAGCCCGACTACGATCATCTGGCGGCAAGAAAAAAATACCCCGTGCCGTCAGCACCACGTTCCTCCTCGGCCCGATGATACAGACCAATTGGCGCCATCCAGACACTGCCAACAAAATGAAGTACCGACGAACACGAACACGCGAGATTTTTGAACAGATGCGACGGAATTCCAATGGTCTGCCTGATGTATACGACGATATTATTACAGGTAAGTGAATCGGATGTGTGAATCTGACGTGCTTTGATTATTGGGCAGGGTCGGCCTACCTTCAAGCTGTACGCGAAGGCAAAATACGCGATGAAGACACTGTTTTCATGCTCTCAATCGACGGTGCACAGCTGTCCCGACTCAAAGAATCAACCGCATGGATATATGTCATTGTCCTTGTCGACTTGTCGCCGGGCCTTCGATACAAGAAGCGGTATGTTCTACCGGGAGGCATTATCCCAGGTCCTCATAAACCGAAGTATGTTCCGTCATTCCTCTTCACCGGGATGCACCACATTTCGGCTCTGCAAAAAGAGCCCCTGGCTATATGGGACTCAAGCTCAGATCATCTGTATCGGTCTTATCTCTTCAACATCCTTACGCTCGCGGACGGACCTGGCTTACTATGTTATAGCAATATGGTTGGTCATAACGGCAAGTACGGGTGCCGTGTCAGCTGCGACCACTATGGTCGTCGGATCACTGGCTCGGTCTACTACCCTGCTCTGCTTGCTCCCGACGGCTTCACTGGCGACGCTCGAGGCGACATCGATCCCAGCTCGATCCATGGCTGCTCCTCTGTGATCTATGTACAGAGGCTCGAGAGGCTAATGGGCTCCCAGACACGAGCTAGCTTCAACAGGAACCGTCTCGAGACAGGCATTGTGGGGCCGAGCCTCCTGCTTGGTCTACAGCCCGACAAGATACTCGGTATTCCTGAGAACTTCACGTCGGAGATCATGCACTTCTGTGCAGCTAACATGGCCGAGCTCTGGAAAGGACTCTGGACTGGCGAATTCATTCATGACACGGATGATATTCGCACCTGGCATTGGGCTGTACTGCAGGGCGACACTTGGGTCGAACACGGGCTTCGCATCGTTGCAACCCACCAGCACCTCCCCATATCTCTCGACAAGCTCCCTCGCAACCCCGAACAGCGAGGAAACTCAGGCTACAAGGCACAGGAGTACAACACCTGGCTCTATTGTCTCTGCCCCGCCCTTCTATTTGGTGTTCTTCCTCTGGAATACTGGCGGAACTTCTGTCTTTTCGTCAAGGGTCTCCAAATTATGCATCAATTTAGTATCACCCCTCAGCAGCTTCTGGAAGCCAAGATAACGTTCGACACCTGGGAACTCGAATTCGAAAGGATCTACTACAAGAAAATGCGGAATCGCCTTCATCTTGTAAGGCCTTGTGTTCATCTTTCTCATCATTTGGCACCCGAAGCAGCTCGAGTCGGTCCTCCTATGTGCTCGTCTCAGTATCCCATGGAACGCACGATCGGAAATCTCAAAGAGGAGCTCAGACAACCGTCCAACCCATTTGCAAACCTTGCGAAACGAGGTCTACGCCGAGCACAGCTGAACGCTGTCAAAGCGATGATGCCGGACTTCGACATCTCTCCGGAACACAACAAACAAGATCCTGCAGCCTCGTGTGCTCTTGGCGACGACTACTTGCTTCTGTTCAAGCGAGCAAAGACACCTACCAGTACGCTCAGCCAGCGTGAGCGTGAAGTTCTCTTTGATTTTCATGGCACCCCCATCTCGACTGTCTTACGCTGGGCTCGTCTCAGGATCCCGACTGGACAGATTGCTCGGTCACTTTGGGGGGAGTTGTCCAATTCTCGCTGTACCCGTCGATCGCGTAATGTAAAAGTGCGTGATTATATTATATTTGACGTATCTTATCGCTCTCTAACAAACAGACAGGTCTCTCTGGGTGGAACAGAATGCATGGCTGAAGTCATGTACTACGTCCAGCTGCCAAAACGCCTTGAGAATGGTGCATACAGCGAGGACGAAGTCCATAGCCTGGCTCTTGTCCAACTGTACTCCAAACCTCACGCAAGAATGCTTGAGCTATCAAATGGTCAAGTATATTCCTCTACACACGGCGGCGAAGCGTCGCTCTGTCTGATCGATGTAAAATCGTTTCTGGCTGTTGTCGGCATGGTCCCTCACACGCTTGCAGCTCTCGATGATACCAACGACCAGCCCCGCTTTTTCCTTGCAGAAAAGATGGGGTTAGACGTGCTCAGGATTGGTGGAGTCGAAGAGCCAGAGGGTGGAGAGTATGATGGGGTCGAGATCAACGAGGAAGACTATTAGTTTCTTACAGGCGTCACACTTTGATTTTTTTTGGTTCAAGAATACATTCTGTTTCGTGCAATGTTACAATACAGGCGTGCGAGAGGGTGCTACAAGAATGGATAACATACAGCCGCATCGGGCGGAGTACACAGTCGAATTGCGTGTGTGGGCGAGGCATCCACGTACTCACATAGCCCTCCCCTTCCCTTTCCTGCCGTGCTTGCCCTTCCCCTTGGTGCACATGCACTGGTTTTCTTCGGCCTTGCGCCTCTCCTCGGCCAGACGGCGCTCCCTTCTCTCCATCCCTTGTTGGAACTTTGCCCGGTTTTTGGCGGCGAGCCGGGCTGACTGTCGGCAAGTTGAGGGTGCGCCGACCTCAACGGATGGGTAGCGAATCCAGCGTACAAGCTGGGATGGCATGGGCGTGGACGCTCTCCTGGAGAGCTGGCTCGAAGCTGGGGACGGAAGCGGTGAGGGGTGGTAGCGAGAGGGCCTTGCCACCATGGCTGGCTCGACATTGTGCGCAGCACGAAAGGCTGTTGGCAGCTCTTCGGTGTAGCTAGGCAGGGGGACAGCTCGAGGCGCGTCGACTACAGGCTCGTTCTATACATAGTTAGCAACGCATATAGGTACACAAAGGCAATAGAACTCACTTTTTGAATGGAACCCGAGGCAAGCGTGAGCGGAGGAGAGGGATCACGGCGCTCTGGCTTGACAAGATTGTTGACAGAGAAATGGAACGGGCTGCGGCGATTCCTCTCAGGCATTGAAGAATACCTTTTGAAGACATTATGCTCGTGTTCGTCGACCAAGGTAACAAGGATGTCCTGCATATAGTCAGCAGGGAGAAATTACAACAGCGAGTATTACTTACGTTGACATTGACTGGCTTATTTGCCAGTGAGATGACCTGGGTACGACCCTTGGAGAGACTCAAGGTCGTCCTCATGGTTGCAGCATTGAGGTACCTCAGAGCTGTTGATCGAGTCGGCATCGTCGGCGAGTTAGAGTCGTTGGTGAGCGAGGGAATAAAACAGCTGGGTGGCATAGTTATCCTGCGCTCGTTTAATTAGATCAGTATCATACAGGCATAATGTACTATTACTTACCTTGATAGAGACTTGTTGAGGCGTCGGATGATGTGGGTAGATCTGGGCGGTCGGAAAGCTTTGCCGCGCAAAGCCTTTTCATTAATGTAAATCGCATTCAGACTCCGCGTCGAGGCTCTATGACCGTGGGAAATCGGACTTGTAGACTCGAAACCTTCGTGTGTCTCGTTCTCTTTCTCTCTCTTGTTCTTTGTTATACCGTTTCCCTTCCCTCCCTCCTCTATTTTCTATGCTTCAAACCAACATGTTCTCTAGCTCTGACGATTACTATATGGACTCAGGCGACTATACTCAGGCTCCGGCTAGCTTAGATGGCTCCGATCTCCTGTCCGGCCCGGTTCCCTCAGGCGACTCTTCTGGCGACGACTTCTTGAACTGGAAGCTTGCCCAGCTTAACCATATGCAACAGCCGAAACTAGCCGGCTTCCCTATACATCAGGTCCTTTTCCATTTCCTCACCGCGTGCTAACTTTTATGCTATTTCAGACCGCTTATATGCGCGTCTCAAACGAACTGGCCTCCATACAAAAAAACAACCAGCGCCTCTTACAGCAAAATCGCACGCTGGAAACTACTAATCATGCATTGATGTAAGTCCTTATCTTATTTTACTCGCATATATGCGCTAATTCGACTGTTAGAAACGCCTTCTCTACGCTCGCTGCCTCAGTGCAGCTCAAGGAACACGCCGATGACCCTCTCGCCTATGCCGCTTCTCAGGCTACCAAGGGACCGCCACGCATGAAGAAGGAAGATTGCGGCGCCGTCCATTACTTCACCCGGACAAGCTACACCGACTATCTCAACAAGTCGTCAACGATCTCTGCGGGAATCAAGAAGGGGCAGCTTCCCTTCCTCGAGTGGAAGACCGGCCAGCGCATGGATTCTGAAACGAAGGACGCGATCACCCAGATCGCAATTGCTGTCTGGAATGGCTATGGCGACGAGGCGCCTACCTCTTGGGGTCATGCGAATATCGACCAGATCAACAAGCTTTATCGCGAGATACTACTGCAGTACCCCGAGGTCGGTCTTTGCGAGCACAATTGGAAGCTCCATGAGCTCGCCACTGTTCGGTACCCTTCTTGGCGACAAGGCTACGATAAGCGCAAGGCGGCAGAAGCAGCTCTCGCTTCCGGAGAGATGCCTGCTATCAAGTCGGATGACAACGCGGACCCTCTTCCTGATGACGACACCAAGGAGCAGACCACAAACCGGGGAGCACGCAGACGCGGGCGCAAAGGCAAGCGCGACCTTACTGACCTTTACCAGAAAGACTTTGGAGGCGACGAGCACCAGTTGAAGAAGGCACGCAAGGAAATCGATGATGCAGGCGACACAGGCAAGAAAACGGACGTGAAGGGAAAGGGACGTGAGGTCAGCAAAGACAAGGAAGGCGGTGATGATGGGATTGAGGTGCGTACTGCATCTTTCCTTCTCTGCTAAATGTTCACTGTCTACTCAGGAGATTCAGCCTGAATTCCCTCCCGTCGTGGACTTGTTGTAAGTGCCAATCTACTCTATTCATGACGCATACTTATACATTTCATTTGAGCGCTACTGTCAAGGCTGTCTCCTCCCCTGGACCATCCGGCATCAAGGATAAGTCTGATTTCGTGGTCATTCCATCAAGCGAGCCCCACCGAGTGCCGTTGTCGCCACCACTCACGACAGCAACTCCTGCCCAGACCCCTGTTCCAACTACACCAACGCCAGTATCGGACGTCTCGGCGTTCTCTGCGCCCGCAAGTACCGCCAAGATCCCCGTTCCGGCTGCGCCGACCTCACCCTTGGACATCTCGGCAGCGCCAGCACCGGTGACTACTGCCCAGGCCCCTTCCCCGATTGTGCCGACACCGGTCCCAGACGCCCCGACGGCCCCTGCACCTGCGAGTGCTGGGATCGCCCCCGATACTCCTCCTGTGTCGACCGTGTCAGCCTCTGCGTTGGCGGCGAGGGAACCTCACACAGGCTCTGTGGCTTCGATATCGTCGGCAATAGCTGTGTCAGCAACGGCGCTCGCTGGGAAGAAGATGAGACCTGCTAACTCGTATACTGGACGGTAATGCCTTTCTTTTTATTTATGCACTTTCACTTATCGTTCCTGTTGTTTAGGACGCTCGCTCAGCATCGGTACCTTCACCACAGAGGCGCTGTGACGGCTACTGCCTTTGGAGTATGGTGGAACACGCTCCCCAAAGCGGTCAAAAACGTATGTATTTCTTTTTCTACATACAAGCGCCAGTTCTAATGTCTACTACCTCTATCAGAAATACGACGAGGAGGCCGAAAGACTTGTGAGTGCTATCTTATGTCTTTCCTTCATATATGTTTGTTCTTACCTCTTCTTTAGCGTTCCGAAGGTATTTGGCACGGGCACTCTGCGGCTGTGGTCCAGAAATTCGCATCCGACACACTGTACGAGTAGGATTGGCGCTGGCGGGTGGTGTAGAGCAGCGAGGAGCGGCAGGAGGCGGCGGCGGGAGGCGGCGGGGAGCGGCGGGAGGCGGGAAGCGGCGGGAGGGGGAAGTGGTACTAGCCATTGTACCGAGTAGTGTGTGGTATACAGAATCAATCGAGCTGTATGGTGTTCTATGCGCGCGATACTGACCTGAACAGAGTATAATGGAAGCTAATCAGGTATATAAACTACCGGACAGCACGGTAATATTTCGTTATACTTAGTTCTCGTCCAATCGATTCAGATGTATGGTGGCTCTGCCATATATTGAAGTACTATGAGGAGTATATACATAGCTCGCGATCTATGAACTGTGCCATTTTAATATGTACTAATATCGTGTTCTATGGCTCCACGCATTCTGACGTGAATACACGTGGCGCGTGCTGGGTAGATGGGGTTCTCACTGGGGATAAGCACTCGGAGACTTGAACGGACTCATGGCATTGGAAGGGCCTCAACTTTCAGGCTGCGAAGGATCACTACACCTTGTGGTCATGGATGTATGTTAGCAGATGTTAGCGCCCAAGCTCCGATAAGCGGACCGGAAACACAGGGAATTCATGTCTTCTCATGGCCTTGTTATCTCCCCGGTCCGCGTTATAGGGACTCAGGAACTTGTGTTCTGTCCGGTTGTTTGTCGGTCTGGACCCGCGTCACAGCCACCCAACATACGTCATATATATAGCTCGATTGTCCTGCCGGTCTTTTCTGTGTTGCTTCCAACTCTCGTGCGTATTTTTACTTCCGTGGATGTCATGCATCATGCATTCATGGTTCAGCGAATGTTCTCATGAACACAACAGCGCTTTAATTCATCACCATACTTTGGGGCCTTCAACACCACTTAAGAGCGACTCGTCTACCACATAAATTCCGCCTATTCAGGGCAATAGGAGGCCAGTTCCGTTTTGCATTCACCCTCGAGAAACTCATCATGGCCGTCTATGATACTTTGTCGAATGCATCCCTTAGGGTATGTTCCCTTCATCATAGCTTTTACGCAGTACTGATCTACACATAGGACTTTGTCCCATCGCGTGATGGGCCGTCGCGTCAAAGAGCTCTGTCCACCGCATCCGACATCTCTACCTCATCCTATCAGTCCCTCATTATCTCATCCTGGATACTGAAAAGCTCCCAGGCCCCACAAAGTGCAGCTGAGCCCGGCTACGACACGGCGCAAGGCTCCTTCACCGTCACTCCGCCAGCGAGCGAGCTTCTATACTCTTACCTCCACATTGTTGGCGGCCCTAGCCATCGCCAATCTACCAAGGCCAAAGACAAGAGAACAGCTGACGCCAGTCCCCATGAGCCGACAGATAGTGGGTCTGCCTCGCCGTTACCATCACCCACTTCCCTCCATGGGCCTTCTATCAGCCGCACATCCTCCCCCGACACTTGTTCGGAGCGCACACCGGCCCCTTCTTCCGTACCTCGCCTCGATGATTCGTTCGCAAAGCTGCACCCAATATTGGAAGCGGTCGAGGGTGCGTCTCAGTTCTCCTCTCAAACTGTTTGCGTTGCCTGCGGCAAACACGGCCGAGATTTCCCGCGTTGCCCTCGCTGTGGTGACCTGTGGTGTTCGCGCCAGTGTAGGATGCAAGGAGGTAAACGCCATGTTTGTCGGGCCGCTACAAATTAGTGTCTCCCGGCACGAGGAGAGAGCAATCAGACTGATACCCTGCATAAGTGCTATTAGCCGCTCAGTAATCATGGTGCGATACGGTTCCGGATGTTGTTCCAGTATAGAGATCTCCTTACCTGGATGTGTAGCCTCATTTTTTCTGCCTTCTTGACCACTTACCTTCATGCGCTTGGATATCCCTCACATCAATTGTCTACTATGCATCAGCCCCTGTATTCCACCCCAAACAAGGAAATCCATCTCAGTTTATCGAGGTTCAAACTCACAGATGGATAATGCGCAACATCATGCATACAGACGAACCGTTGACAAACATTCTCGTAATGAAAGCATACCCTATGCATCTGCATCAGCTGAGGGATAGGCAGTCCCGTGTCCACTAGGCATACACATGCCTCCGCTATCAGACTAGAAGACAATCTTCGAACCCTGGGGAGCCACAATAGCGGCACTTTTCTGCTTCTTTGCCTCCCAAGAGGGATGCAACGATGCCGCCTGCGCTGGTTTGGACGGCGCGCTTTCCACAAGCTCGCGTCCCACGGTATGTTTATCCGTTGTCTGACTTTTGTTGAAGCGCTGGTCTGGCCGTCTGGTCATTTGAGTTTCTTTACGATCCTGCGGTCGTCTACCTCCATGTTTATAGTCCGTTGGCGTCCGTGTAAACCTGTTTTTAGACGTCCCCTCGATCTCCTGCTGGCTTTTTAGGTGATTCGCATTCTTGCCAAACTTTTTCTCCCATATTCTGGGGAGCGGACAAAGCGCCACTAATGAGTACACGGAATGATCCTCGTAAGAGCAAGGTCACTCACGCTCTGCGGGCGCGTTGGCCCCTGCGGTTCTTCCGGACGCCATCAGCAACGTTGGCTTCTGCATCACTCCAATCTTCATCAGAGTCGCCGCGAATGAAGCCAGCAGCCAGGGAGGGAAGGAATGCAGACTGCGAGCCTGTGGTCTTGGGTGCAATTTTGGATTTCGAGACAGAAGGGCGCAATTCAGAAGCATTAGAATCATCTGATATATCATGCTCGTCCTCGGATCCTAAAGAAGCGCCACCTGAAGGTGCTTTATTGCCGTCATGGATAGAACCAGACTCCCAGCCGTCCGAGGCGTGGTCAGCAGCTTCATTGTCGTCACCCTCGGCGCTACCATCGTCGCCCTCGTGATCATCAGCATCGTCATCTACGTCCATAGCGGAAGATGCTATGCGGCTTTTCTTCATTGGTGGAGAAGTCGGGCCGTCAGCGGAATGGCCTGCAGGTGCCGTGTCGGGATAAAGAACAGCTTTGAGTCCCAATACAATGCCTGAAATCTCAGTGGCCAGAATCTTTGAACTCAGTATTCTGCTCTGAACCCTGGAGGCAGGAGAGCCAGGAGCAGGAAGGGAGACAAGACCATTGGATAGCTCCTTCGACATAGCGGGCTCCATGAGGTCATGAGACGAAAGCATCTTATCCTTCTTGATTTTGCTTCTCAGAGCGGTATTGGCAATGATGTCAATGTCGGTGTTCTGGACAAAGGTTCGAGTTGTCGATCAGGGCATAGCGCATACTCTCACCTTGAGAGCCTCTAGCTCCGCCTCCAGCTCGGACGTATCTTTACTCACACTAGACTCTCCTTTTGTCCTATCTCATAAAGTTAAGGAAGTCAAACAGGAGCGATCATGAGTACCCACCTCACGCCCTTGAGTCTTTTAAGAACTTTTTGGAGCTCAAATGCCTTAGCTTTCTTCGCTGCCTTTCTAACTTCCTTGACGCCATGGTGCTGGGAGCTTGAACGTTAACATAGGTGTGCGGATGAAGAGACACATTGGAGGGTAGGTACCAGTTTTCCAGAGATGTTAACCTGGAAACGGAGCGTCAAACACTAGAGTGCATTCATGGCCTTAATACTTACCTCCTCCTGGTTCTCTGAGTGTTTTCTTTTCTTGCCCTGCTTGCGAGTCGACGTGCTGACGTTGTGATCGCGTTGAGACATGTGTGATCACGTGGAGATGATCGTCGGCACCGTCGAGGAGCGCGACCGAAGATTCGGAGCTTGTCTCTTCCCTGACTCTCCTTGATTTAGATTCCGAGTGACTCGTCCCCGCCGCGTGTTTACGCGTATGTAACCCACTTGTCGATCGTTTGTCCAATCCCAGTTCCGTAGGAGTCCTTGCTTTATCGCGGCGCGTATCAACTCACACCTCAGCATTTGCATCCCACTTCATGGAAGACGCCGCGCCGGAGGCCAAGCAGTTTGCTGCCTTTGAACGCAGAAATGAGTTCATTGACTTACAGAATGCTATCCTATCCAAGGATCTCACCGTCGAGCCAGAGTACGATGAGCGAGGCTCGGAATGGATCAAGGTCGAAGGACTGGCTGCTATAGTGAGTTCATGCTAAGAACATCATCTATATCTGCTACTTAGACGTACAATAAGCTATCAGAGTACCAGGAGCAAGCTTACTTGCTGGATCCACATCTAGAAGCGCTCGTTACCCCAGTCATGGGACGTCTCCGCGAGCATGCATACCTACGGCACACCCAACACGTCCAATCATCCACATTTCGCTTGAGAGCGTTGGCAGTCGTTATCTACAACTATGTCAAGTTTCGGGGGCATAAAACTATAGGCATGTTTGCTTTCGCATTTTTCGCGCAGCTATTCTAAAGACCTAAGAGCTCGCTTCTTTCCTCATGAGGTCGCCGACTTGACGATCGCTGTTACCTTCATGAATTCGACAGACGACGTTACGAATGGGCTTTCCCAGTGGTCCTTGCGCTATGCTCTCCTCCTTTGGATTTCTCTCATCATTCGTATACCGTTCGATTTGTCGCAATTTGACGAGGACGACGCCAAAGAATCGATTGCTGAAGTGATTGAATCTCTTGCTAGAAGGCAACTCAGCAGGGCCGGACTCGAGCGTGAGAGTGCTGCAGAACTGTTGGCTAGGCTATATATGAGGTGGGTAGCAGCTTTTTTTAACCTTGAACCCCTAATTCTAATTTTCGGTAGGAAGGATGCTGCCGCCCGTCTCCCCGGCTTCATTGCTTGGTCGTGTGAGTCAATTAAAGAGCAGTCCGACGTGTTTGCTGTAAGTATTCTCTACGCCTTTAGTATCGCAATGTTCATGAATTGTACTAGGCCATTGGAATACTGCAAGTCCTTTGTCTCTACGTGAAGAGTTCCTCGAGCGATGATGCGGCTCGGATTATGACCGCCCTGCTAGCAATCGCCAAAGAGGTGAAGCATGGCGGGGTATTGTACAGCAATACCCTTGTAAGGAAGTTCAGGACTAAGCTGCTTTATCGTATGGCTTTGCACCTCGTCCCTCCTTCTGTGAGCTCGTCAAGGAGGCAACGTGAGGTGCATTCTGTGTTTCTGATAACGCTTACTGAACCTTTCTTCAAGGCCGAACGCTAGTCGGGTCTTTTGTGGGTGGACAGGACTTTGCGGATTCCGAAGATGAGGATGTGTCCGAAGAAGTTGAAGTGGTCTTAGAACAGCTCTTCGAAGCTTTGCAAGATAAGGTTCGATCATATCTTTATCACGTACCAAAAAGTTGACCACTTCTCAGGATACTGTAGTACGCTGGTCAGCGGCCAAGGGGGTTGCTCGACTTGCTGAGCGCCTGCCACCAAGCTTCTCTAACCAGATCCTTGAAAGCGTATTGGGGCTATTTGAGATTCACAGTATGGCAGCTGCCAGCCTATATGATATGCCAGCGATTGCGGAAGCCACCTGGCACGGTGCGACCCTGGCATGTGCCGAAATGGCTCGACGAGAGCTCGTGCCCCAAGATCATCTTTCGCAGTTGATGAGCTGGCTGTACAAGGTGGGTCAAGAGCATATTTTGACGATGATGTACGCTGAACTTTGGTCGAGGCACTCTTCTTTGATATTCGCAAAGGTGCTCATTCAGTGGGCTCGAATGTCCGAGATGCTGCTGCATACGCGATATGGTCCTTAGCTCGCGCGCAAAACACCTCTGATCTCGCTCCATACGCCGACAAGCTTGCGCAGAATCTTGTTGTCGTTGCTTCGTATGACCGCGAGGTGCACATTCGCAGAGCTGCTAGTGCAGCCTTTCAGGAACATGTCGGTAGGATGGTCAGTTTCTTCAGCGGTGCTCACCGGACGAGAAAGTTCACATACCCCTCAGTCCTTGTTCCCTCATGGCATCGACGTACTTCGGAAGACCGACTTTTATGCGGTCAGCGTTCGACGAAATGCTTTTGTCATTGTGGCCCCACAAGTATCCGAGTAAGTATTTCCATCGTGCAATGGTATACTAATAATGCTTTCATAGGCATCCTGAATATCGCAATGCTTTACTAGATCATATCATGAATGTCTCTATCCGACACTGGGATGCAAGTATTAGAGAATCTGCGGCTCAGTCTCTCTGCGGGATCTGTCAACTGAACTTGCTGGAGCTAGGACCTCAGTGTATCAATAGACTTGTAAGCGTGCTGACTATTGTTGGTGCCTGGTTTACTGATTCCAGTCCCTCAGAACAGCCTCTTTGAGTCCGTTGATAATTCTGATGTTCATGGCGCTTTGCTTGGGTTGACGGATCTCGCTAAAGCCTTTAATGAGGCTACGGACGCGAAGAGTCTCCAGTGTAGAGGAAAAGTAATTATATCCGCCACAGTCACTTATAATTGAGTTAACATTGGTGTAGATTTTTGCCAGCTTGGAACTTGTGCCTCCCGCTATCCTGAACTCACCTAGGAACGAGCTAGTCATGGTCGCTGCCTGCCATCTCATAGCAACGAGCATCAGTCATGAAGAGCTAGCGGGGAAGGCGACATCGCCACATTGGAGAAAGGTGATCGACTTGAGTTTACGACATCGAAGCTCCGTTGTTCAAGAAGCGGCGGCAGAGGCTATGAAAGCGCTGAGCCGTCTAGAAGACTGTTCAACTCAGATTCAACAATGAGTCGTCTCTTCAATGGCATAATCAAACGCCTGACTATTGTTCATCCTTCACGCTGATCGCAGAGTTCATCAAGGGAGCGCCTCATATTCAACAAAGTCTCTGCCGTGTCTTGGGAGTATTTGACTACAGAACGTATCCTCAAAGTCTCCGAAGTGTTATAGACTGCCTGTTGCAAAGCATAGATTCAAAGGTGACACCGTCCCCATCAAACCGAAATTTGTCCTTACTGATTATTTGACGACAGTCGAGCACGAGGTTGCAAAATGTGGAAGCAAGGCGCCTTGCACATCGATCTATTCCACAGATAGTGGAAAATGTTCTACCTCGGGTTTCTGAGCGTGAGCCCTTGCGCCGTCGCTTTGTTCTGATCATCGTCTCACCTGCAATGAAGTTATTACACCTCAAGACATGTGTGATATAATTGAAAGCCTCGACAATAGCTTGGACGACTATACTACGGATGAACGCGGTGATGTTGGCTCTTGGATCAGGATGGCTTCCATCGAGGGCCTGACTTCGATCTCTCTCAATCTTCTATCACAACGCCAGGCCATAGACGCGGCAGGCTACCTACCTATTGAGAAGTTCCATCACTTTATAGGGCGCATCCTTCGTCAAGGAGTAGAGCGGCTAGACAATGTCCGGCAAGTTGTTGGTGACTGTCTTCTCCGCCTTCTCGCATTTTCGACTGCACACATTAGCGGAGTAGAGCAATGGCGGCTTAAAGGTGAAGACCTAATGAGGAAGCTTTTCTCGAGGTACATCCAAGCCTATTGGCAAAAAGCTACGTACTCAATTGCTGCAGTGATGACGAACGTGTTGGATGGGCCAACAGCGATTGGCTTTTCCCGAGGGTTGTTGAGTTACTTGGTGTCCAGCAGTATCGCAAGCAGCTGCTATTGGGGCTCATCTCGAGCGTAGGGACGAAGACCAGCAGCATCGTATGTCAGATCCAGACTCGTTTGATCGGGAGATTAACGCGCCTCTAGCAACGACCAGCCTCGGCTAGTTTGGTCACATACGCCCAAAACCTCCCATTATCTCGCACCGAGATCGCTTACTCCCTATCTGAGCTTTCAGTTGATCTACTCGGTCTTGCCCAATGTAATCTGTCCTCGAACACAGTAGTCCTTCCTGTCCTGCAAACCTACAATGTGTTGTTGGAGGCTGATGCTCTTGGCCGTCTAGCGACTCTGCCAGAGGGGCTCCAGAAGTTTGTGGTTTATCTCGTTTGGTATTCGCCTTCTGATAGATCTTCTAGCCTGAAGTCACTGCTTTCTTTAGTTTCGAGAGGTGTCCAACGGCTCAAAAACGTACAGCGCATCTATGAATCGATGAAAATGTGTGCAGTCCCTCTTAAGTTTCAATCAGTGGCTGATGTGATATGTGTAGCACTATCAATTTGCTCGGAGTTCCAGAAATAACGGACGATTCCATTCCAAGGCTTGTGGAGTATTTGGGTCATCTGTTCCCTCGCGTAAGTAGCTTCATGTTGGATGCTTTCTCCCACTCATACAGACAAACAAGGTACGAGCTGCGGCTGCTGAGCACCTTTATATGGTTCTGCAAACGAAAGACTTCGATTGGCAGACAGATGAGATTGAAGAGCTGCTCCTCGAGACTGAGTGGTAAGTGACCACAAATTGTACAACTTTTGTCTTTTGGGATTAACGGAAAATAGGCCCAATATTGATTTGGATGAAGCAAAAGCGAAGGCTAGCGATATCGTCAAAATAATGAAGACGGGTAGCTGAAGTTTCATTACTTTCTTGCACCCCTGTACATGTACCACATACGCCAGATTTCTCATTTGATGAACCCACGTTAGCGCCCGATGACGGTACTAGAAACAGACGAGCGCTTGTGTATCGTGGGAAACTCGGCTGCGACAGTTGCTACATTGGACGGCGACTGATTGAGTGCTGAAGCGCTGAAGCCTGCAGCGTTGACTAAACACCAGACTATCATGGTCGTCGATCCCCGCATTAGTGAACGAGAGGCTGCTGCCATCAACGCTGCAGCAGTTACGCGCGAATTCCGCGTGCAGCCCCATCTAGGTCGGTCTCGAGCTCCAACAAGCCCTTCTGCGAGGCTGACACAAAACACGCAGACTACCGCACCGTGTCCGCAATCAATGGGTATGTTTCCACCTGGTAGACGCGCGCTCTTTGCTCTCAATCTCGATTTGACACAACTACAGACCCCTCGTGGTTTTGGACAATGTTAAAGTACGGCTCCGTTTAGCTCAAAGCTCATGGCAATACTGATCTTCTTACTGCTAGTTCCCATCCTACAACGAGATCGTGTCGCTCACCCTCCCCGATGGCTCGAAGCGAGGCGGACAGGTGCTGGAAGTGCAGGGAAAGAAGGCTATCGTTCAAGTCTTTGAGGGTACATCTGGCGTGGATGTGAAGGCGACGCATGTCGAATTCACTGGCAGCAGCATGAAGCTTCCGGTTGCGGAGGACATGCTTGGCCGGATTTTCAACGGTTCCGGAAACCCTATCGATCAGGGTCCCAAGGTCTTTGCTGAGGATTATTTGGACATTAACGGTGCGTTCGATGTCTTGTTTGTCAATCTCCTTGCCGCGGTCTAAACATCATCTACGGCGTGCTCGTAGGCTCGCCCATCAATCCTTACTCTCGCATTTACCCTGAGGAGATGATTCAGACTGGTATCTCAACCATTGACACGATGAACTCCATTGCGCGTGGCCAGAAGATTCCCATTTTCTCTGCAGCAGGTCTGCCTCATAACGAGGTGTGACTGCATATTGCTGTGTCTGGCCTTGCACTGACTTTTTCTCTAGATAGCTGCCCAGATCGTGCGTCAAGCTGGCTTGGTCAAGGGTCCGACGAAGGGCGTACATGACGGACATGAAGACAATTTCTCGGTCGTTTTTGCTGCCATGGGTGTCAACATGGAGACCGCGCGTTTCTTCAAGGAAGACTTCGAGTCTAACGGCAGTCTCGATCGTGTGACTCTGTTCCTTAACCTTGCAAACGACCCTACTATCGAGCGTATTATTACGCCTCGCCTTGCGCTTACCACGGCTGAGTATTATGCATACCAGCTTGAGAAGCATGTCTTGGTCATTCTGACAGACATGTCTTCTTACGCAGACGCACTGCGCGAGGTCAGTAACAAGCCCATTTATCATGGATCTTGGGCTCATTTTCCTTATTCAGGTCTCCGCAGCTCGTGAAGAAGTGCCCGGTCGTCGCGGATATCCCGGTTACATGTACACGGACTTGTCCACTATCTATGAACGTGCAGGACGTGTCGAAGGCCGGAACGGCTCTATCACTCAGATTCCTATCTTGACCATGCCTAACGATGGTGATGTCATTTTTAGGCATGCTAAGTTGAAAATGAACTAACGTCGCTGTAGATATCACTCACCCGATTCCAGATCTTACCGGTTACATCACCGAAGGTCAGATCTTCGTTGACCGACAGCTGCACAACAGGCAAATTTACCCTCCGATCAACGTGCTCCCCTCACTGTCACGTCTGATGAAGAGTGCTATCGGCGAGAAACTTACGAGAAAGGATCATGGAGATGTCTCGAACCAACTGGTACGCTAGTACAGCGTCCCCTTTTCCGCATGATGTACTGACCAGACCGTGGAAACAGTATGCCAAGTACGCTATTGGTAGGGATGCTGCCGCAATGAAGGCCGTCGTTGGTGAGGAAGCGCTCTCTGCTGAAGATAAGCTTGCACTCGAATTCCTCGACAAATTCGAGCGTCAATTCGTCGGACAAGGTTTGTCGTTCTGTCAGTTCAGGAATAAACCTCTCTTACATGAACCCCGTAGGTCCTTATGAGTCTCGTACGATCTTTGAGTCACTCGACCTGGCGTGGTCACTTCTTCGCATCTTCCCGAAGGAACAATTGAACCGGATTAATCCCGAGATCATCGCCGAGTTCTATGGCCGCAAGCCGACAAAGAAAGCTAGTCCGGAAGAAGAGCAGCAAGGACCCGCCGAGGAGAAACTTATCGATGCATGAACATTTCAATAATGTCCTCTGTAAAGGTCCTACTCAATTGTATATACGCACCCTTCTCAAGTAATGACACAACCGACGATTTCTGCCCCTTCATTCGCACAATGATGACACCATTGTTTTTGCAACGTACAGTCGCTATGGTGTTGATGATGTATATTGCCTTCTTGGTCGAGTTAGACTCAATGGCGTTGATAGTATAGGATCCGCAGTATTTGCGCCTTCGTAGGACACCTGCTGTAGGATGAAAGCCCAGAAACCAAGATAGGTATTGATAAAGGGTCTGGGCGATCGGAAGTTCGGTGTAAGTGCAGAGCAGATGCAACGAGGCCCGTGGCTCTGATTGTCCAACACGAACACAACGCCGCTAGAATGGGAGATCTAGCCACATCTTTGGCCACACTCTTTGACCTAACTCTGGAACGAATGTACGCTTTTGGTAGACAAGGCGGCCACCGCTCGCGGATTACCTTTTTTTCTCACCGAGGGCGTCGAATGGGCGCGTCCACAATGTCAGCTGGATGAAACAGAACAAGACGGCACACATGAAATGGATCCAGATGACAAACAAAACCTCGGAAGTAGACTCCGAGCACTGCCAGTTCTCAGAGAAGTCGCAGAACTGGGAGAACTGGGTGGGCGCACTGCCGTATTGCAAAAGGCAAATGAGTTCACCGAATCGAGGTCGACACGACCCAGCGCCGAAACGTTGTCTCAAGGCATCCTTTCTGCTAATCCAACTTAAGCTTAATGTTGACAGTGTCGGTGCGGGCAAACGATATCGCGTGTGGGTATCGCTTCATCTCCGGCCCCACGGAAGGATCGTTTGAACCTGTGGCACGACACTATATGTCTAGGAGAAACAATGGGGGAATTTCACAGGTGTAGACTTGTCAAAGGGCCCAATCAATGCAGCCGTTATTTATCCCATAGGATAGATATCCTGGTCATAATAACACGTACTAGCCATTGGACCTGCACCGCGGAGGTTCTCGGGATGGAACGTAATATCTGAACAACTGCACCCTTTTCAGGATGCAAGGACAGTCCATTCGTGTAGATTCGAAGCTATGAATAATTTTCATGGAGGCGGCGACTCACAAGTTAGGCTAGTCATGGCTAGGAATGGTTGGGCTGTTATGTGATGAACAACAGTTACGGTAGAATGCTAGATGCTTGGCGCCCGCATGTGTGAGCATGGATTAGCTGCACGATCTGACAAACTCGGCCCTGTGTGGCTCCTCCAATCATGCCAGAACATGTTGACCTCTGAAGTAAGTATACGTCAACGGCAGCGGCTAGCGGAAACTGTTCAGCTCTGGTTCAGCCTCTGGTGGATCAGCCGACGAGCCGGTAGTGACAGCGTCAGATGGAAAGGAGCAAGAGGATGTCCGACAGTGGGCCGTGAGCTGTCCTTGAGAACGGGAGGAGGCGTTTCCCCATGATAAGATGGCAAGCTAAATTTGAAGCTTTGAAGCCCCGGAGACAAGTTTCATCAAGCGAGGCCCCAAAAGGGATGTGATGTGTTCTTATGATGAACTTGATATCTTCGCAGGGTATACGAGACGACCTGGCCGAGATCCCAAGACGGAGAGCAACTCCATATAATTTGTCATGTTTCGAAGACGATCAGCGCCCTGATGGTCGACCACGCGCATCGCTATGCGTTCGTCGGGGCGGTGCTGTGGGTAGCTGACTCGCAGGAGGTGTGCGCTGTACATTGTACATGTCCTATGGGCTTGAGCGGCAAAGCATGGATAGATAGGGCCGAGCTGCCTCATGGGACCATCGATTCAGATGTCTGAATAGACTACGCGCCTGTTCCATGACGGCGGGACGGACGCTTTGCGGATGCCAATATGGACATGTGAACGCCATATGCCGAAGAGAGGACTGGTAGCGTGGGTTGTCAAAGGTTGCCTAACACCGTAAAACCTTGGTTTGGTTGATACGGCGGCAGAGCATCCCAGATCCGCCATATTTACGAGTCCGGCCAACTGTGTGGATGCATCCAGCCGTCGCCTGTAGGTTTTCCCCGCAGCCCTGCAGCCAGCAGGCGAGCAGTCGTCCACCCGTCAGCCTGTCAGAGCTTTTGTCTCGTTTTATTCTTCTGTCGTCTCAGCGAAACAACGCGCTCCTTTAGACTCCTTTTCCGTCTTGTCCGCATCCTCGCCAGCTCAACGTGTTCTTCAGCCGACCCAGTTCATTGCCATCGCGTGCTTCCGTCTGGTGAGTAGCCCGAGGCCCAAATGACATGATGTCCCCACACATGCGTTCACCCTGAGCCTGATTATATTTCTTTTTCCGTGCCTACTTATATCGCTCAGCCAACACACCCGTTCGTTTCTCCCTCCCGCCCGCTAACGCCTTCCCCATCGTTCTCGCAGTCCCTCTTTCCTTTCATATGGGCGACCTGGGTCACTCCATCCCTTCTGTCAATTGCAGAAAGCGAAAGGCCGATGAAGATGAAGATGGCCCCGATCCCCTTCCTCAGGACTCTCAGTCCAGCTCCCCTATGCTCATTGACTCGGCCGTAGCGCCACGCAGGTTATCCAACCCGCTGAGTCTCCGTACCTCTGGCCCGTGGCTACCTGCAGGCAGTCCCTCACCAGTATGGCGATGTGTACATGCAGACTCTCCTCCAGACTCACCGTTGACTCCAAGCACGCCAGAGGAGGGTAGCAGGATGTCCAAGCGCCCAAAGGTTGAGATGGCATGCCCGCCGTCCTCCATGAGACCGACCAAGCGTTTGCCACGGCCATCGCTTGTGCGGCATGTGGCTTGTGCCAATGTCCCTCGCCGTTCGCATAAAGAGGATTTAAGGGAGGCGACACATCCTCATTCCCCGAATGACTCGGTTCGCATGGAGTCTACTTGTTCTCCTTCCGAGCTTCCTCAGTCAACCGCTCCCTCTTCACCTCCTCTCCCTTCCATCGATCTTTCCTCGCCGCATATACCTCCTCTTCAGCCACTCATTAACCGAAATACCCTGAAAGAGCTCGATTTGAGTGCCATTTTGCGCAATCCCCAGCTTCGTAAGCGATCTACACGTTCCTGGCCACCACACGTTTTAATGATCAATTCCTAGGCCATGATCTTATTTTTGACGCCGGGCTTCAGTTCCGCCCAACGTCTAGTCGACGAAAGCGAGAACTAGCGGACAGGTACTGGCGTGCAGTCACTCAAGAGATTGAGAACGGCTGCACTTGCGTGTCGTTCGACGCCGAAGGCAGGCCGTGCGACTGCGTGTGCGTTTGCAGTCGCGCCCCGACCCCTCCAACCAAGCCCGTTCTCACGTACTTGTCGTCTCGGGGAGTTGCGACGCTTCGCATGCCATCCCGTGTGCAATCTCTTTTATCGGAGTTTCTGGAAGTCCTCCTTTACGTGATACAACCCCTTTCAAGCATCAGCGGTACCTACTCCCAGCCTGGCACGTTTCAGGCTCAAGTTGATCAACATGCTGCCCAAGCCGCCGAGCTACGATCCGCGTTTGACCCGAAACTTATTCAGCAGGAGTTGCGACATCAGCTATTTGACCCCTCAGGTTTGTTTAGCCTGATTGGGCAGACGCTTAAAAGTCACTGCGCTCCTATGCGAGACCGTGCAGTCGACGCCATGGTAGCTGTGGCGAAAAGTTGTGCCCCAGGTCAGGGCGGTACCAAGGCTGATGCGGTCAAGGCCGTGCGAATGTGTCTTGATATTCTGGAGCTTATGAAGCTTGTGAGTCCGTTCTTCTTGTATTTGCGCGTGGGAGGTACTAACATCACCTCCCAGGATATAGCCAATCACCAGCTGCAAACCCTTCGACCATTTCTCATTGACAGTTCAGGGCCTTACGAACTCAAAATATTCCAAGACCGGAAAGGACCTGCCAGCGCACTTGATTTTACCCGAACATGGCTGCAGACAGCTCACGGAAAACTCATGGCATCCAATTCTATCAACCACCCCTTTAAGCCCTCGGAACCCTTGGTTTTCGATTCGCTGCCTTACACTCAACAGGTCTATCTTTCTGTGATCAAAGGATTCTTTGACCTTGTGTTTGATCCGCCTCAGGTCGCTTCATCAACCCATATACCCCATTCCGCTCAACCATCGCATAGCACCGCACCTCTCCCATCTTACCCTGAAACTACCTATCTCGATAGCGCTCGCCTGCTAATTCTCGCCAACGATGCTGGTGATGCTGCTGCTCTATACCTATTCCTCATGCTCTATCGGCAATTGGTGTTTTCAAGCAATCAACCTTCGGCTACAGGTGCACGCGACGGCTCTAGACTGACCGAAGCCGATATGCTACAACTCAAGAAGGAGATTCGGGATATCAGCTCCTCACATCTGGGCGTCTTACTGGGTAACGTCGACATCGAAGGCCTCTCTGAGTCCGAAAGAGAGCGACGACGGAAGTGGAGAGCCGACATTGTCCTTCAGATTGCCCTCCGTGCGAAGGAAGCGCAGTCCAGCAAGCCCGGAGCCGCGTGCTCAACTGTTCCTGATGAAAGCACGCTTCGCCTCGCCGAACGCTGGACGAGCACGAACATGCGCTCAGGGTCAGCGTTGAGCGTCATGCTCAAGAACAAGATCCGCGACGCCGTGTTTAGCCATGTTCTTGCTTTGACGTTCTTCTCTCGTGACTCATCTCGGCTCCTGAAGCGTTCCGACGAGCCTCTCGCTGCAAACGTGCCTCCGCCTTCCGCGGGCATGGAACCGCTTGCAGATGAGATCGCCTCACTGTCGGAACGCCTAGCAAAAGTGGCTAGTATCCACATTGCGGCCTACCTCCCGCTCTACGAGCAAGATGGCTTCTTATACAGTTCTTCCTCACCACCACCTCCGTCGCCCACAGTATCGACATCTTCAGTTCCATGCACCTTGTCTCTAGATTCTTCGCCTGCAGGCTGCAGCGCGTAATACCCCCTCCTTCGGACTAATCATGGTATCGATATGGATAACTTTATGTGTGCATGTTGGTCGTTTGCATCGAGAAGAATTGAAGAAGCCACGATATCCGTACAATACAACTGGGCCAATAATAACTTGTGTATCTTGACAATCCCAATTCTCGTTTTGAATCTCTTTGATTTTCGGATTAGCTTGTGCATACCACACTTTCATTCGCTTTACATATACCTAGGCAAGCATACCCGGATACCCGTAGAATCATAGTTGCGTTTCTCCCATAAATCTGGAAGCATGCACGTTACGTTACACGCAGTACGACGCCAGTCAAGAGCCGTCTGAGTCAAATAGCAATGGATGTCGATCCATCCATATCACAAAGCAAGTGTGGACGTGTATGCCAATCCTACTTTGCCCGTTTTCGTGGCCTCCCGGAGTCTTCTGTGCCTCGTTTCCTTTTGGAAAAATCACTTGAAGGTGCCGCAAAAGGTCGCGACTTCTTTTCCTTCTGGCTGATCTTCCTCTGCTTCTTTTCAATAGCCTTCTTGACTGCCTGTCTACCTCCTGACGCAGCAAGTGAATCAAACCTCGCTTTCACCAGAAGCTCCTTCTTGGCAGCTAAAAAAACGATCAGTGGAAGGACCGACAGACTCAGAGAAAACAGTCACATACATCGTTTCATATGCCAATCTCCTTTTCCAATCTTGCGCTTTTCTTTCTCTTCCTGAGTAACCCGTTTGAGCGCCTGAGATTCAATCCGCTCTCGCTTATCTCGATTGACTGCGCTCTCCGCACGCTTTATTGCAAGTTCTAGACGCTCCACTTCGGCCTGGCGTTCTTCACGAAGGTGTCTTGGGGAGTTCACCAGCAGCTTGCGAGCACGCTTGAGGTTTGCGCGCAGCTCTGAGAGTTCTGTCGAGTGAAGGTCGGATAAGAATCCATAATTGTGACGGTATTTCTCTGTAGAGAAGCCTCCTGCCAGCTGTAAAAAGCGAGGATCCCTAGCTTGCTGCGAAAAAAGAAGCATTAGGAACGTGTAGGGTGGCGGTTGACTTGAGCTAACCGGCATGTTGCTTTCGACAACCACCCTTCGTCTTGAAACTGGCTTTTTGGAGGTAACCTCAGTTGGTCTATGCACAGTGTCAGTATGGAAGCAATGTGGCATCTTCGGCTCGAACTTACGCGTGTTTGTTGCGCCTGGCCTCGATAGCGGCCTTTGACCTCTCCCTCCCTTTGCCCTTGACGCTCAGTCGCTTGGACGAAGGGTCATCCTCAGCATCGTCAGAGTCAGAGTCATCCTCAGATCCCGACGTCTGAGGAGAAGCAAGCTTTATCTGTGCCCTTCGCACCATGCCCAATGGCAGTTCTGAAATGTCTGCGAATGCGTCAGTTACCTAATTTATTGCACTGTCATGTAGACAGACAGACCATTCTGCAATGTTCTCTAAATCCATTAGCCATGTATGAGTTGGCATGTGCACTGCGAAGTAGATAGGAGGCGTACCAGATGTGTTTTGCTGGAGCTTGCGATCTGGGGTTCGTCCTCCTCGTCCTCCTCGCCTCCGCTGTCTTCGCTGTCTTCCTCTAAGTCGAGGTCATCTTCATCGATCCACTGTGCAACTCTGGAGGTATCTGTGTTCCCATCATCCACATGTTCTTCACCTTTATCTTGTTCAATCTCTGCGTCCCCTTCAGAGCCTGAGGCCGACGGAGCATCCGATTCAGACGCGTTCGATCCCCCTGAGAGGTTGGGTGTTTGCTCATCATCTAGCTGGAAATAATCTACAGCTTTTGGGCGGGGATTAACTGCGGATTTCTTAGATATTGGTTCGGTAAACCGACGTTCCGTCCTGGAGGCCGTCGGAGGCGGACGGTTTTGCGGGCGAGGTCGACGAGGCATAGCGGAAAGCAGCTAGCGTTACAGTGATGTCTCCGGCTTAGCCGGGGCTCAAAAATTGCACAGCCACTTCCGACTGATACCAATGAATGCATTATATATTAAGTTGATTGTATTTTCCATATCATGCATCGTGTACTACAAGTCCAATATCACCTATTAACTACAGCCCCCAAAAGTGTCAAACAAAACGTCGCCACCAACAGCGTTGGTGTAAAATTTGGTAGAAGAAACGTAGAAGAGAGGAAGACGTAGAAACGACATTAATATTGCGAATTGCAGAAGTCCGGAAAAATAAAACAAGTCCATGATGTCCGTGACGAAAGTCAAACCTAAGTAATCTGTGCGAGAACCGAAAAGAATTTCACAGCGAGAATCAACTCAGTTTAAAGGACAGCTTAGAGCCACCCGTTGATGATAGTGAACTCAGGGCTGAAGTTGCCCGAGTCGCCGAAGACTTCACGGAAATTTAAGGGTATTCAAGCATGAAACAATGAGTTGTACTCACGGACGAGGGAATAGTCGATGCCAGTAGGAACTTTAGGAGCCTGAACACGGACGGTACCGTCACGAATGTTGAAACCACTCGCTAGAGTAGTGTCTGGGTGTGCGATGAGTAGATATCAATTGACATTGCTGACCTACTCACTCAACCAGGTCTCTTCTCCAACGCGCAGGTAGATCTGACCGATGGAGTTGGTGATGTTCACCGGAGCGTCATTAGTCTCCCTTGATAAGAGTGAGACCCAAATCAGACGGAAAGTATCCAGTGTGACTTACCAAGTGACATCGTAGTGGGCACCAGCGAGCCAGATGGTGCCTTGGTGAGGATATGTGACGGGAGGCACAAAGACATCGCGAGCCTCAACGTTGCGCTCATTCAGGGGGAGAGCATACACAAGCGCAGAGAAGAGGGAGAGAAGGATGAAGACGAAAGTCGTGAAGGATTTCATTGTGAACGTAAGAAAGCGTAAGAAAAGCAGAAGAAAGATGAAAGTTCGTTAGAATGGATGCGCTCGACGTCAGAACAGGTCGATCGATGGTGTCTGCTAGCTCACCTTCCCCAGTATTTGTACCAAGGCGGCGGACGGCTTCAAGCGCCCGCGTGAGCACCTGGCCCCGGTCCAGGGCGCAAGCTGGCATAAGTGATTTGCGGCGGCAGATCATCGCCGTATAAGCGAAGTATTGATGACAAGTTTCACCTCCGATTGTACAATCGCGCCTTGCGGACGTCCGCTTCAGACATTAAGCTCCGGCTTATACGAGTTGGTTTTTCGGCTAAGAATATTATTGTCGAGCAAGGACTGGGTAGTAGTCCTTCCTAGCACCTTCAAGCCTGCGCTCGCCGTACCTGGTAGGCCCCTCGTAAGCATATAGGTCCCCGGATAAAAGTCAAGCACCAGAAGACCTGAACAGGCAGGCTGAATGTAATCAATCAAGGGCATTCTGAAGCCGGTGCTGGTCTTCTTGTACCATATCGGACATTTCTGACGACCTGGTGACCAGACTTTGACAGAGCGGTCATATGGATGGTAGGTAGAGAATTCAGTCATCCGAGATCACTCGCATAGTAAGGACGTGGAGGGTTTAGGCATGCTGTTGAACAGCCCCTCTGTCCAAGCCGCACCGGCACCGGGATGTACGAAGGGGTCGGCGAGCCGTGGCCTTGAAGTTCAACGTTGAACGTTAGCATTAATGCCTGCCGAGTGCTGTCTGCCTGCGCACTGCATCTCCGAACTGTCCGGAGTGACATCAGCTAGTTGACCACAGTGCCGGACTGCCCAAACCTCCTTGTACATACCATCTCGTTTTGCAGGGAACGGTACCTTTTAATTTCAAGACTTACCATATATCCGATGCACAAAAACCCGAAAGATGATGGGTCTATTTCGTTAGAAAGGCAGAGGCACCATGGTAATGGTATTCTGATCGCCTTTTAACGACCTTACCTGGGTGGACTGACGGATCCAGTCCATGGACTTCAGCCCGATGTAAAGTGCAGTGATGAAACCCTGGATGTGTATAAGTATAGCCGATATCCACCATGCCTTCTATTGACGATAGCTGTGTACTAGTGCAAGACCAGTGACCGGCTTCGATACGCGGTCATAGCAATCAGAGACAAACAAGAAGCGCGACGCGTAAACTGACGCGTTTAATTTCCTAATCTGGGATATTATGTATTCCGCTCGCCTAAGCGCCGTTTTCGTTCCACTCCTCGCCCAACCACCTCCGCCCTTCTCCTCCCGCCCACCGCCTATCCTCTCATTTCTCCTAAACTCACTACGCTTGGCTGCGCTAGTATACGAGAATGAGTCTTCTAACGCCCCCCAGCACGTCTCATAGAGAGAAGGAAAACCACTATGCGGGAGGAAGTCGAGTGGCTTGGTCGTCCCAGAACCAGTACTTTATTCTTTCCAACAGCCCAAAGGGCAAGGCACGCGCCCTTCAAGCCAGCTCATCGACTCAGCCAGCCAAATCTATTCTCAAGAAGTCTGCTCTTCCGATGCTCGCTGTGCCTGACGAGGAGCTACGGCAGGTTACTCCCGAGCCAGAGGATCCTCTTGTCGACTTGTCTTACCTTGAGCGACCAGTTTCCCTTTTCCTTGCTCCTGAGCCAGCAATTCGTGACCGTATCGAAGGGTATTCCATCCTTACCGCGCGCATAAGAACGGCTGTTGTCAGCGGCACAGATGCCGATGCATCATGGCCGCTCTTCCAGCCACTTCGCAAGAACGCCCAGGCCATCACGGACGCGTTAGTTCGCGATTTGGGCATGGCTTTGATCGACCCCAGTACCATGTGCTCTACGTCCTTGGAAGACTTGGAGGTAGCGACCGAGCAAGAAGAGGAGGACCTATGCTTGCTGCCGTCGCCTAAGCAGAGTCCGAAGAAAAAGAAAAAGAAGGGCATGTCTGCAGAACAGGCTAAATGTGCGCGGGACTTGTGCACTGTCTCACACGCTGTTATGCGTCTCCTTGGTCTTGTTTTCACCCTCTCGGCGGTTTATAGAGTGTTCTCTGGTCAGTCAACTTTCAACAACACGCTGACTCAGCTGACTGGCAGGGCATATAGACGAACAGTTGCGCGACATGTTAACGCAAGTGCTTGCAATTCCATTATGTGATGTGCTGCCGACCCCCAATGCACGCAAGACTTGCGCTCTCTCAATATGGGTCCTCCAAAACCAGCGGTTGCCGGAAGAAGTTCTCTTCCCTGCAAGGGACCGTATTGCTTATGCACTGCGACGCGGGTTGGAAGGCGAGCTAGGCAAGGAGGGCAAGAAAGGATCTGCAAACGATGGTCTCAAGGTAACGTTATTTGATCAATTTATGAATCTGTTACTCACCACAAAACATCGACATGTAGGCTATCCACGATCTGTCGATGTATCAGCCTGAGACATTCGTACCCGCCTTCGTCGCTCTGCTGCCTTCAATGCTATCAAACCTGCTTGCACCTACCCTTGCTTTGCGGGCGCAGGCATGCCATGCACTCGGTGGCTTTGCATTTGCTGCTAGCACAATGTCGCCTTCTGTCGTGCATACACGCATCTCGGAGGCGGTGTCCATTTTTTTGACCGCTCCCTCGAAGTCTCCACGCAAGACCGCATCCCCCTCTAAAAACTCTGAATCAGCCATTGTACGCACGCTGCGGACGACACTCAACGTGACCGACCCTACCTACGCAGCCCAAGGCCCCGTCTGGGCGCTAAGTGTCCTCGCCAGCTTCGCCGTCCTCTTGGGTTCCGCAATATGGACCAACTTCGCACTTACGCGCACTATCTCTGCCCTTCTCACCCTGTCCATGCGGAATAAGAAGAGCTCGGTTCGTGGGCTAGGAGCCCTCATTTGGCGTTGCCTTGCATGGTGCTACTTCAGACCCGTGCTCGCTCGGGATGTAGATGAGGATGGCGAGGAGGAGATGGAGGAACTGAATGAAGCTAAGATGGAAAGTGCTCGCGAGGATTTCTGGAAGATCGTCAAGTGTGTCGTTGAATTTGGTGCAGGCGTTTCGACCGTTGGCGCTCTCTTGTCCAGTGATACAGCAGACGAGGATTACCTGCAGAAAGCGCTCTCCCTTCTGCATGCCATGATCAGGAAGGGCGGAGTAGTCACTTCTGATGCTATGGATATCCTAAAAATCCTGGTTTCGAGTGACCATCACCCCGATCCTTGGGACATGAACAAGCTCCTGCCGCAATCTTTGTTCTCAGCCAGCCCGGGTTTGCTTACCGCCAACTACGAATCGCTGGCCGGCACGGTCAAGCCCATCTTCGACGAGTGTCCTCAGGTTATGGATATTCGATCGTTGACGAAGGAAGAATTGTCGCAAGAATGGGTTTTGACCGAACTGATGCAAATCTGGAAGACCTGCATCGTACATGTGGAGAGCCCGGAGGACAACAATTTGCCGGTATGTCTTCTTGGCGAGCAGCGCTTTTCTTTACTGATTGTCCTAGTTGGATGCGCTTTGTATCTGGGATTGTCTCCTGCAAACTGGCATCTCTTCCCTTCAAGGTTCGCATATAATCCGGAGTGATTTGTTCTGTCTTGCTGACCCCTTGCTAGACCAGGACGACGAGGAAGGCATTGTCGACTTCGGCGATCGAGTTGTTGGCGTCCTTATCCAGATCTTAGTTAACAATGAGCTGGATTTGACCTCCAAAGTTCAGGGCTCCAAGGGCGTCTCACCATGCTCGCGTTCCAATGCAGCTCTTAAACTTTCGATCACACGCGAATTTTGGAAAGTCATGCGGTCTGCATTCCCTGACAATCACATCCACGCGGGCGCGTCCAAGATGCTTGTATACCTCGTCGAGCATGAGGACGAGCTCGTTTGGGAGGAAGACTCGCCTGACGATGCACGTCGCCAGTGGGCGACGCTTTGCGCGGAGGTGCTCATCGTGTGCGATGTCGCCCAGCTGAGAGCATTCTGGTCAGGGAGGACACGTGCCAAGCTTGCGGCGGAGTACGAGCCCGGTGTGCACAGTCTCATCTGGGGCTGTTTCGTGGACAGTTGGTCAGAAGAGGTGGATGTGGCATGGGAGGGCGCTGTTGTCTTGTTGGGTGTCCCATTTGCGTATGTTGTTTTCCGGTTGTGTGCGTATACAAGGACTGACATTTCAATAGGAACAACGACACTTGGGAACTGAGCAACGAGGATCTCGGCAAATGGGAACGATTCCTCGAATGGACCATGAACAAGGCCTTGGACTATGGTGTAGACGCTACGTCAGTTCTCGACAGTGTTGCAGAGGTCGTTTCCAAGCATCCTTGCCCCGCCTTCGCCTCATCTACTCGCGTAACGGATATGATCCTAGGTCATCTTGAAATGTCGGACGCGCGCCAGCTGCCACTCAACGTCTTCGAATTTGTCAACGACACCTTGGTCTCGACTTATCCTCCTGAGCCCCGGACCAAGATGCTGTCGGTTTGGATGATCCGCACGCTCTTCCGCGTGGTGGACGCCTGTCCGAAAGAGCTAGTCTTGGAAATGCTGCAGACCATACAAGAAGGCATTCGCTTCTGGATATCCGACGAATTTAATGTGTTCAAAACAGACGAATTCGTTGGCGAGGTCCTCCCTTTGTATCAGACTTCTCTGTTGCATATCCAGGATCTTCCTCGGGATATCGAGATGCTGCAAAGTCTGGCGCCTCTCGTCGAGTCCATCTTCTCTGGTTCCTCGAAGTCGACCGCAGCGATCGACTCATTTGATGAGTTCTGGGCAGCCTCGTATGAGGGCGAGGCTGAGCCTGAAGGCGGGTGGCCCGAGAACATCGAGGCATATCTCACATCTAAGAACGCTGTGCCCGAGGATGCCGCTAAAGAGGAAGCACAAGAAGTTACGGCTGTAGCGGAGAATCTTCAGCCCACACTGTCAACCATAAAGGCAATTAGCACACCACCTAAACAACAACGTAACGTGTCTAGTACGAGTGAGATAACTGCTGCTAAGAAGACCTCGCCGCCCGTTGGTCAGCTTGATCATGCGTGCTTTACGCCCGAGGCTACGCCGCCGTCTAAGTCATCCCTCTCCATTGTTACCCCTACCACTCCCACCCAATCCATCTTCAGTAAACGGGCTCCCTCACGGCCACGAAAATCATCCGCCACTCCCGAGGCTTATCATTCGCTGTTGTTGCGTCCCTTGGTCAACGGTCTTTCTATCCCACTCACCTCGCCTACGCGAACGGCATTCAGCTCTTCTCCAAAGCGGGCAGCGTCGCCCAACAAGGAGAATGTGTCTCCGGAGGTGCCGAACGTCATGGAGCGTATTGCATCGACATCACCTGGAAAGAGCTCGTCTATCCTAGGCAAACGCCGTCCCTCTGGTGGCCCGCAGCCTTCGCCGGGGAAGAGGAGCAAGAGCCTCTCGCAAACCTTCATTCGCTCTGCCCTCAACTTGCCTGGCTTTGGCAAAGATGACGCTGACGAAGACTACTCAAAACTTCCGGAGTCGCCGTCTTCCCGCACTGTTGCATCGAATGCATCTGGACAGTCGAAGTCCACCCCTGCGACATATCGCAAACGTAAGCGAGCTGTCATGGAAGCCGTGGAAGTTCCATCGCTGCAAGAAGTTTATCGAATGGGATCCCTGGAAAAGAAGTTTGGCGCGGAGTCCACGACCTTGGGTCTATTGGGGCATAAACGGATCGTTTCCATGCCGGAGTTAAATGGCGAAACTCAAGAGAGCTATGGCAAGAGGTTCAAGAAGTGGGACGGATTGGAGTTGAGCGACTCATCGTCCCCTCTGAAAGGCCTCGAGGATGTCCAGCTCGCAGGCAGTGGTGAGTCTTGCATTCGCCACGGTGCTATAATCGCGTGGCTAACAAGGATCAACAGATGACTCAATCATGCTTCCCATAAGCCTGCTGCCTCCGTCGGCTTCTGATGCATCCTCGGACGACAGCGTCGATGCAACGCCCCATCACTTGGCGTCGCCTGTCCCCCGCCGTGTTCATGCTCTGGACGACCCCTTTAGTGACGATTCCCTCGCGTCATCGAGCCCGTCTCGCGCGCACGTTGCGAGGCGTAAAAATCGGATATTTTCTGGAGAGCAACCGAAGTGTTCTGTTGCATAGTAAACTCGTATCCTGTATCGTTATTTCTCACCACTATTCTCAGTAGCATATTATCCCACTACCCCACCATCGCGATACCCTCCCCGCATTGCTAGCTAGCTGTACTGTACATTCTGTCTGTAGATAAATTGTGGTCTTGCGATGGAGTTGACGTTTGGTCTTCGGTTATCTCGGAGTGTCTATCTCCGTATGGAGCGAAACGAGGCCTAATGAGGCACACCGAGTGGACGATCGAGATGGAATGGGAAAATATGTCAACATTGCGTGACGACCTAAGTTGACGCTTCCCGATCACTCCCCTTCGCTTCGCCTCCCATGAGTTCGCCGCGCTTCCCATCGAGGATAGAAAATCTAATGCTCAGTTTGGCTTGCAATGGAATGCATAACTAGCTAGTTCCCCGACTTTGCAGCGGTTCCGTCTGGTTGGCAGACGTCTTCTCCGGGTCTCTATTCGACATGTCCTCTCAGCTCCTTGACGTTCCAACTAAACATTCTTTGTCCCTTTCTTCTGTGGCGGATAATGCCTGGAATACCGTTCGCGAGCTCTTCTTTGCTACAGGCTGGCCACCACTGGCTAGGCTTGCTGAGGCAGCCGTCGTATCGTCAGTTCATTGACCCTCGCGCGCACGCTCCGCCTGCTCAACTCCTTTCCTTAGCTTAATGCAGAGAATCACGACCGGTCACCTCCGTGTTTACACGTACACGCACATTTACGAGTTTCCCGCTCCCTCTTCCACTGATGCGAATCCGCACGACGAACTCGTCTCGGAGCTTCGTGTCGTGAACGACGCGTTCTGGATCAGGCTATGCACTATGGGCGACCTAGGCTTCTCTGAAGCATACATGTATGGAGATGTTGAATGTGACAACCTTGTCGTTCTTTTCAAGGTGAACAATATCGAGCTGTTAGCCATTTGCGAGGCTGACCCCCGGGACATTTAGATTTTTCTCCTTAACCGCAAGAACCTGTCTAACCTTGACTCCAAGGCGTCTTACCTATTTACGCTTCCGCAGAAGCTGACCTCTTATCGCTTCCTGAACACTATAAGCAATTCGCAGTCTAACATATCAGCCCATTATGATATCTCCAACGAGATGTTTGCTGGTAATGTGCTTCCCTCGCGGAGCACCATCTTTGCTCACGGACATACATTTTGAAGGATTCTTATCTGAGGACATGACTTACTCTTGCGCTATCTTTAGCGACCTTGATAAAGACTTGAAGTCCCATCCCGACGACTTGGATGGATGGAGCGGAGGACAGGGCCTACGCCGTCTAGACGCTAATGCACAGAAAACGATACTCTCTTCAACATCAGCGACTGAGCCCTCAAACGACGAGCTCTACGAAGCTCAAAATCGGAAGCTGCGACATATTATATCGAAAGCCAAAGTTCAAGAGAATCATCGAGTCCTTGAGATAGGCTCGGGATGGGGCTCTTGTGCAATCCTTTTGGCCCAAACCTACCCTGGAACCACCGTAGATACCCTCACGCTCTCGGTGCATCAGAAGACTCTCGCTGAAAAGCGGATAGCAGAAGCTGGTCTTCAAGACAGGATCAAGGTCCACTTGATGGACTACCGGTGCATGCCACCGGAGTGGGAAGGTAGCTTCGACAGATTCATCAGCATTGAAATGATTGAAGCTGTCGGTGCTGAATACCTCGCGGAGTACTGGAGGAAAGTTGACTGGGCATTGAAGACAGAAGGCGGCGTTGGCGTAGTTCAGGTCATCACGATCCCTGAACCTCGTATGTTATCTCTGCTTCCGGAGAATGCCGCGGGATCCTCATCGGGATACAGGTTATGATAGGTACATCCAAGAGATCGATTTCATTCGGAAATGGGTGCGTTGTTTCTCTGTAAAACTTGACGAAGGTTGACGAGCTTTATTCAGAGTAAGTAATATACGGCAGTAATTCCGAACGCTCTTAATAACGAACTGTAGTTTTCCCCGGCGGCTTCCTGCCGACCGTTACGCTTCTCCTCTCCGACATGCAAAAGGGATCATCTGGCCGACTCGTCACAGACTCCATCTCGAACATCGGTCCTCACTACGCAAGGACACTCCGCGAATGGCGCAGGCGCTTTTTAAAGCAGTTCGACTCCGTCATCGTTCCCGCTTTGAAGGCGGAATACCCGACAGTGATGAATGGGCTCAAGGGTAGGGAGGAAATCGAAGTGTTCAAGCGAAAGTGGTTATGTGAGTACTTGAAATTGCTTACACTTTTATATTCCACGCAAGAGCTTACCCCGTTGTTCCTCATAGATTACTAGTGAGGAATATCGAATGCTTGTATAGAGTCATGGAAACTAATCTCTCTTAGCTGTTACTGTGAAGTCGGTTTCACGACGCGCACGTTAGGAGGTAAGGGCCTGAACTGCTAGTCTGTTCGCTTGTATTCATCGCTGTCGTGTTGTTTAGACCACATCATCACGTTCACAAGAGAGGGATGCCAAGAGTTTGGTTGCGACGTTTGAAGCCACCTGGAGTCCTGGACTTAACACATTTATGGTGCTTCATGTTAGATGGAAACGCTCAACTTGGTACAATCATCAGGAACTAACTGTAGCATAGTGAATAAAGCAATGACTGTTGCAATTTAGAATATTAAATAGAAATAATTAATATTTAGAGGCCTCAGTCTGCAATTAATCAGTCCATCGTGATTTCCGTGCACAGCGAGGGGAAGTCACCATTCAGGAGAGATTCGACGACAACAGATTCCTGCGAGTGCGAGCTTGAGGCGCATGGTTCATCATCTGAGAGTCATCAGGGAGTGTGTTTGGTTCAACAAATAGTGAGCGCACCGGTCGTGATCGGAGTCAGGCAGACTGCCTCCCAAGATCGTAGTCTTCCGGGGACGCCAACTGATCGATAACACTTAGTACTGATGCCCCGTGTTCGCGAAATGGCCTTGGCGTCGGTGGTCTTGAGGTTAAGCGCCGTTCTTGCGTCATAATCTCTCGAGTGTTATGCACTTCTACACTGTGAAGAGGTTGTTTGACCGGCCACCCCGTAAATGCTCGTGCATGAGTTTGACATTGAGGTGAAGAAAGTTTGTCACAACTCCTTGCTCTTTTCTTCATATCATTGTATTTATCTGGATGACTGGAATGAAGTTCTGAAGAACTAATGCAAGAATGTTACTGACCTTCGACAGGGTCTTGCTTTCGCTTGTTAGTACGACTTTTGTTGGGCGACGAGATGTCCCGGAGCGGCGAGCGAGGTATGGTCATGGAGATCTCAGAGTAGTGCGATGTTTCGCAGAGACTTGAAGATGCCAGCAATTCGGTGCAGGCAGGTGTGCTTAGCGAACAGTCAACGAGTAAGGCTGCCCTTGGTGACATCGGGGCGTCCCCAGTAATCCTTGTAGCAGAGAACTGCCGGAATTGTCGAGAAGGTGATTGCTGGAAGGCACTGTGAAATTCATCCGATAATGAAAGGGTGAAATTTACCGAAGGCCATATTAACGGAGGCTCTGGAAGAACATCCTGAGAGATGTCGTTCCCGAATGCATCATTGAGAGCAGCTAGACATCCTTGAACTTCTGCAGGAAGCTGGTGCTCAAACTCCGGCTTTCCTCGGTAGGTAGCTCTCCAAACTGCTCAAACGCTATTGGAGCCAACGCAGGTTCCGGAATGCGCACGAATCCTGCTGCCAAGAATGGACCTATATCCTCAAGGACTTTTATAGACAATGGGTGCAGCTGAAGCCTTCCGAGAATTTCGCAGTAAAACGTGACAACCTTGTAGTCATGAGCCACAGCCAATGATGCAGACACATATTCGCATACCACATGATTATAATCGTTTTCGGAGAGTATCTCGTGCTCATCTTCGAACCAAAGTTTGATTGCCTTTTGAATCCGCATAAGAACACACGGGATTGATGTGGCAGGTAAAGACATCATGTTTTGTTTTAGACAGCTGAAGATATCAAGGGAGTACAGCAAAGATTGCGGTTGTGGAGAATAGTTGGCGCACAGGACTTCGTTGACGAAGGAAAGCAATGCATGAGACGTGTGCATACTGACTTCGACCTCGGGGACTTGTAAGATAATGGCAACCATTACTAAGCTATTCGTCGTCCTGTAAAAAACAGTCAGTATACGAGAACATTCATTACGAGTTCCTTACTCATGTCGATCACCCCATCCGTGAATAAGATGGTTAACGACTTGCATTGCACCGACAGCAGTAATGTCCGCCAAGTGGATCGCATGCTTCAAACAGCATTTCCAGGCATCCAGCTCAAGGTCAACCATAGTCCAATCACTCCTATTGTCTTGTCAGGAGATTAGTACGCGGACGTTCATGATGCTTACCTCAACGGAAGCTCCAGCAGCTCCACAATGTCCCATAGCGCCAGATGATTATCTGACGACAATACGTAGTTGGCTGCTACGCCCCATAAACGTTTTTCAGTCGAGCTGCTGCTTATCTCGCCTGCCACAACCGCGGTCGCAGAAGGTTCGATTGCTCTGGCTAATTCTTCACAGAGGAAGGACCACAAATAGAGTGCCTCTTCATCTTCAAGCTGAAACTTCTGGACCAAGAGACTCGCCAAGAGAGGTTTTGCAGCAGCCGCGACCGCTAAAACGGCGCAAACACCACGGAGAGCTTGCCATAACTGTGATATAATCTTCAGGCACCGGATCTGACCGTCAAGAGATAATCCCTTCGAGAACTTAGAAGCCGAGGGCAAGAATTGAACCAATACCAGACTGGCGCGTGCGACAGTGCATGCTCGTTTTTCGGATTCTATCACAAGCAAGTTCTTCCATATTTCAACGACATCAGGCTGACGCCCAATCAATATCACTGCATCCTAACTTGAGAGGGAAGTACGCACCTGAAGTTTTGTATCGCTCGTTGGATCAACACACAACGACCACAATAGTAACAGGGAATCCAAGTGACAAAACAGCTCTTGCAAGAAAAATCTTCGCATGTGTCCCAAGTTCGTACGAGGTAAAGCCTTTACAAGTTTCGGCAGCGCCACCCATTCGACCTGAACAAGAGAACCGTCGAGTAACGCATTCGTAATCAACGGAGTTGGTTTCCTGGAGCTACATTGAAGTGTATCCGATGAAGATGGCCCTTTGCTTCCTGTCATCAACTTGAGGAGGCGAACAGCGTCCCTTTGAACGTGCTTTGAATCACTGGTAATCATGTCTTCCAGTACCCTGAAAGCCTTAGCCGTGCTCCAAGCGCCATAGCAGGAGGAAACGTCGAGAAGTGACATCACCAGTGAAGCGCCCACCCCAGCACGATGAACTTGATTAACGGCGCTGAATGCAGATTCCAGAACTTCAAGGTCCGTCTGCGAGCTGTGAACCAAGTCCATGAATGCCCAAACAAGACACTTCCAGAGAGGAGCGTGGAAAGCCCGAATGGTGGGGTGCTTGTGGGCTTCTACTGACCCTAAAGAGTGGAAGACAAACTTCATGGCAGCGCCGTGGAAAAAGAGTTTCCTCCCCGATAGAACGATGAGAGATGCAAGGACTGATACTGCCCACGTTGGGCAGTTTCCTGGAAAAATTTCCTTGGAGGTATTGATTGTGTGCTGTATAATCTCAAACAAGCACAGTGAGCTTTCCAAGGGGCTGGTTTTCGCCTGCGGAGAAGTCGAGAGACTAAGAATGAACGTGGCGACATCGTCGGTTCTCGCGATCGAGGTCCTTGAGCTCGATAAACACTGTGCCAGCTTTGCCATTGCCACTGCAGCTCGGGATCTTGTTTCCAACGAGTCGCTTGATAGCTTGCGCATAAAGCAGAGAAGCTCGACGACGGACGGTCCGAAGATCGTGTCGTAGTGATCAAGTAGATGACACATAACCTCAGCAGATCGTCAAGACAGGCCGCGTACAGCGAAGACTTATAACCATACCTTGATACCATCGAAAAATTTGGTAGATTCTCCACTTGAGAGAGCGCATTTAGTCACTTCCACAATATCACGTTGTTTCGACTGCAGAAGTCCATGAGGAAGTTGTTGTAAATGAATACTGCAAATTGCTAATGACTGTATCTTTCGACCATTTAACGCAGGAAGGGCTTCGCAGAGATATATTTTGATCACGTCGTCGAGGACAGACAAGATGTCATGTGCTAAACAGATTGAAGTTAGGAAAGGTGTCGTATGACAGGAGTAGTTGTTACCGGAGAACTGCTCAGAGATTGCACGGAAATGTATGACGATGTGCCAAAGACATAAGGCGCGCTGACAGATAAGCGACGCCTCCTTTGCAGCCTTGAGGCAATCTTCTGAAAGCAACCGTGATTCTGGAGAACCACAAGTAGCCAGATTACCAATAGGGTCGTAATGTGCCAGTCCTATGTCTCGCCTTAAGGCTTGTATGACATCAGACGATTGCTGCCGTATTTGTTTCGCAGCGGGTATTTCTCCCAGCCTTTCTTGGAAACCTTGAGCCTGAGACTTCACTCTATGGACAAAGGTGTCATATGCATCTAATAAGCTGGGAACGTCCACGTGTGATCCGAGCTTAAACGAGTCTGCAAGGGTGTGAAGAGGAGACTGGAGATAAGTTGGGTCGTCGAGAGGGGTATCTGACGATGATCCAGGGTCCTGGTTGGAAGACATGGCTGTTCAACGTTGTGCTATTGAGTGCTCTTGTCCAAACGTCCAACTGGAATTGATAGTATGCTCCCAAGCGCATTGTACAGAAACGCTGTGAAAGACTCACGAATAAGCATGAGAGCCCAGTACTCAGTACTCAACAATATATGGCCACCGAAACCATCAAGTTGACTTGAAGTCGGCGCGTCTCGCGAGTTGCTCGCGAGCCTGATTCAATTGCTATTGAAGCCAAAGCAGGCACGAACAAGTGTCACAGACGCGTTATTTATTATCATCACGTGAAAGAAGCTCCCATGAGTCACACCGCGCAAATCCATCATCGCTTTCGTTTGGTTTCGTCTGCCGAAAGAGTTTCCTGAACATATCTGATGAACTCTAACTTACTTTCACAAACTTCAGCCCTCACCAAGCTCGCCTCACCTAGTGGATAAAAAGCGCAACAGTCTAGACAACTCTTCGATACTAGCGTTGTACAACTACTAACTTGACTACTGACTATTCATGTCTCTCCTACCCCAGTAACGTCGTCTCGTCTCATCGATCGGACATTTCCGCTTCAATCACCTCAAGTGCTTCGCGATAGGGGATACGGTACAGCGTTCGCCAAATACGAGACTCACCGGAGTCATTGCAGGCGTCGCAATATTGCAAGAGAGACCAGCATGTTGCAAGATATTTTGTCTCGAATACCACAAACCTGACTTGACTTCGATATCTGCTTTCCCGGTCTTGACACAAAAGCTGCCTACCTTTGAACGTTGAACGCTATCCCGGGTATGTACGTATGCAGTCAAAACAAACTGGTGTTTGTGTCCCTATCCGCTCGCGTAAGACGTTTATGCACCCGAGCAACAGAAGCTCCACCCAGCGTCGGTTCCAGGATTCCGCAGTTCTGAGTACTTCCTCCTTGTATGCCAAACATAGAAGTACACATCAGCCGATGGAGCAAAGAATCCTGCAATCGCCAAGGTTACATATGTCAGTTTATTAATGTCTAAGGTTCGTTTATTTTCCCGCCAACATACTCTCCTCCCAAACAATGGCTTAAGTGGTTCATTAAAGCTCAGCCTCTGTCTCAACAGGAAAACTACCAGATGCATACATTGGCTTTGGTGCCATTCATCGCAGCAAAGTGCTACGATAAATGCCCACTCACTGTTTTTGCACTGTTTAGCATCAGGTTTTGAGGTGATGCGGGTTTCGCTAAGACCTTTAGCGCCGCTAGTCGTAAACAATAAAATTACTTCTTCTCCACATGCTTGGTCCAGAAGATATGCGACATCATTGGAAGGCATCTGGCAAACACTGACAAGCATTCTTGGAATGAACCCCAGTTTTATAAATGGCTTCTGACATTTCTTTTTTCCAACCGATACCACTAACGCCCTCTTGCCTCCAGTAGCCTCCAGTTTTAGAGGCTTCCCACTGCTCTTCAGCACTACTCCATTCGTTCAGCAACTCTTCGTTCGCGTTTAAGCTTACGTTTGACTCCATGATGTTCTCTTTGCTTACCGCCTTTCTCTTTACCCTCCTGGTTGCCGTTGCTTCTCATGTCGGCGCTGCGCCCGTAAAGCCGGTCCAACTCGACGTGATCAGCCCTGCTATCACATACCCCAAGGCGGGCACCGTCTGGACCGCTGGTTCGACTCAGAATGTCACCTGGGACGCTTCCTCCGTTCCCGCAGACAAGGCCAACATGACTGGCCTCATCCTTTACGGTCAGAAGTTCAACAACAGCGAGAACCTCGATATCCGTACGCCCTTGCTCTAGCGTGCGGCGTTGAAACTTCTGACATCCATTTGTTCTCAGAGGACCCGATCGCTGTTAACTTCCCTCTCTCCCAAGGCTGGGTTGAAGTAAAGGTCCCTGAAATCAACCCTTTCCACATGTTCCAATGCATTCTCGTCTGTACGTAGTCTGTCTATTTTCGTTTTTTTCGCCCCAGGCTAACACAGTATTGCAGTGTTCGGAGATTCCGGCAACGCTAGCCCTGAGTTTACCATTGTTGACGCTTAGACGTGACCGTGGCCTCTCGTACCATCTGAATTCGCGCTTCCACGGACTTTAACTCTCGGGACAATGAACTATGATAATTGTTGCAATGTTTCCATATCTTAGCACAACTAGGAAGGAATGCACGGATATCCCTTGTTTGGCGCATACTAGCGTTGAGTGCAAACTACTGAAAATACGCTCTTTATTACCATTATGTAAGGAGGGTATCAGCACAAAAGTCATATGAACGGTAGATACGACCTCAGTCCCAGCGCAAGGTAGCCCAGATATTCAGTCTTTCTTTGCCCTCGCAATAGCTTGAGTCTGGCGCAGAGAACCAGTGATATGCTGGTAAGAATCCCACATAAGCCAACTGGGAATGATAACCCAGCTGTGGGCATGAAATCAGTAATAGTGCTAACAAGCGGCGTAAGGCAGACTCACATGATATTCATGAACTAATTGCCATAGTGTGAGTGCCCAAACATAAGTAGGAAGTTTAATCACTCACGACCAGGTAGCACCAGAGGTACAAAGCGTTAGATGTATTCAAGTTAGGACTTCCAGTAAGCCACTCGGGGCAAAAGGTCATCCATCTAGCATGCGTGATCAGGCGAAAGGGCAAGGGTGGAATTGAGGTGACATACCCGCCATATAATTCCGAAGTACTCAAGACAATGATCCAGTAATGCCTGGCGGGATCGTCGTTTACAAGCTGCTTGAGCGCGAGACAGCACAACAAGCCAACACCAATGACAGTGAGGATCTCAAGCGAAACAACCGTGGGATCGGAGACACCCCAGCGCGCATCTGCAGCAGCGTATTCTTTCCCTGCGGGTGGCAGTGAGTGCGCCGAATTGGCGCCGGAAATGGGTAATTATCGCGACAGACGTACACAGAGCCGCAGCAGGTCCAGTGCTCGAGTTTACAGTCCTGCCGAATGTAGAGAGATACAGGAAAGACCCCTCAAACGTGAAGTGGATCAGGGCATCAAATGCCTGCATACCTAAATGAGGTTGATTCAACGGGATGGTATGTCCTCTGGCACTTACCAGATAGACGAACGTGACAATATCCTGCCAACGCGCATTTTTGGGAAGAAGCGTCTTGGCACCAGTATAAGCTATGATGATATAAGTCGTAAAGACAGTCAGCGAGTAAGCTGAGGTGGCTGAGAAAACTTCAGTGGTCGACATCCTAGCGTGAGGTATGTGACAACGACGGGAACAACCTGTGGTTCTACTTTATGTTCACGAACAAGCTCCCAAGACGCGGGGTCGCACTGGGGTCGCGTGGGAGCCAGAACACGGGTGCATTTCTTGCACGACGCATCTAACTCCTCCGTCGGAACGCGTAAGTACCTTGCCATTCAGCATCACAAGGTTGAACCTGCGTATAGCACAAGTACCGCTTTAATCATTCTGACAGTGGGTCTGATCTATTTAGTGGTGTACAACTTGTCCATGTCCTAACATCGTACGTTCCTTTCAGGTCCTTCCTTACGACGCGACTTCTGACGACCTCATGGCTCCTTATATCATTACCAACCAGGCATACTGCAAGATCTTCTTTCATGCTGCCAAACACCCACACTTGCCTGTGAATGGCGTCCTCCTCGGGCGAACTACGTCGGATAATGTCATTATTGAAGACACCATCCCTTTACTTCATCATTGGACAAGTCTAAGCCCAATGATGGAAATTGGACTGGACCTGGTACCTCTCCGTTCGATTCATCTGCTCTGACATCACTCAACTTTGTTCTTCGCGAAGGCGGCCGGCCATGCTCAGGCACATGGGATGTCTGTCGTGGGTTACTATCAAGCTTCCGAACGCTTAGAGGACAGCGCACTTGCGCCAGTAGGAGAGAAGGTCGCAGAGAAGATCCGAGAGACGTTCAAAGATGCAGTTGCATTTGTGGTGGGTAGCTACTGGATAGGGTTTTCATGTGGCTGACGTACATTCTCTATAGATTGACGGCGAAAAGATTGGCTCCGGCGACCCAGCTCTGATAGTACGTCTCAGGGCATCTGCCTCACTTTCGTAGCGATCTAACTTGTACATCAGCCCTATTTGCCACAGTCATCCTCCCATTCGTGGAAGCCCTATACTGCTCAAGCTGCCTTCAGCTCGGGTTCACCGTTTACATTACAGAATTCTGATGCACCGTCACGAGCCATTTCGCTCGTTCGGGACAAGAATGCTCACCTAGACTTCGGTGATTTCGATGATCATTTGGAAGACGTCACTATAGACTGGTTACGCAACAAGGCTTGCATGGCTCACGCATCTTAACAAACGTAAAAGATGCAGTCGTCGTCACTCTCGAGCACGTCCCGATCTCTATTTGTAGAAGTACCGTACTACCACGCACGTGTGACGATGTGATTCTACAATGAACAACCAGCTTGAGTTTGAACAGTTATAACTCACAACTTCACAGCGATGTCGTCCGCTATCTATCAAGGAACCTTTGTCCATTGCAGGCGTCTTGGAGAGCTCGAGATCCTCAAAAACCATGTCATATGTAAGGATCCCAAGGAGCTTCTGACTGTATTCTGACTAGGTAGTACTAAATCCGTATAGGCGTGAATGAACAGGGGTATATCTCCGACGTGCTATTGGGGTCGTCAGCCGAGGCATCGAGGCTTGTCCAAAACTCGGATGCAACAATTACGAAGTTGGAGGATGGTGCTTTCTTCGTACCTACATTCTGCGATTTACATCTCCATGCCCCACAATTCCTCTATCAAGGCACTGGCCTCCATTTACCCCTGATGAAATGGCTGGACGAATATGCGTTCAAGTCAGAAGAGCAGCTGGATAACGACTCGTTGCTGGCAGAACGTGTATACAACAAGCTCGCCCATCGCTTACTAGAATCTGGCACTGGAGCCGTATCTCTTTTCGGCACCTTGAACATAAAGACGAAGTGAGGCTAATTCGATGATGAGCCTGCACGAGCGCCACGTCTGATATGTTCGATTAGTTTGATCCTTGCCAAAGTTATGCAACATGCCGGACTAAGGGCTTTCGTTGGGAAGCTCTCGATGGACATGTCCTCGCGCCCGACTTATAAGGAGGATTCTGCGTTAGCTTCCCTTTCTTCTGTTGAAGAATTCATACAGCAGACTAGAGACTTCCTCTCTCAGTATCCGCCACATCTCAGACTGGTGGAACCGATAATCACACCGCGTTTCGTGCCAACTTGCTCAAATGACCTCCTACATAGCCTAGGCGACTTAGCTCAGTCACAGTCGGTCCGTGTGCAGAGCCACCTTGCTGAAGCGCGCGAGGAAGTAGAATGGGTCAAGAGCGAGCGCCAGCTTGACGACATCGTCGTTTTTGAACAGGTAAGCAACCAAATGGATACGTCGATCAATATCTTGACTGCTATTCGGGAAATGTGATATGGTTAGAGCAACTTACTATCTTCTCAAACTATACAAGCGCACTGTACATTCTTACATGGTACCGAGCTGGAAAAGATGGCAACGTACGGTAGCTCGGTCGCCCACTGTCCTCTTTCAAACTGTTACTTTTCCGAAAAACCATTCCCACTTCGCGAGGCTCTGTCGCGCGGTGTCAAAGTCGGTCTCGGAACAGACATCGCAGGCGGATACAGCGTGGACATCATGAACAGCATGCGGCAGGCCGTTTCCGTGTCAAGGATGCGCGAGGGTCTCCGAACTGTTGAGGCAGAGATTGGTGGTGTTAGCCAGCATCAAGGGCACCAACCACTGTCGATTAACTGGAAAGAAGCTTTGTATCTCGCCACGCGCGGAGGTGCTCTGGCCATGGACCTCCCTAAGATCGGGTCATTCGAAGTGGGCCAAGCGTTCGACGCACAAAGTAGTACGTATCTGCTTTACTTTAAAACGGATAGTTATTGAGGAAGCGTAGTAAGCGTATACACGGCAGATGGTACAGGAGTCGGGGCCATTGACATCTTCGATAATCCTGGTGGCATCACGGAGGAGCTTGTCGAAAAGTGGTGGTGCATGGGTGATGGGCGTAACAGGTTATCTGTCTGGGTACAGGGGAAACGAGTCCGCTGACATATGACATTACCGACATCCTTGATGAATAAACGCCAAAGTCTTTCAAGTAACGTCTACTCAAAATACCGGTGCATCTTTCAGGAAAAGTGAGGCCTCTTCCTTTTTCACCCAACGTGCGACAGCATTGGCGGCGTTGATGACAGCTATTTTGGGTAAGCGAGGTGACAAGGCAATGTATAGTTCGAAAGGCTGAGTGATCTACACAACGTTGTAAGCTCAGCTGCTACTAATAAACAAGGGAGACTCACCCATCCCATGACAATCTCGCTCTCCGTTCGGATGTATTGCAACTTCAGTGTCCCTTCTTGCCCAGATTTCGCATGAATAGCGTCATGTATCATTTGGTATAGTGTTACGATCCTAGGTCAATGTTTGTGGCAGGACTAACATGAGTGTTGCTGAATGCTCTCACCTCCGCCTATTATCAAGCTCTTCATACGGCTCCTCAAATGATGGCATAGTGACCTGCACGTGAGGCCTAGATTTGTACACAAAATGCCGAAGCCCTGGGATTCCCAGCGCAGAAACGGAATAATCAGCCTTCCCCGTTTGTATGAGCTGTGAGATAGCCTGAAGAGTCCCGTCCTGCTCTAGTTTCTACGCATAGTTAGCAAATGCGAACGTCGGATGAACGACGACATATGACAATGTACCTGTTCAACCTTATCACACCAATTTCGGACGGTCTCGAATTCTCCACCACCACTGATGCACACGAGAGCAATACCAGCATCACGGTGAGCTCTAGACTGTGTTAATGCTGATGGATCGGTGTTTCCTCGTGGGCCCTGCTGCTGAGAATGATCCATGCTTTTAGGTGGACTCTGAGGCTGCGAGGATTCCTCGTCACCGTCGAATTTGCGCAAAAATGAGATGTATGCGTTCACGAAACCTGTTGGATTGAACTTTGGGAGACAAATAGGTATCCAAGACGCAGATGCGGGAGAGTTATAGATGGAAGGGGCATGAATGGTATTGACGAGAATGTGTAAATCTGGAGCAACGTCAGTTCATCGTCGCATATGTTGTATAGATGACACACCCGTAGGATGTATCGAGTGCTTCTTTGGCCTGACCAACGTTACGACCCTGCCTTCCGCGACCAGGATGATGTAGAGGACGTCCTGGAAGGATATAGTTTGATATCTGTGATCACTCACGACGACCATTTAAACCTACCTTCATCTTGGTAACTGGCACCAGAGCATCCGCGGCGCGCGCCCGAAGGTTCGACTCCAACTGGAGGCAGTGTAGCGATGAGGTTGCCATAGCCAGATCAAGTTCCATCCTATGGAGCAAGGAGACCAAAAATGGTTCGGAACCTTCAGTATTGTCAGTGCTCTGAAGAACATGAGGAATATGGAAAAGTGGCATCACCGTCAAGCAACCGTCTGAGATCGAAGTTCGTTCGACGCTCAAAAATCCGCCGCAGTTGGGCAGCGGTTACTACACTGAGTATTTGCAGGTGAAGATACTCAAGATGTGATCTCATCTTCCTTCACCATGAAAAGGTGAACACAAGTCGAAGTCGACTCCTATGAGAGCTTACCGCGGACTCGGGTTCACCCCAGGAAGATGCGCAAACATAGTACAGTGGAGGACGTTGAAGGAAAGTAATTCTCATTTTGCCTGCATTAATGCAACGTATCTTGTCTCCGTCATCGAGAAAGATTGAGATAAGCGCCTGCACGACTCCCATCATGGAAGATAATGAGTTCGCAGCCTCATCGTTTGGTTGACTAGTTGACTAAGTTAGTTCTTGTTTGCAGCTATGCAACCTTACACACCTAGCAAATACAGGCTTCCCGGCTTCTGTCAGGACAAAATAGGATCGCGGCGCAAACTCATGACTGCTGTCTAATCACATGAGAGCTTGCCTATGAAAGAGGTCAATGCAACAGGCTACGTCTTACCTTTCCAAGCTACCTCCGTCAAGTCAGGATCGGTATCTCGACGTCGGGGAGGACTGGCGGCTTGACAAGTTCAGTTTATAGGTATCTGAAACTATGCTTCAAACTCACTGGAGGAGGACCTCTTTCCACTCAGAGTTCTCCTGAGATGATCTCGCAAGCTCCTCCTCGATCCCTCATCTGCAACGTCATCCATGTGACCGATAGCTGTAGTCTCTTCGCTGTTCACAACATCGGCTTCCGAATCCTGGATCAGTATTCCCTCATTCATGTCCACGTTTCTGATTGATGATGCTGAGCTGTCGAGTCCTAGGCCATGAACGGACGCGGTCTCGGACGGGAGATAAAGAGTGGCTGCAGGGGGGACATGGAGATTACTGGTAGACGAAACTGCGCGTACGGCAGTTGGGACTGCGAGGCGTGAAGAAGAAGGCTTCAAAAGGGGAGTACTAGACCTTGAAGGTGTTGTTGAGCGCGAGCGGGAATTGGCCGACATGTTCTGTTCAGGTTAATGGCGACATGTTTGACGCTGAGCTTCCTATCAGTTGCGGGTATGCGGACCGTTATCCCACGTGATCTACCCGTATTTTCTCGTTTCGGCGTCGCGTCCACTGGCGTACTCACTCCGTTCAACAGTAGTAAGTTGCCACTTCCTCTGGGCTCTGGCGACTCTCAAACCGCACGGATTTCTTTCTTTCTCCCATCCTCTATAATGTCCCTATTATGGAGAAACCTAGCTCGACAAGCCTTTCCCCAGTGTTCTCGGTCCTTCAATAGTCAGGCGGTGCCTTCAGCCGTGCCTAAAGGACTACGTGAGTAATCTAGACGAATGTCAGGTCGCGCTCAAAATAGTGACTCTTGGATCTCTCTTCATTCTCTAGCCGGAAAGATATCTACCCCCGGTGAATTCCTGTCAGCAATCGGTCGGTCATCCGAGACCAAGCTCGAAGTAGAAGAATGGGCAAAGTTCTGGCAGATGACGGGTCCTGAGATGAAGACCGCTGGAGTTTCTGTCAAAGACAGGCGGTGCGTGACGCTATTATGGTCCAAATCTGGCAAAGGTCATCTTACACATTGTGCAGGTACATTATGTGGTGCATGAACAGGTACCGGCTGGGTGAGCCCATCAAAGACTTCGCACACGAGGCGAAGCCCAAGAAGAAGATACGTGGGTGAGTGCTGGTTTATACCAATCCGTCGATGTTCTGAATGTACAGTTTAGTCGGGGTCCTGCTGTTCAGAATGGAAAAAGGATACGCTCCCGAAGAGACCGGTAGCTTCTGTAGACGTATTTTTTGTTCCTACCTTCTCACCTTGTTCGAGCTAATACATCTAATGCAACCCAATCATCTCTACGGGCGGTTTGACTCAAAGCAAGTCACAGATGAAACTGCCGGGTCTGCAGCTGTACAAGGTACGCTCGCTAACACTAGTCTGTGTGACCGTGCCCCATCCCGTCCAGGACTGTCCAAGCCTACAGATAGCTCAAAACCATATCTGCACGCTACGTTGGTTGATCTTCATCTGCCCTGTACCGACGGTCCGGTTGTAAGCTCCGAACATTTACATGTGTTCTATGACGACCGTCGATGAAACGCGTCACCGTGACACAACCGAAACACAAGGCTATCAGTGTGGGGCATTGCCAACACGCCAGCTCAATGCCGTTCCCGCAACACCGCCGAACATGATACTCGTTCCGATGTAGAGTCCAACGTGGGTCCAGCCGTCTGGAAAGACGGGCAAGCACAGGCAGTGCAGATACTCAGTCAGGAGAAGCATCGCGTTGGCAAAAGACAAGCTTGCCCCAGTCTGTACTCAGATGGGCCTCATGATCGCGCTTCTCCAACGCGGGCTCGGGGCGCAAGTACAACGCGATCAACGCATGTGTTGGCCAATTGAAAGGATTCATGTCGTTTGTGTCTGAGCATCATCGCTTGCTTTGTTCGCAGCTAACATTTCTGTCAGTTGGGCTAATGCATCCGGAGGCAACGTTGTTAAGTAGCGCCTTCTACGCTCGGTCCGGCTCCGATATCTCCAGCGCCCGATGTAAGGACAAAGGATCACGACTTTATCTCAAATGAAAGATTTGCCTCTCAGAGGCAGACGCCGTGATCATAGCGAAGGTAACCTCGAGCGCACGGCGTCGGGTTCCCTTTCCCGGCCCGACTTTCTTTCATTATTGGGCAACCACTATCAGCGATGTTACCATTTACGGGACAAAATGCTCGTTGCCTCACGGACAGGAGGGCAGCTTGAAAGCAATGTTGCCTCACGGTGAAGATGAAAGCCACTGGAGCACCAGAAATGTATATAAGACAAGGTCACTTCTCTTTCACTCGTCACTAATTCCTGCTCTTTCCATGGCCACCGCAGATTACTGTAATTACCCCCAACATCTGGATCCGTTGTACGCGGTCCTCGATTCTTCTTTTGCTCTTGAACATTGGTTCAACGAGTTCATCAACAAGTCTGCTCTGGCAGACGGCGGTGAAAGGCATTTCTATGACTCAGCTGGCAACGACGCATGTACCATGGCCGACCCTCTGGCGTTTACCTCTTTCCCTTCATCTCCATCCTCTTCTTCGGTGTCCTCGCTTGACGAATCCGAATCCGCAACGTCCCTGGACGATCACAACGAAGATGCGCTCAACCCTGTGTACGAACCCTTTTGGGATACAACTTCGTATACTTGCAATGTCATGAGCATCTCTGGCCCGTACGTATTTTATTTGTTTTGTCGCCCTATTATCCTTGTACTGACAGTATCTTCAGTGATGAGTGCAGCACCGACTCTAATATGGAGTCCGAAGCCGACTCTGCCTCAGAGGTGTCCATTGGTGCCCCATTCGTTCTCCACGAGACATCACCTCCAGCTGCACCTTCCACATCGAAGGCCTCTGATAGCCTCGAGCTTCTTAATTCTGCCCCTTCGACTGAGTCCATCGATTTTGCCTCCTCCCCTGCTAGGACTATGCGAAGAAGCGCTGCTATTGCTAGTCGTGCCGTTCGGGAACTTTGTCAGGAATCTGATATGGACAGTGACTCGGATGCGTCCGAAGACGAATACGTTTTCACTCCCTCGCTGTCGGCTGGCCGCAAGCGTGGTCGCTCTTCAGGCGGGCGCTCGATCGCTACACCATCTCCACGCAAACGTGCCCGAACCACCACCAGCCTTTCTCCCCCTCCCCCTCCTTGCAGCCCACGTCGCATGTCTGCCACCCGCTTCCGTACGCTACCATCTGCTGCCCAATACAAATCTGTCAAAGCGCGTAATACCCAAGTAGAGGCTTTTGGGGACCTTATCGCACTTCCCGTCCCACTGACGATTACGGTGGAGAAAAACAAGAAATTGGTCGTCGGATGCCCTGTATCTGGCTGCAACTGGAAACCCAACAACCCGACCCGTGGGCTGGATGCGACGAGGCACATCGCTACTCACTTCGCTCACTACTCGCTGGTGAAGCCTGTGTGTCACGGCGTGAAGATAGAAAACGCCTCCAAGAAAGTGCTCGCTAGCTCGATGCCGGTGCTGTATACGGATTACAAGGAGCAAACACACACGATGGTGGGCGGATGTATGCAAACCTTTAGTCGACGAGATGCACTTTTGCGCCATCTTAGCAATTCCTCATGTGTTTGTGACCGGAGCCTGCTGCCTCCCAACGGGCTGCTCCGGCCATTAAATGATTCGTGCGTTGTATTTCATCTGTGCTTCCGAGAAATGTTCTGATTTCTGCCTCAGGACCAGATAACGTGACGTATGACTGACAATGCTACCATGATTTCCTTTACTTTCCACTTCTCGTTACGCTAGTTCTCCCTCTTATGCTACGCCATCTACTTCTTCTTGCACTATCTTCATTTACAATCTACCCGCGACACAGGAGCTTCGCTCAATTGTATCCACTAGTATTCCCATCAGTCTCACTCCAAGTTAATTATCTAGGCACTAACATTGCTGGTCAATGTTGTCACTGCAGTAATGCAGCTGTCTATGTACAGCAAAATGAGTCGTACAGCCTCCGAAGTCACGCAATAGTCAATGATATTTATGCTGCATCATCGTGTAAGAGCACATATTCGCGAGTCGACAAGCCAAACTTGATGACTGTGACAAGTATAAGTTTGCATCAAGCTAGAGGCCTGTGCACTCACCATCACTCGCTCTGAGCTCATAGAATCTGGACGTCGGGATTTGTTCGCCGTTGACGTGCGTACCGTTGGTCGATTCCAGGTCTATTATAAACGGTCTGCATGGGCAAATGTCAGGACTGACGGTAGGCTAATCTTCACTTAGTTCGGGACTACCCACTTGATGACAGCCTTAGTGCTTCCAAACTCATCTCTCTCCTGAACTTGTCGATCTGGGGTTTAAGTTAGTGGTGGTTTGACATCGATGTGACTGGTCAATGGCTCACGCTGGACTACAGCGTGCTGCTTGGAAGATGAAGGATGGTCAATAAAAATATCAGCGACGGTCTTGTCCCTGCCGATCAGATATGCGCTCTGGCGGTTTATATGTAACAACTCTATGGAGGCACGTATGAGCACATCCGCCAAACGAACTCAGGGGCTTGCACTCACCGACTTGATCCTGTCCCTTAAACACGTAGAGTCTCCACCCAAGTAAGGGCGTCCTAGCTTCTGGCGGCTCGTTATACTTCAATACCGTGTTTGAGCCGTCTGCCGCTGTGACAGTGTTTGTCGCAGCAGCGAGCAAGCCTGACTGGTTAAAATTCGGTCTCGCTTTGTTCTCCGGGGAGCGCGACCGTGACCCAGGCCTATTAGACCGACTTCGCGGCGATCGGGAACGAGAGCGACGTGAAGGCCCTGCGCGGTCCCCATTCCTCTCCTTCTCATTTTCTCTCGGTTTATCCCCGTCTCTATCCTTATCCCTATCCCGCCTGTCACGGTCGCGCCTATCTCTTGAAGGTTCCCGCATCGAGCGACCAGAATATCCCTCTCGTCTATCATAGATCCGCCGGTCATCTCGTCTGCTATCATATTCGCGTCGTCGGTGGTCTCGAGAATCCCGTCCTTCTGAGCGTCTGTAGTCGTCGTCCTCGCGTTTTCGCCTTCTATAGCCGTCGTCTCCCCTGCTCGAAGTACCGTAGTCTCCCTGATATCTACCATTAGCATCGGAGCGAGGCGGAGGTGATTGAGATGTGTGAGCCATAGGGGAGGTTACGCGTTTGTGAGCTGTATTAACAGCAACCAAACTCGCTCAGGGACACAAGGAAGACACGAGCGTCACTCGCATGGCCGAGAGCCACGTGGGGAAGGAAATACTTAGCCCCTATAATGACATGCACCGCGTCAGTGGGCTGCAGGCCACCGCTATCGGTTTCGCGTCCTGTGAAGTGCAGTGCCTTTCACCTATCTCAATCTCATAGGAATTCAGGAGTTCACAGTTGAATCAGTCATCGAGCACAGATAAATACCCATATCTTAATACATCATGACTCCCAGGTAATTAAAAAGGCATCTTCTACGTGCAGTAAATGGTGCCAATGTAGATACCCTGGTAAGGGCCAAGGTGGTTGAGAATATCGCCATCAGCAACGTTAGGAACGGTCGAGATCGTGCACTGGGCATCAGTGGCGTCGTCATCACCTATAAGTGTCACTATTGCGTAAGCCCCGTAGGAGTGATGACAGAACGTAAATAGACGCACCTGGGCACTCGACAGCGTAGTCGGTTTGAACAATGTGAACCTCTCCCTGGACGTGAGAGTAGTTGAGGAAACGGCCAGGGCAGATTGGGATCGGGTCCTTCTCGTTGTCGACGCGCATGAAGTCCGAAATCTAGCCATAAACTTCGGTGTCAGCGAGAAATAGTCAATTTAGCAAGACAAGAACGTACGGAAGAGTCAAAGAAGGAGGCCCATGCGGCGTTTCCGACACGCGGCGTGCCGTAGGTGCGCCCTCGGACGGCAATGTTGGAGGGAAGGTTCAGGTGCATGTACATGCATTCGAGCTCAGCCAGAGCACCGCCGAGCGAATGTCCAATCTATTGGGCAATATATTAATCTCTTAAAGCAGAGTTGAGTGGCGAGAAAGCTTACCAGAGTGACCATGGTTGCACCAGTCGATGAGATGAGGCTTTTGACCGCAGACAGGATAATGTCGGCCGTTTGAGCGTGTTCGTCAGCAAAGCCTTTGTGAACCTGCACGCTGCTGTCGACACCGGGGAAAAGGGTAGAGTTGAGGTTCTCCATTGGGATGTCAGCATCCGTCAGGTCAGACAAACTGAGTAGCCATCAGGAAAGTGTAAGAGGATATCAGTTGGTTCTCTGAACTCACAATTGTGTGGGGTCGGTGCCTTGGTGAGCAACAACGACAGAATTGTCGGTGGGATAATAGCCGACGTAATAGTATTGAACACTGTCACCATCACCGCCTGTGGTGGTAATCTGGACACCTGGGACTGCGTTGCATGCGTCTACGCGGAAAAAACGTGGTATTCAGTCGTCGGCTTAACTGGAATTCGACATGCCCGTACCGCCGCATTGCCAACCAGTGACCTTGCTTGGATCGCAGTAGGCTGCCCTTGCCATTTGAGTGTACGGTGCAAGGGCAGAAAGGTCGGAGGCAGACATATTTGTCAGAGAGGAAACCCATGCCTCGACAGGGGCTGGTACCGCAGAGACGCGGAGAGCAGCAGCCAGAGCAACGACAGCAGCAGCCGTGAAGAGCATAGTGATACGGTGGCCCACTAAATAATGTCGACAGCAAGAAGAACCCAGGAGTGGCCCAGCGTTCAAATCATGGTCGTCTGGGAGTTTTTATAGGCGGGTCCGACGTTGAGTTAATCATGCGGCGAGTGGGAACGTTGTGAAGAAGTTGAAAGCCGACCATGGTGTTGTGGGGAAAGCTGCCAACGCGCATGCGTCTCAGTTGATCAACTGACCGCTAAACCGCCTGAAAGCTACTGATGCTGGAAGATTGGAAGGCGTCATGTTATAATTAAGGCTGCGGATTTGCGAGTAGCATGCTGATCGTTATTATTTTTAGCCTCTCCTGTTCGCTGGCAGATCAGGCGAGGCTACATACCCCGCGTATGAGAACTTGTTCCAATGAAGAGAGACACGGAGCCAACCTGGTCTAGCAAGTTGATTGGGTAAAGGAGCGAGATTTACAAAACAAGGCACAAAGAACTTGAAAAGGCAGCGTGCGAATGATCGGCGTCGGTTACTTCGGCTGTGGGTTTGGTTGACGACGAGCGGGGGAGCCGACGATTGCTTACTGTCCCCAGGAAGTGGTGGCAAGCGATAGCCACGCTGGACGAGATGATTTGCCTCATAATAGCACCCGTTCCAAGGTAGATATCCCGCCCCTTCGGCGACGAGCGGTCGATACTAAGGATGCGTCGTCCACCATCACAGACGACGCCGAAATGAGCACTGCACAGGGCACTGAATATCAGACCTTGAATGATTCAGGCAACATTCCCACCCAGCATACGTATTTACGAGCCAAATAGATAAATCAACATCTATTCGGAGGAGATTGACAAATATTGATGCTTCTTCGTTCCCTCCTTTCGTTCACGCATTCACTCCCCCTCCCCTCTCTAACAATCTCGCCACTCGTGCAACACCGTGCCGGTGGGCACAGCACCCTTCACTATTTCCTTTCCGATGTATCGCACTCAGCAAGCCACCTCTGACACCCGCCAATCTCTCGTCATGGACTCCTCGGGTGGCAGTGGCAGTGGCTCGCAACCGTACCAGAAGAGCGTCCCCTACCCTGGCCCGCTCCCTCCTAACGATCGAATGAACCTACCCGCATATATGAGCGCACCCAACCCTCAAATGCCCCTTTACCGGAACGTGGACAGCGCGTATAGCTCAGGACATCAGTCCTATTCTGCCTCGGCCGCCTATGCTTCCCCTATGGACTTCCCTCAGGCTTCCATTCCTCGTTCACAGTACCCCGACCAGTCGAACGGCATGTCTTTCGTAGACCGCGACGTCAACTTGCGCTACCCATCACGCGAGGGTCCTGCGTACTACGATGACTCGCTCGCTCACGGAGGGCCACCAATGACAGACTCGGCGTCTTCCCAACCTGATCCCTCTCTACTGCCTGATTCAGATCAGGAATACCCGCATCTTCACGCCTCTATGTCTCCGGAAGCCACTCCCCATACACCTCCACAGGGCCTAGATGCGGACTCTAGCTTGAAGAACCGGAAGAGTCGGCGCGACAAGCCTCGTCTAGAGCTCGCGCCAGATCAACCTCTTACAACTCAAGGGCGACCCCGAGCACGGGTGTACGTGGCTTGCGTACAATGGTATGTTCATGCATCTTTGCACAGCCGAGGATGAGACTGATGCTTTATCTTTAGTCGCTCTCGGAAAATCCGATGTGATGGCGCAAAGCCTGCCTGTCATAACTGCATTCGACGTTCCAAGGCGACTGATACATGCTCCTATGATGCAGTTCCAAAACGTCGTGGGCCTGATAAGGTTCCTGGGGCGAGACAGCGTATGTCGCGGGGTGTCAGGGCTGACAGCGAATCTGATGTCGTTGCAGCCCGCCGCCGGAGGCGTAAGAGGCATGACGAAGGGGAAAGTACAGGGTCTGGGGCTACGGAGGCAACAGTTGAAGGAGGCCTCAACCTTTCTGACCCCCTTATGTCTGTCCTGGGCCCTCCTTTGGTTGGCAGTTCGCTCTCAGATCAACCTCAGTTTTCTGACGAGATTTCGATTACCCCCTCCACCTTTCAAGGCGACTCCTTACCCCCGCTAGACCCGATCGCCATCTCATCCTCAGCTACCAACTTAACTCAGGGGACACTAGCTGATGTGCAGCATCCTCACGTAAGCGTTGTTGATGTTGAATTGATGGGCATCAACTCATCTCCCGGATAGGACGTACTCAACCACTATTCTTATTTGGCTGGTCTGGCTGGCAACACATATTCTTCTAGTCAAGGCGCAACTACCCAGGCTTACATCACCCAGCTTCCAGACGATGATGATGAAAGTGTGGACGAGAACATTGTCAATATTACCGCCGAGCCATCTCTTGACTTTACCCGCAAGACGTGGTGGGACTCTTTGCTTGCCTTGTACTCTTCGCCGAACGCTTTCCATCTTCCTACCCTTAACCAGTCAGAACGTAACGACGCTATGAATCTGGTTACGAATGACATCCGTTTCTTGTTTCGTTCAACGAACTATTGGTTCTCCTTCTTCCATGTTCCCCACTTCCTATCGTCATACTTTGATCCCGAGAAGCGGGAACGAATGCAGCCTGCTCTGTTGCCTGCTATGCTTATGATGGCTACGTTCTTGCAAAGCTCAGAGGCAGGTCTCGGAAAAATAGGAAGGGCGAAAGCGTTTCGCCTTCGGGATATTGCTCAAGGTGCTCTGGAAGCTAGTTTCAATGCTAGATGGATCGACGAAACTTTAGCTCAAGCTGCTTGGGTAAGTCTGCTCTGATTACTAACGCCGACATTTGCTCATTTTAATTTCAACAATGACAGCTCTTGGCCATGTTCGAAGTTTGCGCAGATCCATTTGATGGTAAAACTCGGTCGGCGTCTGGAGTAATGATGCTTGATACAATCATGCGCGCCCTTTCCTTGACTTTCTTAGACGTTGATGATCCGAAGACGTCGAAATTCGCACCACGTTCAGTGCCATCCGTTCCGACCACACACGACGCGTTGATAGGCATGCACTCTATGGAAGCCTCTTTGCAGTCCATGTCTGTTTATCCCATTGTAGGTGCGACCCAGACGTATCACAGCATGGGTTGCTCCTGCGCATCCATGTCTCTTGGCGAGCGTTGGCCTGGTTCTCACGAGTATGCACCACTTTGGGTTTCGGCACCTGCATGGGACGACACATCCACCGAAATTGAGCTACGGAAGGAAGTCTGCCGACGCGTATGCTGGAGCTCACTTATGCTTGCTGCCGGTCTTACGTCGTACATAGCTTCATCCAATGGTGTACCTCCCGATCTCTACCTATCTGAGCCATCTAATGTGAGTCGTTTGGAACGTCAGTCGTTGGATTTATTCTCATCTCCACAAGTTTGCTCTGCTCTTTCCCGGGGAGACACCTAGCAATAGCAGTTCGCTGTCGATGGCTCTCACGTCGACGACCTCGGCCAAGGACAGTATCTGGGCACTGATTTATCGTGCAATGCTGCTGTGGCACAGCTGTCTTCGCGTGCGCCACAATCCTAATGTTTCAGACAAGGAGGCGGCGCAGTTTGGAGTAAACGCATGGTTAGAGGCAGACGCTATCGAACGAGCGTTGGATGCGCATACGTGTGGGATGGAAAGGACGTTCTTGTTCCAAGGGCACGAGTACCTGTTCAAGTGCGTGCACTACCCTTTGCCACAGTACCTTATTGACAAGTTTGGGATAGTGTGCGGACATGCATTGCGCAGGAATTTCACAAATTCATTCCACCTAACGCCATGTAAGCCACGCTGTTCTCATGCGATGTGACCTGCTTAATACTGACGGTGGATTTAGTGGATTAATTGGGCTGTCAGACAGCCTCTCGACTGGGCTGTTCCATCGGAAGAAAGCAGAAGAGTGGCGTGCGTAGTGCATTGCAGTGTTGTTGTCGCCTTCACTAACCACGTTGCAGTATCTCACCAAGCGAATCTCGCTCGGAGAGTGGTCGATTCAATGCATACGTTGACCGGCCAAGCCACAAGCAATCTCCACCTACGACCGTTCTTCATCTTTTGGTTCATGAGCCAAATTGGGCGGTGAGTCTTCGTTCTTGATGTATTATCTCATGAGATTGATATTGATTCGCCCAGCTCGCTAAATCTCTGGTATCGAGATCAGTCCCTGACTCTTGCTCTAGATGTTGCGATCGCGTTCCTTCAGCCGATCGATTATCTGAATGCTTTGTGGCCCCATGAAGGTACGGAGAACCAAACCTCACCGCCTGGCGACCTAAATTAATCATGTCCCAGAGCAACGCCGTAAATGTGAGAAGCTACGAAATGAACTTGCCCAGTGTTGTGCGATTGCGGGGCGGCCCCCGCCGCCGCAATCGCCCTTCGACGCCACCACAATGCGGCCTTCGACAAGCACTCTCTAATCCCCGAAATTGTACGGCTTGGACCTTTGCTTAACGTATTGATAATTTAGACAATGTTGATGTTATTACATTATTGTTCGAGTATTCACTGTTATGATTGTTCATTTGTCGTGGATGGCACGCAATGTCATATTTATGTTGGCTTCTGGGTGAGAAGGGCGGCCGGATTGGGGAAGTGTGGCTGGTTAAACACAATATTGTAGTTGGATGTAATCATCCACTTGCACTTGCACTATATCACATTCTCCCTAGTGACCACGCCCGCCGTGCACATCGTCTAACTTCTTCTCTGACTGAACTTTCGTCCTCAAGATGGCCCTGCCACCAGCCACGTACGCGTCGGTAGCATCCTCCTCCTTTGTCATTCAGGCGGGGCACACATCAACCATAGGCGTGAAGCGAGGAGCTTCGCCCTCCTTTGACGCTTCTAATAGCGACGGCAGCAGGAAGAGACTTAGGGAGGACTCAGATGCAGGATATGCCTCTACCTCATCAGCGGCGAACATCACGAATTATCAGGCTCTCGCCGAGGACATCATTCAGGAGCTACAGTGCGGATGTTGCTCTGAGCTGGTTTACAGGCCCGTCGTAGTTTCTCCGTGTCAGCACTTCTTCTGTGGAAGGTCAGTTGACTCACTACCGAGCCCTGATTCGTAGCTGAGCGCTTCTATAGCTGTGTTTTCCTCTGGATCAAGGTGAGCCTTAATCTCCAGTCCTGCGTCGCGTACCGAGATACCTCATATCGGGAGCTTTAACGCATGGTATGTCAATACGAAACTAACTTCTATCATCAACAGAATGGTGGCACTAGCTGTCCCGCATGTCGTGCACAAGCCTCTCTTGTTACTCCATCACGACCACTGCAGTCGCTTGTGGACATCATCTTGCGCGCAGACCCCTCTCGCACGCGCGCTGAAGGGGAACGCAGGCAAGCTGACGAGGTTTACAAGCAGGGGTCAATTATGAGGGTAAGTATGCTAACTCCAACCTCATGTGCCCCACCGTTTCATGTCCATATGCAGATACCTACTCCTAGAGAACCATCGCCTGAACCCAACCTTAACCCGAACTTGGACTACGTTCGCCCCTGCCCACACTGCAGTCCGAACAATCAGTTTGGCTGGTCGTGCCCTGAACCGGTAGTAGACTATGCTGTCGATGCTGAGCACGCCTGGCATCTGGATGACGGCTCTCCCCCTGGCCATGCATATTGCGGGAACTGGTGCGTATCTCCATCATTCAACCCTTGCTGTCTCACCTAACCTTTGCCGCTGTAGCGAAAACCTTCTTGCTCTTTTGGCACCCAGTACTACGAAATGCGATTTCTGTCAAGTCTCCTTCTGCGGAGTCAACGTCCCGGATCGCTGCATTGCTGCACCTTTGCTTGCACAACGTCCTCACAGCATGAACGATATAGGCGACCTAATTTTATCAGCTGACATGTATGATAACTTCAACGGCAACAACGTCGAAGTTGACATTATGATCGATTACTTGACCAACAACCACATTAGTCCGAGGCGTATCTATCACGAAGTGAGCGGAACAGCCCATCGTTCTTGCCTAGTGCTGATGAAACTTAAAATGTCCAGATCATTATACACCTTCAGTCGCAGCCTGGTAGCTTTAAGATCATGATAGACAGTGGCCTCTTCCTAGACGTTCATTCTGTGGCTCCAGGCAGAGACGAAGATCCTGATGCCACACGTTCCAAGATATGTCGACTTTGCGCGGCAGAAATCCTGATACAAGGGATGAAAGATTGGTGGATAAGAGAGCGGGAGAAGGGCGCTCTGGATCCGGACGTCGCGAGACGTCCGGATTGCGCAGAAGGAAGCTCGTGTCCTAAACAAAGAGATTTAGGTCCGCATGGTTCAGTTTCCCCACCTTCGCTACTGACAGTAAACTACTCCAGTTCATACGAAGCAGTGTACGTTTCAGCATGGACGTCATACTGTCGCTTTCATTGACTCGGTTCCTTTTAGTCAACCATATCATAGATCGGTTTCGTGAGCCCGAAGAGGCCACCGCAAGCGGATCCGACATTTCAGAGCAGGAATCAAGCACCAAGTTTCCGATTGCTGGGTATTCTAATGACGGCTCCCAATATGAGAAGTTTGGTGCGTTTGGTGCTTAGATGGCCCTATGCGAAGTATTGAACTTCGGCGTGTCTAGTTCACACTTTGGCGGATGATCGTGATGACCTATGAGGATGAATGACTTGTTACTTGCTTTCCTTATTTTGTAGTTACCGTATTCTATTCTTCAGCTTATGCATAATGTTTATTGAATGTATATAAGTGTATAATATCAGTAGCAGCACAACAACACCAGAATCCGGGACACTCAATCAGTGAGTATGCGACAATGAAATGCTAAAGGAGTGTCGAGATCGATCTAACGAGCAATAAAGAATTATATAACTAGAGTAAATGAACGCCCACAACCATGAATAGCGGACGCACTTGTCAAAGTGCAGCCAAGCCGTCGTACATAGCAACCTCCTCGTCCCACTGTCGCCGCCCTCGGCCAAGCGATCGGCCCGAGTGGGTCGACTGTCTGTCCACTGCAGCGGCCTTTTGGCGCTCGCGCTCCTTAAGCTCGAGTGCGAGCATCTCCATTTTGTACCGAGCTCCTTCCTTCTTGCGCTTCTTCTCCTCTGCCTTCCGAATTTTCTCCTCACGCTTCTCGTCCTTCCGTGACACCACAGTCATTGTGGTACGAGACGACATTATGCTCGTCGGTGTAGGTGGACATGGCAGTGGCGGCGGCGGCGGCGAGGGTACGGGCGCAGAGAGCTTGAAGGACTTCGAGCCACCCAAGAAATTCTTCAACGAGTATCGATTGGTGCTCTGCTTTGACGAGACAGAGGGTGTAACAGAGGGTGTATACGTGTTCGATGGAGATGGCGAGTGTGAGGGTGTGGCAAAGGCCAGGGGGGATGCGGGGGAGGGTGTCGAGGGGCGAACGTTCAGGGCCGAGGCGGCCTGAACATCGAGACGTAAATGCTCGACATCAAATGTCCGCTTTGAGCGTATTGGCGTTGAAAGGAGTGTCTGGGTGGGTGTGGGTGGTTTGGATTGCGGCGCGAATTCCAAGGGGGCGAAAATTATGCTTTCCGAGCTGCGGGAGAAACGACGGTCCATGTGAACGTCGAAGTCCTCTGCCGAGCGTTCCTCTATGATGGTGGGATAAGGAAGCGTGGATGGGTGGTCGGCAGGCGTCCTGAGCAAATTTGGGCTGACTGGAGGAGAGGACGGTTGGGACTGCGAGTCGCTGTAGCTTGTTACAGAGCTGAAGGAGTTTGCAGAAGAAAGGGAAGGCGTATCGCTGTCACTCTTGCTCGCTTGACAAGGCGTTGACTGCGTGCGAGACCGATGCGGCAAATGGAATGCAGGAAACGTGGTGTTTGACGACAAGGGCCGTGATGTGCCCTCTAAAGATGGGAGTCCCATGGTCTCGTGTTCGTCGTCAACGTCGGGGGGTGAAGTGAAGTATTTGGCGTGGCGAGAATAGGAATATGGAAGCGGCTCATCCTGCTCGTGGGGGAGAGACAGTGCGGCAGGGGCCTTGCCAAATGTGGGGGTACGCGAGGCGCCTTCCTGCAGGTTCGGGTCGAGGTAGTCGTCCATGCCGTCATCCAAAGCGACCCCAATATCCTCTGAACCCTCAACTCCATTTGAGTTTACCACATGCGCAAGCAGGTCAGCGACCGCACATATCTCGAAGTCAGTCTGTGCGGAGACGATGCTGAAGGACCTGGAGTGGTACGACATGGATTCGGACTTGGACCGTCGTCGGGGGTAGGCTCTCAAGGTGCTGCATGCTGATGTACTTTTCTTATGGGGGTTGTTTATAGGCGAAGCGGGGGCACTAGCGGCGCTTGCCGATATTTGATATGATGGTGCTCCATCACTGCCAACACTGGGAACGGCTGGATAAATGTCCACAAAAATCATCGAATTAGAATTCTATTTTACCCACGACGTTGCTCTGGCGTGTGTGATGTGTAAACTACTTACTGGAATTGGCCGCATAGCCTCTAGTGGTTGGGCCTGAGCTGGACGTTTGGTCAAGGGAGCCAGGAAATTTGGCGTCCGACGTCCCACGCGAACGTCCCGTCGATGATGCCGCGTCTCCATCGGATCCGCGACCTGGCAGCTCACTGTCACTGCGGTCACGACCACTCCCTCCGCCGCCACCGCTCTTGCTACCTGCGCGGGAACGGCCACTCCGTTTCTGACTATATGACTATACGGGCATGCTTTAGTACCCAAGTCCAAATGTTGCTGGAAGATATATTTACCATGACAGTTTTGAGAGCCCTGTACAACGATCAGAAACAGAAATAAGCTCGAGGTGTCCATGTGTGAGTACAGAAGCATGGAAACACTTGCCTTATCTGGAGACTTCGGCAACTACAAAGTGTCGCGACTTCGTATACACCGACCGACGTGGAATTGGACAGTGCGCGGTGCATCGCATGCTTCACCAGCGATTCGAGATGCGTGATCTGATATATACTCGACAAAATCAAGAGCTGACTCAACACAGCGGGTGCATGTTGTAAGGGAGTAATGAGCGCCAGAGAGTAAAAGTATTGCAGGAGGGCAAGGGTGATGGGGTAAGGCTCAGATAAGTTGAAGGCCCTCGGAGTCAATCGTGGATCTGGTCTTGGCTCAGTCGAATCCGGAGCGCCAGGTAGATCAGGCAGGCCAACGTCCATGGATGAGGTCGGCATAATCTCAATGGCCTGCTTGGCTCGTTGCAAGAACTTGATCCTCTGCTCTTTGAACCATGGCCATCGGTCCTCCAATGTCTTCCTTGAGCATTTGATTTTGCGCCCGTCGTCGCAGATAATCTCAAAGTCGGCCAATACCTCCTCTTCCAACGCCGAAAGCCCGTACTCTTGCATCGGGATATCCAGAAGCAATGATGGCGGCTGGTAAATCCCGAAAGCCTCCAGATCAATAACGGAAACGTGATCCCAGCTCAGTAGCCGTCGATTGTAGTCTTCAACGAGATTCCCGTTACGGTTTCCGAAGATAAGGAACTTGTTGGCTTCTGCCCATAAACACGCTCTGAACCAGGAGCCGGTCGCTACGGCACTGCCGGGATCGATGCGTGACCAGACCATGCTAGTGAGGTCAAGCGCCCATATTGAATATGACTGGTATGTGTGAGCGAGATAAGTGCCAGCAATGATAAGGTGGGTGCCCAGGATAGCACCCGAAGGAAACCGGAGGCCAGGCGGGAATGATGTCCCAGACATTGCATTCGAGCGTCCGGTAATCGTAAAATCTGAGTCAGGGAGTGGTGAAAAAACTTCAAGCTCGCGTTTTACATCTGTAAACTAGACAGCATGTTATGGGTTCTGCTGAGGAGTACAGGAGCAGAACCATGACTCACGTTGAAGTTACTGTACAAGTAAATATCGTTGGGATAGTCGTCGGTTGGAGGGGCGGAGTAGGGTACATGGACTAAAGATTCGGAAGGAGTAAATTCCTTTGAGGATGTTGGGGAGGATTTGTCGGATTTGAAGCGCGTTCCGGGCGGCCCGAGCGTGGAGTTGGTCTCCGCTGCACGATGTTCTTCTTGTGGTAGACGGACACGCTGAGCAGCTGAAACAGCGACACTTCGATATGTGCCGCAGTGGTGAGGGAAATTGCGACGCTGCACCCACACTTTTTGGACGAGATCATACACGTGGACGTCGTCAAGCCATATGTTTGAAAGATCCTGCCCACCAATGATGAAGAGGCGGTTCGCAGTGATGGACGACAAATGGGCGTAGCGAGGTTTGGGGATGAGTGCCTCTGTGTTGGGGTCCGCATAACTGACGCTCGAATACGAAGAGGAAAGCCAACGCATCGATGCAAGGTCGAAGAAACGGACGTCATTGAGAACGCGGAGGTCTTCGGGGTTGTCAGAGTCTGGCATATGGCCCATCCCTCCGAAGACAATGAGCTGGTTGTTCCCTGCACATATGGTTGAGACATGTGAGCCGGAGCAAAGAACATGGCACTTACATGTCTCCGTGCTGTGAAAGTATCGCGCCTCCGGCTCGTCATCCTCTGGGTGGGGTTGTATGCGTTCCCAAACGAAAGTTTCGAGGTCGAAGACGAAGAGATCTGAGACCATCCGCCTTTCCGTGACCAGTCGTCCTCCCTAAAACGAAGGTATCTAGCTCACGGCGCCGTTGACATGCGAGACAGCAACCTACAAAGAGAAATACTTTGGAGCCTGTCACAGTTGTCGAAGCACCCTTTGATAGAAGCAAGGTTAAGTGAGACATTACAATGAGATAATGACGTACGTACGACAAGCTTCGGTGGTACGTCCCCCGTCGTCTTACGACAGAACGTTGTAAGGTCGGATATTGAGTGCATGTTGAGTGCTACAGCACTTTCGTCACCGTTCAAGCAGGAAGGGTTGTATTAGAAGGGGCGCAACCCTAGGCTCGAGCGAGGGAGGAGATTGGGATAAACAGGGATGCAGTAGACACTTGAGCTTGAATGAAGCCAAATATGAACGGGAAGTGCCTTGGTCCGTCTACTCGGTATGGCCCGATACGCACGTGCAATGGGCGGTGGCTCTGAATAGATGCTTGCTTCTTCACCGAACTTGCCCACTTGCAATTGCCTTTACCACAAGCCCCGGCGCAATGTGTCAATGTAGTGTTACGTTGCACACACAACAATAATAGTCGTAGCCAGTCGTAGCCGTATCACCGTTTCGTCGTCCATTAACGTTATCTTTTCGTTATCTCGACCATTCATTTGAGCTTAGGCGCTGGAACATCCACAACCACAATTACGGCTGATAGAACAAAAAGACATGTAGTACACCGGTGGCAGACCGAACAAAGACCGAAGATAGACTGTCAGCCAGTCGTGCACCGAGATATCAATACTGCACACATGGCCACGGAGAAGAGATGCATTATTATCTGTCACTCAGCCATCTGACAGGCGCAGAAGATCCAATTAGATCCAAAAAAGGGGTCAACAGGGTTCAAACGTTCACGTTGCAACCGCGTCCCCCGGATTCGAAGTCAGAAACGCTGGACGTTGGTGAGGTACCTGACCTCAAGGCCTCAAGCTGGATATCAAGGTGATATCTCCAGCTTTGGTGGCACATGTCGGCAGATTTCTTATAATGTTATTTTTTCAGTTGTAGGCCACCTGAGCTCCCAAAACGACGTGACATTTCCTTGGTCATTCCGCCCGAACAAGATTATGTATACATGGGGGCGGGGGTTCGCGACGTCGTTAGAACGATGAGCGCATGAAGGAAATTAAACCTACCACCCAAGACACAGGGTGTCGCTTGCTGCATGGGTGTATTCAAGGCTATGGTTTCTTGATCGGAAGACCAGGATTTTGACTGTTTACAGTCGTTTTCAATTCGATAGACCAGATTTCACTCTTGTGGAGCGTGGAGCCTTGTTTACCGGCAGCGAACTTAGTAAGGCTGTTTTCCCCATGGGACACACAACTTGTTTGCTCTTGTCCTCTCGTCCCTTCGCGTTTCTTTGCTGCAATCTTGACTAAAATTGACTTATCATTTCTGAAAATGCACGTCACCTACATCCTTGAGGTTCAAGCATCATACATAAGCCTTGAGATCAGAATTAAGGCCCGTCATTGCATACTTCTGCCCGAAGAGATAGCAGGATGGTAGTCCTGAGCGATTCACGGGCTCGCCCGTCCCTGACTCCATGTCATCTCCGTATTAGGGATTCTGACCCTCCCGGTGCATTCGCGCACTCCACCGGGCCTCCAAAAGTAAACAGAGTTTCTTGCTCCACGAAAGTAGAAACTGGTCTATCGAAATGAAAACGACTGTAAGTAGTTTGGATTGCCATCAGTTCATACATACGTTTCAAATCAGGAGCGCGCTAGTAGCGGTCCGAAGTAATCAACGAGATTGTTTCAGCAGGGCGCTACTGCATACCCGTCGACCATCACCGCGCAATTAGATTGAAGGTTAAACCCGAGGGATATGCTCGCAGCAAATGAAGTGACCGACAGTCGTCTGCGTCCATTAGAAGCTTGCGGCGCTGACGGAGGCGTCCTATCGCTATGAAAGTATTCAGAGACCGTTTCATAGAGGTTCATATCAGCATCTTCAATCGAGAAAGACTGGTACTTAGAATCGAAAATAAACAACACCGATTTTTTCGATTGAGCTTCTTCATTTGACCATAATATATTATAATTGCAAGGCGAGAAGTTCGCTTTCGTATATATTATAACTCGATGAAACCTTGTCATCACGTTACGATGAGATGAGTGACAGAGTGTAATCAAGACCAGAATTCTGATGAACTACTTATTGACGCACTGACCTATCGATCTCACGATTCGCCGCTGCCTTGGACGAGCGCTTCATCGTCTCATTAAGGAATTGGCTTATTCGAGTACGACTTGAAGCCTACCGCCGACCTTCCTTGAGCTTGAGTAGTTGTCGGCAGCACATTTGAACGACGAGAGCTGCAGCAGCCTAGAGGCTAAACAGACACGATGTAGGCCCCGAGTCTGAGATTACACCACATATGCAACAGAAGTGCAGCATGATATCAAGCGAATTCTCAAATCTGCAAAGGAAAAGGTGGTCTGGTAAATTTATTTAGATGAAAGTGGCATACTGTTATCCCCCGCCAGAGACAGCCAAATTTCCGTAAGTCCTGGAATATTTTCCTCGCTGGCCCGTCCTGTAAAATAAGGTTTGAAGCATCTCCAAGACACAAGCTAATACTGGAAAAATCTACGAAGCGCCAAAGTGGACGGATTCCCTACTATACGAGCATCAGTGGATTTTAGAACCAAGGACCGGCCACCGTCAGACTGCACAGTCTGCGTGGGAGCCGATATCGGTAATAAGCCCATATTGGGCAGGGTATTGGCTGTAGCCGAGCCATAAAAGGAAAATTGCATTCCAACCCGGAAAATGCGCGTCTCGCGAACTGTTTGTTCCGCACAAACTCATACCCGATTTGGCTTGTGGTCACACGCGATCACAGCGTGACTGCCTGTTACCGCTGTGCGCGTTTCCAGGCGTTTCCCCCAAGGCTTCCCCCTCCATCTATGCTGCCCGCAGTCTTGTGGATCTCCTTGTGGGAGAATGCAGCGCCCTGGAGGGGTTGGGAAACTGTTGAAATCAATACATGAATGTTCCTTCTTCGGAAAGGTGCACTTAGAGTTTGTCAAGATAGATGCCTGAGTGAGTATGGAAGGCTCATGCTACTTAGTACTATAACATATTTGACATTTCAGTTGACGAAATTCGTGCACGTCCCGAGGCCTGAGGCCAGGAATTGGACCCGGTCAATACTGCCTGTCTTCCGATAGTGAGAAATTATTTCATAGATGTTGCAGAAGAGGATCTAAGTACCGGTTTGGGCAACCATCTGAGGCTCCTTGACAGGCACAGTGTTTTATTCAAGTTTTATTCGTCAAAAACCACTCAGTGATTTGTGGTTTTCCGAGCTGATCTGAGGCGACATGACTTAGGTGTTGTGGTGAGATAGATTGGTGCGAGTTGATGGCTCGGATTCAAAGCGACAAATATGAAGGTCATCGCGGATAACGTCATCACATCTCAGGCGGGCGTAATTGACATGTTGGCCATGCCTTTCTTTTACAGCGTCCACTGAGTGCAGCGTTATATACGCGCTGCATACACGGAGAGCACCACAACTACATCCATTCGTAGACCTCAAACCGTTTGTCCCACATGCTTTGACATATTCCTTGTTCATCGATGTTCGTTGCTCGAAGATCGGTAATTTCCTCAACCGAAGAGAATAATGTTAGTGTCACCGAGCCCATCAGCAGAACGCCATCACTACACTAGTACTCTTTCAAGTGTACTGTCATCCCCCGTGAGAATGTACACCACCGCCAGGATGTACAACTGTCTTTTGTGGCCGTTTCTCCCGCAAAACTCTCAAACTAAATTCATGATAATTATGATCCTATGCCATTCCATATCATCCTGCGTTGGATTGGCAAGGGGATGTCTAGAAATGAAGTAACATGGCTCAAAAGACAGAAAATGGGCTCTTTTGAAAAAAATTTGAGCTCTGGGTCAGTAACCAGCTGTGAAATAACCTCAGGTTGTGAGCAAAAGAGTAATCGTATATTGAGCTAACACCTTGCGCCCCCACTGAAACAAAACTGGGCGCAACCAGAAGGCACAAACTCGCAATATTTTGGACCGATGACAGAGTGTCCTCTCGAGGCTCACTAAGTATAATCTTATACAGTCATTTGCATTCCAACCCGGAAAACGCGCGTCTCGCGGTGTGTTTGTTCTGGACGTTGCTTAGCCATATATGGTAGTCACGCGCGAGCTTTTGATACTCCGACGTGACTTCAGCTTTACAGACGCTTGACAGACGCTGCTGTTGTGCCTCGCAATCGATACACTGTAACACAACCCGCGCAGGAGAGTTATGTTTAGTAGAGTTGATAAAGTTAGAGTATAGTGATGATGCAGGCGGGGCGGAGGTGCCAGTATGGCTTTCGGCCGGATTCTCTCTCTTAGATCACCATACGCTGCGCTTTCTCATCCATATCGCACCGCTCAACCGTTCCTACGACCTCTCCTTACACAGCGCGCCATGGCAACCCTTGAGATCTCCAAAGACCACGAGAAGCTGACCGTCAAAGATCACAAGCAGTACGAGACACCTGACCACCTCACGCCTTCGAACGTGAACCCGTCTCCCATCCAACAATTCCACACTTGGTTTGAAGATGTCTGCAAGGCCGGTGTGCGCGAGCCCGAGGCAGTCTCGCTCTCCACTTCGACTGCCTCTGGCATCCCGTCTTCCCGCATGGTTCTGTTCAAGCAGCTAGACGCACACGGATTCGTGTTCTACACCAACTACACTTCTCGCAAGTCTAGGGAGCTGCTCGAAAACCCAAATGCTGCCCTTCTATTTTACTGGCGCGAAGTGTCCCGCCAAGTACGAGTACTCGGCAAGGTTGAAAAGCTCACCAAGGAAGAGAGCGAGGAGTACTTCAAGAGTAGGCCTGTGGGCAGTAGGTTAGGTGCCTGGGCTAGTCACCAGAGCTCTGTGGTCCAGGAGGGAGAGCTTCACGAAAAGTTGTCCGAGATGCAGCAGAAGTTTGGGATAGGTGAGGGCGCGAAGGAAGGTGATGTCCCTCTGCCTGAGTTCTGGGGTGGATGGAGAGTAATCCCTAGGTGAGCTGCTCACCTTATCTGCGTCGGACTGTTCTCAGCTGCTTATTGCTGCACCAACAGTGAAGTGGAGTTTTGGCTTGGAAAGCCATCGAGATTACACGACCGCGTTCGTTATTTGCGCAAGGATGGATCGACAGATCACCCTACATGGCGAATTGAGCGTCTGGCACCCTGATAATCAGGGAGTTACCAGCCACAGTTGGCTCGAACCCATGTAGATAGATGAGTTCATATCTAGCTATGCTAGACCCACACTTACTAGCCTTCGTCATACTGTTCCATGTATCATTGTACACTCAATTATCTTCCGCACAGAACTGAAGGACAGGCTAACGACTCAGAACGACATCATCAACCAGGCCACGATAATGGAGATATGTCCCGCTACGCCGCCGTGCGATCTGTCTATGGAACCTCGATGGTACGCTCGAGCACCTGGATCTAGCCAGTATCCAAAGGATTCTCGGAGCGCTTAGATCCTGTTCCCGGCTATCCTTAATTTATCCTGTCTGTGTAGCAGCATACACCTGCTCGTGATGACAGGACAAGGCTAGTGCTGTTTACGCCAACCACTGTGGTCCTCCGAGGCGGACGGCGATCGAAGATGCGGACTTTGGGCTTATCGAGTGTCTATATCGAACCTTCTTACGTGACAGGCAGAATGCAACGGAACTTTCCAAGATTAGCCATAGGTTCAAACCAGAATATACACCGACATCTTCTTGACCGAGTGATGCGGTCATCGCGCAGATAGCCGTCAACTCCGTGGCTCCCCTGCGAATCCTTTAATCAGTTTGCTTCAGTGCTTGCTGTTTTGTGGGTTGACATTTTAGGTGTAACACGACAATACTATGCATCTGCACTAAGTTGGCTTCCGTGGTCCAACAAACGCCGGAGGTACGTCTTCACACTTTAACAGTGAGTTACTAAACTGGATAGGGTCTTGTCGCGTGGTAGTCTTACCACGGACGAGCGGTAAAGTTAGACGCTAGGCCGCCACAGATTTTTTGCCCTTTCGATACTATTCCTCGATATCGCTCAGTCGACTTTCTGAGCCACAGACGGCGGTATCCTTGAAGACAACAATGTTTTCGTATAGCTCATTCGGCTTCTGGATACAGTGCCAACTCGAGTTTCGAAAAACAAGGCCGGAATATTTGAGGGGCCACCGGGGCAGGGGCCGGCTGCCGGTGATCGTCGCTCTGGTCTCCTAGGCTGGCACCCTATCGTCTGCCTCTCGTGTGGAGCACTTCCCACCGGGTGTCAAGGGCATTTTCTCTGAAAGTAGTCGGCAGGAATTCTGCCAGCAAGGTTTGAGATGGACGTGGTTTCGCCTATCCGAACCACGTGACCTCTCATCCTTTGAGGTGTTTTGGCCGTTCGTTGGGCTCATTAGCCACTTCATGCGGCTGAATCTCAAACTAGATCCAATCAATGGGCGCAGGTTGGCCGGTAGGACAACCGCGTATTTGCCTGCGGAAATTTTCTCGATCAACTGGTGAAAGGGGGCTCCTAGGAAACTTCCTCATAAATACCTGCGGCCAATTGTGGAACTGCCTCAGCCAGTCGCCCTCCACTCTCAATACCCCCATGGACAGCAGTCTCCCTAATCAGGCGCCCGAGCAGCCTCTGGCAGAAAGTCCTCTCGCCGACAATGTCGAGAACGCCGCTGCCCGCTCTGTCGCATTTCCTCCTGATCAACATGTGGAGGAGAAGCTGATCCGTCCCAAAGGCCCTGAGATGAAGAAGACCGTTACCCTTGAAAAGACCCTGACGATTGAGGACAAGGAGCTGGCGGCTGCTGGCTACGAGCACCTCAAGGATGAAAAGAACAAGGCCGGAAAGGACACAGGTTTTGAAAATGTAGACATCCAGGAGCACCGCTATAACTTCAAGGACCTCGAAGAGAAACTTTCCTCCAGTTTCAACACCAAGGATCCTGCTCAATCTCAAGGTCTTACTTCGGCGGCGGTCAAGGCTGCCCTTTTTCGGGATGGTCCCAACATCCTCACACCTCCCAAAAAGAAGTCGGCTTTGCGCAAGGTGCGGAGAGCAACTTGGGTCCTTATAACAATTTCCTGACTCTCGCTGTAGTACTTTGATTGTCTAGTGACCATGTTTAACATTCTGCTGATCATCGCTGGTATTCTCGAATACGTTCTGCTTGGTATCCAATTCAAGGTAAGTTCGTCTCGTTTACTCTTTATTTTATTTTCTTTAAACGTCTACTCAGGAAAACTTTCAAAACACCTACTTGGGTGGTATTCTCATCGCGGTCGCCTTCCTCAACGCTTTCATTGAGTTTTATCAGCTCCAGAAATCGGAAGCTATTTTAGCATCTTTTCTGGCTATGATACCGCCCTCCTGTCATGTGGTCAGGGATGGCGCTCTCACTTCTGTTCCGGCGGCAGATCTAGTCAAAGGCGATGTAGTTCTTATTGTGAATCGCTTGACTTTTCATCATTGCAACGTCGTTAACGGATCACCATAGCGCTCCGGAGACAAGACACCAGCGGATCTGATTCTGTTTGCTGGAAGTGATCTCAAGGTTGACAATAGCAGTCTAACGGGAGAGTCTGAGCCTCAAGAGCGCTACGCCATTCCTGATGGGTCCACTGCCCGCCCAGTCGAAGCTGAGAACTTGGTGAGCCAACTCACTTGTTCAAGACATATTTGGTTGAGCTTTTTGTTAGGTCTTCAACTCTACTCTTGTCGTCAATGGCGAAGGATGGGGCGGTATGTTTAATGCTAAATCTTATCCGTCAAAAGTTTGACACGCCGCCTCTAGTCGTCGCTCGTACTGGTGATCACACGCTGATTGGTCAAATTGCTGCCCTCACGGGAGGTGAAAGCGGGAACCAGAGTCCTCTCGGTGTCGAGATGTGAGTCTATTGTTCCAAGGCCACCAAGGGGTACTGAGATATTTCGTACAGTGCTCATTTTGTGACAATGGTCTCGTGTATCGCCATTGTTTTTGCTGTTGTGTTCTTTGTTGTTGGGATCACGACTGCTTACAAGGGCAAGGCTGCCCAAACGGTTACATTCGCCGTCTCCATCCTCGTGGCATTTGTCCCAGAGGGTCTGCCATCTGTGGTCACTCTGCTGTTCGTATTTCACTGCAGTGATTGGGTGCGCTGGCTCACGACGGAATAGTCTTTCCATTGCAGCAAAGAGAATGGCAAACCAGAAGGTGCTTGTGAAGGATCTGCAGGGCGTGGAGACTCTGGGATCGGTAAAACGCGACCAATGCATTTACTGTGTCTGATACTCACAGCAATAACAGCTGACTCTCCTCGCAACCGACAAGACTGGCACGCTGACTCGGAACCAAATGACAGTAGGGCGAAATCCCTTGCATACCGACTTTTACTTGATTGTTTTTGTCTCAGGTGACGAACCTTTGGAGTGGCCTCAAGATGTATACGGCGTTCCAGGTACGAGGCTCTCAGAACCGTCAGTAGCCAAGTTTTTGATCAGCGGGTAGTCGAACAACGATGAGGACGATACGGCCGCGTTCTCTCTCGTCGCACCAGGCATGCGTGAGATGGTGGACATCGCCACCCTGAACTCAAAGATCAAGTTCGACAAGACCGATGTCCCCTTCGACCAGCGTAACATTCTCGGTGACGCCACCGAAACTGGATTGACTCGTTTTGCCGGAAATCATGTCTCGCATTACGATGCGTACCAAAAGCAGCACCCAAAAGTTTTCGAAGTTCCCTTTAACTCGGCGAACAAGTGGGCTCTCGTTATCGTAAGTTTAACGTGTTTCTACAAATTTGCTGGTATCTTACCGTCTCGAAAAGCTCGAAAAGCGTCATGCCAACGGGCCTTTGACTTCCTACATCAAAGGAGCTCCGGAACGTGTCCTTGCCAAGTGTTCGACGTACTTGCAGGATGGACAGCAAATACCCATTACTGATGAGTTCAAGCGGGCGTATGATGATGCGTACGACGTATGTTCCTCTATTGATCTACCACGGCTATCCTCTAAGTGGAGCACTGCAGTACATGGCATCTCGTGGACACCGCGTCATTGCTTGCGCCCAGCTGCAGCTTTCTGAATCCGAGTATCCCAAGGACCACACCTTCACGAAGACGGACGGCGGTTACCCTATCACTGACATGTGCTTCGTTGGTCTGGTTTCCCTCGAGGACCCTCCAAAGCATGGTGTTCGCGAGGCTATTGGTACCCTGCGTCTTGCTGGCATTAAAGTCATGATGGTTACAGGTAAAACTATTTTACCCTATTAAGAATGAGTTCTAAAATGACCTTTCGCCTAGGCGATCACCCTAAGACGGCAGAAGCCATCGCTCGCAAGATTAACCTCATTATTGGTGACACTCGGGAGTCCCTCGCTGTCCGCACCAACCGTTCGGTAGAGGAAGTTTACGAAGACGAGGTCGACGCCGTTGTTGTTCATGGCGATGATATCGATGGCCTGCAAGGCTGGCAATGGGATCAAAGTGAGTTACCTCATAGAATTCGAAAGGTGGCTTGTTGTTGAGTGCATATAGTCTTCAACAAGAAAGAAATTGTGTTCGCCCGGACATCCCCTCAGCACAAACTCGAGATCGTCAAGCGTGCACAGGCACTGGGACACATCGTCGGTGTCACGGGCGACGGTGTGAACGACTCACCCGCATTAAAGAAGGTAAGCTTTTTTGGCCCATACTTTGTATGTTTGCGACTCATGTTCGTAATATAGGCTGATCTCGGTATCGCCATGAACATCTCCGGATCTGATGTGTCCAAGGAAGCTGCGAACATGATCTTACTTGGTAATTATTCCATCCTTTTGGAATAACCAACACTGACGTACATCCCCTAGATGACAACTTCGCTTCCACGGTCAGTAAGTAGATTTCATTTATCACACTTGAGTCACAATCTGACACTGTTATAGAGGGTGTCGCCGAAGGACGACAAATTTTCGTGAATTTGAAGCGTTCCATTCAGTAAGCACGCTGTCACCGCAAAAAAATGTTTCACGAAGCTAAGCCGACTACTTTTAGGTATACTATAACACATAGTACGCCCGAGGTCATTCCTCAGCTACTTTGTAAGATTCTCTTCACCGTTAGCTATCCGCGTATTTGACAAGTTCGTCAGATGTCGTCGTTCCCATTCCTCTGCCCATCTCTGCTATTTTGATCCTGGTCATCGGTAAGAGCACTTTTGCTGTCCTAGCAGCATGCTCATATTATCTGCAGATCTTGGATTCGAGCTCTTTGTCGCCGTAAGTTCTTGTATGTATTTTCATTGTTTGCTTCCTCATTTGTCGTAGCTTTCGTTTGCATGGGATAAACCTGAGACTGCCGATGGTTTAATGAGAATGGGCCCCCGAAAGCCAGGTAAGCAAGTTTCTATCAGCGTCCTCATAAAAAGGTCTCATGAGTACTCCTAGTGAATGATCGTTCGATAAACGCCCTCAAGCGTCGTGCTCTTCACCGTACCAAGACACTAATTCGAGACCCTGAAACGCAAGAGTTCATTCCTCCCAGTCACATGTCGAAAGTAGCCTCAGCAGTAAAAGCACCGTTTACCGCCGCTTTCTGGGAGGACAAACTCGAAAAGAAAGAAGATGAAACACTCGTGGACTCCAAGCTCCTCAGCTACTCATACTTGGAAGCCGGTGGTATTGAAATGCTTGCATCGTAAGTCATGATATTCCGTGTTGTTCGAAGTTCATCAATCGAGTACTCCTCGACAGCCTGGTTGCATACTTTGTTGTGTTCTACAAGAACGGATTCTCGCCCAGCGATCTGCGTATAGCCCAGTCCAACGGCAGTGAGTTATTCACCAATCGATTTTGACCGCTGAATCCTAACTATTTGTAGGCTACTTCACTTCTTCAAGTCCTCCGTTCACAAACTCGAAGGGCCACGTTATCGATGCCGCTGGTCAAACCGAAGCACTGGCACAGGCCCAATCCATCGGTAAGCCACACTTACGCGCATCAAGGATGTGTTCTAACCAGCTGTCGCCAGTTTATCTTTCCATCTTCATCGTGCAATGCTTCAACGTGTTTGCTGTAAAAGCGAAGTTTAGATTCCCCTTCGGCCGTAGCGTCGTTGCAAACTACTACAACTTTTTCGGTATCCTGGCCGGAGCCTGCCTCGGCATCTTCATTATATATACGCCGCCGCTACGTGTCGTCTTCGGGGGCTCGTACCACCTCTCTCCTCTTTACTGGCTCATCCCTGTGGCGTTTGGTTGCTTGCTCCTTATTTGGTCGTCGATCCGTGTCCTCCTCATGCGCAAGTCGATCGAGCAGTCGAAGGTAAAGGATATTAAGGGTCTCATGATGTGTACGTACTGTTCGTTCATCCGAGAAAATACTCACTTCTAACAACTGATCTTTAGTTCCCACAATGAGGACGATGAGCTTGCGTTCTCGCAACAAATAAAACTCTAGTATACCACAATTGTTACAAACGTCAACGGTGTACAGAGGTCACCAAAATACCCATCAATAGTTATATATGAACGACTGTATACGTACCGCGCATTTTTTATTCACGTCTCATTGACAATATTCGTCGTGATGACCAGAGACCAGCGTCAGCCTGCTAGGTAGATCATACAAGTATCCACGATACTCCATTGTGATCAACTCATCGGGGCTAGATCAAACATGATAGTATCCATGAAAAGATCATAATTCTACACATCTATTGGAACATACAAAGGATTTGCTGATACATTTTTTCACAAACGAGCATGGAGATTTTATGGAGACCTCGAATGCGCTTTAAGCCCCACCGCGCGCGGCGGTGGAGCAGGCTTTGGCTCGCACTTCAAAGGCTTGCTTGGCACCGGCCTCGTCACCCTTAACCCACTTCTGCATGGCATCACCTTGGAGACCACGGCCGAACGAGAAGGTGAGAGGAGGAAGGTGCGACAGGCGCAGGTGCGAGCCGGCGGCGGGAGGGGTGTCGATGACCTTGTTCACGGCGTTGAGATACTTAATAGCGTCACCATCGGAGAGACCACCGGACAAGAAAACGACACCGGCAACGGCGATCGGTACCGAGCGTGCAAGAACGGTGGCTGTGGCAAGACCAATTTCCTCAGCGGAGACGGTCGAACGCGAAGGGTGCTTCAAGCCGGGTTGAGCAAAGGATGGCTTGATGAGCGATCCTGAGGCAGCGAGTTAGCATAAAATGATATGAGATCATGCAATTGCATTTACCTTCCAAGAGAACGCCATATGCGGCACAGCGGGCGTAGATCAAGTTGATGATCTTGACGTGGACCTCGACGCTGCGTTTGAGGTCGGCGTCGTCGCTGAAGTCGACATCGGGCTCAACAATGGGCACAAGGCCTGCCTGCTGACTGATCGCTGCGAAACGGGCGAGGGACTCGGCCTGAACCTCGAGGGCGGCATGGGAAGGAAGGGAAGAAGAATTGCAAAGGATAGGGGCACGCCATTTGGTGAAGCGGGCGCCGGCAGCGCGAGCGGCCTGCAGGCGTGGAAGGAGGTCATCGAGACCCTGGGTGGCCGGTTCCGCTGGTGAGATGGGAAGCGGGTGTGCATCTGTGTCCGCGCGGACGCCGGGGATGATTCCACGAGCAGCCAGAACAGGAGCGAGTTGGAAATCGACCAGGGTCTCGTAGTATAGGATAACTCCCGAAATATAATCTTCGGACAAGAATTATTGAAAAATACTTCCCAGAGAAGGGCGATAAGATCCAGCTTACCGGTCGGAAGAGACTCGTACAAGCACTCCCTCCAGCGTCTCCGACGATCTCTCTTCTCGGCGTCCGAGAAGGTCTTCCCGGCAGCGTCTGCGCCCAAAGCTGCAATGAGACGGGCTTCGATGCCCTCAGGAGTTTCATCGGTAGCGTAGATGCCTTTGCCACGTGGGTTCACCAGGGCTTGGGCTGTCTCGATCAGAGCTTTGGCATTAGCAGTGGTATGATGGGGGTACAGGTAGGCGTTGGGGTCACTGTCGACAGCGCCAGCCGCTGCGCCAGTGCCAAAGGTGTAGCCTGGAGTGCTTGTTGCGTTGAGGGACATGGCTGAATGAGAAATGGGAACGATGAGTTATCGAGCAAGGTGGGGAGGAGGTATAAATCCTTTGAGGTTCTGGGGTCAGGTGCTCAGAAGGGCACCGGAACCTCGGAAGGCTTGTGAAAGGATATTCCGTGCATACTGAATGCGAGTGGCGTGGTCCCAATCGCGGTTCGAACGTTTCTCTTGCCATGGTCTGCGTCGTCTAGCGTGAGTTTGTGCCCGGTGTTATTCTTATCATTGTGAAGTAACCAAGATGCAGTTTGAAACCATTGATTGCCACCAGGGTGAAGAACGATTCGCCTCTTGTTTCGCCCTCACAGGCAAAGGGAGACAAGATCTTGAGCACACAGGAGAGGTTCTCGTACCCCATGAGTTGAGCTAGCCGAAACAGCTGACCTATTCGGTAATGACGTATGCTCGGTAGGTCGAAAGGCTGTGGAGGTGCAGCGTCTCAAACCGTCCTTGATCCTCTTTGATCCATATCAGTTAATCCGCCAAGTTGCCTTCGAATGACCCTAAAATTTCCATGGCTGTCGTCTGTGTTGATTGCGGTTATGAAATGAAGGCAAGATAGAGCCTTAATCAGTGGTCAGGGGGCTTGACATACATCGCTTCTGCTGCGGTGAACTGGAAATGGGGAAGGTGCAGATGTCAGTCATTAGTTGGGGGCTAAACGTGGATTTCTTCCGACGCGACGTGACGCGCGATGCCGCGGCTGCACGGCACATTTAATACTCTTCACCTCGCCTCTCCGCGTTCCAGCAGTACTGACTAGGTATTACTCTTCTGAGGTTGACATGATCAAGTTATCTGCATCAAACACGGTCACAAGGATTCTGCGGGGCTCCAGGGTTCCGCTCCGCGACAGATCTCGCCAGTACGCGACAACGCCGTCGAGTAGTCAACCAGAGGTGACACCCACTGATTTTCGACCCCCTTGGGTATACTCTGCGTCCCATATCCTCAAGTATACCGTGATACCAGGTTGGTTCATGTCAATCCGAGATATCGCAATGCGTGTCAAGTTACTTACCAACCTGTTTCCGACTCTAGCTGCGCTTGCCTACTGTGTATTCTGGGCTGACTGGGGTGAACGGGAGCATGTATTCTCGCCAGTACGCTAAATTCATGATATACCTGATGGTCCACTTTAATTCTTGGCTGGTTTCTCAGGCACGTCGATGGGTAGCTCGCCAGAAGGCATCGTTTCTCTCCCTATCACCAGAGGAAGCCGCTCTTCTGCACAGCAAAGAATCTTCCTCACCTACTAAGCCTCAGTCCTCACCTGGGACTCAACTTCCATCATCGTAATCATTTAGGAATCATCGATGAAACCTAGCTGGGCTGCTGATTTACTGGGTCTTGGGTCGACATTGAGAATAGACGTACACGTGTACGGTACCACGAACAGCACGATTTGAGAATCGATTTTCTATTTCTATGCTTCGCCATCCAGTCTTAGTACTAACCTTACTGCATCATGAAACACCAATAGATCAATAGACTAGTCCCCAGCCGTATGATACTCTGAATTGTAGAGACCGTGAGCGAATATCTTCACCGTTCGTTTGGGTGCCACAGCCTGTGAGCGTTGTGAACCCCTGTGTGCCCGTTGTAAGAAACGACACCCGCGTCGAGTAGGAGTTTGAATGCGAACCTTGATGCAAGAAACTGTGCAGCAGCAAAAACAACACCGATGGCGAGTCAGGTTCCTTATCCCGGCGCCCATCCACCAATACATAATGCTTATCAACCCCTGTCTGGTGAGCGGAGAACGACATGACGATGAGCCTTTCCAAAGTGGCGAGTCCTGATATGTGTTGCAGAATCAGAAATCTATGCCATCAAGCGCACGTACTTGGGACTTCTCCCTGCCTCACAGATAATAGACATGTGCCTCACCTTTGAGGCCCATGCCCCATTGCATGTCAAAAGTACTGTATGGCCGTATGATATTCGAGCTGCCATTGCTGCCATTCAAGCGCAGAACGCACAGAATGTGCAGAGTGCACAGAGTACGCAGAACGCCAGAGCATCCGCATCCCCCGAAGGCGCTGGACCTGCGCAGGCTGCTGCCTCAACATCGGAAGTATCCCCTGCGGTCACTGGCAATGGTAATGCCTCGCACGAGAACGATGCTTCGCCTTCAGCACCGGCGTCTGATTCACCCAATACCCCCGCAGAAGTTGGGTCAAGCAATCCGCCGCCACCGACTGCTGCAGACAATGCTCAACCGCAGCCACCATCGCAAACGCAGACACCGACTCAACCGCCAATACACCCACCAGGTCAACCTCCGCCGTACCCTCATCAACCTTACTACAGTCCAGCTTATCCTCATGCACCCTACTATCCTCCGCACCCCCCTCATCATCCGCCATACAACTATCCTCATGGTTATCTTCCTTCCTTCCCTCCTCCTCCTCCTCCTCCTCCCGGACCATATTCTCCTGGTCAATCATCCCATCCACCGCCCTTATTCTCCACTGCACCTCTCTCACACCCTCCCCACCCTCCCCATCCTCACCAGCACGATGCCTCAGTCCAACCCCCAAATGCTGTGGATGACCTACCCAGCTATGAAGAGATGATAGTGGAGGCTCTCAACGATTGCGGCGACCCCGAGGGGTGCGCACCAAAAGCCTTGTTCAGCTGGATGGCAATGCACTACCCATTGCAAACAAATTTCAGGCCATCGGCTAGCCAAGCCCTACAGAAGGCATTCAAGAGAGGTCGCTTGGAAAAAGGAAGCAACGGGAAATACCGTCTGAACGTAGCTTGGGAGGGTGGTAATGTATGTTTTCACTTCGGTGCTCTGTTCGAGAGCATACATTCTGATATAACTCAAAAGACATCGCGTCGAACGACCCGAAGGCCACAAACTCAAGCACAGACCATGTCAGTTTCTCAATCAGCGGGTCCTTCTCCATCTCCCTTTACTCGAGTCCCTCTCAGTCACAACCCAACAAATAATCCATACGCTAGTTCTGCCATGCAGTCACGCCCACCAGGATATCCAGGCTACTCTTCTTATGGCGGATATGGCTATCCTGGTCATACACCTCAGCCTCTCTCTCAAGCCGAAAATACCAATCAGACCGTATCTGCCGCTCCCTTCAAAGCATTTACGGAAACGTCAGACGACATGGCTGGCAATGATGCTTGGGAAGCCGCTCAGAATATTCTCAAGGCCATCAACTTCGGTGAGCTACTCCAGATGTCAGGAGCTAACGGGGAAACCTCGCCAAGTGCCAGCACAACCACCGAGGATGTAAGCCCAACCGCTCACCCCGATCAACTGCCCACTACGGCATTGAATGCCGATCCCACATTGAACCACAATCTTAACGGCGGCCCATCAGCGACTGCAGTTGCAGCGGAGGGCAACGGTGGGCAACTCACTAACGAGCAGAGAGCAGCGCTTCAAGCGCAACTTGCATTGCTGGCAGCTCAGCTTGCGGATATTGCGGAGCTGGACGAGGCTGAGCTCGCACACGATCTAAATATGTCCATAGTCACCGAAGAGGATAAGCCTGAAAACGATCTCAGTGCAATAACGGAAGATGGATTGCCGGATGACTTTGACGAAGATGACGAGTATGATTTAGAGGAAGTTGCTGTGCCTATGACTTCTTTGACGGCATAGGGGGTAGCTACGTGCTTACTCAGCCAATAATCGACGAGTCCGCTATGTTGTACGCTGCTTCACTATCTATTTTGGGCTTGATGTAACTCTGTCAATGTGTGGCTTTCTTTTCCCGGAGGTTCGCTTCTTCATTTCGGCTGCCCCAAGAATCACACTTGGCGTGCGCCCTCGTGCGCCGTGCATGCTTGAACCTGAGAAAAGAGGCTCGCTAGTACTGACACGCCTCATCAGCAAGCAGCTGGTGTCGAAGGTGTTAATTATGTCCTACCTGCAGGGAAGATATATGGGAGGATCGATATGCGGTGTACAAGCCTTTGGAGGTCGCTCTTTCTTCCTGACCTCCACTACTACAAGTGGCCCCAGCCGAGGTGTTCATCATCTCTTTTTCTGGTCTATCTCCGTGCTATCTGAGGCTGAAGTTGTTGTTGCCAGTGAAATAACCCGATCAACTTGATGCACGCCGTAGGCAACTCAAGCGTACGTTACAGCAACCCTGATCTGCGTCATCCCCATTTTCATCGCAGAGACCCATTAAGGCGTGTTTGTAGCAAGGAATATCCGTCCTTTCAATTCAGTCCTTGTGGAGCCCCCCGCGAAACTCACGAAATTTTGATACTGACAATACATCTTGTTGCCATCGAGCACACCAGCGTCTAAGACATTGTTCCTGCTCACTTGCATGGATCCCCTGGATGGTACCAGGTACGAGGTTGAAACCGCCATTAGAATGTGGGTACTTCATTGCGCGAGGCTTCCGGCGTGTAATTCTGACGCTCAGTTCGACGCTTCAAGCGGCCGCGCATCGTTTGTATGTAAGGAACCCGGAGAGCTCACGAAGCAGGCACGAGCGCTGACCCTGGCTAAAAATTTGCAGGCGTCTGTGAGTGTTCTTTTTCGTCTATGAAAGGCTGCATGTAAAGTGTAGTTAAGATACGATTCATCTTTACGAATGGCTCTTGAAGTAAGTGTTTCGCTTGAAGATTCATTGCTGGATGAATTTATCCCCGTTAGCCTCGACGAAGAACGCTGCCTAGTAGGCTTCGCCTATTTGCAATCTGGAAACGAAGAACTGACTTTTTGGGTAGATCCACATGTCGTCATGGTCATCGGTCAAGGTCCTCTATATCATCTGTCGATATTATCCACTCGTCGTTTTTCCGTTTCACCTTTGGGCATGGATGGACAACCACTCCACGGACCTCTGCAAATCTTTGGTTCATGGGGTATATGCTGCCCTTATACCAATGGTACTTCCTTTCTGTGACGGTATCGTGTTACGGACGCTGATCTTGCCCATTGCATGCAGCAAATATCGGCTCAGGGTAAGTGTTCCAACAACGGCATCTTCAGCGTTGCTTCTGACATATCCACAGGTGTCATGCTCCTACGAGCTTATGCTTTTACGGGGAAGAAGACGTATATCCTGGTGTTTTTCTCTGCGAGTTGGCTGGCAATCTTTGCTGCGGACATTTGGCTATATGGAACACAGTTTATCTGTAAGATCCTGAACCCTCGACGCCAAAGTCTCCATAAACATGTCTCTTCGTAGTGGACAACAATCCTCTGCTTCCTAAAGCTGGTTGCTTTGGTGATGACATCCTCGCAGTTGAGGGTGGCACAGCTTACCGCCCAGGGGTACGTTCTTTTTTCTTTGTCAGGTCAAGTCGTGTTTATCTTGTGTAACCTCACGCAAGCTTCTATTCGTACGTGACACTCGCCCGCACTTTCAACATGATATTTGATGGCACTTTTGGCAGCTCTCGACGTTTGCTGTTGATACAATGGCCACAGTAGCAGTGTTTGCAGTACGTTGGTTAATCAATCTGACACAAGCCAGAAATAACCGCAGACCGGAACCAGTATGCCTGGAAAACGCAGACAACAAGGGGTCGACTAGTTAAGACGTTCCTTCTGCACGGTAAGTCGCTTCCGACTTCACCAGGCATGCTGTGGCTCAAGGTGATGTCCTATTCCTCGTCAGGGCTGGTATATTTCGTGCTCATGTCAACGCTGAACCTAATCACTGCGTCATTTTACCTCCGGTAGGACTTCTCGCTCGACCAAAGACTGCATGTAGCAGCTGCAGCTGACGATTTACTGGCAGAGGCAATGTGATCACAACGAACGGTCATGGACTGACATACGCGCTTATCTTGTCGGACGTTATTGTCAGTTTCCCTTTCATTCCTTACATTTTCGCGAGAAGTGAACATTTCACCACAATTGTAGGCGTGTCGAATGTAGGCTGCACAACGTTTTGTGCCTCGCGCGCATCTGACTTTCGGCATCTCTCAGGATACTGGGGTTGAGGCGTCAAGCTGCTCCGACCGAGACCATGGAGCTGAAGGAACAGTCACGTATCGTTCGACAAGCCATTGAGCAGCATTGTTGCCGGGATGCATTAGCACTTTATGATGTTCCTACAGAACGGGATCCAATGGCATGATCTCTGACGTGACAATTAGCCAAGGGGATCTAGTGCCTACTCACTGCTGCATTACTACGGCCATCCCGGCCTGGACCCATAGGCATAGGCAGTGACTTACTAAACTGCCCATCCGTATTGGACGTATTGAAGGTAACCTCCCCCAGGTCCTATCAACGTGTACTATATCAGCGTGTTACCAAAGTTTCGGATTGCTTACTTTACTTGCTCGGCACGTAATGGAACACCCACTGTTCACGGTCAGTACACAGAATACAGGCTCTAGACTCGTCCACCTCTCATCACCCACTTGCATCATCATACCCTTGTGCCTGGCGGCGAACAACTCGCAAAATAAACGAGGCTATGACGCAGGAGGTTCTGTTAATTTAGTCTTGATACTATGTTCTGTTTGAGCCGAGGCCTATGGAAATATCTACGGGCGTGAACGTAAGGGAAAATGGTCTCGTTGAGTCATGCTCTCATCGAAAGCCCTGAGGTATGAAGTCATTGGCGACAACACGCCCAGGCCCGAACACGGAAAGACTACTTCGAAGCTAATAATGTCAAGCTACCCCACACTTGGCACACGCGAGTAAATAATTTTCAGCTTCCGCACTAGTACTAGGGTGCGCTGATCAGGATTAACGTTAGGTTGATCCCACTGGTCGCCGTGACGGAAGGCTGGACTCAATAGGGATACAAGAAGGGGTGAAAGCTGGCTTTGTCCTCAAACGTCAAGTAGCCGAGCGTGATCTTATTGAAGCGCTCTCCGTGACGTTATCGAGTGTCAAATTTTAGGATATCCACTCGCCGTATGAACTTTTGTCTTGCACCCCGTTTCTGCGGCATCTCCGAAGCCACATCGTTCCACGCCCTGTCGTGCCTTCAGGTTCATCCTAGAGTAGTTCGCCGCTGCGCCGAAACACTGCGGCGAGATCGATCACTGCAAAGTCCGATGATGATCGCTTCTTGGCCTCCTTACGGATGTGGGGCTTTGCTTCCTGTGTCCAAACGTGTTGCCGGGATAGCGATAAGATTGTCGAAAAAAAAACACCCTAGTACACCCACACATGTCGAAGATCTCGGGAATGACATGATGAAGAACGCTCAACGAACTTTAGCAAGTCATCGTTTCATAGATGTGTCCACACCATCAAGACATAGCCGTCTCTGCCCAAAAATGATCATTCCTGAGGCACAGCAGGGGAAAGATGCCAGCTCAGCTGGTACATAGCATCGTGTGCACAGTTACCTGGCCAGCATATCCATCTCCGAGAAGCTCCCAAGGCTACTGGGAAGGTAGTATGGCTTGCTTACTAAGTTCGAAAGCTAATGTTCCCTGTCCTCTGATTGAGCAGCGGGCAACCAGTACCGCCCTTACACCCCCGATGCAACATGCGCTGAATGTACTCTCCCTGACCTTTTTCTTAGAAAGCTTTATCCTATATTGTCCTGTAGGCTTGTATAGATGTGTTTCACCAGCCCACAAGAAATTGTAGTGTGAACAAAAGAGCAAACACACCCCGTTGCATTGAGGGTGTCGTGTTGCATTGGGGGTGCAAGGGCGGTATGTTACATCGATGACCATCAATTGCCAATCCGGTGAATCGGTGGCCTTCGCGAGAGCGTCCTCGCGAATGTATCCTATTTAGTTAGTATTGGCGAAGCGGCCGTTTTATCGAGCGGTAGGAAGACGGAAAGAAGTACGTACTGCCCATGGCGCAGAGACGGACCCGCACGTCCCGCGTGATGAGAATAAGATGTCTGGTGACCTTGTTGAGCACAGTTCGCGTCTTCATGGATGCCCGAGCGGCCACCGAGTCTAACGTTACCAGCGCCACTGGGACTGCGGCGTGCGGGACCGTCTACCGGAAATAGGTGCCTGCCCATGCATGCTGTAGCCAACTAGAGCCAACTAGCGTCAAGTGGGTGCCTAGTCATAGAGGATAGGGGTTCCACGGAAGATACGTTCGCCGCTTGATGTCAAAAATAGAGCGGACACATATGGCCCCATCGTTACATCGATACTCATCCCGAACCCGAGAGGCTCCGGCGGGATCGCGGATGGGCTATCACGGCCACACAGGTCGGACGTTCCTTGGGCGTTCCTTGACCAAGACCAAGTTAAACCCGAGGGCACGGGTGTCACCTGAAATACACCTCAAGTACCGGACATCACGTTGGCAGCTCAAGAGGGCGGGTCTTTCCGGTTGTCACTCCGGGGCTAACGCGAAGACGCTGGATTGGTGAAACGGCGAACAGCAACTGATCCAGCGAGTGCGGTACTCACTCGTCGGGTAACGTCGCGTATCAAACGGCTTGCGCCCGCCTTTGCCTTCCCATGCAGCCGTCACACGACACGCCGTGGGCTCGCGTCTTGAAACTCTGAGGGCAAGGTTGCGCGATGAGATAAGCACGAGCATATAGCCTTCAGATCAGATAGTAGTCGGGGGCGCGCGGGATGGATACTCCAAGTCCGTGTCCATGCGTTCCTAGCGCCCCAGTGCTCCAGCCGGGTATGGAATCGTGCAAGTTTAGCTATGGCGAGGAGAACACCGGCCGGCGTGTAAAACGTTTGGACGAGTCTAGATAGGGTATTCAGCATTCGAGTCGGAGCGCCCTGGTAGTGGTGGCATCATAGGCAATGGTAGTACCGTGTACGCAAAAACACGCGGACACATCACTATAACCAAGGAGCATGGTTATCGCGCGCGCCGAGATACAGCACGAAGATGTGCCGGTCTAGAGCTGCGAGCGCAAACCTGAAAATGACGCGCGGAATGGCGAGGGCGCTGACAAGTCCTGTCCTTACTCACCTTCAACATGACGTATTTGTGGTGCCAACGTCGTACGACGGCGTCGACAGGACCTGCGACCCTCCGACTGTGTGACAGGTGGATGGCTGAAAGAAATGTATATCCTGGTCACATCCCCTCGCAGTGACGAAAGTAGGCACGATCGACAACATTGAGCATGATGGCATGATGAAATGCATGCCGTACTGGTGCAGGGTGGCTGCGGCACTCCATGTTACTGCCCTTGTCTCACTGACACTCCAAACCTAGACTCGGCATGTGGCTGTAATGACACCAATATTGCCCCACATGTGTCGTATGTGTGAGGTCGGCAACGTTGAGAACAGTGAGCAAACTCTACTGGACAAATGAAATCATGAGACCCGGGAGACCCGGCACGCTCTACCCGGTGGCCTGTCTGTCCATTCTCCTGGACAAACGCAGTAAAGGCCTCAACCAATATGTATGTCCAAGAGCAAGCCTAGACTCACCGACTGGACAGGATCGCGCCATGCGGACTAGAAACGCCTGGGAGCTAGGGATTCCATTGGAGTGAGGCTCTGCTTTCGTTGAAATCGCTCGCACGAATTTTGGGCTTCCAAAGTATTATGATATGTTTGCCATTCTGTTGCTTGCGTGATATTTACCAGCTAGAGGTACAGACATTACTTACAAAACAATGCAGTGCGACATCGAAAACATTGAACACGGAAAGTGCGAGGAGACAAATAGAAACAGCGGACAAATCATGCTAGTCCCTTTGCCACAATGCAAGAGTCATTAGTCGAGAATCCGTATCCCGAAGACGTATCGTAACAGTGTCGTCAAAGTGAAACCGCCTGCAATACAAATACGCGCACCCCAAGAAAAGAAAAGACCGAGAGATAATCGGCATCATTAGAAAATACAAGTTTAGAGAATAGTCGTTATGTAACTTTTGGCGGCGGTGAGCGCGATTATGAGAGAATGCAGTAGGGTCGCCCAGATGTCGATGCGGAGAAGCCGATGGATATGCGCATGGTTAGGCAGATGAAGAGGCATAGACCGGGTATGTGTCGTGACGAAGTGACGTTCAGCACTGTTTGCGAGCGCCCCGAGGGTATCATGAAGTCCAAAAAATTACGAGCGATTGCTTCTTGACGAAGGCTCCCTGTCGTCGAAGATGAAGAGACGCTTGAGATGGGGAGTTACCTCCACCTCAATCTCAACATCCTTCTCCTCACCATCGACGACCCGCTTCACAATACGTTTTTCCTTATTGGGAGTGGGCATCATGACTGGGTATGTTTTTACGTTGTCGTAAGACCAAGAGCGATCTGAAACTCAATTAACACCAGATATAGTAGTCAAGATATGGTGGCACTTACTTTGCTGAGTTGGTCTTGGTGAGTCAAGCTTCTCATTCCATGCACTATCAGCGCTGGACTCGCTTGGTTGACGAGCGAGAGGACTACGGGTGCTGCGCGAAGAGACACTGTAGCTGGAACCTGTGCGAGCTCGGAGCTTAACATCGGGAACGAGCAGGCGTCCCTCAGCCCCTGGCTTCAATATGGGAACTTCCTTGCGATGGCAGGAAGATGTCGTCGAAGTTGGCGAGAGAGGAGGTAATGATTGTGACGAGGAGGATTGAGGGAACAGTGCTGTTCTCGACTCCGAGCGGCGGGCGAACTGCTCAGAAAACTTGGCGTAGAGCTCATTTGTTGATGAGGAAACAGGCCGCCGGGGAGGTACGCCACTCCGCCGATTATTTGGTGCCGAAGATGCTGAACTGTCGCCAAATCTTGAAGGGACACCGCCCTTACGGTGTGAAAGAGCAGGGACATATGAAGCACCGGCACCCTTGTTGGCGATGGGTGTGAAGTTGTAGACACTAGATCTCCAAGCATCGCTTCCATCAGTCCATCCGGGGACTGGCTTGCGGGGTTCGGGCTCGACGGATGAGAAAATCGACCGCTTGGGCGCAGGCTCCGGGCATAGTGCAGTCTTGATACGCCGTGCAGCCATCATGACACCGCATTGGTAGTCGTTCGAGAACTCGGGCTCGGGGATTGTGGTACTTTCCTTTGGAGGAAGGGGAAGGGAAGGCGGTGGCAGAGTCCAGCCGTACATAGCGGCAAGAGTGGCGATGCTCGGCGAACAGTACTCGTAGTTGGACTCGGAAGAGGATGAAAGACCGGAGTCCAGAGATGAGCCAGAGCTCGAATCATCTTCAGTCTCTGGTTGAGAGTACGAGTTACTCGGAGAGACAGGAGAGTATGGGGCCGATTCGCGATCTGGGTTGTAATCGTGGGGGAAGGCTGCGTCAAAGCGAGGAATATCTTGCATCCGACACTCGTCAGAGCAATAGAGAGGGATAGGCCCCTGATCGATGACTGTCCGGTGCTTGACCGGAGCGGCAGGTTTTGTTGACTGCTGAGCAGGAGGCTTTGAAGCGCTGGTAGAGTCAGTGCGCTTAATGGCGCCGTTGGGACGGACACGGCCCGTTCCCTGGAGGAGACCACCCCCTCTTGCTTTGCCGGCGGCCGCCTTGGAGCGAGTAGGTTGGGCGGCTGTGGCGTCGGCTTTCGATGCTAAATCGACATCAGAACAGGAACAAGGGCCAAGAAAAAAGGTGCTCACAAGAAGAGGAAGGAGATGAGGGAGGGGCGGTGAGAGGGGCAGCGGGCTGCTCGGGTTGAGGGGGAGGGATGGGGACTTGGTAGCGTTTGGGCATGATTTGCCTGTCGCAAACGGGGCACCACGATTCGTCGAAGTCCATGTCGATGGGGGAAGGGGAGATGCGGGGAAGATGAATGTTGGGCGGGGTTATAAGCGGGGGGGCTGGAGAATCAGACAAGGCGGTGAAACCGAACAAGGCAGGGTGTCAGCGACGGAGACACAAGAGAATGCGCTGTGAGACGACTCACCCTATGTGGCTGGTCTGGATCTGGATCGTCGACAAGTGGGTCTGCAAGGCAGAAGGAGACGACGGGGGGAGAAGACAGCTCGATGGTAAATCAGAGCGAGGCGGGGAATGGGGAGCGAATTCGCAGGAAGCGTGTTGAGAGGCCGTCTTTATTTATTCGCTCGACCTGATTGATTCGCAAGGCCATGATGAATTGAACGGACTACCCGTTACGGACGTGGGGTGCGTTCCGATACACCGAAAATACGCCTTATTTTCCCTATTTCTTTTGGGGCCGTTACCTAACTTTCCTACCGCGGACCCCTCGGCTCCCCGTTAGGGAAATCACGCTTAAGCGACGTGACGACTCCGCAACGTCCCTTGCTCGCTTATCCTTCTCCGCCCCCGCCTATCCAAGTTCTAGAACTAACCATTCCGGAAATTCACGAGCCGCATCCATTGGCTCCCTGGAAATTTGCTGCAGCCAGCGAATCACACACCTCAGGCCTCATTTCCGGCCTTCCCTCGCCATTCCCGTCAACGCTGCTCATGCCGTCCGTCGCCAGTCCCTCTTCGGATTCTATCTAATCTCAACTAAATCTTGTTCTCCTCCCGCCCTCATAATGCGTGGCACCAGGTCCGCCTCCCTCTGTTCACATGTCTCTCATACATCCTATCACGACCACTGGTTACAGCCAGTAACATTGCCAGCGTGGGCCTCCATCTGTATTCCCTCAGTGATCCTATCGCGGACCCGCCCCGGCCATTCTTCGCACCATCGCCCGGCTCTCCCGTGGCGAGCGGCCCGCGTCCAATTATAATCACACGCGGTCCGCGCTCGTCGTCGGCTTTTCCCCTTCCCTGTGGCGTCCCAGCGATCCCAAGGGCCGTTAACGAGCTTGCAAAAACTGCTCCGCCAATGTGCCTATCCTGCCAAATCCAGTCCGTGGGTTTGTTCCTCGGTCCAGTAGTAGCTTACCCCGCCTCGGTTTTGCACTTCTGCCTGCCCAGCCAGACAGCGCACAGCTGTTTCCCCACTGTTTCTCCGCACCCTCTTGCCAACGCCCCCTTTCCCCATCGCGAAAATCATCTGCTACATTTCCATTCACATCCTTTACAAAGTCGACCATGCCCACCATCTGTCACCCACCTTTCATAGAATCATCGATAACCCTGCGTGTCATGATATACATCTATTGGTAATCCACCCTCTAATACTAGTCCCTAGCTGTCGGACCAGTGGCACCGACTCACTAGCGCATGACAGTTCATTGGTACCAACACTGGTCCGATCTTGACAAGATCGCAATGACGGCGGAAACCCCCGCTATGCATATGGGCGTCTTTGTTTTATCAGACTATCTCAATGCTGCTATAAACATCTTCCGATACTAATATCGGCTCTTCAGTGCACATGCCGCATACAGCAAAGTTAGTGCTGTCTCATCGGATAGACTTAACCCCCGCTACCCATTGTAGCTGTTTATAAGTCCACATTAGGCATATCTCGGTATGTTGCCTGTTTTACCCCAGGTTAAGATGCGTTACCCCGCATCGCTGGTGTTCAATAAGCCGCACATGGTTACAACTTTGCTTTCCCGATGACACCGCACGGTCGCAGGTCCTGTAGCGTTGATGCAACGCCTCGTTCTCACTGGATCGCGCCCCGAGCGATGGCATCTCCTGAGGTGTTTCGCCTCGGACAGCATTAACTCTCAAAGAAGCGCTTTGTCTCCACGAAGACTTCGCATCAGCCGGACAGGGGGCTTGACAGTGATGGAAGGCAAATCCGCCTCAGCCGAGGGTAACTACTTAACTCGGCGCCCTTCTTCGTCTACGCACTCTGGGACCTGGTTCTGATGATATCATAGTTCACTGCGGCAAAGTTTCTCAAGCGACGGAAGTAGGTCTGCGGGGTATCTTCTGTTGATCGGTGCTAGCGGGTGTGCTATGTCTCACTCAACGGACCTATGATGCATCAAGAGCCACCGCTACTTTCCTCGGGGCGACACATCACGCTTGTTTTTCCGTGTCTTCGTGTGGTTCTACGGTCATGATCTCAAACAGCTTGAACCTTGAGCTTGAGCTTGCATTCCGTTGGTCTCGTACATTAGCCATGGCGGTGACTATTGTCCGCGAGTGCAGGCTAGCGCTCATATACAACAGCCTTGTCAATTCATAAAGTTTGTGAGGTTTGATTAAACTTTCTCTAAGATGCCTTTGTTTATTGTCCCAGTTCGGCTGTCTCTTTGCAAAGAGGCTTGTGATTCTTTACGCTAGAAACGGCTGTTCACATTTTCATTGTGAAAGCTCCAAGGGTTTTAAAGGCACCAGCGGTTCCTAGAAGCTTTGTTCAGGCCGTGATTGCTGAGCAAACACATGGTATGGTCGATTGGATTACCCCACACCGCCCGATTTTGGCTTCGAGAGGCGGAAGCATTTCTGAGCGGTATTTTTATTTATGCTAGCCTCGCTAACAAGCTCGCTTGCTTCGAGTGCTTCACGCTTCGCGTTCAACCAGCCTAACTGTTCAACCCCGCATTCCTTGACGTTACCCACACTGGGGTGGAAGGCATGGGGCAATGATGCCGTTTCTTTTTACCGCAAGCATCCTCGAGAAGCCACGTATCTCGGTACTCACACATGAAGCTCTTTTTCACGGCCAACCGATAGGGGCAATCACAAGGTGGCCAAGATATTCATCCTCTTGTTGGCACGGAAAGTACTCCACAATTACGATTGGTATTGATAGGCCGAAATGTAAATGGTTGTCAATCAAACAGGCGTGCACTTGGTAGAAAGTTGTTGCACATGCAAAGAACGTTTTCAAAAAGGTGTGGTTCGCATATATCATTGATGATAATAATTTTCAGGAGTTGAGGTATCTCCACCGCCGTCCGAGCTATGTTGCCACGGTATTGCTAGGTGTTGCTACTCTGTCAGATACGTCAGATCCGGTTCTCGATCGTTCCGTTCTGTGACACTGATTGCAAATCAACATGTAAGATATCATGAGCTTTAACATTAGATTCCGTGCCTTCTCGAAACGTCGTCGGGCGATCCTACAGGCGCCCCTTAGCCGCTCGTTCCGTGATCATGTTGGCATAGTTCAGACCCGCTTCTCCACCCCATAACTCGCTTTACCTTGGAATTTACGTAAATGAGCACTCCGCTCGCGTGATGGCTCGAGTAAAGTATGTGTGCCCCCACACCAGGTCCAGACGCCAGCGTTGCGGGGAGATTCAGATGCCCCACATTGATGACGTCGCAATTCAAGCCGTTCCCTCGACCATGCGACCGAGGAAACATTGAAGCGTGTAGGCTTTTAGCACGCTCGGGTTTTCCACGGGCGGGACGCGAGGAAGGATTCCTTCCTGCGTGCAAAGCCGACGCGCTGTCAACTGGCTGCGTTCCCGAGCCTTGCCCCACCTGTCTTTCTCTTCTATTGCCACGCGTGTGGGGAATACCACCGGCAAGTTCCCCAGCTTCCTTCGTCGAGCGTCGGGTGCCACAGCGCGGGCGGTTTGCGAGTGCTTCTTCCACGATAATGTATTTGCAGACCCCACGACGAGTGCTACTCACTCCATTCCATTGGAACCAATTAGAGCTGAGGCTTTCCCGGAGAGAGTAGGAATGGGGGACGCGGCTGAATTGCCTCGATGTTGGAAGGAAACACCAGTAAGTAGTAATACTTTCACTTCCCAAGGACCAAATACTCCGAAATCGAGATCTTCCTCCTCGGACGCGAAGCTGCTGTGTTCCTCGAGTAGATCGCGACCCGCGGAAGGGCACTGCAGTGTTTTTCAGGGTGCTTGAACTCTGCAGCAGGTCCTGCGGTTCGTTGTCTGGAACTAACATGCGGACAACATGTTGATGGTTAATGAACGTACCATGACGCCGGAAACGCTGCCTCGTTCGGCCCAACAGGCCGGCCTCAAGGTCTTCGACCTGCGGGGTCAACTAGGGATCGATCTCTCACCTCAAGCATGTTAACATACGTCGCGCATCTGTTACTTAAGCGTGTCACAAAGCTAATCAGTGATCGCGGAACATACAGAAGAAAGCGATATAAAGGACTACAAACTCTAGTAGGTTGCGTGTAACGAGCGCCTAACTCTCGGTAAAGCTGATAAGCCAATGGCGTTGAGATCTTTCCCAAGAGACATGCAAATCGTTGCGGCGTGGCGATTAGCGAGTGCACAGGGACCTTAATCGAAGGCTATCATGGGAAAAATATAACGGCTCACTGATGATAACTTGTCGACGATGTGGGTGTTGGCAGGTGTCAGCCTGACGCACCATGAGCACGCTAGTCATTTACTGCGGTGTGCGGCCCGTAGTCCTGCCCGACAAAACTCGCGTCTGCGATAAGGTGAGCAACGCATTCATTTCCGACGCTAACGCCGCGCCCGCTCAGTGTATGTACCTCCTGATCGCTGATAGCTTCTGCGGAAGGATGTCGGCTTTCCTACCAAAATGGCGCACCGTAGTACACACCCAGGGCTGATGCGCTGATACGGTCCACTGATTCGGTCTGGACTTGTAGAGTAGAGCATGGCGGTTCGTGTTAGCTTTGAACTGGAAGAAGGCCGTGGACACCGACGACAGTAAGAGTAAGTGCCGAGCTCGGGCTGTGACCGAGGAGATGCAGAAGTCCTGATACTGAAGCTTACGAAGTTTGGGGGCATGGCTGTAATGTCCGACCAGGATGATCGTGTATATGACGCCCGCAACATGAGGCCCAGTACGTAGGAGCAGATTCTGGCCGCGTGCTCGGGGTTTGCAGCTATCAACCCTCAATATTCAATATTAATGCCAACAAGGAATTGAGGAAGAGAACCATCAGTGAGTCGGCCGCACTCAGGTTCTCTCCTCGGACCCGGCAGAAGGTAGTCGCGTCCAGAAAATCTGTATGAGAAATTTAAAGAAGCGCGGTTTGGTTAGTAGAAAGGAAAGTTAGGCTTTCGATTGGTAGGCGGCCCGCCTTGAGAAGACTGCATAGTACTGGCCGCGTGACTATAACACGGTTGATCTTGATCCCCGGACGAGCGGGGCAACGACGCGGTCGCACAAGGAAGGAGGAGCGTATTTTACGTGTATACAGCGGCGGCTGTACGCCCAGGAGCTATTTCCGTTAGTTCCGGATGTATTACATGCAGAGGTCCCAGAACATCAGAAGGAGGACAGTGATTGGAGGAACAAAGTCTAATCTTAGGGCAGGCCGATGATTGCCGATACGCTGCCAACGCCCACATTTACAGGGTCAACAGGCATTTGTTCGTTTAAAAAATTCCCCCTTTTGCTCTGACGGGTTCTCCAGGCCGCAGAGGCATAAGCAGAACAGAACATCCGTTAGCAAAAATCTCAGCGGGTTGGCGACTCGTACCGATCTACCTATGCACCGTGTCAAACAAAGTGTATGGATTTGGTAAGCATACGGGCGTCTGATAAGATGAAACGATTGCCTGAGGCATCATCCTACGTTCACCGCTGACGATCCTGACCGTCAGACGTGCACGCGTCACTCTGTCTCCGTAGGTCGGTTCATGACTTCTATCGAGGTACTGCAACTAATACCCTCGATTTCAAGGCTCCACAGAGTGCTACTCAGGAAGTCAGCATGGCGAGTACACTGGAGCCAGACCGCGCCATGCGCCCCTTCTTGCTTAATTATCCTGGCTCCACCGACAACCCGAAACTGCGCGAGAACTATAGATTCTACAGTGGAGAGCAACAGCTACGACCTCCTGGCACTTTCCGCTCCACGATCTCGCGGTCTAAGTTGGAACGAACCACATTCATAGATGACATACACCAGGAGTGCGTAGTTTGCTTGGCCTTGGGCAAGGTTAGAGACTAATTTTTATGGCCGTCCATAAGACCATGGCGCATCAAGGAGAACGGGAAGCCTGAAAGCAAGTACGCAATTTTGGAGGGTGCTCACGACTATATTCAATGGCTGTAAGCGAACTGCCTGCCATTCTTTGAAAGTCTAAGTATAGAACGTTCGTTCGTCTACCAGATTCCCGATTCGAGAGCAAAGTAGTGCGAACTACGGCTCTCAACCTCTACAGGGTCACGAAATATCGAGCCTCAAAAAAGACGAGCGATTCCTCGACAGGTTATGCAATTCATATCGCCTTATGCTTGACTTCTACGGCATGGAACTTACATCTGTAGAAACCGGCTTGATTAGCCGTTCCGAGAATTACGTTGAGCGGTACAAGAATCTAGAAAGAAGTACGCTATCTACAGAAGAGAATCGATGTTTCCACAGCTCATTAATGTTCCCAGACAGTTGGCACAATAATTTGCGCATCACACGCATCCTCAAGTGCCTCTCTGAGTTTGGATTGGAGCATCTAAACACGGGTTTCATTCTTCACGTTCTGAATGAGCAGAGTGAACAACCAAGGCCAGACACGAGGCAACGAAACGAACGATCAAATTCGTTCTTCATTGCGGATACCAGAGAAAGTCCAAACTGGTTCGATACTTCCCTCATCAAACGTAGCATGGATGGTTTCTGGGCTCATTGCATTCGCGGTGATGCTGAAAGGGCACGAGTTGCTGATTTAATCACGAAAGTAAGAACTAGCAACGAAAACGGCTTCAAATTCACGAGAAAGCTCTACGAAGGAGTTTTGAGCCGAAATGAGACAGCTGGAGAGACGTCAAGCACTTGAATGGCTCTACAGAACAAACACCTGTATTATAAAGTATTGCCCCTCCTAGAAAGGTCTCAAGTCCGTACTCAAATAATGCTTTACTGTATCTGAGAGCGCGTTTGATAATGGATGGGCCTCTTCCCGCGGCGGTGGTCGCGTGCGTTGCATGCTCGCATTCCACAAGCAAGCCAGTTATTGCGTAGTACAACAGGGCAAAAATAGACTGAGCGAATTCGAAAGCTTGCTAACGCGTAGATGAAGTCGAGCCTGGGTGTGTAAATAATAGGGGCGCATGTCGCCAAGTGGGCGTCATTAGGACAAATTCGACAGCTTGGTCATCAAAGCCTCTCGTCTTTTGAACTCGTAAATGGAGCTCTCCGACTGCAGGAGGTCCTCTAGGGACTCAAACACGCGTCCATCGCCGATCTAGTTGTAATTACCTGTTAGTGGAGGTAACTGGCAAGTTGGCGAGAGATAACCACCTGGTAACCTTGTGATGTCAAGGAAATACTGATGGTTATGCCTTCAAGTAAGTTGACCACGGCAGTGGCCTCAAGAGGGCTGGTTGGAGGGTTCACAGTGAAGGAACTTATCCCGAAGAATTGCTCGGCCAAGGCGCGCGTCAACTCGGCGTAGTAGAAATGTAGCGAGTGAAGGGAGGACATATGTGCGAGATTGGCTTGCCTCCCGTCAGGAATGCTTCATATATTATATAGAACGGCAGATAAGGCCTTCGGAATTTCACAATTTAGCACGTCCCTTGACACTCCACCGCAGCCGTGTGGAGGGTACAAGAAGGGCATATGGATCAAGTCAGGCGTTTTAGCTTTCATGATGCAATCGTTCGTACCCACTCAGTCCCCAAGATCTTGTAGATTCGATCGATTGTTTCCAGGACCGGTGCTCTAGTTAATCATGGCGAAGGTTTGCCAAATCCGCCCGGAGGATGCGTTGGATCCACAAAGCCGTACAGATATAGATTTGGTCGAGAAATTTGGAGTTACCGCCGGACGGTGATTTGGTATGGGATTGTATAACGAGCCGAATTGATGAAGATTGCCCAGTTGATTGTCAAACTGCGGAACAGTAGACGTTTGTCATCCGTTGACAGGCCAAGGTTTCGCATTCGTCATGTCGCCAACGCTGAGGATAGCTTCCTGTCACCCTTATCAGAGTCGAGTATTCTGGCTCATAATAGATTGATAGCATAGCATCGAAGGTTTGATCAAGGGACGCAGCATACAGACTTGAGACGCGACTTGTGAGCAGACCTGCTTCCTCTTGGGCGCAAAAACTACGAGGATCCCGTCAATCTAGCAAGATTGAGGCAGTTGTTGTCCCGACCGATGGAGCCGTCAAATTAGAGCCACTAGCGTGTTAATGTATGCGCGTTATGGGGCAACATGAGACGACCAACGCCATTGAGATGGAAGCACACCTACTCCGCCCACTAAAACGCGGGCACACATCCTGAGGCTAGCTGAGAGGGGAAAGACATAGACATAAGTGTAAAGCTGCGAGACGTCATGTTGCGCCAATTTGCGACCAATATGGCTTAACCCCTCGTGCAATCAAGAGCAAGAAGCACCTGGAAAACACGAGAAGCACTGAGATCGCATCGCAGAGACTTGGTCAATATAAAGCGATACCTGGATGCGGAAATCACTCTCGTTTGTTCTGCCTAAAACTGGCAATGGGCAAGGGAGATGATTGAGAGGACTGTCAGCTGAGCGGAAAGCTCGTGTCAGGAATTATAGGGTACCAGGGCCATCAAGCGTGCATCACAGTCAACGTTCTTGCTGTTAGCACATTTAACGGCGAAGGCGGCAATAGGAGACAGAAAAATTGTTCCGAGATGTACGGCCGACAATTGGGGTGTCGAATTTTTGTGACTCTTGAGGTGGTCGTGGTTGCGACAATCGCGTCAAATGCTGAGTGACAAAACCATGTTATGTAAGCAACACGCAGCGGCACAAGGGTGGCTGGCGGTGACGCTCGTCGTCCTGTCGCGTCCTTGTCATACTTCGCAGCCTCAAACTCGGGAAATCGCCATGGACGTGGTCAAGGCTGTTGAAACATATGTCACAAAGCTGGTATCGACACCCTCGGCGATGAAGGTTCTCCTTCTGGATACACACACGGTATGCGCGCGTCGAGACTATGGCCACACTGGCAGACTTCTGAGTATCATGTAGACACCCATTGTATCTCTGGCTTCCACCCAATCGACTTTGTTATCTCATCAAGTGTATCTTACGGACAGGATAGACAATCCACGGCGAGACCGTATGCCTCACATGAAATGCGTCTGCTTCCTGCAGCCAAACGAAGCCAGTCTGGAAGCGCTTATCACTGAACTGAAGGAGCCCAAGTATGGAGAATATTATCTCTGTCAGTGCGTGGAGCATTAGGATTCATTTCCCTATGCGCCGAGCTTCAGCTGACTTTACGACAAACAGACTTTAGCAATATTCTCAGCAAGGCCGATATCCAGCGCCTGGCTGACGTCGACGAGTTTGAAGTGGTCAGGGAAGTACAGGTACGTCGCTAGATCATCTTCTGCCTTACTTTCTCTTCTCACTAGTTTTTAGGAGTACTTTGCAGATTATTGCCCACTGTTGCCATCGCTGTTCTCTCTCAACCATACACCATCCGCTGAGCGACCCCTTTACGGAACTTCGCCGAACTCTTGGGACGATGATGCATTTGAACGCTCGGTTCAAGGGATACTTGCAGTGCTTCTTAGTCTCAAGAAGAAGCCGATGATACGCTATGAGAGAATGAGTGGTATGGCCAAGAAGCTGGCAAGCGAAGTCCAGGCTCGTCGAGTTTACTATCCATTATTAGACGAAAAGAATGACACTTTGTTCTGCACAGCAACGCATACAAACCGAGTCTACTCTGTTTGACTTTCGCCTAACTCAGGTTGCACCGCTACTTTTGATCCTGGATCGACGGAATGATCCTGTGACGCCTCTCCTATCTCAGTGGACATATCAGGCCATGGTCCACGAACTGCTGGGAATTCAGAATGGCCGCGTTAATCTCAGTCACGTTCCAGACATTGGGCCAGAACTTACAGTGCGCAATCTCCACCTTCGTTTAGAAATTCTTCATTAAATGATGCTTGTAGGAGATAACATTGACTACCTCCACCGACTCCTTCTTCCAGGCGCAATATCTTGCTACGTTTGGCGACCTCGGGACCTCGCTCAAGGATTATGTCCAGTCTTACCAGACCCGTTCCCTCGCTCAATCACCGTCTTCCATTAATTCAATATCAGATATGAAGCGTTTCATAGAGGAATATCCAGAATTCCGAAAGCTTGGCGGAAATGTCAGCAAGCATGTTGCGCTCGTCGGCGAACTAAGTCGCCTTGTGGAACGCGACAAGCTTCTAGACGTGGGTGAGGTTGAACAAGGCCTTGCCACAAGTTCGGGTGCAGATTACAGAGTGAGTGTCATTTATTGGCGGGGGTTAGCGGCTCTTAACGGCTCCGTTAAGCTTGTTCAAGGAATTATCACCAATCCCGCTGTACCGACGTTCAATAAACTTCGTGTGGTTATCTTATATGCTCTACGCTATCAAAAGACCCAAACGAGTAACATCGCTTCTCTCATCAATTTATTGCTTTCGAATGGTGTACCACGGGAGGATGCCAGAGTATGTGGATCAACCAAGTGCCTGTGCAGTACCGTGGCTTACGCTTATGACCTGCATAAAACGTAGCTTGTCTACGTTTTCCTCAACGTAGCAGGCGCCGATCAGCGACAGGATGATTTGTTCTCCACAGAGTCGCTTTTAGCCAAAGGCCGCTCCGCTTTAAAGGGATTGAAGGTAATGCGGACCTAAACGAGTGCCACACCTATCTCTGACGTCGGTTTTCAGGGGGTCGAGAACGTGTATACACAACACACGCCTCATCTATCGCAAACGCTGGAAAATCTGTTTAGAGGTCGTTTGAAGGATATTAGCTACCCACTTCTGGAGGGCGCTGGCACCAATGCAGCATTGCACAGGTGGCTAATGCAGTGCCTTTTCGAGCAAACCTGAACTTACCATTCCCAGGCCGCAAGATATCATTATATTCATGGTCGGCGGTACAACGTACGAAGAAGCACGGACAGTCACCCTTCTGAACCAAGAGTCTGCTTCAACGGGTACTAGAATTCTGCTGGGAGGAACGTGTGTTCATAACTCTTCCAGGTATGCCCATCTCCTGAGAATGGTCATATGCCGTTGACTCATGACGAACTCGCAGTTATGTCGAGATGATGCGAGACGCTGCTGAGAAGTTCAATACGAGCGTGTATGAACCACCGCCCGAATCTGCGTCAAATGCGCCGATACTCAACCTCAACCTGGGAGGTGTGAACGTCAGCTTGGGTGGTCCGGCCGGATCGGGTGTGTATAGAAGTAGCTCAGACAATGTCGGGGTGCAGGCAGATGGGATAAGGGACGGTGTGCGGAACTTCATCGGGATTGTCAAGCAAGGGGTCGACAAGATAGGAATGCAATAATGTATCATGCTGGTATAATAGTCTCCGTCTTAATGCATTTGGTCTTTATGGATATGTTATGGGGGGAAAGTTCGGGAGACGCACGGCCGCACACGGGCTGGTTACTCCGGCGTCCCGAGTCCGCTGAGGATCCGCTGGCAAGTTGCGCCAAGTTGCGCCCCTGGGTGACACGTCGGCGTACTGAGTAGCATCATCACGTGTGAGGAATTTCTGGTGAACACTTCTTACACTCTCAAGCAACCGTTGCTCCTCTCAATTCTTATTCATTCTTCTTTCTCTACCTTCCCTCTCGTCGCCGTTCAGCAGGCCTTTCGACGATGGCCAAGGGTTTTCTTGCGGGGTTGAAGGGCATCGATGCGTTCGGCAAGGTGCGCACCTCTCGCGGTCCTTGTGCTCGCGTGCATGGGCGAGACACGTCGACGGAGAACTGACCACGTATGCATATGTCTCATAGACTACTGAGGATGTCAAGGTCAAAACTCGTACTGGCGCGTTCCGTGAGTGACTCTGTACACTCAGATCACATCTAGGCTGATGTAGGCATGTTTGATTCACAGTGACGCTCCTGTCTGCTGCCATTATTCTATCCTTTACTTTGATGGAGTTTGTCGACTATCGTCGGGTGTACACCGACACCTCCATCGTTGTGGACCGTAGTCGGGGTGAAAAACTGAGTGTGCGCATGAACGTCACTTTCCCCCATGTCCCCTGCTACTGTAAGCGTTGCCTCACCCGAGATTACCGGACTTGATCCTGACTGGGACCTTTGTATACAGTGCTTAGTGTGGACGTCATGGATATTTCTGGTGAGACGCAGCGCGACGTGTCGCACAATGTCGTGAAGCAGCGGCTGGACAAGACTGGGAAGGGTATCGCGGGCTCCCGGTCGGGTGACCTTCGAAACGAGATCGACAAGCTCGCTGAGCTCCGTGGGCCGGATTACTGTGGTTCTTGCTATGGCGGCTATACCTCCACTGACAATGGGTGCTGCAACTCCTGCGAGGAGGTCCGTCAGGCTTACGTCAACAAGGGATGGAGTTTCGGCAATCCAGAGGGAATTGAGCAGGTTGGTCCCTCAATCTAGTTAGGTAGACTGGCATTGCTGACGTCTTTAAAGTGCACGCAAGAGGGTTGGACTGACAAAGTCAAGGACCAGGCGGATGAGGGGTGCAACATCTCAGGTCGCATTCGTGTCAACAAGGTCGTCGGTAACATCAACATCTCGCCCGGCCGTTCGTTCCAGACGGGCTCGCGCAACTTTTATGACTTCGTGCCGTACCTTAAAGAGGACGGTGGCCAGCATGACTTCACACACTACATCGACGAGCTCACTTTCTTGGCTGATGACGAGTACAACCCAAACAAGATGAAACATGGAAAAGAGTTGAAGCAGCGTATGGGTCTCGACAGCAACCCCCTTGATGGCTTCAAGGCGTCGGTAAGACTCATTGGCGATGAACTTACAGACATGCATGCTAAATTTAGTACAGACTACGAAGAAGATGTTTATGTATCAATATTTCCTGAAGGTCGTTTCGACTCAGTTCAGGACGCTAAACGGCAGAACCGTGAGTTTGAGCCGTTGTAGTCCCTCAGGGGCTTGCTAATTTGCATCGCAACCTCAGATCAATACTCACCAGTATAGTGCTACGCACTTTGAGCGTGATCTATCCCGAGGCATGGGAGGTGGTGAGAACAACCAGGGTGTCTATGTCCAGCACGGTGCTGGTGGTGCCCCAGGTGCCTACTTTAACTTTGAAATCTCACCCATACAAGTCGTCCACGCAGAGACGAGACAATCGTTTGCTCACTTCCTCACCTCGTAAGTGAGCGGAATGGTGGTCTTCCTACGTCATGCTGACACTTCAATACAGGACCTGCGCAATTGTGGGAGGTGTCCTCACTGTTGCTGCTTTACTTGACAGCTTCCTCTTCGCCACAAGCCGTGCGCTGAAGAAGGGCAGTGGGATGAACGGGAGCGCAAAGCTTATGTAGTTATTCTGCTTATGTATTTTTGTATGACTGCTCGCCTCCATAAATATTTAGATTCTGTTCATAGCACAAAGCTAGATGCACTTGTGGGACCGCATTTTACAAGTTACAGGTTCTCTGACCAAGCGGGTCACCTGCAATAAAACTGGAAACCCAATTTGGATCAAGAGGAACTGATTGGAGTTCCTGGATCCGAAGGGAGGACAAGTAATGTTACAGCACTTTGCATATGAATGCGGAAGGCTGGATGGAGAGATGGCAGTGCGAACTGGGGCTAGTTCAGGACCACTGGCACCAGGCGGGCGGACGATGCAGAGTTCTGCCCAGGTTGTAGTGTTGCCGCATTTGACGAACTGGCTGGAACCAAGCCGAAGAAACTTGTATTTGCACTTGTCATCAGTCCAGATAACACACATCGTCGCTGCGTAGAGACTAAAAACCGCGAAGATTAACACTTGCTTGGTCGGTGTTGTGACAAGAAAGTGCGTTTCAAGGAGTCGGTTTGAGCTGGTTTCCCGAACCGCGGCAACACTACCAGGTTGCAGCAGCTACGCCATACGGAGGGGTCCACCTAATTTCGGTGCATTCGGTGCATTCGGTCGGGGTTGCTGTGGTCACGCGGCCCAATTTGGCAGGGTTTACTCGGGGTCCCCGCTGTCCTGGGCCATTGCACGTCGGAGGCTCTTCCGCATACCGCTGTAATACTCCCGACTAAACTCAGGTTAGCCACGCGATATCCACGTGAACAAGACCAACCACATTTCAGAGTTGAAGGTCCGACCTCGTAACCTCGACGTTTCAACATCCAACACACTCGTACCTACCTCTCTTTGCACTCAAACACCATGGCTGAGTACTTACTTCACGGAAGTAGCATTTCCTGAATACGAGTAAGTGCCATTCAGTACCCACGCACTCCCTCATAACTCATGCCACCGATAGTCCTGTTCCTGCTATTCCACCTCACATGCGCGATCAACAGTGCATATATGGACATCTCATTACTCAGGAAAATGTTGACATCTTTCGTCAACAAGACGTATTCCAAGCCAAAATCGATATAATTGATGGGTCGTTTTGCAAAGATCCGTCGTCGGTGGCGGCAACTGCCTACTGCTGGCAAGGACCGTTCATAGGCCGCACCAAGACTGTTGTCGATGATGACAAACAACTTGTGACATGTCTCATTTACATATACGTCTCCAAAGGAATAGTCGCCGACGTGAGGTTGCCGAGTGCGATCACAGAGAAAATAGAAAAGTCCCTGGGTATCCAGGACAGCAAGCCGAGGTGGTACCTAGTCCATAGTAAGTGCAGTGACTTCACATTCAAATGCAGTCTGAACCCTTGCACAGAGAAAACTCCTGCCCAGAGGATGGCGGATCTGCTCGCCCAATATGAGGTTAGGATTCTCATTCTGTGTGCTAGCTCATCCACTAATGATGTGTCGAAGACACGATACGCGAGTATAGCTGGAATCCTATGATAGTGTGTACTCACCGGGCTTAGTGGTTGAAGACTTGAGTAAACCTTGAAGAGGTTGGTTGCGAGTGACGATGGTAGTCATTTGAGTAGAAGAGACTAAGGAATGTATTCATGGTAGCGACTCGTATATATAGTATACATGGAGCATGTGAATCTACTACCGTATTCGTAACGAGCCAGCCCTAAACCACGCATAGCATGGACGTCTAGCTACAAGTCCACATGGCCTGGTGCGACAGCAGCGGGCCATGACGAGTCATGAGTACGTAAGAGGCGCTTAAGTGTATACACACGTTGAGCGCCGATATAGAACGGAATGGCGGTGTTTACTTGTAAACCTCATAGAGG